GGGTGGCAGGGTTGGTACGAAGAAGAAGAAGAGAAAAAAGAAAGAAAGAGAGACACTAGGATTTAAAGAGACAGTCAGATACGGAAGATTATGGGAAAAAATGAAAATGGTAAGAAGAAGGATTATCCTTTAAAATTAATGAATTCTAGAAATGTGACAAATTGTTGAAGAATCGTGCATTTATTGCTTATTTTAGTTAACTTATAGAATATAAAAAGTTAATGGGAGAATTAGATTGGACACCTTCTTTTATTTCTTCCCTTTTTTTCTTTCATATTGATTGTAAAGATTCTTAGTTGTAAAAAAAAAAAAAGTGATAAATGACATTTATTCTTCTTTAATATAACGGCTGAGTGGGTATCAATTGTCTATTCCCTCTCTCTAATCAAATTGTTCATATTTAAATAATTTTTTAAATTATCATTAGATATCTAATTTATCATACTAAATTCCATAATCCTGCATTAAATATCCAACAGTCAAGTACTTACCTATTGTGAAAAGTATAACTATTACGCATGTCATATTTTCAATCCGACGAATGCTCGACTGAGAGTATTATGGTTGGAATAGGTGGCGCCTCATTCGATCCCAGAGTTTCCAGCGACTTCTTTAAAAAGTAAAACCTGCTTAATAATACTTTGCATTCATAATATTCCTGTCCTCGTTATATCGGTGAATAGAGGGAAAACAAATGCTATTAGCATTCTGCATAACTTACATAGTAAGGTGAGAAGAAGAAGGTTATACAGGTATAGACTTTGGGAAAGTATTACAAGATACCTTAGATAAACTTGGTATTGTATTATTTACGCGGAAAAAAGTATACAAATAGACCTACTTAAGCTAATCTGAAGAAATATTTCTGAGTAACGATGCTAATGTATCCAGATAGGTATCAACCCGAAAGACGTGTACGTTCCTTTCCATTCACACTCTCAGGATATCATGATAACAACAATTCTTTTTTTTTTGTTTTTTTTTACATAAGCATATATTAACAAGTAGAATATATAAATAAATAATGAGTTGATATGTATTTTCTTCAAATTCTATCATTTTCATGATTTTTCTTGACTTATCACGCTTATTTGTTCGACGTATAAAAAGTCTTTTTTTTATATTTAATGGAAGAACTTTCTATTTCACTTTTTATCTATAGAATAAAAAAAACCTCATCTCCCTTCACTCTAGGTGAAAACTGTCTATAAAATGTCTTATCAAAATTTCTATATAGTCTTCTCACATCTTCCAAGTTAAAAAAAACGACTCTATTCTTTCTTTTCTTCTTTCTTTCTTTTTTTTAAGTATTCTATCTCATACTTATCCCCCATTTCTTTCTTATTTTAAATAATATTATTCCGATTTGTGGGATTAACTGATTCATTTCCTTAATATTGATTAAAAAATGGCTTTTCGTGTTTATCCTGAAAGGAAGGAATGAAACGTAAAGCATATCTTAGAAATAATGCCTGTAAGTATCATTTACGATTATGCACTATGAAGTACATCTGGCTCGAAAGGAGAACAATTAAAAGGTTAATGAAACGTTAAATACTCTACTTTTCGTGCCATGGCCGCAGTTCTTCATTTAATAATATTTTCTAGATTTACCTTACAAATGCTTAACAAACTTCCTTTATTTTCCAAGGAAATATACAAGACTTTTCTGAGAAGCGCGCTTATCAGCTTAAATAATTATTTTACTAATTAATGTCCTTTCTATGTGTTATATGCTAAATAATCTGAATTAGGCCTCTCATTAAACTCTCTCTATCTTTCTCTCTCTGTCTCTGTCTCTCCTACAGAACATTTCCACTAGATGTGTTTACAATAACAAATAATTAGAGAGAACATTTTTATCGCCTCTATTATCTAAAGTGATATTAAAATTGGTAAAAATCGAAAAAAGTCTCTACATTAAACCGGAAGTTGGAAGATTTATGCCCTTTATTCAAACGTAAAACTCACTTTTTACCGCTTAATGAGATTTACAGTATATTTATTATAAATCTTTCCATTGTAAAATGCTGTTCAACGAAAAAGAAAGAAGAGGAAAAAGATTCTTCATGCATTTATAAAATCATAACATTCTAAATATATGTGTATTTAATCATAATTTGATAATTAAGTATTGTACTGATTAACAAGGGTATTATTTTTTTAAAAAAACACAAAAAGGGTACTAATTCATTATACAATAGGTGTCATAGCGCTATAGGATGCTTTATTTTCATCTTCAAAATTCACTCTTCTAAGCTTCTTAGCGTAATATTTTAAATAAAACATCATTAAGCCATTTAAATTTTCTCGTCTTTGCATCAACTAATTCAGTTAACTTGTAGGTTAACGTTATATTCGTCAGATGTTTAATCAAACTGTCTAATAGGTGTCGGGTTGGTTTTTATACTTCTATGAGTCCGTTATAGATTCGAGTTAGGAAATAACTGAGAATTTACTCTGCTAATTAACAAAAGAAAGGAATTTATATCGATATTATCGATGATAAGAATTCTGTTGAAGTGTACCTATAATCGTTTATTCTAATTGTCAAAAATTTATTACGGCACTGTACATATCGTAATCTCTAGAGTAAAAACGTCCTAGGCGTCTAGAGTAACCGCATGGGTAACGCCCTTTGCCAATAACGATTCGTCGGCCTCTCGAGAAGGTGACGCTCAGGGTTATTAGGTTAAAAACGGTCGTAGCTTAACGGAAACAGTCGGGTAGACGGCAGGACTCAACACTTTATTGAACGTTTCTCAGCAAGAGACCTCCGAAAGGTTCATCCAACTTAGAAAAGAATATTAGGAAGAGCGAAATAATTTAAAAGCGTTTAGATTTTGATGTCAACCAAGCCAATTGCATTCATCGACCGTTACTTAGCTCTAAATCCCAACATCATTGGTCTTATAGAGACGCCCTTATTAAACTAAAAAGGTCACAACTAAAAGTTCACAGGGTTTTGAAATTCAAAAAATTGGAATAATTTCCATCAAGAAACTTTTAATTTGAAAACTCATCACAAGGGAGTATAAAGACAATTTACCCTCTTTCTCTAGCAGTGTAAAATTCCTACAATTTGAAGATAAGCGTTTATTCTCCTTTGTTACTCTTATACAAACAGAAAAAAAAGAAAAAGAATAGACAAAAGATCTTGTCGTAGAAGATGATTTAAGAAAAGTATGAAGAGAAAATATATATTGCAAATAGTTAGGCCTAATTTCTTTCTCTAATCTAGCGGAAGACAAATTTCTTATCTGGCAAAAGTTCCTAATAGTATCCATTATGTGGGGAAAAACGAACAATCACGTGACCAACTACACGCCGAAGGGGCTATCCATGAAGATGAGTTTGAGAGATGAACTTGTTCGATGATTTGAGAAAGAGCAAGCAAGCGAGCGAGAGAGAGAGAGAGAGAGAGAGGGCGATAAAAAATAACAGAAGTAAAAAAAAATGAAAGTACTATTAGATTATCCGTAGGATTTTACTATAAAGAAAAACTCTATAAAGTGTGTTTTTTAGGCATTTTATGTAATTTAAATTTTTTCCACATTAAACATGAATGCCCTAATCGACTATTCTCCAGTATAATCCCGGCCCTATCAAAGAAAAAAAAGAAAAAAGAGGTAAATTAAGGGCGAAAAGATTTTCACTTTTTTTTTTCTTTCTTTTTTGGCAAATAAATAAGCCTAGAACTTATTACGTCAGCATATTTTCGTAAACGCGTTTAATCTTTATATAATTTCCTTACCTGCTCTACTTTTTCGTCGAGCATTCGAAAAAAATCGATCTGGCTACTCGTCATCGCTCTGTTCGTTTTAAACCGATTAAGCCGCTTCGTCTAGCGATACAAATAAGCAAAATAGTATGCGAAATAGAAAAAAAACTGACTGTTGCCTCGAAACTGGCTTTTTAAGTATTTCTCCCGTTCTGTCGATCTCAGTATTTACTGTCCTTTTAGCTGACGATTGTATCTGAGTATCTGTTACAAATATATCAATATTTAAATAATATACAATAGATTTTATATTGTATATTAATAGTGAATATGAAAAAATAATGCGGACAATACAGCTTAAAGCAGATAGGATCGTATCATTCACATAAAAGATATACGAGTGTATATACATATAACAAATAAAATAAAGATATAGTTTACCTTGAATAACCTCCTCTCTGCTGTCTTGTTGCGTTTTAGATTGACTACATCCCATTAATTGGCTCAAATTCTTAATTATCATTACTTGCAGGAACAATATCTAATGCGAGAAGTTTGGAAGAGCAATTTGCTGTTTTCTTCTAAATTACTTCCGCGAGTATTGCTTTATTATCTGCAATATTCCAAACAGTCGCCTAGCTATATTCTTTACTATTGTGTTTGCGTACAGCCCAAACAAATAAACATATAAAAATTATATTTATACTGCAACGCTTTAACCTATATTTAAAAGTATGCTATGGCATATGTATTTACGCTGTAACATATATATATATATATAATGTTTATATTTATCCAATAATGTGCTCTGGAATCTATACGTTCCATTCACTATGAAAAATACTGCAATACATATGCAGTAATTGATTGATAAATTGTGTAATGCTTAAGACTTGGCAAATATATTTAAAAATGAAAACATACGATTAACTCCTTCCTTCCTGATATCCAAATAAAAATAAGCGCTTAGCTTAATCTGCAAATTGCTGTCGAAAATGGAATCAATTTTATGTTGGAAACCACAAAAAGCAAAACGTTAACTTATATATAATGTACGAAAAAGCGTCGACAGGATTTACTTACTTTTAAACGAAGAAACGCCGTCTGGGAAACTGCAAATTTCCCACTAAACAAATATCGGTATTACAGGCGCCGCTCTGCATCGCCACTCTTAACGAATCACGTGACTTTCCGGTATTTCTCTTTAGGCCTAAACTGCTCTCTTAATGCGCTGTTGTGATCGAACCGATCAAGTATATTAAAAAACACAGTGAGGATTAGAAGGCCCGCCGCAGTTAGCTGCTATAACAACTCCGACGAAGGTTATGGAAATCGTTGCTGTTTTCGATTCGTCGTCACCCTTGAGCAAAAGCGTTGCTATAACTTTGCTAAAGAATAACTTTGTCGTTCGATGCCTAACGACAAACCGTGCTGAATGCCAAATTTTGGAGCATCATGGAGCTGAATTATACAGTCAAGATCAGATAGACGATTGCTTGAAGGGTGTTCAAGCAGCTTATGTCTCGACGACCTCAAATTTCGATTCGATAACAAGCGTTCAAGATGAAATCGATCAAGGTCGAACTATAGCTGAAGCTTGTCAACGAGCCAGAGTCGAACACTTGATTTATTCCACTCAATTGTCCGTTGCCCAGGTAACCGGAATGACCGTTAGACACATGGATGCTAAGTCGAGAGTGGAAGATCTACTTTTCAAAACTAGTATCCCATTAACTAAAGTCATAATACCTCCCTTGTATGAGTATATTCTAGAACCAAGTATGATCCCTACTAGATTATCTGATAACCAGTTCGGATTAGGTAAGGTTTCCGCATAGGAAATCCTGCTTTTCTAAACTATTAACAAGATATTCGCATGTTGAACAGAAATACCTATGAGTAATGTACCCTTAGACTTAATCTGTTTACAAGACGTGGGTTATGTCATTCTTGAAATGATTATACAGCGAAAAGCTTTAGTTAACAAAACCCTTAGTTTGTCTGCCACCAAACTGACAGTCCGTGATCTGGCATCGATCCTCACCCATAACCTAACAGACTACAAGTTCAAGGATAGTCAAGTAAGTTCTTTACGTTACTCGACAATCTCTTTTATTCTAATCTTAATGATCAATCAGTTTTCTTAATCTACAATTGCGTTTCTCCTCCATTTTTTTGCACAGGTTACTGTTGAGCAGTATCAGGAGAGAAGACGTTTCAAAGGAGTCATCGATTGGAGCTATCAATTCGATTTTTACGTTCGAGTAGATCAGAAAGCATCTATTGAGCTGACCAAACATTTCTATCCTCATATAAAATCCTTCGGCCAATGGGTAGAAGAGAACAAAGCCGCCATCTATAATACTCTGAATAAACCTATGACACCAGCAATGGATCCTTTTCATTAGAAAAAAGCATATTAAATATTAATGAAAGAAATGGAAGAGAATTGTGTCGATTGAAAATAAAATAGGAGTTTTATCTTTTATTCATAATTAAATAAAAAATATGATAAGAAAAATGCAAAATATTTCATATTAAAATTAAAATTAGTTAGAAAGACATCCTATCACGATTATGATCATTTCTCCCTTTAACGACTCGACCTTTTTCTGAATTATCAGTTTCTATGAAGCCCTAAAAATGATTGATTGGTAATCAATTAAAAAAAGGTCATTCGAATAAGTGGTAAAGCTTTTTTTTACCTTTACACCAGCACCAACACCATTTAAATCTAACAGGAAAGTGTCATGGCCATATAATGAATTTAGCTCGTAGTAAGAGACTCCTTGGTTTCCGGCGTCTGTTCAAGGCAGAAAAATATATATATATTTATATTAGTCTATAAATCTTGTAGATATGAATGGTTTTTATAATAAAATGATAGGGCTTATTGATTGCATTTCAATACGGAAATTGATTACGAAATGACCAACCTTGTAGACAATCTGCCAGCTCTTTTTGCTGCCAACATGGAAAAAGAATGTCAGTTTGAACACCAATAACCATAACTGGTATTTGAATTCTAGCCAACGCTTTTTTCATAGTTCCGAACGGTTCGGACAGATCAAACAAATCCATTGCTCTGGATATGTATAACAACGAATTTGGGTCTAATTTCGTTGAAAATAATTCCCCTTGATGATCCAAATAACTTTCAATTTGAAAGTACGGACACAGAGATGGTTTAGCGTTCTCGTCTATTTTTCTACGGTTAAACCTTTGATCCCACTCTGGTCCACTTCTATAGGTTAATGTTGCTATTTCTCTAGCTAATTTCGTTCCAAGCTTAGGATATTTGTCTGTGTTATAATAACGTCCCTGTTGCCAATTAGGGTCCGTAACAATGGCCTTCCGTTGCAAGTATCTATTAAGGAAACTGTTACACATTCTCATCATTCAAAATTAATAACAAGGAAACCTCATAGCGATCGATGAAGGATGAGATCTCATACACGAAGATATCGAAACCAATCTACCAACGCGTTCTGGATGGAAAGCGGCTGAGGCTAACGACAGCATGCCTCCCAACGAAGATCCAACAGCAGCGTGCAACTATGAACATTTTATTTATTTACATTTTTTTTTTCACCCTCGTAATACCTTTTCTATTCCCAAATGATCAAGTAGTAAAAACTGAGCGTTCACCATATCCTGAATGGTGATAATCGGAAAGGACGTTGCATAATGCTTTAGAAAAGGTTTCAGATTAATAAACAGATAATGTCAAGCAAATTATCCTACATCATTCGTTATAGGGTTGATTGATGACGGACCTCTGTACAAAAAAAATAAAAAAACAGGAATAGTGTCAAATTTTGTGTTATAAATATTGTCAAGTTTATCGAATAATTACGTCGATCCATAGCAAGATCCTATATTATTGGTACAAATAATAAAATATTTATCAGTATCCAACGCGCGTCCTGGACCAATGAACTTCTCCCACCAACCCGGCTCTTCGTTATCCTATTTGAGATATAAATGTATATTTTTATATATATTATTAATTATGAATTCTGTTTTCATTTGTTCCCTTTTCTTCTCTCTCTCTCTCTCTCTCTCTTTTTTTTTATAAATTAAAGAAATAATTTACCGGGTGACTTCTGGCATGCGAACTGGCACTTAAGCCACCTTGCAATAGGACAGCATTATTCTTCTGTTCATTCAATTCACCGTATGTCTCATAAGCTACTGTAACCTATGTTCAAGATTGATTAGGCATAAGTATGTATTTGACTTAGACATGGAAAAAAAAACAAGTATAATTGTTTACCTCTGGGAGAACTCCATCATTTTCACGAACATAAAAAGGTTTTGAGTACTTAAACGTCTTATAACCGGTTACGACACTTTGATAAGCAGGCTCTACATCGATATTTGTATTTCTAGATTAAAACGAATAAAGAAACATAAAGCATTAGAGTTAATCTAAAAGACTTCGAAGGACATATCATCGGAAATAAAAAGAAGGGAAAACATATTATATAGATCTATGTGCTCTCTGTAAATGCTAGTCTCAATAATGTCCATAATATGATCAATATTTGAGAGAACCAAGATAAATCAAGAAAAGAATAGAATTTAATGTATATAAGAAGTATACTTACAATTGTGCAATGCAGGGAAATTGAGTTTGATCGATATTTGAAAATAGTTTCGACTGAAAAGCTTGTGGGCTGGGTTCAGCTGTTTGTGAAATAGTCCTTTTTTTCATCCAATTGGACGAAATTTGAACAAGTAATTTACATCTTCTATTCATTCTGCAGTTTATTCTCGTCTCAGCCGATAAAAATGCCTGCTAAATGCTAAAGTTATATTTTACCATGCAGATCGACCCTATTGTTAACCTCTAAGATTACAGGCTGAACCTTGTGAATGATGATCACGTGCAAATAAACATATATTCCCTAATCAGTTAACTAGAGCAAATTATTGCTGAATTAACCATGACCATCGATATTTTTTTTACAGTGAACATTCAACTTTTACAATGCCAAGGGCCAAAGATTATAAAGCAAATTGATAATTTTTAAAATACTTTGAATTTTATTCTAAACTTAAATAGATTAGTTAGCCACTTTTTCTTTTTTAAGGCTTTTAAACAATTTGATTAGTGCTTTTGCTAGGATGATTACACAAAATGCATACAGTATCGCTCAACCATGGAAGGGAGTTAGCATTGAATTGTTTTCAACTTTTTACTTAGGCTTTAAGTTTTTCTTTTAAATATAAAAGAAACTTTTTTTTTAAATAGATCTCTTATATTTAATTTAAAAAAAGCTATACTTCTTTGCAAAATGCGTAATAAAGCGACCTAATTAAACTTTGTTAAATCATTTAATTTTCCTTCCTCTCTATATAGAAACTTCTTCCGTCAGCTATTTTTAAAAGGGAAAAAAATCGTATAAAGAGCGGTTATTTAACCTTTTAAATAGAGTTTACTGTTAACTAAGTTGAACAATAACAATTGATTTTTACTACGTGCCATTCAAAGGGCGATTGTATAAAAGATATCCTTGGGCTTTTTTGCATTAATAGACTTAAACGTGAACTTAAATAACACAAAAAATTTAAAAAAGATTTTTAAAAAAATACAATATCATCATTACTATTAAGAATTTGTGATATCTTTTTATTGGAATAATGTAATTGTACGTTTTTTCATCCTCTTCCAAATAAATGTTAAATAGTTGCTTAACAAACTGTTAGCGTGTTTTCCTCTTTTAAATTCCCTAAGTTATTCGAGTTCGATTTTTTTTTCTTTTTGTTAGCATTTGGCTAGTTTGTACCCATTTTAATGATACTTAAAAATTCCCATCACCACTTTTTCCATACTACTATGTACGATTGGCACTACTAATTTCCTAAAAGTAGTAATGCTCGTCGACACTCTGGGGCATCTAGCTATTTGTATAAAACGTTGCTTTTCATTTATAAGTCACTATTTACTGTATAAAAAAAAGAAACTAGTTAATTTTTTCCAGATAACAGTTTTGCGAGTTTTGTCTTTGCATAATAAATATCCCACGGTTTAGCACAAAAAACTAAATTCCCAACGATTAGATGTTGGTAGTCATATGATAAACTTTAAAAAATGTTCATATCGATTTAACGCATGCCCGCCTATTATCAAATCAACACTATCCAACCCATCTCATGCACCACTTATCCAATTCTCTTGATAAAATAGCTATGACATACTTGTTTTTTCCTTCACTTTTACACCACTTCCACAGTAAATATTCGATTGAGATAACAATATTGCTACGTCCTTGTTTCTCATTTTAAAATATTCTATTCTGCCTATTTAACCATATTGTAAATATATATAAATTCCTTTCTTCCTTCTTTCTATGATACTTTATCAGTCATACTTGTTCTATTAGCAAGAAAAAACTAAATATTTTAGTTTTGTACTATTGATCTTTCTTTCTTTCTTGCTTTCTTTTATAACGAAACTGTGATATATAAACTTTAGCAATATTTACTTTTAATAAGTATAATGAGCAATATTTTACAAATTAAACCATAAATAAATATATATCTTTCTATACGTGACATTAAAACTAGTTTACGCATTATCTTATTATAGGAATATTTCAAAATAAATAATAATAGATTAGATATCTATTCTATTAAAGTGATACTTATAAGCCATTTAGGCCTAATGTATTTTTCTTTCCTATTTCGGATAAGAATAAATATATATATATATAATGTATATACAGTATATAATTGATTAATTTTCTAAAAAAAGCGTAAGTTTAATAGTTTCACCCAGGGACAGAGGGAGGCAGGGGATATGTTTGAAAGAGTAATATTTAAGCCTATTCCTATATCTTTCATATATCTTATTACATTTCTAATTAATATATATTTATGAAAACTATTTATTAAATTTAAGTAGAAAATTGATAAAATATTATATAGTTTATAATCTTCGTATATTAATATTTTATTCATTTTTAAATTACATCCCTTTTTTTCTCACATAAGTTAAAGTTTTTGAATTCGTATGCTGATGTCGGCTCTCAATCGATAAATTGATAAAAAGGATATTAATTTGTCTATAATTATCCAGAAAACTTATTGCATTTGCTCTTTTCAAAATGATTAATTAGACGAAAATCTTAATTAAATCGTATAGCTTTGGATAGTATTTTTGTTCGATGCTATCCAATTCTAATATTATATGAATATGATAGTCTTCCTCTTTATTATTATTAATTAGAGTTTAGCGTATATCGTTAGTTAGAAATCTCTTTTTATTTTTATCTATAATCTAATATACACTTATTACTTAGCACATTTTTAATAGTTTGACAAGATAATGATTGTTTAAAGGCAGTAAATGGACTTTATTCCAAAATATAAAGCCAATTGGGTCAAATATATCTTATATAGAACTTTTTCAAATCGATAGAAAAAAATTTTCCGCTGGACAATTGATTTAATATCGAATTGAAACTGATTAAAAGTTTCAGGTGAGTAGATTAATCAGATTATGCATATATTCCTGAATAGGATTAGCGTGTAAACAAATTAACTTTTAAAAAGCAATTGTAATATTAGTCAATAGTATTTTTCAATAAATCACAACCTTTTAAAAGCTTATTATTATAATTAGAAACTAACTACATTTCGAATTCAATCCTTATAAGTCAAATGATTTAAAGTTCTCTCTCTGTTCATTCTAGCTATCTCTCCTCTCAACACCCTCCCTCGTTCAGTTGATCGCTCATACTCTGACATATGCACAAACAAACAAATACATATGCACACATACATAGAGACAAGCACAAACATTACAATCTAATAGAATACAATTAGTAAATATTGGAAAAAATTATAAAGAACAATAAATAGGGAACCACTTGGAAATCTAATAGAATATTTACAAACTAAAGGCCATTTTTTCCGCTTTCAAATCTTAAAACTACCGTATGATGAGCTTTTATTGAATTTTTGTACACACTGTTCATTTTACTCAAAACGGAAAATGTAATTTATTTTAGAAAGATATTAAATATTAACGAACAATAAATAAACCTTTGACCTACATAGAACGAATTCATTTCCTTTGTTCGAGACAAAAATAGAATATGCATAAAAAAGAAAAAATTTATTTATTGAAGAAATCGGATAAAGTGTCGGCCTATATTTACCGGAAGTTCGATTTTAGAATATTATATTGCGTAGAAATATATATTTAATTAAATAATTTTATATTTTAGAAGACTCGCCGATTTTTTTTAGAAATTTTGTATATTTTTACGAAGTGTTTGTTTTGGTCGCCATTTTTATGAGTTGGTGTACCTTCCGGTGGCACATCTGTTAGCGATGCAGATCGTTTTGTATATAGAAATTCATGCAATCAGGAATTGACAGTCCGAACAAAGGAACCATATTTACGCGCCTCCCGTTTGAAATGCTCACAGAGCAAAAAAAAAGTTACTTTATGGGCTTTTTTAACTAATTTACGATCGAGGGAAAATCGCCTTCGTTGGCAAACATATTTTTTTGTGTAATTTATATAACTAATCCCACATCGTAAAGAATTAAAAGATGACAACTAGCAAAAGCATGAGTAAGTTTCAAAAGTCCCGTTTTTTAATCTCTCCTTTAAACTAATTTTTCATGTTAATAGCTAAAAAAAACCGATCAATTGAGGATATTTTGGGAGATATCAAAGAAAATAGCTCTAGTAAACCTCTCAATCTTCAACAAAAGTGTACAGAGGCTTTAGGTTTCTATCTTAGAGCAATATTTTTGAATAAACTGATTGATTCTTTCTATTGATTATAGAACTTCTTTCAAGTGAGGAATCGATGAAACAAAAAGAAACATGGCAGATACGGTAAGCTGCTTGAAATGTTATAATAATTATTGCTATAATAACGATAACAATAACTATGATTTATTATTAGTAATAAACGTATTCAAATTTTTTCCAGGCATGTTATATTACAAACACTAAAACACGCTTTAGAAAGTAAAACCTCCCGACTAACCGCGCTTGCTGTAGCTGGTATTCAAAATTTCTTATACGATGATCGTTTCTATTCGGCATTGGAACCTGAAAATGAAGAAAATTTGATGCCTATGCAACTTCTTGGCATACTTAAATGTATACCAAATCTTCCTGAAGAACTACAAATGGAAATGATGAAGATTCTCTTGAATCTAACTTGTTCACCAAAATCAATAGTTACAGCACGAGTGGTTATACGAGTAGCTGAGGTAAATAAAACAATTTCATTTTACTGTTTAGATTTTGTCGTTAAGTTACGGGCTTGCAGTTAAGTTTAGAAACATATATTAGTACCGCGAAACTGAGCTTAAGAAGGGCTATTGAAAGTACGCTTATGCGTCTTCTTGGGTTTTTTTATCATCATCAACTTGTACGGTTTGCCGCTTCTGAATCAAAGGTAACACACAAAACAAATCCACAATTTCGGTGAAGGATATATGATTTAGTTTAATAAGCATTTGGGCCATTGAGCTAACCCCATAATGAAAGCGATGGGCTATAGAGGCTTATTATTTATTCCTTTTTATATTTTCTTTAATTGTAAGAGTGATTAAATCTATTGAAATAAAAAGGCGTGCTTGCTAAGAGTGCATTAATTAGCCTATTCGATTTCAATTTATATACAGGTATGCCTTGATTCGTATTCTGCTAATTCTGGTGGTTGTGTGCGTACAGCAGTGCGTGCTACTCTTACACAATTATTAACGGCCCTTACTGATAAATTAGATATTCCCTCGGTGAGTGATTCAGCTTTTTTCGTTCCTTTAATTTCTCCCCCTCCGTTAATTTATCATTTATAAAACATTACACTTCCCGCTCTTTTCCGTAACAACTGTAAAAGGGGAACAATCGGTTCAATCATAATACTTCATACAGATAAATGACACCGAACATTGCCATAATGATATGATAGAAAACAACGAAGGTCATTTAATGGATGACCTAGGATTAGGACGTATGAACTATTTTTTTGTTAATAACCAATTATCTATATATTAATGAGAATCTATAATTTTTTTAGCCAACTTCAAAGAAATGAATGCAATAACAAAGGAGAACGCTGACTCTTTAGCTAGGGACGTTATTAGTGTCTTGTGCTTTATCTCCGCGAAATTGCACGAATTATCGACTGAAGCTCATTTGATACATTTATTATTGGAAGCTTTATTGGCTGTTTTAGACAATCTGCCACCTATAGTAGGACATCGAAAGGATTTTGTCGATTTAACATGGAAAACGATTGTCCCAATTCTCGTATCATTCCTTAGCAATCCAACTACGGATAAATTAATTTCGAGAGACGGTCAGGGGGAGAGGGGTGGCGGTTACTCTTCAACAAACAGTACTACTATTTTATCCGAACATTCCGTAAAAACAGTGTATCAAATTGCCGTTCAATTAATAAGAATAGTAGGTGACATTCATTCACTAAGAGCGCCTCTGGCATCATTGCTACATAGTAAGATATTATCATTTTAAAAAACAATGTCTTCTCTGCTTTCTAAATGAAAATTCTTTATAGGAATCTACCTCTATTCTCCTCCCTCTTCAAGAGTCGAGGCTCTGAAATGCCTTAAAGATGTATTAACCTCTCCGTACCAACTCACTCGGTTAGCCAGTCCGACCGTTAGTATCCAAAGGGGAGATGACAAACAAAGACTCTACGCTGCTGATTTAATGATAATCAAAATGTAATTATGATACAATTTATACTTGTGTATTATATATACAATAAGTATATTACTAATATATACTAATATATATATATATATATAGAACACAAGTCCTTGATTAATAACCAATTAATATTTAATTTAATGATATTTTTGCATGTTTACTAATTAGAATCAGTCGATCTCTTCGGGAATGTTGCAGTTGTAAAGACAGCACAGTTGTTCTGAATTCTGTTTCACTTATGTGTGAATTAGTCAGCTCATTAAGTAAAATAACCAAAGGCAATTGTATCACTGATGAAATTATGATTAATTTACTGTCATCTGCCTCTGCAAAGCCGGTTGCAAGTGAATCCTCTGATAGTTTGCAGCCAAGTGAGAATTTGGATGTTCCGGGTAAAATAGTTTTACCTCATTATACATGTATATTATATAACATATGTAATATATAAAAAAAAAGCCTATATCAGCATTTGTTTTTCTAACGGGTTTGTATTTTGTTTCAGATTGGAAGTCAGACGATAGCAGCGATTCAGAAATGGATCAACGCCTAATGAAAGCTAGTCAATTATATGAGAGAAGAGATGTAGAAAGTATTTTTGCCTCTAGACAGGAAGTTGAAGAGCTGGAAAGAGATAACGCCAGGCATTTTATTGACAGTCTCATTCATTTAGTTCCAGAGCTGTTAGATGCCAGCTCTATATCAGAAGTAGATGAATTATTACTAAGTTTTTCTTCGAACTTTTGCAAAGAAATGGAAAACAGTTCAAAAAAGGACTCCTACGCCATCATACTTAACGCTGATGCTATTTATGTTACCACCATTTATGCTTTGCATTTAAATCTTATTCTCATGACTTCTTCGTTCTATTCGTCGGATGACGTCAATCCGTCCATAAAACAAGAAGAATTTTGTGACGAGATTCTTAACTGCGGTCTCCTCTTATTTGTATCACAGACCTGGTTAGAAGAAGTTTGGATGCAGATTATTAGTAGATCGATTTTTAAGTCATCTCAAATTAAATTAAATGAGGAGGATGAACCTATTCTAATTACGACCTTAACTGATATAGATGGCTTAAGAAGTAGCGAAATGGGTGGCCAATTACTTAGAAGTGCTAATACGGAGAGAATCAAATTATCTTCTGGTAGTGCCGTGAAGGCCGGCCAGATTGCCGCGAAAAACGTTTTATCCACCATTTGGAATGATATGATGGAAGTTTTGTCCACTTTAATCACATGTAAACATAGTATTGCAGGTTTCGGTGAAAGTTTAGCCCTGTTATTTAATGCCAAAGAAGAAAATAGAAAGGCTCGAGAAGCCATATGTACTAGTTTAGACGCCCTAAGAACTGCAGCTGGTTTGGCGTACGGTTTAGGCTTACAGAATTTATGTGGAAGCGTTCTAGCCCAGTTGGCTGACGCTTCCTGCAGGTTGGCAGATGGTGAAGCTCGTTTACACGCGGCTCACGCTCTAAGTTTAGATTCTGTTTTATCTATGGGATTGGAACTCGGTTCTCATTCACCAGATTGTTGGCAACATGTATTCCGATGCTGCGCACACGTGGCTCTGCTAGAGCACACGACTTTTTCAAAAGGTCAGCACCAATCCGTACTTCCACAAGTCACACAGAAAACGGGAATTGATGAGGAAGAACAGGAAGCTGTCGACGTTGTTATTCCTAGTGAGCCAGTTGCTCCCAGTATAGATGTCCTTCACTTAGTTAAGGAAAGCTCAACAGGCTGGCAGTTAGATGCTGGTGCTGTGGGTGGTGTCCTTAGCGTCGAACAATCAGCCAGAGCATTATGCGGTCTATCGCAACAAGTTGATAGACTTTTTGATGAGGCTGCTGCAAAATTGAACTTGCAATCTCTAACATCATTTATTTTTGAGCTATGCCGGTCAAGCAGAGAACAATTAACTCTAAGAAAAACTTCTCAATCTCCCGATGAGAAATTACCGGCAAACGTTATATTCGTTTATAGATTAGGCGATATATTAATGAATTTAATAGACTCTTGTCGACCAATGTTACACGTAATAAGGAGTTGGAGTTTGGTAGCGGCTCATCTTGTTGAGGCTGCCTGTGAGAAGGAAATGGACATTTCTAGAAGAGCTGTTGAATCGATACATGGAATTGTTTCTTGTATATTAAATTCCAGACCGGAAACTTATTATTTTCATTTTCATGAAGCGCTCTGTAAACCTTTTGAGAACTTACTGTCCTTGGAATTGTGCGATCCTGAAGTACAAGATCAGGTTATATGTTCTTTATGCTCTTTGGTTGAATCATCCGCTTCGGAATTAAAGTCTGGTTGGCGTAGTGTATTTAGTGCTCTAAAATCTATAAAATTACATTTAACGGCTGTAGAAGAGATCAACGAAAGTCGAATTAGTCATGTTACTGCAGTTTTAGACGTTTTCAATGCTTTTCTATCAACCGACAATCCGAGTGTTATCGCTCAAGCTTCGGTAGATTGTATTCTATGTCTACTTCACTATGCTAAAGGTGAATTAGAAGAAGATTCCAAAGATGATTCGGATGAGGACGATGACGCGATATTGTCGTTGTCTGCCATGGCTTTAAACTATTTAAAGGAGTGTTCTAACTTACTCTCAAAAATGAAAATTATGCCAGCCTGTCCAGTGTTTAGTGGGGCTTATAGGATACAATTCGGTTGTAAACCTCATCTTGTCGACGCCCATTTTGGATCCCAAGACCTTGAATACATAATAAATCTATATAAGAATAATCAAGATGTCCGTTTGCGACCGGAGTTTGTTGATGAATTTGTCTACAAACTTGGTCTAGAGGCCGCAACAACTATCGACGACTTGAATGATTCTAAAGGTGTGCTCAGAGTATGGCTATTAATATTAGATGGACTAGTTCATACAGCAGCTACTTGTCCAAAACAGCCGAATATCGTAGGAACTCTATTTGAATTGTTAAGAGAGACAATAAAACCAGAACACGCGGATTTCGGTATACATGTTATAAATCATGTTATTTTACCAGAAGTGCAAGCGTGGATTAGGAAAGGCGATGAAAATTCGCTAAACTTAGCTAATATTAGACAATGTACTGGACTTATAACAGATTTTATAGTGGAAACCATTGTTCAATTAGTAAATGAATCTGAATTAACAGTTAAAGTAGAACTAATGTTGAAACAACTATTGGATGTTCTTATGGAGTGCATTTCACAGCCCATTGAACAATTAGCTAGAGTTGGCACAGCTTGTATGAGACATACTTTATTAAGTGCTAGCGCTCTATTTACTGAAAGAATGTGGCATATAGCATGCTCGGCAATAGCAAGAGCTGGAATGATATCCCTTATACCACTTCGAGAAATCCTATCTCCCTTTCACGCTCATTCAGATAATTTTTATGGTGACGTTGGCTCAGTCAAAGTTGCCGTAAGACAAGAGGGTTCAGCCATCGACGCTGAAAGATTAAGGTCACTGGCAAATCAAGTATTTCTAATAGAAGTACAAAGAAACGCTTCAAAGCCCATCGATTATTCAGTAGATACGGATAGGTCATTTGTCTTCTTATTGGAACCACCTGATACAGATATTCTTAGGGTTCCATTCAGAAATGTCGTTATAGGATTGATAGCTCATCAACAGTTAGTCAAGCTTGTCGCTGCTATGACTCTAGAGGATTATTCTAGTTCCTATTACAATAATATCCTAAATATGTCTGCAAGGAATGTATTGTTATTGCTGGAGTTGTTGAAGCATTCTCAATCTATTTGTGAAGCATTTGATTCAAGACCCGGCCTAAAATTTCTTGTTCAGAAAGTAGCTAGAGCGAACGTTGCTTCCAATCTCTACGCCTTTGCAAGTAGCGCCATCCAACTCAGAATAAGAATTCTTATACATATTGTATCAAACCTAACTGATTTGTCTGTTAATTTAACAAAATCCTGCTTGTCCGAAGAGACTAAAGGTAATATAGATTAATTTTCTAGCAAATTAGGAACAAAATATTCTGTAATGTCTAACATCATTATCTAATTTTAGAGAAAGAAAACGATAGAGATATTTGGACTAGCTCTGGGAAAGTCTCCGAATACGGCAGCTTTTTCATTAGGTTATTGAAGGAGGCCCTGCAGGAATTATGCGTCGCCTATGTTGATTTATATCTTGATAAGTATACAGCTTCTATAGTCGACAAGTAAGTTGGTGTTAGGAACTAATAATTTAGCCCCAAAGATCATTAGGGAATAATACCTCCCTCTTAATTTCCCGTATGACTTTTTTTGGGTTTTTTTTGTTTAAAACATACAAATTTATTATCTCTTAACATTGTATAAACTCTTAAAATTGCTTTATTATTCCGTTTTTAGAATATCGACAAATCAGACGCTATATTTTCTGTTGGCGGATGAAGGGGAGGAAATAACTGAACTTAAACGAGATAAGAGCTTAAAAGATATTGTAGCCGAAAAAGTTAAAGAATTTTCATCTCCAACCACCACTGGGCCAGTTCCTCTGGTTGAGCAACAAACTTTATCTGACGATGAAGAGCTGAAATTAGCTCCTGTTGCACCACTTTCCAATCGAAAAAATAATGATAAAGTATACAGTGTTGCAACCGAAAGTACTATAAATGATTTAATGAGTCAATATAAAAAGCGTAAAAATCAGCACACACTGCCTTCTCCCTTCCAAAAGCAGACGAGATCCAAACCACAACCAGTAAGAAAGCCTCGTCCAAAGAGAGATGATAGTAGTAGGGAACGGGAAATTGACGACGAACAAAACGAATCTTTAGTTAAAGATAGTGAAGCAGCTTTAACATGTTGGGTCACAACAGTTTGTGAAACATTAAATCTATTATATGAATTACCAGATGAAAAGTTTAAGGCGCTTTTGCCTGTTGTTGTGTCTAGTGTTACTCAATTAATATGTCATTCGCGAGATGCCAAGTTACGAGAATCCCTGGCTAAATGGACGTATAGGGTTTCTCATATTTACGGATTTGCTGAAGATAAACAAAATTGAACTACTTATACCTTTTGATAGACTCTTCTTATTTCCAAAAGCTTCGAAAACATTCCTATTATAATCAATTAATACAATACTATGAGAATTTATTTCAATACAAAAACATACAAAAACCCATTTAAAATTAAATCTCTAGATTCATTCTTATTCCTCTACAATTCTATATATTATACATAATATATACTGAATAAAATTTCTATTTTCGCGGTGATAGCGATCTCATTGGTTGATAAGTGGACGGTTCATATCCTCCGCTATTCAACAAATCATCATCATAATCCTCATTACCTTCTAAAGTTTTTTTATATAGACGAAGTTGATCTGTTGAGTTTGTATCGGAAAATTGTAACTCTTGCTCTGTTGTACTTCTTAAAGAAGATCTTATTCCCCCAATAGTAGTTGTGTCAGCTGTACCGAATAGTTCTTGGCCTTCTAAAATATTGAGACGTCTTGGTGAAGATGTAGCTGATGATTCTTCTAAATTCATGGCGTCAGGCATTTCACTATCAGTAGGATCAGTTTTTGCAGTATCAGACAAATGCAAATTGCTGTTGGATTCAGGTGGTAATGGTGTTTGTTCGTCAGTTGAATGAAATTCAACAGTATTTAATAAAGGCTTTTGAGTTATGATACTGGCCACTTCAGGTATCTTTATTGAATCACGAGGTGGACGACTATCCTCTTGTTTCAACGTAAAAGTTTTTAAACCGAATTCCAATGAATTCGTTGTTTCATCATCAAATGATCTTCGCTGCTTTCCCTGATGTCGATTTCTAAGATTATCAGTTGGCATGATTCTACCAAGAGATGGCCGTCTAGGTTCAACTCTAACTTGTTTTGGTGTTGAAGTTACCATTCTTGGTGGCGATGCTAAAAATACATTAGCAAATAAACAATTAAAGATAATTTGAAATAATCAATATTTAAAAATTTTTACTGTTTTCTGGAATGTCATCATTTGTATTTTCTTTATCTTCCTCCATCTCTAAAGGTTTCTCAGGAGTTTCCGCTTCAAAATGATCTTCAGAGAGCTCTTCTACAGACTTTTTCTATGGGTAATATTTGTAAAATGAGTTTATGAATACAGTAATATACAGAGTTTAATTGTCACTCACCTCAGCTAGAATTTCGCCTAGACTTTGCTGTGTTTCCAGTTTCTTAATAAATGGTAGATTTTTAAAAGCAATTTGCTGCTTCATTAGATGCATTATAGCTTCACTTTGAATATCTATCTCTTTATGAAGAAATTCGCCTTCACTGCGACTTGCTTCTTCCTATTTTGAAAATTTTTTGTAAAGATTCTCTTTTTTAATTTAAATATGTTAAACTCACTGGTTCCATATCATTTAAGCTTTTATCAAGCTGAGGGAAGGAAGACATTCCTAAGGATGCTTCTACAACTTCACCTTCGCTCTTATCTAAAACCCATTGCCCTTCGCTCACCAATTCCCCTATTGTTTCAGTTATTTCTTCATTACTCTGATCCTCAGATTCTTCTTCATAATCCTTTTCATTTCTATCTCTCTCAGAAACAGTTTCTTCACTTTTGAGTGTAGTTTGTATCTGAACTGAAGCTTTTAATACTTCCTCGTAACTATCTGTCCCATTGGATTCCTCTATTAAGGCATCTTTTTCACTTGGCTGTAGGACCGGAGAGTCGGGGGCAATTTCTGATATTGACTCTGATAGAGATGGAGTTTCCATAAATTTTCTTGGTGAGATTGGTGGCGTTGATTTGGGTGTTATAACAGAACCAAAGTCAAATAATTCGTGATCTGGTTGTTTTTCCTCATTTTCGTCCATATCTAATAATATTCAAAATAAAGAAACGATACGAACGATTACAGAAAGTTACTTACGTTCTAATTTTTCCTTATTTAATTCTAATATATTATTTGCAAAACTATCCAATTGCGTATTCCTGACGACATTCTTAACAACAGTTACTGGAGCATTTTCTTCTAAATCCTGAATGCTAGCTTCATCAGAACTAGCGTTTGGAGTTATCTCAGGTGTTTTTGGTATGTCTATTGTTTGTTTAAAATTTGGTATCTGTGGTCTAGGGCTTGAAACTGGAGTAGTTACTTCCGAGCGAATACCTTCAAAATCGTCAGCGTAGCTTTCAGATTTTTCTTCTCCGATTTCTAAAGACTCGACTGGAGTTACCGGTATATTCTGGACCTGGAGGGATTCTGTTTCTCTGGTGTCATCAGGAACGTTGGCCGGTTGCTTACATTCCCCGAAGCAATTTCGTAATTGATCTCTAATGATATCACGGGTTAAATTACGGACTAGACTGTCATCTACTGGACAACCGGCATCCAGGAAAACACGAACACCAGGTTTTCCCAACGTTTTAACTGAAAAAGACTATGCTTATAACGTTATTTTTAGGGTTTTTCGATTAGAAACCTGTCTCTTCAGATGATTCTCCCTTTTTGTAATATTGATTGGCTAATCTTTGCTTTTCTTTTTCATTTTCTCTTCTCTTCGTTTGGATTTCACTAAGAATCCTAACCATAATTTCTTTTTCAATCCTAACAAATAAAATATAAAGTTTGCTAAGATTTCTTATGATTATATTTCAATGAATTCTTACCAGTTCTCCTTTTCCTTTTGCATTTCCTCTTTCCTTCTCATTTCCGCTATAATGGGGCTCTCGGTTGCCGATTTCTTTTCAATTTTTATAGCTGATTTCTTTGCAGATTTCTTTTCTTCTTGACTACATGTACAATTTTACAAGTTTTTAATAAATGCAAGACGGCTTGAACAATAAAAAACTCACCGTTTAAATCCGACAATATTTAAAGGCGCTTCTTCGACTTCTTCAGACACTTCTGATTCATCTTGCTCAGAGCTTTCCGTTAAAGTTTCAGAGTCTGAAGAATAATTAGCTTCAGATGAGCTAACTTCATCAATTGCACTCTCAACAGGTTTAGCAGCAATTGGCGAAAGACATTGATCAACTTGTTCTCTTTGCTGCTAGAAAAATGATACGTTTAAAAAGGGAAAATAGGAAATGATTAAGAAGCTATCTTACGTCTTTCGAAACTGTTTGATTGTTTTCCATATATAACTTAGTTGATAGCTGAAAGTCCATATCGAAATTGGGAATCTTTCGAGGTGGCGCTAAGGCTATGGCAGAAGATCCAGGAGTAAATTTATTAAATTTCATTTGAATATCAGCATCTAAAGGATTAATAAGGCATATTTAAATAAGGAATTGTTCATTAAGGACGAATACGCACCACCACTTCCATTGTTTCGTCCCTTATTCAGCTCTTGAATTAAAGTGTTCAATTTGTCAATCTTTGAGGCTTCTTTTTCCGGCTTCCCTAATTTTTTTTTTACATTTTGTTTATTTGCTTTAACTAAATTAATGTTCTTCTGAAGATGGTTTTTTCCAGTTATCTTTTTTCCATCACCCTGCAATCGATCAGCAACGTATTGGTCAACTTGAGGTTTTATTTTGGCTATATTCTTATCAACAAGTTTTGAAACTTGATTTCTTTCTGATAAATCGCCAATAATTGGTTTTTGACGAATAAATAATGTTTCAAAATTATGCTCTATTCTATTACGTCTGTCAGATATATTCTTAAGTTTATCTTTAATATCATCAAGTTTTTTACAAGGTTTATAAGAAGATACTTTTATATCCCCTTTCGATGGAATGTATTCACTCTGAACAAAGTAAGCATCTAATGGTGAAGTTTTCTTCAAAGTTACAGGATTTCTTTCTTGATGCTCATATGCAGTCTCTTTAATTGAATCATTCAAATTCTGAAGTTTATCAACAATACTAGAAGCTCTTGCAACGGTGCTTGACTTTTCTCTAGTTGGTTTCAAATCATGATACGTATCGTGTTTTTTGGCCAATTCTGCAATTTTAGAATTATTATTCTGATTTGACGCTGCTTTTAACATTTCTATTTCATCCAATTTGATAGGTTTAGGAGCTCTAGTTCTAGGAGATGGGGTTGATAGTAAGGACTCTTTGCTAACTTGAGCTGATCGAGACATTTTCTTTGGTGTGCTTGGTGGTTCTTTTGTTGGACAGTAAACAATGCTTGTTGGCGCAGAGTTTTCTTTTGCTAAACGCTGAAATTTCCTTTGAGACTTTATATGTTCAATTTGCAATTGTTCAACAAAATTGAGACGTTTTGATAACATTTCATCAAGTTGATTTTCCAAATGTTTTATCCTGTTGGTATTTTCTGGCGCATTTAAGCTTTGCAATTCATTTATTCGGGCTGTCATTTCCATCAACTTCACTTCAAGATTCCTCTGAGATTGTAAAATAGGTTCAGACGCGACAACAGTTGCACTAGCGGCAGCTGCTGCTGCTCTTGCCATTTCATTTATTAAATCAGTATCCTTTTTCTCTTGTTTTTCTTTAAAATTTTCATCATAGCAACGATAAGTTGGGACTGATCGTTGATGCATCTTGGCCTCATGAGTTGTTACACAGCATCTGCAGATGTTAAAGCAAGTTTAACAAATTAGAATTCACTAAAACCGTTAAACTTACCGTGATGCCAGTTCTTTGCGAACCTCGTTTGCTGATTTACCAAAAGTATTAATTTGAACATCTGAATTGTTGTGCTGATCTACTGCAGCTTGCCCTATCAAAACATTTCGATTCAAACCATCATTAGTAGCTGTTTTGAAACCGTCACTGTCAATTGTGTCATCTGTTCCTGCTGTTAAAAGTATTCAAATATCTTAGTAAAAGAAAATGACAGTATTATGCTTCATCTTACTCATATCATCAGCTTCTACCGATATTATTTCAACATCTTGTGTCTTGTCCGAAACTGGAATAATGCTGCTAATCACAGGTGAATAAATTGCAGATGGTCTTACTGCCAGTTGCTCCATCTTAAACTGCTTATGAATGTTCAAGTTTTTTAGATTAAAATTGATAGAAAAATATAGAGGAAGATTATGGATATAAAAGAAAGATATTCGTTGCTTATAATAAAAGACAATGAATTCTGTTGGATGAAATCATTATTTTAAAGTATTTATATTGTTTAACTCATGAAATAATATTCACATTCGGTTTATAGTGTACAATAAATTACTTTTAATTTTATCAATGCTAATTTTTCGGATATTTCTATAAACGGAAATATTTGTGTTTTGTTGATCCACCGTTCTCACCTTTAATTAAACGATCACTTATCCAGGTAAATAAAATACTCTTATTTAACTGACACCATGATAATTTTCTTGATGTCTTTTAATAAATTAAAAGAGCCAAATAAATCTCTTCTAAAACAACCGAATACCTTCAAATTTGGCACGCTGAGGCCTGTGTTTCGGTTATGACTAAACTCTGTGCATCAATTTCCCTAAACACACACATGAAAAAATTTTTATATCAAATTTTCGTCTTAAATTATGATATAATTAAAAAAATGGTATTAATCTTATGTTAATGGACTGACAAACGAAATGCATGAAATCAAAATGACAAAAATAAGCGACCTTTAACTAATTTCGTGTAAGCTACATTCTGAAATAATTGACAGATTTATTTGTAAAAATAAATTTTTTCTAAAGTACACAATTGATATAAACCCTATAATTATCAAATTATATATTAATATTTTGAGCAGATATTCTATATCCAGAAAACAGCTCGCGATTTAGACTGTCCTAACAAGATGGCGGTTCTGGCGGCAGACTAGAAAGTTGAATTGTTTAGTTTACTTTTCTTTTCTAAGTGTAACTATTTATCATGAATGGTGTATTGAAAAATATATTTATATGTCTTATTACATAAAATTCTATTCAGAATGTATCTAACAATTGTTTATTGCTTGTTGAACATATGAAAAGCTACTATGTTTATAAAAAATTATTTTATTAATTACTGTAAAAATAGTTTTAATTCATAATAAAATAATTATATTACTTAATTAATTCTATCAAATAGTTTTTATTAATGAAGCTTTTCTGCAGTCTAGCTTGGATAGCTGTTGATATCAACGTACATAGAGTTCGCGTCATATTAATTATTATTGTTCGTCTTGGATAAAAGTCTTAATTACAAATATTATTAATGAGAATTTTTCATGATTGATATATATTAACAAGTTTGACATTTGATAAAAATAAGTTTGAGACTCTATAATTCAATACTAAAAATTAAAAAAATTGATTATTATTTTCAAATTTAATAATAAATATCCTATTTTTTATTTCTGGAAAGCATCTCTGAAAGAGGTTCGTGATACAGATAATATTAAGATTTACCCTAAATGTAAAACATTTTCGAATTTTACAAATAGAGCTATTTGTAGATGTTTTAAATAATAAAATGGGAATAATAATTTTTGAATAAGATAACTTACTTTTTGAATATGTACGAAAAAAGTATAATTGCCTAATTGATGGGTTACCTCGGCCATTTCTACATGAGGTCTCGTGTTGTCCGTATCAGGGAGAAGAAACATAGTATTTCATATAGCTATGGCAAATGAACAGAGCTGCCAAACTAAAACTGACGAGCAAAAGGGTAATTACAATAACATATATTCACTTTAACTCGTTTTAGCTAAAAGAAAAGTTTGCATTGCGTAATGACGTAAGCTAACCATGCCGCATTGCATTATTACTAAATGTCTTTTCTTTTAGATTTCGTCCTGAAAAACTCTGAACTGTTTGACGACGGTGCTCAAGAACCACCGGATTTAGTGGAACAAGAATGTGGTGGTCGCAGACTTGTTAAAAAATTAAAAGAAACGGTCACCGACAATGGGTATGAATTGGAATTTGAAGAGGCTGAAACTGCATCAAACGATGACGAGTATAAATACTACACACAAGAAGACTATTTGAAAGGCACTATGAAAAGTGCTCCGGAATCATTTTTTGATGATATTCGCAAGACAATGTTTCCGATTGACCCACCTGGAGATCGTGAAATATGGAAAATAGTTGATAAAGAAGGCTATGGTCAACAAATGCCTAAGAAATGTAAGCTAGAATTTCATTGCAGTTTCTACGCCGAAGGGAGTGATGAACCGTTCGACTCGTCACAGATGCGAGGCGAGCCATGGAAAATCTCCATGCTTGATATTAATTTTGTAGGGCTTCAGTATGCTCTATTTTCAATGAAAATTGGCGAACAATCTCGGTTTTTGATATATCCGAAATATGCTTTTGGTAAACGTGGGGTTCCCCCAAGAATTCCCCCGAACTGTACTGTGCTTGCTGAAGTTGAACTGCTGAATTGGGTAGACATAACTGGTCGAAGTGACTTTTTTTCCTTAACTTATGAAGATCGACGAGACGCAAGTTTCGAGGTTCGCAAGAGTGCTGTTGACAATTTAAATGATGACGCAAAGATAAAATACAAACAAAATTACTTTATGGCCGCGTCGAAAATCTACCGTAGAGTTCAAAATATTCTCGAAGAAGCCAGACTCGCTAATGATGAAGAGGAGCGCGAACAAAGGCGATTATTGATAAAAGCATACGTTAATCGAGCTGTATGTAATATTCATTTGAAGAATCCGAAATATGTAATAACAGATACAAAGAACGCACTGTTATTAGATCCTAAATGTGGCAAAGCTCTATACCTTTTAGGGAAGGCTCATCGACTACTTGAAAATTTTGATAAGGCCAGCAAATGTCTACTACGTGCTCAAAAGTTGGTGTCAAGGCAAGAAGAAGTCTCGAAGGAACTAGAAGTTCTAGATAAACTGCAAAAGAAATGGCTAGAAAAAGAGAAAATATTATACCAGAACATGTTTAGCAACCATAAACGTATTACCATCAAAACAGAAAAAAAAAATACAGACAAGAATGATAGAAAAAACGAAAGACAAAAAGCACATGTAAACGAGAACTTAAACAGTGGACATGATAATAATAACTTAAAAACTCAATCTAAAAATAATAGCTTGAAAACTCAATCTGTCGAGTGTAGGTCGAAAAATGAATCTAAAGACAATAAATATTGCTCAAGTAAGGATCCTGAAAATAAAACATGTAAAAATCCAAAATGTCAAGAGTCAAATTCTAAATTTAAAGACTGTAATTCAAATAATCAGTATTGTGGGCCAGATAATGGAGATGAAAAAGATACTGAGAGTAAAAACGTTGAACCTTATAGGAACGTTCCTCTCAGTGAAATGGAATGGATAGAGGATTTCATTCAGGGCATAAATTCTCGAAAAGTTTTAGATATTGTTGGTTTTACAGCTTTTGAGGTAGAAAGTCTTATAACAGCAATTGAGAGGAAAGGTTTAAACGTAGAATGTAAGAATATGGCTCTAATTGTTTCCGTCAAAGAGGACCCTACTGAAATCATTGATAAGGAAACTAGTGAGGAAATTGAGGAGGACTTTAGCGTAAAGGAAGTTGAATAAGTTTCAAAATTTCATATTTCAATCAATAAACTACACTTAAAACAATTACCTATGCCAATATGTAACAAATTGAAAGCACTTTTATGTGAGAGTTTCCAAACAACCAAACTTAGATGTCTTATAAGTATGTAGTCTATTATTAAGTATTCTCCTCATCGTCTGTTGAAGATTCCAAGCTATCCATATTGCTCGAACTATATTCACTGCTGAAACTTTTGTAACGGGTTCGATTGTAGCATACAACTAAATAGAACGTGCTAGTAAATGCAAAAGCCGAAACAATTATTGCAAGAAAATAATATTCATGATAAACAACATTCTCTTTCTTTTCTTCCATTAATTTTCGATCAAAATCCCAATCATTGTCTAAATCATCATCTGGATCCGCTTGAAGTAGATCATCACCAACAATATACACGCCTCTCCTAGTAGACAATCGCGAATACAATTTGCGAACAGGTAATTCTTTAACTACGTCATCTACATCTCGTTTTCGTTTCTTACTTTTAGTCTCTTCATTCTCGTATTGTAGTTTATTCAGAGCCCTCCATCTTTTAAATTTAAATTTCTTTTCAACAATAAAATTTCCATGAGGAATGAAACAATGAAAAAAGAAACATATTGAAAAAAAGTATAGTGTTTTAGCCATTCTAAAATAGTGTAACGATAATAAAGATTTTTAAACCAGTATTATTTAAATTAGATTATCGGATTAACTAAAAAAAATAATAAAATATCAATGAACTAATATAAAAAAAGCTTAATCCTTTTAAAACTCCTAGTACGATATTTTTAAAGATTATATAACGTATATGCCTATGAAAATAGGAAACATCATTTTTTTAAACAGAGAATGATAAAAGTATCATATTATTCATTGTTTTAATTAGTTTCCTGCGTTATAATTAAAGTATTTCTATATATTTTACTTGTAATAAAGTAAAAAAAATTCCATTTAAAAGAGAATAAAAAACCTTTTCTTGTCTCTTATAAAAAATCATAAATATTATAGATTGATGAAGATATTTAATGTGTTTTTTTTTGAATATGGCAAATTAACATTTATAATTCATCTTAATTGTCATGAATAAAGTCAATATTCTTTCATTTTATCAGTATTATAATTATCTTGAAAAATAAACGAACAATACGATACTAACATTACTTGGGTTTGGAGAATGTTAACATTTCTAATCTCATTTCTACTATACACGTTTATTAAAATTCTATTCTATGCTATGTAGATTTATAAATTGTAAATTCTAATTAATTTCAGTTTATACGCTATCTAAAAGAATCTTATATGAGACAATGTTGGTCCGTATTCGTCATATTCTTCTTTACTCATACAAATTGCTTTAAATGTTGATAATGACGACAATAATGATCCTCCTACCCATGCTGAATATAAACCTTTTCCTGGTGTTCTTACTTCAATATCATACTCTCCTTTCGTTAATAATTGAAGTTCTTTTCGTAATCGATGTCCAAATCCCGGAAACAGCGTTGAACCACCGTTAAAAGATATATTTCTATAAAGTTCTTTTCTAATATCACGATCACATCTTGCGATAGAAAAGTTTATTAGTTCATGGACGCCCATACTTTCAACATGAAGTATACTAGGCTGAAAAACACCTTCGGCTGCTTTAAATCTTTCATCTCCAATAGTAATTTTTGAGCCATCTGGTAATTCGTAATCGATTTCAAACAAAGATTCACATTTATTCAACTCCTCCTCCAGATTAATAGCAATATAGCAAAATTTCTCTTTCATTTTCTTAATAGTATGATAAATTGAACGGTTTTCATTAATATTAATACCTTTCGGTGAAAGCATTAGGCCGAAGCAATAAGTAATATCATCACCGCCGAATAATAATTTCATTGTGCCATTGGGTAATGCATAGCCTTCGTAAATCGGTATAGAATAAGTTGCCCATGCTCCCGAATCCAATACCAATCCAGTTGTTCTTCCAGATGAAAGGAGAGATAAAACAGCTTGTATTTTAAGGCATAAAGCAGGAACATCATATTTTTCGAACATCATCTAGAAATAGCGATTTTTTTTTGCTTTTATAAAACATCTGCTTGAACAGAAAAAGAAAGAAATAACAAACTTGGACTGCTCTTTCTCTTGTACAGCGTGGACAATTCGGCATTTCTGTCAATAACATGGGATAATCGGACGGATCTACTTGTAAGGACTTTTCAAATGTATATTCCCACAAACATTCTATATCATTCCATTCCGATCCGAAGCCATATTTTATTGGATATTTTAATGTAAGCATATCTCTTTTGGATTGAGCATCATCTCCTACAAAATATTCTTTTGCATCTTTTACATTTTTCGGTCTTCCAACGATTGATTGAAAAACGTCTCTAGGATTTTCTTCTCCAGAAAATCCGACTTTGCACAAATCAGATCCAAAGTCACAAACAATAGATTGTTCGACTTCTACCATCTTTTAACAATTTGGTAGCCTTGACGTATATAATATTATATATATTATATTCAATGTTTTCTTTGTACTAAAAAGATATAAACGAATTTTTCTTTGGTAAGAATTTATCATATTAAATTATATTAGTCATCATTTTTTAAGTTATAAGTAAAAATCATTTGACTCGTATGACCATATAAGTATAAATGTGACTAGAGATTAAGACTGGTCACAAATTACCTAATCATTACGTATACAACACATGTAAGACGATTAATCATTCAAATCGCTAAGAAGCCATACTATAAAATATACAAATGAAAGAATTACCAGGTAAATGATTCATTGAAATTTCCAAAAACATCAAGAAATTGAATAGCATATTATTATTATTATTGTTATTTAGAAATATTAGATTTAGGCCAAGATGACTAAGTTCTTTTTCTCCGAATGTATTTTCGTTCTCTTTTCATCCTGGAAAATAATATGGACTTGTTTATATATTGTACAATTTATTGATGAACAATCATGTGACTTTTGCATAGAAATTTTCCGTTCTTATATTAGCTGGCCTATTCTGCTAATTGGTCTATAATACTTTTTTTGTATGTTTTGTTCGCAATTAAGTAGTATTATCAATATTAATTTTCAAATATGTCTTGGCTAATTATCTATTATTCCCTATCTAGTAATAAGGAATTGAATTTCAAAGTTAATTGATCCTATAGAAAGTAGGACATGGGGGTTACCTACTTGTTACACTCAATACTTTTCTCTTAACTGGTGACAACATGCTTACGAGTGTCTTTATTCTATGAATAATATGTTTTATATATTAGAGGAATAGCTCGTATTTTATAGTAGATAAATAACTGATCAATAAACTTTTTCTACTTTACGAATAACATTTACACTTCTCTACTAAAAATCTTTTATGCTAAGAGTATACTTCCTAAGACCTTATATGAAATTCTATTAATTATAAACAACAATTTATTATAATAAAATGATATTAGGCAAAGATATGGATATAGATATCAAAGCCGTTTCAAAATAACAGAAATCTAAAATATTTGTATTTTCGTTCAGATTATTTTCATAAATTTCTTCGAATTAATAACAAATTAGTAATTTTATTTGAGGAAAATCTAAGCAGTTTACCTCTCACAAGGCGAAAAATAGTTAATGCGAAGATATTTTTTTTGAAATTCTAAAATGGCGGACAAGCGCTTTTGATTTGAAGAATAACTTTGAAAAATGTCCTATCATCAATTGCTATTTGACGAAGAGTTTTAATAAATTGAAATATGTGATTTGTGCATATAACTGATGAAAGCTTTCAAGTTACTATTTTAAAAAAAGACGTTATTAAGCAATATACTAACGACTTACAAGTTGAGACTCGTTACCCTGAGCAACTGTCTGAAAAAAAATGCCTCCATCAACTGCCGAATGTTCGTTAGATATTCGGGGCACGGAGTATTCGGTAGGAAGCTCGATTGATGATGACTGTTTACATCTCGTAGTTGAAGATGTGGTAACTAATGATGTTTGGAAAGCGTCTTTTAACACTAATATAATCGAGGAAATAACTCGACGTACCGGCAATTTTAAGCAATTTTCAGTTTTTTGTAGTATGTTAACATCAGCTATTGAGGGTAGTAGCGATTCTGTTGATATAGATATAATGACGTATGAAGACCTAGAACATTTAAGAAAGCGTTCCAAAGGTAAAAATGGACCTGGACCAAAACAGTCTCAAAACAAGCGTTACCTTATTTTAATATATACCGCAGAATTTGATAGAATTCACTATCCTCTGCAATTGCAGCACGAGGGAAAATCAGAAAATAAAAACGTACATAAAACAATATCAAAATTGAGAGAAGATATCATAACTTTACAAAAGAGATGCAAAATTTTGCAAACTAGAAATTCTCAGCTGGAGGATGAAATTTCCCAACAAGTGGAATCAAATCCTAGTCAGCAGACTGCACTTATGAAAACAGCTTTAAGGAACCTGGAAGAACAAAGTTCGCAAGCCAAAGCAAAGTATCAGAGAGCTGCTCAACGTCGAAAGACGGAAATAGGTCGATTACGAACTGAAAACGAAGAGCTAAAAGCAAGCGAAAGAAATTTAAAAGCCAAAGTCAAAAGTTTAACAAATGAATTGGCCATTTATAAAAGAAGAATAGGAGGCCCTGGATCAGGACGATCATCTTACAGATCAAATAATCTATCTGGAACATCATCGCTATTATCGGACCATTCCAGAAATCGTAGTAGAAGTTTGTCAAATAGTAGGAATCATTCACTCACGTCGGATGCATCTAAGAATTCGCGTGTAAGAAATGTTAGAAGTAGGACACCATCACCAGGTCTGCCAAAACCAAGATTTGACCCAACTGCTTACATTAAAGAAAAAGAAAGAAAAAAACGTGAATTGGACATTAGAAGAAAACGAAGAAATCATATAAGTTCCAGATCACCATCAATATCACCTAGATCTGTTACTTCGAACGATTCGAGACATAGTTAGTTTTATAACAGTTTTCAACTTATTAACTTATTAAACTTTTTTTGTTTTAGGCCGTTCACGATATGGTAATCTTTCTGATTCATCGAGAAATTCAAAATTATCTAGAACACGATACTCTTCTTTTGATTCACTTGATAGTGACACAGATCTAGATAAAAGAAGGACAATTCGGAAAACTAGTTTGGATAGAAGGTCTAACTCTTCCAAAAATATCAAGGCAAAACCAAATTTAGATAGTTCACAAGATTCTATTGATATCCCAAGATCGCGCTTTGATAGATTTCGCCAAAAAGGAGCTGCTGATAACTTTTTTGACGAACGATCAGCCGAAATTAGTGAAATAGATGCGCGTTTAAATCGCCTGCAGGAATTTATGAAGGATCATCTAGAGTTAACTTAAATTGTGTAACAAATGTTTTTAACTATTTTTTTTACAAGTATCATGTGAAATTGAATAAAATAACGTTTATTATTCATGTTATTGTGATCTCAAAAAGGTATGCTAACTTTAGTGGTGGAATTACCAAATGACTCACTTCATCTGTGACGTCATCGGTAAGGCGCATGCGCACATGTCATATTATCACCATTTTTGCTTATGGCGAACAATCAACGGTATTAGGTGTTTCAGAAACCAGGAAACGTTATAATCATGACCGAAAATCAGGGAATGCAACATCTAATCCCAGTTGTCAACAAACTGCAAGATGCCTTTGCTTCATTAGGTGTTCCGTTATCTCTTGATTTACCACAAATAGCTGTCGTTGGCAGTCAAAGCGCTGGAAAGAGTTCAGTTTTGGAAAATTTTGTGGGCAAGTAAGTAAATAACGCTGTCTAGTGACATTTGAAAAAATATCAACTCTCATTGTCTCATTTTATGGAGATGAACGATAATTTAAATGATATCGAATTTTCGGTGTAATGTCAGGCCACTCCATAATGATATTGATTCGTTCTCAAAGCGTATTATTCGCGGAATAGATAAGAACTAACTTGGTGGGGTGATTCTTGTTTTTACCAGGTCAACTATTTGTTGACAATTTCCTCGATTACTGGAAGAGAACACCCAGTAATTAAGTTTTAGGGGGCGGTTTTTTTCTTTCGCGCCAAGTTCTGATCTATATAATTTTCATTTCATTTTCAACAGGGACTTTTTGCCTCGTGGTAGTGGAATCGTAACTCGGAGACCTTTAATCCTGCAGCTCATCAATAGTAATACTGGTAAGTTGAATGTTTATAATAAATAGTCATATGCTATGTTTTTGAAGACATGTTTATAAATTTTATTAGTACAATTATGTAATTAGGTCTATTATATACTAACAACAGCACTTGTTATTCATATAGTTTCATTTTCTTATTAATTTGTACCAGGTAGTTAATTTACCAATTTGGTAGCTAAGAACGTAACTAGTAGCGCTCAGGGTTGCTTTATCGATTATTACTAGCATTGAGAAGTACATATAAGGGCTTCAATCTATAACATATATGTTTCAACTTCTCGGATTTGCTATTGGTAAAATGATATTTCTCTTTTTTCCTTACAGAATATGCTGAATTTTTACACTGTAAAGGACGCATTTTCTCGGACTTTGATCAGGTTCGAGCTGAAATCGAAGCTGAAACAGATCGCATTACAGGAACAAATAAGGGGATTTCAAATGTTCCAATTAACCTTCGTGTATATTCACCACACGTTCTTAATCTTACACTCATCGATCTTCCGGGTCTTACGAAAGTACCTGTAGGTGATCAACCTCACGACATTGAACAGCAAATTAGGAATATGCTTTTGGAATTTATTAATCGGGAAAGTTGCTTAATTTTGGCTGTTTCTCCAGCGAATACTGATCTTGCAAATTCAGATGCGCTGAAAATTGCCAAAGAAGTAGACCCTCAAGGTGTTCGGACAATCGGAGTTGTGACAAAATTGGATTTGATGGATGAAGGAACTGACGCAAGAGATATTCTGGAAAACAAAACACTACCGTTACGAAGGGGTTATATTGGAGTTGTCAATAGATCTCAAAAGGATATTGACGGACGTAAAGACATAAAGGCAGCTCTATCTTCTGAGCGAAAATTCTTCTTGTCTCATCCAGCTTATAGACATATTGCTGATAAATTAGGAACACCTTATTTACAGAAAACTCTCAATCAACAATTGACTAACCATATTCGGGACACACTACCTGGTCTTCGAAGCAAGTTACAAGCTCAATTTCTATCGATGGAAAGAGACGTGGAAGAATACAAGAACTTTAGTCCCAATGATCCGACTATAAAAACTAAGGCCATGATGCAAATGACTACAGAATTTGGTGGTGATTTCGAGAAGTCAATTGAAGGAACAGGATCCGAAATTTCAACGAATGAACTTTCCGGTGGAGCAAAGATCAATCGGATATTTCATGAGAGATTTCCTTTTGAACTGGTAAAAATGGAGTGTGACGAGAAAGAATTGCGCCGTGAAATTACTTATGCTATTAAAAACATCCATGGTATACGTACGGGTTTATTTACACCAGATATGGCATTCGAAACCATCGTTAAGAGACAAATCGAAAAACTAAAGGAGCCATCCTTAAAATGCGTTGACATGGTAGTTTCTGAGCTAAGTAACGTCATTCAGAGGTGTACTGACAAAATGAATCGTTATCCTGTACTCCGCGAAGAGACAGAAAGAATAGTAACCATGAAGGTCCGAGAATGCGAGATGAATACCAAGAATCAGTTAATCCTTATGGTCAACATTCAATTATCTTATATGAATACCAATCATGAAGATTTTATTGGATTTGCCAAGTAAACTATTTTATAATATATTTGTTTTTGATCTAACTAACTGAATATACTTTACAACAGCGCTCAACAAAAGTCGGAAACGTCTTCAAAACGTAAACTTGGAAATCAAGTCATCCGAAAAGGTTGGCTCTCTCTCCATAATGTTTCCTTCATAAAGGGAGGCTCGAAAGAATTTTGGTTTGTTCTTTCTGCCGAAACTTTGGCATGGTATAAGGATGAAGAAGAGAAAGAGAAGAAATATATGTTACCATTAGACAACTTAAAAGTATATAAACTTTCGCTAGAAATTAGATTTGTAGCTTTTTTTTATTATTAATCTTTTATAATTTCAGGTCAGAGACATTGAATCGGGCTTTATGTCTCGTTCTCATAAATTTGCTTTGTTTTCCACCGACACCCGTAACGTCTATAAAGACTATAAGCAGTTAGAATTAGGAGCAGAGTCCCAGGATGACGTTGATAGCTGGAAAGCGTCTTTCCTAAGAGCTGGAGTATATCCTGAACGGAATACGGATGTAGAGAGAGAATCTGTAAGTTAAGATTTTGTTTTACGCATCCTTCTGGAGTTCATAATCTTGCTATTAATACTTTATTTTACAATTTCTTTATTTTTTACAGAGTAATTATGTACGTTTTATTTGAATATTTACATCTGTTTTAAGTAGTATCTAACTCTGCACAGAGATTTATACATATATAGATATGTATATATATATATATATATATATAAAACATATATAATTAGTTATTAAAAAAAAAATTAGAGGCAGCCTATATATTATTTTTTTAAACAATTAATAACGATATTCTTTGTTTAATTAATTCAAAAAAAAAAGATTATTTATTTTTTACTCACAATCTTTTTTCTTCCACATGAAATCTATCAATATAAAAAAAATTTACCGTTTTAAAGCTAGTAAGTTTCGTACTGATGGCTATATCACAATTATTATTTTATTCTTTTTTTTTTGCTGAGTGATTTTCTCATTGTCAGAGTGAATTAAAAACAAAAACAATATCAACATTTTATAAAATATAAATCTTTCGAAAAATTTCTTTTTTTTTTTTTTTCCCCCAAATAATCCAAAAAAAAGATTAATTTAATGGAATGTTCTTTAGTTTTTATTTATTTATTTATTTACCTATTACTAAATTTTGTCAGTGTAGCTCACAATAAACATTATCATTTACCCTGCTCTCTCTGTCAAGAAAAAAAAAAAGAAAAAGAAAGAAATATTTTTATATTTAATGATAATAATAATAATAATATCAATGGCAACAACAAAACAGAATAGCTTCCGCTATTTCAGCTTTCATATATTTTAATGTATAATTATTAAAAACAAAAAAAAAACAATACTTAAAAAAAAAACAATGATTAATTAATTGTTCCAAGCAGGCAATTAAAGTCAGCTTATGTGGCTTACATGTTTTGGAAACTAAAAAGTAGTTAAAATATTCAATTTTGACTATTAAAAAAATATCTATTATTTCTATTTTCATTTATTTTTATTTTGTTAAACAATTTTTTTTTTAAATAATAAATTAACAGCGAGGTGAAGAATTAGGATCAACCGATCCTCAACTAGAAAGACAAGTTGAAACTATTAGAAATCTTGTGGACAGTTATTTAAAAATTATTCATAAAACTGTTCGAGATTTGGTCCCAAAGACTGTGATGTACATGATAATAATGGCAGTAAGTGTAATAATTTTTATTTCCTCGTCGACAGGGTTCGCGTGACTCAGAAATGGGTTCCATCGACCCACAATTAGAAAGACAGGTGGAAACAATCAGGAATCTCGTCGACTCTTACATGCAAATAGTGAATAAGACCCAACGGGATCTTGTTCCCAAAGCCGTTATGCATATGATAATTAATGAAGTGAGACTTTCGATCTAAGACATTTAGTTCACTTTTTTTACGTTAGAAAAATTTTTATTAAGCTTATCTGGCTCTTGGTTTAAATGTCGTATTCTTTTACTATATTTTACTCCTAGCTTTCCTTACGCATGAAATATATTTACACTAGCAATGTAAACTTTTGGGATTTGCACTACTTTTTACTATGGTTGGGATTTCCAGGAAAAAAATATAATTTAGGCTTAGTCTAACTTTTTGTTAGTTTCAACCTGTAGTGGTTATGCTCCCTGTCGACTTGTTAACTTTGTTAATGTTTCATCACTGTATTTTTTTTCCAAAGACAAAAAGCAATTTTATACTTTTCTTTTACAGTTAAAGGCATTTATTTCAAAGGAACTATTAGCCCACCTTTATTCATCAGGAGATCAGGTAAAAATGAGATAAGCAACTTGAATGTTTTTTAACATATTAGCAATCTACGTCTTAGAATAATCTGATGGAGGAAAGTCCAGAAGAAGCTCAAAAACGAGAGGATACTCTTCGAATGTATCAGGCAACTAAGGTGATTTATCTGAAAACTTTTATAAAAAATATATTCAGACTAACTAATAATTAATTACACTCGTAATAGGAAGCGTTAAAAATCATTTCGGAAGTCTCGACACAAACAGTATCGACTCCATTGCCACCACCGGTAAATGACGAATGGCTGGCAAATAGCGGATCAAATTCTTCGTAAGTACAGAATAGACAAAAAAAAGAAAGAGTTAGATAAGATTTTCTATGCATCGAAAACTAGTAAATCGTAGACTTGATATTGTAGTTCTTTAAACGTTCTTTTTTTATGGTTTTTTTTGTCTCTGTTTACTACTTTATTTCGTATATCGATGAATTATTTTGCACGAGCACGTATATTGCATGCAGACCTCATTATCACCATAACCATGAAATTTCGAACGGTCCTGGATCGTGGTCACATATGCATAGTAAGCCTGCAGTTCCAGCAAATAAACCTCCACACGGGTAAGTTCGTTGTGACTTTGAAACACTAGATGATTGATAGGTAGAATTCTGCTTGTCTGAACTCCGTTGATTTTAGTGACTAAAACTTGGAATGACGAATGATATTTTCTAACAATTTTTTCGTCTTTTTTTTTTTATTGCAACCGATTTTACAGGCAAGCTAAGTATGTATTTCTGTCATCTAGACTCTGTAGTTTTTAGTTTGATTGAAGTTATTCTTTCCATTATCTTTCTTTTCCTTGAAAATCTTTGTTGGAGAAATTTTCCTTCTATTTACACTTCAATTTGTCATGTGGAAACATTTTGTTTTTTTTTGTTAGAATGAACAGTCGTGGACCGCCGTCAGCTTCTACCATGCGAAGTGCACCTGCACCCCCTTCAGCGAGACCCGCTGTAGGGGCACCTTCAAGACCAGCGCCATCACGACCAGCTCCAAGTCCAACCCCAGTTCAGCAAGGAGGTGGTCTACCACCTCCTCTAATACCTCAGTAATACAAATTATACTTTGTACTTGAAATAATTTTATACTTTTAACACTTTTTCTCTTGTTTATTTCTTATAGACGTCCTGTTCCTGGAGGAGCGGCGCCGCCACCAGTGCCAGGCCGACCGAGTATGCCATCTAGACCGCAGTAAACGAACAGAGAAGAGAGAGAAATTGTACATTGTTACTAGTCAACACACGCTTAAAAAGTTGCTTCTCTCTTTAGATGATACTACATAGGCAGTGCGATAATTATTACATATTTTGCGAACTTTTAATCGATTTAGCATAGCAATAAAATATATGTTTAGTGACGTGTATTGAATCAATCATTGCTGTTGATGCATTGATCAATTACATTCCAGATATATAGTTTACAGTGACACTGTAGATCAGTGGTCGTTTCTATCCTGTGCACGAAAGGAACATTAAGTGTCATTCGTTAAGTCGACGTACATTTTGATTAAAATATTTGTCTTAAGCTATACATACCAACTGATCAAATAAAGTATTTATGATTAGTCAGATTACTCACATCGTAATGTCTCCTAACAGTATGTGCATAAATCAAATAAAAGAATCTTGCAATGTACGATTATTTCTCGAAATTCACTGTTCAAAAACTCTTAACATTTGACACTAACTCTTGTCCAAATTTTCCAACAGATTCATGGTATAAAAAGTGATAAATTCGTTCATAACTTTCATTCAAAAACTGAAACAGTCAAAATTATAGTTGAACTTTTTCAGCCATATTTAAAAATGTATTATTGAAATTTCTACCAATAAAAAATATTTTTGCCAAATGAAATAATTTCTTTATTTTACCAGTTTATCGTCATATTTTCCACAAATATATACACCACACATACACGGCAAACACTGAATAAGAGTACGAATTATCCGATATCATACTTTTGAGGTTTTATCACGAATGTTTATATAAAAAACGGATATATTTCACGTTGTAGAGATATTAATATTCACTTAATGAATTAATGAGTAAGAGAAAACTTTTTCGTAATTAGTCTCATTACAGTAAAGAAATTAAAAGCCCGTTGAAAGGAAACTGCTACTATTTCTCGTTAAAGAATATTGTAGGAAAACAACAATGGATTATCAATAGAGATTATTAGCATAGGAGTAAATGTAACAACAAAAACAATAACCTAAATTATATAAGCTCTGACAAACATTGATGGAAAACAGTGTACACTATATCCGAATACTACAGTTTTTTTTTCTGCACATATTTAATAGTTTTAAAAAATGACCATAACAAAATGACAAAATTAACATCTTTTGTTACCATCAAAGGATGTAAAAATCGATAATAATATGGAGAAAAATGTTAAATTAGAAGCATTGCTTAATGGAATCCTTTCTGTGTTCTTTTCTAATTTTACTTTAAACTACAAAGCGAATTTGATTAAAATAATATTGTCTATTTAGAGCTATAAATAAATAGATAATCCTTTTTAAAAAATAACGCTAATAAAGTCTTTTACAGTAGCAAAGGTGAATAGTACATTTTATAGAATAAAGAATAAAGTAATAATGTGATAAATATTTTCACATGTAAATAAATTGCGATTATTTATTAATAGTAATAATGATATATTTATATCTATGTTTAAAGATTACATAAAAAAGGAAGTTTCTCAAGGTGATCTTAACCCAAAAATAAATAGAACGTAGTGATAAAAGGGAAAATTTCATGAGTTAAAAAATTATTTTTATTGTGTTTTTTTCTTTTCTTCTCTTACTTTTTACTTTTTTTTGTTTTGTTCTTTAACTCTGTTGGACATTTTTATTTCATAAGAAAGTTAAAGGTTAACATTTCAATTTTCAATGTAACGACTGTTTAAATTTTACACTTGACAAGGATAATAAATAATTACATTCAGCTGCAAGTTAGTGTATATACATTTTTCACTTATTGTTTATTTTAACTAGTATGGTTACGGGATCTCAATCATGTCTACAAAGTAAAGGATCTAATGATCAAAAGAGACTGTTTAGAACATTTACTCATTTGTAATGTCGTTCAAACATGTTGTTATTGCAGAACTTGTACGTACACGTACGCTATTATACTTGTTTATATTTTTGAAGTACCTTTCGCCCTTCCGATATTTAAACAACACTTTGTATAGTCATTTATTTTCTGACTTTATGACAAAATATTTCACACTTTCTAGGTTTTCTCTTTATTATGAGTATAGAAATAACGCTAATCGGTTTATAATCCCCAAGCTATGCTTATGTAAGCTGGTCATATGTCGGCCTATATGTAGAGTAGCGTATATTTTTCTGAATTATGAAAGTTTCTTTTTATTTTTTCGGTAGCTTATTATCTTTTAGACTTTAAATATCATCATTAAGCTGTAATCTAATACTTCTGCAAGGGCTGAGAAAACAACGTTTTTAATACGCAAAGGCCTACCATGGCGGCCTTGCGTAGTAATACATTAGAATTCCAACCCGCCGCAAGCGCCACTACTATCGGCGAACTAGTTCCAGGTGCAGTGTTGTATAACTCGCTTATAGAATAACAACCATCTCATATAATTTTAAATTACAATTTAAAATTTTATTTTTAAATATGTAATTTCACTTTTGCCAGATAATATTCATCGAAATCGTATAATTTAGACAAAAGCTAACCGGAAGTATCGAGTAGTTATGCGTATGTTATGAATCCAAGATGGCGGACTGATTGAGTTCATGTTGCGTTGTTTTCAGGTCAGTAGTTTTACGTTTAAATCTAGAGCTTTTTCTCGATCGGTGACAGTCTTATAATGTGATTTATATGTGTTTTTGTTAGTATGTTAAAAATCAAGTAGTTTTTTTTAATTAATGCCTTTGAAAATAGAGCATGTTTACACGGTGAATTCAATTTCTGTGCAGTTCCTTCGATTTATGTTCCATGTTCTGTAAAATTCGTTTTAAATCTAGGCAAAACGGTGGGTTATCTGGTTTGCGAATTAAGTTTGAAGCGTTATGAAGAAGATTGTCTTGGAAAAAGAGTCACCATTTTCGATATCTTTAAAAGACTAACGTGATTATGGCGGCAGAAAGTCAACAAGTTGGCACTACTCGAAGACGTGTAAAGTTATACACATTAAATGAAGAGAGGCAATGGGATGATCGCGGAACTGGACATGTTTATTCCACTGATAACGGATCTCTCGAAGGAGTGACTCTAATAGTCAAATCTGAATCTGATAGTAAGTTACCGAAATACGACATGTTTTTTTTAATCACAATTTTTTTGAAAATATAGTGAGTATTCTCCTCGAATCGAAAATTCAAACCGATACGGCGTATCAAAAACAACAAGAGACTCTTATTGTTTGGGCCGAAACAGATTCTCATAATCTCGCTCTTAGCTTTCAAGAGAAAGCAGGATGTGATGAAATTTGGGAAAAAATTTGTCAGGTACAAGGCAAGGACCCCAGTGTGGAGTCTACCCAGGAAGGTGATGAATCCGAAGATGAGCGATACGAAGAATCGATATCGGATACTGGTCCTGGTGCAATATCGACTTCTCCAGTCTTATTACCTCCTTGCGAGGTTTCTAAACTGCCACAAATTGCCGAAATAGTACAAATGGCCATAACGACACCTGTAAAACGGGAACAGCTCGCTCTTGAAGTCGAAAACGAAGGATACATTCCGAAGTTGCTAGAGGTTTTTAGAATGTGCGAAGATTTAGAAAACAAAGAGGGATTGCATAAAGTGCATGACATTATTAGGAATTTAATTTTATTAAATCGTACGCCATTATACGAAGTTATGTTCTCGGAAGATAACATTATGGATGTTGTTGGAGCTTTAGAATATGACTCGAATACCGATCAACACATGCAGCACAGGGAATTCTTAAAAGATCGGGTTCAATTTCGACAAGTTCTTCCTATGACTAATACTGACCTGTTGAATAAGATACATCAAACTTACAGAGTGCAATATGTGCATGATGTCGTTATGCCGACGCCATCAGTGTTCGACGAGAACGTTTTAACAGCACTTAATTCTTTCCTATTTTTTAATAAAGTTGATATTGTAACCATGCTTCAAGATGACGACAATTTCCTTCAAATGCTCTTCTCTCAGTTGGTTGAAGAATCGACGGATGACAGTCGACGCTTGGAATTGCTTCTATTTTTGAAGGAATTGTGCAGTTTTGCCCAGACACTTCAACCAGTCAATCGAGAAATGTTTTTCAGGACTCTCTCTAATGTCGGATTTCTATCGTCACTTGAAGTTATACTGGGATTCGAAAAGGAGCAGCTACGACAAATATCAATTGACATTTTAGCATTGGCTGTCGAATACTGTGCATCGGCTATAGTAGAATATATTTTGAAGGAGGGTCAGCAAAAGTCAGAAGACGATGAAATGCTGATCAATATTCTTATTGAGCAAATTATTCATGATACTGATTCGGAATTGGGACTTGCAGCCCAGATAACGGGCATTCTAAAGATGTTAATAGATCCCGATAACGCAATTGATTCAACGAGTAGTTCGAAGTGCGAAAAGAACGACTTGATTAAATTTTTTTATAAGCACAGTATGCACAACCTGACTGCTCCCTTATACGCGAACACTGCTGACGGAAAGCCTAGCAGGGATGACTACAAGACGGCAATGCTGCTCTCTCTAATTTTGGATTTGATTACGTTTTGTTTAGAACGACACTCTTTTCATATAAAAAATTATGTGCTTAATAAGGACTTATTTACAAGGGTTCTTATTTTAATGAAATCTAAGCACTCATTTTTGGCACTGACTGCTTTAAGGCTTATCAGGAAGGTTGTAGCACTAAAAGACGAATTTTATTTAATGTGTATAGCAAGGACTAATCATCTAAAATTCGTTGTGGATGCTTTTCTATTAAATGGTCCACGATATAATCTTCTCAATTCGGCAATAATTGAATTGTTTGAATTTATAAGAGTGGACGGAATTAAGACATTGGTCACTAATATTGCCGAAGTTCATTGGCCTCGATTAGAGCATGTGAAATATGTTACAACTTTTAGGTTGATTAGAGATCAGTACGAGCAACACAAACAATTGTCAGATGATTGTACTTCCGTGACAGCAACTCCAGGTTCAGCTCCTCTAGATGGCGTTAGACAAAGATTTAGGAGAGATGATCGAAGTCCCGACGTCGATGAGGAAATGTGGTTCGAGCAGGATGATGAATCAGATTTAGCAACTGCTGTACCAGAACTACTTAGACCAGAGCCTAATAGGATCGAACAAAACTTTACTAAAAAATCAGGTAAGTTATTTTTGAAAAAGTTCTCTGTTTATAATACTGATAAGCTTTCCTTTATAACAGTGAATGATGTAGAGGATATTGTTACTGCGCCACGCATATTCTCCAGAAACTCTCCAATTCAAATTCATTTAAGGACTCCTCTACCCTTAACGCCTTCACCACCACCGTCCAGTCCAAATTCAAGCCCGAGCACACAGGCTGATGTTAAAGGCCCTATCAAAAATGGACAGTCGGAGGTAGTTAGCGAGAATACCACTGAAGCTCAAACTAGTTCAAGCACTTGTCCCCAGAGCGTTATTGGACTAGTTGATTATCCGTCAGACGAAGACGATGACGATGATAATAATTCTGACGAGACTCAATCGAAACGTATTCGTTTGGAAAATCCGTCTTGAGTGAATATTTTTGCCTTTTTGGTTTTTGTCTGTTATTTGTTAAGCAGTGTCCGCTTTGTACAGTTTGTTTTGTGATGTTTGTAAAAGTGTATAGAAGAACCAATAACACGTTTGTTTTATAGTTTTACAGTTCATGTAATATGAGGGCGAGCTGTATAGAAAGACAAAATTGTACATGGAGACAATGTGTGTCGCATTTATCTTTTTTATGACAAAGTAGTACATTTAATATATAGATATATATATGAATATATATATATGTATATAAAACGCAAATATAAAGCATATATATACCTGCATATATATATATAAACATATTGTATATATATATATATGACTGTATTTATGTGTATATATACATAGGTGTCTAATTTATTAATACGTTTCCATCGAGGATTTAGTTTTTATTATCGCAGCGTGTTACGGTGTATGGTTGGACGACATTCATTTAAGAAGAAGACGTCAATGTATTGCATTCTGACAAAAATGATCAGCTGAATAAATATAAATCTATAAAAAAAATTAATCAGCAATAGTCTTGAAACTTCCATTTAACACAAACTCACAACACACTAAAACGGAATAGTTTCTGGTCCCTGTATACGTAGAATGTTAATTATGTGGACGGCTTTTTAGAGAAACCCATATTGATATCGTTATTCTTAAATTGTTTAAAAAAATCACACAATGCTATAATTATCATTTTGTAAAAGGAATCAGGCGCTTGAATCACTGCCAATTATAGTTCGTTTGCCCACTTGATGTAAATTATTTACTGTGGTAGACAATAGTTCAATGTCATTGCTTTTCTTTTTATCTATACAAAGGCATTGAGTTGAGAGTGCGGCAATAATTGGCGCTTCCTGGCCCCGACTTGCAGCATCGACGATTTCTGAGGAGACCGCGCTGTGAAGGGGACAGAGGGAATGAGAAGTTGACGTCATTGATCTTGCCCTAGGTCGTCCGCCATTTGCAACTGGTTTCTAAAATGAAGTTTATTTAAGTGCTTTTTCTTAAAAAGAATTAAGTTACTTACTGATTGTTTGTGTTGTGAGGATGGAGTATGAGGAGCGGAGGCAACTCGATCAGTTAAAAACTTTTGCATATCTTCCTGCGAAAGGTTTGTTAACCCTGGGTCAGTTATATTACGAGCAGGTGGCCGATTTGGAGTTGTTAATGGTTTACTACTGGCTGTCATAAATTCAGTTGGTTTTGAACGTTGCACACTCATCTTGGCTGGTTGAAGTGATGACGGTTCATTAAAATAACTATGAACATGAGAAGTATGCTGAGGAGTAGGTAGACGATTAGCTAATTCTTGTTCGGCTTCATTACATTCTTTCAATGCTTGATTCATTTGCTGTCTTTCATATTGAACATGCTGTAATCTCTGTAATACCGTTTGTTTGTCTATTGGTCCCGTAGTTTTTAAATCTAAACGATGAGGTGACTGCTTGTAAACTACCAGATCTTTGTCAGGTGGAAAAAGGGTTCTCTGCGCCGGATTCATATTTTGACGAACTGGAGTTGGTTGATAAGTGTTTCCAATAACAAAATTATTATTTTCATTCTGAACTTGATTTGGCGGTAACCTATTTTGGCGAGGTAGAGTAGTGGCAAAAGCATTTGTAGGACTATTTATAGGATAATAATTCAGTGGGGCGCTTTGGTTTGACTGATTACTGTTCGTTCGTGAAGGAGAACCCGACCAGGGCATTGCTGTTGGACTACAGGTCCACCGAAGTCCCCTTTCATATAGTGGTGATTTAAAGCGATCTTCGTCTGGGGGACCATTAATCATTATTTCTCTTTCCTTTTCTTCTGTAAAAATATTCAAAAATATATACTTCTCTTTTACTTAATGTAAAGAAAAATTGCTTACCATCTCGAGCAGAATCACTTGCAATACCGGATGTTGTTGCACTTGATGCCGAAGACTTACGCGACACGTAAGAGGTGGGTGCGACAAGAGCTTCCCTGTATGCCTTTCTGTTATCATCGTTTTCCGACAAGTGCTTTAAAGCAGCAAGGCGAGGGGCAAACATTCTTTTTGCTTTGTGCGTGTCTTCGCACAATTTTAACAATTTTAGAGCTCGTAATTCTGAGAAAGCATCGTATGAGAATTTTCTTTCCGATTTGCCACCAGCAACAGAAATTTGAAATTTCTTTTTCTTTAATAAATAAATCGTAATTACCGTTATTAATGAAAAAAAAATAAATTAAATTTACCTTGCAGTGCAATTTCGTAATATCTTCCCAGTTTAAATGAGAAACATAGCTTTTCCATCCGTTTATTTGCTCATAAAAAGATATTCCACTTGGTGTAACTCCCAACCAAACTTTATCATCATCCACTTTTCGTTTTCTGTCCTTGTCTGTGGTATTCTTTGATTGGACGGCGTAAAGGTGAAGGTTGTGCGCTGTTGGAATTTCAGATGCATCGCTGATGAAGCGATAATGAGCGCGACTGGCGCTTAAGCCGTTTAAATCTCCGTGAATATTTGGTAATTCACGTTGTATATAGGCTGTCCCGCGACTATGCACAACCCATGCAGGGAAATATTCTCGAGGGTCGAAGGTCATTTCGGCCGTACTGTTTCCAAGATCGGCTTGTAAAGCATGAGCGGCGAGAATAAAGCATTTTTCTTCTGTTACTCTCTGAGAATAATTTACTAGATTATCCTTTAATTGTTCATAGTACAATTGCCTGGTGATCTTCTCTCTAAACATATAAAATTTCCTTACTAATCGAACAAGCCCGTGCATGCTAGCATGGAAATTAAAAATATACTAACCTTAGTAAAGCTACATTTTCAACATAAAATTTTACGCGAAAGTAGAGCACAAAGGAAATTCCATTCTGTGAACTTGTCTAAGGGAAAGAAAAAAAATCAGTTTTCAAAACCTGCATACCTATCATTGTTAAGACGTAATATTACGTAATAGAAGCACATAGTTTTGACCTATGATTACATCATACAAACCTTTTGGCTTTTAATTAGCCTTTGCACTTTTAAATTCAAATCGACAAAATGAAATTCGTCATCTGTAACAATTTGAATGATTACAATTTAGCACTAAAGAAATGACTAAGCTTTTTACCGATAAGTTGAGCCAAGCCAAAAAATTCAAGTTCATGTAATTTTAAATGGTCACAAACTTCTTGGAATATATCTTGACATGTAGATTTCGCCTATTAAACCACAAACAAGGAATTAAATACAAAAATTATACTAATATACAAAAAAATACCTCAGTTGATATAGTAAGATTATTGCCATTGAGAAGGCGAACTTGAATGGCTCGGCGGTTTTGAGTGGGTGACAAAACAGATGATTTCATCGTCGGAAATCATTTCCACATATCCGAAGTCTGCAAAAGCACTTTAATAAATAAACCAGGCTCTGAACATCGTAAAAAATAGTTATCAACATTGATCTACACAGGCCAACGCTCGTACAATGACGCAGCGACAGGCGAAAGAATGCCTGGAATGCCACTACTAGCACCAACCTACTTAGGCCTTTGCACTTGCACCTGTCTCGCCTCTTTTTATATTCAACTAACACGGCATTCCATTCATTACTTTCAAACCGTTTCGAATTAACTGCCGAATTATTTATCACCGAAGTAACATTTATAAACAAGCGATCCTTACCCTATGTGAATTTATATTTAGATAAGAAATTTGACCAAATCTGATAAGAGAATGGTGTTTTCGCATCGTCCTATTATATTTTATAGCGATTTATTATCACGCATTTATTAATCCAGATTATAAATAGATCTTTAAAGTTGATCTCATATGAAACACATAACATAAGCCGTGTAATAATATTAGTAAATAATAATTGAAAATATTGAATTAACGATTAAAAGTGCTAGAATATTTTGTGAACACTAACCGCAAAGGTATTTTAGTTGTAACCCTATTCTCCTCTGAGTACGCCGATTTGTTGTTCGACACGTATTATCGATCTCTTTCAAGTATGAGAATTCCTAATTCAATCCAATTTAAGGATAAATATTAAGTCCAAAGATACCTATAACTTTCATTCGAAAGCAAGGGTTAAATAGTTAATAAACCTGTAAATTAGAAAAGAAGTATTCACCTTTTATTCATATAACAATTGACGCTATTGACGTTTTAAAGTGTATAAGCTTTCGGAGTACAACTGTTTGAATCGTTTTTGTTCAAACGCATCTACAGATAGGGGGAGCCGGAAGCGGTTGTCTGCTTATAATAAAAAAATACATTAATTGCAGCTGTTACTAATAAAATTCAAACAAATTATATTTATGAACAATTCGTTTAATTTTTTTAGTGGATAAGCACTAAAATGATCAATTATTCTTAGTCATTTTCTAAAGCAGTAAATAAAACAAAATTTTTTAATTTTTTTCGTTTGATTCCTATAATTCGTTTGCGGCGGCTAATAAACCCATTTCAAACGTCTAATTTAAAGATCCCAATCTCACGCTAACATATAATTGTAGGACGAAGAAATCCTTGATAAGTGCAGAGATCAGACATTGAAGGGTCATTGGAAAATTTTATACTCATTCTATTTACTACAGGCCTTAGTTGTCTTATGTATTAAGTCATCTGTTAGGTACAATAGTTATGGCTTTTTATAGTATCCTGATCGAATTATCTAATAATAAAATAAATAGTGTACCGTAAATGGAAGTTATAGCACATAAAAACAATACTGATAGAAAGTATAATATATTTCGGATATTACTATTATCAATTTACAATAATTGAAGGAAAAGCAATTTAAAACCATTCATTGAATGGTATATATTTCCGATATTTCTTATCTGAAGAGGTGTAAATTACGGCCGGAAAGTGAAAATTGAAAATACTTAGATTTTTTTTTTGGTTTTTATCTTATTTGTTAAGATAGAATGTTATACTATTTATCGGGCAGCGACTTATTTACGTAATAATTGGGTGTCTATACTGTATATAGCTATAATCAGAAATTTTCTTCTTGCTTTTTATTTTTTGTAATTTTATCTTTGTGTTATCTATTAGATATCATTGAAGCATATTTTCTAATTATCTATTTAAATGGAAGTTAATTAAAACAAAGCAAAATATGAAGTCCTACAATTTTTTTACCAGTATCATTATGAACAGTAAACAAGAACAAGTTTATTCGCTAGGTGGCACTATTTTTCATATCTGTAGTTTCTATAAAGAAAAGTATTAAAATGTAATAAAAAAAAAGCCAAAAGGTAGCCTTAATTACGTATTTAAATTGAAAAGAAATATATGATTGATTAGTGTTGCCCTTTAACCTTTATATATATATATACAAATATTTGCATATTGCATAACTTAACTTTATTACAAAAAAAGTTAAGGAGTTTAAATACTGATATTTAAGTCATTTTGCTAAATGTAAAAGTTAATAGTGTCTTCACTTTTAACCTTTAAACAAAGATTCAGTCATTGAATTCTAATTCAATCATTTATTATATAATTTCCTCTAAAGTAGATACACTTTCCATATACATTTTATTCTAGATTTTAACCAAAGCAGAAAGCAGCCAGTAGATTTCTAATGAAAATCGCATATTGAAATTCATCGCCTTTCAATTGTTTAGGCCAAAACACCATTAAATTGAAGTGAATGTCGTAATATACTTTTTGGCACTCTAAAAATCTTTTTAAGCCAGTTAATTTCAACACAACTAAAATTTGATCTACTCCATTCAAGTCATTTTCGCCTATCTCCAGCCTACTCGCGAGTAATTGTATTCATTTCTAAAGAAGTAACATTTATCATGAAGAAGTCGATTCAAACGATCTATAGGCAGATAGGTATCATTCTTAAATGTAGTTAAAGCGAACAACACTATTTCTCTCTTTCGCCAGGTACGGAATGGTGTCGTTTACAATTTCTTTCCCTTTATTATACTATTAACTTGAAGGATTGTTTCTTTTTTACAGTTTCTATCAATGGACTATAGAGAATATTAAACTAACTATTCTTTAATGAAATTTACTGAAAAAATATTCCACTATGGATAAAATATCGATATTTTTAATATCTCTTTGTTTCTATCAATTTAAATCTGAAATATTGCTCCCAAAACCGTTTGTTTCCTCTTTTTTGTTCCTTTTATATATACTTATTAGTTCTGTTTCTATTACATTTTTAGGAGTCATGTAATAATAGCTTCGAAATTTATTAGACCCGACATGACCTATAGAATGACGGTTGAAATATTTGAATCAATGTATGAAAAATTTAAATTAGCCGCTTCGATTTCAAATGGCCAATCGGAAATTGCATCATCGTCTATTACCGCTTCTAGAAATAGTTTTACAACACTAGAAATGAAAATTCCAAGATCTACTGTAAATGGAAATTATACATTAAGATTAAAGTCTTATACGATAGATTATTCAACATTATTGTTTGAAAATATTACGGAATTAACATTCCAATCAAAATATATTTCATTATTTGTTCAAACTGACAAGGTTATATATGGAATAGCTCAGAAAAGTATGTATACATTTTCTTCTTATTATATATACTGTATATATATATATATATATATGTATATATGTATATTTAGATTAATAGCATTAGAAATACAAGGGATTTCATTTACTTTCGTATGCTATAAAATCATTATATCTATTATCATTAATAGATTGTAGAAAATTCCTTCTGTAAAGATCTTTTAAAGATAGGCAATCAATCATTTGATTGGCTGAATTATTGAATGTTGTATAAAGAAGAAAATTTGTGCAAGATTGGTCTTAAAGGACGCTAACTGGCTTTATCTTTTTTTTCCCCTTTACTAATAGTGAATTTTAGAATATTTGCCATAAAACCTAACCTTGAGCCTGTGGATGAGGGCCAGATTACAATTTACCTGGTCAATCCTAAAGGTATAAAAGTTCATAGAATAAAGGAAAAAATGCTTCGCAATGGTCTGTTATTACTTTCTATTAGATGAATTGTTCAATTTAATTTAAATAAACTTTTATTATACAGGCATATATGAAGGTTCTTATTTTTTACCGTATCCCAGAGTGTACGGATGGTGGAAATTCGAAATAGACGGCTTTGTTGAGTCATCTTGCATAATTCTTAACGCATTGTTAAATAATTATATGTTTATGTTCTTTTAGGGTACTACTTATGAGCACAAGTTCTATAACTACGAATATTGTAAGTGACCATTCATTATAAAGAGAAAAATAACAACAATTTTATTTAACGATTAGATCAGCTAATGTTGGAAGTCAACGTTACAATGCCCCACTATGTCATGGAAAATGAGTTTGGGGTCTATGGGGTACTAACAGCTAAGTAAAGAATTCCACGAGTCAGCACATTTCAAAATTGATGAAAAAGATAACATTTTTTTAATATAGCTGGACAAAGGGTTACCCCGTTAAAGGTTCTGCAGACTTAGATATAGAAATATTTAAAGATGGCGGGCAGAATGATATTGGATCATTTAGAAAGCATATACCATACGTAAGTTTTCTTCACTGTGTTATATAATGAAACAATCCATTTACCAGCTGACTGGAAGCGATTGATTGCAAGCCACTTTAATTACTTAATTAGTTGTAATCAACTATTGTTATCTATCAGTTTTTTTTATTTTTAAACAAACTTTCAGTTTGAAGGAGTGACAAGCTTTTTAATTACAATGGAAGAATTAAAAGAGGCTGTTAAACTTTCTAAAATTGATGGGTTGAAAAATTGTCGTATTGTTGTTACGGCAACTGTCAATGATCAAATTTACGTAAATATACCAACAAAGGGAAAAGCTACAACTATAATATTTGAAGATTTGATAAAACTTAGGTTTTTATTACTATTTCTTTACAGAAATAATAATAATCTTTGATTTTCCAGATTTCTTGGCGGTGATATTAGAACTTTTAAACCTGGGAAAAATATGGATATTTATGTATATTGAACATATTATTTTTATTCCTAAGGAAAGGAAAACTAATTTTTCACTTTTTTTCACTTTTTAAATTAGATTGCAGTTTCGCAGTCTGATAACAAACCTTATTCCCTAAACATAAATAGAGCTGTACGCATTCAAACTAATGCAAAAAAACAAAACTCTAAAGCATCAGAAGAAAAGACAGCTTTAGTTTTAATTGGTGATGACGGTATTGCACGTTATTCATTCGTACCAGACGACGACGACCTTCAATTAACTATTTCGGTATTACTTTGTAGTCTTTATTAATTTAAACTATGAATCTTTTCTTAAAGGTCTCACATTTTCGTGGTAACTCGATAAAAATGGTCGCCTATCGGGAATATTCTGAGATCAATCATTATTTGTCTGTTACTACTAGTACTGTAAATCCAAGGGTAGATAATTACATAGTATTCACTGTACGAAGCACAATACTTATAGCTACTGTAAAATATCTGGTGATATCTCAATTTTTTGATAAATGATATCATTTCTAAACATTTTTTTGTCCCCCTGAAGATAATTTCGAAAGGGAATATTCTCGTTGTAAATGAACTACCTATGAATTGTCAACAAAAAACGTTTTCAGTTGCTATTTCCAGAGATATGATTCCTAATGCTCATATTCTCGTCTATGGTTTATTAAACGATAGGAGGATATTGGCCGATTCTTTAACTTTTCATGTTGATGGTATAAGAAATACTAAGAAATCTGTATGATTCAAACATTATTTTGCTTCTTACTATTGTGAATATTAATAGTAATTGATTAATTAAATTAAACACAGATTGAACTAAAAGTTAACAAGGGCAAAGACTTTAGCCATAATACTGTGGAAGTTGTTGTAAAAGGAGATCGTAGCTCTATCATTGCAATAAATGCTCAGGACTATTCAAATTATGTATTCCAGCCGAACTTCTTCACCAAACATAGGGTTGAACAAGAGTTGATGACGTATAATGTAGGAGCAAATTCAACATTAGATCATACTTGGTTACGAAATGAAGGTATCAAGGATACTATGCATTACACTGCATCATCTAGTGCGATAGATGCTAATACAACTTTCCAGTTTTTGGGATTGGAAATCTTTACTGATGCCAGATTGGATAGGTTGCCAAGCATTGATAAATGCAATAGAACACTTGGTTTTTCATCTTGTTTCGATGGTCAGTGCTATGAACTATCTACAGCATGCGATGGTGTCTGGAATTGTCACGATGGAGCAGATGAAATGGGTTGTCCTGACCCCACAGAATCAGCAGTTGAGAAATTACAAAACATTGAAATGCTCCATCCGGAATTGCTTTATACATATGACGATACTTCTTGGCTTTGGAAATGGAACTTTACGAAACCGGACGGTAGCTCATTTACAATTGCAGAAGTTCCACATAGACCCACCACATGGTTAGTAAGCGCAATAACAATGAGTAAAGAACACGGACTTGCTTTTGTTGAAGAACCCTTTAGAGTAAGACATATCTCAAAATAACTTTAAGTTTCATTTAATATGATAAATATTTCGTTTACTAGTTTTCATCAACGAGAAGCTTTTATATTGAGCTAGAGGCTCCTTTACGAGTTGTTACGGGAGAACAAATTGGTTTAAAAGTGACAATTTTCAACTATTGGCACGAACCTCTAGAAGCTTTAATAACATTACATAAATCTGATGTGTTTAAAAGTATATCGGTACCGGATGACGGCTTTGTTACTGCATTTTCGGCTAAGTTAGTAGAAGGAATACGTCAAGTTATGGTTAGATTAGAAGCTGGCGAGACAAAAATTATTCATTTTCCTATTGTTACTGAAATAATAGGACGGCATATTGTTACTGTTTCGGGTGATAGTTTTGTCGCAAAGCGAACAAGATCTATATCGATAAGAGTTACAGCACTGGGAATTAATAACCGTTACTTAACCTGTCACTTGGTTGACTTATTAAATCATGGTACATTATCTGTGCCAGATTTTAAGATACCAATTCAAGAAAGATTTATTTTACCTGAGCAACAACGCCATATTTACGTTCCAGGTACACCTATTGGCGAATTAAAGATTGTTGGCGGAACGACAGGTCCTGAAACTTGGGACTCCGCAAGATATCTGAGAATGTCAATTAATACAGGCGCAGGTTATGCAATAAATTTAGCTTTACATGCTCTTTGGATAAACTTTTTCAAAGACCAGAACGCCGCCGATAAAGCTAAAGTCTCTGAATCACTTCAAGGTCTAGCAGAAGGTATAACACAATTAATGGTTTACTATGATTATGCCGGAAATGGTAGAGGTTATTTTGCCATGTGGTTGGATAAAAAACCTAGTTTATTTGTAACACTTAATGGAGTATATGCACTATCTCAATTTTATAAAAATCCTGAATGGATTCAACAATTTCTCTTCATAGATTTGAATGTTGTTCATAACGCTACAAGATGGATTTGTGAACAGCAAACTGCAGAAGGAGCTTTTGGCGAAATGCATATATCAACAGACGATAGTTTTAGATCAGTTATCACGGATGAAAAGGGCAATTTTTTAAATATAACAATGACAGCTTATACCTTAACTTTATTACACGATATCTATCCTGTTCTAAACGATAATAATGTTTCGTCACTTGCGAGCAATGCTATTAATAAGGGATTAAAGTATATTGCTTCTCATTTGGATAAGATTGATGATCCATTTTGCATGGCTTTCGTCGCTTATTCTATGAAGTTGCACGATCACTTTAGTACTGAAGCTGCAGTTGGAAAATTTATGAATATGACAAGAATAAGTAGGCTAAATATAGTTTTCATTTTTTATTTATCACTATGATTATTAATTTAATCTTCATTTAAATTAGAGGGGGGAAGATACTGGTCCAGAGTAGAAATACCACAAGTACAAACCGAATTTACGGAATCTATCCCTGCTCTCCTTGGTAGGAGATCTTCAATTGATGATGCTCAATCTATTATAGCTACAGGAGTAGGCCTTCTGTTGGATATTGCCACAAACGGTACTGAAAGAGACTTGTCAATTTATACGCCCACTGTAAGCTGGCTTCAATCGCGTCGAAGAACATTTTACGGCTGGACGTCGGGACCTGCAACGTTTTGGGCTCTAAAAGGTCTTATGACCTATGAAAAGGCAGATAAATTTGTTTCCCATCATTATATTAAGGCTGATATAACATTACTTGCTGGCGAAAGAAAGTTTCGAATGAATTTCAATGGTTCAAATTGGTATAATGTACAGGGATTTAAGTTTACAGAAAAAGTTTATGGTAATGTGAGAGTTTTTGCAGAAGGAACAGGCATGTTTCTTATTGAATTACAAACAATGGCGTTTGTTGAATTTGAAGATCAAATTAAAAGATCGAGAAATAGAGTTTTATTAGAAGCAGATCAAATACGATACTATGGTCGAAATTATTCATCCATAGATATAACAGTTTGCGCACAATGGTTCCGACCTGATTTAACGCCAATTACTGGGCAAGCTGATATTGAAATTGGTATACCAAGTGGTTATTACGTTTTAAAAGAAATGCTGAACAATTTCACGAATAGCCATCCCCTGATACAAGATAACGATTTCAGTACATCAACTCAAAAAGCGACGTATTATCTGGACTATGTAAGTTGTTTAAATATATTCTTACACATTCAGCGATATGTTAGCAAATTGATAATTTGAAATATTATTTGCTTTCTTTAGCTACCGCCAGAGAGAACTTGTGTTATGGTCACTGCTCATAGATATCATCCCGTAGCAAATTTCTCTATTCCTCATAAGCTGCAAGCATATAATCATTTCGATATGAGTAAATTTATATACTGTATATACTTTTACATTATTATAAAAAATTCCATTTCAGGCAAAAAGAACAAGTCTCTTTACGATACGCAAACTCTTTCTCAACTGACTATTTGTCAGGCGTTTGGATCTTATCAATGTCCATACTCACCATTCTATAATCGTGCATCAACAACGGCGAATTTTAGCCTTTACTGTATTCTCTTTGAAGTATTAGTTGTCATTTTCCTATTCCATTCTTGTTCTTTACTTAACCATCGAACTATTATCAAAATATAATTTAAAGTGATATGTTGTCGTTTATTTCTTGAAGTGAATAAATGAAAGATTGAGAAAATATATGTTTATATGGAAGAATTGATAAAATTCATAAATGTAGTATTTTGAAAATTCGAGTGTACTTGAAAAACTTTTTACGAAGATTTTCCAAGTAATCGGAAGTTGTTGTCTGCTACAGAAATGTGAACGATGAAATTTTGTGTTGATTATTATTATTAAAATTATATTCTATAATTGTAATAAACTTCCGAAAATAGAATTTATAAATAAACTGAATAATCTTCATAAAAAGCATCGCAAACCCCAAATAAACTAAATACTTTTTAATCGACTCAACAATCGTTCTGAACCTTTAATTCGACTATGACAGAAGTGAATGATAAGTTTGTCGCCGATTGTCGACAAAACCTAAAGAATGAATATTGTTTGAACGATTTAGTTGCAAGGATAAACGTTACTCTTTGGAATGGAATTCGCGAAACAAGTATACGAAAATCAATATTACAGGTTATACACTACATTAAAAGTTACACGAATTTCTTATATCAATCTCAATTATAGATCTTATCAGAAGTCTATACAAAACACGGTAATAAAATAGTGTCCTTTGGAGAAATGCTCACAAAGTCAACAGGAACTATAGAAGAATTGCAATATTGTAATCATTTCTTTTTAAAAGATGTTCTGTAACTATAATAAAGTGTAACCTTTCAGGGTCGAATCTAATAAGCTGTTACAAGCCTCTTAAAACATGGATAAAGGAAAACTTTAAAATGTTCTTGGCTTACTTGTGCAATAGATTGGAAAAAGATTATGATAGTCTTATCTTCAATCGAAACCAAAAATTGGTAAAATCATTAGAACTGGAAGTTAAAGTAATAAAAAATAGATTACATTTAACATTATGTTTAAAGTACTAAAGATATCAATTAATTATATAGATATATATGCAAGTGATGCAAGCTCTTAAAGATTTCCCGCAACTTTTACAACAGCATAGAAATTTTATATTTTCTTTAAGGAGGAATTTAATAAATATTGTTACATGCGATGTAAGGTTTACTTAAAATAAACGCTAATATTCCAATTTATATAAAATGTTCTTTTTTTTAGATCTGTAAAAGAGATTGTCGCCTTTTGGCGGCAAATGCTTTATTGATGCATATGCAATCTGAAGGTTTGGATGACGAAGAATTTTTGAAATTTTTCAAATCTCTTTATGATTCTTTTGGTTTTTATTACGAACCTGGTATACATATACAGACATTTATATACGTATTATATATCTTAACAAGTTGCTATATTTACAGAAAAGGAAGTTAGAAATAATACTTTTTCTCATGTTGCACTACTTTATGGATTTTTATCTTTAAAATGTGAAAGATATCTTGAATATACAATTGATGATATAGTTTTCAGTCAATTCCTTCTAAATAATATACTAGATTTATCAGCTTATGGTGATTTCAAGTATAATGTTTTCAAAATTTGGAAAATACTCTTTACAAAAATTCAACCGAATTCTTTATCGAAGAAGTCTTTGGATAGTATTTGTAAAGTTCTCAGAGGTAATTTTGATTGTCCAATTGACGGCGTCAGACAATTTTCTTTTGATATATTAAATGTAAGTAAAGACTAAATGAACAAATTAATTCTTTTCTTGAATAGTTCAATTGACTATTTTTTTTAATTAAATCTAGATTTTATTAAAGAAATTTGATGAAGATAAAGATTTAGCAGAGAATTTCTATAAATTTTCTACAACTCTTGCATGGAACGGAAGATTAAAATATAAATTATTTTGTATTGTTTTGCAATATATTGAAGTATTTAATTAAAAGAGGAATAACCTTTATTTTAAATCAAATGATGTTTTTTAGAATAATGAAATATTACCGGAAATTTTGATTAACAGTTTGGAAGGTTTTACAACGGATTATTTAGCTCCAGCAGCTGGTGACCTATGCAATTTTATATCAAGTAAACTAACGTTTGTAGATTTATTATCTTTTTAATATAGTCTATTATAAATAAAATATACTATGAATTTTCTTTAATAGATATATAAATGTTCAAGTTGTTATCGAAGCTGTTAAAAAAGCAATTTGTAACGAAAATAAGTATGTATAATTTCTTTAATCCTTATTATTTAATATAATCTACTTTATTTATCTTTATTAGGTTAACAGCTTCCAGAGCAGCTAGACTATGGATTCCAAATCTACTTCGTCAACATTCTAATATAAGTAATAAATTGGATGAAAAATTGAAAGATGTTTCAAATGAATACGAATTATTCGGATATCTATGCTTTTTGAATACTTGTAGAAGTTTGAATATCATTTCTGATATTTCTAAGGTATATTTCTATTATTCATTTAAATCTTTTTCCATTTTTATCTTTTTTAAAATAAACAGTTTTCAAATATACTGGAGAAAGTTGTTATTCACGTAGATGAACAAATAAGAATGGAAGCATTGTCATTCGTTACTATTAGTTACAAGAAATCAGGTAAAACTATCCAAGTTTTTTTTAAAAAATAATTTAATAAATCCTTATCTTGAATTTTTCTAGAAATTCCTTTAAATATTGAATATGAATTGGCAATGAAAGGTATATTATGTAGTTTAAGTGTTGATGATGCAACATTTAGGAAAAATCTGACAAGATGTGTCGAAAATTTCCTATTAAGAATTTGTTATAGTTCTACATCAATTATAAAAGCAGATACTTTAGAAAACAAGCAAATATATCAAGCTATTGGTAAATGAATCTTTTCTATTAAAATCAACTTGAAAAGAATTTTTCTAATTTTTTTTTTTCTTTTTAAATATAGATTTTCTCGATAAATTATGGATCGAATTAATTGAACAGCTGGAACCTTCAAGCAACTTTCAAAGGCATAAAATTTGTCTTGATTTAATAAAATTATACCTTGATATTATCTTCAAAGGTCCGAGAAAACAGCGCGATGGTAATATTAAACTCAGGGAATGTTTAAATTTAAGATCTAATCCTTAAATCTTGTTTAACTTAGTGAATGGTTTTCCTCTTTTATTGGAATTTGCAAATTCAAAGGGTAGGATGTTAACAATTGAGAAATCTAGTTATCGTATTCTTATTTGCCTCCTACATACAACAGATGAAGTAAAAAACTTACATAGAGCTATTTAAGTTTTTATTTTTCATGATATTTTTCTTCTATTAGATTAGAGAAACGGCATATGACATTTTATCGGATGATAATTATCCAATAAAACTTGAAAATGTCGATGATTTATTAGAAGATTCATTATATTGGTTATATAGCTTTAAAGCTCATGAAGCAGATACTGGATCTCTATTATTCTCCTTACTTATTGAAAAATATTATGCTGAAGCTAACAAACAATTACCTATTAGAATTTTTGGCGACAGTGAAAATGTTTATGTTGTCGCTTTGAACTTCCTAACCAAACAGCTTAAAATCCGATTAAATTCCGTTAGATTGAACACTTTGGAAGGAGCTCAAAAATCACCTGTACATGGTAAATTTATCAGTAAATGTTTAATTATACACTTATAGCTTTTGTTATCACTTTAGGTATTTTAAAAGCTATTAGTTTATTGATATCTGTTAACAAATCATTCTGGCTGCCATTCTGGAAAGATATCTTAGATATTGTTATCAGTCTTATTGATACAGCTTTATATAACTTAGGTGGAAAAGTTTCTTCTCAAGATGGTAAAATGACTGTTACATAATTTATTACCATTGATTTTACTGTAGTAGTAATAAATAACTCTTCATAATAGAAATAACACCTTCTTTTGAGCAAATGGGTATTTCTATAATGAATGAATTAGACGACGATGAAGAATCGGCTTGTAATTTGCCAGTGGAATATCAATTGATATTATCCTGGTGTTGGCTTTGTATTAAAGTATTTAATTTAAATAACAATTTTCATTCCTAAAGACAATAGTATCCCTCCTATAGGAATCGTCTTATTTATTGGGAGTTGCTCAAAAGAATATGAAGTTACCGATGAATGAGGTGAAAGTCATGTCAAATGCTTTTTTATTAATAATGAAGAGATGTAGACATAGAGTAAGTTCAATGAATTTAAAAAAAGAAATGCTAAAGGATTGAATACGATTAATGTTATCTTTTTGTTTTTTATTTAAAAAGGGAGCAATAGAAAGTTGTAATCTGGGTTTTAAATTATTTTGCGAAGGATTATTGAAACAGGATGAAATTGAATATAATAATATACCCCATCATCTTCTTAAGGATGTAATGAATACTGTTAGTTTTTATAAATTTCTGAAATATTTGTTTTCAAATTATTAACTCTTTATATATATTTTTAGATACGAAATGGCAGTAATACATCAGTTACTAGACGTTCAGCCGGATTTCCTTATATTGTTCAAACTGTTTTGTCAACTTATTCGAGAACTTCTTTACAGCCAAATCTATTAGATGATACAGTTAAAGAATTGGTTGATATTATTTCATCTCCCTTACCTCAAGTTGATATAAAAGTGGATCTACCACATTTTCACGCATTGAATATTTTACATGCTATTCTCAAGAATTCAACCTTAAGCAGTAGCATTACAAATTACTTGGATATCGTTGGAATATGCGTTTTAAAAGGGTTTAACTCGGATATTTGGAATATTCGCAATGGTTGCACCCAATTATTTAGCTCTTTATTAAAGAGGATATTTGGTCAAAAGAAAGAAGAAGGTGTTCTACTTACTAGTTTATCTATTTTAGAATTTGAGAGAGAATATCGCCGACTTTTTTCGTACATAACTGCAATCTTTCTATCTGCTAAGCCTGTTGATATGAAAGAACTGGAATGGAATATTATTCCATGTTTAACTATCTTATCAAGTTTAGCTACTATTCAAACAGAGCAAGATGAATTACCGCAAATAATAAGTCTTAGACAAAACGTCCAGAAGATGCTGGAATGTCCAATATACGTCGTACGACATCTAGCGGCTAAGTCGCTAATTAATTTGTTAAGAAAAAGTGATTATGAACGAACAAGAAATGAAACTTTGAAAAAGCTAGAAAAAACATCAAATACAAATAGACTACATGGGAATTTATTAGTAATAGACAACTTAATAGCGTTAAATGAAATGTAATATCTTTAATATCGTTTTTAAATTCTATGAATATCGAATATCTCAGTTTTTTTCTAATTCTATTTTCAGAGAGACGTCACTTCATACGCAAGAGTTATTAATTGAAAAAAAATTCCTATTACGTCACCCATGTAAACTAATAGCTAGTTTGTACCTTCGAATTGTTGATAAATTATTAAAAGGACAAGACTTTATTGAAAATATCTTGAATACCATTAAATCAATCGATATTAATTCAAATTTGGCTGTATGTTCTTGAATCTCTTTTGAAAAGATTTACAAGAGGATTGCTTTTATCTGTTTCTTTAATTTTCAGATCGGAAATGATCGTTATCAAATAGATCGTTTGAATTTTACAGCAAAAAATGGGTTTTTAAATAATTCAGATATGAGGACATATTTAGGTTAAAATATTCAGATATTAATATTTTAGTATTGTTGTTGTAGAAGTCACATTAATTAAGGTTTTCTATTGTATAGATTCATATGATGAGGACGTTGTCAAATGGGCTTTATTATACTTATTAAAAATGGACTACTTATTTGAATTTGATGTTAGTAATGTTCTATTATTCATATTAAAACTTTTAAACTAAAATTTTAAATATTAAGTTACATAGGATAGGTTGTATAACTCTCTATACACCATTTTTTTGTAATTTCTATACTCTTTTACATATTAATTCATCAATTAACAACTCTTTATTAATCATATTGATGCTTTCCTATAGGAAATCGTTTGGAAAAAATTTCAATCTAACGTTTCATTATCGACCAAGACTGTTTGTTTAGACGTCCTATATCAAATGGCTAGACGAGCTAAGAATCATATTGATTGTTTAAATCGGGCTAAATTTTTATTATTCAATCAACTTGAAAGATCATTAAATTCAACTTTAACTGCAAGAACTATTGAATTATCCTCATTATATATTAAATATTTTGATGATGAATTAGAAGATGAAAGATTTAGGTATCTTTTAAATTAATTAAAATTAGCGAGCAATTTTAATTATTTTATTAAATTTTCCTTATTTTTAGAAACATTTTAGAAATTTTTAGTAAAATTGTATATGATTCCTGCATTGGAGATAGGCCTCACCAACTCCAATATTCAATTATTAACGCATTGGAAAGTTGTTTTATTAAAGTTCAAAAGAAAGCTTCAAACAAAGCTATTTTTCGGTTTGTATGTGTAGTAGAAAAAAATCGTTTCCAATTCTATATATAAGCTATAACTTTTATTCCTGTTCTCGGAAATAGATTTGTCGAGGTCATTAACGAACTACTCTTTTCGCAAACATCGGAAATAAGAACAAAATGTTGTTATTTAATAATAGATATCGTTTCAGAGGTTTGTAACATTTCCATAGTATACCAGTCTAGCAATTTTGCCAAATGTTGTATTCAAATTTCTTATGGATTTTGGTGTAAATTTTTGTTTTTGAATTCTACTCCATAAATGTATGGCATAGTTATTGCTCCAGTCGAATTTTGATGAATTATAAATCAAATGCTTCATAGGTCCGGATGGATAATTTAAGCTTTTTTCCTCAACGTGTACCAAATGAGGATATTTTATAAATAGTCGATAAGTTTCTTGACTACTATGTTCATCCCATTCAGTCCACTTGAAAGTTGAATATGTTTTATGCCATATTTGAAGAAATTTGGCATTTGGTCTTGAAAGTATAATACCATTATTTAATCTACCAGGATTTCCCCGGTATTCAAGTCCCATTGTAAAATCGTAGTATAAAAGTTCTGTAAAAGGCTTCAACGCTAAAACATCCAAATCAAGATAAATTCCTCCACTTTCTTTAAGTATCTCAATTCTAGCAATATCTGATTGATGTTCTACATAATTTATTGGCGGACCTCCTTGAAATACGCTAAGAGGCGCTTTACGTTTAACTAATATCATACCTTTTACCATACGCTCAGCCTCTTCCCAATATCTACCTGATGGTTTCTCATCATGATGAAAATATATTCTCTCTGGTTTAGCTAAATTATAAGCAGCCAGCAATGATAATAAGTTTTGAAATTGAAATATGTTAGCCTTATTTGCGAACCATATAAAATGAATATTATGTGGCACAACTGTCACTGCGTTTTTCTCTAAGGATTTTCTCACTTTCTCCTCTTGTATATAAAAAAACCATATAAAAAAAGGAAATGCTAGTAGTATTATTGTTATTAATAATAATTTTTTCCTGCTCATATCGGTGGTTTTATCGTGATCAATGTGAAAATAGCTTTATACTATATCAGCAGACATTTTTCAGGTTACTGGAGATAAAGTTGATTACCTTATTCCTTGTAGTTCTGTGGCATTTGAGGTATATAATATTAATTTTTAGCTCTATTCAAATATTATCACCGATGAATCATTCTCTTATCTTTCGTTTATCAGGTATGGATCACCTTTTTAGAAACCCATCTATCGGAATATTTTATGCTCTCCTTCCAAGCCGCTATTAACGCCATCTTGTGCAAGGATTGGAAAGTTATGTTGAATAGTTTCAAGTAAGCATAGATTACTTTAGATTTATTCTTAGTAATTGTTCTTTATATAGCTCTAGAGTGTTATACGAAGAAGAAGACATAAACATTTACCGAGAAAATGTAAGAATTCTACGCAAGAAGAGTCAAAAAATAAAAGTTTGTTGATTATTTTGCATAAAGAAACATCTTATTAATTATATAAAACATTAACTTTCATAATTAATAGGCGTTTGGTTTGGATAAAGAGCAATCACCAAAATGTGAAAAAGCCTTGACAGATGTTGAAAAATTAATTGACAATATTAATAACTACTTAACAAAGATGGAGTCAACAAAGTACTTGGGTATATTTTGGAAAGCTGAATGCTATAAACACTGTTTAACCATAAATATTATAGGAGAAGTGTTATGTAATTTATCTCCAGAATTAGTAACAAACGTTAAAATGCTGATAGGAAAACCGATGGATTTCTAAATAAATTAATAATCAATAAAACATTTCAGCACCTCCCCCTATACGTCAATTACTTTTCCCGTTCTGGAACTAAAAAGATCGATTAATTCAATATTCCCTTCTAAACGAAACCTTTAAAAGTGTAACAAAGCGAAACGTAAAAGCCATTAAAAAAATACATATAAAACAATGATTTTCCTACCCTTAGGCTTTAGGTCTTATCTATATCAGATAAATTTGAATTCTATTGAAATAAGCCCCCTTCTGAAGAGTTGATTCATTGTGCCTTTTTATGATATTTTAGCCTATTTATTGATCTTTTTTCAGTTGTTGTTCTTCTACTATTCGGCGGCGAAACAATAATTAGTCGAAATTTTGAAGTATTTCAGAAACGGATGTTCATTTCTATGAAATCGAAAGGCAATGGTTCAATAGAGTGAACAAATTCGTCGGCTAGCGGCGTAATGATTGTATTGAACCACAATGAAATTGCAGGAATACTAATCAATGCTTAAAATAAACAGTTGCCATATAGTTTTCTTTTTTTGCAATTTCCCTTTTCTTTTTTTGGCTATGAGGTAATGCAGAAAATGAGCTTTTTTTTGTATATAAAACAATATACAGATAATAGGAATCATATATAAAGCAAAAAGCTCAATATACGTTCGTAAACCGCTAAATATACTGTATATAAATGTATATACATATAGAGATAATACAGTAAATACTGTATATATACCGTATAATATAGTAGTATTTTAAATATACAGTATACAGTATACTTTTAATATAAATAGCTTAATTTGGAAAATAATCGTACATCACACTAGCGGTTGAGCACCGGTGGCTTTAGGCGTCGTTGTGGAATCCGCCACTTGGACTGGTGGTAGCTTCAATACAGTTATATGTCGAGGAGCTTGTGCAGCTCTAACCCTACGAGGATTACCTCGCGGAGCTGCCTGTTGATTGATGTTTTCTGATCGGTCGCCTGTCTCACCGGTAGTCGGATTGTGCAAATTCAAGGATATGATGTGTCGATGACGTTGTTGGGGATGTACTTCATCCTTACTAGACGTTTGGTACATTGGCTTCGCTCTCTGTCGTCGTTCGGATTGTAAACGTACAACAGTTTCGCTATTTTGTTCTTCGGTCGAATCCACAACTTTTGAAGGCACATAGTTCTGCAAGCGTTCAGAGCCGGTTGTCACTGCTGTCGTAAAAACACCTTTTATGTAGGAAGCGTAACCAACACGATTTTTTGATTTGGCTGTCGGAGAGGATTGTTGTTGCGACTGCTGTAGCGACTGCTGAGATTGCTGAGATTGCTGAGGTTGCTGCTGTTGCTGTTGTTGTTGAGATGGAGGTTGTTCGTCAGTATTTGAAATTTGAGGAACAGTTGACAGCTGCTTATCATTCCACGATATCCTTCTACTCCGACCGCTTGGAGCCGGTTGAAGAGTGGAAGTAATTTTACGTCCATTTTTATTAGTCGTAACTCGTTTACAAATAATATCCTCTGTAGACTGCCTAGTTTCGCTTGCAGTTCTCGGTCGGACGTCTTTTATCGGAAGTGTTTTCTTTCGATTCAAAGCAGGCGTTCTGGAAGTCCTCTGAAGTTCTTTACAAGCGGATTGAGGTCTGACCTTGTGTAGCGCTAAGGTCTGTGCGTATAAATTTTCTGTTTCTCCATCAGAATTACTGCTAACTTCTTCTGTATCGTCTTTTAATCGAAATTCCTCAAAACGTTTATTTAATTCCTGCTGATCGCTTAAAAACTTAGCTATTTGTTCCTTTTTTGATCTTTCAAAATTGTCATCTAGCTGTCTAAGTAGAAATTCCGTCGTATCCGTCATGATTGAATTTTTTAATCGCGTTCAAGAACGCGTGTCGGACGGTGCGAATTATGATCGAGCGCATTGATCGAGTTGCCACCGACAACTGCAAAACAATTCAGTCTACTTCATACTAATTTCATTATATTCTCTAACTACATTCGTTCTTTTTCGATTCAATTATGTACGTCTTAGTACAAAATTTAATATTTCATCTCTTTCATTATGAAGTATTATGAATAATACGAATGATATATTTTTATCATTAAAATTATCTATTATGTATATATTCTATCTACTCCTTAGTAGGCCTATGTAATTACTGTCATATATTACGTATGAATATTGTTTATATATAATTAGTCTGGAATGGAATAGTTAAAAATATAGCATGTTATTCTTTATTCATCGAATATTTTTGTTCGAAAATATTTGCCAATTATCTTTATATAGTAAGAAAGAAAAGAAGAAAGATAGAGAGAAGAGAAATACAGTATATCTGAATACAGACTATAAAAGTCTTCCATTCTTATGATATATTCATTAGTATTTAATTTATCTATTTCTTCTTTTTTTTATCTTTATCGTCTTAATAATTATTTTTAGAACAGAGATATTTATATTGCTTTTTTTTTTCTCTCTCTCTCTCTCTCTCTCTCTTTCTTTCTGCCTATTTTATCTACTCGGTTTTTCTTCACTCTATCCTTTCAGTTCTCTTTGACTCTCGAAGATTGGAAAATTATGTGTCTTTGCATGTACATATTTACAGAGCTGATTGCCGGTCAAGTAATACAACGTTATGTTTGTTCAAGAGGCGAAAATATCGATTTAGTATAACAACTGATTTATTTTAGCGTAAATCACCTATGGTGAAGGAATCTTATAAATTTAATACTTTTTTTCAAGTACTTTCAGGATTAAGAAATGCACGGATTATAAAAAGTATATTCAATATGTAATAAAACAATTTCGAAAGCAATGTGTAGGATACTAGATGGCGCTAATAGCCATATTCTATAAATCCACTATTCGTTTATTCTATTTCTCTTTTACTGGAAATCATTCCCGCGTTGAACACACAGAATCTTTTAGTTTTGCAAACGGACGTCTTAGTGTTGCAGACTTCTTCCTGCTGACATTTTTCACCACGATTGCACAATGAATTCTGTTTAAATAGAAAAAATAATATTATTCATTTTGTTCTATAAGATTAAATTCATTATTAAGAATATTTACCGGGCAATCTCGAACTTTTGGCCTGGCACAATCACAGATTTTGCAACCATTAGTATCAACTGCAAAACCCCAAGTGTCGCATCTTAAGTTGCCACAGGAACTTTCAACGCAATTATTTCTTGAGACAGATTCGACAGCTGAATTTCCCATACATAGACACTTCATACATCCAAATTCATCTTTTACCATTTTGGTATTTGAGCAGGTGCTGTCGCATTTCGGAAGAGCACAGTTTATGGGAGGAGGATTACATTTGCATATGTCGCAGCCAGTCTCTTCATCCTTAGCCCAACCGTGGTTACAAAACATATCACATAAAACAGGTTTGCAGACACACTTTCCGTCTTTACATTCAGTATATCTACCACATCTCACTGTGTCACATTTAGGAGCAGGAGCACATTCACATTTGTCGCATCCAGTTCTCTCATCCTTAGCCCAACCATGTTCACAGTACCTTCTGCACATAACAGGTTTGCAGACACATTTTCCGTCTTTACATTCCGTATATTTACCACATCTCACTGTGTCACATTTAGGAGCAGGAGCACATTCACATTTTTCGCATCCAGTTCTCTCATCCTTAGCCCAACCATGTTCACAGTACCTTCTGCACATAACAGGTTTGCAGACACATTTACCGTCTTTACATTCTGTATATTTGTCACACTTCACTGTCTGACATTTAGGAGAGGGAGCACATGCACATTTGTCACATCCAGTTCTCTCATCCTTAGCCCAGCCATGTTCACAGTATAATTTGCACAAAACAGGTTTGCAGACACATTTTCCGTCTTTACATTCCGTATATCTATCACATTTCACTGTCTGACATTTAGGAGAGGGAGCACATGCACATTTGTCACATCCAGTTCTCTCATCCTTAGCCCAGCCATGTTCACAGTATAATTTGCACAAAACAGGTTTGCAGACACATTTTCCGTCTTTACATTCCGTATATCTACCACATTTCACTGTCTGACATTTAGGAGAGGGAGCACATTCACATATGTCACATCCGTTTTTATCTCTAACCAAACCGTGTGGGCAAGCCATTCGACAGGCAAGTGGCTTACATTTTGGAGCTTCAAGACATTTGCAAATTTTACAACCATTTTTATCCAATTCATAGCCATATTGACAAAACATTCTGCAAGGAGGATGCCGAGCGCACATGCATTTTCCATTATCGCAAATTTGATTTGGCAAGCAATCAATTAGTGAGCATGGATCCTTGGCAATGCATTCAGCAACTGGCTCTCCGTTGCATTTTGTACTTTCCGACTTACATTTTGGGTAAGAGATTCTGCATTCTTGATCTTTACGACAATTGGCTTTCTTGCACAGTGGATTAACTGTTAAAGAGTTGAAAAATGTCTATTATTGTGTTAAACTTGACAAACAGTTATTCACTTACCGACACAAACAGGTACTGGATGGCACGGTTCCTTTACGCATTCTACTTTCTGCATTTCGCATATTTGTCCAACTGGACACAAGATATTAGCACATGTGAAAGTGTTAACCTTTTTGCACACTGGAACTGGATGACAATAATAGACGCAAGGCTTTTCATTGCAGAAAGCTGGTGGAGGGGCGCATGGTGTGGGTATCATTTCACATTGTGTTCCAGGAACAGGACAAGAAAAGTTATCACATGTTGGCTGTGGTGGTGGTGGCTTGCATGTGCATGTTTGACATCCATTCTCGTCTACTTTCATCCCATTTTTGCATATAATTTCATCGCAATCAACAATAGGACAATCGTTTGGTTTACATTCACATGTTTTGCAGCCTCTTTCGTCCAAGACATTAATTTCCTTTTCACTACAAGGTGGACATCTGTAGACAGGGCAGCGTTCACAAATTGGAGTAGATGGAGGGCAATTTGGACCAAGACATGTTACAGACATTTCACAGAATGTGTCTTTCGGGCAATTTAGGAAATCACATGTTTTAGGTTCAGGTCCATTACAAGTGCAAGTTGTGCATCCGTTTTCATCTGTGGCATATCCTGTAGAGCATCTGGTGACACAGTCTACTTGTGGGCATATTGGTTTGCATTGACATGTTTTGCATCCGTGTTCATTAATTACATTTACTTCGCCACGTTTGCATGGAACACATTTAATCATTGGACAACTCCTACACATTGGTCTTGACGGAGGACATCCTATAGCCATGCATGTAATAGACATTTCGCAATATTCGTTATCACGGCATTTTATATCTTTACAAGTTTTTGGCTCCTCACATTCACACGTATTACAACCATTTTTGTCTTTCTTGTAACCATTTGGGCAGAAAACAGCGCACCTTATCACTGGACAGGTGACCTTACATTGACAAGTTTTACAGCCTCTTTCATCCCGGATATATTCCTGGCCAATAGGACAAGCCATGCATCTGAAAACTGGACAATTTTCGCATTTCACTTGCGAATTGGATTCTACGCAAAATTTATCTCTTGGGCATGTGGCATCTTCACAGGAGTCAGCACACTTGCAAATTTCACATCCAGATTTGCTATCTCTCTTCCATCCAAATTCACAGTACATTTTACAGCGGACAGGTTCGCAAATAGCCCTATTGACACATTTTCCAATTTCATGACAAATACCTCCATTATCGCAAACTTTGCTTAATATACAATCTTGGTTATTTTTACAGTTTGCTTCTTTACATGCGCGGTGCAAAATACATCTAGCTTCACCATTCTCTTCTACACAAAAATGTCCAACCTGACATAACATAGCTGCACAGGTAGTTTTTGGTTTAACACAGACAGCATCAGTTGGGCAAGGAGGGACTAAACATGGATGAACTTTCTCTTCGCAGATTTCTCCAAGTTCACATTTAATATCATCACATGAATTTTTTGGTGGTTTAATATCATGACATTCGCCAATAGGTCCTGGGCATTCACCATTAGCAAGACAACCACGAGTAATAATCATGCAATTTTGGTCTTTTCTACAATTAGCTTTGACGCAAACTGGGTCAAGAACACATCTAGCTTCACCATTCTCTTCTACACAAAAATGTCCAACCCGACATAACATAGCGGCACAGGTAGTTTGTTGTTTTACACAAACAGCACTAGTTGGGCAAGGAGGAACTAAACATGGATGAACTTTTTCTTTGCAATATTCACCAATGTTGCACTTCTTATATTGGCATTTGTTTTTAGGGACACAGCGTGCAATAGGTTTCTTACAAACAAAACCAGGAATGCAAATCGATGTTGCTATTTCACAGCTTTCACCTTCTTTACATTTTTTGCAGAGATCGTTTGGTACGCATTTTAAGAATTGCTTGCAGGGTGCCTTTTTACATACGACAGTTTCAACTTTGCATTCTTCATTTGGTCTACATCTCTCACAAGTTGCCAATTCACATCGTGGATTTTTGTAGCATGGGGCGGTTACGCATTCGATGTCATCTTCAATGCAAACTTCGCCTGTACCACATTTCTTGTCTCGACAAGACGTAGGTTCTCTACATTTGCATATAGGACATCCGTTTAATTGTTCAAATCCATTTTCGCAGAACATTTCACACATGTATTTTGCACAGCCGCACGTTTTTGTTTCTTCATCGCAAACTTGGTTTTTAGGGCAATCGGAGTTTTTGCTGCAAGTTTCTGATTTCACACAACGGGGGTTTTTGTAGCATGGAGCAGTTACACATTGGATATCATCTTCGATACAAGTTTCTCCGGGACCACATCTTTTGTCCAAGCAAGACTCTGATTTTCTACATTTGCATATAGGACATCCGTTTAATTGTTCAAATCCATCTTCGCAGAACAGAGTACACATGATTTTTGAACAGCCGCATGTTTTTGTTTCTTCATCGCAAACTTGGTTTTCAAGACAATCGGAGTTCTTACTACATTTGGGTACTGGTGATGGGTTACATGTGCAAGTGGGGCATCCATTTTTATCCATAACGTTACCGTGTTCACAAAAGATTGCGCACACGGGTGGACATTCTAATAATAAAGAAAATATTGGTAATTGAAACTAATAATATACTAAGAGAATAATTTATACCTTGCTTGACGCATTGAGCAATCATACGACAAGGAGAGTGAGGGAAACAGTTTGGTTCTGGGAGCACTTTACAAACAGTTCCTTGTTGACATGTTACAGCAGCACATGATGTTGGTGGTTGCGGTGGTAGAGGAGGAGGAGGACCATTGCATTTACACTCTTCACAGCCGTTTGATCCCTTTGCGAAACCGTTTAGGCAAAACATCCTACAGGTAACTGGTGGACAACAAGCACAAGTATCACAACCTGCTCTGTCTTTCTTAAATCCTGTCGTACATGCAATATCGCATTCCAGCGGTTTGCATGTTTTCTCTATTTTCGATGAAAATAATAGTGTAACTTTAGTCACTAATTGTCAAAAAGGTAACTTTACACACTTACCACATTTAGCTGGCGCATTTTTTTGAACGCTTTCGACACAAGTTTCATCTTCGTTACATTTCATTTCTTTACAATCGAAGGTGGGATGCTCTGGTTCGACACATGTGTAACCATATCGGCAAATCACTTGGAAAGGATTCGGATATTTATTCACGACACAGACGCTTTTGTGACCAGAACATGGATTTCTATCACAGGGATTGTCGCAACAAGACGAACAATCTGGACAACCATCCGATTTCAGATTGAGAACTCCGTACTTACAGTTTTCACAATGGTCACTGCAATCTTTACACCGGCAATCACAAATTCCTGGAGTTTCAGCATCTGGATGGATACCATATAAACAATCTTGTACAGTACATTCTTCACACCGTTCACCAGTCGGGATTGATTGAACTTGAGACAGTAGAACTATTGCTGGTACCAGCAGAATAAGTTTTGAAATCTTCATCATTCCTCGATAAAGAGTATAGCCATACTAAAAGTTTTCAGCCTTTATATAGACAGCTCGTGCCAGGCACTACGGCCTTTTTTGTATTTTGAATATATTCGTGCCAAGCGGTGACAGTCTCTTCACCCCGGTACTGATTGGTGGTCTGTAGACCTATGTTATATTTGGCCAAAACAACAATAGAGCAGTTCAATCGAAAGCCCTTAGTAAGTAGTTTTAAGAAATGCACGTTTTTTTAGAAGGTGACTGTAAAGTCAAATGAAAATAATATAAGTTTGATACAAAATTATCTGGCATATATCTTTATACATCTACTATATATATACTAGTACTATAAACACCAAAATACGTATTGAATTAGTATTGGCTATTGACTTAAGGTTAAAATATTAAATTTCAGGTATTAAGTACACGTAAGCAGGTGGCGCTAAAATCAGAACAAAAGAAATTTTATTGAAGTAAGCAAAATGAAAACTTTTTTGTGCATAAAACACATTTCTTTTTTTTTAAAAAGAAAATCTATTTTTAGCCGGTGGAAGAAACTCAATGGGCGTTTACACGCGCATGATTTGTATGAGTAATACTATTGCTAAATTGCGAAAATATTCATACGGACATCTGTCAAAATGAAGATCGATATATGCCAACTGCTCTTATTTAATTTTCATACACTATCCATACTGCAATTAACTCGTTCGAATCCGAAAGAAAATAATGGCTGATGATAAAAGAATCGTTGTTATCGGAGTTGATGGAAGTGTTCGTTCAGAGCACGCTTTTGATTGTTGGTATTATTACAAACATCTGAACATTTATAAGTAATTATATGTATATATCACATTGATTGTCAATAAATTGCACATCTAGGGTATGCTGAACATTTGCACAAAAAAAAGAACTACGTAATTGTCATCCATTCCGTTGAAGTGCATAATGTCCATCCTTATCGTAAGTACATAAAGCATTATTACATTAATGATAAGTAATTGACATATTTACAGTTATTAAACCGTAATTTTTATACTTTTCTTATTATTTCTAATAGCGTCAGTTTTTGTTTCGCCGGAAGTTATGCAAGCTGAATTCGAAAAGGAAAAGTCCAAGTCAAAGAAGCTGGAAGAGTACTACACCGAGAGACTTAAGCAAAGGAACATTGAAGGTGAATTTGTAATAAAAAATGGTAAACCTGGAGAAGCGATTGTAGCATTAGCTAATGATATGAAAACCGAAATGATCGTTGTTGGAACAAGAGGTCACGGAAAACTAAGGAGAACAATACTTGGTTCAGTAAGTGATTATATCGTTCATCATGCTCATTGCGCAGTTATAACTGTCAGACCGGATGTTCCTCTTTAAACATGTATCTATTTTTATTGATTACTTAATTAAAAGTAAGTATTTGAAAGTATAATAAAATATCCATTAAGATTCAAAAGGGTGTACTAGGTAGAAATCATAGTAATCTCCAAAAAGGAACACAAAACAAACTAAACGTAATATTATTGCATAACATTTAAGATCCTTTATCTAATATTTTCATAAAAGTGAGGTAAAAAACTTGAGTATAGATCAAACAGTATATTTTCAATTCGATTATAAGCTCTTTCCATAACATCTTTATTCTTGCATCCATCTTCCTTCGATATATTTTTAAAACGCTACAGAAGTGTATTGCGGAGGTGGCGTTGATGGTAGAACCTCTATAGTGTCATATTGTTCAGGTTTTCCTTTCTCGTCACTTGGATGGATGTAGTAGGGCGGTGGACTGATCCCTTCTTTTATTTGTTTATTACCAGCGTCTTGATGATTGTCTGATTGTCTTACTGTTGCTCTTTTCTTCATCTGTAGGAGAATATATTATTACTAGGTCACTTATGAATACTATAAAAGATACTTACGTAGTGGCAAGTAAATACTGATATCACAACAGCCACCAAAATTAAAATTGTAACTGTGATAGCAATGGCAATAATATGATTTCGTTGTAATTTTTTTGTACATTGGCAAGTATTACAGCCGTTTACTTGTTCATACCCATCTTCGCAGAACGTAGCACACATGAGTTTTGGGCAAAAAATCAAGCATGTTCTTGTTGCTGCATCGCAAACTTGGTTTTCAAGACAATCGAAGTCCTTGCTGCAAGTTTCTGATTTCACACAACGGGGGTTTTTGTAGCATGGAGCAGTTACACATTGGATATCATCTTCGATACAAGTTTCTCCGGGACCACATCTTTTGTCCAAGCAAGACTCTGATTTTCTACATTTGCATATAGGACATCCGTTTAATTGTTCAAATCCATCTTCGCAGAACATTTCACACATGTATTTTGCACAGCCGCACGTTTTCGTTTCTTCATCGCAAACTTGATTTGTAGGACAATCAGATTTTTTGCTGCAAGTTTCTGATTTTTTACATTGTGGATTTCTATTACAAGGGGCGGTTTCACATTGAATGTTATCTTCAACACAAATTTCACCTGGACCACATCTTTTTTCCGAACAAGACATTGATTCTCTACATTTGCATATGTTGCATCCGTTTAATTGTTCAAATCCATTTTCACAGAACATAGTACACATCACGTCTGGGCAGCCACACATTTTCGTTGTTACATCGCAAACTTGGTTTGTAGGGCAATCTGAGTTCTTGTTACATGTTGACGGTGGCGGTGGGTTACATGTGCAAGTAGGACATCCATTTTTATCCGTAACCTTGCCATATTCACAAAAGATTTGGCATACAGGTGGACAAACTGTAAAAATATTATATAATCTGTATAATAATCCACAAATGAAGTATACCGTTTAAACTACTAACCACACTTGGCTGGTATGCTATTTTTGAGGCTACCTTCAATACAGGTTTGACCATCGGGGCATTTCACATCTTTACAATCGAAGACGGGATGCTCTGGTTCGACACATGTATAACCATATCGGCAAATCACTTGGAAAGGATTCGGATATTTATTCACGACACAGACGCTTTTGTGACCAGAACATGGATTTCTATCACAGGGATTGTCGCAACAAGACGAACAATCTGGACAACCATCCGATTTCAGATTGAGAACTCCGTACTTACAGTTTTCACAATGGTCACTGCAATCTTTACACCGGCAATCACAAATTCCTGGAGTTTCAGCATCTGGATGGATACCATATAAACAATCTTGTACAGTACATTCTTCACACCGTTCACCAGTCGGGTCCGAATGTACTTGAGACAATAGAACTATAGTTGATAACAGTAGAAGCAATTTAGAAATTTTCATCTTAACTCTACGAGTAAAAATCTCAAACTGAAAGTTTTTAAGCTATGTATAGCTTTATGATCAATTTATTATTAACAAGTTCGTACCAAACGGTAACAGGCTCTTATTTCTTATATCTCCGCTTGGTGTCTTTGTTGGCCTATCGTTTGGTTTAAAGAAAAATAACAACAAGACGTTAGGTTAAAACCAACTTGTGTAGAAAACGGAAGTGAAAATTTGTAACTAAAGCTTCCAAGTGTAGAAAAAAGCAAATAGTCGTGGTTGACGTCATAAAAATGGAGATGATTATTGTCTACATGAAGGTCAAGGAAAAAACTGCGTAGTAATTTTATATTTATTATAGACTAATGCATTGGTTACAAAGCTTAATCGGCGTTTCTAACCATTAGAGCAATTATAAGGGATGTTTTCTCTTTTTATAAGAAAATCATCTATTCATAAATTACTTATATATTTATATAAGGAATAGTTATGCGTACTTTCTTGAAAACTGATCGAAAAGTATGTAAAAGTGTGCAAAACAGTTGTTATTTTATTTGATAATCTGAGAAATTCTATAACACACAAACACGAAAAATAGACAGAAAAACTACACTTTTTGTAGTATTTATCGAGTTTTTCAAATTCAAGTTTTCACGAATTAGCTGGTAAAATAGCTTTCCGTTTTAGATGGTCAAGTATTCGAATATATCGATAAAGGCATTAAAAAAATAGAAAATAGTTTAAATTAAAATTCTCTCTATATAAATGATATTTGGATGAGAACTAATTTATAGGTTAAAGTGTCGTTTTTTTTTTTGGGTATAGAAACTTTCTCTCTCTCTCTCTCAAATATCTAGCAAGAAAGTTCTGGTAGCCCTTTCTTCTTTTCGTCCTCTTCAGAAATTGTTCTAAGAGAGGTTGTAGAAGTATATCTAGGTGGTGGAGTTGCTGGTGGAACACTAACAAAATCAGTTGGTTCAACCTTTTTCTCTTCATCATTTGGGTAGATGTAATAGGGTGGTGGACATTCCTTTTGGTCTCCAATTGGTTTTTCATTCATAACTCTTTGTTGATTGGAGACTTGTCTGGCTCTAGCCTTTTTCTTAATCTATACGGAATGATATATGATAATTTGATCTTTGAGTTGTTGTGTTCTACAATCTTGCTAATACTTACGCAGTAGCAAGTAATTCCGGTTACACCAACAATCACCAATATTAAGATTACAGCGGAAAGTATTATGGCTCCACGTTTGTGGTGCTTAAAAAATCCGAAACAACTGTCGTCATCGTCATCGGTTTGTTCCTCGGGTATAAGAGATTTGGCTGTTAAGATCAAACAATGTATTTGAATTAGCACTGTACATATGTCTACTTACCAACGCAGTATGGTTTTTCAACATCTCCATCTTTAAAAATATGACAAGCATGATGTTTTGCGCACTTCACCCTGTGGCAGAGGTGTTTTTCTGCACATTTACACATGGGGCAGCCAGAGGGGTTAAAGAGCATACCATATCTACATTTCACGTATTCTCTATTCGAATCTTTATCAAAATGCCTCATTTCCGTTTCCTTTTTATGCTTATGGGAATCTCTATCTTTTTCATCATCCTGTTCACGTCCTTTCTTGTGGCGATCATGTTCACGCTCTCTTTCATGTTCACGCTCTCTTTCATGTTCAGGATGATTCTCAGGTCTGGGCATATGTCCACTACCTTGCTCACTGTGTTTCATAAACCATTTTGAGCCGTGTCTAAAAGAACCATGTCTGCTGTCGTTATCATCATCGTCATCATCATCGTCATCATGGTCGTCATCCCGGTCATCATCTCTTTCGTGTCTCTCAATTACACGTTCACATCTTGCTGAACAAACCGGTAGCTTGCTCGTATCCATCGACGGAGGCAGACCGGGCCTCTTCAAATGCTTTGCCTCAATGGCAACTGCAATCAGTGCCAGTAAAACGAGTAGGGCGACTTTCATCGTGAGCTTTTAAAAGATTAGTAAATTAAACGATGATAAACTGAATTTTTCCCTACACTGCTGTACCTGTATTTGCAGCACAGAGTCTGATCGATTACCGATGCGCTTCTGAAAAACACAATAATTTATTAGCGAAATGCCTGGCGCTGTGGTCGTGATCTCTTTTAAATAATTATTCAAAAACTTCAAGATCTTATATTCATATTCATATTTTAGTCTAATAACACAATAAAACAGTCTATATCGATATTATAATATATGCATCTAGGTCTATTTGACAGACAAAAGTTTCAAAACTGTCAATGCCAACATAAATTAAAGGTAACCATAATACCTAAAAACACTACAGTAGAGAGCTTTCTAAACCTTTGTGCATGTATGATTCAGCGGCAAGTGATTGCATAGGGTAAAAAACTACGGTGAGGGCTTAGAAAGGTATGAGTCAGAGGCAAGTGATTGCAGGGGGTGAAAAACTCGGGCGTTATAAATTATCATTTATTTTTAATTTAATACTTTTCAAAACAGACTTCATTGTGATAATAAATTTTTAGAAATCTTGATAGTATTTGATTAATGAAAAAAATTGTTTATCTTCATTTATATATGTTTGTCATGTTTTTATATGTTTCATATTTTCTATTATTATAAAATAATTGACTAAAAATACTAAAAAAGCATTCAGAATGACATTAATATTTTATAAATGCTCCATCAAATGAATTAATGCAAAATTATGCAATTTTAAGAAATAGAGAAACACACAATTTAAAAAAAAAGCGGTAGGTGACAATAAAGAATAGAACCAGTTGCCGCACTTTAAGTTCAGTGACTTATTAGCATTTTATTCATAAAAAAGCTTATTTTCAAAAAAACATTGATCAGTAACTGTGGAGTAATAAAAGCTTTAATAATATCCACGAGCATGTTCAATTTATAGTTGTGTGCAATTTATAAGTTGATTCTATTTTTCATTTGTTTTTTGTTTTTGTATATTTTCATTAGTTTAGAATTCTGATGTATCGATTTTCCATAATTCCTATCAGGAAGAGAATATTGTATTTTATATTATATGTATGGTTGAAAAGCAACTATTATTAAGTATATTCATTATTTTAACATATTACTAAAAATCGAGATCTTTCATAATCCATGTAGACTTCTATTTCCTTTATATCAACTTGGTTAACATTAAATTTCACCCTGGGTAAGAGATTATCATGAATGACGTCATTGCTTTCTTTAATAAATTCATAGCCATCTAATTCTTCTAGACATGTTTTGAAATGTTCATAAGCTTCACAACAAACGGCCAAATTGTTCAAAGTAAAATTAATTCTTTTTGAATAGATAAAAAAAGAATATCAATTAGGCAATAAAAAGGAAATTTAATATTTATAATCATAAATTAACCTATATATTATTGTACCTTTTTTCTATTGCAATATATAAAATCTTATTCCAGCGTCCAATTGTCAAAAGTTGAAAGACGGTTCGAAAGAAAGCATTAGTTAGATCTTCATTGTAAACAACTACAATTAAAGAAAAGATATGATAAATATATTATTATATTACGCATTTGCAAATATATAGGCTTACAAGTTATATTTCAATAAATAATGAAATAAACAGTATTAAATGTAGTATGTGTACAAATAAAAATAGGTCTTTTCTTTATAAGATAAATATAAATGATAAAAATTTCATAAGGAAAGTAAAAACAGCTTTCATTAAATGATATTCAACGTACCGTCAGCAGCAATAATATATTTTGCTTCCTCAGCTATTCTACGTTCTTCTGTATCCCATTTTAATAATTCTAACAATGTTTCTAAATATTAAGCTTTAATTAAATATTAACTTTTTAAATATAATGCTAAAATAACAGATATTAATACCTTCCCAATTAATTTCTTTTGTTAAAACAGTGCTTCCTTCTTTAAGAAATTTCTTATTATTTTCAATATTCTTTTCGCATAATTTCAAAATATTTTCCCCCTTATCTAATGTTGTTTTTAGTAAACGATATTGTGTTATTTTAAGTGTTTTAAATAAATTTATATATCGTCAATATTAAACCTGTACAGATGACTGTTTTTGCAAAAATTCCTCCAATAATTCCAGCTAAACCAACTCCTGAACCTAATTCGATGATATCCTCATTTTTTAATTTTTGCCTTTGATCTATTAGTAATTCGCAGAGTAGTAAACTACTATGCCATACTTGTAAACCAACATCTTTTATTAGGGTACACTGTGCATGGGCTATAAATAATAATATAATAATAATTTTCTTTGTCTTTTAATTGTCAAGTAAATTCTTTAATAGAAATTTTAAATCAGATGGCCTAGAAATATAAGTCTATTTATTTTGAATGACGCGATATTTACTTATACTTATACTGATTTCATTGCCGCGTTTAAGTTTTCTTTCTCTTTTAAGAATAAAATCTCCATCGCTATCTCTTTTAACACCATCTACAGATTGGTCTTTATTAGACAACGATATTTGCAATTCCGGTATTACAAATTCAAACGTGGTTTCGAACGCTATTCAAGGAAAATTTTTGATTTAATAAAAAAGACAAATAGATTATGCTTCTTTTTTTATTAAACCTTCATAATCTTTTAAATTTTGTTCCTGTTTTTTCGCAATATTAAGAATATGAACGTTCGAGAGAGCCTCTTGCAACTCCCGCTCCATCTTGAGCAGACGACATTTAATTCATCTGATAGATGGCGCTGCGAATAAGAAAGAAAAACCGGAAATGTAACGACAAATTCTTTCTTACTAATGTAATACTATGAGAATCTTTGTGGTACATTAAACACAGCAAACAGCAATGAGATTTATTTTTATAAAATCTTAGCTACGTGCAAGGCAATAGAGAAGTGTTCAACACAACTTGAACAAACAACTAAAAAGTTTAATATGTTTGTTCCTTATGCTAAAGCAGAGATCAAAGAGAAAACTAAAGAAATTTTTATGCATGCAGACAAGTTATTTCAGCTGAATAGTTACAAAAATAACACTTAAACTCTTTCATCGAAAAATGATATTATTTTTTTTTAAAAAAAATCAAGAGTAAAAGGTTACGTAACTATTGCATCATTCGGTCTATATCTTTTCGTTGTTTTCACATATCAACTAGATCAATTAATAAAAACAAAAGAGTAAAACTTTGGCATTCATTTTGTTTTCTTGATATTTAAAGCGTCTATGATTCTTGTGAAGTTATACGAGAAGACTTTGTCTTAATAGTCGTCGTTCCATGACCGCCCTGTTTCATTGAATAGTATATATAGTATAAATATAAGAATTAATCATATTAATAAACTTACAGTCACTGTACGAGAAGTTGAAATTGAACTGCGATTCTTTGCTCTTAATTTAGCCAAAGTATTTTCAGCCATGTCAGCTCTCTCTTCGGCATCTTCTAATTCGTGTTGAACCTTTCTGTATTTAGCAAGATTTACGGCAGCAATCTCTTCTGCTTCATCCACTTGACGTTTATAAGTTTTGATTTTGTTCTGTAATTTATCGATAACATCTTGCATTCTTTCTTGCGCTTTACGATCTTCATCATTCTGGAAGGCAAGCTCTTTAAGGCGTTTATCTTGTTTTCTGAAATTCTTTGAAGTTTCGGCGTGGCGACGTTGCTCGCTATCCAACTCAACTTCAAGATCACGGACCCTTTGTTCCAATTTTTGGATAGTTCTCTTTCCACCTTTAAGAACATTCGCCTCAGCTTCATCTAATCTAGCTTGCAGTTCTTTAACCTGCGATTCTAGCGATCTTCTTAGCTTTTCAATGCTGCTAGAATGATCTTGCTCCTTTCTCAAGTCTTCAGCCAACTTGGCAGCATCAGACATGGCTTTCTTGGAACGCTCTTCAGAAGTGCGAAGTTCATTCAATTGGTCATCCATATCACTCTGCATAGCTTGTATATCGTTCTCTAGCTTGCGCTTATGTGCCATAAGTGAGGAGTTAGTTGTAGTTAGTTCGGATACACGATCAACGGCCTCATGGAGGTCTCCTTCAGCAGATTTCCTGGCTCTTTCTGATGCTTCTAACTGAGTATGAAGTTCTTCGATTTCGCCAGCCAGAACATTTGCACGTCTTTCTGATGAAGTGTATTGTTCTCGTGCTTCGTCTCTTGAGCGTTGCTCTTCTTCCAGTTGCATCTCCAACTCTCTAATATGCATTTGATATTTTTTGACATTCTTTTCAGCTTCAGCTCTACCTCTGTTGGCACCATCTAAAGCAACTTCCAACTCGTTAATGTCTTGCTCTAACTTCTTCTTTACGCGCAATGCTTCTGTTTTACCGCGGCTTTCAGCTTCAAGAGAAGCTTGCATAGAATCAAGGGCTCGTTGATGATTGCGGCGAGTGTTCTCAAATTCTTCATCCTTCTCTGCAAGGCGTCGTTCAATATCCTGTCTGACAGCAGAAATTTCGAGAGTAGCTCTCATTACTTTGGCTTCTTCTTGCTCCAAGGCAGCTTCAGCTTCTTCCAGAGCAGCTTGTAATTCTTCTTTTTCCATTTCCAAACGTCGACGAGCTTTTTCTAGGTCGTGAACAGATTTTCCGCCTTCTCCCAATTGATCCGTTAATTCTCGTATCTCTTCGTTCAAATTTTTGTTTTCTCTTCTTAGTGCCTCCATTGTATCATGGGATTCTTCGAGTTGGGTCTTGAGCTTGAACACTTCGGCAGCATTTGCTCTTGAATCGCGATTTGCTTGTTCTAATTCAGCTTGAAGATCTGATGATTTCTTCTTCCATTCGTCAATCATCTTATCGAATTGCCGTTGTTTCTTTTCAGCCTGATTTGCCAGAGTTTGCGACCTTTCTACTTCAATGACAATATCTTCTAATTCTCCTTGTAACCTAACCTTCGTTTTCTCCAAGCTTGATACCTTAGCTTGGGCAGCCTCCAAAGCTTGCTCAGTTTCGGATAATTTAGCTCCCAACTTACGTTTTAATTCATCTAATTCCTCACTTCTTACGCTACCTTCTCCAGATTCACATCTTCTACGCCATTCGGCAGCTTCATTCTGAGCCTTGGTCAATTGCCTTTGTAAATCACTCTTTGATTCTTGTTCTTCTTCCAATTGATCTCTTAGACTATCCACATCAGCTTGAAGGTTACGAGCTTCACCGTGTAACTTGGCCTTTGCACGAGATTCATCTTCGAGATTTACTTTCAGTTCTTCTATAGATTTTGTTAGGTTTGCCTTCGTTCTTGCCAGTTGTTTTATTTGACTTTCAGCTTCTTCTAATTGCCTTAGTAATTCGGATGATTCTGTTTGCACTCTGGATTGATGCGAGGTTAATTCGGATATCTTCCTCGTGGATTCTTCTAGCTGTGTAGAAGTTTCGGACAGTTGGCTTTCTAGCTGTTTGCTCATTTTTTCGGCCGCTGATTTGCTCTTTGAAACATGTTCCACTTGAGCATTTAAATCATCAACTTCTAATTTTAACTTATTCTTCTCCTTTTCAATACTAAAAGAAATGGTTAGTTTTACCAAACACTATAGAAATAAAACTTACTTGGCTTTGGTTTTACTTAAGTGATCTAATTGCTCCGAAAGTTCATTAACAGCATCTTGCTGTTTTTTTCTTAATGTTGCAGCTTGCTGTTCATGCTGCAATTGCTGTTCTTCTAAGTCTCTTCTTAGCTTTTGCATCTCCATCTCTCTCTTTTTGTTCAATTCCATTTGAGCTTGGGTTGCACCACCAGCTTCATCTAGACGATCTGAAAGTTCATCTAACTCTCTATTTAATTCGGCTCTCTGTTTTTCGACCTTCATTCTAGCAGCTCTTTCGGCTTCGAGCTCTTCTTCTAGTTCCTCTATGCGAGCTTGAAGAGCTTTAATTTTCTTTTGTAATTGAGCGATTAGAGATTGTTCATCCTCTAATCTTGAATTCAAATTACTGATTTCCGAATCTTTCTTCTTAGATTGTTCTTCTAGGGATCTCTTCACTCTCTCAAGATCGTCAACTGTTTCCTGAGTTTGTTTTAATTCACTCTCTAACTTTCTTCTCACTTTTTCAACATCGCTTCTTTGTTTCTTTTCTCTCTCCAAAGAATCTTCTAATTCGTCAATATTCTGCTCCAACTTTTGTTTCAGCTTATTCAAATGATTACATTTGTCTTCTTCTGCTGCTAAGTCATCTTGGGTCTTCTTCAGGTTTTCATCGAGATTTTTCTTATCTTTGTTGAGTCTCGAAATTTGATCGTCTTGTTGGGCCATTTCATCCTGAAGAGTTCGAATCTGGTTCTCTTTAGTTTGTTTATCTTGATTTGCTTTTTGGATCGTTAATTCCATATCTTCAACATCCTTTTTAAGATTTTCACATTCTTGCTCAACCTTGCGTTTGGCATCTTCAAGAGCCTCAGCACCATCTTCTTCTTCTTGAAGACGTTCTTCCAATTCTTTCATTTGACTCTCATAGTCGGCTTTTTGAGTTATCAGCTTTTGAATAGTTTCCTCACGATCAGTTAAGGTGTCTTGCTCGGCTTGTAATTGCAAGAACAGGTCGTTTTTAGCTTGAAGGAGAGTTACATTTTGCTCTTCTAGCTCCTTCTTATGTTTTTCCAACTTAGCAATATCTTCTTTAGCTTTTTCCAGCTCTTCTTCTTTCTTTTTCATTTCATCCTCTTGGCGAGCGATAGACAACAAAGGCTTAACTCTTGTGTATAATTTCCACCATTGCCAATTTCTCAAAGTCAACCATTTCCTAATATTTCTTTGGATAACGGAAAGACCCATACGTTGATCTTGCAATTTCTTGTAATTACGACGCATAAGATAACCTCTGATATGAGCTTGGAAAAGAGAAATAATTTTAGATAATTTCTCATCGCGCATATCTTCGAGTTGACCGAGGACACCAGCTCTAAAGAAAACTTTTGTGTGACCTAATCTATAATCATTGTCCGCCAATTGGATAGCCACGAGAACCTTCTCGGTAACGACCTTTCCATCAACAAAACCTTGAGGAATAGCATTGGGAGCAAGGATCGAATAACGTTGCTTAAATTCCGAATAAATGATTCTATTTGGAAATCCCTTCCTACAAATTCTTATTCCTTCCAATACACCGTTACATTGCAGTTGGTGCAATACAAGGTGAGCATCAATTTCTCCTGTAATTCATTAAGAAGAAAGAGGAGTTTATAAAGGAAGAAAACAATTATTAAGATCTAGGAAAGGATTCGACATATATAGAGGAAAAGGACACAAACCGGGAGCCTTATTTTCGTTCGGGATAATACATCGGACAAAGTGAGGCTGAGTAGTCTTCAGGTTCGTCATAAGTTTGTTTAGAGATTCCTGACATTGGTAGGTTAAATAAAAGATAGGTAAATATCTATAGGTTCCAAACTTAAGAACAATCATGGAGAGACAGTAAAAGGATAATTAGGGGAAGAGAATTCAATTTCATTCGTTTCATAATTTGTTTACTGCAGTATTTTAATATATATATTTATTTACAGATTTATGAAATGAGTTCTCTCTTATCGCTAGGCGCTATTCGCTAAAGATATCGGAAATTGGAGGATAAAGATAGGCGTGAAGGAATATTGGCGTGTGGGTCTACCTGAAAGCTAAACATAGCTTATTTAGCTTAAATACTTCTTCCATCCCTGAGATCCTGTATGCAAATAACGATTATAGATGATTTACTATTGAAAGCTTTAAAGGAATAGACTGTTTTATCAGGCGCATTGCGCTATGCATAGTTGATAAAAAAAAAGCAGCTCAAAAAAATTCTCTCGAAAACTAACCCGATGAGTCGCTGAAATGGTTTGATAGGCTCCTCCCTTCTTCTTCTTCTTACCAGCAGCAGGTTTATCTATAAAATATAAAAATAAATAATAAATACCTAATTGACGTTGTTTTGATTATTTTATACTATTAACCATCTTTAGGTTCCGCAAAGAACATAGCAACTAGAGGTTCTTTAGAAGCTTGGAGTAGTTGAACAACGGTATCGTTGATGGGATCTTTGTTCTTATCCAACCATCCATTGATGTTATATTGAACAGTACCGGCATAATGATAAATTTCGAAATGAGGCTCATATTTAGCTTTCTTGTCCGGCTTGGGTTTTCCGAAATTGGGCGATTTACCCAAATGATTTTCGTATAATTTTGTCATAAAGGTTTTATCAGTAGCTTTAGGGAACATGCATTCCTCTTCAAGGATGGACAGAATACCCATCGGCTTTTCAATCAAATCAATACATTGTTGTAAATCCATACCAAAATCAATAAATTCCCAGTTTATACCTTCTTTCTTGTATTCTTCTTGTTCCAAGACGAACATATGATGATTGAAGAATTGTTGCAATCTTTCATTGGTATAGTTGATACAAAGTTGTTCAAAGGTATTGTACTCAAAAATTTCGAAACCAGCAATATCCAGAACGCCTATGAAATATTGCCTCTTGTTCTTTGTGTCTAAAGTTTTGTTTACTCTTGCGACAAGCCACTTAAACATTCTATCATATAAGCATTTAGCTAAGGCGCCAACAGCAAAATTAACTTGATCCAGATTTTGTCCTTTGGTAACCATTTCATTACCAACTTTGACTTTCGGTTTTAGCAAGCTCTTTAGGAGATCGCCAGCATTAACCCCCAAGAGATAGGCAACTTTTTCAGCCTCTGATGTTCCATCGGCTTCAGCTTGTTCTTCTCTTGGTCTTTGTTTAAATTTCATCTCGCCAAACCAGATAATGGCTGCAGTACACTTATACAAGCCCATCTTTTCTTCTTCAGTAAAGCCGAGGACGCCAAAAGCATCATCGGTGAATTTCATTTCTTCAGCATCGTCTAAATTTTCAACTTGAAGACAGCCTTGATTGATAAAATGATATAGGCCAGGATCTTGGGCGATAAGGAGTTTATCTGTGATTTTTCAAGTAACGAATGATTACTTTCTATTTAAATTTGAGCGCTGGGGTTTTGCGCAAACGCAGGCGTTCAAGCCCCATAACGTGTGTTGTAGAATGGAATTGATCTTACCAGTGAACTCCTTACTATAATTAGATGTAATTTGATAATAAATATGATAATTGCGCTCGCGCCCAGGTTGTTGGTACGTAATGCGCGATTTTTCCAGAAGATCTGTAATTTAAAGATTAAGTACTACATTTAATCATTGTGTTCTCTTGTTGCATTCATTCTGATTTATTAGGTAACACGAATAGGATCAATCCAAAAACAACGGGGCAATTGGGCTAATACTTTCGCAGCAGCCAACAGCGCCACATACCCTTCGTTTCGTGGAAACTTCCGGAAAGTAATTGATAAAATATGTGGTAGTTCCTCTCGTTCGGTTGTTGGAAAGTGACACGAGACTTCTCTAAAAGGTCTATTGAGTAATAAGGGTCAAAGGTTTTACAGGGAAAAGTAGTTAATCAAAAAATTAATATCAAATAATAAGTTAAGTTTAGTTTTACGTGGAATGTTGATCTATTTATAAATGTTCTATATATAGATCTAGTTAGCTTAAGGCACACTTGCAACGGAGATAATTTTGTACTTACAAGTCTCAATATCAGCTCCAGCAATTTTTCCCGTAGTACCGAAATGAATTCTTATGAATTTACCGAAACGGGAAGAGTTATTATTACGGATTGTTTTAGCGTTTCCGTATGCCTCAAGAACCGGGTTAGCTTGGACTATTTGATCTTCCAAAGTTACCGCTTTCTTCGAACTTCCTTCCGCTGGTTGTTCTTTAGACGATTGAGTTGCGGCGACAGAAGCAAAATAAGAAATTACTTTCTTCGTATTTTCCGTTTTACCGGCGCCAGATTCACCGGTGATAAGCATAGATTGATTCTCGCGATCCTGCAGCATATTATGATAAGCATTGTCGGCTATGGAGAACAAATGCGGTGGCATTTCATTCCTTCTCTTTCCCTTGAACTTATTAACCACTTGTATGGTATAGATGGGAAGTCTTCTATAAGGATTTATAGCAACGCAGAAAAGCCCCGAATAAGTATAAATCAGGCCACTGCAGTAGCGAGACTTGAGATTATACAAAACCGAAGCTTCGTTTAAGTAGGTCAAATTCGCCATATCTTCCATTTTTTCGAACTTAGGTGGGTTCATTTGCTGACATTTCTCCTTTTTAACGGTTTTCGACTCCATCTTTTCTGTTAAAACCGTAACTTCATCTCCTTTCGTCGACTCGATATCGGCCCTAAGATAGCCCTCTTTTGGATCGGGAATCCAAACGTTCTTCTTACCATCGTAAGGTTTCGCCTCTTCCAACAACTTCTTTCTATCTATGAAAAGATAGGGATAATCCGGATCGTCGGGGTTAGCCATAGTTCTCAAACTGAAAAATAAAATACTATGTAAAATAGATTGAGTCAATTAAATAGTATCTATCTACAAAATAATATAGTTAATATTTATCCACCTGCCAAGAAGCAAGGCGTTCTGCGACTACTGCAAAGTTGCCTTCTCGTTATATACGTAAACTGTAAAGCAGGCGCAGATTGGCTACAGCAACTAAAGGCTGAACGCATATAAGGTAGAATGGGGCGTGCTGTAAAAAATATCCAGTACTGTAAGCCGAGGTATTTTTGGAAACGTGAAGTCTTTCTACTGCATACTTGAGCATCCGTTGTAAAAATATCTTTATCCTTCAGTCTCTAAGCCTCTTCAAGTTACCTAAGGAATTATTTTGTACAGCTTTACTGTTTAACAATATTTAACCCTTATAATAGTGTTATATCCTTAATTATTTAACATTTACTATAAATTCACTATCCATTTACATTTCAAACATTTTTCTAAATACTAGAAATAACAAACCCCCCTCCCTCTCCTTCATAAGATATCTTAGACTTAGAATCAGAAGAATGTATACATAGAAGATATAGATCAATAGGAAAACAAAAATACCAAAAATTCTTGCCTATCTTATTTATAAACAATTGAAAAGTGCTAATTAGTCAAAGTTGTCCAATAAATCAATCGGATAAAATAACAATGAATATAAATTACTAGAATCAAAAATTGATGATAACACAATTCTTTTTTTATAGATAATATCTTCGGAGAATATCTCTTCCGATAGATTATCGGAAACATTAGGGCATAATTCTAAATAGACGATTGCGTTGAAAGAAGATGGTGAATTAATTGATTTTATAAACAAGTTTCAGAATTTCTCTTTTCGTTAACCTATAATACTTTTTCTATGGGTTGGCTAAGCTACAAGTTACTAAACCAAATATATCGACTAAGGCCCTCTATAAGAAAAAAAATGCTGATACCAAGCTAAATGCTTCTTCTTCTAGTATGTGTACGAAAATCCATAGTAGAAATTTTATTTAACGAAATGAAACAACCTTTAATGCTGATTGAAATTCATTACATGAATTAAGATTATAAAGCAAATAATTGAGTGGAAATGGTTATGTTAGGTTTGCCCTAACCCTAACTAACCAAAAACAAAACCCCACTGCAAATAAAACTGATGTGCACTATTACTTTCCTTATGAGTACTTTTCAAATTGTCTGCTTTTCAATAACCTAGTACATATTATATTTAGACAACGTCATAAATATATTTAACTATATGAAAGATATTATTAAGCATAACCGATTTGTTTCTTACCAGAATGCAGTAATTTTGCTTTTACAATAGTTAGTCGTTCAGTTATATTTGGAGAAAACCTATTCAAACTCCTATCTTCAACAAAATGACGACGACTTTGTACACATCTTCCTCTTTTTCGGTAGTGTCTGAGTACCACTTCATCAGAGCTGATCATTTGCTTTTTATACGGTTTGCTGGGTCGAACACAATTGTGTTGGAGAAACATAAGACATTTCAGGGCCTTATGTATAGACTTTGCCGGAAGAAGTGACTCTTTACCAGCGGCTATTATTTCCTTATATGGCCTTTTAAAGAAATAATGTGTTTCATCTGGTATCATAAAATTACACGTTATATCAAAATTCTTCATTTGAAAGTTAATGGTATCATATTCTTTAAACTTATTCAAAAGTTCATGATAATTATTTACTTTTTTCGGTACAAGAACTTCATCAAGATCCATAACCATAATATATGTACTTCTCAGATAATTTCTCAACATACATTCCGTAAGATCAGTAGAGTACAGAACTTCTAAGAAGTAAGGTTTTGCTGGAGCTCGAGATTTATTCTTTTCAAATGTATACGTAATATTGTATGGTGTATCTAAATTATAGAAATCCAAGAGACCTTGAGCTTTATAATAGCTGAATATCTCCCAATTTTCTTTTGAAACCTTCCATACATGCATTGAAATTTTTTGTACACCAAAAAATCTTTGTAATTCAAACCATTCTATTAAGGCCTCTGAATTAAAGTTTCCATAAACTATTGGAACACAGGCTATAAGATTATAACTTCCCGACTCAGCGATTTCAACTGGTAAGAAGACTCTTTCTAATGTCTTTGTATCTTCCAATATTAACTGACTAGGATAAGGTCCTACTTTTGATATAGGACATAAAATATGTACACTCTGCCACCCTGTGAATTCTAGTCTCCAACTTCTCGGTACTTGACCTAATGCAGCTCTTTTTGTTATCCACTCTCCTTCATAATACAATTTACAATTAACATTAAATTCGTAAAAAGCCCTTCCTCGTAAGATTCCTGTAGTAATTACAACGGCTGTTTCACCAAATACACCCTGCCGCAGGTCAATAAATGATTTATGAACGAATAAATGATAATCTTTTTTCATAAATTCCTGCCAACCACCTTTTAGTACATTTACAGTGTTCACCTCTCCTGAGTACAATAAACTTTCAGCTGGCCGAACTTGAACAGTCGATTGATTTATCTCAAAATAACTTTGACAAAGGACCAAAATTATAACTGTAATAATTAATAATGAAACAAAATATTTTAAATCAGGCGCACGAAATTTGTAAAGCGAGAGAGATTTCATTTTACAAAAAATTTGTGCCAGCAGCAGCAGTCAATTTAATATTTGATACTCATCTTAAGTATTGTACTCAAACTACTCAAATGTACAGCAAAGACAGCCTACCTATTAATATCATCCAATGGAGGAAAGGGTTGATTTGAAGATCATAGATTTTGAAAAGAGATTGAATCTTGAATTCTGTAGTCTAAAATCTTTTGCCTGACCGCACTTGGACTTTTTCTTAATACACATAAAAGTAAAAGAACAATTCCACACAATAAAAAATTAGGCATATTTTTTGGGTAATGATACTGAGAGGAACTAATATAAATTTTCAATTTGTATCTATACTTAAAGTGAAATTAATTGTACTTATAACCAAAAATAAGACACACAAAATCTAATACTTAGTATTATCCAATATCGTGTTTCCTGAATAGGGTATTACTTCTGCTTATAGGAATTTGATAACTTTAATTAATTTACTTTTAGTTAAGTAGTAATTTTTAATTCTCTTTTTAACTTAAAAATGTAACTATACAAGAACACTATGAGAAAATTCGTTCGAAAAATATTCAAAAGTTCAATGATCTCAAGCGGAATAGCTGAAAATATTCTGGCGTACAGCTAAACAATAATGGACAATTTTCTTAAATACGATAGATGGCGCCTCCAATCTATTATTTTACATTTTTAAATTTTCTATATAAATTCTACAAATATTATATTTATTAATAATATTATAAATATATATGGACATATATATTGGTCTTTCGAAAACTTCGAATATTCGACAACAGTTCAAATCAATTCTGATCAATTTCCGGTGACTAGACAGAAGTTCAGCGCTGACAAATATGCCAGATTATTTAGGAAAGGATCAAAGAAAAACAAAGGATGAAGAAAAAGAAGATAAACCAATTCAAGGTAAGCTCAAATACTGAAAATAGGTTAAGAGTATTAAAAGAGGTATATAGAAAATTAAATGTTTTTATTATTTTCGTTCGGTTCATAAATTCGTTTTTATCACCGTGTAGCTCTTGATGAAAAGGACATAAAGCTTCTCAAAACTTATGTATGTAGTCTTTTAAGCTGTTTGTTCGTGAAATTTAATCGTAATTTTGCTCGATCTGTTTTAGGGTTCTGGTACCTATGATGCTCCTATCAAGTCAACAGAAGAAGATATAGCGGCAGAATTGAAAAAGGTACTGATAGTCATGAGTATTATGTCCAAGCTGCTCTTGCATTAATCTTCATATGTTCCAAGAGTGTACTTATCATAATATAAGTAACAGCATTTTTTGTTTTATAGGTAAACGAACTAGCAGGAATAAAAGAATCAGATACCGGATTAGCACCACCGGCACATTGGGATTTAGCCGCTGATAAACAAGCCCTACACAGTGAACAACCTTTACAAGTTGCAAGATGTACTAAAATTATTAATGCCGATTCGGAAGAACCCCGTTACGTTATAAACGTCAAACAATTTGCTAAATTTGTTGTTGACTTACACGAAGATGTGGCACCAACCGACATTGAAGAAGGCATGCGTGTTGGAGTTGATAGGAACAAATATCAAATACATATACCTTTACCACCCAAAATAGATCCTACTGTCACTATGATGCAGGTAAATCACTTGATTTATTTCATTTTGCGACTTAACAAAAAGACATTTTTTTTTAGGTTGAAGAAAGACCCGACGTAACTTATTCCGATGTCGGTGGTTGCAAAGAGCAAATTGAAAAGTTACGAGAAGTCGTAGAAACTCCACTTCTTCATCCAGAAAAATTCATCAATCTCGGTATTGAACCCCCTAAAGGCGTTTTGCTTTTTGGTCCACCTGGAACAGGTAAAACCTTATGTGCTCGAGCTGTTGCAAATCGAACAGACGCTTGTTTTATTCGAGTCATTGGTTCCGAACTTGTACAAAAATATGTTGGCGAGGGAGCCAGAATGGTTAGAGAGTTGTTTGAAATGGCAAGAGGAAAGAAAGCGTGTATTATATTTTTTGATGAAATTGACGCCATCGGAGGTGCTAGGTTCGACGATGGGGCTGGTGGTGACAATGAAGTTCAGAGAACAATGTTGGAACTAATCAATCAATTAGATGGTTTTGATCCGAGAGGAAATATTAAAGTGTTAATGGCCACCAACAGACCGGATACGCTTGATCCAGCACTTACAAGACCAGGTAGGTTAGATCGAAAGGTCGAATTTAGCTTACCTGATTTGGAAGGAAGAGCCCACATTTTTAAAATTCATGCAAGGTCAATGAGTGTTGAAAAAGATATAAGATATGAGCTTTTAGCCAGACTGTGTCCGAACTGTACAGGTAAGCACCTTTTCGCAAACAATCGAAAAACACTATAATCTATATTGATTTCTACGTAGGAGCTGAAATCCGTTCTGTTTGCACTGAAGCTGGCATGTTTGCAATTAGAGCAAGAAGAAAACTCGCTACCGAAAAGGACTTTTTAGAAGCTGTAAATAAGGTCATAAAGGCCTATGCAAAATTCTCATCAACACCGAGATATATGACTTATAATTAATTAACTGTTGGGATACTTTGTAAACGTTAGTATTGACCATAAACAACAAAAAATAAAACTTTCACTGCTTAGAAATTTTCAAATGAAAGTCTATTTTGTTATATAAAAATTTTAGAAGCACTCAAGAAAACAAAACGCTTCTTTTATAAATTTAATAATATACGATTTTTATTCATTACTATTAAATTTTTAAATATCATCAAAAATGACTTTTACAAAAATATTATAAAGTTTAAAATTCTGGATTTCCAAAGCCAAGCTCATTTTGCGTACGGTGAATTTCTTCAATTAAATCTTCATCAGCCGCCGAAAGATTCAACTGAAAGCCGAATACGGTCAATTAATATATTTTAAGCTCTTCATTAGTGAGAGTTTAAGAATTACTGGCTATAACTAAAGTAGGAAGTGCTTCGTAGATACTAAACGAACCTAAAAGTCTTAAGCAAGCGTGCTTGACGCGAACACAAGAAAAAATAGGCAAAGGTATATAAATGCGACAGGAGGATTGCTAAACTTCTTCTATGTTTTACCTTTTCAAAAATGCTATAATCAATCGATTTCCACAGCTGTAGATGTTTTGTGCACGGACTAATGGTGTTATGAATATTATAAAAGATGTTACGACCTACCTTAACGGCATATTTGTAAGCCTGTTCTGCTTCAACAGGCCTGTTTGTCTTTAAACAAACAAGAGATAAATAAGCCCATACTTCTGGATCGATGTTATGCAAAATATTGGCTTCCGTTAGGGCATCCTCCGCTTCATCAAGTTCACCCAATCTGTAAACAATATGATAAAGGTAATATTATCCGATTAAAAAATATTGCTGTTTGTGGGGGTGTAACTAATCTAACCTATAGCAAGCTATTCCGACACCGAGCCAGGTCACACAAGTTGGAGATCTTCGGCACGCTTGCAAAAAGATATTTTTTGCTGCTTCATGATTATTTTCAGACATATAAATGGATGCTAATCTTAAATAAATAGGGTGTAAATCAGTTGGCGGATTAACGAAAGCTAATGTTCTTTCGTAGCAATCTTTAGCATCTACAGTTCTTCCACTGAGATACATTACATGACCTTTCATGGCCCATCCATCGGAATTTTCATATTCAAACTGCATAGCTTCTTTCAAACTTTCTCCAGCCTCTTCTAATTCTCTCTTCTCGAGCTGAACTTGAGCAAGAGAGAGATAATAATAAGCACTAGGTCCGCCTAATGGATCTAACAAGTGTTGCGCCATGGCCTTATTACAGAAAGAATACGCTTTGTACTTGAGAAGGAAATTTATGGCTGGAACATAGATTGATTGAGACGGTTGAGGTGTTTTCTCTCTTGGAGCAGATACAGATGCAGATTCCTCATCTTCATTAGCAGCATTTTTTAGCTTACTTGCTGGTCTTGAATCGCTTTTAACTTTTGAAGCCGCACTAGCTGTTTAATAAAATCGAAATTAAAACTCCACAACAACATTACAGAAGATTTTAAAGTTAATTAATAATCAATAACTGAATCTATTTCATCCATTAATAACAACTAAAGTCACTAGATGTCACTATTATTGGAAATTTTCCGAAAATAATTGTTTCTTACCCGAAAACCATGCATTATGTAAGTGTTAATTAGTAGTAGAGGGCACTATCTTTGCATAAAGTGCTTTAATGGAAAAATTGCTGTTTGAGCTAATATAAAAATTGGATGAAGATAATAGAAGGTAACGCCGTTTCGCTCAAAGAACGAAATATGGGAACAAAGTTTATTTTTTGTTATGGCTATGCCATTAGACGGCGTTATTCAATAATGTACTATTGACGAAGCGTCTTTTTTTTCGTGTTTTTTTTTTTTACGTTCACCTAATAAAAAAAAAACTTGACTAGAAATCAGGACGAAAAAAAAGCAAGCATATTCTAAAAGCAAAAATGACTAAGGTAAGTAAATTAATAAGGGAAATTATAGATTATAAATCTTAAAAAAACATAATGATAATAATAAAAAAAATGGAGTGTCTTTACCAAATGCGCCTTCTTTAAAAAGTTCTGGAGAATAATCATAGATGAAGAATAAGAGAATATTTGTTTTTCTTTTTTTTATCTTATTTTACAAGATGATCTAGAATACCTTAAAATACAGATAAAAATATTTTTCTTACCACTTTTTCTGGCAGATCCTTTTACTTTACTACCAGGTTTTACCCCTTTTACATCTGCATTTAGTGATAAAGGTGATATTGGGGGCTGTTGTATGGATTGTTCATCAGGTATATCAGCGCTTTGAATTGGTGGTATATTTTCTTGTAATTTTCTGGTTTCGGCAATAGCTTTTATCTGATTTAATCTGTGCGCTTCGGCCAAAGCCATCTCTTCTCTAATTTCATCAGAAATTGTCTTATAAAAGAGACTTAGCAATGTCCAGCATAAAATGGAATCTGGTTTAAGTCGAGAAGCCATAGTAAAGAATAAATCCGCTCTGTCGTATTTCTGTTGCATTGAAACCGTAATAGCGTAAAGAAGTAAACCTTCAAGGTGCCTTTGATCTATAGAGATACATTCTCTAAAACACTCCTCAGCCCTAGATATGTCTTCTATACTAAGGCAAAATACTCCAAAATCCAACCAGTGATCCGGATCATTCCTATCTCTTGCTATTCTCTCTTGATAATATTTATCCGCCAGTTCAGGTAGTTGGTTTGTCTCTGCTTCTTGAGCGAATATTTTTAATTGAACTGTTGTAGTTAAAGGCTCTGGTATTGGAACTTGATCTTCCACAGTTAGAGATTTATTAAGGCAAACGTGCATCTGATCAACCAAATAAACATATAATTCAGAGATAAACTTTTCCATTTCGTCTTGATCCGTTAAAGTGCTTGTTCTAAGAAATTTCTCTCTTACAATTTTTATGACAGAATATTTTAGTTGCTCTTTGAAAGCAAAGTATTTTCCAGAAGAGTTTAACTGATAGATTAAACGTTGATATCTAGATTCGGAATTTTCAGGCATTTCTCCTGTTTCGGTATCTTCTTCCTCCCCAACTCCCTCCAACAAATGCCTGTATTCGTCTATTATGAGGGAAGCAACAGAGGCTATTTGATTGTGGTAATCTTCTACAGATTTTTGAGCATTATCGCTTCTCTTTGGAAACTTTGGTCTCGGTGGAATGTACTCAGCAACGCTATATGGAATATAAGACAAATCGACCAAAATAGAAAGTTTCTTATTAAATTAGGCGTTACTAACTGCTTTGATAGTTCTTCGAGTTCTTTCTTTGGGATTAAAGGCCTACTCAGCTTAATTTCCAACATTAAATAGGAAATATTCTCTTCATACTGCATTCCTTCCGTGTTAACAGGAATTTGCCCATCACCCTCAGCAACAGTTTCATTACCAGGTTTCGAAGTGGCCTTTTAATGAAAAGAAAATTCGATTAATTAAAGATATTTTTAAACACACCATCTCTAAACCTATAATAAACAACATTCGAAAGAAAACTGAAATAAAAATGACAAGATTTATGTTCCAAAAAATGATTTATGATTTATCTATTTATATAATTCATATATATATATATATATATAAAGATAATACACATATATAATCTGTATATATATATATATATAAGTTAATATTTTAAAAAATTATCTTGATATATTGATATTCCTATTCATCACGCCAGTCCAATTTTAAGGGGGAAAAAATAGTCTGTTTTTTTTTTCCAATTATTTTAATAACTTTATTTTTAGAACTGTTGATTTGAAAGGTTAGGAAAGAACGGCGGGAAAAAGCGACAGATATTTTAGCGCCATTTAGCTTTTCCAACCAACCTCATCCATCATGGTGTAGTACTGTTTAGGTTAGTCGATTAAAATGTTAAAAACTCAATAAAAAAGAAATAAATAAATTAAAAGAAAACAAATAGATTTGTAAATTAATAAATAAATTAATTGGACTTTTGATTATTTAGTTTCTGTAGCATCCTTCTTAATGATAAATATACAAATTGGGTTATAAAATATACAAAATTAAGCACACTGCCACAGAATCTAAATCTTATCTATTAAAATAAATAACTAAAACGGTTCTTGTTTTTTTTTTTAGAGGTAAACGATTGTTACGCATGCTGCAAGATGCTTTTGGTGAAGGAGTTTTTGTGTCACTATGGGCCTATACCATTATAGTCTCCAATCTCCTACCCACAGTTGGTGGTACTGTACTTTTCAATTTTCTTGCAGCTGGCCCATCCATGCTCAACTATTAATTTTATTTTATTTGTTTTTTTCTCTTTTTAGTTATTTTTTTAGTTGGTTAAAAGTTTTTAAAAAGCAAAAATATTAAAAAAAAACAAAATATAAGTATTTGGAGGTTAAAGTTCACATAGTAACTCCTCCCTCATTTTTTTCCCTTAGTTTCAACTACGTTACTTTTTTTTTATTGTATAAATAATAGAGAGGCTCTGATATTTACCACTTTTTTTATTTCTTTTTTGTCGTCCTTACCCTTGCCACCTTTCCCAAAAGGTGAGCTGGCTGCCCTCGCCATCCAACCTTGTGCTAACTTAGTTGCTTCTTCAGCATGAGTTCCTTTTCTACCTGTTTTTTCTGTAACATCTTGTTCAGAAAAGGCCTTAACCTTGTAAGCGCCTCTTATTCTGCTAACTATAATTTTTTACAAAAGAAGAAAGATTTGTAAAGTTGTTTTATGTCTTAATTAGTTTATACCTCCAGGGTATAACAGAGGAGCCAAATCAACGTAAACAATTCCATGATACGATATATCCTCATCCTGGAAACATTAAATTGATTAACTTACTTTAATCTTAAATCTCTCTATCGAGAAATACTTTAAACAACAAAAAAATCAAACATCCTTAAAGTCTAAACTAACTATTGAAGTTCGATGTTTGTGCTGTTCGTGTAAGGTAAAATCCGTTTTATTACTTGTTGTAAAATAATTTCATACAATAAAACAGTTTGGAACAAATTTTGCCGGGAATCATTTGATTCCAGCCAAACAGGCCTATGTACATATTCATATTGATCTAAAATAGGTACAGAGGAAAACAGGGAAAGGATTTGGTTAGGAAACAGGATATTTTTGCTTTTCTTAACGAATAGAAATAAAAAACCTTTTTTTTTTCATTTGAGTATATTCGAAACGTTCTCTAGTGCAGATTATAATTATCTCTTTATCTCCCTACCATGCCAACAGTTTATACGTGCTAAATTATGTGAATAAGAGAGATGGTATTTTTGGCTCAGCTTTTTTCTTCTTGTTTTTATTACAAAAAAACATTTTTTCTTTATTTCACTCTTTCCTCTTCTCTTCTCTGTTTTCTTTTTTTCTTTCTCTCTCTCTCCCGCCCCCACCCCCCAGCTTTTTCTCTTATCTCTCTCTATCTTTCCATCTCTCTCTCCCTCTTCCCATCGTGAATTTCTATTGTTTGTTTGCTTTGTATAATTTGAAAAAATACAAAATTTACCATTTTATCTTCGTCGTCCATCGACGTCTAATTCGTTTTAATTCATATACTCAGTTTAAAACATTTATGATAAAAACTGTTCTTGATCTAATTACAAGCTAAAAGATCTGGCTACTTACTTTCTTTCCTCCTTTAGCTCCACCGCTGCCACCCATTCGACACACTTCAATTGGAGCAAATCGATTCTTGGCTATTTTCTCCTGAAATTTTTTGCTTGCTCCTGGCTCTAGATAGCATCTTCTCTCTATGTTCCAAACTAATCTATTCTTTTCCATTTCAGAATGATTACGAAAATCCCTATCATTTCGACTCCTCAATTCTCCATTTTCATCTTCTAAGTTGTCGTGGGATAAGAACGAATTAGGTATATTCACTGCTGTTCCGAGAGCTGCCCCAGGAATTGGCCATTTTTTGAATTTCGACAGTTGATCTTTGTCAGCGCTTGGTTTAACATGACCGGGAGCAAAAACAGCCAGTGTTTCTTTTTCAGATGTTTGCTGAACTGGCATACAAGCTAGATACTGATGAGCTTGACCGCTTGTAGTAAAAGAATCAGGTGGAGAATACAATGATTCAACAGTCATAGACATCACAGTAGCATCAGTTATAGAGGGTAATATTTCATTTTCGATTGTTAACTGAACATCAATTTGAGGTATGGCATGTTCAGAAGGTAGGTTTTCGATAGGAGAACCAGGGGTGGCGTGAAGAGCAAGGGTGGAATTAAGTTTTGTTTGACCAAGAACTATGGGTAAAAGGTCAATTGTACATTGTCCAAGTGGTACAGTTTTCTCTTCTCTTTGCTTTTTTTCTTTAGGTAGGGCTTCTATTGCAGTACCTGCATTAATTTCGGCTTAATTACTTTTTTCTATATCTTTTTTGTTACTCACAGATAATAGGCTTTGAGCATAGCTCATCAATTAGCATATAATCATCAAAGCTAACACTAATAGTTGACTGAAAGTTTAATTCAGCATCATCTTCTGCAGTACATTCAATTTTTATAGACTCCCCAAGGGCCTTGTCATTGTGTTCTACTCGAACAAAAGCTGTTAGTGAATCTCCCCTGACACCTTTCTGAAATATCAACATATTAATAAGGAAACTACTTGGAAATTTATTGCTTTAAAACATTTACCAAATTACGTAAACGTAAAATATTTATGGTTAAAGTTTCAGGGGGCCGCATTTGAATAATTTCATGATCAGCCATCTGTAGGGCGATAATGTGTAAACATTTAACTTACGAATAATATACAAAGAGGGAATAAAATGCAAGTTTTTCAAGTATTATATGTTAAATCATTAATTATTACCTTTCAAAGAGATTATTTTCACTTATTGTTTAATACTTCTTAGATGATTTCTAATTCTTTGAAGCTTGTTATAAAATTTTCTTCAGCGTCTGTTGCTATGGTGAACGAAACACCATAACAGTTATTACCGGTTTCTCTAGTTAAAATTCAATGCGCTCCTGTGGTAAACATGGCGACAATGACGCCAAATACTTTTGATGCCTGTAGAAGGAAATTGAATATCATCTGATCAGAGAATTTTTTCCGATCATTAAATGCGAAATATAATAGAAATTTGTTAAATAACACATTCGCATATATTAGTCAAATTTGACAAACATTACTTTTACACGTTCAAATAAGCCATGTCAGGGATTATCGCGTTTGAAGCCGAATTAAATTCAATAGTAAAAGAAGTGCGTAAAATTTAAATTAAATTATTTTGTTTATCACTGTCGGTCTTTTACTTGATTTTCAGTATTTGGAATTTAATGGATTGGACAAGTCGTCCGTTGTTTTTATGGAGGAATGTGAAGATAAAGATAGAAAAATAGCTCCACCAGATCCGAGACCCTTAACAAATCAAGACAATGTAGCCGCACAGGTACATTTTCATTATTAATAGTGGGAAACATTCAATTAGGTTAAAAAGTTATGCAAGTAGAAAGTGTCTTAGACTCTTTGTTTTACAGTTATCGATTTGATTTATTTGTCTTGCATATTAGCTGACGATCTATCAAATATTCTGACAATTACTTAATAACTTTTTCAAATTACCAGTAGTTTCATCTTACATACTTTCATACAGAATAAAATGTTGCAAGCATTCAACGTGGGAAATCGACGCAACTTTTTTGCCCTTTGGAAGGAGTATATTGAAACAAATGTCCCAGAGGAAGACCTTGTTGCACAAAAGCTGGAATTTTACGTGCATATCTACTTTGCCATCTTTCCTTTGAAGTATCCCGCTCAGGTGTTTAGATTTTAATGAATAGTATGATTAATCAGTATCAATCTGATCTTATCATTAGTAAATGAGAATCTCTTTACTTATTCTAAAAAGAATATTAAATGTAATATTATTAATCTTTGATGTAATAACACTCTCAAAATGAATTTTTTTATTGATGATCTTCATTGAGAATGAACATAATATTTATTTTTCTATCAGGGCGGCGACCCAGTAGAAGAGATGGCTGAATTCCGAAATTTTATAGAATCCAAAGGATCGACTTTGAGCCAAACATCAGAGTTCCTTCCCTATTACGCTTTACCCTTCGTTCCAAATGCAAAAGTCCATCCATCTTTCAAAGAACTATTTTCAGTAAGTTTATACGTCAATTTTATTGGCCGTTTATTACAAACGAAACATTAATTGACCTTTAACTGTTCTATTATTGTAAACCTTTGTAATTCGTCTTCATCCATTTGATACTGATACATTTATTTTCATATGGATCAAGCATATAAATCGATAAAAGGCTGGTTACCTTTAGCTATAACGATTTATGCGACTCTCCTATTAAACACACATATTTTTTCTGTTTAATGATTGTAATTCTAGCTGATTTCTGAAATTTTCCTAGGATTCCTGGGTACCAGACTTACAAGTGAGACTTCAAAAATTCCTATCAATAACTCTGCATTCTAAACCTCAACCACGACTCTTCGAAATCTACAGAGGCGGACCAGGCAAAGGTTAGATTTAGATTAATGGAATTTTTGTGTATAGAGCGGAATGTATTAATGGAAGATGTAATTTAATTTTACCAACAGAAAACATAGTCTTACAAGAACAGATTGTGGACGCCGAGAGAAAAGCAGCTGCCTACTTGAAGCGCTTTAATAGATTGCAGATTGATTATCGAAATTTGATAGCCATAACAGCTGACCTCGTCGACACATTAGAAAGAAGCGTACAAGGTGAAATGGTTACACCAGAATATTTGGAGAAGATGTGTAGTCGGCTATTCAGTAATCAAGTTAGACAGTCCGTCAATTTGTCCAGACCAGGAACGGCTGCTGAAATGCTTCGGCAATCTGTTCTTCCTCCCCAAGGGTTTCGTATTTACAAATTAGAGCTTTGAAGGGTTTTATTTTCTTATAATTCTTTCTAGTTTACAACCCGGTGAGAGTATGCCTAACAAAAGTTTGGATTACGACCGAATAAAGCATGATCTGACAGAGGGAGGAGAAAGACTTAAAGCATTACTTTTGCAAGCATTGCGATGGGTAGGCCAAATTTTTCCATACAATAAATTGGAAGCAACGATCAATTACCAATATTATTCCAATTAATATTTTATAGAGACTAACGAAAACATCACCCGATGAGAGAGATCTAATAATGTCCTCATATGTTGAGAATGATCTGTTATCTTGCAGATCAATAATACCATTAACAGTATATATATAAAATTATCAATATAAAAAAAATATAATAAGGTATTCCATCAGCAAACGACGTTAGATTTATTGACGCATTCAAACGCCGTTGTAAAGGAGTATAAAGCCCGCTTATTGAATACGATAGCCTCGTTAAACGAAGGCCGATCCTACTTGTCTAAGCATGCTCTCCTCCTGCCTGCTTTGATGGACGCATTACACGAAGAGACTGTTGAGAGTCGATTCAGAGAACATGCGCTCGGTTGCCTGCAGAAGCTATCGCTTCGTCACGATCAACAGACACGAATGATCGATTTGGGAATAATAGAATGGTTAGTTAAGGTCCTCGAGGATACTGACTCATTGAGCGAATATTCGTTAGAATATTCTGTTGCTTTATTAATGAATGTATGTTTAAGAACGTCTGGTAAAACGAGATGCTGTGCTAACCCTTCAGATGTACTTCGAGTTTTAGCGAACTTATTAGCCTTGAATAACAGAGACATTAATGCTTATGTTAATGGAACATTATATGCTATATTATCAATGCAACCAGTTAGAGAAGAGGGTCGAAAAATGGGTTTGGAAGAGTTGCTTACAAGCTTAATGAAGGAGGAGCAACAAGATATGAACAGACAATTTGAATTTATTATTAAACAATTAAACTCCAACGAACAGCACGATGAAGAATCTGACGCAGAAGATGAAGATGATGAAGAGGAGATACTAGAACCCGATTTAGATAAGAATGAAATCGTAAGACCAGAAGGCAGAGAACTTGGTGGAGATAGACTTTTAAATACTAACTATGTAACTGCGAGTCCGGCTAGGTCAAAGAAAAAGGTTAGAAAAAATTTCCTTTATGGTCACTTTTTTCTTTTTCCAATTAATTAGTGTCTAATCAACTAATTTTTCGCATAATCGATTATTTATTGCTCAAATACGCTTTTAACGATTTTATTTTTCTCCTTTTTCAAACACTGATACGCACAGTCATACGATTCAAATTCATCCGGTTGTTCCTCACCGGATATTCTGTATGTTCACTCATCCTCTTCTATTTCGCCGCAAACTGAACAGGCTAGTTTGTCGGTATATATTTTATAAAGCATGAAGAGTAAGGAGTTAATCAGTTAATTAATTTTTTTTGTGCATGCCGACGTTCGTCGACCTTGTGTTTAAAGTTTGTTTTGTTTCGAACAAAAGCATTTTTTTAATGCTTTAGTTCCGAAATTCCAAAGTCAAATCCTTTTTTGTTTATGGTCACAACTAAATAATGCAGACAAATTAATCCTTACAATAAAAGCATCACTAATGATTAGATTTCAATAACATGTGACCGTGAACAAAAGTAACAATGGTTTGAATAATTAATAAGCTTGAACATATATAGTCGATGCATGAATCTATTTAATAAATTAATAAACAAAAGTTCATTGGGGAAATTAACTTCTGGCCAATAACATTTGACTCTTTGTAGCAACTGGATGCCTTGAAAGATGACGAAATGCTCACACGACCTGTGACCCCCGGGCAACGTCATAACTCAACCGCACCAGTCGTCCATGTAAAAAATCCGAGTCGACCAACTTCAAAAAATTCCAGACCACCAACTAGGACCGGCTCCCGGCCAAATTCAGGAGAAGAGAGGCCATCATCAAAATCTTGTGAGTGAATTAAAATATTTGTTGTTCTCATTAGACTATCTTCAATTACATTCTACAGCCAATCACAGTAGAGGATCTAGCAAAGGCCAGAACGGAAAACCGTTGAGTAGAGCTCATTATTGCTTTGTTAAAAAATTAACATTCTCTTTAAATACTTTTGACAGGGGTGAGGATTATTCAAATGCATTCTCCTCACGACCTAAAATTCCACGTACGCCTGATGCAAGTGGCGGTCGATCGAGTCAAGTGGGAAGAAGTGCCCCGCCGCAACCAAATTATTCAGAGTCCTTACCAACTCCTCGACCCGGTTCCGGCGGATCACAGTTGAAATGACCCTAATCAAGTCTGTCTCTCTTTTTATGACGAATTTATTCAATAAACATATTTTAATTCACCATCAATAAATTGATGTCCATACCATATTTAATAGTAGACAAGTATATTGACCGAACAAGTACATGAGATTAGGTGAACTTTATGTTAGAGCATGTACTTTTTCGAAATCTCGAGGGAAAAGCCTTTTTTTAGGGATGATCCTAGGGAATATTTTTAAATGAAAGCATCCCTTGGTAATGTGAGATTTGCAAAATTATTAATAAAATCATTGCCGATATGCCCAGTAAATTTGGTGCGCAACTGAGAAGCTAGAACCCTAGGTGTATTTTGCTTACGCACATGGTTAGCTTGTTTGCTTTTGGCTATTATATAAATTTCTGCCAAAAAAACAACTATAAATTTAGTTAATCATGGGTAAAATGAAAAGAAAGGTATGGAAAATTTTTTATAGCATATCGAATATGTAGAATATTTAATTATATCGATTAAAATAAAAAGAAAGAATCTGAGCGATAATTTCAGAACGGCTAGCAGAAACCATTTAACTCATACCAGTTGTTGGTAGAAAGCACATGCTTTTCTTTGACTGTTTCTGTTAGCTTGTTGAATAAATGCAAAATTCAATTTACAATCGGGTATAAACATGGGGAAAATGAAAAGAAAGGTATTTATCAGAGTGTATTGCAACAAACTGGTGTATTGTCAGCGATTTATACAAATTAAAAGAAGTTTATAATAATTGTGTGATCGATATTATATGTATTTATTATTTACATCTTCGCAGTTTGAAAGTGGCGCTGCTACGAACTATATATCAAGAAATCAGGCTCTTAAGAAGTTACAGCTACCTTTAGCTGACTTCAGGAGACTATGTATCTTGAAGGGAATATACCCACATGAACCTCGTCATGTCAAGAAGGCAAATAAAGGAAGTACAGCTTCCAAAACATTCTATCTTAGGAAAGACATTCAGTTCCTTCTCCACGAGCCGCTAATAGATAAATTTAGACAATTTAAAGTGTTTATCAGAAAATATAAGAAAGCCATTAACAAGAAAGATAAGGAAAGAGCGTCTACCTTGAAATCAAACAAGCCTAGATATATTCTTGATAATATCGTTAAAGAAAGGTACACAAAAAGAGCTTTTGTATTTTCACTAAGTCTTATAAATAAACGTAAATTTCTCCTAGATATCCGACCTTTATAGATGCTGTGAGAGATCTTGATGATTGCCTTTCTATGGTGCATCTATTCTCTATTTTTCCGTCTACAAAAAGAACTCATGGTAACATTATTAAGTCATGCAGGCGCTTGTCAGGTACTATTTTATAATAAAATTAAAAATCTATTTCTACGTAAACTTGATATTTCAGTTGAATTTATGAATTACGTGATTTCATCTCATTCGTTACGAAAAGTGTTCGTTTCAATAAAAGGGTATTATTATCAAGCGGAAATAATGGGTGAAAAAGTGAATTGGATAGTTCCCCATCCATTGCCATATGAGCATCCAGAAGATGTCGATTACCGAATAATGCAAACATTCACGGAATTTTACATTACCCTACTAGGATTCGTTAATTATAAACTTTACAATTCTCTCAATTTACACTATCCTCCTAAAGTGGCAGTTGACGACAAAGATGAGGGTGATTGGGATGATGCTGTAGACGGACGGTCAATATGTAATCGGTCCGAGAAATTTCTGGAAAGACTGGCCTCATTATCCTACCCATTATTAAAAGCGACAGATGCACCGGATGCTCCCGAGAATTCAGAGTTGAGTGACATGCACGAGTTGTTAAAGGAAGAGAGTCAAGAAAAAGCTGACATAGTTCTAGAAGAAGAAAAAAAGAGAGAAAACACAAAAAATCTATTTAAGGGTTTAAAAATTTTCTTGAACCGTGAAGTTGCGAGGGAACCATTAGCCTTCGTTATTAGAAGTTGTGGCGGACAAGTTTCGTGGGATTCTACAGCGGCTCCTGGGGCGACGTTTAGTGAAGAAGACGAATCGATTACATATCATGTAATCGATAGACCTAGTTTGAGCCCTATGCGCGTGAATCGCTCTTATGTTCAACCTCAATGGGTTTTCGACAGTCTCAATAAAGGGGAACTATTGGATGTAAAAAGTTACCTAATTGGCGCAGATTTACCGCCCCACTTATCCCCATTCGTCGTTTACGATGAATACTCTTATATTCCGCCTGAAGCTAGACCGGAAGGTGAAGAGGAAAAGTTAAGTGATATAGAGGAAGATGACGAGGAAGACGATGTAAAAAATGAAGATCAAAGCGACAGTGATGATGAAGATGAGGCTGAAGATGATGAAGAAGTTGATGAAGACGATGAAGAACTAAGTGGAAATGAATCAGATAATGAAAATTCTGAAGAGTCGACGGTCGATGAACCAAAAGAAAAGAAAACCAAGGTTTTTTTACTTTTATTCAATAATAAATTCATTCTCAAAATATATATATACTGTATATGCCGTATAAAGATATATAAATATATATATTATATTATTATATATATATACATAGTATATATTCTGTACTGTATATACTCAATATTTACTTAGCAAAAAAACACAATTAAACTCTGAATAATTCTTTTAGATGTCAGTATCACGAGGTGTTGTAAGGAAACAACTATCAAAAGCTGAAATAGAGGATCAAGAGAAACGTGAGCATTTAAAACTGTCAGAAATGATGGCTTCTAAGAAACACCGGCACGTCTACAAGAAGATTATGTTTGGCAAAAAAAGACTGCAAAAAGAGGTGTGTAAATATTTCAATTGATTATTTATTCTAGTTCTAATAATAATTCTTTCTCTACAGAAAAGAATATTACAAGAGAAGCGTGACGAAATCGACAAATTGAAGAAAAAGCGGAATAAAGGGAAAAATAATTAGGTGCGTTCAGAAGAACGATTTCTCATTTTTTTCATTGCATAGCATATTGGTTAACTAATAAAAATGTGAAAAATAAATATAATAGAATAAAACAATCGACAATCATATTTATCAAAACAAAATCAGGAGAAAAAAGTAGACGATAAGATAAGCTACAAAATTTCCTATTACTTTCCGAGATCGAAACAGTTGTATTAAAAAAAATAATAATAATAAATAAATAAATAGTAGAAGAATAGTGCGTAAAGAATTCTATTAGAAAAACTTATTGCAATATTGAAAGGTCTTTAAAAAGATCAACAAAACAAAGCAGGATGAGCCCGGGGCTGAAAAGTTTGCAGGAATAATTATTGTGAACTAGAATACCCTGATTGGCACGTTCTTTATACGTGTATACAGAAACAGTACAATTTTTGAACTCGTTGTTTTCTTAAGAGAGTGTCTGAGCAAATATTTTTGTTTTTTAAACCATAGTTGGTCCACAATTTGCTGAAGGTATCGTGGGTGCTTGCGCGGCGCCGGAAATACTAAAACCTCTCCTTTTTCTCGCCTCTAGTTTTTCTTCTAGATTAAAGCCCATTAGATCCTTCCTAGAGACAATTCCCACTACTCTATTAGCTATATCAACTACCGTCAGATGTCTCAAGCCCAAAGTTCGAAAGATAATATATGTTCGATGGAGTGCGAAGTTTTCTTCTATGTGAGGTGCCGAACGATTAATATAAGGTTCCTAATAAGAAAAATAAAATGTTATAGGACTATTTTCTCTATAAGCTGCAGTATTTACTCACCAAATCCACGTAAATTTCCTTATATCTAGGAGTATCTGCGTATTTTTCTAATAAAGCCAAAACATGACTGGTCCCAGATAAACGATCCACAGCCACTTCCTCATATGTTAAGCTAGGCGTAAGAGTGCTGCCTGGATCAGCTCTATGTATAGATTCATCTTTTAGAATCATACATAATTCAACCCTATTAAAAAAAGAGGTTGAATAGGTTATTATGCTCCTCCATAAAAAGTTCTAATGACGAAAAAAAGAGCAATTCTTTACATATTAAATTACCTTGTTAATAACCCATACGCAACTTCCCCGTTAGCTTCTTCGTGATGCTTCACTACCGGAAATCCTCCGTGAGTAGTATCGAGTAAAAGGTGTGCAAGATGAGCGGCTGTTTCGCGAGGAGTTATAGTAATAACTGGACAGTGCATCACGTCTCTGGCTTTAAATAATTCCAAATTTTGCCTATATTTGTAACAATAGAGAAAGAATTGAATGTTAATAGGAAAATATTGATGAGATTAAATATTAAAGCGCAGGCTTACAGTCGGTGCTCCTCGTCATAAACAATCGGTTCGCTTTCAAGGAATGGAATGCACTTCAATTCGAGAAGCGAATGATACAAGGGATGCGTAATATAATCCCCAACCCACTTCGCGAACATTATTGCTACCATAATAGGCAATAGGAAAGCCACGTCGTTTGTAATTTCAATCTGTTTTTTAAGGAAAAAACAAGAGAAGAATTTAAATAAACAATACACTTAGAGTTGTGAACAGGTGAGAGAGAAACTACGTTAAAAATTAAAGTCGCATAAAAATTGATGGTAATGCGGTATTCAACCATTAAAATAAGTAACAGAAAAGAGAGTTATTGAACATTTCGTTAAAGTTCACTCCTTTTTATAGTTGTAGGTACGTCAACATAAGGTCATTTAGTTTATGAAGGGGAATACTCTGAGAGTATTTAAAGAGCAATTTTCTCCTCTGGTCTTGGTATCCTAATTGGATTAAGTCCTCTGAATAAATATTTATCCTCTCAGGCCCAGTCATTAGCTATAATTCGAAAAGATTCTCTAGCTTTCTCTCTAGGTAATTACTCTTATTTTAGATTGAATGGGAAAGAAGAATCTGTTTTATTTTATACCGGGCGGCTCTATAATGAATTAAAATTAGCAAACAACCCATATTTACGACAGTCTCTGGAAAAACAATGACGTATTGACGTGATATTATTAGAAAATTTACCGAGGGGAATTCCACAGATTTTCCCAACCTCGTTTTCGAATCGGTCAGTTTTTCGAAAGTTAAGCACAAATATTTATACTAATTAACGGTGGTAAACACAAGTAAATGTGAAAAAAACTACTTTAAAATGTCGAAAGAATGCACTGCCAATACTAGCCATGAGCATGGGAAGAAAAAGGGCAAGAATGTCGTAAGTAGACTACATGAGGAAATAAAACGTGGTTGGAAGAAAATGGGGGCAATCGATCTAAAGGATATAGAAGAATTATATAAAATCATTTTAACTATAAAGGATAAAACGTCAAAAGAAGATGGAAAACTATTGCCCATCGCAGTAGCATATCACGTTCGAATAATAAAGCGGGAATTACAGACTGTTGACGTTTGCGTTAGCCTAGTGACGTTTGAAAAGGATTTAACTTTTAAAGCCATGAAAAAAGCCATGGACGGTTTGGATATGCAATTAGCTAGTAAAATCCACGTTGACTATGAAAAATGCCAGAAGGTCCATAATAATCTTCTAGAATATGCTAGAACAGTTTATTTGGACCCAGCACGTGATCTCATCAGAAAGCACGCGGAAAAGCACTTGAATTTTCTAGACCATCTCTACGAAAAATACAGCTTGAACGAATCTTAAAAACTTTTTTTCTTACTATTTTTACTTTGAATACACGAGAAAGAAAACTTTTGTGATATAAGAGGAAACAGCAATATGTTATTTTTTTATTATTATATGTTTACTTACCATTATTACCGTAAGAGACATAGTAAGTCTGGATACGCCAGCAAAGAACGAAGCAGCACCAATCAGAGCCAAAGCACCAGGATCAATCCACATCCAAAATTTCTCTTTTGGTATTCCACCATGTATGTCTACCAATAAACGTCCCACTGCTCTTCCGTATAATCCACCGATAAATCTGCAATCACTCCTATTAGCGTGACAGTTTCAAAATATAGAGGAAAAATAAACTCATACAGCATTGGGACGACGATCCCACTAGAAATAGCACTACCACTAGCCCAACAAGCTAGAAAGAAGTATATAGGCAAAATTGATAGCAATGTTGAATAACTAAATTGTAGGTGTGTCCTCCTGGAGAACAATAATCTTAACGCCGTCTGTCCTGGCACATTCAGCAAACTAGCAACTGCATTATGCACAAACAAAAAAAGCGTCTATAAGATAGAAAAGGTCCATATACATTTCATTCGGAGTTACCTTCGTTATATTCCCCAAATACAAGACTGTCATTGTTTCTTACCGACTCGTGACAGCGATAGGATTTCATATCCTCATCAACTTGCATATGATATAAATACTTTAAATTCTTAGAACAACCGTCAAGTACACGAGCTATATCCGCTTCCGTTAGCTCCTGCTTTACGTGACCTTTATGGTTATTACCCTGCCGAAGATGTTGGAAGAAAGGTGTGTTATCATTTGGTGTCGGAGATCTGGAACGTTGATTTGCCGTCTTATTTGTCGGTCAATTTACGGTTTATTAGTATCACGTACCCCATCTGCTGCAATACTTTCGTAACTAAATTTGTGACGTTGCCATCTTCAGGACAAATCATAGGCCTGCACGGAAAGGCACTGGGTAGAAATATCGTAATCGAAGCCCAAATACACTGAAAAACGCCAATTTATGTAACATTATATGAAGAATAATTACGTCTTTGTCTCGACAAACAAAGCCAACAGACAACGCATGTAGGCCGCATAGCTTTATAAATAAAATAGACTTTAGTAACGTCGATTCGATAGTTGCCTTAACCTTTGCACACACGAAGAATTAAATAAGCCAACGCTCGAGGCATATGTATAATTATTGTCATAAACGGCAACTAGTAGAGGTGTCCATCAAACGTTGGTGTTCGTCTTATCATTTGCAGCGAATGAAACGTGATTGCGTGGAAGATCAATCTTAAAGCGAGGACGTACTCAATCTAATTGCCAAGTGGGCAATCAATTGCTGATAACGATCAATCATCTAGATTCTATCGTAATTAACGAATTTCGTTCTCACGCTTACAGAATTTCCAAGACCTTGACGATATAAAGCTGTAATTACGCTCGAACGATAAAATCGTGCCAACTAATCTAAAGGCTAAAGCGGATGGAATTTTTTTCCACCTCTCTACCCTTCCCACTCCCATCTCGTCCTCCTCCACCACTGTCTCCTCTCTTATTTATAACGCTCAAGTTATAATTAGTAAAATAGAAAATTATGTATTTCTAACGAACTTACCATAATCAAAGGTGGTTCCAGAAATCTAGCGAATTTCTGCAGAAAAGGCCTTTTTATGCTGAGAAAGAGGTGTCTTCTTGTGCGGGCTATCTTTAGATTAAACATAGTAAATAATGCTCCTAGGAAACCTCCTAGTGCCCCTAGTAGCATAGCCGGAATGAACATAAGCAGATTGACCGGTATTGCGTCTCCCAACTGCATAAAGTATATATAAACAGTTTATATTGGCTCGCTCCAAGAAGTATATTTGTTTTTCTCTATACCTTGAAGATGATGTACTTATCCGTGTCGAATAACCCAAAAGTTCCTTTATATTGAAAACTTACCAAAGCCGAGTTAAATAAGTCGGCCGTAAAAGTTGCTAACATACATGAAAAGAAAACCATCCATCCTAATTTCATAGACCAAAAAGAAGAGACCTCCTCCATAGCGAACAAGAGACCACCAACGGGTGCGCCAAAGGCGGCGGCAACACCTGCTGCTGCTCCTGCTGAGGTAAAATTTCGCCGATCTTCGGAGTTACGGAATCGAGTAAAGAGCGGTATGGAAAAACCCAGGGTCCTCGACCGAAACTGACTAAGACCCGTTCCGACTATGCCCCTACGGGACCAATCATTTGCGTTAATTCGACTTGGCTAGATAAAAGCAGTCAAAAAACAAACCCCATATGGATCATCGGTCCCTCGGGTCCAACAGGCAAGCCGCTGCCGACAGCGCAAATGCAGGAAAAGAACTTAACAGCGAACGTACGCATGTTAAATACGTGACGCATTACAGTTCCATTGAGGAAGCCAATAATCTCCGGTATACCACTTCCGCTTGCGGGTAAGGAGATGAACTGGAGGAATTTTGAGTACATATTATTTTATACAGTATAAATCAATGGATGATCCTACTGTAATATTTATTATGCAATTAAGTAATGGGAATACGTACAGCAACTGATGCTGAACTTAAACCTGCGAATAAACAACTGTAACCAACAACGAACAACCATGCTTTAATATGTCCTTCCTGTGTACAAGATTTTGATTAGTGAAGAATTAATTAGTTTGACCTAAATTTGGTACCGAAGCACCTTAATCAAGTGTTCGGCCTTTTCCCACTTCACTTCGGCGACGAGATGAATGAGCTGATGTAGTAGAAAGCCGACCATGCCTATCGACAGGCCTATCAGTCCCATCATTATCCATCGGTCCCAATCGAGCCTGAGAAAAAAGAAAAAGCACACGTTGCGTTGAGTTATTGAAGGCGTCTCTTTTATAATACCATCGATAATTACCTAGCTGGCTGCCTCTTAAGCCATTCTTTATAGACAGGAGAATGAGATGGGAGGTAGTCGAAACTGTCGTGTGAAGACAAAATTTCTCTCTCCTTTTCCGTATACCTATGATTGGTGTAGACGCTCTCAAAATCCCGACCCTGTTTCAGTAACAGAGAGGTGGTTTGGTAACTAATGAAGATATAGACAGCTGTAAAATTCAGCATAAGTTAGCAAACAGCTGAATATGACTGTTTGACGAGGAAATTTGATAAAATATACAAGTTGCTGTTGCTTGTTCTGCAAGGTGTTTTTTCGCCGTTTAATGTAATCCCAAGTCGTTATTTTCTCTCCATTAGCATAGGCCTAGATATTTATATACAGATAATCATGGAATTCCTCTGTATATATTTATATATATATATAATATATATATATATATATATTATATATATATATAGAGAGAGTTATATACACATATATTTTCCCTAATTTGATATTACTTATCAATCGCTACTGCTTATTGCTTCCTTAGCCGTTACTATAGAAACAGTAGAAATATATAAATATACTCTGCCGAATTCATCGACGCGTTCCGTTAGAGAAACGCTGCCGACCTCTAGATTTATGTTTACGTATGTAGAGAAAGCCTGTAAATCATGAATTAATTATGTAGCTAGCCAATACACTTAATTTCTCAGTTGTATATGTCAAGAGGTAAATGAAATTGCTCGCACTTCTTCCAAACGTAGAACCACTTAAAAAACATAATTGAACTAATTGAGAAAAGGCTGAAACGAAAAATAGACGCGCACTCATGACATTTAAGTAAAAACTTTTTATGCATGCGAGAAAAGTCGGACAAAGAGACTGATTACAAAACAAACAATAGCGTGCGACGCCTTTCTGATCAGCTAACATCGATCGGACAGACGTCGCTCAAGGGACGCTTCAGTGACGGCACTAAAACCCGGCGTTTACCATTTCAACTGTTTTTCGCTATTTCTATTTCTTACTGTATATTTTTTTTTTAACTTGCACATTTTGGCACGAACCTCGAATATAGTAGGCCTGCGAATGGTAATAGGCGGCAACGAAATAATCGTATTTCGGCGAGGAAGCGTTGACTTATCCAGATCTTCTTATTTTCTTTATTACCCTTAGTTGTGTTGTCGTTTCAATGAAGAAAAGACTGAAAATTAATGAGGCAAACGACGATGAGCGGTACGAGATGAAAGAGGCAAGCGTACTGTGCTATTTGCGGCCGTTTCACGTAGCAAACATTCCATTTGCTGGCGGTTCGAGTATATAGTAAAAAAAAAAGAAAAATGCCCCGAAATGAGAACGCTGGCAATATAGATACAGAAAAGACAGTGATTCAAAGGGGGCGTACGATATTCCTATTCAATAAACGGATTATTGGACGATTTGAGTGTTTAACACTCTTTATTGGCGAGCATTTTCTCTCACTCTCAAATAATAGCTTGTTGACAAAAGCCTATAGTTTCGCTTTTTACCTTGGAACAACAGGCGCATTTATCCTCTTCCATTTCTATTTCTTGATCCTCTTGAAGCATTGCCTCCATAGCTTCTCTGCCCTTTCGCTGCCTTCGCTTTTTCTTCGTGCGGAGACGCTGAAAGATCAAAAGTTTGTTTGTTTTTTTGCAATATACTCTTAAATCAAATTAAGGTTAAAAGCTACAGGATATAGAATCGTATGTTACGGAAACTAACCTGAAGCCGGCGGTACGGAGAAGGGGAAGGAGGCGGGTTGATGGACATTGTTGAAGAAGCCCTCGAGATGGTTAGATCGTCTTTTCCATTATTTAAATTTGATACCGTTTTCGGTACATGATTCCTTTCTGGCATCAACAAGCACATTTTTACGCTTTCCGGTTCCGACATTCGGACGGCTTTCGGTGTGGACATAGCGTTTAGCTAAGCGTGCAGCATCTGTTGTAGAGAGAGAGAGGGAGGAGGGATAAAAAAAAGAATCGATGTCCATAGAAACAATTGACAAAAAAAAGAATGTTGAAAAAGGCGCAGCCCCCTACTACAAACTACTACAAACGTATACTATCTCAACGCAAAATGTGCTGAGTTTGCACTTTTCATAGAAGATTGCAGGGGCTTGGAAGAATAGACGAAGCGCGAAATATAGATAACTGTCTTAATATTCTCTTTGATATATGGTCCAATTATATTGATAGTCCGAGTGAATCAAAGGACGGGATGCGCTCTTCCACTAATTAATTTTTACTCGACACCCTCTTAACGGTCATATCAATCGATCAAACTGGCCCCCCTTTCCCCTAGTTGAGGCCTAATTTTATAATATTAAGTTTATTTATTATTTATTCTGCAATAGAATTGGCTCGTTTTAGTGATCCTCGTATTGATCATGTCGAGCGGCCGATAACAGGCTTTTCTCTGTCTACTCAACCGCTTTATACCTGCAGCTTAAGAAATAAATAGGAAAATAATTGCGCAAGGTGTATACTAAGCATGTGTATATTATAAAAATACATACAACTTCGCGAACAGGAGAAACAGATGCATTAGACCTATATTTACAATCCACATTTTAGGCCTATTTATACGTTTAGATCTGACACGCGCTGGAATGAAATATGTAAAGCAAACTCTTGTTTACCTACCACGCGCTTATTTCAGAAGACAACGATTGCAGTTGAATTATCCGTTTAGTCGGCTTTTGAAAAAAGTTGAAGGAAGTGTCACTTTTTTGATTTTTGCAATTGAAAAAAAAACCCGTAAATTTTGTTTTTCAATATAGTCGAAAGATGAAGAACAACGGCAAAAGGAAGAGAAGAAATAACCGGTTGAAAAACGGAGCTAGAGTGAGTTTAGGTTGCCCCTGCTGTAAACTTCCTTTATCCCCGGCAAAGCCGTCGGCTAAGTTTGACATGAAAAGCTCCGTCGTCAGCGACGTCTTGGACCGTTTCTCGGTGAACAGGTGAACGACAGGCGTTTATTTGTCCCGTAATACGTATCCACTCTAATCGATTTACATAGAATATTAACGGTTCGAATCGTACGTGCGCAACATTACTCCATCTAGTAGCATTCAATGGTTTTTTTTTGCAACTTAACCGGAACATATTCAATCAGAGTAGACCTATAATTACTTATTTGTAGGCTTATTAATATCAAATATATATTTATATATATATGAGTTATAGCGTATAGACGACTGAATCCGATTTATTTCCCGTCCATTATAAAAGAATAAATCTTGTCGTCGGTCGTCCTGCATATATCTGATCTATACTGACGAGTTTAGGGCTTAACAGTCATTTGTTATCGATTTTAGGCAAGACAATTTTGCAGTAATAAATCGTAATGAAATGTGTAACGTAATCAGTACTGACGGATATAAATGGAAAGTAATTACTGAAAAAATTCTGTCGCACTTGGCCGCGTCAGACGATCCATCCGCTTGCATAATTTAAATGTATAGAGACTTTACTTTTTATTTCTTAATTGCGTAATATACAATACTCACGGAAAGGAAAAGAAAAGCAGAAAATTCTCGAGCAACGGAAAAAGATGATTGACATTAATCCTACTCTAAGAAAACAACTAGTCTGCCGCTCCAGCCTGTATACTCTCTTTACTTTTCCTCGAACGCCGCCAGATGACGTCGTCGACGGCTATTTTATTCGCTTAGCAAAAGTTAACCAAACTAATTATATATCAAGTATAATTCACACGTAGCTCTGCCGGATGGTAGGCTTTAGTAAATGCCTCGAATTCTATTGTTTGCCGGGTCGAACGGGCTTCGTAAGTGTAGATCAGCTTTATAGCGTTTTCCCAAATGCTCTATCGTATAATCGGCATCCGTTAAGTACTTTTCATCGATCGTTTCACCGGATACGTAGCCGTATCCTATAGTTTTCTTCAAGAAGAAGCCGTAGTCTGCTCTACACAAGAAGCCAACTACTTTATCATTTCGGTAGATAGCCTCAAGACCATGAAGAGGAATTTTCCTGTTGAATAAATTGAGAAACATAGGAATACCTTAATAGGGCCAATTAAAATAGCTCATTTCAACATACTTGTCTGTTGTGAAGCACGTCAATCTACCCAGTATCCGTTCCCTTCCCTCAATTTGTCTTTCCAATCTCTCCCGTCCCACGAACTCAACGTCCGACTTGAGCTTACACGCGAAACGTAACCCGGCTTCTAAAGCCGTATAATCACTCCTTAAATCGGCGTGAGAATGATGGTAACCCTTTTCAATGCTCAATGAATCTATTGCCCTGTAGCCGGCGTCTAATAGTCCCATTTCTTTTCCAACCTCTCTCAAAGCTTTATAAACGTGAGGGCAGGTGGAAGACGGAGCGTGAATTTCCCATCCCAATTCGCCTACAAATGACAGTCGAATTACTCGACACTGGTGACCCGCGACGTTTACGACCTGTAAAAAAATCATTATTAAAAAAGACCACATTTAACACGCCTGAAATACCTTGTGAGTACCAAACGGGAACGCCTCGTTAGAAAAATCGACGTCATCCTCGCACACTTTTTCCATAATATCACGGCTGTTCGGTCCCTGAACACTAAGTAGCGTTAAATCGTTCGTAGCATCAATTAATTGACAGTCGAGTTTCTTATCTTGCAAAATTGATTTAATATGGGACAAACCGGCTTGAGCAACTCCCCCGCCAATTGCAACATAAAAGATGCGACCATCTATATTTAGCGTAGAACAAGAATAATAAGTACTGTGAGTTATTACATCATAAAAAAAGAAACCTTGTGTAACTGGATCGAAAAGACTTCTATGATGATCTTCTATAATACTGACTGTCAAATCGCTTTCAACACCACCTCGATTGTTTAGCATGCAAGTGTAGACTGTTCGGCCTGTTTTTAATTGTTTAATTGTAAATAATGACAACTGCTAGACTTTTAACAATTGGAAATTGGAACTCGCCAGATTGTTTCCTCATGTCATTTGAGAAGATGTAATCGGCTGCGCTCTGAGCGTCTTTTCCCACCAAGTAAAATTGTCCGAAATAAGACATATTAAATAGAGAACTCTTATTTCTACAATTTATACATTCACGACCAATCTGAAAAAATTGACATTGGTAGTTAATGTATTGGTTTGTTTGTATTTTTAGATGCCTTACAATTTCGTGATGATTTGGAAAGTCAAAGGTATAGTCGTACATCAATTTATCCTTATAATCATAGTTTTCGTGCAGTTTATTTCCATAGGAGCCATAGTAATCATATTTTAGCACCTGATAGATCTCTGATTAGAAAATTCATAAAATCCTACAGATGGCGCTAAATTTTCAATAAAAAAGTTTAAACATGAAAGTCTACGTTTGTGTTTCCTAGATAATTTATGGTTAAAAAGTAAAAGCGCTAAAATAAAGTAAGTATAAAAACCGGTGAAGGTTTTCCATCAATGTCGAACCAGCCCGGTCGTTCCCACCCTAACCTCTCCTGATAGACGCATCCGTTATTCAAAAGCACCTGTACGAATTATATAATGGGGAATTGATGCAAATATATTCCAGCCCTACCTCATACAAAGGGTCTTTACGCATATTTCTTCCGGCTAAGGCCTCGTCATGCGGAAAAACGATGCTGTAATTCTTTGCGTACGCTTCGTGACTCCGCTCTTTATTCCAGCGAGCGTTTCGCGTCAATTCGGCGTTAAATCGCCTACCGAAAGCGAGAAGTATTGTATAAAAGAACGAATAAAATAGAGGGAAAAAAACCACTTTCACCAATAGAAATTTAAATATCTATTAGATTTTTATCTAGTTAAAAATTTGAAAAGATAAATTCACCTAATGTCGAAACCGTGCATCTCTAATTCTGGTCGACCCTTTACGACCCATTTTGCCATTTGTTCCCCACATCCGCCACCTTTTTCAAACATAGAGAGATACATAATGGCATATAGAAAAGAAGACTAAAGAATAACCCATAAACAGCTTAAGGGGATACTCGCTACATAATAAACTGTCTGTCAAATGATGGCCTGTTTACAACCGCCCTTTCCCTCTTCTAACACCCGTCCCACCTACCTAGGCCACCCAAACTTCTTCTCATTAAAAAAGGTCGAAAGTGAAAAGGACAGAAAGCTTACTTAACATCAGACCCGCGCTGTTGTAACCACAATTCAAAAAGAAACCGCGCACTTGGTCGCTTTCACCCATCAACGGCTTGTGGTCGGCTGTAAAGCTTTCCGGACCGCATACTGTCGACTGTGAATGCAAGAACACGGTATGTAGGGTGTCAATTAGACGTTAGGCTAAAGATGGGAATAGAAGGAAAATTCGGAAAGAATGGGAAAAATACGAAAAAATACCTTAATACCAGTACTTTCTATGACCGGAATTCTTTTCACATGACCTTCAGTGTTATATGTGAAGATGTCCCAGTCGAGTTCATACAGGCTGAAAGCGAAGTCATCATCGACTTTGTCGACAAAGTGTGGATTCGGTTCATAACCACCTATACAAAGGGCGTCACCTTGTAATTTAAAATAGACGGAAAAGTCATGATCTCGGACGTTTGGCATTTGGCGTATTCCTTCAATTTTTTCTGTTACAACATAGGCATGTTTCATTGCGACAAGAGGAACTGTTACGTCAACCATCTCCCCTACGGATGGAGCCCATACGCCTAAAAATAAACAACGTATACCATGCATTATAAGGTTCAATTAACCGAAACCGGAAATTCCTACCCGCGCAATTAACTACGCAGTTGGTCCGAATCCGTCCCTTATTAGTTTGAACGGCATGCACTCTTCTAGTACCGTAGTCATCGACAACGGTTTCAATTGCCGTAAGGGAACAACCCTCAACTACTCGAGCGCCGGCTTTGGCGGCCGCTCTAGTCAAGGCTGAACAATAGCCTGCCGGTTCAATAGTGCCGTCGGCGGGACTGTAAAGCGTCGCGTAGACGTCATCTACATTCATTAAAGGGTATAGTTTTTTCGTTTCCTTTGGGCTGAGAACTTCAGACTCGACACCGAACGCCCTACCAAGCTGTTGCCAAAACATTAAACATATATATAATGTAGTTTAGAAGCACGTAAACGTGTACAAAGTATTATATGCATAAATTATCCCCCCTAGGGGGGGTTGCCGCGTAATGTAAACACAGACCGTCATTAATCTTTTGTACTCGTCCATGCGTTCGTTAGTGGAAGCAACGAACAAACCACCATTGTTTATCCAACCAGGATCGATGCCCGTTTCCGCTTCGAGGGAAGCCATCAATTTCCTACTTCTCACCAACAATTCCACTTCGACGTCGTTCGGTCTCAAATTCCATACCAAGCCTGTATTTTCCCAAACAAATCGTTTAAATTTCCCCCGCCTTTCAAACTATCAGATTTTGCATTTTTATTTTTGTCGCATTGAGTATTTATTTCTGTTAGACTAAATTAGACATTAACGAAATGAGTAAGATTCAACTTACCTGCCGTGTGCCATGATGTGCCAGCGGTTAGAGAATGCATTTCCAATAAAACGGTATTAGTTATACCCAATTTAGCCAGGTGATAAAGCGTACTACATCCAGCTGCACCTCCTCCCACGATAACAACGTCGGCTTCGGTTGGTAAAGACCTCTCGCTGCTTTCACGCAATACTTTTTCGTATTTCCTGTTTGGGAAGGAAGAGGACGGTTTATAGGCCTATTTGTTTAATGTTTATTTTCCTTTCTTCTTTCGACACTTACTTTGTTGGAACGCCAGTCGTGGCTGTCTGGTTCGACCTACGACCTCCTAAGGCTTGTAGACTTTTTGCATATGAAAAACGAGCGGTCAAACTGCGACCAACTTTCCACATTTTTTTAGTGCTGTTGACAAATCACTTCTCCAACAGGTAATGCTAGCTCTAAATCGGATGTTGTTCTTCGACAGATAACGAGACAGGATCGCACCAAAAAAAAAAAATAACAAAACCAATAAGCCTATCTTGAACGAGTAAAAAAAACCGTGAATTCTCTTTTAATTTCGCTTTTTCATTTATTTTTTCTATTTTACTCGGAAGGTGTTCAATAATGGAAAAGAATGCAGATTGAATAGAGTAGGTGAAAGAATGATTTGCTTTCTCACGCCGAACTCGTTAATTACTATTGCTCTGTATCGAATGGCGATTTAATAACGTTTTTTTGGAAAATCAACGTGTCATCGTAAATAATTGCGACGTTCCGCCGTCGATCGAATGAGATAAAGGAGGGAATAAAAAGGTCGATTATAGGCCTGAGTAGTTGAATACGTATTTTACACGCATTATACTACATAAATAAAAAAAAGTGGTTGAAAGAGGTAAAGGGAAAGGTGGAAGGAAAAGTAGAAAGAAATAAAGAAAGGGAGTGGTACGTAAGACTTGTAAAACTATGAACAAAAAGAGAAATGAATGGGTATGCCGGCTTTTTTTTCCCTTTCCTTTTACTCTTATACTTTTACCATTTTGGACATTTCCACCTTTCCCATTTTCCTTTTTATACTTTCTTTTTTCAAAGAGATATGTTAAACGCGATGGGAAACTGTCTGACATGCCGTCACTTTCACGGGGGATAGCGTTTCCAGGTTTTTCCCACGCTTACGCGGTTTTTTCTCACATCGCAATCTTGCCAGTAATTTATTCGCGTCCGGACACGCACGCGTGCGCACGTCGTTTTTTTTTTTTATATACGCCCCCATTTTTTTAATTAAAGTTATGTAAAGCCTTGTTTGTTGTGTATTCATTTAGTAATTATTCATTTAAAAAGGCCATAGAACAAGTGGTAAATCTTCGTATACTGTATATGGTGTTTACTTATTATAGTCTTACAAAAGAGTAATTGAACGAACTTAAATGGATCGAGAACGCGGCTTTTATAAGGTCAAATACCGGCTTTTTTTCTCACGCCAGCCAAGGAATGAACGGTGATTAGCTTTATGATGCTTCCCCGCCTTTCGAACTTGGAGTGAGGTGCGTGGAATGTGTTGACATCGTTGCTGCTCCTCCTCCACCGGTTGAACGTGTATGCCGACGGCGACGGCGGCCTCTGAATAAAATAAAAAAATACAAGAGCGTCTATTTATAAGGCGTGAGAACTTTTACGATATGGGAAAAACGGTTGAAGTAAACATTTGTACTACGAACTGGAGTGTTTGGTAGTCGCGGCGTCGATTAATTCAGTAGATTCCCGTCACCTCTGACCCTTTGCTAATTCTTTGTTTTCCGCCGACGAAAACGCAAAAATAGGCCTAGGCGACGCAAAAGTCGTGCGAACTTCCACGCCCTGTCATACGCTAGCCAATAGATGACGGCGATATAGCGAACTATTTATAAAATCGCAGCTGATTGGCCGGCGCCTCGGTAATGCGATCTACTGAATCGAAAACTCCCAGCAGTTTCTCGTTGACCGTCGTCGAGCTTCGACGAGGGACGCGAAAGATGATGGATAAATCTGCTACCACCGACTACCAAAAACGCTTCCTGGAAGCTGTTCAAAACTGTGATATGTCTTCTATGACTGAACTATTGAAAGATCGACCAGGGAAGGTTAATGTGAACGTGTTTGATAAAAGAACCGGCCAGACACCTCTTCATCAAGGATGCTTGGAAGGAAATATAGAACTTGTTCAATTGCTCATTCGATACGGAGCAGACGTTCGACTAGCTAATAGAGATGGATGGTCACCTCTCCATTTAGCTTGTTATACCGGTAATGAAAAGGTATATAAATACATCGTGAGGATGTTGCAAGAAGGCTAAATTGAAAAGAATAAATATAGAGAAAAATAGACAATTTTTGAAAGTATCGAGAAGAAAGAGACTCTCGGTGAAAGTACCTTCTACTCTAGTCATTGATCCTGCAGACGATTTCCCACACTAATAAACTGATATGAATCTTATCGGCCAACAGCAATCGGACCGATAAGCGGTGTATAGATACAGAGACAGGCGTAAAAACTTTGCGTTGATAGTGAGTCCTTTTTCTCCTTTTACACACATTTTAAATATTTAGTATGTCAATTCAAAAAAAAATGTATGTATCAGTCGATAATGGATAACTTATATTTGCATTCAAGTAAACGATTTATGCATATATTTATTGTTTTTATTTATGTCTTATGATTATGTATAAATATACACATAAAATGTATATATTTATATTTGTACTTATATTTTTATTGGAATGTTAGAGCTTTTTTTATATGAAGGACAAATTTAAAAAATTTCTATTATGAAAGAAAATAAAAATGCAGATGAATATTTAAAAAAAAAACAATATGGTCATATTTACAAGTATAATATACATGAAGTTTATACCTTATTGAAGTATTGTCGGCTATTCTTGAGAAGAAAGAAACACATGGCCCGCCCCTGTCTATAGGCCAAAACGCCGCAGGGAAAGCGTCTCGTTTTTCTCGCATAAATATAACCGACTACAAACGATCGGCTCCTTTGACCGAGTAATTGATAGCAGATATAGGCGCTGCTAGGTCTGTCGGACAGGTGGCTCGTACAGCTTTCGCTACAGTAGGCAACTTCAATACGCCAAAGGGCCTGGGGTCAGGTAAGCTGACCGCTGAGCAGGGTAAGAGAGTGAGAGAGAAAAGAAATTTTTTAGCGCCTCTGCACCATCGAGTTTTAAAATAGCGAGCTAATAGACCAAGCTAAGCGTACGCCCATACCCTCCCTTCCTCCCATTACCCCCTCCCTTGCTATCCAAACCAACTTCCTTTGGTGGGAACCAAGGGTGAACTCGGTGATGAGTATTCTCTCTGAATTTGTCTGTTGGAGGTCGTAACTTAATTAGCTTGTAAACAATCAAGAATACAGAGGAACTACGCTCTTTCCTAACCTAACCTTAACCTCTAAAAGCAACCTCGTTTATTCTCCCTCCTATGGGTTTCTTTATACTGGTAAGGTGGCCGATTAGCGGAATATATTAAGGTAGGAAAAGGGGCGCGTGCGCCTTATTTGCGTGCGGCGTTTTTTTAGAAGGAGCGCGCGCAACAACACCTGGCGCAAACAAAGGACGCCACGTGCAGCTACTGACCAATGTCCAGTTGAGCGTCGCATCTGTCCGCTTTGACACGTGCATTGTCGCTTCAAGCTCTATCTTTGCAATCGCAACAAATTACGGAGAAGACGGGTCCATCCAACAATCACCTCCTACTCTTTTGCTTTCTCATTTCTAACTTCCTCCTTCCTATATCTTATTCAGAACAAATCGTTTAAAATGTTAATAGGATATAGTGTATACGGGTTCCGCCCCACCTCCCCCCTAGTTTCTATCTCTAATAACGGGTTTGTGGAAGGCAGGGAGCGAGAAGACCCTGATAAGGATTAGATGGCTGACATTTTTCGAGTAATAAATGTCAAAACTATTCTTCCCACGACCCATGCCTTCTACGGCGCCCCCGTAAAAATCTGTTGCCGACACGATAGTGCATTTTTTTCCATTGCTTGCAATGGAAGGGGGGACATTTAGCGCCCCTAAACGTGTTGACATTGGACAAGGGGGGCCAAGGAGAAGAGGAGTAACACCTGTCGGTGTTACTATCGTCTATCCGCTTTTATTCTCCTAATTAATTCCGTTTTTCCTATCTTTTACCAATTTTTCTTGATCCATCAAGTATACGCCCACAGCTACGATACACATGCCATCACCACGAAACGTCAACAACCAACTGCAACCTCTGGCACGAGCCACACTCTTATAAAAAAAGAAGGTGGTTTGAGTATATAGAATCGTGTCCTCTTTGTATCTCTCTCTGACGACAGTCATCTCTCTCACCACTCGCCAAACAAAAGATGACCGTAAATTAGAGGTCAAGTAAAGTAAAGCGGACCGCCCGCATAGCAGTGAAGCAGTGGGGGGTGAGGGGTGAATGTGTTTGTCTAATAAAGAGAAAAAAAAAGGTAAAAAAAACAAGAAAATTGCCTCCCGTTTCCTTCTTCTTTTGTTGTTCGTCCTTCCACGCTGGGCGACGGAGGTTGTAACGGGAGAGAAAAACCTTACACCAGCTGCACATTGTAAGGCGTAAGATTCTCACGGGAATTAAAGAACTATATAGTAAGACGCATAAGTCTATATAGCAGAGCCTGCCAAGCTAGAATAAATATTTCCTAAACAAATATACAGAAATCAGGATAGAAGCAAAATATAACTAATCGAATGTATCAAGAACGGCTTGGAGGCTTTTGCGGTTGAACGATTTGTTGATAGACGAGGTAAGTCAAAGCATACGGAAGGAGATCACTAGCTGGAAAATGAATTTGTTTAGAAAAAATATGAAGTGGTTTAGGGGAATAAAAGAAGAAAGGACAACAAGTGGCGAAGCTCGAAACAAGTAAAAACAAAACTATTTGAAAACTATTTGAAATACTTCAATTTCTATTTACATTCTACGGGGCTAGATAAGACGAAGAAAAACTTGTAAAAATGTGGAACCTGATATTGGTTGTTGCTGTCGAAAATTCCCTTTCTCCCCCTCCTTTACACCCTGCGGGAGATACTATCAAATAGTCCGGACGGTATTCTAATCGCTCAAAGAAATTTGTCAACTTGTTTAATTTCCCACAAAAAAGGAAACGTATTGATTAGTTAAAGCAGATTTTTTTTTCTCACGAGACGCTCGACTTCAAACGACGGAAAGGGCGGTCACCACCTGCTCGTCGTCTAATATAACTATCGCTTTGCCTAATTGGTTGTGACGTAATCGGTCTTATCTGGTAGACGTCGTATTTTTTTAGGCTTTAAAATGGAAAGAAAAAAGGCGGGGGACGTCAGATGGCATTGCTCGGAATGACGTCATGGGCCAACTTGATAGGGGTGTGGGAAAAACGGCAAAGTTCAAAGTCGTTGATAAGCGTATCAATTTTGAACGGCTCGTTTGATGGAAAGCACCTGCGAATCGCTGCTAAGAATAATTGAGATAATTTAGGTTTAATTATTCCAAACATTTATTACACTTTTCCGTCTGTTAATTATCTTAAATAATACAAATAAAAACAAGAAAAGAAAATAAATATCACGGTCCCGTAACCTATTCAACTCTACTTAGAAATTGAACAGACGCAGTCAATAGGCCTATACATACATTTTTTTTCTCTTTTACACATTAAGTTCGGTTATCGTGTCAATATATGTAAAGATAAGCGGCTTTTATTCCGTCTGAAAGCTAGGTTGTGCAGCAGTCATTCATCGCTTGAATGGGCAATTGATATGTCAGTTGTAGCGAACGTGAAACATAATACGCGTTTCTTTGTAAAAATCTCAAAGCCTTGCTATAGCCAGCAACAGATGGACGCCAGAATGGACGCACCATCTGCATGTCAGCCCAAACTCGAGTTTTTATTTTTCTAATGCCAACAAATGTGATTTTCAAATAGTGTTACCTGATAATAAAAATATCTAAAGATATCAGTTACATACAATTTTTATATATATTATTAATTTATACAACGTATATATCGATCAAAAGTTGATAAAGCTGAACGGTGATTTAGTAAACAAATGGCTGAATATGGGAGACAACTTTCATCGGATTCCGACACTGTATTCCCTTTGATAAAGGATGGGCAATACACTTATACAGTCAGTTCTTATCATACTCCTTCGGAGGCGTCAAAATTTTGTGATTGCGCCAACGAGAGGTCGCAAATACGGCTTCCGGCCGTTCAGGAGGCTTCTACTAACAACCACAAGGAAATGGAAAACTCTTACATCCTTCTAGTAGATAAGTCCGGCGACGGTCTGGCGCATTGGTTAAAAGTTTTACAAGTCGGTCATGGCGACAGTGAGGTTATAGTTGATGATTATGTTCACATAGAAAAGTGGAAGACTATACAAGATAGAAAGGATTTTGAGGTCTGCTCGCTAGATGATAAATTATATATTATAGGGGGTTTGAACATTAGCGACCCGGATCAGGTTCGCACATTGGCAGATGTTGATATTTATGATCCAGTTAAGAACGATTGGAACCAGTGTTCCCCTCTGCTGACTCCGAGATCCAGATTTGCGTCGACAATAGTTAGAAATCGTATCTACATAGCCGGAGGCAGAAAATCCGACGGAAGGGTGACGGCCAGCTGCGAAATTTATAACCCAATTACAGATCAGTGGACGAAAATGGGTTTATTACCCGGACCCCGAGTAGGATTGGCTATAATTGGTACTGAGAAGAACAGACGAGATTTCGTTTACGTTTCTGGCGGTGTTCATGCCAAACAAACTAAAAACAACTTTTGGTGTTACGAGAGCCTTAAGTGGTCAGAATTGGACGACGACTACCCACACAAAATACGCAGAAGTCTCGAGAGGCATTGTATGGTTATTGTCGATGGTGTTCTTTACTTCATTGGTGGTCTTAGCCGACAATTAGAAGGGGGCGAAACTAAGCGCGTTGAAGCGAAAGTTGACGCATTTACTCACCAGGTTACGTTAGCTGACAGGAGGCGGAGGGCGGATATCATTTGTCCTTGGAATTTAACTTTACCCTCGTTAAACATTGGTAGATATTCTGCCGCTACCGTAGTACTTGGAGATAATATAATGGTATTAGGGGGGAAATCCGCCAAAGGCGATGCAGTGGTCGAAATTGAAGTGTTTAACATTCACAAGAAGATTTGGAGAACCCTCTTTAAACTACCAGAAAATGGTGAATACAGTAACGTAGGAGCCGTTTTATTAAAGGCTACACCAAACTTCGAATTTGAATCCACTCCTCCCACTCCTGACCCTCAGCAGTCAAATCCGGTTAAATGGATCATGTGGTAGACAAAGCGGTATTAATTTTCCGCCAGTTTTATCGTATTTTTAGTCAAATAGTCAAAAATAAAGAGCAATGATAGAGAATACGTACACTACAGATGTCGCTGTGTGTTTTAAAAAGTTTTGTGTTTTTATATCTTTCCTTATATTAATCAAGAATAAAAGATGCAACGTCAGTAAAAAAAACTTGCACTTTAAAATCAATTGTGTACATATATACATATATATATGTATATGTATATATGTGCGTGTGAGTGTATATGTCTGTATTCACAGACGGTTTTTTTTTTATTTAAGCAAGTACAGATTGTAAAAGTTATATTCATGTTTAATGTAACAAGCACATTATGAAATAACAAACCAATTATAATTAACATTTGCATAGGATTAATTTCTGCAAAGTTAAAAGAATGTTAAAAAGATAGAAAGAGAAAAAAAGTATTAGTGCATTCTAGTATTTTTTTTTTAATATCTTTTTAAAAAATAGACAAAAATATATGAAAAGAATATAAAAAAGTAAAAATTGTTAGAGTAATCTCAATGAAGTTTTTGATTGATCGCTATCTGTTCCATCTAGAGGCTTTCTTTCGTATTTTCTACGATATGTTTCGTCGATATTGGTAAGATACCAAGTTCCGGGGAAAAATGCTGCTACATCAGCCACGGGGCTATGTGGAGCTGACAGATAAAAAAAAAATGAGAAAGGAGTAATAAGCTGATTAAAAAATATTTAATAATCACCTGTATGGCAAGTAATCTCCCTCAATGCCATAATCTCGTCAAAGACAGCTGGATCGATTTTTGTCCGACTGTCTAATCGGCTGACAACGTCCGAAATACCCGTGTACAATCGTTTCAATTGGTTCATTTTATCACCAACTCTGATGCTAAACATTGTCGAAGAAAGTCCTGAACCGTAAGAGAAAAGAACAATTCTCTTTCCAATTAACTTTTCAGCGCTATGGGATATTAGAAAAGAAATAAGGGCACCATATAAGGATGCAGTGTACATGTTCCCTATTCTGGTGGAAAGATTTAAAGACGGTTTTGTCTTTTCTTCAAACATTTTTAGACTTGCTTTCATGGCTGCTTTTTCAATTTCTTTATTAAAGAATGTTTCACTCAATTCTACATCTTTATGACTCTCTAAACTTGGCCAATTATTATGTTGCCCGTCTACAACATCATTCATAACAAGACGGGCAAACGATTTTTGCACAAGTTTACAATACGGGGTATGAAACAAAAAGGCGTCAGCTTGAAAAACAGTAAAAGATTTGGAATGTTTTGCGTAATATTTCTTTTTATACAACTTGTAACATTTGTCAAGTGCAACCAAATAGCATGCAGCAGATAGTTTACCGTCAACCAAAGGATATTCAGAAGTCATATTAGGTTTATAGAAGTCATATGCATGCTGCATATGAGTACTTCGAGTTCCTCTTTCAAGGATCAAAGGGGCATTAGGGCCGAGAAGAAATGCAACAGCACCCGCTCCGCCGGTGCAACGAGCATTTCCTCTGGGATAGACGGCAATATCAGAAGCAACCATTAGCGCATATCTGCCATCCCAGGCGCTTGACTCGAGCCAATTCGCGCAATTAAATAAAGCAGCTGTTCCTCCATAGCAAGCATTCGTGGAATCGACACCCTCAACATCTGAATTTCCCGACCGTTCGAATAATTGCATTAGGACAGTCTTAACCGATTTCGATTTATCTACCAATGTCTCGGTTCCGACTTCCAGCCTTCCTATATCCGTATAAGAAATCCTATGCTTTTCCATTAACCTTTCAACTACTGTAAGACAAAGTGAGTGGACATCTTCTCTATCAGTGCAAAATGCCATGGTAGTTTGTCCCAAACCAATCGTATACTTTCCAGTCGAGGCTCCATCAAATTCTTCTAGTTCCGCTTGATCGACATAATGACATGGAAAGTAAATTTCGACAGCCAGAATACCAACGTCAACAGGCCAATTAGACATTTTTTCTTTCATCTTTCATCAAATACGTTTCATTCTAACGTGATGCGTCAATTAATCTAGGGTAGAATAAAATTTACTTTTGTTAACTCACAATCACGCCGTTCAAAACAATTGTGCAATAGGATTTTATGATTAATGCTTGTTTACGTTCAACAAAGGATATAACTAAACCAATCAAAGTAGAGCAGTATATGTCAGTACCCTTCTAATCCCGGGTGCAACGCACTTGAACATTGAACTACGTAACGAGCTAATTTTAGGCATACCAATGGGATAAGTACTCCGCTTCTAATATTTCTTTATGCCAATGTAAAAGGATTCAGGTGTTTATAGGCCTACTCCACTTTTTTAATAGAACATCTCTCTCAAGAGATCTAAAGTGGCCCTACAATACGTATAAATTTATGAATATTTACTTCAAATAAATAAATGTTTTGTAAATACTAATTGTAAAAGACAATAAAATATATTAGATGTTGACCTTCAAGGTAATAATGACCTTTCCGTTCTGAATAAATTAGGAACATTTCCTAAAACAATTGTCTAACAGAATAACCCTATATACGAATGAATTTTTAAAGAGAACCCTGTTAAACTTTGGCAAATATTAAGTTTTCCTTTTTCGCTAATTCTTCCTTATTTTTTTATATCAGTAACTTTTCAATGGCTTCTTGTCACGAATTTTTATGGCTTAAAACCATTCGATTCAAAAATAAAACATTAGGGAACCTTAGAACGTCTTCTTGAGACGGAAGGGCTACTTCCCGTCTATTCTTACACTAAGTTTGTATCTTTGGATGTGAGAACCACACTTGACGCTATTAAAAACGCTTCTCGACTAGATGTCATTCTAATCTGTCGAATCTACTTAGTACTACTAAGTGCTGCGCAATTTCCTTCGTATTTCACGTCATTCATGGGTTGCCAGCAAACGAAAGTTTCAGACGCGGCTAAAAACAAACAGTCTGAACAGTCGCAAGCTTCACCGGTTGACCCGCGTTTACCCTTGACCGCCAGACAAGCGTTTAAGTTAAAGTCATCATGGAAAGGAATAAAGAGGAATATGGAGGCTACCGGTGTTGAAATGTTTGTCAGGTAAAAAAATCTACTAATAAAACGTTTGTAAATAAAATTTTCTGCCTGTTTAAACGAAACAATCTGGTAGGCATATTTAGATATGGAAGAGAACGCCCTTGAGGAGAAGATAGATATATAAAAAACGATTAAAACTTTAGAAGTCTGTAGAATAAGTCATTAAAAGTCAATGAAAGAGATTGAGAACTAATAGAAAAAGAAGGGCGAGTGATGCGTGTGTCTTTTGTATAGCTTCTGACCGCCAAACTTTCTTTCATTTCCCTTGTACTTTTCCAAAGGTTTCTACGTCTAGAAATAATTATCTTCTTTCAGGCTCTTCCAACAAAATGGCCATTTGAAGACGCTGTTCAAAGACATACGAGATCTGCAAACGGCGGATGAGTTGAGAGCCCACGAAGCAGTTGAACATCATGGTAGTTTGGTTATGAGCGTGCTTGATGAGGCAATAAGTAATATAGACGACGTCGATCACGTGATAGAGGTCTGTCAACGAACTGGTAAATCACACTCGAAATTTACTGGTTTTTCTCCTGAACTATTTTGGGTAAGTGCAAAAAATACAATAAGGCTTATTATTGCTTATCTAAGACTAACAAGACTTTACGTATCGTCTAATTTGCAAACTGAAAATTTTGCTCATAAAAAACAATCTGAGAAAATTTTAAATCAAAATGATAGTGTAGGTATGAAAGTCTTATGATTCATAAACCAATATATATGTGTATGTATGTCAGTAAATTCCTTGAAACTTATGTATTGCATGCAAAATTTATCATTTCTCCCACCCCCCCCCCTTATAGACAGTATATACAGTATATGTATAAATGTATTTTTTCTTCCATCATTTATTTTACTTTCTTCTAAGTAGTAACATTACCGTAATCCTGCACTTATTAATAATAAATAACATAATGTTATGCTGCTAATTATTGTTGTTTTTTGCACTATTTTTAAAGTTCCTTAGTATCATACTAATATGGATAATATTTTATATAATCTCTACAGTTGATAAATTATCCTTCGTGCAGTCACCGAAAGTTACTCTAGGCGATGACTATAAAACGCAAACCCATGGAATCTACACGATAACTATAAGCTTTAATTTAAACAAATTAGTTGCGTCTATTGGCAACTTAATGCTCATTTCAATGATGCCATTCAAAAATAGACAGATCATTTTTGTTTTTAAACAGCTAGCCGAAGAATGTTTCTTGGATGCCGTTAAAGTAATTCTGGGGGATCGTTACACAGATAACATGCAAATCATCTATCAAGTCGCAATCAAGTTTATTATCCAAAACCTCAAGAACGGTTATAAGTCAGGATCTCAATGAGTTCTTCCATTCTCTCTAATTTTGTTTTGCACAATTCTAAGAAGGAGAGAAACATTAGATGAATATATATAAAGCGAGTTAATGTTGTTTTCCATAGAATCTGAACAGAATTCCCTTCAAATTGGAAATATTGCACAAACTTGTAACTTAATAATTTATTTCTTTATTTTTTAGTCAAATAAGTAATAAACGTCAAGGTGTTCTTTGAAAGGGTTTTTAACTTTCATTTACTCTAGATGACGCCACAAAAACATCAGATGGCGTTACTGTTCTTTTAATTATATAGCGTCAGACAGAGAGGATAGAATAAGCGAACAAAACAAGTCCGCAGTCGGTTTTTAACCGACCGATCTCGCTCCACAGGTAATTTTTCAGCTTAAATTTTTTTTTCACCTTCTATCAAATTAATTAAACGGCTGCGCAACCGATAGAATAATTTAGTCGACTGATAAACCATCCGTCTAGACACAGTCTGACTACAGAAAAGCCAAAGCGTCGGTCGATAGACGCCTAATGCGGGTCGGTCACGTGACCGTTGCTGTATCGGTATTTTTCGTTTTTTTTTTCATCCTCTCCATCCTCCATTTCTCTTTCTGTTAACAAGAAGAGACAACCAAGGGCATCTAATAACGTTCGTACATAATCATGCTAATGCAACACAATTAGAGACGCAAATTTTTTCTTTTTCACTCCTTATTGCTCCTTTACGTTCTATAAATAAATTGGCTTTTATTATCAAGTATGAAGAAATTATATGCAGTACGTATATATAAATTTATATATATATATATAGTATAATTTAACACGTCTAAGTGGATTAAGGATATATATATACTGTATATACTTGATATTCTAGTATTCTATGCAGTATATATATATATATATGTATATATAAATATGTATGTATACTGCATAATATGCATAGTAAATATTATTATATACTACAATGCCTGTTTTGTTAGTCGCTACCCTTGGAGTTAATGCTTACAAATGTTAAATCTTATGCTTATTACAACTGATTTATATAGAGTGGATAATTTTGGTTCCCTTTTCACAAGCCTCAATACTCGCAGCTTGTCATCGCTTCGTGTTTTCTGCGTTTGGCTTCGTTCGTTAATCAGATCGCGACCGATTTTTTTTTCGGCTTCCTCTAAACTTAATTATTCTTTTTCGATTAGAATGGCTCCGACTGGTCGAACAATTAGTATGTGTCTTATCTAGCTTAATTATACAACAGTACTCTACAAACAGCCGATAAGCTTTGACTCAGAGACGCGGGAAGAAAAAGAGAAAACGTACGCTTTTAACGAGCTTAAAGAGAATTAAGCGTTTATTTTTAGACGCCTCTTGTTTGTCGCCTTGTTTGTATGACGTCAAGGTGTATGAGCGCGGTTTTCTTTTGTTCGTCCGAGATCGATTAACGTCGATTTACTGATCATATATAGTAGGTTTTTTTTTTCAGGTGTTTGTTTGTAGAGAAGAGAGCGAGCATGAGTTTTTGTATACGAGCAGATTAATGAGAAAAGAACAAGTATGCAAGCGGAGAGCGGCGGTAACGCTACTCCTACGAACATAATAACTCCAGGTAAACATTTGTAGTAGGTAGTTTAACTTCCTTTTTGATTTCTTTTTTCTTATTCCTAAGCAGAAGCAGGGGCCCATGGTTCTAGTCCAAAGAGAGGCGGAAGTGTTAGTGGGACCTCGGATTCAGGTCGAGGAACCCCAGTTCGCCACGTCCTACAGCATGGTGTCTCGTTTGTGGAGGAGGAAAAGCCGCTGGTACCCGGCATCCCCGTTAGAGCTGGTTCTCTTCATACTCTAGTCGTTTTAGCCGCCCATTGTTTTGATGAAAAAGAAGGAGAAGTAATAACTGATAAAAGGGAATTTCCACGAGTCCTGCTACTAGTTCATGAGTGGTTCATTACACCCAAGGAGTTAGTGGACGAAATCATCGATTTATATAGAGACTGTGAAAGTAAAATTTCATGTTCAGTCGTCAACTGCGATCATTCGCCTAACAGCGGTCAGTGCACGAGGCAGCAACTCAAGCGGAAATTATGCTTGTTCGTTCGATTTTGGATCGACGAGTTTGCTGAACATTTCCACGCCAATGAGAAATTACTAGTAGATTTCCAAAGGCTAGTAGCCGAAGAGGGTCAACCTGATTTACTAAGTTTGGTTGACACATCCTCAATGCCTAGTTACGACTGGATTCGCAGTATTTCTGTTAGGGCACCATGCAGAGGCCGGAAGGTCTCATTAGTCTTTACTAATATTAACCCTTATGAACTAGCTGAGCAACTAACTTATATTGAATATAAAGAATTTAGGAGGATATCAGTTTTCGACTTTAAACTTTATGCCCAAACGACAAGCCTTAAGAATAATCCAAAGTTGGAACGTTCAATTGCCCTTTTTAATGGTCTCTGCCAATGGATACAGTGTATGGTACTAAGTAAAACAACTCCTCAAGAGAGGTCTGACGTAATAGTTAAATTCGCCAATGTAGCTCAAAGATTGAGGCAACTGCAGAATTATAATACCTTAATGGCTATAGTTGGTGGTTTAACTCACAGCGCTTTAGCAAGACTCAATAAGACCAATTCATGCATTCCACCCGAAATTCATAAGCTTTTAGCCGAATATACTGAATTACTTTCTTCCAATAATAACTTTAGCAACTATAGGAAAGCCCTGGCTCAAAGTACGGGATTTTATATACCCATACTGTAAGTAGAACTCTTTTATGCATATCTTGCCTTTAACTGGCTTTTTGTCTGTATCGGTCTCCCCAAGTATGACGTCAAAGTTTCTATAATTGGAACATAATTATAAAAGCGTTGCTAGAATCGAAACACTTTACGAAATGCGAATACGTGAATAATTCACATTTTATACGCTCCTTAACGAATTTCGCGCAGTATATATTATACAGTACGGTATATAATACTGAATATACTAAATATACATAAAGTACAAACATATAATATAGAAAGATGTAGTTCTATACTGAAAGTTATATAAAAATGCATATATATATATATATATATATATATATATATATATATGTATAAGGAATAATACTATATATACTGTATATCGACTCTATGTATTATATTCTTTCATGAATATTGCATGAGTATATACAGTCTAAGCATACAGTATGTGGACATATATACATGCATAAATTTATATCAATTTTTATATGCTTATCTTTATAAACTGTGCGCTAAACATATTTACCAATGTATTCAGTAAATATGAATAAACATATATATGTATATTCATATATATATATATATATATATATATATATATATCTCAATATACACTTACTTACATGTAGTATCTTACGTCCTATAGTCTATATATATAATATATACTATATATTCATAATAATGTTTATATGTTCTTATGTGTATACTCAGATATATATATATATATTGATGTTTATCTTTACCTATCATATATAGACGAAAGATTGCATGGAAAACAGTATACAAACAATCGCTTTATTACTATTTAGTACCATAGTTATAAACGCGCAGACACCAGGTATTTATTTAGTATCTGAGAATAAAAGTAATATAGTCATCATAAGAAGTATGTGTTCTGCAAAGTAGATTATTAATAGACTTATGTTATGTAATATGACCCAGTATGTAGAATGAGAAATGTTTTTATGCTTACATTCTAAAAAATCGATTCTTGGCAGGGGTGTTCATCTTAAGGATCTTATATTGCTGCATACAGCGTTACCGGATCGCGTAGAGGGCAGCACAGGGGCATCCATGATCAATTTCCGTAAAATGTCGCAATTGTCGCAAACATTCAATGTCCTCGTGCAAGTTCATAAAAATGCGGTTCCTGTAGAAGCAAATATGGACTTGATAAATACAATAAGATTATCTCTAGACCTGCATTATACTGAAGATGAAATTTATGAGTTGTCATTAGCCCGTGAACCCCGAAATTCTGTATCCTCGGTAAGTTAAACATAATTTTCCATCAATTACTTTTTTTCACCTTTCCGATAAAAGACGAACTTACGTGGTGAAAATAATAAAAAAACAGCCTTCCACACCCACTAAACCAGTCGTCTTTGCTGATTGGGTTGCCGGTGTTAGTCCCCCGAATCCTGAGACAATTAATAAGCACGTTCACGATATGGTCGATGCCGTTTTTAAAAATTATGATCACGACAAAGATGGATTAATTTCCCAAGCGGAATTTGAAGCAATAGCAGGAAACTTTCCGTTCATCGACTCCTTTTGCGTTCTGGATGCTGATCAGTTAGTAGAGATTCATCTTTCCCTACTTCCTGTACAAGTATCATCTGTGTTATTGTTGTGCTTTCTTTTACAGAGATGGATCTATTTCGAAAGAAGAAATGGAAACTTATTTCATTCGAGCCAATCGAAATGCCAGTGGAAATGCCTTAAGATCCAGTTTCAAGCATGACTTTCATGAAAAAACCTATTTTCAACCTACTTTCTGTAGCCATTGCACCGGACTTGTAAGTCATTCGTAATTGTATCAAAGCGTATCAAAACGTTATTTATCATTATACTTATCCAAATAGTTATGGGGCCTAATAAAGCAGGGATGGAAATGTAAAGATTGCGGTCTAAATGCCCATAAACACTGCAAAGATTTAGTGGTAATGGAATGTAGGAAAGGAATACACACTTCTAACAATACATTGCAACAACTTGCTCAACAACTAAAATCTCCGACTTCCACGTCGTCGCCAGCTAACTTAACCTTAGAAGCTAAAAGGAAAATGAGTATGCGACAAAAACGTACGACTTACACAAAAGGAACTCAGACTAATCCGGCCGATATTTGCCCCCTCTCATTAGACGTCCAATCTATACCCTACGCAGACGATTATTCGTTACAAAACGACGATGACGTTAATGATTTGGCTCAGGAGAATCGAAGTTTAAAAGCAAAGTGCCAGTGCCAACAGGAAGAGATTCATATGCTTCAAAATCATATAGGTAACATAAGACAGCATACCATCTCATTTATACTCGATCAAATGGATACACTTCATATGCAAAGGGATTCTCAAGTTTAAAAACAAAAAAAAAAGATATATTTATTGACGCCTAAAAAAAAACATTGAAATAGCAAACGAACGATTAAATAAAGAAAAACAAAAACAACACAAATGCCATCATCGACAAACTAGAATAAAAAATAAATATAAAAAAAATAGCAAAAAAAAACAAAGCAAAACAAAAAAAAAACAAGAAATAGAAAAGGGAAGATAAAAGAACAAAAGAAGAGAGGAAGAAAAAAAGATGTAAAATTTCTGAGAAAGAAATAAATTGAAGGCGGTAAATTAGTCTATTTTAAGATAAAGAAAAAACAAAATATATATATATATATATATATACAGTATATGCTAACTTTTTTGTTGTTGAAAAAATTAAGAAAATTGCAGTAGGTTATTAACAAAATTACGGGAACTCTCTATTTTTTTTACCGTAAAAACGTCCATAAAGAAGGAAAAAAAGTAAACAGAAAAGATTATCTACATTTACGAAATTTGTTAATTGTTGTACAAGTAGATTGAGGATTTCGAAGATTCCAAAAAAAGAAAAAGAAAAGTGTTGATGTATCATGCAGATTATTCATATTTTAAATGTTTGTTAAAAAGGAAAAATATATACTAACACACACATTTTTTTTTCATTGACTTGCGTCTACTTGCGCTTTGAGAATAAGTCGATTAGCACACGTCTGTACTTGAAACTGGTAGTCCACATGACAATTGGATTGAGACAAGGAGTAAAGAACGTGAGAATCGTGAATACTGTATAAAGAACTTCGTCTGGTCTATTAAAAGCATTGTAATACCAGATATAGGAATAAACGAAGAATATTAGCCACAGAACGTGGTGAGAATACGTTGCAATCGCGTGAGATGCGGCCAATTTAGCATCCTCTATCTTAAGAGGATAAATCCGACGTTTCTTATTTCGTCCTTTGTGTTGTTTGTAATCAGTTAAAGGTGTATTCTCATCTTCTGAAGTGCTTTCGTCTTTGAATAAGTTTTTCTTCCTTTCGTTATTTGAGACCTGACGTCGTGAGCTTATTTTATTTGCGTAGGTTACTACCGGAGCGCTTTTGTCCTCTTCAAGAACTCTGTTGGAGCTCTTTTTAATCCGTATTACCTTTATAGCAATATATATATATATAATTGATGTAACGGTAAACGGAATGGCATATGCCACGGCAAAGAAAAAGGTCAAATGTGATCTTCCTTTATTCCAATCGGGTAAACATTGAACATTTTGCTCCTGAAAGCTAGAACCCGTCCAGAAAACAACACTCATCATTGCAATAACAGTATCAAATATTAAAAGACCAGGTAATAATACGCAAATAACTTTTGCTGAAAAAATGTCTGCGTGCCTACTAGGCCAAGACAATTTCACTAAGCGTTCCACAGCCAAACAAAAGTAAATATGCGAGGAGCTCGTAAAAACGAAACCAGATATAAAAGTCTCAAAGCTACAATAACCTGAACCGAGTTTCCAAGTCCAATTTGCGGCAGCAGATGAGGTCATTACTAACCATAAAAGTCCACCTATCAAATTTATTGAACAACTATATAGCATAAGCAAACAGTGACCAAATGTACTTTTTCGTTTGTTGGTCTCCTTTTCCTCCTTTTTAAAGGTCTTTATTAAGGCTTTTGCAACCGAAATAATAAGAATACTATTTAGAACAATAGCTGATATCCCAAAAAGGGCAATGATAGCCGTATAAAAACCTCTAAGGGCTGAAGACGGCATATTTTTCACTTGCCTGAGGAATAAACAGAGGTATTAAGTCATTGATCCTGGTATCCTAGTAAACAAAAAACTATCTAAAACTTTCGTATATATACTAGGCGAGAGCTACAACAGGGGTGGTTACAAGATTAAAGTCGCACGTTCTATATCGATCGCTAGTCTTATATCATATTTAATTATAATTTCTTATCAAATCTAATAAATATTTAACAACAAAATTCCCAAGAATGATTTATTGACCTTATTTTTTCTTACAAATCAAAAATTTAATAAGAAACCTGAAAAATTGAAACCAACTAGATAAGCCAATCGTTTCATTTAATATTATTCAACAATAAGCTTATCCCTTCGTTATTCAACAGAAATATTTCTACTAATATTACAGTGTACAATTTCTGCCGGCTATTAAAATATTTAAATCTGTTCAATATCACAGCACTACGTTTTGGGAACAATGGTAAATTAACTGTCAATTGAATATTCTATGATGACGTCTGACTACTATCCGACGTCACTGTCACTTTCTATGAAATCGTCTAAACTTAATTCAAGCTCTAAACAAGGTTGTTCGTTTTCAAAAGGCATTTTGTCTCTATGGCAATTTGTATTATCTTCGTCGTCTATTGCTATTATGTCGTTGTCATCGTCTACTTCATTATCTTCTTCCTCTTCCCTAATCGGTTTTGAAAATAGTCTATATTTTTTCCTATCTTCGTGAGCCTTCCTCGATCTCTTTAGAGTTTGAAATTTTTCCTGCAAGGCAGTTTTTTGCTTAGTTCTATCTCTTTTTGGCCTTCTTTTGGATAGTAATTGATCTTCGTCACTTGAACTTTTATCTTGTTCAATGAAATTCTCCAAGCTGCCGTCATCTGAAAACTCTAGATCACATATTTGTTTGTTAGTTGAGCTGAGTGATATATCTACAGAAATTTTAATTTAATACCATAGGTAGGCTCTTGATCATCGGCAACGCAAAAGCTATTTTCTTCATAGTTCGTGACGTCCGGTTGAGGAATTTGAGAAAATACATCCATATCTGAATTCATTCCGTACGCCAGCTTATATCTGAAAGATATATATATATATGTTGTTGATAGATTACGTTACTGCAGAGTCAATAGGGGAGAATTTACAAACCGTTGATGGCCCATTCCTATCGGACTTCGCATATCTTTTAGATAAGCGGCATGTTGAGTTGCAGTAGGTAAATCAACGTCATTGTTGTCGATAAATGATTCTTGTAACAGTTCTAGAGCTGAGCCGTCGTCGCTCGATTCACCAGAGTCGGGTCCACTAACATCAGCTTCATCAGCAATGAATTCTCTTCCATTTGTTCGTTGCTGCTTTCGTGGTTCATAGTCCTTAAAATATAAAACAGATTGATTAATCCGACAGCAAGCAATTAAATTTTCATTACCCGGTAATTGAAAAGAATAATTTAAGTAAACAACTAACCTTTATTTCTTCTTTACTATATTTTACTTTCGTCTTTTCGGAAGCCCTATTTTTCCGACAACGAAGCCAAGTAAGACCTTCAGAGTTATCGTCTGATTCGTCACTTGAAAGTAAAGCTAATTTTCTACTTCTTTTCATTTTTCCCCTTTTGATTGCAGATTCCGGTGATTCTTGTGAACTGATAGGTAGCTTATTCCTTCGTTTCATACCAATATTACTTTCATCTGCTTCTTCGTTTTCATCCATATTGCTTTTAATCGCTTGTGATGAAATATAACCGCCCAGATCTCTAAATATCTCATTTTTCGCCATTTGAGTTGCCTGACGTGAGAAACAAAAACAAAATCAAATACGAGCGTCATATTTATTTACGTAACGAATTTTACCCCGATTTCATCATCATCATTATCAATATCATTCTTATTAAATTGAATATGATCAGGTATTTTCTCTGATATAGGGGAAGTTTTAAACTTTCTCGTAATTGGGGCTACGATGGCTATTTTGGGTCGTTGCGGAGTCAAGAATTTATCATTATTTTCTATTTTTGACGGTGTTTTGAAAGTTCTATGTCTTATATTGTTGTTATATAATTTATCTGTTAATTGTTTATCAGATTTATCTCCAATATCGTTATTTTCAGTAAGTTGACTTCCTTCGATTATTTCGTCGGTATCGAAAAGGCTATCCATATCTAGTGATAATTCTAATGTTTGATTCTCTTTACGAAGTTCATTAGTAGAGCTAATTTCCTCTGTTCCAGATTTGCAACTAGTATTTGTGTCTTGAAAATTTAATTTTCTTAAAGCCTGGGATGCCGTATAAAATTTAGGAGTTTCACTTTTCGGCGTTTTTTTGGCTTCGCTAGATTTGACGAAAGGGGTGCTAGAATGTATGGGCGCTGGTGGCTTAAATATTAAATCATCTGTTTCATGATTCATTGTTAAAATTCTACCATCGCTTTTCATATTATCTATAAATTGATTTTCAATTTCAAAATAATCGTCATCATTGTCACTAGCAAAGAGATCGTGAGTAGAAGTGTTAAACTGTTCTATCTCCTTTCTAGGCGATTTAGGTGTTTCCAATCTAATTTCATCATCGTAAACAACTGGAGCTTCCGTTCGTGGTGTGGAGTCTTTATAATTTCTCAAAGCTGATTGGTTATCCCCAGGAATTCTATCTTTAAAAGATTTTTCCTGTGTTTTAATTATTTCTTCATCCGTGTCGGAAATCTCTTGGAAAATTTGTTTCATTTCATCATTTGATTTCTCATGAATATTGAATGGTTGTTTTACGTATTTGATACTGTCACAAAGAGCATTTTTATAAATATTATCATCGAATATATTTAACTGTAATGGGATTTTATCGTTATTAGATTTTTTAAATCGTATAACTGTTTGTGTTACATCTTCCAGCGTTAAATTTTCGAAATATTGTAAACCATAGGAAATTAAAGAAGGCACTTTTCCGCAATCTAATTTCTCTGAAGAAAAGCTATAAGATACAGAAATTTCATTAATTGAATTATCTTGGTTGATATCCATAACTTCATTTGATCTATTATAATTCATAAACGGATAGTCTGCATCGTTATCATAATTTTTAACTAAATTCTCTCTCTTAGAAGTTTCTGCTTGAATTAGAGTAGTACTAACTCTTCTTTTCATAAAAGAGCTCTCTTTCATCTTGTTCTCAATATCTTGTACCTCTTCGTTTTCATCATCAATAATCCAATTACATTTTCTTTTTATTGGAATATCAATTTCACTATTTGATTTCCGTTTTTTTCCCTTCGCTGGAGACTCGTTGTTATTCAATAATATTTTACTTTTCCTATCAACAACGTCACCTTTCTGAAGATAAGGTAATAAATTCGCTTCGTAGGCATCATTATCTCCCTGAGTCATACCTATGAAACATGTTCATGTATATATATATGCTGACTATGCAAACCACATATTTGTTTAATCAATACATGAATTTTCAATTAAAATGAAATACTGAATAAGAAAATTATCAATACCTATTTTTTCTAGAAATTGCATACAATGTACTAAGGCTTTCGTTTCTTTTGAATGATCAAATTTGTGAATTTCTTGTTCGTAACTCTGCCATATGTAATATTTGTTGGGATCTGCATAATTAACATTTTGCCCAGAAGGTGGAATAAATTCATCCTCTCCTAAGCTTATCATTCTTGTCTTCGGTAATATTACTTGATAATTTAATAATTTAAAATTAAGTCCCCAATAGTCAAGTTCACTTTCGGTAAGGAAGCATTTATCATCTTTATTCCGTTTCTTACGTAATTCTGTATAAAAAAGCATGGGAAGAGGAAAAAAAAACAATAAGAAATTTTATTAATTGAAATCGGATGACTAATGATTTTCTAAAAAAAAACATAATCTATTGACCAGTTTTTGATGTAGTAGAAGAGGGACGATCTATTTTTCTAGATTTTTTAGGTGGCTGCTTTCTATAGTCATCTTTTTGACTTAAATCCATTTTGTGACATTCAGGAAATAACCCTTCAGGTACCATACGACAGTCATTCTGATATAAAGACAGCTTTTTCCCACTATTAGATAGGGCTTTATGTATAGTGTCCTTGTTTGTAATACTTTGATTGTATATCTAAAAAACACGATGGGTCAAAGATTATTTGTTAAATTCTAATTTTGGAATAATTTTTTTAGATTACCTGTTCCTCTTTTCCTTCTGTTATTAACATAACAATTCTACCGGCTCTTTTTCGTCCTGTACGTCCGATACGTTGAACCAATCTAATGGGGCTTTTAGAGGCGTCAAAACAAACAATCAAATCTACGTCACCAATATCTAAACCCTCTTCACCAACGCAAGTTGATACTAGAGTGTTGTAACCTCCTTTTCGAAATTTCTCCATAACTTTTAGTTGTTCTTTTTGAGTAATTCCCTTATTAGTTTTACCCTGAGATTGCCCAATGAAACTCATAACCGTGATAAGTGGCCTGTGGCGACTTAGCATGGCAGTAATCTCCTCTACGCTATCTCGGTATTGGGAAAAGACCATTACCCTAGTTTTTGCCCAACCTTTTTCGTCTTTATCTTATTTTATAGAAAGTGGAGATAAAAAAAAATAAAAGAGTGTATAGCAAATATTTTTACCTGGAAATTCGTTGAAATGTTGAAGTACGACGTCTTGCAACCTTATTAATTTCGGATGTCCAAGATCATAAGGCAAAGCAAGCTGACTATTTGTTAGCGGTGGTGCTTGAGACTGCAAATCGGGTAGTCTAAATATACAATAAAAAAAAAGAAAATTTGGTTAAATATATAGGATAATTGTGTGTTTTTTATTTTTATTTATTGCATTCTCACGTTTCATTGCTAAACTTTTTTTTAAGGAAATCCAGTATGTCTAAAAAATTTTGACTACGCAATAATTCAGTTCTTGTTCTACTGTAGCCTTTGTCACCAGAGATGGTTGATTCTAGAAACTTTTTAAGCGATTTGAGACCGTGAAGTTCTAATAATTCTAATCCATGACATAAACTTGTACAAAGAGCAAAATCTCCCTCGAGCATGCCAATTTCTTGTTTCTATTGTAAGATTTTAATCGAATATATGTGATAAAAAATTTGCTAGTAATTGAACCAATAAACCGTTCTATTACCGATAATCCTGGCGGTATTTTTTTCCTAAAACTTTCTCTTGCTTTGATTATTGCAAATTTAGATAAGTTTCCAGCATTCATATTAAAAAAAGCTCCAGATTTCTTCAATCTTGAACCGACATTGGACAATATCTGTGTATTTTTAAAATAGACAACTTCACTATAATCACAGAATCAAGTTTCATTGAAATTTACCTCGAGATATTGTTGTTTAACTTTTCGAATGTCTTCGTCCAAGGGTACAATAATCTTATCTATTTGTCTTTTTGGCAAATATCTCTTGATATCTATTGATTCATCAGATCGAAGTTCGATATGCGATATAAGTAAATTGTGAACTACTTCTTGAACAGCCTAAAATAGAATAAAATTATTGTAAAACATAATTATATAAAATTTCTGGTTAATTTTAAAAATTACCTTAATGTTACTACCGGGAGTGGCACTTAGTGCCAACATTCTAAAAATAGCTTCAGATTGTTTAAGTTTGTCTACGACTTGATGATATGCATGATTTCCAGTTGCTTTATGTGCTTCGTCAACAACTATACATTTTACATTCTCTGGAGGTATTATTCCAGTCCCCAAGTCGTTAGCCATAACCTGAATTATAGTAGATAATAGAATTTGATATATAGATTTAAAAAAAGTAGTAAATATCAAACTTGAGGAGTGAGGAAAAAAACTCGTTTAGAATGCCATAGAAATTCTCTATCTTTTGGTTTCATCGTTCCTGATTTAAAAGAACATGTTTTATTGAATTTCCGAATTATCTCTGATTGATATTTCAATAAAAACCTGTCATTTCAGCTGTATCCTGTTGCGGTATTCCCATTATTCGATAACAACTTTCAATTTGTTGTGCCACTAAAGGTTTTGTTGGAGCCATAAAAATAATTTTTCCTGATGGATACCATCTATAAAAATTATACATGACGACTGCCGCAATAAACGTTTTCCCAAGTCCCGTAGGCAGTGCAACTAACGTATTCTATAAGAAATTATATATGTTAGTTGAATTACTTGCTAGGAATGGAAATAAACTGCTTTGTTTTATAGTATATAATTAACCTTAAATAAAGCTTGTTGAACTATGTTGTATTGATAATCTCGAACAGGATAATTTGTTGGATAGATCCATAAACGTCCCGAGTTGAGATCAAAACCATCGGGAATATTAGTATAAGATTTACATGCGTTACTAGAGGTGGTGTGCACCTTGGACTCTGTTGTAAACCTTTCCTGTTGTTCGTTATTATTTTTTAGCATTTCTAGTAACTTTTTATCGTCTGTATCCGCGACAGCAGCCATAAATGCATCATCATCATCACTATCCAAGATGTACACCGAAGTGTCCTCATTTTTAGCCTTAGGAGCATTAACCATAGAATTCTGCTTTGGTGCTTTCTGCCAGGTTTGCAAGAGGGTTCGCTGTTTTGACTCACTCATTGCTTTACTTGACGAATGAGCGATAATATAGACGTTTTCCCCTAAATATTCATTTTGAGATATTCGACGTTTAATAAGACAAAAACAATGTTATCTATACATTAAATAATTCAAATAAATATTATTAATTTGTTCGATTACAAGAAATATTTGCTTAAAAATAGTAAGTTGATGCTATAAAAAGTACTAATATTCCAAAACAAGCAAATTGCGGACACTGCTTGTTCATTGAATGTTAGTCGATTGTAATGTTCAAGAATAACTTTAGTGGCATTGCCTAATTACAGTGGGAAACTCTGCAGTTCATTTAAAGTTGACATAACAAAGCATTTCAGGTAATTTTTCAACCATAACTTTCGAAATTTAAAATTTAATTAAATTCTTAATAGTTTCAAATGAGAAATGAGATTGTTTAATAGTTTTAAGTATCAATTTTTCTCACTTAAACAATGATACCTCGTGCTTATTTTTAAAAAAAAAACACATTTTTTACACTCTTCCTTCTGTTTTATGTCTTGCTCTCTTAATTTTTTTTGGAGCACTTAAAAAAATATAAACTTTAAAAAAAGTTATTTGGCTATGTGAAAATCCGGCCTTAGCACGTGCTTCTGTTAAGTCTTTCTAGTATCACGTGGTCAGTGCTCTATTTCTTTTCTTTCTTTTTTTATTAATCATTAAAGAGTTGTCGAAAGATCTTATAAAAAATTAGAAACAAAAATTTAACGACAGCTAGTTTCTTAGAAAGGTACAGATTTTTCCCACACAATACAGTTCAAAAAGTATTAGGTTAGAGAAGTGCGAGGCTTGTAGGATAACTTTAAAGTTGAAAATATACGTTTATTCCTATGTAGGAATGTACACATAATTTTAAGATTATTGCTTTAACAGTTTCAATTAAGCTTACAGGTAGCTAAATATAATGCCTGGCACGAAGACCATTTCAAACTCAAAAGTAAGAAGTAAGTAAGGAATGCTTTGAAACGCAGCACATGTTTTTTTCTTTTCATTACATCATATTCACTAATTCATTTAAAGCTCGTGATAGAGGATTAGCAGAAGAGGATAGAAAGATTTCTTATTTAGAAAATATCCGACTTAAAAAATCGTAAGTGAATAGTTTGTATAAGTATCAAATCCTTTCCACTAATGACATGCCCTGCAGTCTAGTGTCTAAAAGGGATTCTCTGGCTGAGAAATGTACAGAAGGTAATAGATCACCGAAATTAGAAACTCTTGAAAGGCCTGATAAATCTAAAAGTAGCAGATCACCTAAATTGGAGAATCTTGAAAATTTAGAAAAATCTGAAGAAATTTATAGAACTTCAAAGTCAGATAAATGTAGAGGACATGGATTATCAAAATTGGCAGATCTGGAAATATCTCCTAAGTTAAAAGAAAGCCAAAGGCTATCAAAATTTGAAAGTCCTCAAAAATCCGAAGAAAGCTATAGATCATCAAAATTAGAGCGTCCTGAAAAGTCTAATAAACCTTGTAGGTTACCAATATTGACAAAGTTTGAAAAATATAAAAAAGTCAGTAGATCATCAGAGTTAGGTTGTCTTGATGATTCCATTGGAAGTAGTAAATCTTCAAGATTGAAAAGTCCTGATAAATCTGAGAAAAGAGAAGATAAGGATACAGCTGAAATGATTGGAATGAGTGAAAAGGAACGGAGATCCCCTAAACAAGCAACACAAGAAAACTCTGATAAAATTGAAAAGCTTCCAAACAAGTTATGTCATTCAAATGAAGTATCCATTAAAGATTTGAAAAAAGGGCAAAACCTAGTAGGAAAATCTTTAAACAAAGTAAAATGTACAGATACGAAGACTGTTTCAAACTCCGAAATTGATGATGAAAATAGATTCAAAACTGATTGTAGTGATGATGAAAACTTTCTCGATTTTTCAGTTGGAATTATTGATCATCATTATGACTCTTCTGACGAAGATGATGCAAAGAGACTGTCAGGAGAATGTGAGAATGAAGATAAAGACGAAGATGGAGATGAAGAAGAATATGAGTATGAATACGAATATGTAGAAGAGGAACAGGAAGAGGAAGAATATGAGGAAGAATATGAGGAAGAATATGAGGAAGAATATGAGGAAGAATATGAGGAAGAATATGAGGAAGAATATGAAGATGAAGATGGAAAATATGAAGAGGATGACGAAGAGGTAGAGCAAGAGGAAGTACAAGAGTTAGAGGAGCTTGTGGAAATAGTGGAAGAAGAGGAACTAGATGAGACAGAAGAGGAAGAAGAGGACGAAGAGAAACGAAAGGAGATGGATGAAAATGCTCTTGAAATGAATTTTTCAGATTCCTCAACCAATTACTATTCCAATATGGCTCCAAATATTTCTGAAAATGATGATAATGTGGCACATATACCAAGATATCGTATGAAGTTACAGGAAAAAGATGTCAATGACAATCAGTTTAAAAGTGACAAATGCTCAAACTCTAAAGGTCAGAATGAAGAGAAATATGATTCATCCAGATCTCCATCCAAGAATGATGAAGGGAACGAAGATTGTTCGAAATCCAATGATGACAAAAAATCGAATAATGAGTTAACTAGAGAAAAGGCAGAACAATCTGACGCCTCTGACGATTCTTGGACAGTAACAGAGACTCAAAAGTAAGTTACAAGTAAATTACAAGTGTATTAAATTTAATGGTCTTTTTTGTATCAGTGATAGAAAAGAGCAGCCTAAAAGAAGTATTTTAAAAATAAACAGTCCTAAAGATGCCGATAAAATGAATGAAGGTGGTGGTTTTGATATGAAAGCAAAACTATATAATAAAAAGAGTGGAAAAAATTTCTGTGAAAATGATGAGAAGCAGAAAAGAACCAAATTTCGCTTCCAAAGCAAAACTCACGAAGGGGACGATGTGGAAAAGAAGCCTATGACATATGAACCACCGCTAATTTCTGAGGAGGACTTGTTTAAAGATTTAATGAAAAGAGGACGTAATTTTGATCATTACGAATCAGCTACTATTTCAGTTAGCGGAGAAAGTGCTCAACAAATAGAAATTTGCAAATTTACTGATTCTGATTTAAGCGAAGTTGTCCTGAATAATATCGAAAAGTTGGATTATAGAAGACCAACACCAATTCAAAAAATTGCTGTACCTCTTATTCTAACAGGTAGAGACATGCTTGGGTGTGCTCAAACTGGCTCTGGCAAGACGGCATCATTCCTCTTGCCCATCATATCTCAAATGCTCAAAAATGGCTTAAATGGTAGTGAGTTTCAAGAAGTTCAGGCTCCTCAGGCTGTAGTCTTGTGTCCTACAAGAGAACTGATAATACAATTATACACTGAGGCAAGAAAATTTTCTAGAGGAACAAGTCTAAAGGCAAAATTGGCTTATGGTGGAACATCGGTGAGAATATGTAAAGAACGAATTAAGAAAGGAACTGACATGCTTTTAGCAACTCCTGGTAGACTGTTAGACATTATCAGTCACGATTATCTGACAATGGATGAGGTGAAATATTTGGTATTAGATGAAGCCGATAGAATGCTTGAACTTGGTTTTAAAGAAACTCTTGAGGCGATATTATTAAAAATGCCACCAAAAGATACTCGACAAACTGTAATGTTTAGCGCTACTTTTCCAGGAATTGTAAAAGAAATGGCACGTCAATATCTACAACCAAATCACGTCTTTGCTTCAGGTATAAAAATAGGGTTAGGCTGATGAAAAAGTTTATATGTTCAATTTTGTTTATATATTTTCAGTTGGTACTGTTGGAGGTGCTTGTAATTTAATTCATCAAAGAGTCATCGAGGTAACTCAAGCAGAAAAGAGAAAGGAGCTATGTAACATTTTGGCTGAACGAGATCCAGAGGACAAGATATTGGTTTTTGTCAAAACAAAGAGAAATGCTGATTTCTTAGCATCTCTATTATCTCAAAAAGATTTTCCGGCTACCTCAATCCATGGTGACAGGGAACAGGCGCAGAGAGAGGAAGCTCTTCGAAAGTTCAGAAGTGGAAACTGTGCAATATTGATTGCTACATCTTTAGCGGCGAGAGGCTTAGATATTCCAGGCGTAAATATTTTTTTTTTCTAAAATTAAAACACCGCATGTGGATATGTTAAGATGTTTTAAACGAAACAATTAATCTTTCTTAGGTTTCCCATGTAATAAATTTCGACCTTCCTGAAGATGTAGATGAATATGTACACAGAATCGGAAGGACCGGACGATGCGGAAATACTGGGCGAGCTACGAGCTTTTACTGTCCAGACAACGACATGAAATTAGCTTCTGACCTTGTTGATATTCTAAAGAATGTTGGCCAGGAAATCCCGCCATTTTTGACTGGTTTACAAGACAAGACTGTTGATACTGTTGAAGGTTTTTCGGTCACAAAAGATAGGAAGAAGAAGTTAACAACAGGTGATGATTTTTGTTCAAAGAAAGCTTATGAAGACGAAGAGGAGGATGACGATGATTGGGGTCGTTTTTAGGATTACATTATGTAAAGTTGCTTTATACATATATGGCGACATGATTTCATTATGTTTTTGGTACACCTACATTATGCTAGTTTGTTTTTTGATAATTGTCGTCTTTTAGTTTTGAATTTATACCGGTTTTTCTTTAATAAAGCGACCTCTATAGCTTGACGTATGTTTTGCCTGTAAACAATGAAAACATTTTTAGACAAAGTGCAAACTGTCATAAAGACCATAGAAATACTACTGTCTCCGAGTTACGGACCAAATGCCTTATCCAATATTATATCAACGGCCTCCGGTCATTTGCTCGTAACAAGTAGCGGATCTACTTTAATAGAATCGCTAGAAATGACTGAGCCGGTAGCAAAACTGGTTGAACAAGCTTTGAGGAACTTTCACAACGATTTTGGAGATGGAACGAAAAGATTCGTTATTCTATTGAACGAAATTTGCGCACGATTAAATGACGAGAATAGAAGAATCGTTTCATCAGCTCTCTTAAAAATCAACTGTTCTATCTTACCGGAAGCATTTAAGGAGATCCAAAAGAATCATCATAGTGAAATTTACGACCTAAAAGAAGTGATGAGAAAAGCAGTTTCCGCAAAGCTTATGAATCTATTCCCAACACGAACTTGTGAATATTTAACAAAAATCATTGTAGAATGGATAAACGAAAACAGAACAAGCGAAAGCGATAGCATAAGAAATTCTATTGATAACATGCTGACATATTTCAATACAATTTGTTACGAAACTCATATCGGCAATTTAGAAAATAGTAAAGTTTTGAATGGAATTTTAATTGATAGATTTGTGATAAACGAGGACGTGTTCGAAGTTGGAATGTTAAGATGCCTATTAATAGATTGCGAAATTGAAAAAACCGATCCGGAGACAAACTGTTCTATTATAATCGATAGCAATTTAAGTATGCAAAAATTGGTGTCCTTCAATCACAATCATATCAGCTGTGCTATCGACTTTGTTAAAAGACATCACGTAAAACTCTTACTTTCTACCTGTAAGATTAGCTCAACTTTTAAAATGATATGTCGCAAAAATAAGATATCAGCTGTTGATTGTATTTCCGATTCGGAAGTAAACTTATTAAGCGTTATTTTTGGCGTCTATCCGCTAAGTAGTTTACAATCTTTAAATGAAAAAGACATTTTCGAAGCTGAAACGACGATGATTGACGTCTTTGGGAAAAATCGTTTGTTGCTAAAGGCAAAGGATTTAGCCACTCTCTTCTTATGTTGTCAAACTACCGGCATCTCGAAGCAATACGTTTCTGCTATATTAGGTTGTCTAAAGACTGTAAGATGTTTGTTTGACAAATATTCGAATTCTCCCATCTTTCTGCCAGTTGGGGGGGTTTTTGAGAGGTATTTATGCTATTACCTTGGTAGAAAATTGAAAGAATCTTATTCAGAAGAGTTAAACGAAGCATTAAGAATTCTTAGAGAAGCTATACTGATTGTCCCACTTACTCTAATGAAAAATTCCTATAACTATAGCAAAACTGAACAGAGATATACTTTCTATCAAGAAGCTCTTTCCGTCCAAACAAAAGATTTTAGTCTTCCTCTAGGTCGTCACAATCATAACGCTGACCTTGAACCTTTTACGTTGTCTTGTAATTACGTTCAACGAACTTTGCAACTATTGTCTATTTTAATGAGGATAGATGGAGAAATGCGTGTGAAAAAACGAATAAGAAACGAGCATTCTGTATTGTGTTGACATAAAAATAAATGTTTTTTTTTTTTGTTAAAAATTTATCAATCTATAGAAACCGAAAAGATAATCCGCAAAGTCTATGTAATGATTCACAACGCTTATCAATCATTTCATTTTGTTTGTCCGCTAGATGATTTTTCCAATCACCAACTATTCCTTTTCTGATAAATGGAGAAATATGTGGACGCATAGCTATGAAACTTTCAAAATTTGTTTGTGGATTCTTTTTCATTGAATCAAAGCTTACATGCCTTGCTAAATTTTCGATTTGATCGTTAGAAAGGTCTCTCTGACAAAATACGCTCAATCTTTTTATACATCCTTTCAAATCGGCTTTCAAGTCTTCATAATGTATTATTAAAACGTTCGGATTGTCTTTGTAAGTCATCCACTGTTGGCAGTAATCTAAGGGATCGCCATAAACAAGATCATCCGATTCGTATAGACGGAAGAAATCATCAAACGAGCCTTTAAAATCGTAACTCTTGCAAGCCTTGTAAAAGTAATAGTATGAGACCAAAACGTCTTTTGGATTACGCATCACAACGACGACCTTCGGCCCCGAATCGGCATTTTTCGAAACCTGCCTCATAATAAGATCGGCCCGTAAATGGGTTTTCACAACGAGTGGACGTTTCATAGTAGGTAACTTTTCAATAGGTGATTCTACTTTCGTACTCTCTAGATAAGGTACTCTGACAAGAACATGTTCGCTCTTCGCTCTCTCCGTATCAACTTTATTCATAATTAGCCATATAATTTCTTGCATCCAAGTAGTACCTTATTTTTTTAATTATAAATTATTGCCAATATAAAAATTGATAAATAAAAAAAAATAGAATAAAAAAAAAAATTATTAAAAAAAACTTTCACCTACCACTTTTGGGATAAGTAGCAACGATAACATCGTCCCTCCGGAAGTCCAATTTTTCGTCTCGAACTTTTTTTACTACATACTCTGGACAAGACGGTAAGTAAAGGATACCGTCGTACCGGTGCTCACCGGCCACGCGGTAATTTTTTCCGGCATAATTCATGCTTCGTTGTCGGCTAGTGAATGTTCGAAAAGACAAAGCGTAATCATCTTGCTAGAGGGCGTCTGTATCGATTACGAACTTGAAATCGGACATTAATGAGTTGTTCAGATCTAGTTTTCAACTTTCGAATGAAGGTCTCATTTGAATATCTAAACCTCCATATCGCTTTTAAAGTTAAATTAGTGCAAATCGATAAAGATAACAAACAATCAGGTTACACGCAATGTCAATGACTCTTTTCTAGCTTTTTATATTATTTAATATAATTTCTATCAAACAAGGACAAATATGTTTACAACTGGGCCAGAATTACTACTATAAAGTCAGCCTATAAGACGGCTATGTCACAGGCATTAGTCATCTTACTAAATTATCGTATCCGGCAATTTATTTAATTGCACATGCATCCAGATTCTCAATGGTTGAGAAAGTAAGATAAAAAAAATTCTCTACTTTTTTTTTCCCTCTATGCAGTTCTCTCTTCTTCTCCAGTTTAGCCTATATTTTAAAAAAATAACTTTAATTAGCTTGTTGTAGATAAAAGGAGAGGTAATATTATCATATCCTAATTTTGTATATATGTTGTTTTCTGTCTAACTTTCTTATATATATATATATATATATAGATTATTTTAAGAAGCAAATGGCGTTTATTTATAAATTATATAAATATATTCTTCATTTCTTTTATCGCTCTTAATTCAAAATTTGAACTAACTAGGTTTTAATATTTAAAACCAAATAGAGAACAAAAACAAAGGCCTACAAATTTCAGAGAACTTTGAAACATGAAAAAAATATATCTATATATATAACTCGTCTGCATCGGATCAAAGAGAACAATAAAAATAGAAAATAAACTATAATAAAGAGTCAATTGACAGTATTTTAATAAGAAAAAACAGGAATAGTTTAAAATGGATAATAATATTTATTCATTCAATAAATGAATTGTTTTTGTTTTTATTTTCTTTTTTTTTTGTTTTATAGTAAAATAGAAGACAAATTATAATAAAATTCATGAATTAGGGCTACTTTTTCTGTTTATTTTTTAATTTTATAAAATTTGTATTTAATATTCTAATTAAGTTTATTGGTTAAAAAATTAATAGAAGTGAAAGTGTCTTATTACACTAATAAAACTTAAAATACACTGACGAACTGTTGAAAGGTTTGCATCAAGTTTTAGGCGTCTTCTTTTAGTTTTAGTGGCATCTTTTGAAGGATATAGTAGAATAGTTTTTGTCAATTTACGATGAAGAGAGAAAACACGATTGAGATAGCGCAGGAGAGACAGAGAAAGTATGTCCAGCTTCGATTTTCCTTCTAATAATAATTATATTTGTACTTTCAGACTGTACTTTTAAATATTCATAGGTTATGGACTAAATATGCCACAAGGTGGTTTTTTTTGTATGTGTACGTGAAATAGGATTACAGGTTTAGTTTGGTTAAATAAAGTTTTTCTTCCTGGTCTTTTAAGAAAAAGGACAAATGTCTAAAATTCTATGGTTAGACAATATTTTTAAGTATGCTAAATCTTTTATTTAAATATTACCTATAAAAACGAAAAGGGAAGAAAATCTCAATTCATAAAACGATAAATTATTGCACATGTTTACCAAACTTCCGAAGAGAGAGAGAGAGAGAGAGAGAGAGAGAGCATAAAATATTAAAATATACTTTACATCAATAATTTGTTCCTGGTTTTTTTTTTTATTTTTTACTTTATAACTTTAACCTTTAAGAATTTATTACTCAATAAATCACGCCATAAAAAAATCGAGATAAGATTAGAACTTGTTTATCAATTCCTTTTTAGTTTAACATATCAACTTAATAATTAACAATATAAATATTTTTTTTTTTACTGCATGTATACAGTATATACATCGTTATTTTATAATTCTATTTTCCTTTTTAAATATAGGCCTAGATAACACTGTAGCTTTCTTTTTTAGTATTTTTCTTTTTTACTTTTCTTTTGTAATAAAACATTATTAATATTTTAATAGAAGTTATTTAAAATTAATAACAATAACAATAATAATAATAGTAATAGTAATAATAGTACTAAATAAGAGAATACAAATTATTTATGGTAGGTGATATTTGAATATAAAAAAGGTATATTATACATGAATATAGCTTTTGTCGTATTTTGTTTTTCTTGTTTATATTTATTTGTATCATTTAGAATTTTATAGTAACATACATAAAACTTTACGTTATTGATATTAAATAAAGTTATATATATATATATATATCTATATATATGTTTTGAATGGAGAATAGATACATAAATGCATAGATAAATAGATGGAGAATATATAAAATAAAGGAGGTACGGAAAAGCTACAAAGATGCTATAAAATTTTCTTTTAAGATTTAAATATATACTCTCCGCATTTCAAAGTTCAATTTTTGAACTTAATTTGGACGATAATGAATCACTGACAATCTTTAAGAGATTTGATTACGTTTTCCAGTGAAAAAGACTAGTAATAGGAGAACATTCCAATGTCGTTGAAAAAAAAACTAGTTTGAAAAAGATAATGAAATGCGATAATTATGCTCTAAATTTAGTTCATTCATCCTTTAATATATGCTACGTGTTCTTGTAGATTAAACTTTAGATTTTTCTTGAATCGATCAAAATCGTAGCACTTGAAATAAAATATATAGTGTATATATTTAAATACTCTATACACATAAAGTGGAAATTATAATACAAAGTAAATAAGGTCTATTATTGAGACCAATTCTCCAACCTTACTTTCTGATTATGAGGACAACCACAGAAGAAAAATGAAGCTTTATGTCTAGATTACAGTTTTATTTTACCGTACGAGTACTTATTAAATTCTTTTAGAAGAAAACAATAGTTTCATTGTTTGTTCTTTATAAGAAATAAAGGAAAGAAAGTTAGAGAGTATTTTACATAGTCTTTGCAAGATTTTTAAGTACATTCTTCGATTATAGTTTGTAAAACTCTTATTTCTTATTCACACCTTATTCGATTGACAGTTCAGTTTGTACAGGAATCGGTCAAACTTGGACAGTCAACACTTTTTCTACTTTTCGATTTTCTCTTATTGATAATCGATAGTTTGTTCTCATCCGAATCGGGTAGGCCAGTTGTATTCGAGAGGCCGGTAATACGGCCAGTTTGAAAACGATTCAGTGATTTCGGTGTCTGTTGTTTTAATTAGTATCAATTAAATAGATGATAGACTAGTTAGTGATGGAGAAAACGAAAACATTAAAAGTTTGTAATCTTAAATCTTAGTATTGTTGACCAATGGTCGGAGATAAGATATAGGACATTTAGCTATGAAGTCTGTAACAACACGCGATGTAGGTAACCTATATCGTAAACTGTGACATACTTTTGCTCAGTTTACATTAATCTATATAAATTAAATAAATTCTAGCAATTACCAGAGCGTTTGATGATGTTTTTAAGCTAGGTGTATATCTTACAACATCCTGTCCCTTTCTCCTAACAGATAAACAAATACAAACTATCACAATCGATATAAACCAGAGAGGAAGTGCTATTGACCAAAAGGTTTTGTTCCAACTTGGTCTATCGCCTCTTAATTGAAAATTGGCACCTATACAACTGCTATTGCCGAATGATATTGGCGTTGTTGCGCAACTTCGTTCCCTGAACTCCTGACCGGAGTATAAACAACGAAAATCCCTCGTACAAGATTTCCATTCATCCCACGTAGTCCAAATGCCTTTGTAGGGTCTCCAGCAAATGGATAGAGCAGTTTTTGTGGAGCATGACGTAGAAAAATAAATTAATTTCTTTCTTTTCGGGACAACTACAGCATAAACACAATGATTTTCGAATTCTATATAAAAGAAATTAGTATTATTATACTGAATAATATAATTGTTACAAATGTCGTTTGATATTCTTCAAAAATAAGCTAAGAGTGATTGTGAGGAATGGTAACGTGGGGGAAAAGTAGTTCGTTTATACAGTGTACTACAATTATAAATTAGAAATGATTTCCATTGATAATTTTAAAAAATCTACAGCAGTAGATTTAGCATTGGGATAATGTTTACCTTAACAAAAGAAGGTAAATATTTTTGAACAAATATGCGTTGAACAAAGATATCGCTTATATTACCTGAAAGTTGAAGGACCGAAGTTGAATCAAAGGTAAAATAATCAGGCCAAAATTTACTCTGCCATTTAAATGTACCATTAATTTGCGTTTTCCTCAGACCTAGCCAAACATCTTCACCTTTTATAAAACGAAATATATTGTCTTGAAAAGAAGACGTAATATCATTTCTATAGTCTAATTTTAATAAATGACTCTTAAGCTGATGACATTTATGAAAAGCTTCATTTGCCGTTGTAAAGCCTATTATTGTAAAACATGTATCTGATATATTATCATACAACCACCTTTGTGGAATATTTGCTTCGATATTTTTACAAAATAATGCTGATTTTAGATAGACTTCCTTTGAATTTATTGAAATCTTATTTCTTTGACAGTTTATCAAATCTATTGCGCATCCACTTTTCCCGTTTGGCGAATGAACAAACGCAGTGCAATCGGAAGATTTCGTACAAAGTTCCTGACATTCTTCAAATCCCGTGGAATAATCTACAATTTCAAAACATATTTTCCTAGGAATTTGATCCGATTTGTCGTAATCGTAAAGTTTCGATTTAGAATCGCTAATCCTTATATCTTTCGATTCCATAATAGCTAATTCGTCTCCTATTACATTAATTTCTTCCACACTCTCTTTCATCTTCGACAAACATCCGCGAACAATACTATCTCTATACTTTTGACGAAGTACGCTAGGAATGTTGTTGATAAGAGGTTTAGGGGAATCACACATTTTGTTCCTTGACCTTGTTCCCTTTGCGTATGACCAGCTTGACCATTTGCCCCACTCTCCAAACAAAGGATATACACAAACAACATCGTGAATTTCATTACAATCAACAGGGAATATAGAACCATTCTCACCGATAAAACATTCCTTACTATTTGTATTGTTAGTGCTAGCAATTGTTTTAGCAGTGGTATTAATAGAAAACTCTACGTCAGGTATTCCATAGTTAGTTGACCATTTCTCGTCATCCATCCATCCTAATTTCTCACCTTTTTTCACAATCCCAAGCCAAATTTTATCCTTAGTCAGCGATTCTATTGTTATATTTGAGACTCTCGCAACAAATGTTCCAAACTTAGAACAGGCTTTATTCAATTCGTTACCCTTTCTTTTCAAGAGGATAAAATAGCACAGGCCGGAAGTTTCTTCAAAGTAAGCAGTCAAAGCTTTATTAATATTTAGGGCTTCTTTACAAAACGGTGAAGTTTTAACATAAATGTATTCGTGAATTGATTGGGGAATCCAGTTGTCTGTTTTGTTTACATCACAGTATACATTTGATATTTGGCATTTTCGAAATTTTTGACCCATTTTCTTGGTCAAAGCAACAGTCACGCAATCTGAGTCATTGGCGCATTTCTCCAAACATACACCATCCTCCATAAAGCCTATAGTTTGACCTCTAAGAACTTTATAGAACATACAAGAATAGCTCCATTTTTCCCACATACCCGGCCTATATAATTCAAACTTATAACCACCTAATTGATTAACTTCAAAATGAGGTAGAGGCCGCGGAACGGAACAGATTACAGCCAAGGTGATAGTACCATCCAATAAACATTTTCCCTTATCAAAGGGTAATTCGAAATAATAATATGGATGTGAAAAATTACCAACAGACGGGGCAGTAAAAACTGGAAACTGGTCATTATCAATAAAAAAGTAATCCCCCTTACTTGCTTGGAAAGTTGCGCATATAGATCTTATGAAAAGGTCCGAAATTAGTCCAGATTTTGATATGCAAATAGGTCCTTCCATACCATTCCAACGGAACAACGGAGTTCCACAAATTGTACCTCTTAATGTGTTTTTAGAGCAAAATTTCCTCGCAAATCCGGCAGATTTTAGTCTAATAGAGTGATCTATTGACCATACATCAGTAAATAATGTGCTGGTGGAGTATATTATGCCAGAATCAGTATATATAATTGTTGGATTATCAATGATTGGGGGAGCAGAAAGATTAATTTCAATTCTATCAATACCATAATCTCTAGCTCGATTTCCCAGGGTCTATATGTTTAACAAAACGATATATAATTAAATTTATATAAAGGTAATAAATAATTTATCAAAAAAATTGAATATCAGATCAATTAAGACGTTGTAAACAAGTCTATTTTACCGGACTTTTATGCTGTCTGCCCTTATGTAAATTAAGGAGTTTTATATTATAGTCAATTCTATTCTTTATCTCAATTTGGTTATCATCTTGGCAGACATCAGAAATTAGGCAAAATTTTTTCCTTTGTAAATGACTTGCGTTGGAATAAACCCATGGTGTCCACTCTGTAAACTTTTCACCAGATCCTAAACAAATTGTTATTGCTTTAAAAGTGCTATTTAAAGAGCATTTACGATGTTCAATGCTTATATTTAGCTTTTTGACTATTACTCGACATTTATTCTCCTGATGTTTCTTATTTATATCCCCTATCCATACTTCATTCATAGGGTTAATTTGGTTGTCAATTATTCCTAGTAGTTTCTTGCTGATGTTACTTAGATGCCTCATTTCAAATTTCTGACAAATATTTAAGTATTCGCTGTAATTATAACGTCCAGCAAATAGAAGGCAACTATCTAATTCTTTCATATAGATAAAACGTCTATTAGGATGTTTCTTTTCATAATTTCTACAAACGTTCCTCGTTTTTACGTAGGTATGTTTAAAAAGTATGTCATTTGGCACCTTCAAAGAATCTAGGCATTGATAACTACCTAAATAGCATGCACCTATTGTTTGAAAAGGTAAATCGGGCATCAATTGAAAAGCATCGCAACTTGTTTCTTTGTCGCATTGTTGAGAACATTCAGAAATGTCCTTAAAAATTTTAATACTATTTGGGAAGAATTTGAAACTTTTGCAGTTATTTTCTTTAATTTTTAATAATTTATAAGTAAATTTGTTTGTATAAAAGAAATCTAATGGAAAAGGAATGGGTTTGTGGCAGAATAAGCTCTGAATATTTTTGCAATTGCTTTTTAAGAGTGTGTAATGAGAGGAAAGACTGCAATTTACTGAATTATATCGAATTTGAGAGGAATATGTCTTATAATTATTTAAATTATCTATTTTGGAAGCATTTTTCTTTTCCATATAAAATTTTGAACAAAGTAGATCGCTTCCTTTATCGTCTCCCCCACATATGGCACCCATCACAGGTCTACTTACCAAAACAATACCACATAACGAACCAAGGGAACAATTTTTATTAACTATTCTTAACTCATTATCTATTGAGTAAATGTCCTTATTTTTAGCTATTCTTAATCCAATCAATTCCGTTTTACTCTTTACATCCGTGCAATATTTTGAAAGAACAATTGAAAAAAAGTCGAATAATAATATCTAATAAATTAATAAATATACTTTATTATTCCATAATTTAAATATTAAAGGTATTTTTTTGCTACATACAATATCAAATAAGCTAAAATCGTATAATAACATGTTTCCTATATAATAAACATATCAAAAGAATATTTTTAAATCTTTTAAATATAAATCTTTTTATTGTTTTGAATGAAAGACAACAGTTTTTTTTTCTTTTGTTATATATGCTGTATTTATCTATATAAAGTGATATATAGTATTTATAAATGATATATATATATATATATATATATATATATTGTTTTTATCTGTCAATTTAGTTCGAACAGCTTATAAACAAAAACAAAAACAAAGAAGCGTTATTTCTTTTTCTCAGCACGTTATCTTGTATTTTTTTTTAAGTAAAATTAAACTTTCCAATAAATGGGTTAAAAAATAAGATCGGATAATATCTATGGAAAAAATGTTAGAACTCTATAAAGATAAAAGAAATTTATAAAGTAATTATATCTGGCCTACTTTAAAGACAGATTATTTACTTTGCTGTTTTCGTCAATTAACTGTTTACTTCTCTCATAGTTTAAATTTGTTATTTATTTATTAAGGGAAAGTATGTTTTAGAGCTTATTTATCTTATCAGTGTTTTTATTAAAAAACAAGATTTTTCAAAAGGAAATAAAGTGGCTTAAAACTGGAGCATAGATGTGTATACCTTATGCTAAGGTACCAACAACCACCTAGTGGATAAATTACCTATTACTGAGATTGGTTGTAAAGCTGACACCCCTGCGCATATTTTCCTAATAAACAATTCTTCTCCCCTCTAGACAGACCCCCATCCTACCCCGTTTTCACTTGTTAAGACTGGCGTCATTCTAAAAAAAAACATACATTTTATCCTAGAAAAGCCTGGTTCTAAGGGAAAAAAAGCATAAAGGAGTCAAAAATGTACATTAAAATCTCGGTAAAAAGTTCTGTTTGTCTGTTTTAAAAATTATTAAATTCGTTTGAAAAGTTATTCTATTAACTTTTCAAATGGTTATTTTTATTTGTAAGAATATTCTTCCATTTGGAATGTTTTTGTTCTTTAAGTTTCTAGTGAAAAAACTGTCTATCTCCGAATACATAAGCGTTTGTTTTTAACAAATTATCTTCACGCTCTTTGATAACATATATGTGGGTTTATTTACGTAAAACTGTGGACTATTTGTTTGGCGAGGAATTTAAGCTAATGTTGTTTACAAAAAGATCGTTAATTTGTCACCCGATGAACTACTAAATAGATAGATAGATATCGTTATAATCTTTGTTTATGCTTTATTCTTTCTATTTTTATATCTTGTTATATTTAGTACCAAATAATAATTAATTCTTTGGCATATTACTACTTTTTAAGAATTGGTCTTTTTATTTTACATTTAAATAATCTTTATATTTAATAATTTGAGAAGCTTTACACGTTTAGTATTATATTCTTTAATATATAAGTTAAAAATTACTTTCTTCTAATCTTCTTAGCATTGTTACCGCTGTAAAAGGTTGGAATTATGTATAATCTTGTTATGTCTAATTATAATTATTGTTTCAATTTTTATAGTTGAGAATTTTCATCGAGAATGCCTATTGTTAAGTAGTTTTATCATGAATATTATAAACGTCGTCATAATTTATTTATTTAGTGCGAAACCAGTCTCATCAATTCCCGCCGATATAAACAAGGGTATACACCTGTAAAAGCGATAGGCTGTTTTGAATTTCGCGCTTTATATTATTTTCGTATCTCAATTAGCAACAGCAACTGTAAATTTTAAAAATATTTTATTGTTGATATATAAATAAATGTTGTCTTATTTCAGAATATATTTCCATTTCACAACCGGAAATGAGGTCCGCAGGAAGAAAAACATTGATGTGAAATCGTAGACGAATGAAATAATAAAAGTAAGAAAATGAAAATCTTAACAATTATCTTGCATGATCGAGTAATTAATATCATTTCTTTATCCTTAATAATGTTAGAAACCGGAAAGACGAGTGAAAAGTAGTTGGTTGGGGTTTGCCAGAAGATATTATTTATTTCGCATAGGCCTAGAGCATTCTCCCTCAGTTTCAAAATACAAAATGCCAAATCCAATGGCTAAGGACGATGATGAGCCGGAAAATTTGTGGCAATTTGCTCATGACGCTTTGTTACTAAAGATTTTTTCTAATCTACCCTTCACGGATGTGATAAATGCTAGTCGTACTTGCCGAGCTTGGAATCGAGTAAGATTTAACTAATTATTAAGTGAGCACCTGTAAATTTGTTGTTTTTTACACTTGAACAGGTGAGCAAGGACGATTTTCTTTGGAGGGATTTGTTTCACTCCTATTGGAAAATATGTAAATCAATTTCGAAGCCTAATGATAACTGCACTTGGTATGAAGAATTTAAGGTAATTGAAACATTTTGCAGAAGATATCGTCTGCTATACTATTGTTTATTACAGAGACTTTATTATTATTCACCAATTATTGAATGTCAAACTGTTCCTGGGCATCGAGATCAAGTTCTACACGTATCATTTTCCCACAACGGCACTCTGTTTGCCACAAGCTCAAAGGATGGATATGTTAATGTGTGGGATCCTCAAACAGTTCAAAAGAAATTTAGTAAAAATATGAGGGTATTTAAATGGAAATATACTCAATTTACACAGTTTAACCGAGACGATACACTTCTTCTTGTTTCGGGTGTTCATTTCGGTCAACATACTACTTCAGGAGAGATAGCTGTATTTTCAGTATCATCAAATAGCTTCGAGTTACAATGTAGGGTTCAGAACAAGCCCTATGATATTTTCGGTACTTGGTATAATGAACATTACCTACTGAGTGGAAGTTTGCAGTGGTTTGGTAATTTAACATCTTGCTCTCAGCTATGGCTTAACAAGGCTTCTCAAGCAATCGAAAACGAGAAAGAATCCGTGACGAAGAGTCTATACAAGTTCTATAATGTTAACGCCTCTTCTATTCGTACTATAATGGTAGCAGACTGTCCAGAAGAAGTACGTACATCGGTTGAGACAAGTCGAAAGAGGAAAGAACCCTGTGACGAAAAAGCTGATGGAACATCAGGCAAAAACAGAAAGAATGAGAGTGGTGCTCAAAAAATTCAGGTGTACTATGAGGATGCAATGAATAGCTTTAAATTGACAGGAGTTGATGAGGAATCGAAGAGTGGTACAATTGAGTATGATAATGACTATCGGCAAGCAGAATTGGCTGAAGCTTCAGAAAGTAGTAGTGAGAAAGATAAGTACTTGATATTCACTACTGGAAAGAAAACATACACGCCTCATCAAATTGGTATAAAACGCATTCCCCCAACTGTAATTCAAGATGGACAATTGGGCCCTGTTCCAAATGCTATGGACAAAACGGATTCAGGCAACCCCACCTTTCCCAGTTATGATGACATAGATCATTTAATTGAATTGCATGGTCATATAATCGGAATGTGTCTCTCTCCCGATCATCGTTACTTATACGTCAACAGTCGACCGTGGCTGAAGGGTTACGAAATTACAGATCCTCTCTCACCACCTCCAATAGCTCAAGAAATTGACATACATGTTATAGATTTATTTACTTTTAAGCAAGTAGGAACTATGCATAGAACTTACAAAGCATACACACCGAATGATGAATGTTTCTTTATATTTTTGGACGTTTGTAAGGAATATGTCTCCAGGTTTGTATCATCTATTTTCATTTAGAAATAGCATAACGTATGCACTCTTTTCTCTAGCGGAGCCGAAGATTGCCATGGTTATTTATGGGACAGGCACTATGGAATTTGTCTCGCTAGATATGCTCACGAGGATGTTGTTAACTCTGTAGCTTTTAATCCTAAAGATAGCCAGTATTTAATAACAGCGTCGGATGACAAGACATTTAAAATCTGGCGATCTAGAAGTTGGCTTAAGCAAAATAAATCTAGCGCTGCACAATAAAGAAAAATAGAAAGAGGGTGAAAGATAGTGAAAGTTTGAGAGATTCTTAATTTTATTCAATTTCAGTTTTTGGTTTTACTGTATTTCATTGCAGTGGGCCATATTTTTGTTATGTATAAAATGTTGAACGAGAAATAAATTAAATTGTAAATATTGCTCAAGTCAATAATTATGTTTTATGAATTCATTTATCATTAATTTGAGTCTTGTTTTGGGGCGGAAGGTTCTTTACCTTCATCTTCATGCCTCCGAAAACACTTTTTCTTATGCCCTCTGCAGCTTCCTGTACAATCTCCTCCATCGCTGTCATCACTTGATGACTCTCCAAAAAGTTTGGGTTTTTCATAGATGCAGCAACCTTTAAATAAGTATTGTTTTTCAATAAGAAACAGAAATTTAACACGTATAGGCTTACACTTTGACTTTTTTTTCCCCATGTGCTCATTATCTACCGTACCTTCCTCCCATTTCACCTTCTTGTCATCGCTGACCTTAGCTCTTAGTCTTAACGTCGACTCCTTGAATGTATTGAATGAAAAAAATAAATACGACAAAAATTAAGGTTTAGAAAACAAACCGTCCCTCCTACAGTTTCATTTTCAGTTACAGTGAGAGTTTGAGTAGCACTATCGGTCGTTGGATCAGAGGGATGCTGCATTCTTTCAGCCATTTTTTAAGTGTTTGTAATAAAAACAGTAATTTCGAAATAAAGAACCATTTGAAAATTGTTGGGGGAAGCGGAAATAGTACACGTAAAAAAACAGAGGAATCACTATTGGCGCCAATATTATAAACATAGTAAATATTTATATATTTGAATTTTAAAGTCACTATACGCCTGAATTAGGATGAAAATAAACTATATCCACGTCGAATAGCGATAATCTAAAAACATGTTCTGATCTGTTGACGTACTTTAACAACAACATGTGCTAAAAATCAATGTTTATCGATGGAACGGAATAAATAATTTATACACAAAAACCTACGCCTGCTAACTTATAGCTAGCTGTTTTGAAAATATCGATAGAGGGGGCAAATTTGTAGCAATCATTTGGCTGTCTTATAGTAAGATGTTGTTGAAGTAACTAAATTTGCCCCGAGTTTCACGTGGCTGGACTACGTTTGAACGTTGACGTATACACATTCAATTCTTTATGACATTCTTTGCAATGCCTATAAGAATTATGATAAATACTCAAACCAGAGTTGTTTAACAAAGACACCATGCTATTTGTTCAAGTAACTTTTCACATTTTTCTTCTTAGTTTTTACATTATCAGGTTAGTATGAAGAAACTGATCAGGCCTATTGTCAATTTGTGAATAGTTGTTCACAATAAAATTTATTATATTGTTAAAAATGGAAGAATATTCTAATAGTATCGTTTTTCTTTATTTAGGGCACATCCAACTGAAACCAAGGACTGTAATTTGTCGCATTGGATAGACAAAAATAAATCGACACTAAATACGCCCAGACATGCATCGTTATACAGAGAATTACAATCTTTATTAAAACAATCTGTAACAATAGATTGCTCAAGTTTACAAAAATATACAGAGATAATTGAAATACCAGAATACCATAATATTTTTGATGATTTATCATCTATAGCTGATGATTTGGAAAATGTTGACATAAATTCCAAAACAAAGAAACAAAACTACAAGGCAAAGCGAAAGTTGTCTTGCTCTGTAAAAGATTGGTGCTTTTATATATTTAATATTCAATCATTTCATAAACAGTTATTTAGTGATAAAAACAGTACAACTATAAAGAGCAATTCTACAAAGAAAATTGTTATTAGTTTTAACGAGATTTGCTCAAGAAAATTGAACAGTTCATCATCATTGCTATGTTTCTACGTTCATTTAAAACTTCAATTGCCCACTTGCAAATTCGATGATTTATCTAATCTACCGCCTATTGCTAATTTATCCTCCTCCGCTGATCAGTCAGACAAGAAATTGTTGAAAATTGATGAAGAATACGATCCTACAGAGAGTTTAGACGAGGAGACTGATAATATAGTGTCTGCTAAAAATACTACTGTTGAGGACATAGAGAAAAAACAAGATAATGAAACTGAAAAATCGAGAAACAAAGATAATGTAGTAACTAATTCGCAACCATTAGACAAGGAAAAAGAAAAAGTGCCACTTTTAACTGCTAATCAAGAAGAACAAACTGATGCAAAGAAGAAGGATGAAAGCAATCATTCAGTTCAAGAAAATTTAAATTTTAGTAAATTAAAAGAAATAGAAATTCAATTGTTAAAATTGGAAAATAGATTTTTATTATCAAATGTAGAAAAAAGGAATGATTCCTTATCATTAGTTCAAGTTGAAAATCATATTCTTCGTTTAGAAAACTTTCTCTTATCAATGAATAATACGTTAGCTCTCGTACAAGCTGAAAACAATAGATTAAAAGAGAAACAAAATGATTTTGATAGAACGATAACCCAAGTAAAAATGGAAACTCGTAAATTATCTATACCGGCTCTACCTGATTCTCATTCGCGATTACCCGAACAGGTTGTTAGACAGGAAAAACTAGTGATCAATCTTAAAAAGGAAGTAGATAGACAAAAATTGAAAGTTTCTTCATTAGAAGCGAAAAATTCAGTGTTAATAAAAGCTATGAAGAAGCAAACTAATGCTATTTCAAAGTTATTAAAAAAATTTGATCAATTGACAGAGAAAACCAATTATTTAGATGAACATGTAACAAAACTCTCCTCTGATACTACACCTCCTCAGGTTCCTGATGGTAAAGAGGATGATAAGATAAATACTAAGGAAGACTCTAAAGATTCTGATAATATAAAGCCTAGTGCCGAAATTCAATCGGGAAAGACGTCGAAGGAGAAAGAGCAAATTGCGCAGCATCAAGAACCAATGGCTAATTCTCCTAGTAATAATGTCAAGGAAGAGAATCGTAGTGAAGGTAATGAAAAAAATAAAGAAACGTCCAGTGTTAAATCTCAACAGCCAGTTGTTCAAGAAAAGGAAAACGAAGAGGGAATCATGGATAAAAAGAATATCACATCTGATGAAGTACTTGCAAAAGCCAATGGGGATTCGAACAAAGCAAAAAGGGATATTGAAAACATTAATCAAGAACCCGTCAAACCGTCAACAGACTCTAATATAGATAATGAAAAAACTAGTCGATCAAAACAATCTGAGCAGAAGAGAAAAGATGAAAAGGTTCAAAGAAATGATAAAATCCAAGATACAATTTTATATCGCAGTAATTCTGGTGCAGACAAAGGTAAAATCCAATCTCTCTTTCATTATTCTATATTTTAAATATAATAGATAAGGAAAATGGGGACTAATACAGTATTAATAATGTCTTTGTAGATTGCTGGGATTATTATAAGAAAGGAAGAAGACGAGACACAGCATTGAATATACAACTATCGGCGGATAATTCTGTAATATCCGTCAGCTGTGATATGACGAATGGAGGATGGACTATTATACAAAAGCGACACGAAGGAAGTACTAACTTTTTCCGTGATTGGTCAGAGTATAAAAAGGGATTTGGACAACAGTTCAGTGACCACTGGATTGGATTGGATAATATTCATAAATTAACAAATCAAGATAGATATTCTTTAAGAATTGATATGATGAATTGGGAAAGGGAAACGGCAACGGTTGAATATGAATATTTTAGTGTTGATAACGAAGCAAATGGGTATAAATTAAATATCTCTGGTTTCAGCGGTTCTGAAGCTGGCGATAGTTTATCAAAACATAATGGTTGGAAATTTTCAACTAAAGACGTCGATAATGATGGCGCAAAGAAAGAACTAGGAGGAAGTTGCGCAAAACGATTTAATGGTGCCTGGTGGTATCACAAATGCTACAGTTCTAATTTGAATGGTCTCTACTATAGAGGAGGAAAAGTTGACGATGGTGCTTTCGATGGAGTTAGTTGGAAAAGTTGGACTGGTAGTAAAAAATCGCTTAAGCAAGTTTCAATGAAAATTAGGCCCAGAAGAACAAAATTAGATGATTAGAATAATTTAATATTGATTAAAGAGATACTTTTAACAGATTATTTATTTATTTAATTTATATTTTTCAATAAAAAAATATCCCTAAATCATCATAATAAAAGATATCTAAGTATAAATTTACTATAAAAAGCACTTGACGATCTTCTTCATTTCCATCCAATCAGTTTTCCTTATTACTCTTAGAAAATTTAATTCTATTTGAAAACTTTATCTTTAAATCTGTAGTTTGTTTGTTTGTCTTGATTAATGAATTCTATTTTAATTAATTAAGAAAAAAAATCATACTTTTAGTTAGAGTTGACTTCTTTTGAATTTTTGTAGTAAGTTTCCTCGCTTCGTAATCATCTATATTCGGTATGGTTTTCTCTTGTAATTCGATTTTATATCCTAAATCCTTAATCCTCGTCTTACCTTTTAATATTTATACGATTAATTATTATATTTAGTATTGTATAATAACTCAACAATTTTAAAAAAGTCATTTAGATACATAACCTTCTTCAGTCCACGGAGGAGGAATGACATCATCTCTTTCAAAGAGATAACGCCAAACATAAAACCCAGCTAATCCTCTTTCTTTCCAATATTTTCGAATCTTGTATATACCATCGTATCTAATTCCAAAAGATGGGGCGTATATAGATTGTTTGGAGGATTTATAAGATCTAAAAACTATTGGAAAGGTAATGTAATATATTCATAGTGTTTATTTGTTTTTGAAACTTAAACCTCGGACTGGATTGCCATACTTCCAATTGTCCTGCGCATCGCCTCCGTTTTCGCTTAGAAGTGCATAACAATTTCTAGCTAGTGCCAAATTGCAACCGGAAAATTCCTGATCTTTCGACTGTTGAGCGCATCGCTTGTTTCCGGATAAGTCTCTGCCACCACTACCAGTAAATATGAATGTATCACCGAAATCTTGATCGTCCTCGTAACCTCCAGATAATACCACTGAAAAAGCACCTCTTTTCGGTTGACCATGAATCCCTGCAACAAGTGGTCTGTGGCCTCCAGCTTGAGATATTTGTTTTCGATATTCCCAGGACATACCAACATCAACTCCTGGTATTGGACCAAACTGACCTTTCTCTTCCATAGTCTTCGGTATAATAGAACGTTTTAATTTTTTAACTATTTGAACATCTGAATCAGATTGTACATCAATATCAAATTCATCAAGTGTGTCAGTAGTTTCTTCTTCATCATCATCATCATCATCATCGTCATCAATACACATGGGGCAATATCTAATATACCAATTTTTGTCAGTAGGTATACCACTTAAAGGAGGATCCAGGCAAGTAAGATGAATATTCTTACAACATCGAGGACAAAAGACTGCAGCTTTCTCGTTACTATACTTTCCGCATCTAAAACAAAGACAATATGGGCATTTTCCACTTAGCTGATCTTTACATTCAAGACATTTGGGCGTTGCTTCATAAAAATTCACCATATCATCAATTGAGTTAATATTGCATTGATCACCTAACTCTTCGTGATGATAGAATGTAGTATTGGCCGCTAATAATTTATTTTGCTGTAGAATAGCATTTTTATAGTGCAATATGTCAACCTCTACTATATCATTTGTCATTTGGGTAACCCTGCACAGAAAGAATATATCTTCTGCTCCTCCTTTGTAAAAATCAGACGACTTAACAATAACCTGATCTCCTACTTTCATGTGGGAAACTTTAATTTTTCTTCGTGGATGAGGCTTTAAGCGCTTGAAGCAAACCACAGCAGTTTGGCCTTGAACACAAGACTGACAATTTCCGCCAAGTCCATTTAAATAGTTCTGAAAGCATGCTTCACACCGATATTTCACTGTGTACATTGATGTCAAATTAGTATTAATAGTTTCAAAGTTTAATGTCATATTAGCAAGACTTTTCTTCTTTTCACAGGCAATTATAATAGCGGTTCGATAGCCTCCAATTGACTCATCAAAAGACACAACTAGATCACCAATCTTTAAGGTTCAATTTTCATAATTACTTATATCATAAAATTCGTTATAAGTTAACAAATTACCTTATAAGTACTTTTTGATTCGTTCATAGTATCAACTAGCGGTCTCATTGCCGATTCAACAGATCTAGCGTATGCTATACTACCTCCATCTGGAATATTATAGTATTCAATCGTTTTATCGTCTTCCAGCTGGAAAAAAAGACAAAAGTATTAATAAATAAATCATGTTTTGAGTAGTTTCTAAATGAAATAAACAACAAAAGATTTAATCTAGTTAACTAAATTCTTAACAATCAGTTACAAAAAAAAAGAAATACAAAGGGAAAGTTTTTAAAGATATCATTCTTGTAAGAACATAAAAAATCATTAATAAAGTGTTTTTTGATATGTTTTAAATAGTTTTAATTTGAATTATAAGCTATAATTAGATCTGTTTAATATTGTTACGTTAAAAATGTTACATTTACAAAGCATCTTTAGCTTCATATTGAAAATCCTTTACCTCTTGTCCAAAGTATAAAAAAGTGCAAGGTATTTCAATTAATCCCATCCTATGTGCCATAACCTTTATAGATCTAATTTCCTTGAAGGTTTCCACATTGATATGAAACCATTTTTGAGTTCCGTAGTAGATTATTTTCAATTTCATTTTCGTATAGCGACTGTTAAAATAACTGATCTAATAGCCAATAGGGGTCTCTGATAGTCTTCAACCGATACATATCAACTGGTAGGCCTAAGATAAAATTGAGTTTGTCATAAGTTATATTGCTCATAAGATAATATTGCAAGTGAATTGAAATTAATAAAAAACACTTAGGTTGTATGAGAGCGTCGTAGGAAAGAAGAGTGAAGGTTCAATAGTATATATATTATTAGTTTGTTTAAATAAAGATGAGCTTTTTTGTTCTTTAATAAGAATATAGAAATGTATTTGAATACGTAATTTTTATTTTAATGCAAATGGGTTGTAACTTTAAACAGAAAATCAGTCTTTTTCGGCTATCTGTGTAAGCTGAGCATCAATCTCCGCTTCCGTTAATTTTCTATAAGGTAACGTACATTAAATACAATCATCTGTAAATCTATTATATGTTACAAACCTAAACTTAGGGTTTTCTGCTGTTACAACTCCAATTTCAATTTCTGAAGGTTTCAAATCGGCTGAAAGAATCGATGATAGACAGGTAACGGCAGTTTCAATCGATTCAGTCAAACTCATTTCAGACATTGACTTTTTCTTTATCTTTTTTTCAAGAAATGAATTTGCTTCCATTTGTTTAACGCCGGCGGAAGTTGCTCTATATCCACAAAAGTAACCTGTTGTTTAATAATATGTGTGTACAATAGTTTTTACTACTAAATCTATAAAATTACCAGCTGGGTCGGTTTTGAATAGCTGAGGTCCATTTTCAATATCCATACCAATCAAAATCATACAGCAGCCTAATGGTCTCATTTCGGCGCTCTGGGTATAAACTTGAGAAATATCAGCTATCCTACGGCAAAGAGCTTCTATTGGGATTTCATATCCGTATTTATATTTCCACTGCGCTGCTTCGTATCTAGCTCTTTGAGCTTGGGATCGACTGTCAGCTGCAACCAAATAACAAAATTAGTAACGATGATTAAGGGAAAAATCAAAAGTAAAATAATCTTACCCAACATGCCAGTCATAACGCATCCAATATTTTCAGTGATTTGAAACAAATGAGTGATGGTGTTAGCGTCCAATAGCTTATCCTTGAAAGGTGAAATTATAAAAGAACCGAAATTAAAGTATCAGTTAAACATTGGGGGAAAATTGCTTCAAACAAGATAAAAATATTATTACTTACGGGCACTTTTTTCTGAGTGACGACAACTGCATTGTCTTTTCCCCTTATGGCTAAGGTTGTAAGACCACCCTGATTTATTGCTTTGAAAGCATACTCTGCAATACGAGATTCATTAGCCGTTCTGTCGGATAAAAATCAAAAAGCATGAATACTTACCAACTTGATATAAGCGGCCTTCAGGAGAAAATATAGTAATATGCCGATCAAATCCGGAGCTACTACCACGAGACATGGTTTACTCCTCACCAAGATCAAACTTACAACTTTAGTATAAATAAAAAAACACTGGCTATGTTACCCGGCGTATGAGCTAGCAGTATATTTGTAGAACTATTTTCAGATCACTAACAAAGATGGCGGACAAGTGCTGCAAAATTTTTAACAACAAAATCATTAAATACAATCATATTTTATCTAAAAAATATATTAAAAATTCTTATAATATTAAAAATATTTTTAAAGCAATTTTATATTTTTGTAGATTCAAAAATTATAATGCGCTTTCGAAAGGCTTATTAACTTTTGTTAGCGTAACCAAGCGCTATTAAGCAAAACTAAGAATTTTAAGAAAGAATGTTAATATAAATTCTATTCAAAGTATTCGAATTGCAAGTTTAATAATTATACCTTAACACTACAGTTGCAATAAACCTAGAATATGTGAGACTGGGACGGAAATTCACTAATAAAGTTAATTAATTTATAATACCAGTATTGTTTATTTAAAAGCTTTTTTAAATAGAATAGATAACGTTTATATTCAAATTCTAATTCAATTAAATGTTTTATTTTAATACAAATTATATTTTAATTTCTTTAGCGTAGATTTGTAGAATTTTTAAGTTGAATAAAAATGAGAGTAACAACACGTGTGCTAAAAGTTTTCAGTAAAAAATTATCTAAAAATATCTCGAATTAAAATTTTTGACGCTATGGTTGATCACTTAAATAACCATGATCCATGGGATGCTTAGCTTGTTTACTTTTTCGATACTGTATTTAATTATTTCAAGAATTAACTATGAATTTTTTGACAAGTGGAAAGAATTTTGGATTGTTCCATTAAGTTTTAATCTTTGCGACTATTCAATTATTTTATCAGGTGGATATTTAATCATTCATTTTTTGAAGAAGAAAGGATATTTTAATACTTATGGTAATATTAAAATCATAAAAATAAAGTTTAAATAGTCTTTTATCTCAATAGATAATATTTATTGGAAATATTTCAAATTATTTGTATATGGACAAGAAGAAAAGATTCCTGCCTATCAATCGTCTGAACAGTCGACTAAACGTAATTTTTCGACTGTCTGTCAAAGATATACATTTTTAGCGTTTTGCATAATAGGTTTGCAATCATCATATCTGTTATGGGGCTTTCTTCAAGAGAAAATTATGACCCGAAAATACAAACTTCCAAATGAAGTAGACGGGCAATACTTTAAAGATTCGCAATTTCTTGTCTTTGTTAATAGAATACTTGCCTTTTTACTTTCAGCTGGAATGTGCTTATATTTCGAGCAACCACCACAAAGAGTACCCTATTACAAGTATTCATACGCATCATTTTCAAATATTTTGAGCTCGTGGTTCCAATATGAAGCTCTAAAATATGTCAGTTTTCCATCCCAAGTAATGGCAAAGGCATTTAAGCTAATTCCCGCAATGATGATGAGTAAATTGGTCTTAAGAAAAAAATACGATAAAATTGATTATTTTCTTGCCATATTGATGTCTATTGGCCTCTTTTTATTCATTTATTCAACAAGGGATGATTTACAAATTTCATCAACAATGACGACATGGTCGGGTGTAATATTGCTATTATTCTATTTAATTTGCGATTCTTTTACTCCTATTTGGCAAAAGAAATTATCTGAAACTTATGAAATGTCTAAATATCAAATGATGGCAGGCATTAATATGTTTAGCCTTATATTCACTACAATTACACTGCTTGAACAAAACAGTTTTGCAGATGCTGTTCATTTTATGATTCGGTATGAAACATTTTTCTCTGACATTCTATTACTTAGTATTTGCAGCGCTATTGGGCAATTTTTTATTGTTAAAACTATAATAGAGTTCGGTCCTTTATTATATACTATTGTCACTGCTACTCGTCAGGCATGTGCAATTCTACTATCGTGCCTTCTATATGGTCATCAGCTAAATATTTATAGCTCTGTCGGAATAGCCATAGCTGCTTTAGCAAGTTTTATAAGATTTTATAAAAAAGCAAAATTTTAAAAAGCTCCTCTAAGAGTTGATTGTGAAAGAAATAAACTTATAATTATAATTATACATATGTTGATTTTGTAGGTCTGAAAATAAAAAAATTTTCATTTATTCTGTTATCTCATTGAAATTTTTGTAAAATGTATGAGCTTTCAGTTTTAGCTAAATTAGAATTGTAGATAATCTTTATCATTAACAAAAAATTAAGGTGATTGATTATTTGCATCCTATATTATGCGTAGAATGTTTCCTGAATTATAACATCTTCCATGTCAAAATATCTAGGTAGAAGAGTACACTTAAGATGTGCTGGAAATATCTTCTGCAGGAACGTCGACTTCGTGTGATTGTTCAGTTTTTTTCTTCTGATCTCGTTTATTCGATAAATTCGAATTAATGAAGATATGATGATCTTTAATCAGTTGTTCAACGAGATATTGTTCGATTTCGACACCTTTGGTGATGTCGAAATTTTTCAATCGAATGGGAGTTACGTTTTCGGTCGTAACTAAGTAGACTTCCCGCTTTCTCGTATCTAATACGTTTCCAATAACCACTTGGTGTTTGTACCTTTGAAAATAAATAAATTTACCACAACTATCACGTTATAAAGAGGATAATTTAAATCTCTACTTTTCTAGCGCCTTTTTGGCTTTCGGTATAAGCAATTTAGGATCAGTCTCCAGTTTGAAGGAGGTTACAAAGGCAGAGGATGCCCACTCGGAAACAAGGGGCGATAGCATCTTAGGTACCAAATGTAATTTAATATTCAAAGGTCCAGCACTGGACTGAATTTTATGTTCAGGCTACAAAAGAATAATTTACCCAGATAAAGTAATATGAATTAATATTGCACCAATTAAAAACGTTAGGTGAGGTATTAATGTGGTATTTTCACTATCGATTGCGCCTCTATATATCCCGAAATGAAATCTAATCATTAATCTGTTCATTATCTATATATGGGCTCAAAGGTATAGAAAAGCGAGTGCTTTGAAAGTAATGCGAACAAATGGAACAATCAGAAAGTATATCTAATTTTAGGATTTCAATCTGACATACCAGTTCATTATTGGGAATGTAGAAATCTGAAACTGCTGCGGCTAAGTAGAACATAACTCTTGGCCCTAAATTACTGAGACCCTGAAAAATATTTTACATAATTTTCTGATGTCAGCTAACAAGACTTCCAATCACTAACTTGTGAGCATAGCTTCAGGAGATACAAATATTCATCCAATGTAGTGAAACATATGCTCAGCAATAGTTTCTCATTCTTGCATTTCTCATATTCATATAATAATTTCTTGATAAATGAACAGTAGGAAGGCTTAACTGTGTGTATTAAAAAATTATGTGTTAATGTTATTAACTGCGTAAAATTTGTATGAACCTTGAACAACATCATCTTTAGTAACTGTAAGAGCTTCTAAGAAGTCACGTGGTGGTAAAGATCTTTTAAACGGTTCCAATGAACCTTTTCTATGCAAAAAAACTACTGCATAGTCATTCTTTAAGAAATGCCTACCAAAAAAAATTGATTAATTTTTTTCATATACAACAAATAACTATAATAGCATACTCAGCAGAGGATGATCCTCTTGTTCCAGCACTAAAATTATCAATAAAGCGGACAGTCCTGCTTTCTAGGGGTACAGTTGTTCCGCCACTCTGTTTCAAAGATGGATATTATTAAAATATAAAAACTTATATCAATTTAATTTAATTAATTTAAATTATTTAAATTGCAAATCAATTTAATGGCTTATTTAACATTTTATTAAATTGATAATTATATATTTTTTGTATATTCATTCGTAAGGAAAATAAAGGAGGACATTAAATGAAAAATGCCAAGAGAGAAAATCAACAATAGCCTTATATTATTATCAAAGAACAATTAATATTTATCATAGATATATCTTTTTACTTGCTGATTTTATTTAATACCGATGGAAGAAATATATTTTCAATCTTTCTTTCTCTTTTGCACTTTCTTTAATAATGCTACATAAAAATACTTTTCACTCAGTATTGTAATTATTTTCGACTACTTTCCATTTTGTTTGGGATGGAGGAGGGAGGAGGGGGTCAAAAAAATATATATTTCCGTTTCTAAAGAACATTCAAAGGAGAAAAACATTCTTAATTTAATTTTGTTCACTTAAATTTCTAGATGCAGCTGATTTCCTAACGTTTCTTTAAAGCTTGTTCTAATTTTAAACCACTGGACTTTGAAATGACATATCCTGACTACTTGATAGTAGTTGGAAGTTGTTTTGAAGGAACCTACCGTAATAAGGACAATTTTCCTATTGCTATTCTCATGTTCCGAAATAAAATTCATCAACAACTCCTCAAAGAATTCTATATTTTGAGGTGGTTTAGAAAATTCAAAAAAGTCTTTAATTCTTTCTTGATTTCCCGACAAACTTCTACTTTTTTCTTTGGTGACAGTTGATTCTGTGTCCATGTTGAGATAATAAAGAGATTCGCATTTCGAGCAGTGTCCTAAAAATATGGCGTCCTTCAGGAGAAGTGAGTTTTAACTTTTACTAATCATTATATCAATAGTGTTTACATTAATTTTCATAAAGATGTTGTTATTCAAATAATAAAACTTGCGTGAATACCTCTTTGATTTGATTAGAATAATTATGTGATACATTATGTGATTTTTTATCGAAAAGACTATTTTCTTACATTATCGCTCACATGCAGTTCAACTGTTTTCAACTCCGTGGATAGCTTGTCGTCATCGTTCGAAACCTAATATTCAAAAACCAAAAACACCGCATGAGCAAAGACGTATATTTGAAGCGATTACGGCTCCAATCCTTCAAGAAGATATACTTGACCCGAAAAGACTCTGCTTTAACGTTACAAAAGTCGTCAGAGAATCTGAAGTATGATAAGTATATTATTGAAATACTGAAATACATTTTTAGTATTTTCTCAGGAAAACTTGTATGAAAATTTTCTTATCCAAGACTGTAGAAAGCGATTTGAATCTGCAAAAGTTCTCTTGGTATTTCAAAGTAATTCTCTCTCCAAAAATGACCTTAAGGAAATTAGGAATACAATGATAAGTAAATGTGGAAAAGTCGAACTAAAAGAATGGGATAATGAAATTTTAAGGTAAATCCTTTATGCGTATGCATTGTCAAAACAATTAGATTAAATTTACAAAAATGCAACTTCAGATCGGCCCTGGCTGAGAGTAAATTTGCTGCCCTAACACCATTATGCTTCAGCCGAAATGTATTTGTTTTTCCTGAGAATGAGTCCCAATTGAGTGATATTATAAAAGTTACGAAAACATTATTTACTATTCATCTATTGGGTAATAGTTTTTCAAATTTTAATAATAGTTTTCTATTAAAAAGACCGTTTACACAAACAGGTGGAGTTATCAACGATACAATTTATACTAAAGCCGGTATTGTCGATTATTCTCAATTACCAACCATAGATATAATGAGAGCACAACTGCTACAAACCCTTAATAAACTTCAGGGACAAACAATATCGAATTTACAGTACCATGTTTCCGGAATTTCTAGCAGTTTGAAACATTTAAGTGAAAGAGAAGATAATAAATGAAAACTTTGTTAATATAAACTCAACATTATATAATACGTTTCATCTATTGTTCAAAACTTGTAATCATTACAGATCGTTGAAGAAATTGTAACTTTATTTTTCTTTTATTATAATGCTTAACAGAAAATAACAACATAAAATAATATATAACATTAAAATCCCATTTTTAGCTTCCTTTTCTTCTGCTTTTTTGGTTTAGGGGCTTCGAGCTTAGAAACGATTGGCTCTGGTTCTGCTATCTCTTCTTTTGTCAAATGAACTGTTTCATCTTTTATATTTGATTCATCCAGCTTTTTCTTTTTTACCTTTTTTAGTTTTCTTAGTTTCTTTCTTTTCTCTCGAGCAATTTCTACAATCTCCTTTTCGAATTCGGAAGGTAAACTATCAAGACTATCACTAGATTCTATCTCTTCCGTCTTGTCTTCCTCCTTCTTTTCATCCTCTATCTTTCTCACCATTTCCTCGAAAAGTTCTAATTCTGTTTTACTCATAAATTTTTTTCGAGTTTGATCTTCAAATAATTCCTGAAAATTAAACATTAAAATTACACATCGAAAAACGTTTTACCTTTGCAAACAACTATAAAATTACCCTAGCTTCAAGTAACTCTGGAAAATTATCATCATCACTTCTCCACAAGCGCCTTATTATTCGGCTATGAGGATCCTTAAATTGGAAAACATTTGCACTTGGTAAGACCGTTTGCAGATAGTCTTCAGATATAGTTTTAGGTGGTATCATATTCTTTATAAAGAAATCATTAGATATATTTTTATTTATAATATAAAATAAAAAATACGAACCTTTGAGAAACTATCTATAAGAGAATAGCTCATTTTCAATGAATTTCCGCAGGCTTCACACATCTCGTCGTCACCTTTATAATTATCAGTGCTTTGAGTCGGATTACATAGAGGGCAGTGAGAATGCGGGGGTAACATTTCCCTGAGCACTGAAAATTTTTTTTCAATTAGCTGAGCCTACTCGCTGCGTATTTTAAAAGACTCACTTTTTCTGTCGCTAGATATGTCAATGGATAAACATTCGTTTGCAATATTTTTGTCGGAGGTTTCTTCAAATTTTTTCGAGGCATCAACGACAAATTTGGAAGCAGCTTCCAACTCTTCACCACCCAACTCTCTTGGTTCTTTTCCGTATTCGGGAATGGAAAATGTTTTCTCATCTTCATCAATCTTCGGATGGTAGGTTTGATAAAACAAATCCCCTGAGCAAGGTAGTTGGAAAGCTGAAAATCCCGAATTAGGTAAGGCGACACAATCAGCTCCAGCGAGAGAAAGATTTAGCCGTTCTTTCACAAAATTTACTGATGAATTTAGCTCGAAAATAGACGATAAATTAAGAAAATCTCTGCAAAAGTTGATTAACATATAAAAAGGTACATCTTGTAAAATTAATTGTGTCTAACTAACACTGGTTTACAGATTCTCCAAGGTGTATCTATTACTCTTAGACCATGTCTGCAGTCTAATTGATATGCAAAAACGTCGCATAATGACTGGTTAGCAGCTAAAAGTATGTCACTTCCATCTTTGAGAGTAAGACTTGAAGATAAATACATAGGGGGCTCTTTAAAGAGATGATGTAAAGTTAAAACTGGCTCTTTGGTATAACGTTCATCAACGCAAATGATTTGGTTGTTTGTTCCAATCATATGGAAGAATGTATTAGATTTTAAATTCTTGACAACTCTAAATTCATCATTCTTTAATAGAGTTCTATGATTTGCTTTGAACAGTGTAGAACAATCTGAATCCTGTCAGGATATATATATTTTAAAAAATACTTAAACAATAGCAACTATAAAGATTATTTACCCTTGTATCAAAAAGACTCAAATTAGTCTTGTCAGCTCTAACTAGAATTTTCGGATGAGCCGAATAATAAGACGAAAACCATTCATCAGCTTCAACGCCGTTTAAATTTTCAAAAGATTGCTTCCCTCTAAGATAATAATATATATTGTACAATTATTGCTATTTCTTTTATTCTATTTAACTATAACTCTAATACTCTCACCCAGTCGAGATATCCACAACTCTAACAGCACCAGTTCGATCAGTATATGCAAATTCATCGCTTAGAGTAGAATTTAAACTTAAAGAAGAGCAGCCTTTACGTACACGTTTACGTAAAATTCTTTGCTTTGAATTTAATGAATATATTTCAATACTGTTTGAAAATCTTGCACCGCAAAATTCTAAACAAAATATTTATTATGAAATAACATTAACTATAAAAAATTAATGCCAACCTTCGTTAATGGTTGTCTCCAATATTGATTTTTGAGAATTTACATCATCGCCATTGTCTTCATCTTGATCGCTGTTTAATCTATAAACTCTCTTGACTTTAACCGAGCTATTTTTAAGACTTAGTTTGCAAAATTCTACGAAAAGTAAAAAAAGTATAACATTTATTTTTTATAAAGATAATACAAAAAAAATTATTTACTCAATTCTGTCAGATTCTTTCCGGTAGCAAAAACTAATGATGCTTTTTTACAGTTATCTTGATATGTGGAAACGCAGCCATTTGAATATTTATTGTTTACAACCTTAAATTACACAAAATATTATTCAAAATTGTCTAACAGTATATTAAATAAGAATTAAACTTACAGGAAATTGTAATGGTTCATTAAAATCATAATTTTCTACGATTTTTTCAAATTGAGCAAACCACCTGGGAACAAATCTCTTTTTCCTCAAAGCTATAATTTCCTTTTCTGATAATCCAAGATAACTTGGAAATTTGTTAGGAATATTATTATCACATTCTTGTTTAATATATAGCATTGTTCGAAGAAGGCGAAGTGAAGGAGTATTCCTCTAGTTTAATAAATATGAGTTATTTTAGTTTTTTTATTATGAAACTGATTAATTATACCAACACTTTTCATAACTTCGAAGCGTTTAATTGTTCGTAATATTTTAGAGTTATTTGTGCATACTGTCCTTACAGAATCATAAATGATATCTTCTGGTGGGTAAGCACCTAAATTTGGAGAAAAATGTTAACCAAAATATCAAAATTAAATCAATTTTCAAGTGATACTTACAATCTGTTGCCTCTTGAAACACTGGTAGAGAAGGGCTTGTTGCGCACAGACGTGTATCATTCGACGTTTTTCTCCCAAACTGAGATATTATTTTTAAACCGTCGTTCGTTTCTTCTATTCTCCCTTCTCCGAATGTACCAAAGCCGGCAAAGATTTCTCTCTTTTGGTTTGATGGATAAGAATGGCAGTAGAAATGATCAGATGGATAATTGCCACTCATTACTTAAAGTTTCTATTAAAGCAAAAAGAAAAAATAATTTTCTCTGTTGATATAATGAAGAGCAAGGCATGTAATATTTTACAAGATATATTTTGTATATTAAATATGCTCAATGAAGTAAAGACAATGACGTACTCTATTTCGTTAATATTTTGTATGTTCCTAATTCAAGATGATTCAAAAGTTGAGGCCGTGTGATAACTTGCCAAAGGAAAGAAGGAAAAAATGAAGTATTTGGCTGTTAAAATGTACGATCAAAGCTAGAAAATCATTTAAAGAATTGTAATGGCAAAAGGTTCGCTAAATATATTAAATGGTTTTAACACTTGAATGTAGTCACCTTTAAGTAGGCTGAAATTTCAAATAAAAACAAGCTAAAGTTTCATGCTCTGCAGACTTATAGATTATCGCTCATAAAAAAAACAGTTCAATATTGGACACCGCAAAGCTTAGCACATTGACGTCCGCCTACGCTAAAATAGGACAAGAATCTAATTGGTAGCTTAGTATTACAAAACGACAAATCACTCCAATGTGTAGTGAAGATAAACTTAACTCAGCCAAGAAGTATATAAACGAGGCTGAGAATTGTTTAAGAGAGAAAAACTTTAAAAATGCCATTACCAATTATCATAGGCAAGTGGTAGATTGTATTTCGTTTTAGATTTATAATTTTTCATGATTCACTCTCAGGGCTATTCTCTATCTGAAAGGGATTGAGGAAGATTTGAAAAACATTCCTCCAGATACCGATCTCAATGAAAGTCTTCTCAGAAATTGCCGATCTGCACGTGTTGACTGCCACAGAGAGGTGGCTCGTATTCTTATAGAATTAGGACGCCATCACGCAGCGCGTAGTCACTGTGAGCAAGTGGTAGACTTTTCACCGAACAAGCACTCGTATTATCAAATGGGGGTCGTGTTTTTTCATATAAATGAACTGAAAAAGGCATTATCCTTTTTTGAGAAGGCAAAAGCTGAATGTGGTGGGATTGATACCTCAATTACCAGATATCTACGACAATGCGAACAATTAATTGAAGCAGAAGAGAGCAACAAATCACCTCCTGACCCCAGAAATGTTCCCCAAGACCGGACTGATCGATCTTTTTCGATGTAAATATTATCCGTTTGGTGTTTTTGTCAATATTTAAAGAATCTTTTTTAAGCTTGTCTCGAGAATGATGCAATATTTTTTATTTTTATTTGATAATCATTAATACATAAAAAACAGAATAAATTGATGTTAACGTTGGTTGAGTCCCATTATGGTAGCAACAGCTATAAAACAAACATGTTAATATGATAGATGACTTAATTTCTATAGTACTTACACTCAAACGTTATCTTTTCCGTTATATTCTTAGTTTTAATGACATCATCCTGGCTACCGATGGAGATATATCCGTCAGCTTGTTCTGACCAATTATACTTTTTAATCCATTTAGCTAGATCAGCATCTGTTTCAATAATTGATGTCACAATAGGTAATTTTAATAGAGAAATTCAGATTTTTAACAAACCGGATAAAGAGCCTAGTAATTCGCTAAGTTCCCGCTTCGGGATCGTTTGAAATGTTATGTTGACTGCGTGGCAGACGACTGAAATAAAGTAAAAAAAACAAATGCTAGTTGCGATAAATTGATAATGAGTAAAACATCATTTACATTTCCTAATAGAATCTTCGAATCCAGTTATGCTTGAAATTAAATCTTGAACATCCTCCAACTCTGGCTGAAAATAGATTGAATATTAGAACGATATTAACAATTAACTCATCAACTAACCCAAACTTGTTTGAATTCACACGTCTCCAAAAGCTGCGACAGATAAAGAATCTTCTCTATTGACTTGTCAGCCATCTGAAAACATTTTTATTTTGTTAATTTGATGTTTACTACTGACATGCTAATGACCATGCGATATTGGTCTCATTTGTTAGTTAACTGTAGGAAAATTTTTTCCTTCTTTTTGCCAAAAATAAAATCTCCTATTAAATTATCAATCTAAACTTACGTTATCATGATGAATAAGACATTTGCATAAAGTGAAATCCGAATGGGGTAAGTTCGTCAAAGCTTTGAGTAGAATAGTGCAGCAAATAGGTAACGAAAAATTACTAGGGTTAAACTGGTACCTATTAGTAAGAAAGCTTAAATATAAATATGTTTTAATGTACTATTAGATTACAGACAGTTTTAAGACAGCTAAATTAGCTTCCAGATCGTAAGTGTTTTCCTCGGCTTGAATGTTGACATATTTTTCCAACGTTTGCAAATTTTCAGGATTATACCTAAAACATATGAAAGACAATATCACTTTGAATTCATGCTAAAATTTTCTATAAAATGTTTTAAAATAATGCTTTAAACTTGATAAATAATGTCTCCTAGTTTACAAATGATGTACCTCTCTATTCCCTTTAATAGCTTTGAAACTTGAACTCTCATGCCTTCTGCGGTGTCCGCCATTTTTATTTTCGAAAACGATAAGAGGGAGTATTATTACAATACAGATGTCGCTACTTACGCCGGCGTTACTATTTTTGTGAATGGAGGCGTCGCTTCTAGTTCGATAATATATTCGAACGTCACTTCGTTGACGTCACGAACCACCATTCTGATCGCAGTTGATAGATCATCAACTGCATCAAGTAAGATTTTTTTCTTATATTTCGACTAATTAGGCCAAAAAAATAGTGATAATCAAATCACATATTAGAATAGGACTTAATTTAGTAAATAAGGAAATTAAAGAATTTTATTAATTAATTTTCATTTTGTCATACAGTATGAGGTTCTTCAACATATTTTTGGTATTGGTATCTCTCTGCCTTCATCAAGTGCTGGGAGATTATTCGGATTTGTTCTACGATGATGATCTTCCATCGTACTCGTTCAATCTCCCATCAGAACTGCGTGAAGAGGCTTTAAAACAATATTTAGAGATGGTCAGCAGGCACAACGAAGATGACATTAGGGTAGGTTCTCGCGACTCAACTGCTGGTACTGAGCAGAGGGACGAAGAACATATGGAAGAGGGAGCACTTGGTGTTCAACATCCTCAATTCACTTCTGGTGGAGCTGGTGAAGGAGATCAACGTCTAAAACCTAACGGTAGTATAAAGAATAAAAATGAAGTTAAGTCGGATGCTGGTTTGCCTTTTTACTGCCATCCTCCAAATCCCTGTCCTAAGGGATTCGATCCCAAAAAGCACAATTGTGACGCCCATGTCCGTGATGTTGACAAGGATCAGATGGCTTATATTCAAAAAGAGATGAAGGATGAAAAATGCACTTGCGACACCGACCATATGTTTACCTGTCCGCAAAGTCAGTTCAATCCGCTTATGGATTTTTTATATATTAAATGTATTTCTATCTCGTGCAGATAAAAATGAGAACGCGGCAACTGATTTGGTAAGTAATTTAACTATAATTTTTAAAGCAGCCATTTTGTAGAAATTAACAGACTCTCTAAATAAATCTATATAAATATATGAATTTGTAAACAGTGAGAATATAATATGGCCATCTTATATAGCAATCAATAGAATAGTAATGATATTGTAACTGGAGACGAGATTGTGATCTTTTACATAATTAGTTCTAGTTATGATATTAATAAATATTTAATACTGTTTTATCTTTTTACAGGCCTCTTTACTGGGAGAAAACAGGCACGAAGGCTTGATTGCTAAAAAGTCTCCAAGCATGCAACTGGTTAGTAACAAAAAAAGAAAAATTTAATATTTTTTAAGAGTTTTTTTTTTAAAAAGAAAAATTATTACTAATTCTATTTATTTCTTTGATTATTATTAACAGCATAACCAATTTTTCGCTGAGACGATGAATGACGCATAAATTAGCGTAGAGAAAATGTATCAAGTCTTCTCTAAATACCCTAAAATATTTTAAAGACCCGTATAAGAATAATATGAACCAATATATATCTATATATAGATATATATATATATATATTAAGAATGTATACTATGTGCTCGTTGTTAATCTGCAGGATATGTATTAACTTATAAATACTTGATTTATTCAAATTATTATAGTTTTAAATACATGTTCGTGTGTTCTCCTCCATAACTGTCCACCTTGTTTTATATATATATATATAAATTTATATATATATATATATGTATAAAATATTCACATAAATTTAAGAATTATGTATAGGATTCGTTTAAGAAAGGAAAAACATTAAAAAAAAGATTTTCTCGTTCGAAAAAATAAAAACCGATTGTGTATCGTTTTAACCACAAAAAAAAAAGAAAGACAAGCCAAGAAAGTGCAACCTGAAAGTTTACATTTACATTTCGATATAAAAAAAAATATGGATTGTAAAAGTTTTACAGAGATAGAAGAATTGATGAAAATGAAAATTGAAATTGTTGAATGTAGATTGTTGAAACTGAAAGGCTCTGTGCACTTTTTTTAATTTTTTTTTCATATGTATTTTTCTCTCTGTTGTTTCGATGGTTTTCATTTTGATCTCAAAAATTGTGAAAAAAAAAGTAACTATTTTTTTCTCATGCATTTGTCTCTATGTTTAATTTTAAAAAAAAAATACACCTCTTTCTGTTTCTTTTATTTTAAAATAAGAGAAATTAATGCTAGGTTAATGAGATGAGGAAAAAATCAGTATCTTCTATTTTGTATAGGCATCAAATTAGCTATATTTACGTGTCACATTTAACTCAATTGTTTGCTTTCATTGCGAGTGCAAAGTTTGGCTGTTAATGAGGTCATGTCAAGAAATTTTCTTTTGTTCTAATTAACTCTTCTATTCAACCGAGGCGCGCGTCTTGATTACAGGTCAATTTTAACTACATCATCATTATTATCATTTTAGTTTCGTATTTCCTTTTGCATGTTTTTTTTTATTTGCTTATGTATTGAGCGTTTTTTTCCTTTTATATATAAAAAATTCTTATCTAGATACAAAGTTTCTACAAATTCAAACACATACCGTCCATATTTAAAAAAGAACAGAGAAGAAAACAACTTTAATGATACCCAATACCAGCTATGCCTGTAGACGGAAAGACGGCTTGCGCTTGAGGCGTCCAAATCGGCGTAGGCGTTACTGATTGTTGTTGTTGTTGTTGCCAAACTGGCGTCATTGGAACGTAACCGACCTTGTAATTAACGGCGACTGCGAGGTCCTGTTCATAATTTAAATTTCTCATATTCCTCTTTGCTCTTCTTCTTGCTTGTCTTCTTCTGAAGTCTCCTCTTTCAAAGTCTGGTAAACACGCCGGATGAATAGTCCAATAGTGACCTTTTCCGTTGTCAGCCCTTCCAGCCTTGACGAAGCATTCGTTTAACGACAAATTGTGTCTTACTGAGTTTCTCCAAGCTCTGTCTGAGTTATTGTAGTAAGGCCACTTTTGCATGATATAATTGTATATATCGCCAAGAAGTAGTTTCTTGCTAGGATTTGATAATATTGCCATAGAAATTAAGGCAATATAAGAGTGTTTAGGTTTCTCTTCAGTAGTTTTTAACGAAGTCATTCTAGTTCCTCACGATGCTGAGATTCGAATGACGGTACGATCCTTGGCTGAAAACATAGACAGGGGCCAGGGGGCGTGGCTGTCGACGGGAGGTAATTAAGGGCGCGAATTCGCTTCTGTTTTCGTTTAAAAAAGTAATTAATACAAAGAAGAAAAAGTCTGACACTAGCACACTAAAGAATAGGTTTAATGGGGTATAAATTTCGTGAAAAGTATCCACATGTATATGTATCGATTAAAGAACACGTCTTAAGCAGTACAATGGTTTTTCTTTTAGTGCACCAGAAAAGATGTAAAGACTGTTCTTTTTATTTAAAAGTAGTAAACTAATAGTTTCAAGTTTTGTTGAAAAATTTCTGTTTGTTTTGTTGTTGTTTTATACAAGATTGGAAGAGGGACTTTTTTTCTCTGATAGACCTAAAAGATAAAAGTCCGACCGTGATCGACCGAAATGAATGATTTAAAAAAAGTTGTTAATCAAAGTCGAGTAAATAGGGAAAGTATGAGAAAAGTTTGTAAATTTTTATATAACGAAACGTAAGAAACGTACAAAGAAAACTGGAAGAAAGCGCTAAATAGGCGAAACTCGATCAATTAGTCTTGTCCAAGTTGGGTGTGAACATCGAAGTGGCGGGGGGTTCGAACAATCGGGTACACGCTAACTCCGCCCATTCAATACTTGAATTCGTCAACTGTCATACACAAAACGATTGGTGGTCCACCGTGCGCGCTTCATTATTGCACTCTCACGTTTCCATTGCTTAATTACAGTGTACCCTTGCATCACATTAAACCTTATTGTTATAGACAAGAATTTATTATCTCACGGAAGATGACCCGTGGCGAAGTTCTCTCTCGAATTGCTCGGCAGTAAAAGTTCCGTCCAGGCGTTCACAATTTTCGTTGAATACTGAATAGGCACTTTTCTCTCCTCTCTTTCTACTGCCTAAATTGATGAAGATGATGAAAAATATGGAAATCACAACGAAAACGAATCCAAATTCCAATTCAACAAACAATCCAAAGAGGACGAGCCATAAACCTACTTTTAAAGCGATTAATGCTTTCGACTCAGAGATGGCGTTAGTTACACGTCCTAGTTTCGTTTTCATGAAAAAAGACACGAAGTCGTTAATTGGCCTTGATAATATTTTTATGGTTGCTTTGAAAATATTTTCTTCTCTTTTTTGCCTATTAGAGTTCTGAAGTGCAAAAAAATTGATTATTTAAGAAAATAACTGTTAGCTCAAGTGAAAGAATGCATGGCGTGCGTACTTTGTCTGAAATATCCTGTGTCGGCCCAGGTATATTTGGGTCGACCGATTTGTCAGATTTCGATTGGAAATTTTTAGGTTCTCTATCAAATCTTTCCAATCTCTTTTGCCGATAAAGAGCCAATCTCTCTTCGACTGTCGCCATATTTGTTGATGTAATTTTTTTCCCTCTTAAACTGAAAATATTTAATGTGGTCACTGATCTAGGTCGATTTCGCTCAACCGTTTGAGCCATAGTGCAAGATACCCGTATGTCTTCTTTTAAGACTGTCGCTAAGTGAAATGTAAATATTAAGGTTTAAGTTTGTAGGTAGATCAGGTTTGTAGATATTATAAAAATTTTGTATAATATTTTTTTGATTGTTCCAAATGTTTTAAAACATTTATAATTAAAAAATGATTCAGTAATCACCTTATCACTCACTCTTCGGTAATTGAAGATCAGTTGATTCAATTCGATCAAAAAGATGGATGCAGAGATTGGCTTACAGGCAACAAACACTATGACTATAACAGGAATACCAGGTTTCACCACTACTTCACTTTTAAATTATATTCTTTTCTGCAAAATGAAGTTAATCAAGCAAACAATGATTAAGAGAGAATAATTTAATTTCTAGGAAATATTAGTCGTCTTTCTATTAATCATTTATAAAAATAAATAGGACGCTCAGGGAGATTACCCCCTCTACGTACTGAAGATTTTCATAAAAAGTCACCAAGATATAATAAAGAGGGAAAAAAAGAAGCAAATCCAGAGATACAAGCAGAAAGAAGGGCAAAAACAACTGTATCTATACCTTCGTTTAATCATTCAGCCCAAGAAAAAAATCCAGGATTATCAACTCAGACAGGAGATCACTCAGTGTTAAGAAGCTCATCAACAATGGACAAACGTAAATATTTTCTTCCAATTTTTGCATTATCTTTCCCTTGAATCAAAATATGTACATTATTCCTTTATAATCTAGCTGTAAGCACACAAATTTTGTTTGTCAGTTTTTCCATTTTAGTTTTAAAACAGGCGTACGACAAACTTACGATTACAAAAAACGTAAGATAAAATATTAGTATATTCTTTTAAAAGGCATTTGATTAGCTTTTGTTTAGTTGCTTTTAGATTTTTGATTTAAAAGAGACGACAAATATATTATCAAAGGTAAAAGTATTTTTAGACGAATAAGCGCTGGTCTCTTAGCCTAGTTTTGTGTATTTTATTATTTAAATTACCTCATTCCTTTCAATTTTTGCTATATTGTTTATCATACTTTAGCTATAGTAACAAAAACAATTATAGAAATGAGTTCATTGTTAATTTTGTACTTAAATTATAGATTTTTTTACTTCTATTATTATTAATATTACTATTTATTTTCATTATACAGCTATGGAAATTGTCGTTTATTTTTCTGATAAAACTGGTATAAGTCTAAATGTTGATGATGGAGTAAATGTTACTGCCATGGAATTATTTGATATGGTTTATGAAGAGACTGGCCTACCGAATGAAGGACGGGAAACCTTTTCTCTGTGGCTTATGTCTAATTTATTGGGTAAAATTTCCAGAATTTATAAGAACTATTCGTAGAAACATTTATAAATTTTAGAATTGCAACTGAAGCCTTCTCATGTCCCTTTCCGTTTGGCCGCCTTTTGGGAGGATATGCTTGAAGAATACACAGGCGCTGATGATGAAAGAATCGATAAAGGTTTATAGTCTCTCCCTTTATTGCATTTTAGCTCCAATATATGTCTTTTATCCTGTATAGATGAGCCTATTTTAATGTTCCAAAGAAACGTCTTTTGCACACGTAAAGAAGAACGAGCTGTTAGTTTAATAACCCAATACTACGTTCATTCTCTTAAATTCTCATTTTTATTCCTTCAAGATAAACGATACAAGAGCTATAAGCTTATTATTTCACGAGGCTAAAGAAAACGTAATTGATGGCCGCTATCCTCTAAAGAAATTGGATGATTATCATAATCTTGCAGCTTTACAGTCCCTTATCAGCCATGAATGGTTTGATGCAAAAACTCATACTCCAGAATATTTCAAGTATGATTAATTTTATAGATATTTTATTATTATTATCTATATTGTATTTGATATTATTAAAAATCCTAGAACTCGTCTAAATCAATACTATCCAGAGCACTTACTTAAAAAGAAATGGTCAATACTTTGCGGGTTTGTCTTTTTAAATAGGATAGTAATTTTTCTATTTATTAATATATTTCGTTAATATAGCTCTTCAAAAGATAGCTTGGAAGATGGCCTCGTTAAAGCATTACGTCAAAAGGTAAAGAAATTAAAATCAGGCAACTTGCATTTATCTACTTTAATGGTTGAATATTTGGATTGGTGTAGAGATAATTTACCTTTTTATGGGTAATTAATACCAACTTATTAATAATTTCTATAATAAAAAGAATGATTTTTTAGAGGAGCGTTTTTTGCTGGCCAGATTGTTCATCCAAGGAATAAGCTATTAGTAAAACTCTTTGGACAGCCCGAAGATCCGGTCTATATTGCTATAAATATGGATGGAGTTTTTGTTATAGATATGGACGACGTCATTTTCTTATTGGGAATATTATATAAGGATTTGAAATGGGAAATAGCCGAAAAAGAAGAAAATAAACGGAAGGAGAGTTGTTTATTTTTACAATTTGATCATATGGAAAAAGATAGAGAACAAGAGGTAAAGAAACTATTGCAAATCTTTTCGAGGGAAGCCAACTTAATGGATGCGCTAATATGCGCAAGTGTTAACAAATTAAAGACTCTTGGAAAATTCGCCGATGACGGCGGTTGGAAAGATGACGGAGATGATTTTGGTAAGTATATAAAAATTTAATATAATTCTAATCAATTATTTAATAATATATGTTTGTCATTTTTCTCAAACAGATGATAATGTAATTATGCCTTCCGACGACATATGGGAGAAACTAAAATCATCATTATCAACTTTTAGTAAATCAGGTGAATTGATTTGATAATAATATAACATTTAGTTAGCATTAACTTGTTTTGCGGTGAACTTAACTCATTTTTAAACAGGTGAACCGATGGATAATAAAGTTATTGTTTAATCAACTTCTTTTTATAACTGAACTTCTACATTACCAGTTTTTCTTTTTAAAAAACTACCATTTTTTAATTGCCTTAATTTAGATGTGAACTTGTTATACTGTTTTTAAGACTTTTTTTAATTTAAGCATCATGTTAGTTTTCTAAAGATAGATTTTTACAAAAATATACTTTGGTGTTAATTCGTTAAGCAAACTAATACAAATTTTTTCAATATGAAGTAAAATCTGATTAATAAAGATTAATAGAGAAAAGGGATTGTAATGCATAGCTCATGATCAATTTCTATAGTTCTATTGTTTTTATTTTTAAAAGAAATAAGCAACTGATTTAAACGTTTAAATGAATAAAAGTTTGTTTATAGTCTTGCTTTAATGTCTCTTAAGGTTTTAATTGTTTCTTTGTTAAATTTAACATTATTAGAGGCGCTAATTTGTGCTAAGACTGAGTGTAAAATCAATCAAGATTTTACTATAAACTGTCGGAAAGAAGAACAATATGTTTGTAATGAAAATTCATTTTGTTCGATAACTTGGAGTTATGAAAATGAAACAAATAAAACGGTAGCATTTTAAAAAGTCGTAATAAATTGCACAAAAATTTTAAGGTATAAAGATCTAACAGGGGTTAACTAAGCGACTTGGTTGTCGATCGTTTTCATCTATTTCGGGACGAGTGTGCAAACAATCGGAAGATGCTTGCTCGGAGCGTCTTACGGGAGATGAAAGGGGGTCGAAGGTTTCTTGCTGTTGTAATTCGGATTTTTGTAATTTGGAAACAGTAAAAACTGACGCTTCGGTCTTTGAAATTCTCGAGCGGGGTTTAAATGAGCTAGATGAGGGGGTTGAGTCCAATTGGTTCGTAAATGCGGAAATCGATTTCTTCAAGCAACCCGCAAACGACAGTTCCCTTTTAAGCAAAGAAGAACGGGACGAATACGAGTTAACGGATCAAGATGTATATATTTTGATAGGGACAATGTATATGACAATTTTCATTCTTTCATTACCCTATATACTATGGGCCACTATGCAAGGTTATAAATCCAGGTCGGAAGAGCAGCAGGCTCTCGCCGAAGTGAAAAAACTTCAGGAACTTGAAGAAGTAGCTAGAGAGGATATTAAGAAAGAAGTAAAAACTGTAGAACGAACGGAAACCACACAAATGAAATGTAACACAGGCTTGAAGCATGAGATGACAGATGGTAGTAGTGAAGAATATGACAGTAAAACGGAAAAGGTATTATCCGACCAAGTCGTATGGAAAAATGTTAGACGAAGAATTTTAACAATAGAGGAAGCCATGACCGCTCTGAAATTGACTGTAAATAGCAGCCGGAAAGTCTCTAACAGTACGGCTACAGAGAGGAGATCAGCAAAAAAAAGTTAATCTTAACAGATCTTCAATAATAAAAATTGTATTTGCTAAGAATAAATCTATTCTGACGTACATTCTTCCCAATTACTGAGGTAGGCAGGTAGTAGAAGAGATTTTTTTGTTGTCATATTTGTTGTAGTTTGTAGTGGTAGTGCGTTTTGTTATATCTATTTGTTGATGCAATTAAAGATTCTTAATAAAAGTATCCTATGAACTTGAGTCTCTTGCAATTGAGTATTTAAGAGAAAAATATATCCTTTGGACGTTGAACGAATTAAAGAGGGAAAGTGTTTGAGAAAACAGTTCGATAGCTTTAAAAACGTCTTATTAATTTAAGAAATAAATTCTAATACCTGGAATTGTTGAGAAAATCAAAATGCTTTATGCATTAAGAAATTGAAAGAGTTTATTTGTTTTTTTTTGGAGTATCTCCTCGAGCACTGAAGAAAGCTAGAGTAATGAGCATAAGAGCAGCAAGTACGGCTAAAGGCCCAAAGGCCGAAATAGGCGAAGAAGAACTGGAAGATTCCACCTGTTTTACATCGTCCATAACGATCCAAAATTGTTCACGGATTCCTAAGAAGACGAGTACGTGAAATACTTGATGGCTATGGCCAAATATATCAAAAGTCCCTGGAGCAAACCGTTCTGGAACTTTGCTAACTTTGACTGCTGCTCCACAGACCAGGAGGAAAACATGTTTCAAGAAACGTAGTCGAAAGTAAGCATCAACATACAAACGAGATAACGCTGGCAAAGAGGCAAAGGCAAAAGGCAAAAAAAAAGATAGGGTTCGTATATAATGTGCCGATTTCGGTTGACTAACTCTCGTCCAGCAGCAAGCAAATGTTGCGGCCAGGGCAGCTGCCGATGTTGCCAATAAATACCATTTTGTAGAATGTTCTGTGTTGCCCGTGTAATGATAGTATGCCCTCGCCGTTGCTACCCCATAAAATGATATTGCAGCATAATCTAACATGAAACACACTTGCCTCCATCTCCAAGAAACACTCATAAGTAAGTGAGCTCCAGTTGAAACGGCAAACAATGTAAGCACTCCAATTATATAAGCGTAAAGGGGATGGTGAGAACCTGGAGCTTGCAAACTTCTAGCATCTCCAAGATCAAGTATTGTCCACCACGCAAAATAGATAAGCGGCAAGGCATGAGTCCAAATGTTCAATGTTTCGTTATGCAGGGCGAAAGCTGATGCCAAGGATTTGACAACTCCAACACTTAACGGACGATAGCCTTTGAGAATATATAGTTCGCGCGCTTCGACTGGCACCTCATTCCAGCGAAGAGCTGGAGGTGGCACCATACTCATGAAACGAATCCTGGACATATTTCTCGGACGGCAACTGCAACGCCCGAGTGAAGCGCAAAAAAGACTACACAGCGCGCGACGCCGTCTACAAATCTACTGCAAGCAATCAATAAACGTTTGACGTCACAAGGTTGTGGTGGGTAACGTTTTTCGGCTACACGCATACCCCACGAGTATTAGTTAGCTTTTGAGCTCTGCAAAGAAGCATTGCAGGTGTAGTGCTATTGCTATAAATATAATTTATATATAAAGTGGTAGTACTAGTAGCCTGCTGTGTTAGCACAGAGTTGTCCATCAAAAAGGGAAGTACTCATAAATAAATATCCATACTTGGATTAAAACGGAAGAACACTTCTAGAATCATTGTTCACACCACATAAAATACAGTCCATCTCATAAAATTGACATTCGTCACCGTATTCATCTTGATCCACCCAAAAGACGTGCGTATGTTCAGCAATGATGTGCAAACAGTTTGGGCATTGATCTAGAAATTTTCGTTTAGCCTTCCTATGTGCCTTTTTTGTTAAGATATACTCACGAGTAAACTTTATCGTTTCCTCTCCATCTTCTTCTAGGACGCTTCTTCCTACCTCTACAGGCGGAAGTCTTTCGGAACATTGTCGGCAGGCTAAATAGTTGAGAACATAGCATCCGGTATCTAGACAAATGCTCTGTGGATTTTGTTAAAAGGTCGTTATTCCATTTTATTAACGAATGATAAAAACTAACACGCTCGGGTCTTATAACTTTGACGCAGTCAACACACATTTTCTAACTTTTTTCACGTCTGTATCCGCAAGACAATTTTTCGCATTATAAACTGGTAGAAGTTTACAACTAAACAACACTATCATGTGACTACTACTACCGCACTATTTTGGGATGTTGTTGGATGAATATTAGTCATTAATCCCCTTGATACTTATGGTACCTATTGCTCCTCCGCCACCCCCTCTTTTGAGTGGGTCTGCTGAAGGAGAGAGGGTCACCAAGGAGTCAAGTAATAACTGGTCCTACGAAAAGGATTTGAGAAGAGCAAACGATAGAATTTGGAGCTTTTTAGGCCCGAGCTATGACCTATCTGTTATAAAAACTAATTTTCGACTTCAGAATGGGCCTCAATGCGGCTTAGTCGTTTTGGAGCTGTGTTGTAATTTGGTGGGAAAAAATTTAAATGTCACTGTTGAAGAATTGTTAAGCGAAAGTCAACGCTTGGGTTTTACAAGATATGGTGAACTTTTTTCGTGTTACAGCGCATATTCACTTGCAACAAACTATTTAAATCGCGACAGAGTTGAACTAGTGACTGAATTAACTCCTAACAAACAAGAGCAAATGCTGAACGGTTTATTTGATAAACGCTGCGTTATTTTGTTTCCTTATGACAAAGGTCCAGATCATGGTCCTGTTATTCGTAAAGGACACTCAGCTCACTGGTGCTTACTGATTGGTGCTGCCAAGTCACAACGTGATTTATTGGTTCTAGTTAGGCAAGGTAAAAGTAAATGGATGGGTGTGTACAAATGGAATGATATGCTAGAGAGCAACAGGAATTTGGTAGAATCATCACCGACTCTGACTCGTGACTTTATTACGAAGCCATTTTGCCTAGCAAATACCGCGATTGTAATATATACTGTATAACTCATGATAAAAATACGTTATCAGACTGTATTAAACAATACACAAAAAAAGAGAAATGGTATACCAATAATAAACGAACATTCGTCGCTACCAGATACCCATACTACTATTTAAGACGCCTGTTAAAACGTAAAATCTCTTTCAGTGAATACAATATGCTGTTCATATGTTTTGGTTTACCTTGTACAATTATAACATAAGCAACGATGCTGGAGTAGCAGCTAGGAACTTGAAAATTATATAAACAAAATACAAACGCTGAAACAAAATGTGATAAAATTTTCCAATTAATCATATTATCTTTTATTGTGAAGGTGGTGGTCCAGGTGGGAGGCCAGGAGGAAGCGGTTCAGTAGGGGGCAATTGAATAGAATCTAAACTTTCCATTGGTTTTGCATCATCGGGGGTTGGAATTTGTTGCAAATCTATTTCACTAGATTTGATATCAACTTTCTTCTTTCTTTCTGTTTCTGACCTATCCCTACCTCTAGATCTGCTGCGGGAGCTAGAATGACTGCCATTATTGCTAGAACTACTACTGTTACTGCTGCTACTGCTGGAAGAGCGACGTCTCTTATGGCTAGTATTGCGTGAATCACGTCGTGTTCTGGCTCTTACTGGGCTACGCGAGTGTCGGCGTCTAGGTTTTGATATGGGTGAGCGACGCCGTCTATAGTCAGAGGGTCTGTCATTACGACTGTATTTATAATCATGACCTCGTCTGCTTTTCTCCTGTATATTGGGGCGATGCTTCATGCGATTTCTAATATCTCTGTCACTACTACGTCTTCTGCGCCTTTCCCCCCTATAGTCCTTTTTGTCTAAACTGCTATCCCTTCCCTTTTCTGGCCGTTTATGTGTATCAGGAGTGGATTTCTTAGACGATTTGAAATCATTCCTCTGTTTAGACGTATCTTCATTTTCTTCCTTTTTATTATCCTTTATTTTGTCTGATGGTTCCTCTTCTTTAGTATCGGTTGCTGTTTTAACGTCGCTCTGAACTGTTGGTGTACTACTCTCCATATTCTCAACAACTTGATTTTCCTCTTGTGGGATAATTTTTTCACCAGTAATGACATTTTCACTTAAATCAACATCTTTATCAAGTTGTTCAATCATTTGTTTATCTTTGCTTCCCTTAACACTTTTCTGATCATTATTATCAAAAATTTGCTCTCGTTCAGGACTTTGATCAGACTCTGAACTACCAGAGGACGACCTAGACCTACGACTACGTATATGATGCTTACTACTACTAACGCTTGTACTTGTATTTTCCTTCATCGACTCACTGAACTTTTTATCTCTCGCAAGCGCGGCGTTTTGAATCTTCTCTAATTCGAGATTTAAAGCCTTTTTCCTTTTCTCAATATCAGCTAATTGAACAATATTTGATTACCTAACTGGTGAGAGCCGAAATTTTACTAACTCACCCTCTAGTAGATCTTCTGTTTCCTTCCTGAGCTTTTCAGACTCAGGAATATGAGACTTTGGGGCGTAAAAAATCTGTGGCTTAGCTTTCGTACGAATGAATTTTGTTAAGCGACGAGTTTCTCTTTCCCACAGCTCATGCTGTTTAATATTTGAATTGAAATTAGGCACGAACATAAAGAGATAATTTACTTACGTTTTCCATTATTGATACTTTTAATTCGGCTGTTCGCAGTTCCCTTTGGCGAGTCTTTCTTTCTTGAAAAAGTTGTTCTCTCTCCTTACGCATCTCTTCTTTCTCAGCCTCTTCCTTTTTTTCCAATTTTTTCAAAAGCTCAGCTCTTTGTTCCTCCTTTGTACGAACACAAAAACTGCAAATATTTTTCAGGAAAATAAACTATAAATACCTTTTCTTTATCTTTATTTTGATCTTTCTGAAATTTCTTTAGAGTTCCCAGCAGAGCACCAAACATCCGTTGATTTCTATTAACATATATATTTTAATAAAAGTTTGATAATTATAATAGAAAATCTTACCTAGCTTTATCCTTATTTAGAACTTGAACAATATCTTTCTTGGCTGGTCCTGTTGAAGGCGCAGCAACAACCGAAGATTGAACTTTTCTCTGAAGATAAAGTAGAAAGAATTATTATCCGCCTTCATTTTAAATTGGGTTAGGATACCTTAACGTGAGCTTCGTCATCATCATCCTCATTATAATCTTCGTTTGCTTGTTGACGCATTCCTAATCTAGATCTTACGCCTGCGGTCGAAGGTCTTGGGCCCAATCTGATTATTTTTGATCAAATCTATATCCCATAGGAGATTGATAAACACAACTTACCTATCAAAAGCACTCCCCATAGCACGTTTTTTTACGGGAGGTGCAGTATTTCCGTCATCATCTTGATTTCTCCTGGAATAAAAAATTTTCTTTCATAAATGTTCAGAACAAACAAAGCGAATTCTAACCTTGTTTGGAATTTTCTACCTACACCTGGACCGACTGTAACAATTCCACGTCTTCGGCGCTCCTCAGGTCGTAAAACTTCATCGGATCGACTGTTTAGAATGCAGATGCAAATAATTTGTTTCGACTTTTTTGTGTACGGACACGCCGCATGAAGAAAACGTCGGAATACATTGGAAGTTTAGTAGTAAAATGGCACTTACTCATTACGCCTCTCTGATGGATCACGACCCGTCAATTTCTTTATATTAACATCCAAATCTCTAAGACTTTCTTTTGCTTTTATTAATTCTTCACGGAGAGACTGCGTTTCGACAGCCATTTTGGAACGATCGAATTTACTAAGCGGAAACGGAAATGGGGAATCACTAACTCATTTCTAGCAGACGAATTTTCAAAGTAATAACAAAGTTTCTATGAAAAGTTTGTCAGCGATGGCCATTGGAAATGTAATTCTTCTTCTCCTAATTACTTTCTATTTAGTAATTTCAATATTAAGTTTTTTCATCGTTGGAGCTTTGTTATCGAATCAATCATCATTTAACGGTCATTGCCTTTTATACGCCAATGGAGAATGGGAAAATACAACCACACCTGAAGGATCTCACTTAATTAATATAGAATGGGGACAGACAAGTAATTGTTACTTTCCCATTGTTTCAAGTGTGTTAAATATTTTACTGAGCAGTGTCTTTGTCACTTGGCTCAGCGTTTGCATTTTCAGAAATCTAGACGTGTGAGTATATCAAATTACGGAATATCATAGATAATTATTATGAAAAAAATTACAAGCTATAGATTATTTGTTCAACAGATCATGGCTCTCAGCATTTACCTGTACAGTTACCAGTATGGTGTGTTCGTTATTCACTTTGATTTCCGGTTCCATAACTACTGCTGGATTAAAAAAGTGGTGTGCCCTAATATCAACTAAACTGGGCAGGTAAATTAGAAATAGCTATTGTTTCATATTATTGTTTTAATTTGTTTTTATTAATTTTTTATATGAAATGTTGAATTTTAGATGCGAAATTGGAGATTACGTTAAATTTGCAGATGATGTTGATCCTTCAAATTCGCTCATTGAAATGGGGATATCAATTGTAAGTTAGCTCTCTTTTAGAGACAGATAAGCGTTATAAAACATTTCATATTTCCTTATCTTATATTTTTTTCATTAGTTTTGTTTGTGGGCAAACTGGCTCTTATGGATATTTGTCTGCACACTAGCTGCTATTAAACTATATTCTTATAATAAAGAAGAGAATTTTTTCACAAGTCTAAGAAGAGAAAGAGAGAGATTTGCCAGAAGCATTCCAGGGGCTAATCGTTATACAAATATCAAAGTTTAAGAATGAACATGAAATGTTACACTTTCCATTGATATTGTCATGTTTTGTCTTAAGACGTATTATATATTTTTTGCACACGTTTCACACTTTGTATGAAACTGTATCCACTTGATTCTTTTATGAACATCTGGCGACGTAATACATTAACTAATTGAACTGTTTCTTAAACGACCGAAAGTCCTTTATTCTTATTTTCATAGTTCTCAAGTCCATAGTATTGTTAGAAAATTTCCATTTTTAGCGTGCAGCATAAATATCGTCTTTGAATTACTATTGTTGTCGGGAGAGCCCTTTGTTTCTCTTTTCACACTTTATACTTCTATTCACATTCTTCTGGGTAACTTCGACAACCAACGGTTAGAGTATCCCAACAGATATGGACTAATTTTAATTAAGCCTATTAATTGGCCTCATATGGCACTTTGTTTCCGCAGTGTCATATTGCTCAGAAAATTTGTCAAAAATAAAGCAGAGTTGCAGACTTTAAACGTGTTTCTTTACAGTTTGTTAGGGCGAGAGAGGTTTATTTAGGATTATGTTGGAATTATTTGGTGTTGAAGAAGAAAAAGTAGACAGTTTAGTTTTGGTAAGTTTATTAGAGATGTTTTTATTGTTTTCATTAATAGATGATAATGATAGCGATACTATTGATACAGTATAATGTGGTAGGAGTTAACTTTTGTAATTTGATAAAGATTTTTTTTTTACATTTTCTGCAAGTATGTTTAACTACAATCTAATGGATATGCTGGTAAAAATTGTCCTTCATAAAAAGCTACGACCTTGTAATTCTATCTCTCCCCCTTACAGGTACCAACCAATTCTACTGCGGATTTTGACGATTTGCAGTCCTACTTCCAACATAGCCAATCCTCATCAAACTCTTTAGCCGAACAAGAAGACGACGCTATCAAGCCGTATAAAGGTGGGAGAAAACGACAGGAGCCGCCTCCAGTATTTGAATCAGAAGAAGATTTGAAGATATGGAAAAAAGAGCGTGTCAGAAAGGATAACCATAATAAAGGTTATAGAATATAGAATTAACTATAAGGATTAAGAAGCAACGAATATAATACTTATTACAGTGGAAAGAAGACGGCGTTACAATATAAATGATCAAATAAAGGAATTAGGAAAATTATTGACTGAAAATTATGACCAGTATATATTTATTCTATTTATAGTACTGTTACATAATCTATACTTATTAATAAATTAATGAATGTTTTGTTGTTCTTTTTTTTCCATTTTCTAATTTTATCTATTTTTATTATCTTTTCTTTTGTTTTCAATCACAGACCTGTTTGCGAGGCACGTTTAAATAAGGGAAACATACTCAAGGAATCAGTAGCATATATTCAAAAAATGAAAAGGAATCAAGAACGTATGGAAAATATCGAAGAACAGAATAGAATTATGGCGGCAACAAACCGAAAACTTTTACTAAAAATTCAGGTTCTTTTAAATTATTACTATTAAATTCTTTTCGTATTTTTCCTGTTAATCTTCATATCTTTTCCTTTTTTTTGCGCCCTCTATATGCCTCTTCTTATATTTTTCACTGTATCTGTCTATCTATTTTAATTTATCTACAATTTTATAACTTTCTTAGGGAATGGAAAAAGTTTTAAAAGCCCACGGAATTCCTTGCATTGACGATGATTTAGACAATAGTGACTTATCTGATGAACTACTCGGACATGTGCCGCCATCTATCATTTGTAAATCAGAGAATTCCCCCACAAATGAATGCTCTTTAACATATTCAAATAATTTTGACAAGTTAAGTGTTTTAAGTAACTCAGTATTATAAATTGTTACGCAATGAATTGGGAGGTGACGTACGACATTATATTTACATGCAAAAAGTTATTAATACATCTAATTATTGATTTATCTAATCTAAAAATCGTCAATAAAACCGGTTATCTATCGCTTATTACAAGAACGTTTTATTTATTTAAATAATCGGTGCCTTTTTAATGAGTATCGTATCATTTTTCGAAGCGGTTAATTGATTTGCAACAAACCGCAGCCAACGTCGTAACCGGCTGTAAAGGAAGCATTTCGTACTTGATTTGTTCACAAGTTGAACCAAGTGGTCGTATAAAGTTCTTAATTGTTGCATATCTGAATGATAAGAAGAGTGCTTTTTAACATCTATCAACTCCTATTCCAACGCCGAAAGAAGTAATTTAAAATCTTTACCGTGACATTACTATGGCTTGGTAAATGAACTAAGTTTTATAGGCCTGAAAAAGATTATTTGAACAAAAAGAATTTTGAATATTTTTATTGAATATTTACGGAAAATGTCTAATTCACTGTCCGATCAAAACTCACGTTCTTCACTACTCTCTTTCTACAAGTCTTCTTCAAGATTGAACTCAATAGACAATGATTTTAACCAATGGAATATTCAACCAAGACTAATTAGAACGAAAAAATCTAAGGATAATAATAGTATACAAAAATCTGAAAGTGGTAATAAAGTAAGGCTTTTTATATAGTATTTTTAAAGAATTTCATATATTTGTCTTTTTAATCAAGAATATTAAAAATCTCTTCCGTAAAACTGCAACAACTGCACTTATTCTAATAAGGACAATGTATGAACATGACTTAAGGTTGTAAAAATAAAGCTGCAAAATTGCCAAGTTATAAGTAGTAAATAATTTCTTAATAGAGTTAATATTGAGGATGATCTAACTCCTTATATAAGTGATTTACACTTTTATGGAACAAAGGATTTACAATTCGAAAAAGGTATACCGAAAAGAATTAAAATGGTTAGGAGGCATGGGGAAATGGATTTTGATCCTAGAGATTACAAGGCTAACAGACAAGTGCGTATAGGCCTTTAATTTTTATAACATTTATTAGTTTTACTATATTTACTAATATACTGTATATATATATAAAATATATCGTGTGTTTATGTTTCGTTCATTCTGTATAATTATAATTAGTTAAGGATATCCGAACAACTAAGGCGAAGTTTGACAAAACCTGCAAATGAAAGGAATCAGGAAGAGATTCGCCAGGTATGAATATATTTTTTCTCTACTTTTTTTGTTTGCTAAGTAAAGAAAAGATGAAACGAAATTATTTACTTTTAATAGATTACTGTAGCCTTAAGGAATATAGAAACGTTTGGGGAATATCCTATTAGAATGCAAGAAAAGATTGCTGCAGTTGGAAATTACGAAAGGTAATTAAATCGGCCGTTAAGACAAACTAAGAGAAAATAATACAAACAATCTCTGTTGAAGGTATGAGGGTAAACGCGTAATACTTCGGCAGGGGCACCCTGCGCATGCTTTCTACTTTATATTATCCGGATGCGGTAAGTAATTTGTTGCTCAGTCTTCATTTAAATACCAAGGTGTAATTTTAAGTTCAATCAACCAGTAACATTTCCTTTTCCAGTCGTTGTCATGGTAACCGACAAGGAATCCTCTTTTACAAAGCCGGTAGCTTATTTGCCTCGAGGAAAGAGTTTTGGAGTAAATTGAATATTTAATAAGCATACATCCGATATAATTATATTCTTTCATTACATATTGAAGGAATTAGCCATAATCAATCGAACAAGTAGGCAATCGAGTGTTATTGCTAAGGAGCCCGTCGAGTTATTAAGCATCTCCGTAGAAGATTTTAACAGAATATTTATGGATGGAGGTTCAAAAAACACCAACGATCCTGATCATTATAGATTTCTAAAGTAAGCGAAATTAAATGACATATTTATTGGTCTTTTATTAATAATAAAGATTTTAAATCTTACAGGGAAATTTACTTTTTGAAGGGTTTTGATTTGATGATATTTAAAAACAATCCATCAAAATGCCTATTTCACTATTTCAAGTAATGAAAACATTAATTAACACTTTTATACACACGTATTGTAAATACATGCATATTTATATAGTATTTATAAATATGAGGTAATTACAAACAACTAATGATCTTTCTTAGACGAGGTGAAGTTTTGGTAAAAGACAGCAATTATTTTGATTGGTTGATTATAGTAAAATCGGTAAGTTAGAGTAATTTTTTTGCATATATATCTATAAGAAATTATTCATTGTTAGGGAAGTCTGCAAGTGATTAAAAAGCTTCGACGACCCTTCCGATTTTTGGACAAACGACATCAACAATGTAAAAACTCTATGTTTGATATATGACCATATAAATACTTATTAATATTCTCTATACTATATATATATAAATCGTATATTTATACAAGTTTTTATTACGTAAGGGGTTTTTACGTTGAAATTAATTGCGCCACTTTTTATATAATAGTGCTGCAAGACTTTGAAAGAAAACGACAGAAGGAAAAGGAAGAGGAATTATTAAATCAGCAAAGACAACAAACTTTACCAGATTTAAGAATATCTCTTCTCTCTCCGGAATGCGTAAATAGTGAAAAAAATGTCTCTTTATCCTTACCAAATATAACAAGTACGGATTTTAAAGATCAATCTCTAAAATCTTTTCTGGGTCGTTTTTCATCAAGAGAAAAGAAAAGACTAATTGAAAACAGTGATAATAAACCGTATCTTTCACGAAGTTTGGCATCCTTTACCACTTCACCTAAAACGATAATCGGTTCTTCCTTCAATTTTCCGGAAGACAAAGTGAAAGATTACAATGTGAAGAAAAAGGATAAAGAAGAAATAGACGACGGTTTGCACATTAACTATTTTACATTAACTATTTACATCAAATTATCCTTTCGACCTTAATAGATTTATCCAAGGTTAAACAGGAAGTTAGAACTATTGCAACTGATTTAGATTCTGCTTATAAAAACAAAAAGAAGGACGCCTGCGAAGCTGATATTGATCCTATATACGTAGAAATTCAAACATTAACAAAAGGCCAAGTTTTTGTAAGCTTTTTATATATTGATAATCGTCCGCCTCCCAACCTTTTATCGTCAATCTAATTACAATATCTTATTATTTATAGGGATTACAGCATTGCTTCCTAGACAATCAGCCATCTCTTTCCGTTGTGTCAAACGGTACGGAATGCATACTCATTGATAAAAAGTTGTATAAAATGCAATTAACTACAAGTGGAATTGAAGAATTAAAATTAGAAGTAATTATATTTTTGTTTATCATTTGTTAATTGAATATCGTCAAATTTAATTCTCGTACTACCGATAGATGGCATCTTATCCGTCCGATGAATTCTTCCAGCGGCTTATTGACGACAGAGCAGAATGGCAAGCTTATCGCTTGAAGGCTTTAAAGAACACTTTAAAGTGTCTAAGTTTAAATTAGAAACTAGAAACATGACTTTTCTTTTTAAATAAATGAAAAATTTGTCAGTAGCAATTTAAATTCTTACACGTGCACAAACGATTAATTACAGATTGAAGGCCGAAAGCTAGCTGATCAGAGTGACGTCATAACATAAATCATCACGATTCCACCTTCAGCTGTTGTTTGCTCTCACACCTTCCAGCAGACGAGCGCACGCGGATGAAATTTATATCAGACTGCAAACTCGTTTATCCAGTTTGCATCTGCCATAGGCGATAGATCAGTTTGGCTCGTTTTGCTGATAAAGTGCTTACAGAACGTAAGGTTGTTCCAACGATACTGCCAGCCTTTTTCGATGAGCCGTTATCTTCGGCAATCGCTAAGTTATATTATAGCCAGTAGATAACAAACTATTTGTTTCTAATAACCCTTCATGTATCAGTACCATTTTATATTTATATGTGTATTGCAATACTATAGGGTGATAGATTGTAGATTATTTCTAAATAATAACCTAATTTATACATGCCGCAAATTTACTACTGCTTATCGTAGGACTATGTAAATAGAAGCGTATAATTCTAAGCATACTTTGGCCGCATCGAACAACTTGCAGAAATGAGCGGAATTCGACCGGTTGCAGTCGGCAAAACTTGACGTGCAGCTCTTCAACAGGTTATGAAAAATTCGCCCCAAGTTTTCCAGTTGTTGCTTTTACTCTTCACTGACTACTGCATTAGACGTTGATGGTTTCTGTGATATCTTTATAGACAGAAAATACTCGCCTATTTCGTTTTGCCTGTTTTCATCCATTCTAAAAACTTTCTTTAGTGAAGGATTTATCGACATTAAATATAAAATCATTCCTATTTACAAAACGGAATTATCACTTAATAGTTTCCTTTTTAAAAGTGCAAACAAGCGAGAAAAATTGGTGAATAAAAAGCGAGAAAAAACAATAAGCGACCCGTAAAGGGAACAAAGCTGTAGAGAGGAGAGCGCTGATTGGTTGGTAACTGGTCGTCAATCATGGATTAGCAATCGGGCTCCGCCTACATTTGATGCTTTGGCACCGGCTAACAGGCGGAGACGGCTGGCATAAAGGAGAATGAGCTGTTTGGATGTAATGTATCAACCGTATTCGGCTTATTTGCCTTCCTACCGTAATACAGACGAATTGTTCAAGGTAATTAACGCTTTATCGCCTGTTTATGCGAGAAAAATTCCATTCGACCGACACTGTTTTGCAGAAATATGCCAACCACGCTCGTTATGACGCATTGCAGCCAAAAGTCGAAGTGGATAATTCAAGCGGAGAACAGGCCCAAAGTACAGTCTATCTAAGTTCGAATTGCGTTGTTTATTCATACTTTTCCGGAGATGCTTCTGCAGTCGTGGATGAGCATTTTAATAGAGCCTTAAGTCAACCATCATTTTCTCCAGAACATCCTGGTAATAAGCCTGGACAGCCGTGGAAAGGTATTAATTGATTTATTTATGCTTGTAACAAAAGAGCTTTCTTTTCATCGCCATACAATTACGTAATAGCGAAACGTAAAGAATTATGAATGTTTTTATCGAGTGTCGCATTGTTTGTTGTGTTTTTTTGCATCGCTTGACTATAATTCTAGATGTGACGCCCTTCCCAACGCATCGTTCTTGCTTGACGTCGACGCTTTGGCAGACGCCGCCCGCTCAATACATGCAGCAGGACGTCGCCGACAGTTACTTGACCGCTCCGACTTTCCTTCAACATTCTCATACGCAGCAAGATAGCAGTGCCTCTTGGCTGCAGCACTACTCTTTACCTCATTACTATACTCGGCTGCACTATCCAGCCCTGCATCATCATAGACCAGCACCGCCGCCAACACCCTGCTGGCAGAATTATGATACACAAACGCGTAAGTGTTTTTTAGACTTTTCCATTTTATCGGATAATTTATTCATTTCCTTGCTTCCAACAGCCGCTCTCCAGTCACCGCCCACTAATACAGCAAACCCCTGTCCTCTACCTTCAGAGACGAAAAGGGAAAATTATTATTGGATATAAATAAACAGTACCAGTGTATAATCAACAATACGGACGTATATATTATGAGAATTAATATATACGAATCATATTGTAATTGTGGCATATATATATATATATATATATACACATATATATACAGTATATATATATATATATATATATATATATATATGTTCTAGTCAAGAAAATTAAAAGAAAGTTTCTCTTTTTTTCTACTGGACAGTATTTTTTGCCGATATAAAAAAAAATGCTATTTGTCATTTATAAACAGTGCATATATGTATTTATTTATAAATGTATATTTTCCAGACAGTATAAGCATATGTGTGCTATAATTATTTTATATTCATATATATATATATATATATATATATGTATACTTATATACATGTTTATTCTGTGCATCTTTTCATTTTAAAGTGGCTGTAATAAAAATATACACGATATATTCTTTATCTTAATTACTAGTTTACGGAGTTTTTTTTCCTGGAAGGAAAACGATAAACGTAGCCTTTTAAATAATAATTAAAGGAGGCGACTTAAACATGCGCTGTCATCACGTGACCTGTCACTATGGCGACGTTCACGCGGAGAGGCGATTGGCTCAATTATTCGACCGATTATTGTTTTAGCGGCAACATCAATACAGGCGACTTTGGCAATCTCTTTATGTAAAAACCATTGGTGGTTCTATTCATTTGTTCTTTCTTTCCTTTCCATCTTCTATCAAACCCTTTTTTATGTTAATAAAACAAATTCCAGTCTGTCTTTCTTTTTTTATAAGACGAAATTGTAAGCGGCTAATTAACGATCAACATCAAACAGAATGATATGAAAATGAATAAAAAGAGGACAAGGTGTAGAATGACATATAAAAGCGAAAATATATTAGGAAAAACCGTCTCGAATTATTCTTATCGATCCAACAATTTATCTTCGGTACTTTTCGACGATGCGAAAAAGCAGCCAGTATAATTTATAGGTTTATATAAAAGGCGTATATATATATATATATATATATGTATATTTGTATGTACAAATATTTCATCCATTTAAGAAATACATATGTTTATACTGAGGGTTTATCAATGAATATGAAAAATGTATTGCTATGAGTTTTATTAAAGGAAAGAGCTGGAATCAAAGACACATAAAACGTGTTTTTTAATGGATTATTATATACAAATTATACACAAGACATACACAGCGTATGGAGAGGAATCGTAGATTAAACTTGCACAAGTATATTTATTTGAAGGATCGCAATAATAGCTAGCGAACGTAAACTGACTAAACACTCGAGTAAAAGAGCAAATAGATTTAAAAGTGGTTCCCACCAACTGGTGCTTTCAATTTGTGCCATCATTTCTCGCTCTCGCGCCTTTACCGCCCTCAGGCGAATCCCTTATCAGACGTCACCTAGTCGTAAAGCGTTACTGATTACTTACACGTGACAATTCCCGAGAAAGGAGCGTCGAAAAATTCCAAAATCCGGCCGGTCATAGGCGCAAGGTTAGGAAACGATATAAAAACGTCCTCGGGCTTCAGAGACGTTTTTTTATAGAAACAAAATATCATTTTGGCCCGCGGGCAATAAGTGCAAGTTGCCGAAAACAAGCCGAAGCGGACAGATAAGAAAGGTTTGAAGATGAGCTAGATAACAGACGCTTATCGGTCGGACGCGTTTTGTGAGAAAAACTTCCGCCAACTAGGATCCGCTCATTGACAGAATGCAGAATTCAGAGTTTGCGACGGAAAGTCGCGTGTCAAGTCGGTTGCACAGTATCAAAACCGTCAAGGGCGTAACGCCAAGGAATATTTGGTTTGGCTGCCAGTTCTATTGACGGAATGTAATTGGATGAGAAGCGCCAATTCCAGACTTTCGCAGCAGCAGGTCACTATCTTACGTCATTTAACAGAGATTGGCCGTTCCGGGGAATTTCTTCCAGTCTTGCGATGCAAACTAACAAAATAAGTCAATAAAGGAAATAAAATGACTTATTAACGATAAGCTTTCGATTAAATTTCACTCGGCTTTCCGCCCGACATGCGTTAATCGGTTAATGCGCGTATACATTATACGTATATATCAATTTAATACACTCTTCTTATGTACATTGTATAAAGGGATAAAAGCGATCGGCCAACTGATAAATGCAATTGCGTGGTCAGCGAGTGGTCAAGTGACTCCCGCAGAGAACAAGGCAGATAACGGAAAAATCACTTTCGTATGCTTTATATACATATTATACTATTTTCTTCACTCTGCACTTTAAAACTATAAACATTGTTGTCTATATCAAGAATTGAAACATGATAAAAAAAACAAGTTATGTAACATAAATATAGCTATAAACTTTTCTGAAAGTGTCAAATAGGATTCGTTGAGCGAATCGGCAATGCCACTATGACGTCATATCCGCTAAAGCTTCCTTAGCTTTATTCTTGCTTTCAATTTCCTTTGCCTCTTTATCCAATAGATATTCATGCCATTTTTTATCGCGCAACTTTCTTTCTTCATCTGTTTCTTTAATAGCATATTTTGTGCGACCGTCCCATCTCTCGGCTTTCAGCTGCCTGGACGCGTACCATCTCCCGTGTAAATTTTCAATGCACTTATCAGCGGATTCGAATTCTTTAAAGTATACTTGAACGACGCCTTCAGGGTGTCTATCATGGAGTACAACTTTTTGAAGATTATCAAACTTTTCACACTCTTCTCGCATATCTCGCTTGATTTCATCGATTAAAATGGGATTCGTCTGCAAGATCATACGAAGGAACGTTAGTTATGTATGTAGTAGAATAGGGTCGCGCCCTTGGATAAGCCCGGTTGCGGTTAAAGGTGCCTGTCACAACACGTAGAGTAAAAACGGACCCCCCGAGGCACGTCCGTGCCCACTTGAGCCCCATCAACGCCCATATTTGGACGTCGCATTATATGAGCATGGTCACAGTATTAACCTACTTTCTACCAAATCGTCAGGGAAACGAAATCTGCAATGTATTACGATACGAAACTAATAAGAAACGCCTTTCTTTAAGAACGAGACGTTAATTTATTGCAAAGCGTCGAGTGGACAGGGGCGATGACGTTTGACGGCTGCGTTACGGCCCTTAAACTCATATAAAGAAGCCAACAAAGAGGCTCGTACGCGTTATCTTCGCTGTATGTCAGACGATGAAAGACCAAACGTTGATTAGATACTAATTGCAGGCGCGCAACTGCGCCCCCGCCCTCACCTGTTCGCTTATGCATCAAGGCTGCAGTTCTTTCCGTTTAAATAAATTATACAATCTTTTTTCATTCAACTTAAGAAAGAAAACTTTCAAACCTCAAATTGCTTTGGATCAAAGACGTTCTGTAAAATTACAATCTTTTCATTCTTGGATCTTTCTCCTAAAAGCTTTTCCGGTTGCCAAGCCAACAATCTGTAAGAAAGTGATTAGTATTCATGAAAAGAAATATTCTACTTTAGCTGATACATACTTTTCTTCTTTCAATTTCATTTTCTTCTTCTCTTTGTTTGTTAACTTTCTTCTCTTTTTTGTTGGGTCATATTCTCCTTTTAACTCAAACTTGGCCTTCTCGACTGATATTTTATAACCTCTAATATCTGACCCATCCAATATTTGTAAAGCTAAATCTACAGATTCACTCTGTTGGGGAACAGTTGTTTAAGTGAATATAATGCGCCATCTATCATCGTAAATAGAAACTAACTTTTATATAGCAACAACGCCCATCTCCTTTTGGATTACCTTCGTCGTCTTTATACAGTTTTAGCTTAGGTTTATTAGTTAAAGGATCGAATTGGATAAGGCCAACTTTCTTCATAAAATTTTCAAACTCATCAAATGTTACATCAAATGGCAATCCAGCAACGTAAACTGTACAATTTTTACCTTCATCAACATCGAACCAACCTATAAGCACAAAAGTATGTAAGTAATTAAGACAGAATGTTATTGATAACCTTACCTTCAGTCTTATTTTCCTCAACAGGTTTTTTATCGCCTTTTTTCTCAGTTTTAGCACTTTGTTGATTCTTTTTTTTATCTTCTGCTTTCGCTTCATTTAACGCCGTTCCTGGATTTACATAGGCCGCATACCATTCCCAATAACTTAGTTTATCCTTCTCATCCACGGTTGGAAGGTAAGTGTCCGTATAATATTTATAATAGTGTGCATGATGATAATCTGTTTCTTGTTTATTCGCTTCGCCTCCGCTTTGATTATCAGTTTTATTATAAAATATGTCTAAGTATTTATTGTATGCTTGAGACATTTCCTTCGAATCGAATGTTGATTCAGTACTTGTGCTTCCACTGGAAGTTTGGTAATTTTGATTGTACCATTGGTAGAAATGGCTGTAGTCTGTTGTAGTAGGATTTGCGGTCGTTGCTGTAGTAGTCACACAGGAGGTTGAAGAAGTAACATTACATCCATAGTTTAACTGATATTGTGCTAAAAAATCGGCGTCGATCTTTGGGAACCAAGCTTCTTTGACTGGATCCCATTCGAAAACAGTGCCATCATCATCGGTTCTCGTTTTAGCATGGCCTTTTTTTTCAGACTCTTCGTAGATTTTTTGCAGGCGAATTTGTTCTTCAAAATCCTCGTCGCTGTCCCCCATTGCTATCGATACCTCTTTTATCGTTCTCTTAAGTTTTAAAGAAATAGGTATGTATAACTTGAAATAAGGTGAAAACTAAATATCAAATGAAGTGTAGTTTCGATTAAATTTCTTGTGCTTTGAAGATATTGTTTATTTCAGTACTTTAATAAGAAACCTCAATGATCAACGATTCATAAACGTTAATTTGTTTTCAAAGTTTTCAGATGTATTATTTCTATGAGAAAACAATAATGGAATGTTTTGTCAATCTGTATGCGCCATTTTGAAAGTTTTCTTTTGTCATTACCTTCATGTTTGTTTCGAATCATATTCGATTTAGATTCGATATCCAAGGCATTCCTACATTTACTATTATTAAAAATCGTGCTAACGGCACTCTTCTAAGAACATCATTTTGTACTTCTTCTTGAAAAGGTGTTTTTGCTATTCCTGACATGAAGAGGATTTGCAGTCCGTATAGATTACTGATATATTCGGTAACGATGTTTATTTTATTCCTCATTTATTTGTCTCTCAAACCATCATCCGCTCGAAATGCGTGGTATACAAGAAAAGCCAAGTGCAGTTATCCATCATCTCATACTCAGGACCTTGTTAGTCTAGCAAAAAAAATTAAATTAACTTTAGAAAAGACTGATATTGAATTTTTTTTATGCTATGGATCATTGTGGGGTGCTATACGGATAAAGCGTCAACTACCTTGGGATAAAAACTTAGATTTTTGCATTATGAACGAAGACTTAACAAAAATTGAAGAAGCTACAATATACAGAGCTTTTCGTCATACAGGTGTTACAGTGAGTTATAATCCCAAAGAGGGAGAATATACAGCATACTTTCAGTCGGCGACTGCTTCTCTCACAGTCTTTCAGCTATCTGAAGATTATGCATCCCTTGAAAGAATAGGTTGGAGTCATAAATTATTTAAAAATTCTCCTGGTCAACAATTTCCAAGTAGACTGGCTGCTCCACCATTACCATTCATAAAGTTTTTTAATGAATCAATGCCTGTTCCCAAGTAAGACTTATTTTTATAAATATATGATTATTTAAGATACTAATATTTCTTAATATATAACAGAGGTGATATTGAAATTCAAAAATTTCTCTATCCGGACAATTGGTTTCGCGAAATGAAACCTCCAGGATGTTAAACTGATTTGTCACTACAACAAGATCTGTTTTCTTCACTAAGTGAATATTTTATAACTATATTTAACCAACACTGTTTAACTTGTATTGCATAATCTTTGATATAGCAATCATTGGTACTGAAAAACTGTGTAAAAAGTATTTACAAACAAATGTAAAAAGGTTATTCAATAAACATGAAATCAAATTGAAAAAAAGAAAACGCATAATATTTTTCTTTCGTTATGACAAAAACTTTTAATGAGTTTTTTCTTTTTATAATAAGATTTATATAATTTAACTTTTTTTCTTTTTAAAGGATTTTTAAAATATCTGCAGAAAGAAAGAAAAGAAAAAAGATACCTTTTTCTTTTTTTGTTTTCATTTTTCGCATTTGCAGTTTTAGATTTAAACAAAGAAAATAAAACAAAATATAACAAACAATACAATTAAAGCAATAAAATTAATGTTTTATTTTTCCTAATTTGAAAAACTATAGAATATTTGGTACAAGTGTGATAATTATGAATACTGACTGCATGTAAAGCTTTTGAATGGCGAATTTGAATATTACATATAAAATAATACGTGGCAAGGCGACGGTTGCACCGGGGAACTATTAATTAATTAGTCGAAGAACTCGTCTTTTTCCGTATTTTTTTTACCAGTTGCGCTAAAATTCTGCTTCCTTTGAAAAGCGTAATCGAAACTGTCAGCCGTGCTTGCTGACAAACCAGACATTCTTGCTTTGCGTTCGGCACTCCCTCGAACCGCCGTTAGCTGTTTGTGTGGGCTTTCTCTACCTGAATAAATTCTCTCTGACATATCAGCTGTATTAGCCTCGCCGTCGAGCCACGAGTCGTCTATGAATAAATTATGTAAATTATACACAAGTGTAACCACAAAGTGAAAAGCTTACTATCATCGTTGTTATACTGTTCGTCCTTTTCTACTTCATTGTAATCCATTCCGCCGCCTTCCTCTATTTCTTTTTGCTTCTTTGCTCTTTCTAAAGCTCTCTTGGCTCGTTCTTCTCTAGCCCTTTTCTTTTCTTCCTGTTGACGACGTTTTGCCTCTCGGTTTTTATCTGCTGATTTAAGTTTTTCTTCTATTTCTTGAGCTTTTTCGGTGTTGCTATGATCGAATTCCTTGGCTTGTTGAAGGGCTAATCTCTTTTTAGAAGTTTTCCTACTCTTTTGTTTAATCTTTTCCAATTGCTAGAAAAAGAACGAAAATGTTTATAGAGTCAACAAGTAAATTCAATTATTCTCAGGCACGCACCTTTTGACGTTTCTCTTCTGCAATTCGTTGCTTTTCTTCCAATTCACTGGCCGTTAGCTTAGGAGCATCGGCAAGAGGGTCTAATTGCAATCTCTAAGTATACGTACGAATGTTATCAGTCTTTTATGATGTTAAAACTTTAAAATTACCTGAAGTCTCCTAGGTGGTTTTTTGAGTAAGTTATCAATGCGATCCTGGCCATCAAGTGAAACGCAAAAAGCTACCGGTTTGTTAACTGAAAGAAGACGGTATCATTAAAACTGATCACGAACAGTGAGAGAAGTCTGTATAAATTGCAAATCGATAAGCTTTTAAACAGAATAAACCTAGTTAATTGTGGTTGCGGTTGGTGACGTAGACTTTATTAAGGAATAAAGAAAGCATTGCTGAGTAAATATTTCCTTAATAAATTATAAATTCACAACTCCTTACGACTGTTATGTAGTTGACAATTAAAAGCTTTAAAACTTGTTTAAAGTATAAATAAATCAGGATCACTTTTTAAGTCTACGAGAGTGAATGTCCCTTTAATATCTCTCTTCGGTAAAGGCATTAAAATATACAGTATATACTATTATATTTATTATCTTTGTATTGAGATATGCACTTATATATTATTTTATAAAGGGAGATTATTCTGGTATTAAATAATTATTGTTATTTGGAAATCAACTTCTTTTGAGTTTGAACAGATATAAAAGGCTTAATAGCTTTACTTGTATAAAGTATATTTAATTGTTCTAATATAATTTTAATCAAGGAGAGAGTTTATACAAGCTGATGTACAGTTATTAAATGGATCATCTGAATAATGTAAACGTCTAGTTGAAAGAGAAACAGGCAGACTAAGAGAGAAAGAGAGAAAGAGAAGAGAAAGCGAAATATAAGATGTGAGTAGTAAATTATCTTAAGATTAAAAGTAATCTTTTTTCTGGCGATTTTTTTGTACTCATGTATACCTTTCGTCAAAGAATGTTTTCTTATAGCTACAAGAACAGGTGTAGTCCGATAAAACATTTGTTAAGGTTTGCTTATGGAAATATTCTTATCGATTAGAAATAAATCGATATTTAACAACCTAGAACTTTTTTAAAAAACTTACGAGGTAAGACAGGTAATTCGGATTGTTCCAACGATGGTTGAACTTTTGCAGATCTTCTACTACCTGAACTTGGCTTGCTGATTGTTCCATTTTTATGTTCCTTTTCTGACTCTTTATTTTCTTGAACGTTTTCTTTCTCATCATCATTCTTTTTGTTTTGTTCATTTTCAACTTCTGCTTGGGCAGACGCGCCACAGCCCATTTCCTTCTATACGGATAGAGTTTATTAACTGCAATCCCTTTTTAATCTTTTTTAATAGCCCTTGAATAAGCTCTTAGTGATGAACAAAGTCCAGATTATAAAAAATTGCTGACAATTATAATTCTCTATTTTTCAGCAAAATAGTTTAATACGAAATCTGAAAAGAAACATGTTTGCAGAGTGTCAACTGATCGATTAGTATTTAGAACTCTACATGACTTGTAAACATAAATGGTCTGTCAAGTCCACAACGTACTTGGCAAACCATTGATCCACGTGAGAAAAAGTTTGTTATATATTTTCTCTCTTGTGTACAATCAACTCTAATTAATTAGTATCTTTCTTAAGCTGTTTATATTTACCTGTTTTTTCTATTCTATTGGTATTGGAATAGAGTTTACATTTTCATTAGAAATGACGTCGAAAAAATTCTTCGACACTCAGATAATGCAGGAATGTGTGTGATCGGCGCGCCATGGCGACTAGTATAAACAGTAGAGGGCGTCGTTTTAATAATATATAAAATTTCTATTAATTTGTTTTTGAAGAATAAAAATTTTTACAATATAAAATAGATTACAAAATCATTTTTGTATTTTATACGAAAACTATGCTTAGCTATTGACTTCCGGTGTACCAAAACTGATTGTTACAATTATTTCGATTTTTAACATGAATGAGTTATGAGCCTAAACGAAAGAGGGAAATTGCCTCAGACTATTCAGAGGAAGCAACTTGTTAAATAATTGCTTTCTTAAACAAATTACTTTCAAATTATTCCCTTACACATGATTCGTAATTGAATTCATAAAAATTCCATTTACAAAAATAAAAATCACCTATAACTTCCGCTTCAATAAAGCTGTAAATTTAGATTTATTAGTTTCTGGGATATTTTTGACTTTTACATCATCATTGGTATTCCTCCCATCATACTCGGCGTTCTCATAGGAATATTCATGGGCATTTGCATACTTTGAGCCATTGGCCCCATTGACATCATCATGCTAGGGCTTCTCATTGGCATACCCATCATACTGGGAGTTTGCATTCCACCCATCATACTTGCGGTCCTCATAGGCATGCCTCCACCCATCATCCCTGGACCTGCCATCATACCGGCTCCCCCCATTGGCATACCCCCTCCCATCATTCCATGAGTCCCCATTTGCATCATGCCACCCATATTGTTCATCATACTTGGAGTTCTCATAGGCATACCGCCTCCCACGCCACCCATTCCTCCCATCATACTGGGTGTTCTCATAGGCATACCCCCTCCCATACTACCCATTCCTCCCATCATACTTGGCGTCCTCATAGGCATACCTGAACCCATTGCCCCCATCATACTTTGAGTTCTAGCAGGCCCCATCATACTTGGGGTTCTTCTAGTCACGCCACCACCCATCATACTCGGTGTTCTGTTGGGTGGGCCGCCAATCATGTTAGGTGTCATGGCAACAGAGCCTCCACTTATCAATTACATAAAACAAAGTTATACATAAAATATTGAACGGGAGAGCCATTATATCGATTATTCTTTTGTTTTAGCTTACCTATGGATATACGACGTGGCTCTACCAGCTCTAGTGCTTGTTATTGACGGTTGTGTGTTCTGGCTAATTACACCCATTGAAAATTCAGCATCTATTTTTGATTGTTGATACTTCCTAATAGCTCTAATTAATAAATAAGTAACTGCATACCCAAAAAGTGCCACGCCAACTGAACTAGATAAAACGATAGCTAGAGAAGCAGCTTCAGAAAGTTCGTCATCTTCTAAGTCATTAGTATTTCCGTTATCACATAAAAGGGCAGTAAAACTTTGGCATAGTATATAAAGACTAATTAAAAACATTACTTAATAGACAATTATTTCGGTAGTATATTGCTTATGTTTGTAAGTAGTTCATTATATAGAAAAATATCTTTAAAATATATTTATTATATAATAATTATTCAATAACATCTCCATTAACACATTCTCCAGTCTTTTATCAAGTAAGAAAATATTTAAAAATTAATATATATCATTTTTAAACGTGTAATAAAAATATGAATAATTCTACAAATTCTAAAAGTAAAATCTAGTGTAGAATACCTAAAGAAACAAGAATGTTTGAACAAGTAACAAAGCAAATATACATAAATATATATATATATATATATATATATACGTTAATAAAATTGATGAGCTGTCTAATAATGGTAATGAATTTCAGCAAATTAATCAGTTGAATAATAAATAGTAATGTATAATAAATTGATTAAATTTCAATATATTAAAACTAATAAAACTTCTATCTGTTTATATCTTTATAGCTTCTTACCCAAGATAATGGGACTAAGCCACTTGCACTTTTACCGTGCAATTCTCGACCTATGGCACTTTTTTCCTTATTTCTTTTCCTACGTTTACGTTTCTTCCGTTTTCTTTTATGTCTAACATTATCTATTCGGCTAATTGATTTTTCACTCTGAATTCTTGCACTTAATTTACTTGCTGCTGCTATACTAAAATTACTCTTTGATATAACACTAATATCATTGAAATATTCAGTTAAGTCTTTAGCTTGTTGTTTTTGTAATATTAGTATTAATATTGCTGATATAAACAATCCAACAAGAAATAATATGATTGTCAAACATAATATTTTAATTATTCTATCACTTGAAAATAAATTAACTGGTATTTCTGATAGAAAATTCTCGGCCATTTTTTGTTTTCGTTAAGTACTTTCAAAAAAGTCTTACGATGTTTTTATAACTTAGATAAAAATCAAATTCTTTTTTAAATATATTCATATCCGCTAGATGTCGTATTTATTATATTTAATATATCTATGTATACAATCTATATTTTTCTTTCCTTTGTAAAGTCGTCTTATCCCCTCTATCTTTTACCTTCTAAGAAATGTCTTCTAAAGGCAAATCTATTGAAAAATATTTAATTTTATATGAGTATATAGGCCTTACTAAACCTATATCTTTTCAAATACATTATATCCGAAAAATAAGACACCCAACTGTTAGCAAACACTTCTCAGTAAGTTTTATAATCAACCATGACCTAGTTTAATCAAATCCTCAAAAAGTACGCTTATAAAAAAAGACGGAGCAATTTATTTAAATGGACGACATTTTATTGAAAAAGAAAAAGATTTTATAATCAAAAGTTTTCATTCGACATGTTCAAAATATCATCAAGTCTATGTCTGTTAATTAAATGAAAATTAACCCATATCTAGTTCACTTTCTATTACGATTGGTTATCAATTGATTAATTTCAGTATCAGTTGTTACATCTTTCTTTTGCTTCAAAATATCATCTCCCTAAAAATAGAACAATTATTGATAAATAGATAAATACTGTAAACAATAACTTGATAATATACTTACAGCAGTGACACCCCAGGCGTCTGGTTCCGACATAGAGGGGCATAACGGCCTACCAGAACCTGGTTTCAAGTTTTCCCAATAATCTTTTCTTGCTCTAGCTCTTACCCACGGTTTCGTGTGAAGACGTAAACCTTCACCCCATTTATCGTGCTTTTCTGAAGCATTGCAAGATTTTCCTCGCTCTTTCTCCAACTCTTCCGAGATAGCTCTAATATGATAGGGTTCGAAACCGCAACAGCCGCCAATATATCTTACACCTATTTCATACGCTTCTCTAGCATATTTTTGAATATCCCAGCGGGTGCATATTCTTGATTCAAGAGCGAAGGGAAATTCTGGTAAGTCTATGAAACCTTGTTTATTACAGTCGGGAGTCATAAAGGCTAGTGGTTGACTCATCAAGAAAGGTTTAAGACCTGCAGCATCCAAGCCTTTCTTCATCTCTCTAATACCTTCAAGAACGGTAGGGGGATCGAAATGGCAATTAATACCAACAATATCTGCTCCTGCCTTTGCCATTCTTACACCGCATTCGGCCGTGCTAATATTGTGCAAATCTCCTTCTGGTCCAATACACATAGTTGAAGCAACAGGTAGTCCAGATTCTTTACAAACAGAAATAGCCCATTCCATCTCTTCTATATGCTCAAAGTATTCGCATAATAGGAAATCTACTTTGTTGTCGACGAAAACCTTCACTTGTTTACGGAAAATTTCTTGAACAGCTGCTTTGCCGTCACCGCTCAAATAGGTGGGAGTTTGAGAAATACCTCCCAATATCAAGGCGTCTCCTTCATTAGCCACTTGTCTGGCAATATCACAAGCGGCTTTATTAATTTTCTCACCTGTATATTGGGACTGAGCCTTATTTCCTCTATTTTCCAACTTGTCATCGCTAGCGTAGAAAGTAAAAGCTTGCATAACATCAGCTCCGGCGTTTAAAAATTCTCTGTGCAATTGACGAACACCATCTGGATTTTCAACAGTTGCCTCGGGTGTCCAAGGCCCAGCTTTAACGTATCCTCTCTTTTCGAGAGCGAAAACAAATCCTCCGTCTCCTACAACAACACCATCTCTAAGACGTTCAAGAATTCCTTTCTTCGGCTATATGAGAAGAAATAAAAGGCATTGTTTTAATGATATACATTAAGTTGGCTATTGAGTTACTCACCATAATTGCAACTGACCAAGTCTGAATAGGTTGTAACGTCTTAACTGTTTTTAAACTAAATAAATGGGTGATCTAACTAGATATGTTTAGGTAAGTAGCTACATGAACTTGACTTGTATTATTCATGCAAATCAAAAGTTATCACCAAGTTGTTTATAGCCAATTTATAGATTGTATTTATTTATTCTTTAATGTTTAGCATACTTTAGGAATATAATTAGTCTTTATCAGTAATGTTCTTTCCATGAGTCAACACCCCTATTCCTTGTTGTAAACTCAGCTTTTGGTGAGCCAAGTTCGTTTCATCCTGAGACAGTCCGAAACCGGTTAAATCTAGTTGTTATTTTCTCCAAGCCTGCCTGGAGGATTACTCAAGTCGAAAGGTCGTACATGTTTACCTTTAAAAGCTGAGTGTTAAATTAAAAGCTTAAGATATCAATGTAAAAGCGTCTATACAAAACATCTATTGCTATTTGTTTACAGTTTAATCTATTATCGAATGAAAAAGTATTACCTTTGTTTGTTTTCTTTTGACAATAAAAAGTCAGAGTCAAATTCAAACAATTTCATAAAGTGAGATGCTTTGGTAAGAACGCTTATTCCTCGAAGTAATGAAGCGTCTTCTTTTCAACATAGGCCGAAATTCGGCTTGTCAACAATGGTCTAGATATTTTTCCAGGTGTGTATCATATAAAAGATAATGATTATTTTGTTCAAAAAAGGCCTAGATTGCCTGTGAGACTTTCTTAGATAAGAAAATAATAATAATTATATTGAATAGTGAACCATCTTCTCAAGCCAGTACTGTTGTCATCGGAGGAGGATGCTGTGGTGTAAGTTTAGCTTATCATTTGGCAAAGGCTGGTCAGAAGGATGTAGTTCTTCTGGAAAAAACAGAATTAACGGCTGGTTCAACTTGGCACGCAGCTGGTTTAACAACCTATTACAATCCTGGTATCAATATGAAGAAAATCCACCATTACAGTTTAAGCCTGTTCAACCAACTGGAGAAGGAAACAGGTCAGCCTGTTGGTCTTCATAAGTGTGGTAGTTTGAGAATTGCACAAACACCAGACAGAGTGGATGAATTTCGTCATCAAATGTCGAGACAAGGGTGGAATGAAGCCGAACAGAGACTGGTATTACCAGAAGAAATAAAAGAGATGTTTCCTCTTTTAAACATGGATACGGTAAGATCTTATCTTGTCTATTTGATTTTCATTACTTTATATTGATACATTTATAGATATTGGCTGGTTTATACAATCCTGGAGACGGCCACATAGATCCATATTCCTTAACACAGGCCATGGCCGCAGGGGCTAGAAAATATGGAGCCAAACTTATTCAAAATGCGCCTGTTCATGGTTTAAAACAGAGATCTGACGGAAAATGGGAAGTAGATACCGTCGGTGGAACTATTATTGCTGACAGGATTGTCAACACTGCTGGGTTTTGGGGAAAACACGTGGGTGAATTGGCTGGTATCCATCACCCTTTGGTGCCCATTCATCATCAATACGTCGTGACGAAAACCATACCTGAAGTTAAGGCGTTGAAAAAAGAACCACCCGTTCTAAGAGATCTTGAAAATTCTTATTATCTTAGACAAGAACGAGATGGACTATTAATAGGTCCTTATGAACGACAAAGTCTCATGAAAATGAGCGTTGATTGGTATGATGACGCTCCACCTGCAGATTTTGGTCGAGAATTATTTGAATCTGATTTGGAAAGGCTGGAAGATTATTTATCAGCCGCTATGTCACTGATTCCAGCTATGGAGAATGCTGAGATACAAACTGTTGTTTGTGGTCCGATAACTTATTCTCCAGATCTGTTGCCAATGGTCGGCCCACACAGGGAAGCAGACAATTATTGGACTATCATTGGAGCCTCCTACGGGATAATTCATTCTGGTGGATTGGGAAAATACGTTAGCGACTGGATAATTAATGGGGAGCCTAGTTTCGATCTGATTGAAACCGACCCCAATCGATACTCAACTTGGACAAATCGAGAATATACTCTGGCAAAAATTAGAGAAAGCTATGGTATGAATAACGCGCTGGCTGTTCCTCATGAAGAAAGAGAAGCGGGAAGACCTACTATAAGGGTCAACATGGAACTTTTCAAGGCGTTGAAAGCCAAAGGTGGAGAATTCGGCTTTAAATCAGGGTGGGAAAGTCCATTATGGTTTGCGAAAGAGGGAGATGAGTCAGGCTATAAGCCAAGCTTCAGGAGAACGAACTGGTTCGAACCTGTTCGAAGAGAAACAGAGTTGGTCATGGAAAAAGTAGGAGTTATTGACTTGACATCTTTCGCTAAATTTAACGTTGAGGGAAAAGACGCGTCAGCTTTTATGGACTATGTAGGGGCTAATAATATCCCAAAAGAAGGCAAGATTGCTTTGTGTCATTTACTCACGCCCAGTGGAAAGGTCTATGGAGAGTTAACCGTGTCTGCCTTACCCGACGGCTCCTATTTTTGTGTGACCGGTACCATTTTTCTTTATATTAAATAATGAATATCTATTAACTACTCGTTATTCAAAATTAGGTGCTGGATCAGAATTTCACGATTTACGATGGATGGAGACGATTGCTAAAGAAAAGGGGTTCAATGTTTCTATTTCCAATTGCACAGAGAAATATGGCTGCCTCGGTCTTGCCGGACCAAAGTCGAGAGATGTTATGAAACGTTTAGTTGATAATGATTTAGATATTTCCAACGAAGCTTGGAATTTTATGGAAGTCAAAGATATTCAAATGAAAGGTATAAATGTGCGGGCCTTAAGAGTATCGTATACTGGTGAATTGGGCTGGGAATTATATATGGATATGGCAGATACAATAAAGATTTATAATATGATCCAAGAAGAGGGAGAATCATTTGGAGTAGGTGATTTCGGAGGCTTTGCGCTAAATAGTTTGAGATTGGACAAGGGCCTTAGGGCTTGGGGATTAGAGGTAAGCATAAATCTTTGATTAAATGCTGACAACTGATTAATGTCATTTACAATTATATAGATGAATATGGATAAAGATCCCATTCAAGCTGGTCTTGGAATGTTTATTAAAACAAATAAGGTTTGCTGAGTACTTAGACAAGTTTTTTTTTTGTTTTTTAAATAAATAACTCTAAATAACTCTTACTAATTGCCCAGAAAGTGGATTTCGTTGGAAAGGAGGCGATTAAAAAAATGCTGTCCAATAGGCCTACAAATGTGTTGAGTTTTCTACACATAAAAACTGATGATATTGATTCCGAAGGCAACGAATCGGTATGGTATAATGGAAAAGTCGTCGGTAATACAACATCCGGAACGTATAGTTACACAGTCAACACAAATGTTGCATTCGCATATTTACCAATTGATTTAAGTGTTCCCGGAAGTAAAGTTCAAGTAGAACTTTTGGGCAAGTTTTATGACGCAATAGTACAAAAAGGACCACCGTTAAAGATTGAAAGTGTAAGAGCACCGGAAGAAATAGAGGAGATACGTAAACACTTTACTAATTAAAATATTAATAACAGTAATAAAAAATTATAATAAATAATATACGTGTCGTTTCTATTGAAATAAATGTTCTAATTATCTAAAAGTGTTCTCTTCTTTCTTTTACCTTATTTGGCACGTAACACTTTAATCGAAGGAGAATTTATTAACGAAACTAGCACTGCAGGGTACGACAACTACAATTCTATTTCTTCACGTTTTTATTTTATTGTTTATATTTCGGGAAGTAACAGATAGTTATCCACAATCTGGGGCTTTTTTTATATAAACTAAATTAATTATACAGTTAAGTAATGATACAGTAATTAGACACTTTATAATCCAGGTAAAGTTGATAAAAACAAATACGCTTTTTCTTTTATAAGTGGAGCATGTTTTGAGAAGAAAAAAAACTAAAGCTAAAAAGTAGGGCAAAGTTGAATACTAATCAATACTAATCTGCTACAAAAATGACAAAATAGATAGGAAAAAGTAAAGAGAAATCATCCACAGTAGATATTAATTACTTAGAACTATTAATTTTGATTTGGAATCAATGATGTAAACTTTTATCTGATCAAAATGATAATGAGAGTCCATTACGCAAACGGGATTCTCAAGATCAATAATATTATCGACGAAATTTCCTTCTTTATTTATCATCCTTAAAAGTGTTTTTGACGATTCAGCAATTAAATAACCGCATGGTAAAGTAGTAATAATAATTGATTCGCTCAAATCTTTTAAAAGTCTCACATCGGTTAATGGACTATAATTAATACTTTTAATCATTTCTCCATTTTCTATATCGCATATTTCGAGCGATTCACCTTGGAAGACAACAAAATGTTTCTTGTTGCTTGATAATTTAATACTTTTAACCATTTGGCAGGTTATTCTCCATAATAGAACAGTTGTGTCGTATTTGTACAAAGCAACCCAATTCTTAAACGAGCTACCAACTAGTAAACCTTTTTCTGCGCATTCTATAAAGTTTGCATTTAATTCTCCACGCCAACTAACAAATTCTAAGTTAGGAAAGTCTCCCTTCAATATAAATCTGGCTCCATTGTCGGCAACGTGTATGAGATACATGCTCTCCATGCAGCTACTTAAAGCTAAATCGTCCATGAAAGTATTAGCCGAGTAAATCTCTTTAATAAAAGACCCTTTAAGGTCGTAGAAGTCTATTCTAGAAACTGATCCAGTATAAATTAATAGATATAAGCCTCTACAGCATGAAACGATACTGTAAATTTCTTGTCTTCCTTCTCTTAAGTTCACAACATTTTTTATTTTTAGACGAACTTCTTGAACGCCTGTACAATTTTTTATTTGGACAATTTCTCCAATTTCCGTTTCGTCATTTTGCCACAACAATTTAACTTTTGTTAACAAAATGTCTTTCCTTCTATTTAATAATTTGCTTTTAAGCTTTATTCTCTCTTCTATAAACTCAACAGGATCCAAATTTCGGAGAGCGTCGAACAACTCTTTAAACTCATCAACTTTTCTCCTCTTTAGGTTAAAAGCGTCCCTTAAATCCTGAGTAATCCTAATTACACTGTTGTCGTCGTCATCGTGCCGAATTTGCTGTATTCTTTCATCTAGTCTCCTTGATAATTCTGCTTCTTCCGATTCAATTTTCTCTAATATGTATTCTATTTGATGAATAACAAGATCATAATTAGCGTCTAAACTATGCACATCTTCAATTTCATCTTCACCCTCCCAGGTAGCCATATCCTTTATAAAAAAGAAGGGAGATACGTGATGAGACGAATTTCTTCGAAATGAATTGAACAAATGAACGAATAGTTAGAAACAAATAAAAGTGAGCTGTATTCTAATTAGGCTTAAGTTTTTTTTGTATTTAGAAAAACAACAACAAAAAATAACCTTATTTTCCTCCATTTTGCTTTAAAGAATACAACTTTTTCGATTGGAATATAAGTATGGAGTTTATTCTTATAAATAAAAATAATTATATGTATTGTATATATATTTAAAAAAAAAACCAACTTAAAATAACATATATATAGTATATATAGAGATTTATTAAAAAGTGAAGCGCCATCTATTCGCTCTTTTCCCATTACTGCATTACTGGTCAGTTAAGTTGGAATCTGCAGGCAAATGCTTTCTCAAGGCGCATTTCAACAATTTCATTTGACCGTTGTCATTGGCGAAACAAGTCAATTTAAGAGTTGAGATTGATTCCTTTCCTATAGTTAGACGTATGCCGGCTAGAGATCCTTCATCTATCGCATAACTGTTACAATTTCTATTTAAACGTAGTTTCAATATGTTTACTAATAATTCTATTGGTATGTATGACGATTGTGATCGTATAGTCCATTTTTGTTCCAATTGTGCAGTATTCAGGGCAAGCAAATTTCTTTGGACAGTCAATAAATCATCGGAAATGTTTAATAAAGAAGCGTTGAATGTTGGGTTAAGTGCTTTATCGACATCGAAGGTTATTTTTTCTAGAAATTTACTTCGTCCTTCTTTTAAATAACAAACGAATAAATCCAATTTAAAATCATTAGGAAAATCTACATCCATATTAAATTTAAAGCAAGTAGTTTGATAAGAATTTTCTTCCTTCTTCTTAGTTTTCAGAGGAGGAGGCGCAGACATTTTAACGTCAAATTTCTTTTGCTTGAAATTCAACTCCATATAATTTAGGTCATTTAAAGTATTTTTTGATGGGATCAATCTATATTCACAAAAATCTGGTAGGGTCGAGCTAGAACAAGAAGAATTCTATACAATTTTCGTTAGTGCTAATATTAACTATCAAACCTGTCTATTCCAATAATCCAATTACTATTGTAGAACTTTTCCCATATATCATATTTAAATGCGATCTGACTGTCCAATAGAGACAGTTCTTGGAAAGATTCTCGAATAAATTCATCTTTTTGCTTTGATAGTGATTTCAATTTCTCAACATAGTTGGCTTGTCGCTATCAATTAAAAAGAAGATAAAATCACGTGATTAATTATTCTAAGGAAAAAATTAAACCTGTAAGGATAAATGAAGTGAACTAAAAACTTTATTCATAGTGGCAGATGGTTTGTCAGTTTCTTTCCTATTATCTGTCGTTTTTCGATCGACAATATCGTCTTTTTGTGAGCAATTAATAAGGCGAAGTTTTTCTGGAGTTTCGTTGTAAATTAACAATAGTTGATTGGTTCCATCCAACAAAAAATCATCTATAAAAGTTTGCCGAACATTATTCTCCCGAGTTATTTCCTAGAAAAAGAAATTCTATACATATATACATAAATATATTGATTATCAATAATAATATTAGTTAGCTTAATAGGACGTACTTTTAAGTCAGACAATCTATAAATGACCAAAGAATGAGATGAATTTGAAACTATTAAATAATCATTGAATAAATTATCTAATATATTCATTCTTTGTATATTTTGAAGGTAAACATTAAAGCAGTTGATAAGTTTTCCATCTTTTAAGTGATGTACAACAGATGAAGAAGTTGCAATGATTAGTTCCGAGGAAAATCGTGCTTCACTTTCGAAGTATTGTATTTTAATGCACTTTATACATTCTACAACCGATTGATATTCTTTTGGAATCAGTTGACTGCAGTCAAATTCATCAGCAGAGTCGTCGTGCAGCAAAAATCCATGAAATCTTTCTTCTTTTTCAGTTTCGAGAAAATATTTCCACATTATGGCACAGCAATTCTCCGATAACATCTTAGAATACAGTAGACGAGATATTCTTATCTTTTTATCCTTGAAGAAAACTGCCGATCCAATAACTTTGAGCTTGGAAGATGGACGACCGAACGAACTTGGAACATAGCATATGACATTATCTTCAGGATAGACCCATAATAATGACGGACCGTCAAGGAAATGTATAGGATTATTACTAAATCTTTTACATCTAAAATTATATAATTGGCGAAATTCTTCCGATTCTTCATCGACATAGCATACACTAAAATTGGGTTTTTTTGATGATTGAGTTAAAATACATATACCATTCCTCCCTTCACTCCTCGCTAAGCATATTTCACAGTCTATTACAACAAAGCTAGTTACTCCTATTTGCTCTTCTTTATGTAGGAGAATATCTCCATTCGCCAGTAAGCTTCCATTATCGCTCAAATTCAATCGAAATTTCCTCAAAGTTAGACTAGTATCCGTTTTACGTACTTCATATAACTTTCCTAAGTAATTGACAACTTTCTTAAAAGTCATGATACTTTAGTTAAATAATCAGTTTTATAAAGCAAGAAAATTATCTTTATATTATTCGTTAGTAGAAAAGTTACATTTATAAATAGCGCCCCCTTGTTGACAAATGATATTTAATACTAATTTGTTACAATATAATTTGGTAATAAAGATAGATTGAAGTACGAAATGGAAGAGAATAAAAGATTCTTTAACTGTGATAATCATCTCCTACATTTACAAAATGATAGAAAAAGGCTAATGGATAACTACTTACAGAAACCATAAACTAGTTTAGGCAAATATCCGAAATATGATCAGCGTCTCCCCTTGCACGTTCTCGAAACGCTCAAAATTGGTTATCATGTTTACTCGAATCTTTTACTTCTCTTACTTCTTATAAATATATATACATTTGTATATATTGTTGTTGACTGGGAAAATTACTCTTTATCATATAAATAACGGTAAATAATATGCAGATATTGAGATCAAAACGTCACTATTCCAACTGTAATATATGGAAACCTATTCCAACCTTTAGGGCATAATCTTAAAATGACTATAAGTTTTTTTTTAAGTCGATTAATTAGAACGAGGATCGAGTTTTCTTATAAAAGACAGTATTACAAATAGTAATTAAAAATGCTAAACTAATTTTCTCCAACTTAATGAAGAGAGGGGAGAGAGTAAAGATCTATTGGAATAACAAGGAACAAAACAAAGAGAATAATGAGGATTAAAGAAAAAAAATATATATGGAGTTTCGTTTAACGAAGGATATCGTGGAAGATTAAAGAACTAATTTTTGTCTGCTAGTGTGCTAGTTTTTAAGGTCTTTGTCCAATGCCTATTTCATTTATCTAGGAAGATGTAGGATTAGGCTAAGGTACCTGGGGAAATTTTGTCAATTCTATTCAAACTATACATAGTCGAGATTTAAATCAATAGTGGCGGTCGTCCAGAAAATTACTTCTAATTAAGCCGGAAAGTGGTCCGATACTTATTGGAATGGAAGCTGCTACTATATGCATTCGCCTTCTTGGAAGATTAAATGCATCGATAGGCCTGTATTCTTTAAAGGCTTATGGTGAAAAGAAATTAGAATAACACGCAATGCACGGATTGGGAAAGTAGAAATCGTCGTTGGCGTCAATTAATGAGCCTGTACTCTCGCTCCAGTGATCCCTTTGCAGTATTGGATATAATTTGTATGGAAATAAGCGACAAAACACGTCGGCACGATCCCTTGACATGTAATATATGAGCATTCAGTAAAGCTGTCAAGATACGTTAACTTAACGATTTTCCTGTCAAAACAATACCGACGCAAAAAATGACGCTTGGCGATGCTTTGTTTTATATCTATATTTATTTTTTTCCAACACAAATTCATTCCTTTTTCAGGTATACAATTATTTTAACGCTCGACTGTTTGCAACGCCCTCCTGCGTCGATTCTAGACGCCTTTTAGTAGCAGGAAGTTTGGTCGTCTCCCTCTCTATAGCAGTGCCGACAATCACTGCAAACATCGCTTCTCTCTTTCTCTCTCTCTCTCTCTCTCTCTCTCTCTCTCTCTCTCTCTCTGTTTAGCTTTGGTCTGAATACTTTTCATTATATTTCCTTCAAGGTTGAAACTTTTCAGGTAAACAAAATACAATAATAATGCGTAAATTTTTGTTTTTTTATTAACGTCGACCTAATTACAAATCACGTGACAACGTCATTAGCACGTATATTCGGATGAAGAGCGCCAAGGGCGTTACTCGCTAACTCCTCGACCTTTAAACAAACAAAGAGATGCTATTAGAGTTTTTCGATTAAAGTAATTGGAAGGGAGGGGGAAGGGGTGGAGAGGTAATTTTTTCTTTTCTCTCCTTTTCACTCCTACGATTTTTGAAATATACTTTTTTCAAATGTAAAATAATGAAAAGGCTACTCGCGTTTGATCTTAACGCGTGTTGGTTTTAAGCGAATTAAGGCCTAGTAGACGAATGCTGATTGGCTAATTTGATTTCCGTCGACGTTATAGTTCTGCTCGAAGTAACGCTGATTGCTCGTATTCTTTCATAGATATATACCGTTCGGCTTTTAACGAATCAATACGTGTGTATATAGGAGAGAGGAAGACGCCGCATCTAGATTTAGACGCTTCCTGTTTCGGGCGCGCCAGCTGTAACGCGTTCCAAGGTAGAACGAAGCAGAAGCAAACTTTCTCACGGATAGAAATACTATTTTCTCATCGCTATAGCCTGCAGTCAAAATCGGAATTATGATAATTTTCCGTCTTATCCTTTTCACTTCGTTGGCAACATCCCTACGAGCGTTCGTTGTGAAAACAAGTAGGCTTTCAAAGCGTTTCTTTCATTTTTTTCCTTATTCTTTATAGTAACGTTTTTTATATCCTTCTTTCAAACTAATCGATTGTATTCTTCGCCTATTCTTCGCTCTACCGTCCGCCTTTCTAGTTTACCTTGACAACGCCAGAGAGTGCCAAACTCGTCTAAGGATTGTAAGAGATGGATTGAACAAGGGTGATACATTTGAAATAAAGTCTGAATCTCTGCCGAGTGAAATGACCAATCAACCTCCAGCTGGTATTTAGCTAAATTAAATATAATCGAATCCTATCCAACTATTATTCTCCCTCTTATATTCCCATTGCCTCTTACTTTCAAATTAATTTCCATCAAATTACAAATAATGTATTACAGAGTGCGGGCCACACGTATTCAATTTCGGAGGTAGATTAGTTAGAGTAAAGGTACACAAATGGCAGTGCAATATCACTAGGAATAACCCATATATTGCCTTCTACGACAGTTGTGAAACGGAGAGGAATAAGAAGAAACTATTGGTAAGCATTAGTACTTTAATGTTAAATATAATCGTTAATTAGAAATATACACAACAGGCAAAGTATTATATATATAATTGCACGGATGCAAACCGTCCAAAACCGATTACGTCCAACGGAGCCTGCTTATCCATATATCATTACAAAGGGAGTGACAAGATGAAAATGTTAAAATCGGATTATTCGTTTACCTTAGAGGTTATTGCAGGAGAAGGTATGAATCTTTCACACGTCTAGATAGCTAATTCATAGATTTTAACACCTTATACTTTTATAAAATAATCAAATAAAACTATGTTAACACTACAGAAATCGTTTCCTTCCCGGCTGGAATTATTGCTGGAATTATTATTGGAAGTATGATTGTAATAATGATTCTGGTCAAGGTCGTCTGTGTTCTGACCGGTTATGAAGACAAATTACCTCAAGTCATCTTAGCCAATTCGCCTCAGAAGGAGAGCCTAATTCAGCGTAGCAATGATGCTCTTCGAGTATCGGACGAGAATATAGGTTGGCGTCTAACAAGTTTGGGTTTTGTAGAGAGCACAGATAAGCATGATTTACCCTTTTCCTAAACACCCTTCTATACTCCTCGTCCTTCCCACTTACTCCTTCTCATTCCTTTTTATACTCTTATTCATTAGAAATTTTACCCATTGGCTTTATACTTCTCAACTTCTTTTTCCGAAAGCTTGCTTTGTATCAATAGATATAGGCGAGGCGGCCGGAACATCTCACCAACGCCGAGCAACAACAAGTAGGTCGATGAAAGAAGAGTTGTCCCTGGTTGACGATGACTTAGAAATGACTAAAATACAACGCTACCCTAGTTTTAAAGGTCACTCTTCCAAACTGTTCTGATATTGTTATTTTCTTTTCTAATGAAAGTATTTTATACGCCATCTGGCGATGTATAATAAATTCGTTTTATAAAAGTCAAATTGTTGATAATTTTTTAATTAGCTAACAAAGTAAAGTTGTTCGTGCCTGAATAAGAATTGACCTGGCGAAATTGTGACAACCACGCAGTAAAATTGTAATTCTATATGAAAAATCGAAATATGAAGCGTACTCGAATCTCTATAGTGGCTAATCTCCATCCCTTCATACCCTCGAATCCCTTTCATTACTATTCTACTCGAAAAATCAACTATTTTCCTTAAACCGAAGAAACCTTACACACAGCAAACTAATAAACTCTTTTCTTTAAAACCAGAAAATAAATAGCCATAACGTTCTTTTATCCTCACTTCCTGGGGAGTCTTTCCAATCTCAATAAAAAGGAATTTTCTTTCTCCTTGGTAGCGGTAAAAAAGAGTAAAATTTCCTTTCTTCATTTCCTATACAGTACTACCTAATTTAGAAAGAGATAATTATAGTAATTGAATTATTTTACTCGACAAAGCCTACGAAAGGCGCTATTTCTCATATTTCTTGTACATCCGTTCAATTAGACATTGAAATGTATTAATTTTCTTCCTTTTCTTTGTTTTCTTTTTATAAAAACGTCAAACTAATTTTCAAAATATATTAAATAATTATTTCAATGTCTCATGATAGAACTTCCCCTATGTCGTCTATCTATCGTCTACAGACCGACAGAAGAGGCTACATCGACGATCTTGCATCAAGGACGTCATCCATTATGTCATTTACAAGCGTTGCTAATCCTAGCCCGAACGAGTTAAAAGACAGTGATGAATTGGAACTTAGACAATTTTTGGAGGAAGAAGATAAGGAATTAGCCAAGTTGTTAAGCTATTGCGACGATATGAAAAAATCGAGGGTAAAAAACGAGGAAAGTGAGTACTCCATTCTCTATTTGTTAAAGCTTCTGCTATTTTCTAGATTTTCTTTTCAGAATTGCAACGTTCTTCAAGCCAAAACCTTACGAATTCACCTCACAGCGTAATTGTTCGTCGTGGAGGTCGTAGTTCAACGGATGGGGTTGTGGCTTACGAGTCCCTGGGCGGGTTTGACAAGAATTTGAGCAACACCCTAAAAATTGACATACCAGATGTACCGAAATCAAAGAAAGAAAAACCCAAATTGCCACTAGTTACAAACCCTTATACTGGTGTCCACTTAGAGTTTGATCAAGAGGAAAGAACTCAAGAGGCTGATTATAGGCTTTTAAGAACAAAATGGAGTAGATCTTACGCTGAGGTAACTGGGGCCAAACGTGGTATGGGAGCGGTCGAATGTATTCTTCCTCAGTTACCAGTTTTAAATTCTAACGAGGTTTGTATATTTGCAAACAATGTATATTTTTCTCTAGCCAATCTTTAGCCAACTTCAATCATAAAACTAAATTGATGCAGGTAAAGTTCATTCGACAAAAAGAAACAGGCGAACCTATATGTCTGGGATCAGGATCAAGGGCAGCGTGTTTTTTAGGGGAATTTCAGAATCATACAGTCTGCGTAAAGATTTATAATAATGCGAATGTCGTTCTGGTTGTCAAAGAGGCTAAAATGATGCAACATCTTTATCAATCTGATCCAAATATTGCTCCCAAATTTTTTGGCTTTATACATTTAGCACCCCATTTAGAGCACCCATTCGTCAGTATTGCTTTAGTAGTAGAGTTCATTGGTGATTACGAAAGGCAACAATCGACCAGCCTACAACAATTAGTCGATATGGAACAGGCGAGAAGGGCGGCAGGAACTCACTTTATGAGAAATGTAGAATGGTTAGCTCTACTGTTAAAAGTCGGTACCGTATTAGAACAAGTGCATCGCAAATTGATTATACTTGGTGGAATGAGAGCGAGACATATTGGATTAAAATGGAAAGGATTCGGATATGATAAACCGTGTATACTTAATGTGTTTAGGGCAAGACTTCTTTCAGTTTCTACAATTAAACATCAAAAGGATAAGGATGAAATAATAAAAATTGGTAATACCGGCCACGAGACTGATGCAACATCAATGGCTGCCTTAGTGTCCGACATAAATAAAGCACTTAAACTTGGGTTGGATGAGGCTACGTCCCATGCCAGAAGAGACGCTCCACTTAACGATTGGTGGGGCCTTCGTGACACAATTCGATTTTTAGCAACACGGCTTAACGCGGCCCTTGGTTCAGAGGCCGGAGGCGATCGAAATAAAAATAACACGCTTCCGTCGAAGACCGAAAAATGTTTATGGAACAAAGTTATAGAAAGCTCGAAAAATCCATCAGTTAAAAGTCCTTTGACAAATTTCAGATCAATAGACCCTACTTCGGCCGATCTATCATCTATTCAATCCAAGTAACAAGGATACGATGACAAAAGAAATAAAACGAAAATTTATTTCTTTCAGAGACTCTCCTTAATAAAAATCTTTAAATGAGTACTAATTATATATTCTTTTGCTGTCCAATGGTGCTTTAGTAATTACTGGAATAGATTGCTAAAGAAAACGATTAAATACATCCGCACCGAAGTGACAATAGTTAAAATTTGCTTTAGTCCAATCTTGTTGACCCATGCGATGCTGAATCAACTGGATGATCTGTGACGTAATCGTCAGTATTACCGCAAAAAACTCTCATAGCCATTTTCCAAAATCTTTCAATAATCGATCCTTTATTAGACTAATTAGGATAAGAAAAGCCTCATTTAGCCTATCATATTTAAATTTATCAAATATCAGTTTACGCTAACCTGATCTTCTGTGTACAAACCGTGATCAATGTGACAATGTTTTCGTATAAGATCTTCCAAATTATCGCCGCTTGCCCCGCATATTTCATCAATTTTCTTCTGATGTTTATATAATACAAACGTTGGTAAAGATGTAATCCCTTGCCTTTCGGCAATGTTCTTTATAGAACGAAAAATATTAATTATGTCAAAGCGATATTTAACAAATAGAGGTATAACCTCAAATACTTCAATGTCAAGTTTAATAAAAACAACATCTTTATATTTGTTGGCTAGCTGTTTATACTTGGGTACCATCTTTCGACAAGGTCCACACCTAATTTATTCACTATGTTGTGTACAGTATAGAATAGTTATTAACATTACCATGCAGCAAAAAAGTCGACAACAACAATTTTATCGTCCGCTTCTTTCAACAACTCATTAAAATGAGATTCTGATGTTAAAACTATAACTTTTCCTGTCATTACTGTTACTATTCTAATTATTTCTTTTTCATTCTTTATTTATATAATATAAAAATAAACATTCCGTTTTTTTTCAACATTTAAACACAATTTAGCCTATATTTTGTAGAAGATATACATTATTCATGAATATGCACGTATATATATACAGTTATATATATATATACCGTTTAGTTAAAATATACATAAATTTACACGTTTGTATATAAAAGAAAAATGTTTACAAACATATTATTACTGTTTTGTTGAGTTTTCTAGTGCTTGTAGTTCTTTTTCTAGCGAAATGCATGCACTCTCTATTTCATAATTTTTACCAACAAGTACCACCCAACGTTCTTCTAATTCCTTAAGATTACCACCAGTTGTCGTTTGCTCACTCTTCCTATTCCAATTTATATCTTGAATTTCTTTCCTAAGATATAAGAAAGATAATTAGAATAGTTATTATTTTAGAACAAAGAAGAATGCGATTTTTTTAAGATCTTACTTCAAAGCGCTAAGCTGCTTCTGCGCACTGCGAAGCATGTATTGGAGGGTGTCGTTATGTTGCTTCCATACTTCAGGACCATAAGTTGATAAAAGGTTCAAGTTCATTATTCTTAATGCCTAAGGATTAAATACAATATAATTAGGGCTAAATTAGTTATATTTTTTAATATTCTGTAAAAATATCTTTTACTTGATGTTCCAATTGAGCGTGAGAATTATTTACGCTCTCTTGCCAAGAACTAAAGTCTGTTACTTTGCCAGCTGGAGGCTGAGGTAATTCATAACGTTTCATGCTTAATACTTCCATTGGAGCTCTAGCTTGTAATCTTTCAAATTCTTGTTTCATTACGTCTGTTTCAAAAGCTGTGTAATTGGCAGAGGGTAAATGTTCCAGATAGTTTTTAGTAGGTCTATATCGACGTGTTTCTTCATCAACTAAAGATTGAGCCTGAAGCCGATTGAAATCTAACGATAATGGGGTGATATGAAATATTAAAAGAAATCTTACAGCTTCCCTAACGCCTGGATCTTCATATCCTTGATCGTAGTAAGGCAATGCATCCACTAAAACTTCTGATGCCATTCTTGAGCAGAAATAGTAAGGAAGTAATAAGAAACAAAACAAAGATTATAGCCGAAAATTTGCAAACGATAGCGGTATAACAAATAGTCAAGTTCTTAAATCAAATCTTATTCAAGATTTTTCTCGGTGTCCATGGTTGAACAAATTTTCAAAATACTTTTTTACGTACTAAAACACACACATAAAATCCTAATTATACAAAATTCTTTAATATTTTAAAGAAAAAAAATAATTATAATAATATTCATATCTCCGTTTGCTTACAATTTTTATAGGTTAATTTATTATACTAATTAGTATGTTTTACATACAAATGAGTTCTATAAATTTCAGCAGTTTCTTTCGAACATTATTCAAATAGTTTAAAGGGAAATATGGTTAAACGATGAATAATACCTGTTAGGTGTATTTTAAAACTAAACTTATAGTACAACCATTCTTGTTTCTGTGTTTTAAATTTTTAAATTCGTTTAAAGAAGTAAACCTTTTTATTGCTCTGATAAATTTAGTTTAATACATGTTTTTCAAATGTAATTTAATTACAATAATGCACAAATGCGTTTCTATGGACAATTTATTGTACTTCAATTTTTTACGGTTGTTGTAATGGGCTTTTTGAATATAACGGCGGGTTATATATGACTCTCTGAAACTAAAAATAACTTATGATCTGTACTTTGTTTTTATGACGGAGTGATAATGGACGTTTTAGCGAATCAGCATTCTTTCTCGATAAAAAGTGATAGGATTGAGAAAGCCCTCAAAAAGAAAAATGAAGTCAGTTAAAATAGTTCGTCATAGGTTAACTACTTTTTTAATATATTTTATCCCAAATTGCTGACTATTACTAAAATATGTAAATAGATTTCACTGGAAATAATTATATAAAGCATTTGAGTCACATTTATAACTTTTAATAAATATCGCGTAGTAATACATATGACAGTTAGCGAACTTACGCGCAGCTCCGGACTTCCGGTATAATCCATTTCATTTATACCTTAATTGATAAAAGGCGTGAGTATCCGGAATTTCTTGTAGCGTGGCATACATGACTTCATTACGCCGACAAGATCCTAGGTTAAATTGTTTCAAAGCTGATTATGCTTTGATAACAAGAATAGCGACCAACATTGACTCATCATCAAGTTATCCCTATGTTCAACAAAACTCAAAAATTGACGTACCCAGGGCAAGAGAAGAACAGGAGGAATTCATTGATGTCCTTCGTAGAATAGCTATTGATGTTATAGAATTGCCCTGTGACGAAAGACATCCAGATGGCCTATTCATTGGTGATTGTGCTGTTGTGATTAATGGAACTGCATTAATCTGTAACCCACCATCTGAAGATGGAGCCCCTCCCAGGCAAGGTGAATTAACGGTAGTAAGACAGGTGCTGAAAAAAGAGTTGGGACTGAAAATCGTTGAAGTTGACAGCGAAAAAGGAAAGGCAGTAGTTTGTGGTTAGTAGTTCGAAAGTAATTTTGTTATTACTAGAGATATTAGACAAAAAATTATTTTTTTTAAGTTAAATATAAATTAAGTATTATATTACATTGTATCTATAAATAATGTGTATAAGTAATGTTTAAAGTGTTGATGTAATCTTATATCTACCACCGTTTAGCCTTAGATAACCTGAGTTGTAAACATTATTTTGGATAAAAATCTTGGGAATCAGTATATATATACACAAGCGTAGATTCTATATAGACATTTGATATTGAACACATTCTGCATATATATAAACACAATATATATAATGATAGGAAATAATATAAGATTAACTTAATGGGTCATTATCTATTCCTCCAATTTTATACACTATTACTATTTATTAGGAATTTGTTAATCTTTCGTTCCATTCAATCAGAAGTAGATTTTCATCGTTATGCATATTTTATCTGTTGACTAGTCAAACATTAGGTCTTAATAGTCCTTATCTATTATTCCAGGCACGGACGTTCTATGGACAGGTCGCGAAATTTTTGTTGGCATAGGGAAAAGAACCAATATTTTAGGGGCTCAATCTGTGGCAAAAGCTTTTCCTGAATACAGTACATCGATAGTAAACGTCCGCGAACCGTATCTTCATCTTAAAGACTGCGTTTCTCTATGTGGTCCTGAAATTTTGGCGATTGCTAAATCAAATGCTGCGAAAGAAATGCTAAGGGAGATGAGAAAAGCTGGCCATGGATATAAGATGATCGAAGTTGAAGAGGATCTAGCTGCCAACACCATTTATTGTAATAATACCGTAATTCACTTGTCCAGTGATACTATACCCAGAAGTATAGGTCTGTTCAAAGATAAATTGGATTTCCAATGTGTGCCTGTTGAAATCAAAGAGCCGCTCAAAAGAGGCGCAGGCCTATCAAATATTGTTCTATTAGTTAATAAGCAGAAACATTTAAGAAGTATCATGACTACTGCTACTTCAGCTCAGTAGTACTTGGTATTACATTAATAGAATCGTATTGAATAGTCGAATTTTGCACTAAAAAATTTTACAAAGTGCTAGTAAAAAAAGAGAGAAGGTAGAAAAAAATTCGATTATCTAGTATGGAATATGATTATCTTTGGCTTATATGTTCTTTTTTTCCTTCTTTTTTTTTACGTTTGTCTGCATAAATGTACTAGTTAACTGACTAAAAAACTTGCTTAACTTACCTGTTTTTTGTTTACTAAATAAGGTGACAATTAATAATAATATGTTTCCTTGGTTTATATACTTAGAAAAAGAGATTGAACACTATTTACGAAGTAATTAATATCGAAAATTGTAAAAATTAGTTTTTTTATTATTTTATAAGAGAAAAGCTTGTTCTACTTAACCATTTAAGAAAGATTAACACACACATATATATATCTATATATACTTTTTTTGATAATCAAAAAGATAAGTTTTTGTTTTCAAGTTACAGTTAACTAGTGTCCAAGCTAGATATTCTTCTGAGTATGAATGTATTCTGTTCATAAAAATGTATACTTAATTAATTGAAAGGTTTTAAACCTCCCGAGTTTTCTACTGTAGCTTGAATGTTATTGCTAACTGTAGCTTTTCTGCTGCATTGATATTTTTCAATTCTGAATACTGTAGATTTTTCTATAATTATTATAAGATGTGTCTTCTACGTTGGTTTTTAGCCATTAGATTGTGCGATTAGTTACCAATACAGTGTATATTAAAAAATGAAATGAGTAAAAAAAATCATAATATGTTAATTTACTTTAAAAACTATTTTAAAAATTTACCTGAGTCAAATTTGCCCTACTTTTCCTAATATTTATATAATTATATAATATAACATACCTGTGATTAAAATACTATTCATAATAAATATTTATTGGATGTAAATTATACGAAAATAATACTAAACAAATAATAGTTAAATCATTAGAAATTTATTAATTTGTTGAATTTTTATTGTTTAAACAAGATCAAAAGTCCATCCTCCTTTTTTTGTCTTTCCTTTGTTCAAATAATTCATAAGAAGTATAGTGTAAATACAATAATATTAGTAATTGTACACTATTCTTCGTTTAATTATTGAATATTTGTGCCAATATGAAGTATTCTTTTAATACCATCTTCAAAGTGGAAAAATTGATAAAATAATTTCTCAAACTCATACGCCATCTATGGGATTTGAATGAGAATAGTTTTTTATTTAAAAAGTTGAAAGAGACTACTCCTTAATTTAAGAATTAAGTCATTTTTCTGTAAAGTTCGAGTATAAATATGGTCAAAAAAGGTTGGTTAATAGTTGATTGTTAGTGGTTGAATATACAGTATCATACTCATGTTGGATTAACCAAGATTAATAACAGTCCCTAGAAAAATTTATTAAAAATCCTTGATAATCTAATTTATTTTCATTTATTTTAATCATAAACTTCGAGATCAGATGTAAAATAATATTAGAAATACCCAAATGAATACGTATTCCGAGAATGATGTGATTAGTCAGAATTTTACACACTCCCTAGGACATTGACACCGATAAAGCAATTGTGATGGAGAGAATAAGAAACAAACTGTGTTGTTAAGATGGATGGTTAATGAAAATTTTGGAGAAGAATAGAGCTTTTTTTTTTCTTTTTAAAAAAAACTCCATCAATCTCTATGATTGATTGTTTCTTTGAACAAAAGATATTATTGATTCATATTTTTAACTTTTTAATTCCCGAGATATGCTACTTGAAAATTCATGCTATTTACTCTCTTTATATTCTTACATTATGTAGAAATGTTGATCAATAGTAAGGAAAATAGTTCAAAGGAAATAGTTTAACGATATTATTGTATATCGTATAAATATAGTCTTATTATAGACAGATATATGATCCATTAGTTTTTATAATAATAAAAAAATGCTCATAATACACTTCCGGTTTCTGAAAATAAAACTTTCTTTACTTTTTTCTCTCTCTATTACTCTCCCTCTCTTCTGATTTCGATTTTTATGCAAAGCGTCCATTCATTAATCGTTAAATACAACACTTCCGATCTGGAGTAATCGTAAAGCCTTGTCTCAGTAGCTATTCTTAAAAATCAGGCTAATGAGATTAAATTATCTATAAAAAAAAACTTCTATCTAATTATTCGTTATCAAGTAGATAATTTAACAATAAGTAGTACTCGTGTAGTATGAGTTTGTACCTAGCATAGACTTTGCAGCCTAATATTGTAAATACATTTCAATACGAATGATACGATAAGATGCCTTATCTATTATAATTATACCTAATGGGTGTGAATTTCAGTCGACTTAATATCTTCGTTTGATGTTTTAAGGTAGTGTTTAGTCACGAATCGTTCAAAGAAAGATTAATCCCGGTAAATACCTTTGAAAAATAGAGTTGATTTTTCGAACAGCATAAGAATAAAATAAGGCCATTTTTGGTTGATACTAAAAGTTGACCTTTGTTCTGCGAAAACTTCTCCAGACATTTTTTTCAATTTTTTTCGTTATTAGAGAAGGAACACAGTGACATTATTATGTTTCTTCATCGGATCACAATTTTATTGCTAATATCGTGGACATCTGTTGCACTTAATTGTCCGGAAAGCTTGGATGATGTTAGATGTAGCTGCGAAAATGAAAAAAATCTTCTAAAAATATATTGCAGAGATTGGGATAAACGAATTGTTTTTCCAGTTTTCGATAAAGAAGTACGAAAAAGCACATTTCTTTTGAATTTAGCAGATAATCGAATAACTTCTGTAGCTAGAGAAAATTTAAGTTATTTTTTTAAACTAACTCAACTAGATATTTCCAACAATAGAATATCGCTGTTATCAACTAATTTACTTTCAGCTTGTATTGTTTTGGAAAGACTAAATCTTTCAGGAAATCTTATCTCGGAAAGATCGCTCAGTCAGAAGGTCTTTCTGCAAAATAAGAATTTAAAAATTTTGGACTTGAGTCGGAACAAATTAAGTGGAATATTATCTTATAACAACTTTGCTGGACTTGATAAATTAGATACATTAATATTGGAGCATAATGATATTAGAGGATTCCAAGCAAATACATTTAAAGACATGGTCAATTTAAAACATTTACGTTTGAATGAAAATAGACTTGATATTCTAGATACGTATTTTCAACCGTTAAAAAGTCTTGTTGCCTTGGAATTACAGTTTTGCTCTATTAAAAGGATAAGACCAATGGCGTTTAATCAATCAATTGAATTGGCAACTTTAGATTTAAGCAAAAATAGGCTAGAAGAAGTTCCTATTAAAAGCTTAAAGTTTTTAAGACATTTAACCGTCCTACTTTTAAATAAGAACAATTTTACGACAATACCATCTTATTCATTCACATTTCTTGGTAGGTTACAAGAATTACGATTATCCCATATGCAACATTTAAAAAGTGTTCAAGATTACGCATTTGACGGATTACATTCTATTATAGAGCTTCACATGTCTAATAATCCCAAATTATCTTATATAAGTAATAAGGCTTTTCAAGAGATGGCAACTCCTAAAGTTCTTTCTTTACACTCCAACAATTTAACTACTATAGGCAATGACGCCTTACGCTGGTACGGCATATCAGTAAAGGAGCTCTATATGAATCCTTGGAATTGTAACTGCTCTCTTAGATTCTTAATTCACTTATTAAAGCGTAATAAAGGAAAACCCGATGAGAAAATCATTTGTCAAACACCAGCTAACTTAAAGGATAAAGCAGTTATTAATTTAAGAGATCCAGAAGTTTGTCAATCTATTGATCAATCTTCATTGGCATCTTCAAATAATACAACAAGTGATAATAGCCAAGTATGGATAATAGCTCCAATTTGCAGTATTGTTGCAGTAGTAATCATTGTTATTGTAATTGGAATTTTTATATGGAAGAAAAGGAACAAAGATAAAGGTTATCAAAGAACTCAACAGGCAAAAGAGTTTGACGATTTTTCGGATAAGAGTAGAAGTCACTACTCGATAACTGAAGACGACGACGGTTTTGCGTGGGATGATACAACTACTGGCAATTGGGTTCCAAGGACAGCTGAAACAAAGAACACAGGAAGTTTAATCAATGCATAAACAAATTCTATTGTTAATGACTGCTATAGGATCCTTATTTTTCATACTTTATATTGATTCAAACTTAATGTAACAAAGCATATCATTATTTAATAATAAATGTTAAATAGTATGAAAAGGTAATACTTGAAAGAATTATTCACTTTCTTTCGAATAAAACCATTATAGCTTAATTGATTTATTTGTTGATAATCAGGATCTCAATTATACTTGTCTGTCCAGAGTCTTTGTTGATCATCTGCCAATATGCTATCTAAGCAAAACAGCATATGATCAATGACCATGCAGAGCAGAAACAATTCGAATATATAAATATAAAAGTGTTTATTAATCAGCTGAAAAATAATTGATGTCAGCAAAAATTACAATATAGTATGCGTTATAATTAGTTACAACTATTATTTAACAACACAATCCTATATCGATGGATTCTCGTTCATCATCGACTCTAAACGAAGCTTGTTCAATATTACCCACGCATTTCATGTCTAGAATTTTAATAACCTTAGGCTAATTAATTTGTATGAAAATTTAAACGTTCAAATCAACTGATGGGGCAATTATTTGTAACAAAAGCGTTTTTGTAGCCAAAAAAAAAGAAAAAAGAATAAAAAATGTTCTTTAGTTGAAGAAGAAAAAAGAAAGAAAAAAAGGGACAAATGCTATTTTTAGGGTATTTTGACTTATTTAAATTTTTTCTTTCGTTCTTTTTCCTTTTTTTCAATTACATTCAAATGTCGTCTCTTTTGTTGGTTCGAACATCTAATTTTGGTATTATAATAGAAATAACTATAGATGGAGCTAGTGTGTGAGCAAATAGTAGCTAACTGTGTATCATTATTGATAAATTTTCCCGCTTTTTTCCACATAAAAAAGTTTACAGTAACCACTAAATATGCGGGCGACACCAGAAAAGGCTAGGGGATTTAATCAACTTTTAAAAAATTATGGTACAAGAGTATCTTCGTGTAAAGCCGAGGTAAGAGCTATTAGACGAGCGATAATTGGAGTTCTGCCAATGAAGTTGACACTATATATTCCAGGGGTCAATTTACGCTAAATGTGTAACGGGAAAAGAAAAATTGGAGTTTAATAGCTGTCTGAAGGAATTCAAAGCCCTTAGCGATTGTATAAGAAAGAAGGTAAAGTTCTCGGAAGGTTATGTCCAATTTAAATGTAGTCTGTCAAAACCTCTTTTTCGCTTTGCAGATGTTGAAAAGATGAATGAGTCGAGAGACTTTGAGGTTGTAGACATTCATTGTTTACTATAGGGCTCTAAGAAGTATATGCAGGTAGCATTTATTTAACGCAAATTATCCGAAAGGCAACAGCTGCATGCTTGTGCAGTTTAACGAGCCCGAATAATGCGAGATTTTCCTTGTTCCATATTTTTTTTTAATTGTATAGAAAATAAAGCAGCTGAAAAAAAAAAGTTAAATAAATGGTTATGGTGAAAGTCTAGGAAGTGTGAAGAGTCATTCTAACTGTTGAGCGCCGACAAAAGGCTTTTGGCGGACACCGAAATCGAGTCGGTCAAATAAAAGTGACGTTAATGTGTCATGCCGTCTGCCCCGCAACATCTGATATCGACTTATAATTTACGGATATATTTATCAACCAGTTCATTTATAGATCGGTTATCGCTTATCTGTAAACGTTTAAGAAAAAGTAGTTGAATTGAGACGTCAAAAGTGACACAGTAAAGCAGGTGCGACCCGCCTCGCGAGCTGTAAATAATTGGATCATACTCATTTTTCCGGCGATCACAGGCCACCAGGTGTCGTTAAGATGACTTCGACGCGTGTTCGGACGTTACTCTAAACGACTTCTTAGGATACGTTTAGGAAAAGGGATAAAACGTCCATTACGTAAGAACAAAGTACACCGCAAAATTTTGCAGATGCGCGCGTGCACCTGATTAGCAATCAATGGTGCTTATGCTCGGAAATCCGTCGCCAATCACCAAATTCACTACAGGTGTGAGAGGCGCCAGATGACGCGAATCGAACGCGTTTTATTGTTCTGTATTAATCCTTCTGCAGCGTTTCTTTTCTGATGACTACGCATATATTTTAAATGGGCAATCAATCGCATTCACGTTTTATAATTACGATTTAACGGTTACATGTTCATATATATATAGACTTTATTGATAAATGGATATTGTTTTATGAGATTGTGTGTTTGCAAAGGCTTATGAATCGTATACGTCTTTGATTTTCTCGACCTAGTTTTCCATATTTAACAAATTTCATTTTTAAACGCCCGAAAGATATAATTTGGACGTATAAACGTTTTCGAAGTTTTTATCAATATATAATATATACAGACACCTGCCGTCGGCGGTCGACCGCCAAAGATGTTCGCTTGCGTAACGCTCGTGACGCCTATTACGTGCAGGAGTGAGAGAAGAGCATTTGTTTTCGTTGAATGACGTCATTAATTTAGACGGTCTGTGTTGGGCGAAAACTCGGGGCGTCAACATCGCGTTGGTCTGCGGAGGCGTCGTCCGTGGCGACGGTAAACATCATAATGACCATATCCTGACCGATTATTACCTAAAAGTTCGCCCATCATCAAACACTCTTTTGCACCTGCCTACTAGGGGGCAGAAGGAAAAAAACAGCTGCTGTAACGCAATAGGCCAGAAAAAGAATATTTGTTGAACTAAATTTCGCACGATGATTGTAATCACATCTTGACATTCTATTCAAAACGAATGACAGATTAATAATCAGTTTGCCTAGGCAGACGTCTGTGTTTGACTTTCGGTCTATAGGCTATAAATCGTCAATTTTTTCAATACATTTTTACCATTCATTTTATTCATCGAGGGCGCGACCCGCTTAGAGGAGAAGAAAAAAAAATGGAAAAAGGCACACGAGTATAGTCCATATATTATCGCTTATTTACGTGCGAGAGCCGGGCGAGTATCATTAACGTATACTTGGCATAGCGGCGCGCGATTTGATTGATGAAAACGAATAGAGAAAAAAATGAAAACGGCTTAAGAGCATTCCAACCTCTCACCCCCAGAAAGTAGCACTTATAAGCCAACAACAATTGAACGTAAAATGACGTAATTCATACGTGCGACGCTTTTCAACGCGCTCGATTTAACGGAAATGTTTGCCACTATTTACACGCTTCGTTCGCGCGTTCCGATTGCTTTCAGTCAGTTTGCCAGAACGTGTGTGTAGACGTACGCCGCGTATTAGACGACGAATGGACGGCCCCAGCTGTGCCGGAAGTCGAAGCGTCACTGCCCCTCTCTCTCTTTTTTTTTTCTTCTTTCATTTACTTACCCACTTGCTCTTTCACATTCGCTTGCTGCCAAAAAAAAACGAAATCTCGAAAGGTAGACAGCAGCCCTGCAGTCTGATCGAGTTAAAGACGCCCCTTCCAAGCGTCTAGGGATGGCGTCTGTTTTGCGTCCATGTCGCTTTCAATAGATATTCGACTTTTTTTGGCCGGACAGCCTGATCATCAATCGCGCTCACGCATTTCGCCAATATAGAATAAGTTCCACGCGTCTAAACATAGAGCATTCCGAAGTCCATCGGGACTATAAGCGTGCATTTTCGAATTCTAAGGGGATTTCAACAAAAATATGACTCATACGATCCTTGACAGATCTCGGATAATTCGAACGTTGAAAAATTCATTAAACGAAATGATTGCTCCAGTCCGCTTGGTTTCTTTTGTAAATTTTACTTGATAAATTTTTAATTGAAATTGAACAATGGCCGAAACACCGATTACCTCTGAGGTTTCTACGTCAGGTGATTGATGAATACGTGTTGCGACGATTAATTACGCTCCGCTCTTTCCTTGTTTCTCAATTCAGCTTTGATCGCTCCTTTCGTCACGCCATATTCATACACACTCTTTCATTATTTCGTTACGCTCTTCTTTTTACTCTTTGCTTTCTATCTGTGTATCTGTCTCATTCTCTTCTTCTCACTATATATCTATATATCTAAATATACTTGTGTATATATAGTAGATATACAGATATATCTTAATATAACAGTGTTTTTTTTTCTTTTCATAGCTGTTCTTTTTCTATGCGTTTGTATATTTATTTAAATAAACTATATTGACCTATAGTCCTTTAGCTCTGTATGAGAACATAATTTACAGTAACACATTGAAAATCAATGTAAATATATACAGTTGTTGTTCACTGTTTGTCATAGCTTAGGGTTGTATGTTTATATTCAGATATGACAATTTATATTTTATACACATTGCGACATGAATTATTTTATGTAGTCAATATATTTGTCTAAGTATACCATCTAGAGTCGAATTGTTCAATTATTGTTTAAGCCGTTAAAGAAGTTTATCTTGAAAAATACAAGTATCTACATGTAGATACATGTAAAGTGCAAACACTATACAATACTATACAATAGTAAATAAGTATATAAGCGTAATTGGACAAGAGATAATTGCATGTTAATCATACCAGTTATAGTTAGAAAACTCATACGCAACAGTGTATACCCTGACTGGATTAATGCCTACGAATATATATATATATATATAGGCTATTTATATCACGTTTGCATGTATTTTACATTCATTTATTCATTAATCTTGTTTGTATACATCACTTTTCATATAGTTGTATACTTATTACATATTTTTAGTCAGGAATTTGCACTCAACAGCTTTACGGAAATACCGCCTTTGCATATGTCACAAGAAAGGGGCGGAAGAAGATCTCTATACATCATATTTTTGGGTTCATAACTGTTGAAAATCTTCTTCTCATCGATGGTTGAACGAGCCCTGCCACCCACCGAGTGCACATGCTGTCACGTTATTTTCGAACAGGGTGTTCGGTTCGCTTCGCCGACTTCCATCTTTTCGAAACGTTCAAATCCTTAAGCCGCCTATACAGAGTGAACCCGCATAGAAGATCTTTTTTTCTTTCTCTTTCTCTCTCTCTTTCTCTCTCTCCTTCGTATCTTCTCCTCCATTTCTTTCTCTTTGTCTTTATCCCTTATACATTGGTAGATAAAAAACTATGTACAATTGCAATTTGGTTTGATGTATGCGGGGTAATACCAGCAGCTATGCATGTCTATGGCAATTAAATAATTAAATCGTAAACAACTGGTTAAAGTGCCATGTATAACTAACGCTGAACGGTGAACAGCTGACGTATTCTTTTCTGTTTATAAAGATATGCATACAAAGAACAAGCTTTCCTGCCTATACAATTACGAATAAATCACACGTTCGACTATATATGTGTCATGAGGACTTGTAGAAGTTTTAAAAAGCCTCGAGAAATAGTCTTTTTTTTGTCAGTATTATACACGCTTTCATAATAAGCAGTCAGAAAACGGCACGAAGGCCGAATAGAAAAATGAAAGCATCGAAGATTACAAAGGCCGACGGCTCTGTGCGCCTATACAATACCGTCTAGTATTAGGTACGGCTAATTTCTCGTAAAAATTGCAACGGCAGTAAAATCAACCGTTTTAAGTAGCATTATAAGAATACTATATTACAATCAACTGCCCGTATATGTTCAGTTGACCAAGGTCCGTCAAACGATTTGAATAAAGCAACAACAGCACGCGCACAGAGTTGCTGTGATTGGTCGACCGCCTTCTTTGCTCGGCGTTCATTGGATAGAGGTAGACGTATGCAAATGAAGGGGGGCGGGCTTAAGCTACATGAAGTGACTATTACAATGCAGAAGAACGATTGAGCAGCTCACATCATGACTACTCAAATGCCTCAAGCGCCTTTTCCCCTTCTCCCGCGGTCATTCCCTGGTAAGTAAATTATTCTTTTCGTTAATATTTGCATATCTTATATATGTATGCGACATCGGAAGAAATCGAATATAAATACGGCATATCGTTGAGCTTAAGAGCGGTATTAAAAATGAAAAAGCGGGGAAAAACATATGTTTAGCACAGCTGCTAACAATTTCAATTGCATATCGATCCCTGCACTGACTATAATCAATAAAAATTCTTAAACTTTATCGGATTTCATTTCACTTCAAACTTTTATGATTGTAGCAGCTGAGCCTCACGAAATAACTCCACCTCCGCAACCAATTTCAAGTCAACCAAACTCAATTCTACCGTTAGCGCCATCAGTTCATCCATTGGTTCCACCTTTTTATGCTGATCTGTTACTTAAAGGCTATCCTGCAAATTTTCTGCAAAGAAATCAGTCGGGTAAGTCACAAGAGTTCATTTCCGATAAATTTCTCTTTTAAAAAGCGTACTTAAATCTTTAGATAAATTATTTATTTAAATGCGGATTTCTAAAAGTAGTAAATTGTGATTTACGATTTATCAGCTCCCAGGCAAAAGGATGTAAATAAAAATGCATCATATTATGTACTCAATACTCTATTGGCTTAATAACGTAGGCTGAACATATAGCACTTAATTACTTGATAACTCGCAGAAATAATTTGCTTCTATAGACACTGTAAATACATAGTTCTTTTTTTTTATCGTTTGTCATTTACCTATTTTTTCATCAATGCCTAAATGGATTTTAGAATTCGCTTCCAGGGTATTAAAAATTCCATGCATACGTAGGCTAGCAAAAAAAAAAAAAGCGTCTAAACGCCTCTTAAAAATTGTACACCATACCTTTCGTATATTATAATATTTTATTATACCACATGCAAAGCATATCGTTGAATGGAATTGAAAAGTTTCTTTCATAAACCTTCTTTTCTAAGGCAGGACGTTAATTGAGTCAGTTAGTTGTTCGGATAGAATACAATCGCATAAAAAAGAACATTCAGAGATTTTTCAAAACCTCTGCCTTTCAAAACACTTTCTATAACGTTTCACGTATAACAAAGTCAAAGATTTTGAGTAGATTTTATAATCTAAATATAGTTTAAAAGCATATAAATACTTGAAAAATGATAATAAATAGCCAAGTATTTGGTACACAGGATGCGCTTTTGCTTTGATAATGTGGCTTTACAAAGAACAAATTCCTTGTTCATTAGTTTAATTACTAGATCTTTATTCATTTCCCTAAAAAAATGGATTATTATGTACTCAGCGTCTAGTACTCAGACCCAATTCAGAAATGGCAAACAGTCTAGCTTGTAAAAAGATAAATAGTAAGATAGATAGATGGAAAAGATAAAAAAGAAAGGGAGATTTAAATGAACGTAGCACATTTAACGAAATTTATCGTTCCACCTTTGAATTGTATCGGCACATTATAATAGCTAGTTTATAGTCGAGAGGGCCTTTAACTGTTATTAACGATATGGAAGAATCAAAGAAAGGGCGGCTGACAAATTACGACTAGGGACTTTTTTATACAGCTAAAATAATATATAAATAGGTCTGTTTTTATTGGTCTGAAGACGGTTAGTTTTCATCACTCTACTTGACTTGCAAGCGTTATAGATCTGACGGGAAACGCGCTCAGCACGAAACACAGTAGAAAAAAAAGTGTGAATACAATATCCTATATTACTATATAGTACACACACACACACAACTATGTACAATACAGTATAATACCCACTTTTAGACAATATTTATGAATAAAAGCAAATGAGCAGTGGGAAGCTTTTTACACAAATCACGAATCGAATATTGAACATGTGCATTTGAAAGAACTGCTGTATTGATAGCTGCCGATGCAGATAATCGCATTCATAAGACGCCTCATTTACTGACAGGTGATTTGAAAATGGCCTGGAACGGAACGGCATCAAGATTGAATTACGATCTATATCGATCATATTTACTATCATTTGGAGTTCGCCCAACAACGCTCCGCCAGCAGTGGACACCACCCAAGGAGACGTCAGCAGAGTCATCACCAAAAGAAGAGACTGAAGCCTCATCAACAACACCAGTTGATGGTGGGAGCTATGAATGTACCTCCTGCCACAAATTCTTTACAACCCCTCATGGTTTGGAGGTTCACGTAAGAAGGTCGCATAACGGTCAAAGGCCTTTTGCTTGTGACGTTTGTAACAAGACATTCGGTCATAGTGTCTCTTTGGCTCAGCATCGCACCGTCCATAATCAGGAGAGGACATTTGAATGCAAAGAGTGTGGCAAGCGGTTCAAGCGCTCATCCACTCTCTCGACTCACTTGCTCATCCACAGCGACACGCGACCTTATCCGTGCCAGTATTGCGGCAAGCGTTTTCACCAGAAGTCGGACATGAAGAAGCACACTTACATTCACACTGGTAAGTCCCTTGAGGCGTCGGCGTTTATCGATTGATGACCGGTGGTCAGTGCGCGCGCCAATTCGTATATACGGCACGTGGCCGCCCATTAGCGACTGTTGGCTGAAAGCATCGTAAATTTCCCAACAACTTTTCTCGATGCTACATCTGCCTTTTTACGACTTTTTAATAGATTTGATTTCTTCCTATTTTTTACATTCTCACCTCTTTTTCCATTTTATAGGAGAGAAGCCTTACAAATGTAGAGAATGCGGTAAAGCCTTTTCCCAATCGTCCAACCTCATAACGCACAGCCGTAAACATTCTGGTTTCAAACCTTTCGCTTGTGAACGTTGCGGAAGAGCGTTTCAAAGGAAAGTCGACCTCAGGAGACACGTCGAAACTCAACACACACAGACTAATAACGTACCCGCAACGCTCAAGGTTCCAAGTCTACAATGTGAACCTCTAAACCTCAGTCAGGCTCCTCAACCCCTTCCTCCTGGAACTGTACGAGTATTTCGACCATTCGAGCCAGAAAACGTTGGAACAATTGCGGATGATAGATTAACAAAAAACAATAATAATAATAAAATGGAAGAAGAGAATAAGGAGGAAATAGACGTAGAATCACCTGACAGTCCTCTAGTCGACGAACATGGACAGGAAGAAGATTCATAGCTTGTCCTTATATGGATTGTACAAAATAAAAAATATACATATATATATATATATATATATTTATATATAGTTATATATATATATATACATATGTAAATACATAAAACAATTATATATCTATGTATGTATAAGTACATATTTATATATACTGTACAATATATATATATATATATATATATATATATATGTATATTTAGGACAGTATATTCTTTTAAAGAGAGGAATTGTCTTCATATCTAGATGTATATATATATATGTATGTATGTATGTATGTCAATATTTATACATTTATACATCTAGATTTATGTATATTCTATGTATATACTGATATATATATATGTATGTATATTCTGTATATGCAGATGTACTGTATATGCTTTAAGGCATTTATTAAATTATATACAAAAAATCATAAGTATGATAAAAGGCGGCGTTTATCAATTGCATACGTTGTGTATAATATATACACGCATTATTTTTTATTTATGTGGGCAAAGAGTGTTTAATTATGCGTAAGAGGATAAGAGAATAAAAATGACGTAATCAACAGAAAGCGCGTTCGAATAGTTGGAATTTAAAAGGAAGCCCTCATGCTGGTGACAGGCGCCAGGTCTGAAGGTTGCGGCGTCGATGCGGGCGTCGGACGAATATGACGACTTCGACACGGTCTTGATTAACGGCGTCTCCAGAGACGCTCGGACGGGTTGTAATCACGACGAAGATGGCCGACGGCGCACTTTTCATTGGCCCCTGAGGCGTAGTCGAGATTTCGTTGGTCGATTGTTCCATACATAGATCAGTTAGAATTACAGTTCGGCTTAGAAATTGAAGCAAAGAACCGATTTCTATTTCGTTAAAAGAGGTCAATGTCATCCGCCTTTTCTAGAATAAGGCCGCACTCGGCGTCACTCTTGATCTCATTATGGTGTCAATCTGCGGGCGTAAAGTGGAAATATTTGCGTCTGCTAACGCGTTTAACGCGAGATCCCTCCGGCTAGCGCCTGTTTGTCGCCCTTACGTAATTCAGGGCGCCCGTTTTCCGATGTTTATCTTCCCTAGTAATAATTTCATCGTGCGCGCGCAAGCAGTCTGTACCAAATGCTTCGCAATTTCGTTTGTATAGAAAGAGAATTTCTTTGATATCGACACTTCAACTAATATTATTAATAATATAGAATCAAAGTTAGCATTTAGGTCCTTTATAACTTTTATAAATATAACAGAGTATATATAGAACATATATTGTATCCTGTGTATATAATATATAATTTATACAAATAGCAAAAAGATTCGTTCCCCGGGCTAAAACGACCGCTAACTTATTTATCATATATTTTCTCGTTTTAAATCGACCGACAACTTCTTCCGTAGACATTCAACTCACGATCTTCCCGACGGACGGGGCGAGTTGATGACGAGTCATGCTACTAAGTGATTTAGGCGTCTCTCGAAAGCGGACAATGTGTCTTGTCGATTGTTGTTCGTGATGTAGAAGGAAAAGTGGCTAGCGGCGGAAGTGAGTCGGTGCTAATTGAAACCCCGATGCTGGAAACGAGCGTTTACGTCAAAACAAAAGTGATGTAGGGAGGATGAGGGCGTGACTTCCGTTACTTTTACAGCACTTATCGCTAAGCTCATACGCTAATATCATTCTTCCCTTTAGGTAGGTTCCTCTGCATTTATTGTTATACAATAAAAAAATTCTTGCGTTGGAACGTCGTTTCACTTCCGATAATAATAGAAAAAAAAAAGAAGTGAGGCAATTCTAACGACGAGGGGGTCGAAGTGGGGAAAAATGCCCTATAGGCTTCTTTTCTCGCGTTCTTTATCAATTCATGCAGCGGACGTTATGCACGCCGAGCGCGTTCGCCTGCTACATTCCAATTATGACATTTGACTGCTACTTTTTTAGTCTTTTTTTCTCTCCTCTCTCCCTCTTCTTTCTTTCCTTCTCTTTCTTTTCATTCCTTAAATGATTTAATATTAATGGTTTTTTTTGTAGTTTTCTCTCCTGGATTCTCTTTCTCTCTCTCCATTCTACACCTGAATGCTTGCTTCTATCTTTTTCCGATTGACTGTGCTATTACCTTTCGTCCAACTTTTATTGAATACATTTTGGAAAAAGCGCCAAATTCTCTCCATAACCGTAAAACAAAGCCAATCAGAACAATTTGCCGCAAAGCGGTTACCTCTGGGAAATCATAATGTTTGTACGGATGGAAATTTCATGTGTTATTTTTTCCGGAACGTATAGACATCAAGAGATAGAAAGGAAACAGATAGACAGACACTTAGTAAGATAGAGCGCTACAAATAGGGACAGTCAACGTTCTCTCTTTAAACCGTCCCTCTCTCATAACATTCAATCAGCGTCGATTTACGCCGGGACGCTCATTTTGTATTCGACGCCCGTCTTCGTTTATTCGCCGTGTAGGGTACTCGAATAAATGAAGTACGCTGGTACTCAATTCGAACGGAAGCAGAAGGGCAAACAACAAAGTAACCGCGACGCCCCCTGTTAGCCGCCGCAACGATCCTTCTCTGTCTAACTTGACATAGATGGCCGTAACATCAGAAAGACACTTTACAAAGGGCAAACACTGCTAAATGGAAGTTAGACAATGAACACTCTTCTGCGAATTTGCCAAATGTCGCTATTTGAATATTCATAGCTGCGTCAATCGCGTTTACTCGAGTGTACAGGTGTTTGCCAATCAGTAAATATAATACGACGATTATATTAAGTGAAAAATTATCGTAAAAAAAACACAAAAAAAAGAAACGGAAAAAATTAACGGTTAGAAAATCGAAGGATCATCGATAGAGCGTCGGCGTTAAAAGTAAGAGTAGATCGAAGAGCGTTAAAAACGTCCCTTTTCACAACGATCAAAAGAAGAGCGGGAGAGGCAAACATGCAAAACAGATCAATTTTTCCCTTTCCGGCGTCGTACTACCTTTTTTTTACTATTCTTTCTTTCTTTTTTTTGATATTTATTCAGACGGCAATTTTTACAGACGTCATCTTATTCATATATATTCACGCACAAATCAAACATAAACGAGCTTGAAGAGCTAGTAAAGAATTTGACAATTCAATGCCGAACTCGATTGAACTAACATCTTGTCTTACGTAAAATCAATATGCGGAACAACGAAGCGTAGATATCGAAAACGACCAACTATTCTGTATAATATTTCATTTTATGGCAATATTTATTCAATAGATTAGCGGTCTTTTGTATAGGTGAAAGATGTTCCAATATCCCCTATACATACAATATTTATATGCATATCTATCTATGTATATCTATGTACAAAAAATCCTATATTTGTAATATTCTTCAAAGGAATGAAATTATGTTGATATTGAAATATACCAGCATTCGTATAAAAAAATTTATGGACTGCTTTATACTTGCCCACTCATTTCGTGTATAAATAAAAAGTATATATTCACATTTATATAAACAAACAAACAACGCATATAAAGTCGTATAAAGACAAATATGACCGCTGCAGCTCTCCACGCGCCTGTCTATACGTATGCATATTTAATCATATAACAACCCCGAAAGTGGTAGCCATTTGCGGCGACATTTTGGCAGATTTTCGCGGCATTTTCTTTGTGCCACACGCACACAATCTCCTGAAAGGTGCAATCAGATTATAGCGGTGACGTCCGTCCGCGGGGAGAAACGCCGCAAGTGACGCTGCGTTTGTCCGCATCGCCTTACGCGCATTTCTAGCATTGGCTGTGGGAGAAGGAAAGCGTTGATAGGTTTGTAAATAATTACTTTTATCCCATCTACTTTTGTCCTATTATGACGCTTTTTATCGTCGTAGAGCCAATAAGATCCGAAACAAATTTCGTATCCTTGTCATCCAGGGTATTCGGGGTGTCAGGTGTCTTTTTCAAGCTATAAGAGAAAATGAAATAAGTACATACACTTTGCCATACATACGCGTAAAAGAAATAAAATTAATTAACCGGTTCAAAATAATGAACATACGGACGCATGTCACAACACTTTAGGGGCGGTGAGAGGGAAAGCCTTGTGAAACGCTTTAATGATTGAGAAAATGGGCGTTATGGAATCCGCTTATGATCTCGCCACTTATTGCCAATTAGCACTCATTTATTACTTAATTCCTTCCGCTTGGCAAACTGTCGCCGTAAAATATAATTAATATCGCGTATCAAAAGTGGCGCCGAACGAATACTGAGTGGACAATAGAGAGGCAGCTGCCGGGGTGAAACGCTGAAAAAGAAGCGTATCAAAAGTGAAATTTCATAAGCAGTTTATTAACGCTACGCCGGGAGCAACACTCCAACATATCGAATTCAGTAGCGGTTGGTTCTTTATCGTTTTATTAAAAGAAAATAATATTCAACGCGTCTCAAATTCTAACCGTACGGTGCACGACCGCCTTTACCCCCCTCTCCCGCGCTTAAACCTCTCTCCCGTCTCTTTTACAATGGAAAGCCTACCTCCCACCGATTGCTATATCTTTTTTTACCGTCTGCCAGATACCCGTATTTATTTAACCCTACACTTTTGCTTGTTCCTGTCCGATGTCGTTAACTAACTCGAGTAGAAGGTGAGCAGGAACTATGCGAGTCAACAAACAGCCCCGCCTACAAACGCCCATCGTCCATTTATCGCACAATTGCCGCATTCCACCCCCTCGTCTATACTTGACTAACTAGGCGTTAGCGTGATAGCCCTAAATAGGCCTAGGCAACCATATATATAATTAAATCAATATCTGTAAATGCGCCTTATTCGGATAGTAATTAATCACAATCATATCTAAGTAGGGCTCAAGTGCTCTTGAACGTTCAATAATGGGCTGTCGATGTATGTAGATGCGACAGCCGAAATAAACCTATGAACTTCAAAACAGGCCGACGTTGGAAGGTGAAACTTCAAAAAGGCCTGATTAAAATCTTCGACACCTGGCTTATTTCTCCATAAGTGTCCATTTTCCGCTTAAGGATAATTCATCATAAACTCTTTAAAATAACATTTTCTTTAAAATTATGTATGCAAACACATAAATGTTTTTTATAGTTAAAAAAAATTTTATTCTTATGGAAAAAGCAAGACAAAGACACTTTTTTATAAATTAAAGCCAGCATGACGATCGTATAATCGAGTTAAAGTGAACGGAAAAGACGTTCAAGAGAGCATGACGGCGTCTCTTATTCAAAACTGAAACTTGAACAAACTATGCCAGGAGGATATTGAAAGGGGAAATTTTAATTATAGAAATTTTTATAGACGTCATCAGATAGGATTGATGATTTATAACGGTAAAAAAAAAAAGAAACGTTTTTTATGCGATCATACTAAAAGCGTAAATGTTTAGGCATAGAAACTCTAGACGATTGAATTTGATTGAAGACTCACACCGTAACGTCATAATAAAAGAATAAACTTTCAAAAATGGACGGCACCTGCTTAATCTGTTTTTTAACCTAATATATATTATTCAGTGTTCAAGCCGCGAAGTCCAATGAGTTTTTCATATATAAAAAAGAAACGAGAATAATTATCGGCGTATCCATCTTACTTATTACACAATCGTTTGACAATCAAAGAAAAAAGCAGGTGGCATCCTCAACGACCGTATAGAGGCGATTTGAATGGTGAAAACATCTGCATTTCAGCGCGTGCTTATTGTCTGAGGGCAAATCGAGCTTGAACGAGAGCAGCTGAAAAGAGTGGCGACGCTTAATTAGATGATGTCTTAATTGTTGCTCTTTAACTGGCCATTTTACGGCTTTAATTGACAGGCAACGTTTTGTAAAAGAGGGAAATCGTTTGCACTTTCCTCAATAATAGTCGATCCGGCTACTTATCTTATCTCTCATGCGCGTATAATTGCCGCCTACTTGATTATATCAATCGTTCGCAATTATTTCTTGCCCGTATACAAACAAACATATTTGTGTATATACACACGCATAAAGTTTATACCGGTACGCAAACAAAGACAGTAAATGTCAGAAAAGCTGAGCACAACACCTCTGAGACGTTGTCAAACCACAATTAGCCAGACAAGACAAAACTGTTCGAAATCGATACGGCCCGCCGCAATTCTTTTGCGGCAAAAGGGCAAGTATGGCAGCTATAGAATAGTTTGGCTGCACGTGATCAAGGTCAGGGTCGAACCTGAGCAAACGTCGTTTAAAAGATTTTAAGTGTTTGACATGTTTTTTATCTGAGGGCGCCGCGCAACTCTTCTTCCGCAAATCTTAGGCGACCTCAAGCGCATTCATCCTTTAACAAAGGCTTGTATGCCAGTTATTGAAATAACGAATGCGGGCTCAATCTCTTTTTACTCGATGAAACGGGGCACAGTCGTAAAAATGGACAAGTCATAAAATCCCCTCTTTCGACATATGCGCCGGTCGTAAAAACAAATGCGATTCGTTGTGATTATCAGAGGCTTTTAAGCGATAAAATGAGCTGCCATCTACCGAATAAGCTATTTGACTTACCACAATAAGACATATGTTGCAATTTTCCGCCACTCAGTACTTTTCATAACAATATTATCGCTGGTCAAGCTGTTTTAATTCAACAAAGAAGTTTTTTATTGAGAAGTATACCAAGAAGACTTTCAATTTTACGTACTTGAAGGTGTTGACCAACTGCCGGACGTCATCGGAAATGTCTCGAAAAGCTAATCGAAAATCCTCTAAGAGTGGTGTCATACTGCCGAAAAGAATGATATTGGATAATTTAATAAATTGGGCGAATGCGGAAACGTACGCTTTGGTCAATTTTTCCATTGTAATTCTCCTCCTGAAACGAATTTGAGTGTACTTGTCGACATCTGGCAAATCGACATCCGTCATAGTCCTCTCATTCTCCTTTTAAGTAAGAATAAACAAAAGAGTTATTACATAATAACACTTCATTAATGAGGACTTACTGGCTCTTCGAATCTCACTTTATTACAGATTTTCGGGTGGTAGAATTTCGAAACTTTATCATTTTGAATGTCGGCTTCATTCCGTAAACTATTCCATTTTTCTTTGTTTTTATCATCTTTAGTTTTTCCACCTGATCCAGTTATAAATTCTGCAGTTGCGTCGGTAAACCAATCTGTAAAATTTTCTTTCACCTTGTCTTCAAAACTTTTCTCGGTACCGACATAAGACGCCATCTGCTGGATATTAAGGTCATGACCACCAGCAGGAATCTCAGCCCTCTCCTTATCATCAGTGTCATCGCACGATTGCTCATCGTCGCTGTCAAATTCAACCTCCAATATTTTTACTTTCCGTAACCTCTTCGCAATTATGTCAGTGGGTTCGTTTTTCCTATCTATTTGTTCATCTTCATCGGAATCTTGATCGCCAACAGTATTTTTAGAATACTCTAAATAGGACAATGAATGGGCCTTTTGTGAATCTTCATCTAATTTCAAGCTCTAAATATTCCAAAGAAACTTTTACTGAAGATACAATATTTAACATTGAATTATGAATACCTCCAATTTTGAGTCAATTTTCTCTAATTGTTCAAGTTCTTCTTTTATATCCTCCCCCAAGCGAAGGGTAACTTTAGCACCGGGTTTTCCCATGGGACTAAATTTTCAAATCAGAATTAATTAGCTAGGTCACTTAATTAGCGTCTATTATGCAATTTGTTCAAATCATTTGCTTACTTTGTATCGGCAGATAAAAGTTCTATTTTCACATCTTCTCCTTCTCTCATCCAAACTGAGCTATTGGGTATTTGTTTTTCATAGTGTAACGATGCTTCATAACAGAAGTCGCTGCAAAATCGCTATTGAAACAATAGTGTTTAATTAGGAAATAGTGTAGAGTTAAATATTTGGATATCTACCTTTCTACTTGTAATATCAACAACAGTGTTGGTTCTTGTACAAATCTTATATTTTTGTTTTGGTATCTGCAAGGATAACTTTTTATTAAAATTTTAAATTTATAAAAGAGGAATTAGTCTACATTTTTTAAAAAACTTTTGCAAATCGGATAACCACACAGCTTTGATATATATCTCTCTTCAATGATGTCCTCGTAATGATCAGGATGAATGTATTTTGCCTGTTTTGAATACAAATTAAAATTGTACATATACTTCCAAATAACTTTTAATACAATAAATACTGTTTTGTTAAATTTTCTGAATCATAATTTATCTTAATAGTGTAATTACTTACAATTTCAATAAACATTTCTTCAGAAACCGGATTTTCTATTAGTCTCTCTACTGTTTCATGTGCTTTTCTCTCACAGTCAACTCGCTTTCGAATCCTTGCCTCTGTTTCCCTTTTCAGAAAATTATATATTTAGACCGATGGATTATATTTTAATAGATTTTGCTTGATTACTTGCTGACTCGCTTTTTATCGCTCATTGTTGAATGCTGCTATGTATTATTAAATGATATGAAGATATAAAATAGAGCACTACGCTCTAATTCGGTTTTACTAAAACTATAATATAATTTCTATAAAAGTAAGAAAACTTTAAAAGTGACGAAAAGATTAAAGATGAATTAATTTTCTTGCATTCGATTTCGAAATAGGCAAAATATATCTCAAGTACCAGTTTTCAATGCCTGGAACTTGACCTGATACGAAATATTCATCAGCAAAAAAGAAGTGTGAATGGAGCCATCTTAAGACCGTGTGCGCATGAGCCAAACGAACTCGATCAATCGCGGAGTACGCCAAATCGGTTGACTATAAACAGTTTGTGTTATTTAATCATCGGCTTTATAGACAAAAACAGGGAAGTACCTAAGGATTATGATGATTGTTCGGAATTTATCAAAGGTTTATGAGTAAAAAGGTACATTATGGCGTCCGAGCATAAACGAACATTTTTGTCAAAATTACGAAAACGTTTTAAAAATCATTGGAAAGCGGACGATAATGTGACAAATAAAAGGACAGTTAAAATACAAACAAATCTACCCGAGAGGGTAGTCAGTACGTGTGTAAGCAGTCCATTTAAAACTGTAGATTGTGATCAGCGAAATCATAAAACTTGTTATTGCCGAGAAAATTATCGCACCTTTCCTACGTTGAGAAGTCAAACAGTTGACGCTGGAAGGAATTGGAAGTCAATGAATTCGGGTAGAGCCCCATTGGCTAAACAAGAAGATCTTGAAGAGTACGAGAGACCTTTATCATGTGTAACAACTGTTTTTAACATCGAAGATCCTGGTTACTCAACACTCGACGAATTGGAGCAGAAAAAAAGTGAAAAAACGACGAATGATAATACAGATGATAGTGGTTTGGAGAGTGATGGCTTATCACCGCACGGTTCTAAGGAATCTCCATTTACCTCAGACCGTGTGTGTTATGCAGAAGTTCCTATTAAAAGAAAGGACAGTGCAAAAAATAGAGATATACCTCCACCTATTCCTCCGAGAAATTATACGGAAGACGACAGGCGATATGCTCTATCTCGACGAGAGGAAAAAACACATATGTCAATGAAAGAAGTTTTCGAAGAAGCAAAATTGCTTGGTATAAAGTTAAAGGCTGCTAAGAATTTGGACGGTCATCACGTAGAACCACCGCCGAGAACGTCCTCATTAAATCGAAATTTTAACTCTCAAAACTCAAAGGAAGAAGCTAAAAATAAATCTAGTAAATGTCGTTGTCATTCAAAGGCAAAATGCGATAGCTATACAAGTCCTAATATGCACGGAAGACGCTTACCAACAGTTCCGGTTAAAACAAAACCTACAGGTGAGGAAATTCTTATTTCAAAAGATCATATATTAGAATATTATTTGTTCTATAAAAATAATTTTCATCTATAGCTTGTGTGAATATTTAATCGATATTAATTACAATATTGACTAATTAAGCAAAGCTAATATCATCAGTTTCGTTTCTGATTTTACCCTAGCTTTATTGATATTTTCTTTATAAAACACAAGGGTGATCGAATGGGACTAGAAGAAGCTTTTACGCAATCATAACCTTTGAAAAAATACTTTATGTATGGCACCGTGTAGTCAATTATGTCATAATGACTGGGCAAACAATACTCTTCTTTCAATGATGATTTATCCATTTTAATCAGCCTTTCAAGTGTAAGAATTGATCCGACGTCACTTTTAGCCTTTGTAATTGATTTTATAAAACATTATTGTTATGTTTTTTGCTGTGTATTGAACTATCTTTAGTGAAAGAATTTACAATCGTGTCCGTCCAATTTATTATTCATACTCTTTTAAATAATTACGCTTTCCAACCCTGGTGCTTTAATTTATCACGAGAGTAATTCATCTTCTTTCTTTAACGAAAAATAATTTCGTCGGTTTAAATACAGCTGCTGTAGTAGTTTTCAGAAGGTCCATAGAGATGTGAAAGCGTGACTGTTTTATTCTGGAAAGCGTTCACTTAACGAATTCGCTTATTTGTATTAAATTAAGTAATTTACAAACAGAAACAAGGCCGTCAGCCACTAAAGTTCAACCGGAGGCCAAAACGGGTATGCAATTATTTATGGAAAGTATGGCAAAATTAAGAGAAGTGAGTTGATATATTTTTTCTCTGATACTGATTTATTTGTTGCTAGGCAGTGTAGGAAACTATATTTATGTAAGTGACGTAACTAGAGCAGCAAATGTTCCCCGTAAGGGTTTGGGGTACACTTGAGTATACATTGAGAGTATCGAGATACGTGTATTTGTCGCTGAGCATTCTGCATAAGGCGCTTAAGGTCGGCTCTCATCATTTGTTTAACACGTGTGGCTTAAACTTGAAGCGGCTGCAACACCGCAAATAGCCTATCAACGAGTTGGGAAAAGAGTCTGATTAGCGCACGTCTCGGCGTAAGTTTGCAGTAGAAAGCTGTTGCAGATGGGCTCACGCTATGCAAATGCGAGACTTTCTCAATTAAGGGAAACGGAGTTTGCATCTTACAGCCTGTATATCGGTTCGCGGCCGGAAATCGAATAGTTGAGTAATATCTCCGTCGTTTAACTTAATCAGACGAACAAGAAATCTATTTTTGCTTCAAGAGCCTTGTGCCCTCATCGGTCGGCAAATATGTACGATTGTTTACTAGATAACATGAGTTGTTGTTTTATAATACACTCTCTTATTTCTATATGTCCAACAGATGGGCTACTACTGGGGCCCGTTGTCTGCTCAGGTAAGGAATGCAACATTTGCCGTTATTTATCTTTTTTCAAAGAAACCTTTTGTCTCTAATAGGAAGCCGAATGCAAGCTCTCAGATTTATCTGACGGTTGTTTCTTAGTTCGAGATAGCAGTGACGAACGGCATCTTTTATCCATATCTTTCCGATCGAAAGGCGCTACGCACCACACAAGAATCGAACACAGTGGGGGCTTATTTCATTTTAAAGCACAGCCGAAATCTATGTCAGCGGCAACTATTGTAGAATTTATTGAAAATGCTATGGAATTTTCTCGAAATGAGCGCTTTCACTTTTTTGTTCGGGGACAATCGACACGCCTTCAGCGAAATGATGACGACGAAGAAGAAAATCCAGTTCCTCCTGTTCTTGTTAAATTATTGATACCCGTGTCACGATTCTTTGTTGTTCAAAGTCTCAAGCATCTGACGCGGATGAAAATTAGCGATTTGGTGCGAAAAGACCGCATCGATCTACTTCCTCTTCCATTTGTTTTAAAGAGCTACCTACATGAACATACTCTTTGCCCGGAGCGGTGAAATCCCCTTAGACTAGTCATTGAGACATTCCATATTTTTATCATGTTTAATACTACTTTATTGATATGTAAATATCTCTTTTATTTACGTGCCATTTTCCTAATTTTTTTTATACCTGAGTGACGGTGGCACGGGTGATTGTAGTTATATTCTGTTTAAATGCGAAATGATCTAGCCTGTGCTCTCACATCATTGAAATGCCCGATGTGAGCTGAAAAGATTCATATATAATTTGTTTCCGCTTACAAATACATATTGTATGTATTGACAGATTTTATCGGTTACTTATTGAAAGATGGTATTATAACAAAGTATTGATTGGGCAGAAATATTGCCCAATTAAACAAATCCTAAGCCTAAAAAGTGGATTGATTTTAAGCTATTTATGAAACTAAAGAGCTAATTGCTTTTATTCAATATATTTTTATGCTTGTTTTTTATCGGGAAGATAAGGAAATGAGAGCAAAATGCTTCTTTCGAAGGTCAATAATAAAATATAAACCATAATTGCGCAACCAATATTCGAAATATTATTATCTCAATATTTTTTTTCTCAATTGGGAAGCCTATTTATATGTTAAGTTATTTGATGAGATATATGGAAGAAATAATACTGCTCTTCGAACGTAACTTAGGGCTTGTCTATATTGGGATAAATCTATCAAAATAAGTCAGGATACGATTTGTTGCGTGTTATTGAAAGGGATAGAGAGAATATTTTAGTTCAATTGTTCAGCTAGTCTCCGACTGATTATTCATAGTGATGTGTCATTGTGCAATAAAGCTAGTAGCCAATCACAAAATATTTATATTGACTGACGCAATATCTGTAACAAGTATATTAAAATAAATCAGCTTGTTTTTATTCTAATGAAGTATAATATGTTGAGTTGTGAGTTTGATTGGTGAAGTTCGATATTCGAATTTTGGACTTGACATTTTGCATTAGTGTTTTTGTGAAAACAAATACTGTTCTCATAAAATGATGGACGAAATAATAGACAAACCCTCTAGGGTCTATCAGTTTAAGAAACTACCGTATGGTATTCGCACAGGCAACAGTTTGAAATTAAAGAGATTCAAATATTTTCATAAGAGACATCAGGAGCGTGTCTTTAAGTGGGTCTTCTACGATAAATATACAAAGAAGGAAGCGGAGAATATTTTAAACGATTGCGATAAGGTTCTTGCGGATGGACTGCATTCTTTTGCTCAGAAGAAAGTTGCGCGTTATGGTCCCATTTCGTCGCCGTTGGCTTACTCGCTTAACAAAAGAAAGCGATGGAATTTACCTTATCATATCCAAAATATCGCTAAGAAAGATTCTCTAAGCGAAGAAACTTATAAAGTTTGCTATCTTGAGAGATTTTCAAATGTAGCAACTCTTCCAGGATATTACGGTTGTGGATGCACACTCGACCAGATTGCGTCGGTAAGAACTTTTTACAATGAGAATGGTGAAATAAAAAGACCTGGGAAGAAGTATGGATTCGAACTTGACATGATAAATGGTAGTAACAATCGCCCTAAACTTCAAGACTTCGTATTAAGGCAAATTGATAATGAAGAAAGCTATTTCCAAGTTATTTACGACATTTGTAAAATACGTCCTATGGATTCTCTAGCGAAAGGAAATTTCGGATTCTATCCAATGGCATATTATGATAAAAAGATGAATGCTCAAAAGCATAAAACGCCTGCAGGAAAAAGATTCGATAAATGTTTAGATTCTAATTATTACTTGAGGCGCTATATTGACGAGGGAATTATACACTTCAATAGTCTGAGCAACAAGATGGAAACGGAGGAGGAGGAAGAAACAAACACAATTCATCATTCTTCTAACATAGTCCTAGGAGATTTTATAACGAAGAAAAATATACGAAAGCGTAAGCAAAAACTATCAAAGAAGAGAAGTTATGTTAATTTTAAAGAGGAATCAAAGTCCAAAATCATTTATTTAGATCAAAATAACATAAATACTAACAGCATTAGCTCGATAAGCGATTTTGATATAAAAGAGCATACGGAAGAGATCGAAGAAAGTACAAAATTGATAAACACAGAGGCTATTTTCGAATTTTATTTGCCTCTGAAATCCTATAAATCGTTTCTATTGGTTTGCTCCCAAAATAATATTCCTGTTCTAGATGCAGAAAGCTCTCCTCCTTACTTTTTATTGGACTTTTCCAAAATAGTTGAAAATATCTGCGCTTCAACAAGGCATTATACGAACAAGATCAAGCTAATCAGAGCTTTAGGTTTGATGACACCCTATAGCGAAAACGATAAAGCTGTTATAAGTATGACGTTTTATTCGAATATCGAAAGCAGTCGGGCGTTAAAAAGTCTAAAAACTGATGCTAAAAATGTAAACGATATGATTAAGATGATTAATCATCATGTTTCCGGTTGGTTGAATTCATCGAGGGATTTTATTCGAATTATCGATTTAACGGGAAGCAAGAGAGATGGAAATATAAGAGATAAGCCACATAAAACCAGAATAATAAGCGGTTGGATTCTAAATAACTTTGGATTTAGTCAAACATCTGCAGAAAAATTTGACATATTCCTTTCCTATTTAAAATCCTATTGGAATAACAAAAAGCCTGATATTAGCAATTTCTCGGGTGAATTAGAAAAGAAGAATGATTGGCAGATCACTTGCAAAATTTGTATGATAGAAAAAGATACCCATTCTGGTTTGGCTATGAAATGCGGTCATTGGTTCTGTTTTGCCTGTTGGAAAAATTATTTGTTATATAATCGATCCCGTAACTTAAATTGCCCTACTTCAAAATGCCAGCAACAAATTGAACATCCTATTTGGTTAGCCGCAACGACTTTAAAAATATTCCAACACATAGAAAGACTCACAGTTAGAAAGCTTATAGAACAAGAGAAAGTATGGATCCATTGTTCCAACTCAGCTTGTAATTTGTTGACAAACGTCAATAATAGTATTAAAATTCCCATAGTTGAATGCTCTTGCTCTAATCAATGGTGCACAGAATGTTTGGATGTTTTTCATTGGCCTGCAACGTGTAATCAAATAAGATATTTCAACGAGGTAATAGATGATTCTGGTATTGAAAAAGATCGATTTATGAATGAGTACTACATTACTGAAATTAGAATATGCCCACATTGTAAAGAGAAGGTTGAAAGAGAATCAATTATGTGTAATGAAATGCAGTGTATATGCGGTGGAAGATTTTGTTGGAATTGTCTTAAAAAGTTATACGAATGGGAAACTCACGATTCTAACGATTGTTCTAATGAAAATCGCGAAATATTCACCTTTATAGATGATGGATTTCTAAAAACTGATAAATTCGAATTCCTTCAAACAGTTTATAAATCGTTTAACGATTTTAATACTTTAGACGTTTACCCCCAATCTAGATCAACTTTTAATGGATGGAAACGCACAATAGAACGTCAGCTGCCAACTGGAAAGGCAAATATTCGTAAAGAAATTGAGAATGAATTTTTAAGCATTTTACAAGACTGTCATTACTTATGTCATATAAGTGATTATATTGTAATGAATACTCTCGTATTAATTTACTTCTCTGGAAATGAAATCGCATGGAAAATGGTTTCTATAGAATTTCTTGAGAAACGACTCATTCTCGAAAAACTTCTATTACGTTCTATTTTAGCAACAAAGAGATTGAGAGAAAAATTAAATGGTACTAATTTTTCATTGCCCGAAAATTGGATAGCTCAAATAACATCTTTAAAGAATCAACTCGAAAGGTCTTTAATTAATATCATCAACAATAAATCTATTCCTTACATTAGATGTATGGCATCGAAAATAACTTTAGATCGTAATATATGGTCTATTCTACCTACATAACTTGATTTCACCCTCCTCTCTCCTTCACCACCTATCCTCTAGTCCTCCTTCCTTCTTTCTTATGCATACAGTTTATTATTTATTTTATTGTTTCATTGTTTACAGTTATCTTTTTACAAGTATAACAAAGATACTGAATACATTAATAATATTTGATATTATGTTTAAACTTTTTTTTATATATGTAAATGAGCCACCTGTCAGCCATGTTTTTTTTATAACTATTGTTTTTTTTATATATACTATGTAATAGAATACAGTTTCGGTTATGAAATTTTTACGTGTTTATCACATTTTGATTATAATAAATTATTGTTTATATTATTATTATTATTTTATCTTTATTATCTTATTTTTATAAGAAATATTCAGGATATAGAATATCTTTGCTTATATTTAAAATATTTGTCAACGACTCCATTTTGTTTTCTTAGTTGCAGTTGGTTGTGCAATGTTTTGTTATGACTACTTGCACTAAGCTTGCGCAACAATTTTATATATAAAAATGTTAAGTAGAATGATGATCATTTGTATACCGCTTTTACCTCTAGGATTATTTTAGTTCATCAATTCTCTTTCGAAATCTAGTTTAAACATTTATCGAATATATTGAAAATATGGAGTTTGATGAACCAGTAACCGTAAAAAATTCAGTTTTATATCCAAATCGACTTTATTACAAAGACTTTCGTACGGGAAATAGAATTAACTATAAAATACTCCGCAAATTTCAAAATTTATCGGATCATTTTGTGCAAAAAGAATTTTTATACGACGAGAGTCTTAATTTAAAAGAGGCTAAGCAATTGTTCGATAATAGAATTAGGGAGCTGGATGACGGAGGATTAGAAGCTGATCCCGAAAATTACTATATACCTTTTCTATATTCGACTAATAAACGAGGCCGGTGGCAAATTCAAGAAGATATTAATGCGGTAGGTAAAGCGAAATGGTTGAAAGGAGAAGATTACTCAATCTCATATAATGAACGACACATGGGAAATTTGACTAGACCAAATGTCAAGCTACGTTGTAACAGAGATGGTATCGTCAAGAAGTCAAAAACGCTATCACGCCAAAGAGATTTAATGGATACAAATAAGCCAGAATTGGATGAAGAATGTCCTGTTTCTATACAGTATTCCTTTTTTGCACCTGGTGTTATAACATCAAACTCAAAAAGTGGGTGTTCAAATGAGCTAACCGACAAAGTTACTCTAACTCGCATGAGAAAAAGGAGAAACTGTTTTATTGAGAGAGAGAATCTTTCTACTGATTCTATTAGGCATATTTTTAGTCCACCCGACGAGATTGACTGCAAGAACCTAACTGACGATAAAGATACAGCTAGTCCTTCTAATTACTCACTCACCTTAAATGATTTCATAGTTGATCAGCAAAAGAACGAAAGAATTAAAAAGGGAAAACGATGTAAGAAAGGAAGAAAGCTCTCTTGGAAGAGTTTAGAAAAAAGTAGGCTAAAAGAAGAAGAAAAAGAAGAGATTGAAGAACTTGAAACATTTTTGGAGAGTAATTTAAATAAAGATAGCAGAGAAGAGATTACTTTTAAATTTATACTCCCAGCGAAATGTTATAAATCGTTTTTGATTGACTGTTCCGAGGAAAATATTTATGTTCTAGATGCTGAAACTAATTCGCAGATGTTCTTGCTAGATTTTACGTATAAAATAAGAAACACTTTCCTAGAGTATGGCATGGATGAGAACGCCGTAAAAATGTTTCGATTTTTAGCACTAACCACCTTTCTTTGTGATAATGACAACATCATAATGAAAATGGTTTTATATACGAATATCAACTGCAATTCGACTTTAGCAAGCTTCGAAAATTTTAGCGAAAGCTTTAGTAGTGCAATTAATGAGGTTAATTATCATATTTTTTCATGGTTGCAAAGTTATTTACCTTTGAGAGAATTTTATGAAAAGACTGAATCGAAGAATAAGCAAAAAGGTGAAAAGGAATTGTTAAAATTGGTTCACGAAAGTGTGTTTGGCAATCAAATGTCTACAAACTACGAAGACGTGTGGTTAGGTAGTTTGAAGAATTATTGGGAAGAAAATAGACCAAAGCTCGAAGATCTTGATATTACTTTATTAGAAGTTGACGACTGGAATATTCAATGCGATATTTGCATGGAACAATATGATACCTCCGAAGGTCTATCCCTAAAATGTAAACATTGGTTTTGCATTCATTGTTGGAAAGAACATTTGTCTATATTCAATTTCAATTGTCCCACTTGCCCAATGGTCAATTGTAAAGTTCAGGCTAGCCTTCCAGTGTATTTGGCTATTCTGAACTTTGATAGATTTATTACAATGGAAAAGAGAATAATTGAGAAAACAATTAAAAATGAAGCTTGGGTCTACTGCAAAAAGCCAAAATGTCAAAAACTAACTAAAATGCAAGGCATACAAAGTTCAACCGTTTTTTGTTCATGCTCAGAAAAATGGTGCAAACTTTGCGGTTTGGATGAGCATTGGCCTTCGTCTTGCAATCAATATCAATATTTTTTACAATTTCAGCAAAAGATTAAAAACCCGAGAAATGCTAATTTTGATGAATTAATTTTGATTGTCTCTGTCAGAAAATGTCCATTCTGTGGAGTTCTGATTGAAAAATTTGACGGCTGTAATGAGATGCTTTGTCTTTGTAAAAATTCATTTTGTTGGAAATGTTTATCTCCGTGGAGGCAATGCGTAAAAGGATGTAAGCAAAAGGAAAAGGAAAGTCAAGATATAATATTCACAAATGAAAAGTGTATAAAAACACTTCAATATAGACAGGCAATAAGGGAGGAGAAAATGTATCCCAAATTGAAGATGATATATTCACAAGTCGAGAAATATACAAGGCAAATGAATATTCCATTAAACGATTTCACCGAGGAAAATGTAACAGAAACTCTTGTCAACTCGACTTTTTTGTGCAAGCTAACCTCTTCATTGTTAAAAAATTGCGCCATCTATACGGGAACCTTAATTAGAGAGGATCTTCCATCAGAAATCTTAAGAAAATTGTCTAATCTACAAGAGTTACTTAATCGAGCTGAAACGTTCGAAATGAAATTACATAATTTAATTGAACTAAACAATAGAATGGTGTTTAGAAAGTCCCGGCTCGAAAATGTTATTAAGACCCGAGAATCTTTAGATAAATTAGTAAAAGAAATAGTCTTCTCTTCCCGAGAATTACAAGGAAAAATGCAAATTTATAAACAAGATACAGCTGTTATCTGATATTATTCATCAAGAAAAAAATATACAATATACTGTCTACACTATATCAAATTTTTCGTATGGAAATAATAACAGAAATATAGTATATTATTGATGTTATGCGTAAATAAAGTAGATTGTATAGTTAAAAGAAAAAACAAGAGAGGTTTAACGTAGCCTTTTTATTCTCTCTCTCTTTATTCTTCTCTTATAAATGAATGAAACGGGATAGAAAATTTAGAGAAATATTTATTTAACTGATGAGGGAATGGACTAAAATAAACTATGATTTTCTTTTCCCCTTCAAAAGAGAAAAGAATGTTACTGTTATTTTTTTGCTATACAATATTAATCACTATTTTCTTTCTTTCTTTTTCTAAGTTATTAAAGCTAATCGGACTCTTCATCTTCAGCCTAGAAAAGAGATAATTGTATGCATAGATTAATCAAATAAGATATTACATAATGTTTAGATGACTTACATTGACGATAAGAGGAGTTGTTTGTTGATTGAACCGTTCTAAATGAGGTATTATGGCTGTCCAAAGTTTATCCTCCCTAATTTTAAACCCTTTCGGTGAACATCCTAAAGGACCAACAGTTTTTGAACACATAAGAATCGACAAAAGGATAAATGATATAAAATGATACATCAAGTTAAATTGTACAGAATTAGCATCCATTAAATGATAGCGAACTAGATTCCAACCACCATACCAGAACGTTAAAGTACAAATTGCACCTAACGAGGCTATTGATTGACGTAATATGAATTGATAAACATTATTTGATCTTTCGTAAACGTTACAGAGTTTATATTGAATAAGATGTATAAATATGGCTAGAATATAGCCAAATAATGTAAATAGTCCATAAACAATTAGTTTATTTGACTTATTGAAGGTGTAATTTAGAATATTCCAAACTGAACGCCATATTTGAATTGCTGGTGTTGTGACTATAAACAAAGTAGCAAGAGAATCCAATGGAAATGTTAAATAATATTTTGACCAGGGTTGAGTATTAAATAAAGTATGAACTTGAAATACTGTTTGTAAATCATCAACTTCTATGAGTACTGGAGTGAAGTGAGATGCGTGAAGGCTTCGTAGGATAATTAGTAAGATAAATGATACTATCATCAAGATTATACTGGAAATTAGTCCTTTTCCAATAACTTCATCCCCAAACCACCAAATTCCTTTCCATAGTATTACAGTTGAACAGGCTGTGAAATATATTAGAAAACAACTGGCGATACGCCTACTAAATATGTTTGTCGGAAGTAAACCACTCTCAACTAACGGTGTTGCAATGTAACAACAAAACATAAAAGCATAACTCGCGTATAATAATAAATACGGTTTAATATTGTAAAAACTACAAAATAATTCAACTAATCTAAATGATCCAGCCCAGAAGAATACACTTAAAATTGAAACAAGTGTCAGAGAAATTATTCTTAAAGACCTTGACATTTCTTTACTATCCTCCAGATGTCGTTAGCTCATCGTCGATAATTATGTATTCCCTGTACATTTTCTTAAATAAGATTAATCTCGATTTTAAAGATGATTTTAAAGAGACTTTTACTTTGATAATTTATTGTTCGTTGTAAATGGCTTACTTTCGTATAAATGCCATTAATTTTCATTCTAACCCAACTGGGAAAAAGAGAAAAGGGGTACAAAGGTCTTCAAAGGCAAAAAACAGAAGAGAGGGAGAGGTCGTCTTCTACTAATAAATTAAAGTAGGAAGAATTCAGTATTTCTTTATGAAAAAGATTTCTAAAGAATAAGTCGATAGACGGATATTCCTTTACATTAGTAAATCATTCTTAGATCGAAAAGCTTTTAGACAAGAAAACAAATGAACATTTCAAGGAATACAGAATTTTAAAGATAAAATACTTTTTACTATATCCGTCTTTTTACGCTAAAAGCATTGATAAACACTTGGTTCACTTAAAAAATAGGGTAATGTTTAAACACATATTTAAAATTTTCAACTTATCCAGTTTTACCCGTTTTCGTTCTGAGCTTGAATATTTTCCTTTTTTGTTATGCAATATTCAAAAATAGAAATATATTGACCAATAAGAATCGTCAATAAATATCTATAACTTTACGGAGTTGTGCAATCTATTAATATAAAATAGAAGTTCAATGTTATGTAAATATTTTTCATAATTTAAGAATGAGCACAATGTTGTCCGATGAACGGCGGGAAGGAAATTCTTTAAATCTCACAACTACAGTTTTAACAGAAACGAATTCAAATTGTCAGGAAGTTAATAATGAGGAAAATGATAAACATCTTATAAGATTGTGTATCTATTCATTGTATGCAATTTACGTATGGACTATCGTCGTAAGGTCTGTTCAATTAGGTTTAAGAGATGTTGAACAAAGATTATTTGTGAAAGTATCAAATAAAAGGTCTAAGAAACGACATTTGAATTTGCGTAAAACAATTAAAGAGTATTCTCATGAAAATCAATTCAAAAATCGCTCAAACTTTCATATAAACTCGCAAGATTATTGTCAATTCAATGATAATAGCTATGATGACATTTTTCATCAACCTCTTCCCGAGAAGTTTTCAAAGTTTCGTCAGAGGAAACGGGAGAAAAAATATTGCAAGAGAGACAGAGATGATCTTTCATATTCTACTGAACAACAAAGATCTTTAACTAAAGAACATAAACGAGCTATCTGTAAACAATCTTTTAAAGATCTAGACTCTTTTTTATATTATCTAGATGACCTTCTCACAATGTTGAAGTTAAAGAACAGGAAGAAAATGATGTCAACGATGACACTTCTGATCAAGTTCGTCATGTCAGCTATTTAAGTGATTTCATTCAAGAAAATCATACCAGAAAGAAATCATGTGATAAGTATCGAAAGAGAATTTCTATCCTACCTATTAAACCGATTCGATGGGTTATACACCTAGCAGAGAATCTACCAACAGTTATAAAGAACACTGATGAAAAGCTATTAAACAATTACACTTCTATAAACTTTGAATTTTTTCTGCCGTTCAATTGTTCATTTTCCCTTGCCGATTGCGACATAGAAGATATTCCTATCATTGATGGTCAGAGTACGCCTCCTCTCCATCTTCTAGACTTTTCATCTTATATACGTACTATTCTTCTAGCCAGAGGAGATCTCTCAAGACGCAAGGATCTGGCTAGAGCTCTTATTTTTATGAAATATCAAAGATGTGAAGAGGTAGTAAATATTAAAATGAATTTTGCCCCGAATATTGCCTCAAGCAATAGTCCATCTACTATAAAGCCTTTTCATGTAGTAAACTTTAAAGAACTCATCGATATAGTAAAGCAAACGATAAATGACTGGCTAAAGAAGGCAATCCTAATAAATGTATTAGATATTTGTGATTTACAAACAGGCTGCAACAGAGTTCAAGTAGAGATAAAGTTGGGTGATTTGGTTAATGAAAACTTAGGAATATCTCCTAATTTTGTTTTAAAAGAAAAGATATATTACTTAAGTATACTGGAATACTGGAATAGAAATAAAATAGACTTGAACGATGTAAATATAATGATGGTGTCGAAAAATAACCGTATTTGTAATAGTAGTAATATCAGAAGTGTTGTATGTAATATTTGCTACATGAAGAAAGATAACAATGAGATTATAGCATTAAAATGTAATCATGAATTTTGCATAGCCTGCTGGAAGAGCCATCTGAGAATATCCAATTCTGATATGTGCCCAGAATATAATTGTGTGGAGTACGTTAGTCTACCTGTGTATTTTTCACTGATGGATCTCAAATTATCAATTAAACGTGAAAGAGAGGTTGTAAATAAAATCAGTAGCAAACTTTGGTATTCTTGTTGGAAGGATAATTGCCAATATATGATAAAAAAGAATGAAATGATAAATTCTTTAATGATTGAATGTTTATGTTCGGATAATTGTTGTTTCGATTGCGGTAAATCATATCATTGGCCAGCTTCTTGTAATCAACAAACCATATTCGAATCATACATTTTTATCGATGTATTACGAAATTCAATTCAATCTCTAAGGCTTGTTTGTCAAGTTAAAACTTGTCCAAATTGTAAACGTATGTTTGAAAAGATGGGAGGCTGTGATTCAATGAGTTGTATCTGTGGAATAGCATTTTGTTGGAAATGGTCAAAGGAAATAAAAGGAAATCATCATAGAATTTGTTTATCTGTTGTTAAGCCTGAAGAATTTATCTTCGAAAAGATACGGCTTGTTTCGGAGTCCTATTACATTGCTGTTGCCTTGACAAAGTCTCTAAAAAATCTCACCTACAAATCTCAAGAATAGATTAAAACTTCGACAAAATGATCAAAGGCAAATTTATGATGAAAAATTAAAAACTAGTATTAAGAAGGAATTACCGTATAGAGAGCTTATTTTAAGAAACATAGCAATTTTCCTAGGAATATGCAACTTGAATATTAAGTTACCAAATGATATTTTAATTGATATTAATGACCTAAAAAAACAACTACAATTAACTTACAATTTATATCTGTCTTTGAAACGTGAACTATTCATTCAAAGAGAAAAGATCTTCTATCAATCAATGAAAAGATTGAAATACTTTGAAGAAAAATTTAATATTGAATTTAAAAGGACAATTCAGTTATCTTCTTAATTAAAATATAATAAACAATTCGAATTTCAATTATAAAAAATTACTCTTTTTTCTATTTCAAGTATTAATAATCCAATAATTAATCCTATAAAGAATAGCGTAGGCTCAAATATTCAAATAGGCTGAGGTTATGTAATCATTCATTCGTTCGTTTGTTTAATTATATATGCTATAGGCCTATAAATTGGCGAATAATTCTGAGCAATAAATTCTTAAAAATCAGCATTATTTTTTAAAAATGCAAACTAAAATATATTTAATAATTCTGTTAATTGCTCTATAGACTAAGAATTCCCTTGGTATTTGATTCGTTTGTAGAGTTTAGATAGTTATCTCGCATTTGAAGAAAAACAAACAAAGTCATAAGCAAAGGACGTATTTAACAATGATAATTGTTTTTTTTTTTGTAACAATTAGCAGACTTTCAGCGTTATTGATAATATAAGTTTAACATATAACAAAAATGGAGGATCATTTCAAAAAAGAACAATTCCATAATTTATTTCTATTATCGCTCTTTTTTTATTACTAGGAAAGTGTTTACAATATTCGAGATGGTAAACAAATATTAAAAAGAATTTCTTTAAGAACTTATTACCTTTTGCTATTAAGTGGATTAAACTAATAAGTTTAATAAATTTAATAAAATGATATTGTTTATTATTAAGTTGAATTGTGCAATAGCCGGTTCAGCCAATCAGAAATATCTTAGGCTTACATTTTTCGCAAGCTTATGCAATTCGTTTTGAAAGCCTTTCTCGACGTATATAACACGGCTAGAATAAACCAACTCATTTCATTTCAATTAGAGTATCATAGGAAGAAGATAGATAGTATCATCATGTTCGAAGATCAAATTGAAGAGAAACCATCGAAGAAATATAACAAAAAGTGCATTAGTAATAAGTATCTAACTGGGCACAGTGTTAAACATGGCAATATTAGTAAGAAGAATCGCGATCGTCTTTTCAGCTGGATTTCTGATAAAAATGGATTCATTGATAAAGACATCAACTCTTTTATTGAATCAGATTGTATTCCTACAAACAATGTAGAAAAACAGACGCATGTAGCAAAGAGTCGTTTGCATTTTGTGAAAAATCAAGATGACCAGAAGCAATACGCTCTGGAACTTTCGTTAAACAAAAGGAATCGTTGGAATACAGTTCAACAAACTGAATACAGTGAATCTGCTGAAAGATTAGATTATATAAGCGAAAATAATTATTCTATACTTCTACTACGCCAGACTCAACAAAAATTAATAAAGAAGAATATTGCAGAAGGTCAAACTTTCTACGATAAAAATGGAAAAGTTCGAAAGAATATAAACGGAAAGCGTATTCGTTCAAAAATCATATCTGAAAGTAAAGAAATCAAAAAGCCTAATAACGAATTAGATATTGATAATACCGAAATTATGTTTGAAGTTTATCGATGTAAATCGGCATGTTCAAGGAAACGAAGGCATGAAACTTTCAAGTTAAAAGAAAAAGTCGGAAATAGAGTTAAACTTGAAACTTATACTCAACACTTTAAAAATGAGGTCTTAAGTAAAGCTGATTTTCAATATTCTTATGATGATGATGATGATGATGAATTTGAAGAATACGATGATTGTGAATACTCAAATGAAGCTCCTGCAAAAATCTGTCTGGCTGATTTCTTTTCAAGACCACGTTTAAAAGAAAAATCGAGAAATTCATCACAAGCAAGCTTGGAATCTCAAAATACTGCTAGTTCTCGTAAAGGACAAACAGTTGTTCTCAATGAAAACTATACATATAATTATAAAAATCAAAAATATGATAGTCTTCCCCCTGAAAACCCTATAACTGCAAACTTTGAATTTTCTCTACCTACTAGTTGTTCACTCTCCTTTGCTGATTGTGATCTAGAAGATATTCCTATCATTGAAAGTCAAAGTACACCTCCTCTCTTTCTTCTAGACGTTTCATCTCAGATACGAACTATTCTTCTAGCCAGGGGAGATCTTTCGAGGCGAAAGAATCTGGTTAGGGCTCTTATCCTTATGAAATATCAAAGAAATGAAGATGCACTAAATGTTACAATGACTTTTACTGCCAACATTACTACAAGCAATAGACTCCCTCCTACAAAGAGCTTTAGTGTATCCAATTTCAAGGATATCGTTTACAACTTAAAACAAACGATAAATGACTGGTTAAAGGATGCAATTCTAATAGATATATTAGATCTTTGCAATTTATTCTCCACGAAGGAGATAAAAATGAACAAAAATGGAACGATAAGTGATTTAATTCACGAACATCTAGGAATGACTCATAAAATTCGATCAAGAGAAGATACGTTCTACCAAAATTTGGAGGAGTATTGGATTGAGAATAAAACAAACGTAGAAATGGCGCATTTAAAAACTACAATGGACGATAACACAAACCTCGTTTGTAATATTTGCTTCATTGAAATTGATAAAGGAAATAGTTTAGCATTAAAATGTAACCATTACTTCTGCATTCAGTGCTGGGAAAGTCACCTAAAGTTTAAATTTATTGCCACCTGTCCTCAGTTTCAGTGTGATGAACCAGTTAAACTGCCTGTATACTACGCTTTATTCGGTTATTTGTTAACTTATCGAGTAGAGTCTAAAAGGGTCTCTGAAAGGAATATGGGTCAATGGTTAGCTTGCAAGAATTTTCAATGTAACTTAATGCTAAAAATGGAAAATATGGACAAACTACCTATGTGTGAATGCTTATGCAGTAAACATTGGTGTTTAGATTGCGATGATAACTTTCACTGGCCATCTGCGTGTGAACAACAAAAATTATACGATCAATTACGCAACCCTGGTAAAGGATCATCAAATGCACTGGGACAAGTAGTTGTTCGTGTTAAATCATGTCCCTATTGCAGACGCAAATTTGAAAAGAATGGAGGTTGTAATTCAATGATGTGCCACTGCGGAGCTAATTTTTGTTGGGCTTGCGCTAAGCCAATGAAAAATCATATCAATTGTAAACTTTTGGAGGAAGAGAAGTTCGTATTACGAGATTACCAATATTTCAACATGAGGATGATCAATCTTGCCGAGACTTGTTCTAGTACTTTGGAATCTCTCAGAAACTCTTCAGAAAATCATGAAAAGTTGTTTCTCTTCTATAAAGATCAATTCAGCTGGTTAAATGAGCGTGAAAATAAGCGTTTCTTTATTAACTTAGTGCAAAAAGTCAAATTTCAATGCTATAAAGAACTATTTCTCATTAAGAATATGGCCATCTTTCTTGGAGCTTTTGATGCAAGGGTGAAAATACCAAAAGATTTATCTGAGAAATTAACCCAATCAAGAAAATTTCTTAGTTCAGTATATTACCGAATCAAACTGCTAAAAAATTCAGTAGTTGGCAGTAAACGCCACAAACCTCAACTATCTTTAAAAAATATTGAAAAATTTTCAATGAGATCTAGTAAAGATATGAAGGAGCTCGTTAAAATATGCCACGAGATAAAAGAAGGGAACTTTCAAAAATATATCTTAGATTCATTACACCATTTAAACTTGTAAAAAACACTATTTGTGACTTTTATATTATTACAAAATTTTATTTTTTATTAATCAATACATTTTAAAAAATGCATTGAAGATATAAAGTGTTAAAAAGTTAAATGACAAAAATAACTTCAAATCTATGTTTGAAAACGTCATTGCCTTGAGTAGAAAGTTGGTAGGCTTCATTCTAAATTAACCAAACTATATAGCTTTTAGAGTTGGTAAACTGCTAGTATTTTCTGAAGGTCATTTGAATGCTATAATCTTCCAGTTGTCTATAGATGTTTCAAACACTATATATCTTTCCCAAAATGACAAAAGTTATATAGTATTTATATAAAAAAAATACATTTTCATTATAATTTATCAACATAAAATAGTAAGCTTTAGCAACAAAAAAACAAAAAGGTATAATTAAAAGGGAAAAGATTGTTATTTGTGTTGGTGAATTTTTTATGCAAATCCTTTTTTCAATTTTGTATTGAACAGATAGATAAAAAAAACTGTTTACCTGAAAAATTCGTGGTAGTTTGTTGGATGTTTTTTTTTTAAGTTGAGAGAAAGATCTGAATTTTATTATTGTTTGTAGCCTATTTTCAAAAGAAGTATTTCTATTTATTTGGAAAATTGCATGAAATACTTCTTTAAAAGTAAACAGCATTTCATTTTTAATTGAAATTAGTTATATACAGTAATTTCACGTATATGAGAATTTCACATATACATTAAGAATAAATTGAGGAACAACAATATCAGTCTTATTTTTTTAGAAAGCATTTCATAAATATCAATCCACAGGTTCATTTTGTGGAAATTTTTTATCACTATTCTGTTGAGTCCTTTCAAATCTTTCTAACCTTCTCTTTCGTAATTCATTTTCCTGGGTATCCTCAGCTCTTGAGGAATCTGCAGTTACTTCTTCAGAAACAGCGGTATACCCAACAGCACCTTCTGTTTTCGAGGAAAAAAATTGAATTAGCTTGCATACGCTCTATAGTTTGCAATCAATTTCTACTAAAAGATCATACCTAGTTGTTCGTCGGTTGTTTTACTTTGTGAGGAGGGAGATGTAGCTGTTTCCCTATTCTCTTCCTTTGTAGTACTAGTTTCCGGTTGTGGGTCTTTATTGGTGTAGGCACTCCAGTCAATATTAGCAGTTATTGAACTATATTGATGAAAATGAGTCATAGCAGCATCAAGAAGAGTTCGAATATTTCTCAAGCACATTATTCTTGCTTCTACAGCTCGTCTCTCATTTCCTTCCAAACTTCTTAGCTGCTCCTCGGTCATTTGAGCCAGCTGCTCTGGCATTATAGGAGCAACGGGTGGTGGAGGAAACGACGGCATACCGAGTGTGAAAAAGGGCATAAAAGATCCCGGAGGAGGTGGAGGAGGCGGGTTAACACCCATAGGTGGTAGAGTAAATGGTACTCTGGGAGCTGATGAAGTATTAACACTAGTTGTGGGTGTTGGGGTAGTTGAAGAACTATCGGTTGCTAGAATAGTGAGAAGACGACGTGAAGTAAAAAAGCTCCTTTTCTTTTAAAAAAAATTAAACTTACTAGTTGTTTGTGCTGATTGATTCGGTTGTCGTGGAACTTGTGGTGGTGGAATAGGCCAAAAATTGGGCATTTGAGCAGGTGCGGGAGCAGGCTGAGGTGCTGGTGCCGGCTGTGGGGGTGGAGGAACTCTATTTGCTTGAGACGTTTCAGACTGAAGCACATCTAATCGACAGATAGGACATGATTGTTGACGTTGGAACCAAGAGCGAAGACAAGATGTGTGAAAAATATGCCGACATGGTAGTTTTTTACAGGAGCCCACAGCCATATCTTCTCGGCAAATTATGCAAACATTATCGGTTGCCTGAAGTTCTTCAGCAGTCGCATTAGGATACAGAGTATTCATATTTCTAATTGCTCTTCGAGATTTAATCACGTCATTCAATGACTTTTTGAATGATCTCATAGTTAAATACAAAGGCCTTATTGCAAAAAGAGGGAACGTTAGAACCTTAATCATGATACTAAAGAACAAAACGTAGAGAACGACTTTGATGAAGCCGAGAACAAGTTCACCATATAATAAGTAAACGGCTTTATTCTCCCATGGATTTTCCGATTGTAAATCAATAGCATGTAGGACGTATTTCATAAGGACAGTAGCAGTCACAGTTAACAAGATAGCATACTAAAAAAAAGATAATTGAAAATTCAATCTATGTCTATTGTTAATTTTAAGAAAAAAAATTTACTTCAAATCCGAACACCAGTTGAACAGATGCTCCTTTTATTAATATGCTTTGGTAAGCATGATTGATCAAAAATAAATCCAAGCTGCTTAGTAGAACTATAAAAGCTATGTGAAAAATATAAAAGAAAATATATAATTTTTATAAATAATGTATAAATGATGTATCTTTTTTTATAAATTGATAAGTTACCTATAGCTCGTATATGAAATAAGATTGATATCGCAGGACTCCTTTCCATCTGTAAAGTATGATTGGCGTTAAAACAAATAGTAATTTTTTATTAGGTCTACTTACATAGTCAATTCTATCTTCTGATAGCCAATGGAATCCTTTCAAAAATAGAAGGAGAGTGAACATTGCTACAAATTTTGGACTAAAGTCATCTCGGAATACTGTGAAGGCTAAGCAAGTTTCTGTCACGGCGTACCAAGATTTTTCAATAAGATGCTAGAATGTGAAAATATTAGTAAAAAAAATTTTTTTGAAATATATAAAATCAAACAAACTTCAACTTCTGCTGCTCTTAATTGACCAAAAAATATCTTTTTTAAAAGCTTACCAAATAATACAACGAAAACAAAAGCTTGGGCGTATAATACCTGTAAAAAAGAATTAGATCTGTAAATGAACCAGATTATCGCTCATATTTATAAACTTACCGCCATACTAGGGTTAGATTTTGTCAAATAGACTACAGAAGGGTAGAATTGATTTTTCTGATAAAAAGCATTGAAAATAACTCCAGCCGTTAAGGCGAAACTACTCAATGTTACTAGTACTGCTTTCATTTTCTTTTTACTCTTACGTGGACTGCTAGTGGTTTGATCAATATGGCAGTGGAAAGTGCTATGCGCATGCGTAACGACCCGCCAAAGGTCATCCGAAAAGAGATCAATAAGCTATTTATCGGAGCGACTTTCGATGGCGATTGATAGAATTAGTGGTAATAAGTTAACTATCCTAGCATTAGTAACTTTAATCGTTAAAAATAATCATCATATTAGAGATCTATTCTAAGGATATCGCGCAGACTTTGAACAATATTTGAATTGTTTATATATCAAAAGATACGAGTTTAGTTGTCGTGTATGAATTTTATTGGTTAATTTTACGAAATTTAAAGAAATGTATCGTGTAATATCTTAAATCACACAACGAAAGCAAACAACTTTTAATTAATGCAAGTAATTTCGCAATCTCAATTTTTCAAGACACTTTCACAACAAATAATAATCTTCTATAATACTGATTATAAAGAGAATAACAGATTTAAATATTCAGTAAATGTAATATACTAATTCTGCGGAATCTAAATAAGATTGTAATTTAAAATTAAATATTGTATAGTTCTCGCTAACTAGAAATTCTATAAACAGCCGGAGTACGTGGAACTGCTTCCTTTTCTGGAATCGCACGGAATTCCTCTGAATTCGTTGATATCTGTGCTTTTTCTTCGCATATTCTCCGATAATCGGTTTATTCTTATTTGACTCGATCTTCTTGAGGATAGAAGGCAGGTGGCTGGAATGTTGTTAGAATTTCGACGGGAACCAACAGAGTTGCCCGATGTTGGTATATGACCGTGAGCTGTTGCTCGCACTCTCTGATAGCGATCCTTACAAATTCCACATTTTGCTAATGTTGCCAACAAGTCTTTTTTAAATTGCGATGTTAACAATGCGTAAATGAGCGGATTAGCACAGGCGTTTAAAGGGAAAAAAGTCACTACAACGACTTTGCTCTGGCTAACATCTACGAGAGGATAGCCTGCGGCTGCAGTTAAACCCAGAAAGGCAACAGGAACAACGCATACAAGATCCGTAAGGACCAGCGGTGCCATTCTCTTAGCAACTTTTGCATCTACCGGACTTCCACTTGCTTGTCCTCCTCTCGCACGACGAAATATATCAATATAAGCAGTAGCTGCGTAAAAAATGATACAAGAGAGATAATTATAATTTATAATACTTGTTTTTCAACAATAGACCCTTAATTAAGATATTTTTTACTATATACTTGTATATAGTATACTATAGTATACATAGTACATAAATGACTAATACTTTAACGTGTGGATAGCAATAAATATGTTGATATTGAGATTAGAATAAGAAGAAATAGTAATACCGATTATGATAAAACCAATAATTTGAAGAAGTAGGAGGATAAAGACGTAGATTTGCGCCTGCGAATTAGATACGTCCATTGGCAGACAAACAGATGTCTTACCGTACGTGCTAACGCCTGACAAGGGTAGCGTTGCTATAGAGACGCTATATATCCAAGCCAATAGCATAGCGATAGCGGCTCTCTTTAATGAAATTCTTTTCGTTAATCTCACCGCGTAAGCAATAGTGTACCATCTCTCAATTGTAAGTAAAACCAGAGCTGAGGTTGAAACATTCGCCGCTAGAACGGCTAAAAATCCTGCAGCTTGACAACCTGGACCATCTTGCCATCTAATTGCATAATTGAAATAAACACCTCTAGTGCTATGGTCAATACTAGCTAAACATAACAAATATATCCCTAAGCTTAAATCAGCAATTGATAGATGAGAGATGAGAAATTTGGAAACTCTTAAACCTGTTTTCAGTGTACAGATATTAACTATCAGTACTACACTATTACCAATCACAGCTAACAGGATAGCAAACCAAACGACTACTCTTAACCACTCAGAACCAAGAACACCTTCACAGGGATTAAATGCATCTGGCGCCGGTGTACAAGAAACATTCTGTAGGAATTTAATGATTTCTCCCGAACCGCATATTGTTGATTGATTAATAATATGGGTACTCGGTAGAGGCATAACATCCCATCCACCTTTTGAAGTTTCTTTCTTTAAATTTGCTTCTACACATTTGTTATTAAATTCTCTATCAAATTTCGACCAATCCCAAAGTGGATATTGTAATTTTGGCTTTTTAAATGCGCAGCAATGGTAGGAATAAGTAAGCTTTGTCACTTTCAATTTAGGAAATTTTCCAACGGGCGGAAATTTTTTTAAAGTTGATACATTTTCCAAATTCAAGTACTCAAGATGGCCTAAACCACTTGTTGGCAATTTTACAATTGATGTTGACGATAAATCCCTAACAAATGTTTTAAATAGCAAACAGTTAATACAACTAGTACTTTCTCCTATTAGATTAAGATACAGAATATATGTAATATATAATATCACGATAATTATTAATTTTACTTACAATTTTATCAATCCTTTTACATTTTGAAATGCTAAATCATGTAAAAAATTCAATCTTGGATTACCATTAAGATTTCTGCCAAAAGAATACAAAGAATAGAATTAAGATATACATAAATTTTAATATGACCTTGTTTAGTACCCCCTTTTTACTTTATATATAATATATACATAGTATGTTTTATACTGTTTGCACTGTAAATTTTCTATTTAGCATCATTCAGAGTACTCTAATTAAATTGTTTTTATCACCTTGAACTTCCTTTATTTGTTATTTTTAAATAATCTAAAAACATTGTTTATTGAAAAGATACAAAATAATAATGACTTACAGCTTGGATAATTCTATAGAAGAGAATGCATCTTTTTCAATTCTTTCTAACGACGATTTCGTAATGCATCTATAATGAAGAGAGAAAGAAAGAAAGAGGGAGAGAGAGAGAGAGAGAGAGAGAGAAAAGATGTAATAACAATAAAATGTAATATAGTTTATTATGTTTCTCTTACAATTCTCCGATGACAGTAGTTTGGTTTAATGTTGATCTAAAACTATCTGATTTCAACACTCGTATCGGATTACCACTAAAGTCTCTATAAGAAAACATAAAGGGGAAAAGATTAATAAATAAGGAAAAGAAAAAAGAAACAATTTCTTTTTACTTACAACTTTATTGGTGTTTTCGTAGAAAACGTAGAAAAATCTGGTAGTTTAGTCAAATTACAATACTTTATTTTTCTATTAATCAAGAAAATTAAATTAAAAGTACATGTCCTTTTTCAGTTTTTCGTTTTTTTATCTACATTAAGTAGCCTTACAGTGTCGTTAGATTCCTTAGTGATGTCATTATATCTGAGCATTCTGTTAGCATTTTACTATTCTCGATAAGTCTTTGAAAACAAAAAAGTAAAGCAAAAAGTCATATTTAGTTTTTTGTTTTAAAAAAGAAGAAAACAATGGAAATAAGCAAACTTACATTGTTTTCAAAACGCTTACTTGACCCAAATTAAAAGATCCTTTATGAATTTTCTTTAACTTTTCATTGCGTGTCAAAACTCTGTTTGTTTGTAAATATATTTATAAAGAGAGAGAGAGAGAGAGCAAAAGAAACAAACTAAATATATGCATACATGCACCTATGCTGTATTCTCTTCCTTGTTATTCTTTCACAATAATTAGAGGATAAATATGATACATATACTATATAAGTATTAATTAAAAAACAAACAGTTAATTGCTCTCTTTATCATACTTTCTTGTGGAAGGAATTCAGAGAAAATGCATGATTAGTCAATTAAAATATAATAATTGCTTTCAATTTTTCTTGGAAACAGATTAGCTTTAGAAACATTTTCAAATATTTCCTTCCTCTTCTGCCTTTTTTTCTTCCTCTTTTAAGTCTAAAAGATGAGAGTACTCGCTAAAACTTATAATATAAAAATTCAATTAATTAAGGAGAATGCATCCGCTATTCTATATAGATTTATTAGTAATCTTTTTTCAATTGTACAGGTGCGTCAATCCCTACGCATTGTATATGGCAACTAGGTATATTCTGTATATATATATATATATATATACTGTATATATTTGATAATAAATTCAGAGCTTTTAATTTAATCTTTCTTCAATCTTTCTTAATTTTGTTACTTATATACATGATACAGTATACAATAGTCGACAAAAGTAACCGGACACTACTACAGGTTTGTTTTAAAAATCTTAACTCCTCCTACTTTACGATGTTGTTGTGAAAAATATAATATATAATTATATACAGTATAGTGTATATATTGCCTGTTAAGTTAGATATTCTATAAAAGGTATTTGGGAAGAATTTCACTTTACGGTAGGAGAATTCAGGTAGCCATTTAAAAGAGTTGTTTTGAAAGTCTGGAATAGAGATCATGGATTAGCTTGTCCATAGTTCAGATCTCAATATTTGCCGAATGCTCCAGAAGAAGATTTATGATGAAACATAGTTTTCTAAAAGATGATAATCTTTAGTAGAGAATTGAAGATGAGGCTAATAGACTGTTAAACAACCAACCAATAATTATCTTAAACTTCCATAGAGATATAGAGTGAGTAGGGTAGCGAAAGATATAAAATAAATTATGTCCGATTATTTTTGGCGATTAATGTAAATAAACAGGACATTTATTTGCTTAAATAAGTTATATATAGAGTATCTTACATGTGTGTCAACCTAGAATAATTACGGAAGGGTGAAATCTTCCCAAAGGGCGATATTTCCTCAATAAGTGTATTCTTAACAAGTCTGAAAAAAGTTAGATTTTCCATTTAATAGATAGATAATAGAAACAATGGATTATATCAAAATATGAAATAATTAGTAACTTTTCATCTTATTGGTTAATTTGTATATAGGAATGTTATATACTGTATAAGTGACAGTATAAATACACTTTTATAGTTCTCTATTTTTTAATTGATAGTATTATATAATCCCCAATTAGCAACAGATATTCTCTCCTCTCCCGGGAGAAATGTCAAATTTTCCGAAAAAAGAATAAGACACCAATAACAAACAGGAAATAGAAGGGTAAAGAAATAGAGTGAAATGGCATTGATTTAATGAAGCTTTACCTTAATTCTGACAGGTAAATTATAAGAGATGATTCGGATTTTGGTAATTTGAAAGAATAATAATAAGATTTGTTTAAAACAGAACTGACCAGTGTAACAGAGAAACACAATAGTTGTAATTAGTAAAAACAGTGAGAAGTCGCATAAAGCTATTTTGCCGCTTCTAATAATTAAAAAAACGACATGCAATGATTAAACGGAATTAATTTCTTGACTGATTGCAAGTTTATAGCGTTTCCTTGAAACGAAGGGGATTACAAGGTATCACATTTCAAGGGTACGTGATTACGAAGCACTAGAACATTGACAATTCATGATTGCTTCTCTCTTGCTAATTGTTTCTCTATAAACGGTCTTTTTCTTTCGAGAATCTTATAAAAAGGGTTTTTTTGTTATCTATTTTGTTTGTTGTTTTTACTTACAGTATATCAATTGTTGGAGGTAAGTTGGCAGGAATCTCCGTAATGTTTCTCCCTTGACACTTGGCTACTGATTGATTATTGCCATTTTTACAACAGTTGCAAGGTCCGCAAGGTGTACAATTCGACCCATCTAGGTCCACTTTCCTCTGTATACTTTTAGTATACACTAAAAGCGTCTGGGCTAGTAGCAGCCGAAGGCAGCGCATAGCTTTGACTGACCGCCTATTCGTCCACCACGTGATCGGTTAGCAACTTTTCCAGTAGCCAATCAAATTTAATAATAGACGTCACCTATACGTGTCTGCGTACTGCCGCTTCCGATACCAATTTCGTACGTTCCGTATATTCCATTTGCAAATAATTCATTAAGTAATCATTCGTTTTACAAACGCTGTGTGTCCTTAAAAAAACTTTGTTTAGCACTTTTCTTGAGCTTCTATCTTTATCGCAAATTCTCCAACTTTAACGCCTTGCCAATGTTAACATTTTTCGAAAAATAAATGGAAAGAAACAGGAAAGAAGAAGAAGAAGAAGATAAAGAAAAGAAACAGAAGAAGAGAGAGTATTATTTTTATTTTTAAAGAACCAAACAATTCATATCTCGTCTTTTATATCTATTTTGTCAACTTGATATTTGTAACAAATAATTAAAGTTTACATTAATATTTAAATATCTTTAAACTAATAGTATGACTTTCTATAAATGTAACTTAATCTATTTATTCTGAATAATTTACATATTTATCATAGCTATAAAGGCTATTCAAAATTAAATGATCAATCTATTATTTACCGTTATTCTTTTATTTATCGATTATAGGTATTTTCAATCCTGATATTCTCTGAAAATATTAAGAGACAACTCCTATTAATCCTCTCTCTCTTATCCAATCCTCCCTTCCCCCAATGGAAACATACGGAAAATTAATCTTAAAAAATGACATCTTTTAGTTTTTAATAAGATTATATTGAGATTTCTATCATGTCCCCGCATCATCTTTCGCGTTAAGATATCATTAGAACACGGCTCATGTTTACGTATATTTTTGTATTCAACAAAGGCTCATTTTAAATTTACTATTGTAGTTCTTTAAAACAGTTTATTGACATGTTTATCATCAGAGTAACTCAACCTACCCTATTGACTACATGTATATTATATACAGTATATACTTATATTTATATAAATGATGATAAAAAACGTACCATCACCAAAACTTATTAAGAATTAACAATCTATTTTAAAACTGAATTATCAGTTTTGCTATTAATAATATTTATAAATTGAGTATAAAAAAAATTCAATTTTTATCATTTCATTCATAAAATCTCATTTAATTTTAATACAATAAAAAATCAAATTTATTAAACGAATCACCGTTAATTCTAGAGATAAAAATGAAGAATTTACCATTATTATTTATTATTATCATTACTATATGAAAACAAGTAAAATCATTTGTTTTGTAGTAAGAATATCTTTGTGCTTCTCATAAAATAATTATTATTATCTATCTATCTTTTAATTTTATTCTCATTTTCATCATTTTACATCTTTTGATAATTTGAGAAGGTTTATTATTTTGTACAAGAAAACACAATTATTATTAATTAAATCTATTTTATACTATATAAATAAGTCAATTGTTGAATACTTTAATTTTATTAAGTTCCAGTTATTTACTCTTTTCTTTTTATAAAGAAACAACAAAAACTATAAATATACAGACCATTAGCTGATTTCTCGAGAGGAGTGAGAAAGAGATTGTAAGATAGGTAGAGAGATGAAAGAGAGATTGAGTGAAAGAAAGAGAGAGAGAGCGAGATATATATATATATATATATCTACAGTATGTACACAGACAAGTAAAAAGGGAAAGAGGCAGAAAATAGGAGCACAAAACATATATATATATGTCGTTTGCTATTTATACTGTATATACAATATATATATATATATACACGAATTATGTTTATTGAATATATACTGTATATCCGAATTATTGAGTTATAGAACCAATCATGTCAACTTGGTTTGTTACAGAGAGCAAATAAGATTAATTAAAATATACATTAAGAGAAAGAAACATTTGTTTTTAGAAAGAAATACATTTAACTCAAACAAAATCGGAAATGAATCAGTAAAGAAAAGATAGAAACCTTATTTAGCATAGAATATCCCTGAAATATACGTAAATTCCTATTTATAAGTGCTTTATAAACAGTATCTGTCTTATGTGTAGACTACATACAACTTCTTATTGTACCATGAGATTTTATAAATATATATAGTATACAGTATATACTGTATATATAGAAGAAGTAGCCAAATTATGGCATAAAATCTATAAGAGGATAGGTTTTTCTAACATTCTAATTTAAAACAGCGGTTCTTTCAAGTTCAAAGAGGGTTAGGGAAAATTGATTGCTTTTAATATGAGGAAGCCAGGTGACTAAATGAATACAATGAAAAGAAAAGGAAATAAATTTATTAAAGAGTAATTTATACGGGGTTTTGCCTTCTTTACTAAAGCCATTGGTGCTATAATTAAAAAATACCCAAACAAATTTATTTAATCCAGCAGACATCCTATATCCTTTTTAACATATAAAATTTTATTTTTCATATAATCAACTAACATGATTAGCTGTTGTTTCTTTTCAATATTTTACAGTTTTGTATTGTCAAATAGACCACAAACATATATATACAGCATATATACATATATACTTGAATATATATATATATATGTATACTCATATGCTGTATTTACATTCTGATTAGCACAATATGGATACATATTCAGTTGATTATGGACAAATGAGTGACGTAATACAATTCTATTCAATTACTTGTTCGTAAAACGAGAACAAGTCTAAGAATACAAGAATACTACAAAATAATGATACGGTCGTACGAATAATAATAATAAAAAGAAAACTAATAAGAATTATCGGTTGAATTTGCTGAGCACAATATATACTTTCATAGTTTTTTAACAGACAAGCAAAAAAAAACAACTGTACTATCGACGCCTTAAAAAAAACACAAGAACAAGTAATTTAACCATTTTTTCTCTACTATTGCTAAAAAAAATAAATTTACCAACTTACCTAAGTACGGTAAATTCCCTGTTTTTTTAGATTGACAGTTTTTCTCCCTTATGGTTTTACACAAGGGATATTTACTTATTATTAAAAGTATTACACCTGTTACTATTTATGAATGGCATAGTTTATATAATATTGACATATACAGGTACTCAGACGATTCCGATTTAGTATTTTTTTCCAAAGCAACAAAATATATATTCAAGGGTACGAAATTATTTACAGTTACATCACAAATCACTTAAACATAGCAATAGTAATATATTTTACCAACAGCAAAGAGGCAGTAAAAGGCAAGTGTTATCAATTGAGTGAACATTTTTTTGAAGTAATATTTTTTTGATGACTTATTTTATGACACAAGTTTAGCATTAAATTAAAACAACCTTCAAAGATAATCAATTTTTTTAATATTCATTTTTGACCCTTTTCATAGGATTTCGAGTCTGACAGGTATCAAGTTCACTTTGCCATCAAGAAAACAACTGCTGCTCATTGTCCAAATGTTTGGACGCAGTTCATACTCTATCACAAATCTAAGTAGGCTATCGATCCTTCAGCTCGACCCTAGAAAAGCTGTCATAGTTCTTTACATAAGATAAGCACTTTTTAGGGAAGCTTGTTAAAATTTCTTATGACATTAAATTATCTCATTTGAAAGCCATCACTTTCTAGTCTATTGCCATCTAGTGGCAAAATTGTTTTCCTATTAGCTGGTTTTTTTCATTATTTTTTACTGTTACTTAATTCACTCATATACAATACCAACTGCTGTTGTTAATCTTATTACATCAATGTTATATATGTTATAGCAATACAACAGACCTACATTTTTACACTACTACCCTTAATAACAAAATAGGAAATTCTCCTTGAATAATGTACATATTGTAACAAAATACCAATGAGTAAAAATTATTTAAAGGCCTCTGGCGGAATTCTGCGTTGTTTCTAAAACACATAAATCAACCAATTAAGATCATATTTATCTTATTATAACAATTAATTTTACGTTTAATTCCTTGAATGCATCCCCGCTCCTTTCAGGCTGCCAGTTATGCTCACGTAGAAGCTTTTCTGCAAATTCCCTCTTCATGCCACTCCAAGTTGAAAATTGATCTATCATTGAATTCCTCATATCTGGTGTCTGTTCGAGTGGGACTGACGGGACAGTTGGTGAAACATGAACAGGACTTGAGGATGGTGTAGGAGCTGATCTTCTTGATAAGCTAGCAATTTGGTCTCTTGTTGGAGAAGCGATTGTCAATTGTTCATTCACAACGACAATTCTGCAAATTAATTTGGATTATAAATTCAATATTAACGAAATTTACAAAAAATTTTAAAAAACATACCCTCCATTGTGTGGTATAGTAACAAAGGTTCTGCTAAAAAATCTGGCATATTTAGCGTCCCCTCGAGTTTCATCTATAGAAAATTACTGTAAAAATGAATTCATATTTATCTATCTAATTACCAACCTCGTTCGGTAAATAAACCGTGGACTGTGAATGTTAAAATTAAAGGCTGAAAAAGTAAGAGATTTTAATAGACATAAAAATCAAAACATAAATGAAATAATTACAGAAGAATGGGAAACATCCACTATAAATGACTGAGAATCGTGTTTAGTTGCAGGAAAAGAGTCATTAAGATAGGCAACAATTGATAGTTTTCCCTTTTTCAGCAGCGACTGTCTTTTACTATCATAAACTTTAAGTAAATTTCTGCTCTCTGATATATATCTTTTGGGTATAGACGAATTATGATAACCAGAGTAACTGAAATAAAACAATTTATTAAAATAGACAAATATCCAATAATATCAAAAGAAATTTACTCGTTTTGTTGCAATTTAGCCAGATTAACGCTCATTGAAAACATAGCACTATCGTGATAGGCGTTAAACAGAAGATGCCTTGCATCACTATCGAATAATTTGTAATACCTGGAGAGAATAAACTGTTTAGTATTTATCATAAATAAAGTATATTTAACTTACTCTTCAAGAAATCGAACTACTATCACCTTGGTTTCATCGTTTCCAAAGTAACTTTCCTAAAAATTCAAAACCAATCAAAATATTATAACAAATAATAAATATAATTTCACCTTTATTGGTGGTAGAGAACAGTTGGATTCGATATCGAATTTTATGTTGGGTGGTAGTTTCTGGTTGTTCTGATTGTTACAATAATATTTAATAATTGGATATTTTTTTCAAAGTTAACAATATATGTTTACCAGCTTTTCCAGGTCTGGAACGCGTTTCCTTACAAGGCTGAAAGGTGTCAAGTCAACATTTATAGCTTCAACAAATCATGTTCTAAAGCCTCCATCTTGAGCTGCGCTAATTTACAAAAAATACCGACAAAGAACATAAACACAGGCTGAAGTTTAAACTTCAAGCAAGAACCACAGGCTCAAGTTGCTCAATATTACCAGTCATGTCTACATATACTAACAAGATATAAACATATTTCTCCCCATACACGATATGTTGTATAACTTGTTGTAACACAATTTTCCAAAGAGACAAAAGCGGCAGCCAAAAGTGGGCAAGAACAATTATTGGGATTATATGGATGTTACCTGATTAAACTTGAATTATTTGATGAATTTGAGCATATTGGGTTCCCATCAATACACAGCTCTGTTATTTTGAAGCCCTTTAGGCCATCAATATCTTGTTCGTATCGTACCTAAAGAAATTTTAAAGTAAATATAACAAAATTTGATGTTCTATTTTCAAACTTACTCCGTTATTAGATAGGTCTAAAACTGCTAATTCCGGCGCACTCTCTTTTAAATGTGACCATGTTCTTAGGTTTACTAAACGATTGTTACTCAGGTTCAAAGATTTCAGCTGGAATGAATACTATTAATTTTTTTTTACACCTTATAATCTCTTTACCTCTGGAATATTTTCCTTGATTATCTTAAGAATGGCTTCCACATTTGATGCATCTGACATATTCAAGTATATTTGGTCTTTATTCAGCTCTATTTTAGTTAGGACATTTTGTAATGATTGCAAAAACTGATGGCAATATTTACCTTCATTTTTATAAAAGTTTGATAAGTCTAAACTTCTAGTTGCAGGTATGTATTTCTCGCTCATAGCCACCTACAAAATGCAAAGATTTATAAGATGATTCCAAACAGCATTTACTTCAACCAACTTTCAACTTGTCTACAGTGTCGGGATCCATAATTACTTTGTTTTTTCGTCCACCTCCCTGATTTTGATATGATTTTTTTGAGTAGTTATCTCTATCTCCACCACCTCCACTTCCTCCTCTATGTCCCCTTTGATTCCTTCGGCGATAGTTTGAACCTCCTATCCTATTTTGAATGTTGTTATCACCAGAATTTCTCCCTTGATAATTTCTTGACCGATTGTACGGGTTACTAATTGACAAAAGAAAAAAGATCAACCAAATTGATCCAATAGAGCTTTCAATATTTATACTGACTATCGATCAACTGAAGGTCCTTGAGCACCTCCTTCCATACTTTCATCTTCATTTAAAACAACCGAATGGGAGTTATTATAACCTCTGTTACCTCGACCACCTCTTCTTCCATAATTATTGTTATTGTATGATCCTCGAGATCCTCTTCTTCCCCTCCCTCTACCCCGCGAATTCCTGTCGTATTCACCGGAGCCTCGGTCATCATGTTCTGAATACATATCCTTATTAGAAAACAATAAAAATGTTTCTCGAAACTCAGCGCATGAACAAGTATCGAAAGATCACTATGAATGCATCGATATCTATATAAAATTCATTTTGATCGAGATCGGAATCGAAATCGTTAGAACAACCCGATCTACCAATAGTGAATTGGGCAACCATTACCGGAAGTGTTAAAATATGCAATAAAATTCAGGTCTAGAAAAATCTTCGGTGTATTAATTAATATAAAGTTTACAATTAATGACTTTAAAAAATTTTCCAAAAAATATAATGGTGCCTTTTTATGCAATCTTGATGTCACGTGACATCACAGTTTTATAAATAAAAAAAAACCATAATAAAACTGTCGTGAACCTCATGCTTTCTTTAAAATTAAGCCTAATTTCATAGGTTATATTAATTTTTTGACAAGGAAAAATTGTAAAAAAATATATCTTTTACTTTTTTAAACTTTTCTTCTACTACAAGAGAGCAATAAACTTGTTCAATAATTGTCAAGTTTGAATTTCAGTCTCCTTTGAAACAAATTAATAGCAAAAATATTATATATATGGCTATAAAAACTATGAGACATATAAGACTTAAAATTTAATAAGTTAGCTATAAGTTACTAAATTGTACGAGAACATGACTTCTTGTTTTAAGAAGACATGTGGTAATTCACTAATTCTACCTTAAATCATAAACAAATTTTTGAGAGTAGGAAGTTGTTATTACTTTCCCTTCTTACTCTTACCTATGAACGTGCCCTGATGCTAATTTCTCCGGAAGGAAATCTGACAATTTTCGATAACTTTTAATAACGACATACCTGATAATTCACGACCTCGCTCATTATTTATTGTCACTTTAATATTACTCATAATTTTATTATTTTTAAAATCCTAAGATGATATAAAAATGGCGGACGAGTTTTGAAAGCCTATTCTTATAAACCAGTTTTGATTTTTATTATTAAACTTAAGAAATGTACTGATAATTGGATTTATTTTTACGCATCAGATCATGCACTATATATATTTATTCTCGACATCTTTCTTATCTTAAGTTTCTTTTTAAACTTTTCAATTATTGTCTTATTTAATTAATAGTTTTAGAGTAATTTTAAAGATAGTTTATTTTGCATTTGTAAAAGCAATTTTTTTAGTATTTTTACAAAATAATCTCAAAAATTTCAAAAAGTATATAATTGAAAAAATTTGATTGCAATTAGAATTTTTTTATCAAAGGATTTCGCCTGTTTAGCTACTTCTAGTGCAACAGAATCCATCTATATTCTAGTTATACCCAATTTTTAGCAGACAACTTTGGCAGTCTAGAAGCCGAAAATGGTAAGAATTTAGGTTTTTTAGGGACAAAAAGACTACAATTGTGAAGGAAATATATACTTAGTTTTAAATAAAATTATAGTTATCTGAAAAATCTAAAAAATGTAACTGTAATTTAATATTTTCCGTATTCTTTCACCAATATTCATACATTGCTTAGTCACAGTACTCTTTACGTTTTATAAAATCTATAGGGTCAACAACAGTCTGGAGGAACTGGAGGAGGTCCTGGAGGTGGACGCGATAAGAAGGATGATAAGGTATTTCCGATACTCTTTTAAAAAACAAATTCCAGCTTTTTTAATTTAGGAGAAAAAGAAGTACGAACCCCCAGTTCCAACAAGAGTTGGAAAAAAGAAGAAAAAGATGCGCGGACCCGATGCAGTTAATAAACTCCCATCAGTCACACCTTACACGCGGTGTCGTCTAAAATTATTGAAACTTGAACGGATTAAAGATTATTTATTAATGGAAGAGGAATTTATTAGAAATCAAGAGCGACTAAAGCCACAAGAAGAAAAAGAAGAGGAAGAACGTTCCAAAGTAGACGATCTTCGTGGTACTCCTATGAATGTAGGAAACTTAGAAGAAATTATCGATGATAACCATGCGATAGTATCCACCAGTGTTGGAAGTGAGCACTATGTCAGTATTCTGTCATTTGTGGATAAAGATCAATTGGAGCCTGGATGTTCCGTATTGTTGAATCACAAAGTTCATGCTGTTGTGGGTGTCCTGAGCGATGACACTGACCCAATGGTGACCGTTATGAAATTGGAAAAGGCCCCTCAAGAAACTTACGCCGATATTGGAGGTTTAGACAGTCAGATTCAGGAAATCAAAGAATCTGTTGAACTGCCATTAACCCATCCAGAATACTACGAAGAGATGGGAATCAAACCACCAAAGGGAGTTATTTTATACGGTGCACCCGGTACTGGAAAAACTCTGTTAGCAAAAGCTGTGGCTAATCAGACGTCTGCCACATTCTTAAGAGTCGTTGGTTCTGAACTCATTCAAAAGTATTTAGGCGATGGACCTAAACTGGTTCGTGAATTGTTTCGCGTTGCTGAAGAGCACTCGCCTTCCATAGTTTTTATTGACGAAATTGATGCAGTAGGAACAAAGCGATACGAGTCTAATTCAGGGGGAGAACGCGAAATTCAACGTACAATGTTAGAGTTGCTAAATCAGTTGGACGGTTTTGATTCTCGTGGTGATGTCAAAGTAATTATGGCAACAAATCGCATAGAAACACTAGATCCAGCCCTTATAAGGCCTGGAAGAATTGATAGAAAAATAGAATTCCCGCTTCCTGATGAGAAAACCAAAAGACGTATTTTTAATATTCATACTAACAAAATGACTTTGGCGGATGATGTAGATTTAGATGAATATGTGCTAGCCAAAGATGATTTATCTGGAGCAGACATAAAGGCAATATGCACAGAGGCAGGTCTCCTAGCTCTGCGAGAGAGAAGAATGAAGGTTACATCGGAGGACTTTAAAAAGAGTAAGGAAAATGTCCTATATAGAAAGAACGAGGGCACTCCGGAAGGTTTATATTTGTAATAGGGTTTTTCTTGTAATGCACTTTACATAATAAATACTATTCAAAAATATCTATTGCGTTCCTTTTTTTTACAAATTACACTGGCATGTCTTATACAAAGCAAGAGTTATTCGATCACTAGTTGATATTCGTCTAAGCTGTTAATTTCCTCGATTATTCTATCCTCTTGTTCCTTATATTTTTGAATCTATAAAGATAAAAAATCAGGATGGAAACAAAAAGATAAGTTTTTATAACTCACAACTTTGTTGTTAACTGGCTTTTTAGGTTTCTTAATTGATGGACTTTTATGCTCATCATCAGACCTAATTTCCATGCTATAAGGATCAGTCTCAGCTTTCGACGTATTTTGGAAAGAGTCTTCTGTAAACAAATTTTCGGAATCATTCTCAGTTTTCTTTCCTTCAGTCAATACTTGTTTCCTTTTCTTTATTCCAACGTACGAATTTCGTTTTCTTTTTTTCCTATTCCCTAAATTTTCATCAGCTTGAAGCACATTCGTTACTTGGGAATCGCAGATTTCTTCAAGTAATTCGCCTTGTCTCTAAAAAACATGTATAAAAAAACGTTCTATTTCGAATATGGCACTTACCTTTGTGGCTTGAGCAGTAACTTCTTTATTTACTTCTTTTTCAGGAGGAAAGTGAATAGCATCGTGACTGAACAAGTTGTCCGAGTTTTGTTCAATATCGCTTGTAGCATTATTTAAAATTGGCATTTCGTTTTGACTATTACTATTTTGATTGTTCGGATTCTTTTTTCGTTTTCCTGAGAATGATTTTCTTTTTTCGATTGACTGGCTGAAGCGATGGAATTCAGGAGATTTATTTTTCTTCGCTCTCTTTAACGGAGGTGACGCACTAGCCACTGGACTAACTTTTGGCAAGCTCATTTTTGTTTTATGTCCAACTAAAGATGGAGTTGAAGAAGCTATTCCTTTCTTAGGCTGATGAATCGAATCTCCAAGACCACTATCAACCAGTGAATCATCAGAAAATTCATAAACTTCAAATGCTCTCTTCTTAGCTTTTTTCAAAAAGCTATTACTTAGGCGACTTGATTGCCTAGTCCCTTTCTGTTTGAAGTGTATTCTTCTTACACTCAAATTATGTTAGATAAAATAAGCGAACCTTTTTTTTTGTTACTTTTTCCTTATCAAGTTGCTTTTCTGACTTCTTTAAACCTTTACTCCCTTTTCTACTATCTCGAGTCATATCTTTTTTGGCTAGGAAAGAAATTCTAATTTATTTTTAAATATTGGAATAAATAAACGTTCAATTGGCGCGAACCAGTTTGTTTTGATTCTCGGGTGGGTCGTTTTCGTGTTTCTCCTCTCTTTTTTGAATTTCCACTTGAATCTTTTTCTGTATTATGTTTAATTCTTCCCATGATCACTCGATTTGTGTCGATTATTCGCAATATAATTAAAAAAACAGTTATTAAGACTGTTGAAAAAATGGCGCTCAATCAGTAGTCACGTGATTGCTATGGACCACAAACCATACGACTGAAAAAGTCATGTGACGGGTTGCCATTTAGATTGCAGAACATACATTGATAATTTAAAGAAACATGTCGGGTAAAGACAGAATTAACATCTTCCCGTCTCGGATGGCTATGACTATAATGAAGGCACGACTCAAAGGTGCCCAAAAAGGTCATTCGCTGCTGAAAAAGAAAGCAGATGCCTTGACAATAAGATTTCGAATCATCTTAAAGAAAATTATTGAAACGAAGCAATTGATGGGCGATGTGATGAAAGAAGCCTCGTTTTCACTAGCTGAAGCTAAATTCGCCACCGGAGACTTTAGCCATTTGGTCTTACAAAATGTCAATAAAGCCCAAATTAAAGTTCGTTCGAAAAAGGATAATGTTGCTGGGGTAACATTACCAATTTTCGAATCCTATACTGATGGATCGGACAGCTATGAGTTGGCTGGTCTATCAAGAGGTGGTCAGCAAATTGACAAACTGAAAAAGAATTATGCTAAAGCTGTAGAATTGTTGGTTGACCTAGCCTCTTTGCAAACGTCTTTTGTCACTCTTGATGAAGTAATTAAAATTACTAATCGTCGTGTGAATGCCATTGAACATGTCATCATTCCTAAAATCGAGAGAACACTATCGTATATCACTACAGAATTAGATGAGCGAGAAAGAGAGGAATTCTTTCGTTTGAAAAAGATTCAAAACAAGAAGAAGAAAGATAAAAAAGTCAAAGAAGAAATGCAGAAGGAATTAGGAATCCAGGAGAGTGGAGCAGACGGACAACGTAACCTGTTAGAAGACGATCACGACGAAGATTTATTGTTTACTTCATAACACTAAAACAGTAATATTCAGGTGTTCTAGATAGTCCAAAATGTATTCAATTTTTAGTATACATAGGCATTAATAAACAAAACTTAAATTAAATGAAAGGTTGATTAAACAAATCTACTGCAAATCTGCTACAATTACTTCTTATTATTTGATGAACTAAGCACTGTTCGTAGATTTTCCATTAAACCTTCAACTTCCTCGGTATTAATGACCTTGTCCATATGTTGTCGGACAGAGCACAGCACCTGAAATAGAAATAGATAAATGCAAACGGAAATAACCTTAAGTGCAAAATGTAAACCTTTTCCAAGTAAGTCAAACCGTTACTAAATTGAGATTGTAAATCGTAGCAGTCAGCCTTTGAGCATATTTTCTGCAGCATCCTTGAGCATTGAGTAACAACGCCCATGATGGTTCTTTCAGGGGGTAGAACAGTATATTGAAATTTAAAAGGTAGACCGGATGGATGAAGAGCTGTACGGTGAACTGTAACGCATCTAAACTCAGCGCTATAATTATAACTTTTTGGTCGATAGGGATTAGCTATGACGCCAAGGAAGGGACAACCTGTATCTTGAGCAAACCACTCTTGGTACTTTTGCTGAGTTTCGATATCAACTAAGCTTGGATTGGGCGCGAATGTAGGGTGTGAGTGGTACCAGCCAACCACGCTACAATCTTGGGATATAATTTTTTCACTAGCTTCCATTTGCGAAATAGGGTCCATTTCGCACTGCGTTCCTGTAGAAACTGATCGACAAGCTTCGGCTATACGAACTGTTAGGGATCCCTCTTCTTCGCTGTAGGTTCCTCCTAGGAGTCCGATAACCTCAGTCTTACAGACATGACTGTGCATATCTATCAAGACAAGAGCGTCCGCACAAATTCTTAGTGTGAAGGGTTCTTGCACGTGATGATCGAAGTTGTGACACATGATAAGTTGAAACGGATCGTGGCTGATTTTCACCCTGGGTGCTCTGCGGGATCTCTTCAACGGCAGTTCTTCATTATTGTGTCGAATTGTTCGACCTTGAATCTCATTGAATGAAACCCAATTACCTTCATCATTCCTTACTCGGGCCTGCCTCTTCGATCTTCGCGATAGGTCCGTATTTCGAGATTTGTTCGGTTGTCGCTTGGCTTTCAACGCGGAAGGTTTTCGGGATGGAGACGGGGGAGCGTAAACTAGGAATATAATTGAAAGGAGTAGAAGTTTACGTATATTTTAATACACCAACCACTGTTAAAATTAATAGCACCAATCGCTTCTAAATAGCAGTGAATTCTGCCTATGGCATTTACATCTCCTAACTGAAGAGAATGTCGGACGGCACTCTTTGTCAAATGTTTTGGTTTAATTTTTGCCCAACAGTCAAGAATATGGTTTCTCAAGTGCAAGTAGCGTTGTGGTGTTTTCTTAGGGCGATTACCGAAAAATTCGGGGTGAGATCGTTTTTCCTCTTCACTAATATGATCTCGAGCCAGTTCGATTTCATGGTCAGGCTTGGTTATTGTTATTTTTCGTCCCTCGCAAGTCTTAAAAATAAGCTCTGATGGCAAAATAATTATTCAATGTTTTTATTTTTATACAGTATATTAAATACAAACCATTTGTATTTTGTTCATCGTCCTCCGTATTTTCCAATGGAACTGTCTCCTCTTCTTTTATACCGACTTCGTGCTGAACAAAATTAGCACTACTATAAGTATGATCTTCAACCGCTCGGTAATTTGCAACAGTAATATTATCAGCATATGAGGAAGAAGTAACGATTTCTTCATATTCAGCAACGGGAATGGATCCTGTTCTAATTCGCTCTTCGTAACCCGCTTCATTCTTTTCTAATTCTTCATCAGTTTCAGTTTCTGAATCGTCATCTTCTGGAGCAAATTTTACAGTTTTTTTGTTTTTAAAAGGTGAAGTTAAAGCGGGGGAAGCTTGTGCAAACGAAAGGATGGACGGTAAGGTATTTTGAGCTTTCGTTGGCACCTTATTTAGTTTGGACAAACTTATTCCTTCAGGTTTACTATCGCCTGATAGGGGGTCACTCGTATGAAACTTGTCGATTTTTAGTTTTGACTGATGTGTCAACTCTGATATACTAGGAAGTAAATCTGATGATTTCAAGTGCTTGCTTTCATTCCGTTTGGTTTCTAATCGGGAACGATTTTCAATCTGTTTACTATTGTCTTCCTCAGAGTCATGCTCAACATCTACGTCAACGTCGTCTGCGTGAGCTATTGTATAATTTACTTCCTTGTTAGATTTATCGGACGTATTTTTGGAAGGAGATTTCTTTACATCTTTCTTACTCTTTAATTGGCTTTTGAAATAACTATGAGCAAAACTCTTTACTTGTGTTGGCGTTCGATTTTCTAAGAGTTTAGAAATTTCAGTCCATCTACGACCGTACTTGGCCTAAATTATAAAACAATTAACATTTTTGTGAACAACTTAAGAAATAATTTACCAAAGCCTTAAAAAATACATTTTTTTCCTCAGCACTCCACCTTTTACTCTGATTTTCGTTAATTTTGTTTACGCTTGTTATATTGCTTTCTGGAAACGGCTCAGATTCAAACAATTTATCACCAAATACATCCTCGTCATAACTAAAACACAATAATAGTTTTTTTTACACATGTAGGCACTTTAAAAAACATCTTTATTACTTCTCATCTTTATACATATTACGTATAAAATCTTTGGTGTCATCATCTATTTCCTTATCCAAAGCCAATACCTAAAAAGTTATGTACTTTAATAACAACATTAACAAGAAAAACTATAAGTAACCTGTTCCATTTCTGCTGCAGAGGGCATGTAATCCGCGGCCGCCGCAATGTCCAAATATCCATCATCGAAGCTAAAAATCAAAACAATTAATTATAGAACGCCATTAAATAAATTTCAAATGTGTGGCGCAAAACTGGGCAAACAGACGCGAATTGATTACAATATATCTATTATCGCTCAATATTACTGATTTCTAAGATCTCTGTCTTTCCGAAATCTTTTTATTAGCAGTGATAGCGATGATGAAAAGATCAAGACATATATATATTTGATCATGATAATTCACAGCTTATTACCGAAAATCAGAAGAATGTTCCGCTTCAACATCGACCGTTTCGTCATCCATCTTGAATATATTATCGAAATCGTTTCGTTACGTTGGTGATACCGACGTCCAGGCCACCTGGTGGTTGAAAATGAACTAAAAATATCACTAAATGCTATTATTTCATTGAATATGCGTTTATTTTAAAATTGACATATGTCAACTTGTTGTGTTAATTAAAAGTAAATGTAATAAACTCTTTGCGTTTATTTACTTAATAATTTAACCAAAAATTTTTTGTCCTAAGTATATCACTTTAACTGAACAAAAACAATTATTTAAGAAAGTTATGTAGAAAGTGATAGTTTGAAATTCAGTTTAATCAACTATAGATACATAATATACAATGTAAAATATATCTGTACAGCTTCGTTGTAAAGATTCTAAAACTTCTCAAAATCTAGACAGTCGATTGTTTATATCCTTTAGTATTAAGAACCTTCTTTCCACACATGCTACATATTCCCTTTGAGTAGGCGCAAGCTGAAAATAATTTCATAAATAATTAGTTCTTAAAAAAAACCTAAAAAATGTTTTAATTACATTGACAATAATGTGCTCCAACTTGATGAAGAACCTGTTTACATATCCTGCATTTGTCGAAACCTTTCTGGTATGGATTGAAGCGAGTTTTTTTACTCGTCAAAGCTTTATTCTCATTCACTAGTCTTCCACCGCTTTCTGTAGTATTTCGAGCTCCGGCCTTCCATACATCTGGCGTAATTACTTTACCTAATTTTTTCTGACCTTAAAACAACATCTTATATATATATTTATCAATTTATTAAACAGACCGTATGATACTTACATTTTTCACAAACCATACTGATACAATCTAAAATTTTCTAAGCTCAAATTGATTGAGAAAATCAGAAATTGTTTTTTATCCGTCTGAAATATCGTCTGTTTATTATTAAATAACATCCGCTAATGCCACTTCCTGTTTTTATGAGTCTAAAAAGCGTCTTCGGATAGGTCCGAAAATCATGCATTTATTTAACTTTAATGTTAGTTTTGTAATAAAGATGGTAAAGATATTTTATTTTCAATAATATAATTTGTTTTTTTTTGTGTTAGTGATTTTTTTATATCTTCTATGTAATTATTTATTTTTAAAACTTTCTTGAGCTTCAAAAAAAAATTTCATTATAAGCTGATTAAAAAACAATTAGTTTCAATACTCGTTCAAAAAGTAACTTATTATTTCCCATTTTTGTGAAGAAGATGTTGTAACTTTTATAAGATTTTTTCTTTCAATCATTTTTATTGGCCTTATTTTCTTAAATCAAAGATTATCTTCTCCAGATATTGATTATATTCACTAAACATATTATTCTACTATAATTAGTATTCAAATAAATCTACCTATTGGATATTTTGTATTTTGTAGTTGTATATACTTTTTCTAGTTGAAATTTGCTAAGGAAGTCTGAGACATTGTATTATAAACGGAAATATATTCGTTAGTTGGATAGCATTGGAAAATTCATATAATGTCACTCTTAAAAGGATTATTTAGTCATAAGTTAAATGCACAAAAACTGATTGGAAATGTGATAAGCTCTTCTGTAGGTTTTAACAGTATTCTTGATCGTTGTTTACGATCATTATAGCCCTCATGCTTTATTGAGCGATAATACAACTTTTCTCTCTAAAGGTTATTGCTTCTAAATCCATTCGGGTTAGGCCATACTGTGCCGAAGCAGATCTTGAGGAAGGTGAGGAAAATACTGAAGCTACACAACCTAAAGGCAGGCCAGAGCATGATGTAGAAACAAGCATTAAATATCTTAATAGCGAAGGTAAGTGAAATCAGTGTATCTAAAATATCTTAACTATGTTGGTATGTTTTTAGCATACAAAACAACATATAGAGATGCTAAAGTCTGGGAACCGTATAGACGAAACCACAAAGGAGCATTTGCCCCTAGTAAAACCAGAAAAACTTGCGTGGTAAGTATTAATATCCGACAATTTCATCCTACTAAGCTGCCTTTTAATCAAATTATTTCTTTAACTTAATTAGAGAAAGGGGGTCATGGCTACGGGAAACCCATGTCCTATTTGCAGAGATGAATATTTGGTTTTGCATCCCAAGGTAAATTTAAACACTTGTATTTAATATTTAGAAATATAAGTTAGTAATTTTATTCATTCCAGAATGTTAAACTGCTAGACCAATTTATAAGTCCCTTTACTGGAGAAGTTCTATCATATACCAAGACAGGTAAGCTGCGAAATTCTTAGTTATGGAGTGTATAAGATAGGAAATTTACAGGTGTTTGCCAAAAACAACATAAAAATCTATTGGTTGCTGTTGAACAGGCATGGGACTTAGGTTAGTTTCATATTTTATAATATAAAACATGACGCTAAATTACAAAACTTATTATTGCTGCATTTTGCTTTTTCAGGATACATTAAAATGCCATTACCTACTCGATTGTATGATTATTCATTATATAAAGATTCATCAAAATAAAATATTCTTGTAACTAGGTACTATTTAATAAATTTTCACACAAACTTAAGCTCTGAATTTTATTCGTGGTAATTTATCGAAAATAGAAAAATATTTTCATTAGTCCATCTCACTTCCTAAATTAAGCTTAAACACAACTGAGTTTGGTGTTGTCGAATCGGCAATTATTAATTGTTGCCCTGGAAGTAAGCCAAGCTCTAAAATACAAAAGTGATAATTATATGTTTATGTTCCAGAAAAGTTATTATTTAAATTACCGCAAAGTGATTTCTTTAAATTACCCTTAGTTCCCTCTTCTATTGATGGTATACCAGTCATATACAATGTCTTTTGTTTATCATTAATGTACGTTGTGATGCTTGGAGATTTGTACTGACTATATTTTCACAAATTAATATAACAAATGCATCAAAATTATGCAACTCACTATGAAGCATTTTCTTGTAAGTAATCAATTACATCCTGTAACTTGGCATCTTCCTTAAAGGATAGTACTTGAGGTATCTGTTAATAGAAAAAGAAGGATAATAATGTATTCTTTCCTCTATTGTGTAAATTTACTTACTTGGCTGCAGCAAGGACACTTCTCATTTCTCTCAGCTTCAAATGTATAAGTATATATTCCCTCAGTATCATTGAAGTTAACGTAATTATTTAAAGTATGGCAGCAGCTGTATTAAATAGCAAATATAGAAATTTAATCTTTTTTTAAAAAAAAGAAAAATTCAACAAACTTTGTTGCCAGTTTGAATACTTCAGTTGCACAGGCGGCTTTTTTATACAACAAGAAAAACAGATTATATAATATTATAATATCTTAAATGTTACTCACCGGCAATTACAGCATTAGTAGATGCCACGGCCGGAATGATTCTTTTGATTACTCCTGAAAGGTTCTATCATTTGAATTACTATTAATTGAAGAATGGGACTACCTTGTGTCAGTCGGTATGTTACTCCTGTTATTTTATATTTTTGAGCACGTTCTTGGGACTTTTTAAAAATCCATTTCAGATGATCGGGATTATCTCCATCAATTGACACGTCCTCTAATTATTCAGAAACGTAACTATCATAAAAGGATAACTAGAGATATTCTTGTAACATACCTCCAAAAGGCTTTTCTTGAGGCCACAGTAACACTTTAATGTATTCTATGCAGTGTTCTGGTAAACGAGGTGTATGGGCTATTGTGCAAAGAGGGAAGTTCACCTAAAAGGTTAAAGTATTTGATAATTTTTATGCTGATAAGATGAAAGGCTACCTGTGGGGGATATAAATCTAAAGTACATTCTACGCAAGCAGTCAGTCCTGGCAAAATGACTCTAGCATTTCCTTTAAATCCTTCCGTTCCTCCATCTACTAAAGGAATTATACTTGTTTGATCAAGTTTACCATCCTCATAGGTCAGCAAACTAACCTAGAAGATATTTAAAAATTAAATAAGACTAAAATTTAAAAAGAGTATTATTTACGAGCATTCCGTTAATCCATCGACGAGCTAAAATGGAATCTAATCCACAAACTACTATATGGAAGCCTAGAAATAAAAATATAATTGATAGCTAACAATGGTTTGAAAGTTCAGATAATGTCAATTTTCAGCTTACTTTGATAGAAAGATTCATCATAATCTTGAATTTTTTTGAAGTGTCTATTCCAAAGAAAAATGGATAAATCACGAATAAAATTTATTAATTATATTTACTTACGGTGTAACTTTGCAAGCAGGAATTCTTGTGTTTATAAATTCCGCTGCCACATCTGCTTTCGGTTTGCCTATGTCCTTTTCACTGTTTAAAACTCCAATCAGTAAAACTGTTTAAATCACAGTTTTAATTTAGTTACCGAAAAAGAAACTGCCTATTGAGATTAGATAAGTCAATTGTATCCATATCAATAACATCGATATTTCGAAAACCCATAAGAGCCTGTGACAAACATTAGAACAGAGAAAATGAGTATTCAATTTGCAAATATTAACTTGATTCGGGTTTTAAAATAGTTACCAGATCTTTCAATAATTCGCATCCTAATCCTCCAGCGCCAACAACTAAAATTCGTAACATCTGCAATCCATCTAGATTCTGAAATAAAAGTATTCTCTGAATATATCTTACAAACATTTCCGGTAAATTACCTTAGTTGATGCTTCGAATTCTGGATGAGCTAGAGGACCACCTCTTTCTAGCATTTTTCTTATATGATTCCATCTATCTGGCCAAGATCCATCCCTATTAGAGAAATTAATTAGTTAAGCTTATTAGTATTAAGCCTGAAAAATAATAATATGAACGATTTTAAAGAACTTACGACGACATTTTGAAGCAAAATATACAATTCAACAACTACCAGTTATTTATGTATAACATCAATCTTGCGAAAATCTCTCATATATAGGTGAAGCTCTCTGAAAGTTCAAATCTTAATAGATTCTCTAATATTATAGTCTAGGTTTTAATATAGACTTTAGTGTTGGTGATCAAACCGGAAATTTTATTTAAGTTTTACATAATTTCTTGAATTTTGTTCGAGAACAAGTTTCCTATGTTTCAATGTGAATATTTCAAGATATTTCTGTGACTGAAAACGTAAGTCTTTTAGCACTTAATGCAGCTTGGATTAATCTATTTACTGCTTTTTTCAATTGTTTTCTAAAAGATTGTTAATTAAATTTCTATTAAAACCTTGTTTGAAACAATTATTATTATTCATATTAAAATTATAAAATAATCTTAGCTTTGTTCGTAAAGTTAAGATGTATATTATACATGAAAAACAACGCTTTCTCTTCCCTATATAAAAGATAAAAAAAATTGACTATCTGATGTTTTTGTAGTAAATCTGCTACGGACCAACCTAACAGTCTATCTGAACGAAAAACCTCAAATTGATTTAAGATGAATGTTAATAAAAAGATTGAAGTGAATGCAAGTTCAGTAAGTACATATCATATATACAATTTTTATTTTAAATTTATTTAAAATACCATTTTTCGTACTATTCTTTTTTTTCACAAACCTTTTGTTTTATAGTTGGTAGAATTAAAGGCAGAACTTATCCGCAAAAAGAAGGAATTTGATGAACAGACTCATCTAAATGAGCAGAAAACTCTGTCTAGACCGAAAAAGATAGAAAAAAAGCCTAATATATGGAGCGTGAAAAACACTGGTGTTCAACAGAGAGCACTCAAAGATTTAGAAGACCGCAAAGAAGAAACTGATAAACTGTCAGCCTCAAGAAAGGCTTTAGAAGCTAAAGCAAAGATATATGAGCAACTCTCCGGGACGTCGACTAATATTCCAGGTAAAATTTTAAACTAATATACATATTGCTAGTTAACTGAAAACTTTACAGAAAGTATTGATGTAACCGGCTATCTTGTGGATTTTGATGAGAAAAAATACAATCCAAAATTATCAAGAAGACAAGAAGAGTTTGAAGCAGAGAATGAAAGGAGAATATACGAAGAAGAACAGAGAAGGATTGAACGGGAAGATATTGAAGATGAGCGACGTCAAATGTCTCGGCCAATACCCTCTCCAAGGGATTCATCTGAAGAATGGTATTAGCTTTATTAATAATAATAACTTTCTCAACACAAACATTTTCAATAGGGTGGACTTTACAGACTCTTTAGGAAGGTTACGAAGGTGTCTAAGAAGGGACTTACCAAAAATGATCAACATGTCAAATTCCTTAATACAGTAAGTTTACCTACAGTCTATTTGAAAAAACACTGAATATCTTTTGTTAAAAAATAGAAATGAATCAAAAAGCCACAAATCTTACGACGATGATGATGATGATCACGATGATCTACCACAAGATGATGACATTATCAGTCTTCCTGTAAAAAAAGGACCTATTCATTATGAGGATCTTAGACAAAACGGTTCGTGACTATACAGTATGTAATTAATCAGTAATAACTGTTCTCTTTCATTTGAAATTAGAGATTCGAACTCATGGTATTGGATATTTCAAATTTTCGAAAGATGAGGAGAAAAGACAAGAAGAAATGGAAAAATTGAACGAATTAAGGAAAACTGTAATAATACAAAATCAAAATGCTTATGTGGTATTCCTTTACTAATAACTTTTATGCTTTAGACGGAAACTAAAAAAGCTATAAATGAGAGAATAAAAGCAATGAAGTTGAAACAACAAGAAGAAAGATTAGCTAAAGTTAGAAGACGTAAATGGATAAGGGAAGGTAAAACCGAAGAAGAAATGGCACTCTTAGAAATTAAATTGTTAGCTGAAAAGGAAGCTGAACGTATTGATAAAGAGGAAAGGGAGCATGTTGAACCTATCATTAGAGAGGAAGAATGGAGAAAATATGCACCTAAAAGGGAATGGGACCGTGGAAAATCAATCGTTGGAGGTAAGACATTTCTCAAAGCAACCATTAACAAAATAATTAATTAAATAACTCATATTTCATATGTAGATGTCAGAAAAGGAAAATCTGATGCACATCAAGAACGACTGCAAGAATTCGCTCCGCCCTCATGCTATGAGGAGAAGAGGATAAAGAAATTTAAAAAGTATTATCCGCGAAAGGACGAAGTACAAGAAGATTTTAGCGAAGTCCCACCACCTCCATCTCCAAAAATAGATCCTACAATAGCAACAAACAGCGCTTTTGATTTTATAGATGAAGAATTAACAAAAATTCGACAAGAACCTAGTAACTTGTAAACTTAATCTTCAGATATTTCATTATATATATTTCATAATACCAATAAATATACATTTCATATTTGTTTTCCCTAAAACGTTCTTTAAATTAGATAATTTCGAAATTATAAGTTTAGTAAGCTATATTACTAAAACTTAAGATTATTTTTGCGTATCAATGTTTTATCCCTTTAGAAAGGTAACTGAACAATTTCTATCTTAATTTCTAATTATGCTAAAAAGTAGCATTTTGAATAATATTTATCATCAAAGAAATAAATATAGAATTTATATTGAACATAGAACATAAATCTCCTACAATATCGTTCAATGAACTCTTAAACTGGTTGGAAAAATTCTTTTGTAGCGTCCTCTACTTCCAGAATTAAACACGCGGTAAGTTTAAGCTAAAAACTTCGATTTCTGACGTACATCATTGATTTTTTAAATACAAGTTCAAAATATTCAACCTATTATTGCGAATTCCTTAATCAATTTTTTCGATTCTTACTACGCTAATAAGTTATTTGAAGAAATAGGGTAAATTCTTAATCTCATCCGCCATTTTATGTCGACTTAGAGAAAAAGACACAACAGGAAAACAATAAATATTTACTATATATTTGACAGCCAAGTAGATTTTTAAATATTTGTATTAAATTCTTTAATCTGTACATTGGAATATTTCTTTAATTTCCGTAATATTCTGCTTTTGATCATCAGTGAATACTCTAGATATTTATATAAACAAATACCAACAGCAGATGTTTTGTCAGATAATTTGTGAAAGAAAATAGATTTTTAAACAAGACATACAAAATACTTAATTTTTAGGAAAAGTATCTAACTTTATGTTAAAAATTTATGCTTTACTGGATACATATTAGTATAAAGCTAATATTATCTTTTCAGGTTCAGAAGTACTAAACATCTGACTGGTAGCGCTACCATATATAATAAGCCAATATTGTACAAACTCATGGTATGTTGGTTTTTACATTCTTCCTTCTAATTATCTCTTATCATAATTAATATTATTGCAGCCCTAAAAAAATTAGTCTACACGATGAGAAAATTTCAAAAGCAGTCGCGATAAAATGCAAGCTGCTTTGAAGCTTTGGCTAAGAATCCTAGTGCGCCATTGCCAAGAAATTACGTCAGCCGCATAGTACGACTTTTCTCCCACGATTACTCCTACGAAGTAAAGACAAGGAAATATGTATACATACGCACATGCATAAAAGTTTTGCAATTGCACTCAATCGTTGCATTATATTTATCTTATTTTTTTGTATGTCCTCAATATTTAGTAATAAGTGTTGAATCAGTGGCATTAGATATCCGGTTCGCCATTGACCGCTACTAAATGATAATGAAAATGTATTTGTGAAAGCGACTAATTTTGGTCAGGAGCATCACTTTGTAAAGCTTCAGTGTCGTACGTTTTCTTCCTTATTTGAAAAAGAAACTAATTTTGATTGTAAGACAAGTATCCTCTGTTAAACTATGTGAAAGTGAAAAGATGTGAAGTGAACATAAAAGAATAAAAACTTAAGAGAGTGTAAATTGTTTTTTTTTTTTAAAAAAAAGATCTTTAACAGGAGATTTATATTTATTAAAATCAGTGAAAAAATATTAAGTTCGAAGACACTGATCTGAAATAATCGACTCGCTAATTGATAATAATAAATCTAGTTAATGATAAGACTCTACTTCCATTGTTCAATCGCACAGATGTCGTTCAAACGCCCACTAATTGAAATTCTTAATAAGACTGCTTACGTATAATCTATTATTCAGTCGTATTTATGCTATCGGATGATGAACTCGGAAGATCGTCCAAATACAACAAATCAGCCTCCAAAGACGATTTTATCTTTCGTCCTAGACCATAGTGAAGAAGAAAAGGAGCAAAATGATGGAGGCCCCTTCGGAAAATGGCATTCAATAATCAATCTGCTTGGAATACTTTATACAAAACTTATTATTCTAGCTGGGATAGCTCTACCAATAACCGAAGCTCTTAGAGCCCAGTGGTATGAAACCCACTACGTCGCAGCCTTTTATGTCTACTTATACGGAGTTTCAATATTATTTCTAATTTGGCTATTATTCTCCCTTAGAAAAACCGACCATAAAGTGAAGTAATACATATTTAAAATAGCTTTGCTTGTTTTTTAACAGAATCTTTATGATTCAAAAACTAATTGTATCAATAATCTTTTGAAGTATCTCATATTCTTACAAAATTTGTTTTAAGACAATCTCTTGAGTTTGATAACTTCCGTGCAATAGATAAGATTTGCATTGAATTGAATATGGAGATACGATTCTTTTATTTTTTTTTATTTGCTTGTTACTTCAAAATATATGACTTGTGTTTTTTTATTTATTAATATATATTCTCTTTTAGACACCAGGTTCACGAAAATCGGGCTTTTTCCGGGAATAGATCAACTAGTGAGCATTCGCTTAGTTCTCTTGAACATAAGAGTAGTAACTTGGTACTACAACGGGTTGATGATCCCTCCAGGAGAATAAGTCAGTATAGTCTAAATGGGGGTGTCGTTTATAATCCAACGGCCTTGAGTTATGATGACTTTAGAGCGATACCTGAATTTGACACAATTTCTAACACTGTGGGAGAGACTACTGAAGAGATAAAAGAGTACATATGCTATCATACAACGACGGCGACTATGAGTCATGAAGGTTCAAGTTTTTATCTTAGACTTGGAGCTATAATTTTTGCTTTAGCAAACTTAATCTATTTGGCTTTGGAAGTTGAACAAAAATATGGTGAACATCCGAAAAATTGCACAAGTAAACAAGTTATTTATCCAGTTTTTGTTCATATTGTATTCATTTTATTGCAAACTTTCTTTTTGTTTAAACACAACAAGGTAAAATGCAGAATAGGAGTAATATTTCACTTTTCCAAAATTATTATTTTTACAGATTCATCCGGATCAAGGTAGTCCTATTGTTTTTGCAGGCCTTCTACACATTATAGGAACAAATTTTTGTGTATGGATGAGGTATCTGGTAAGAGAAGTGGAAGAAGGAGTACATATGGCGGATCATGCAAATGATAAAGCTGGTAACGGAAATAACTGTTCATCGCAGAATAGTCTTGTATCAAAAGCTTCTCCGTACCTCTTCCCTTTCGTTCTCGAGTACAGTCTTATAGCCGCAGCAACAATGATGGTTATGTCGTCAGAATTAACAGTTAGAGTAACAAGCGATTTAATAGAAAAAGTTCGAAAGCAATTGAAGAAAAATCAACAATTACGAAAAAGGGCTTCAACTATAAGTAAACCATCCCAGCATATAGAGGAAGGTGTTGAGTTTCAAAAAGCTCATACGGGAATGTTCACTGGTATAGTTTTCTTGGCTGTATCTGTTATCGGTATGATACTCTTCTTAAACACTTACAACAAAAATAAGACGGATAAAAAAGATCTAGCTATCAAAATTCACCATTGTTTCGACATTGGTCTCAATTTGATTATGGCAATAGCATCGATATTGAGTATGATAAGACTCATGTCAAAGTTATCATATAGCTATTCATCAAAGAATGGTGTAGATCAAGGCTTAATTATATTATCGTCTGGTGGTGGGATCTTACTGAATACATTTATGTTCATTGCTGCTGTAACAGGTATTTTTCAAAATGATAACAGGCTAGTCATTCTGAAGTTGAGAAGTGCCCAATCATTTCTTGGTGTAATACAAACGTTGATCCAGACTACTATGATTATAGATGGATTGCAAAGATATTCTAAGACGCAATCGCAACAGCAGGAGAAACCCGGAAGAAACCATATAACATTCTTAATTGTCGCCAATTTAGGTATGTGGCTATTTAAAATGGTTCAACTAAAACAACTGGGGTTGGATAGGCAACGAGAATTCTTTGGAAAATTAGCTTGGGCTATTGTTCTAAACGTTTGCTTACCATTGCAGTTGTTCTTCCATTTTCACTCAACTGTATGCCTAGCTGATATTTGGGTGAGCGCTTATGAACCAGACGCGGATCACAATGTTTATATTGTTGACACCTAATGTTATAGACTATATAAAAATAAAAAGTATTCAGTCATCGAGTTTAATAACAAAGAAACTCAGTGACCTATCAGTTAACTTGACACTTCTCAAGCTATACGAGCGTACGATGTACATTGCTCAATGATAAGGGTGTTTTATAGGCCTAGCCTGTGTGAACTGGCCAAAACCTAGTTAAGCTAACATATATTATATATATATATTATATAAATTTATATACATATATATATATATTATATATAAATATATATACGCAATTTGTATTTACAATAATTAAAATAGATTTTAATTTTTACTGCCTTTTTCAAGACCAGTTAATAAACAAAGCTGTAATCCAGCAGCTTGAATAAAGAAGCACTTAAGGACAGTTTTTTTTCATTTTCCTTAACGAATTGTTTTTAGAGCGCTCAGACTTTTGCATAGAACAACATAATGCTCATTGTCTTGTCTTAATCTTTAGAGACTTATCGAGTTTACTCTGTTTAATAGAGAACGTCTTCGGTATTTTTGAACGCTCCTTAAAGTCTGATATTTCTATGTCTTCTTCCATTAAACGTTTTTCAACAGCTGATTTGCATATATCAAAATAATTAATAGGTCCCGTTTCAATTATGTGATATAAATCACTTTGGCTTAATCTGTCGTAAAAAAAATGTTCAGAAGGGAAATTTCAACACACGTGACTTTCTTACCGTATCATTTTAGTAATAATACTGTCCATAATTGTAAGTGATAGTAGCTGAAAGTAAACTGTAATTAAACACCGCAATCTTTTATATGAGATAGTATTTTAGAAAATTACTTACTATCGTTTATTAATAAGAAAAAGTTTAATTATGCAATATCTGAAATTTCGAATGGCGCAAAATACTTCTGGTAAAAGATTTACCAGGTATACCAGTTTCTTCAAGCAATGTCCTAATGTGTGGGTCAATTGTAGGACAATTCTACTTGGAAAAAAAGTTGTAACTCATTTTTTTAAACGGAAATCATATAAACTTACCGTCGAAGGGTGAAATTGCAATAATAACTTTAAATATTTTTAATATGTATCGTACATTTGTTTAATACCCTCCTAAGCTGATGGGCTTAAAGAGAGTTTGTTACTTTAATACTGAATTTAAATTAAAACATTCTTTATCGGAAATTGAAATTAATGTATTGGTGAATTTCTAAGGAAAAAAAGGTCATAGTTACGAAGCTTTATGATTATATTTCTCGGCCCTTTTTCCCATATTTTTTCTATACAAAATTTCAGATAATATATTTGAACCTTGACAAACTTTTATAGAATGCATTCTAGCAGTATGATAGTTTTTAAATTTTGTTTGGCACTTGGAGCAAGTATACGGCAGCTTGTCAGAATGAGTCCTAACATGGGCGGCAAGGCTGGTCCTAAGTTTAAATGTTTTCAAGCAGATTTTGCAGACAAAACTCCGGTCAGCTGTAAAGTTTATAAATTTAATTTTATAAGGTATAAAAAGTTGTATGTATAAGCTGTAAAATTTACATCTATGTATGAATAGGTGATCATTTAATTCGTGATTGGTGAAAAATCTCTTCAAACATATTTGACATGAGAATTTCGCTTGAGAAGCCGCTACTCCGCATCTTTTCTGATGAACTCTTAGACCTTCATCATTAGTAAATAATTTGTTACACCTGTTTTAAAATAACAATATAATTTTGTTATTATTAAATAAATTGTATATTTTTTAGCTTTAAACTTACGTTGAACACTGTTTATCGAATGTTTTCTTTCTATGCCATTTCTTTTCATGATACAATAACCTACTATAAGTCGCATAACAATTTTCGCAATCCTTTTCTTTGCAGACGAAAGGTTTAAGGTCATTATGAATAATTTTAGAGTGTTTTACCAATTTTTGAGCAGTATCAAATGACTTTGAACATCTCTTACAAGTAAATTTCTCACTTCCATGTCTTGTTCTAATATGAAGGGTTAATCTTGACTTGTTACCAAACTCTTTATGGCAAATATTACATATTTCTTTAATTGTATGCTCAATGCTGCAATGTTTTCTTAATTCACTTTTTGTAAAGGTTGAAAAGTCACACAAATCGCATTTTATTCTCTCATTCCAAATTCTTTTTCTATGCTGTAAGATATGTTCTGCTAATTCTTCTGCAGTGGGCAAGACGATGCTACAATCAGGGTTTGGACAAATCCAAGAATTATCGTGTTCATTTTCCGTATGTTTTTGAACATCTGAGAAAGTTTCTAAAACTTCAAGACAATTAAAACATATGTTTGAATCGGTAGAATGTTTATAAATCAAGTGGCATTTCAGAGCTCGATCGGAAACAAATTTCAATCCGCACATCTGACATTGAAGTCCAGATAACTGCAGGCAATGTTCTAATTGTCTATGAATCATGAGATCGAATACACTTTCAAATACTGCATCGCATTCTCGACAAACTTTGCTACAATCAGAATGTTGTTTAGACACGTGCTTATTTAATTTTTTCAAATCGGGTTGTAAAACACCGCACATATCACAGACATGAAAACCTGATATTCGTTTTTTAACACGAGATAAAGTTTCTTCTTGAATCTCTACTTCTGGTGTAAATATATCATCAACCTCAATATGTAGATTATTTAATTCTGCTGTTTCGCTAATTTCAATATCTTTTTGTTTCATTTTAATAAAAGTTTGTGACATTTCTGTGAACCATTCTGTTGTTACTAATTGAGGGGACACTAAAAGATAAAATAGTGTATATAATCCATAATACCAATAAAGATAAATAAATTTTCAGTACCTGCACTTTCCAATGTACCAGTTACAGAATTCCATCTGATCAAACACAAATCAATGGATGGTTCGATCTCCCAAATGCTTTCTATCTTAAATCAAAATCAAGTTTTTATATATGTTATAGATATTTGCAAAAGTAGGCATACCTTCTTTATTATATCCAACCATAAAATTTCAACTTCATCGAACGAACTACCCATTACCCTGATAAATTATCAATTCAATTCGATTAATAGCATAAATACATTGAAAAGTGAAATTTGACGGTACCTATAAGATCCTGAAAAGTGTAACCGGTCTCAATTACCTAATTCACCGGTTTGGTCTAGTGGTTAAAATTTATTATATCCATCTCTCTACTATGTTTGCATAATCTCATCTTAAAAATTAATATCTTTTGCCTCATTTTTAGTATTACTAGACCTTTAAACTGCACAATATAGCAATGTTGTAAAAAGTTCAGAAACTTAAAGATTAAAGTTTTCAAAAACAGGGTGTACTAATTTAAAGAGGAGTAAGCAACCATATAAATACACAAAAACTGGTAATCTGAATATTTCTCCTTTTACTAAATTCACAGTTTTTCATCATATTTGAAAGTTAACCATACGAAATAACCCGTTAAAACATCGTTTTATGCAACGTAAAAATATCAAATGATTTCGAGTAAAATTTCTAACAATTGGTTTTTTAGTATTTTTTCGAATTTATCTTGAGCGAAGCGTGTTGAAAATCAATAATAGGTCACGAAAATATTGTGTTGTTCAACATGAAAATACGAGTGCATTATAGAAATCAACACTTTAAGCTGACTGTCGATGATGAGACGAATATCGAGAAGCTAAAATGTTTGATTAGAGATTTTATATTTACAAATCCCAAGTATTTTACTTTAGTTTGAACCTCTTAACCCTTAAAAAAGCTCTTGTTAGTAAATTATTTTTTCTCCAGGGACAAGAACAGACCATTCGATATTAGTTTAAATGGACAAGAGCCACTTAATGTATCTAATGAATGGAAAATTGGAGAAAATTTAGTCAATAGTGACCTGGTTGTTATCTTTCATCAGAAAGCAGAAGATTCTAAAGAATGTTCGCAATCCGACAACCCTAATAATTCTTCAAGGAAACAAGATAACTTCGTAAATAGGTAAAAAGCAGCATTAAGATTAATCTATTTAATAATTTAATTTTAACACGCTATCGATTTACTGCATATTACTAAACAAAACAATATTTACTATTAAAGGTATATGAGGAATCCTTTTCTAATTCGGGAATCAAGGCATAATGACCTTCCAGATTCACTTGTGAATATGTTTATAAAAGAAAAGATTACTAACCATGAAGAAGCTCTGATAATAGTAATTCATTTATTAATGGTTGAATGTGGATTTTTAAGCATTGTTTGTATTAAATAAAAACACTTTCTTTTGTCTTAATATATTTAAAACATTGTTTTTTTTATTTATTAAAACAGCATTCCGAAGGCGAGAGTCCCTTGCCACCTGATTGGAAAAAGTCTGATTTAATCAAATTAGAATATACACATACTCATACACCAGAATTTCAATATTGTCTAACCTGCTTTACAGTAAGCTCTTCGCTTGTTGTAAACGGATATGCAGAAATATCCGGTTAGCTTTAAAATCCTTATATCAGTTAATGAAATGTTTATAATTATATAATAACTAACAGGCAAGAAAATTTGTCGGACAAACTGTAAATTTAAGAAAAAGCTGTTTTTCTTTGGAAAAATTGCAGAAAATACTGATATCAGAAAGTCAATTGTTTATAGGAATATGTCTGAGTTTTCTACAACTTTCAAAGATTCTATCTCCATTAAATTACTACTATTGGCAAAAAACTGTAAATATTATTAACATCAAACACTATTTAATGTATTCTATATATATATGTAAAAACTATCTATAGTATTCTGAAGAGTAGGTCTGATAATACTGTGTGTTATATCTATATACTTATTTTTTTAAAGATGTAGGAGAAGTACTAGAAAATAGCCTTCTCGGTTTAAATTTTGACGTTCAAGTAAGATAACTATTATCTAATTTATCTATTATAAATAATTGTTATTTTATTAGTTGGCAATTGCAAAATATTTGGATATAAAGTCATTAATAGCACTAAAGGAAACATGTAAAACTTTTAATGACATTTGTAAAGATAATTCTATTTGGAAGAGATGGTATACAGTAGACTTTGGAAGTTAGTTTCGATATTTTCAATATTAATTTCCTCATTAATATAACATTTATATTTATTTACAGACACTCCATTAGTCAATTTAAACATAACTAATTGGTTCGATGTAAGTTAATTCTTAATGAAATTTACTTTAGTACCAATATATCATTTTTCAGATTTATCGGGAGAGAAGAGTGTCACGTTCGAATAGCGTTCAATTATTTATGCCTTTTCAGTACCAAGGAACTCGTTTCCAATATGTATTTCCTGGATTACCTCTTTTATGAGATTTTAAATATGTTTAAACAAATTTTCCCGCTTTTACGGGTATTTTGAATCAAGCTATGAAAATTCTTGCAACGAATGGGAACAACTTAACGGAGGTGAGAAGTGGAGGATGAATATGCAGAAAAAAAAATAACTTCTATTTGAATGATATAGAGATTTGTCGTAAGACTTTGTTAAATAAATTATAGTTCCATGTTTGTTTATTACGACAATCTTATTGAGATTATTGATGGAGTCTCTGTTGATAATTCTTAATTCTTTATATAAACATAGGAGGAGTTTGATCGTATTTACAAACATTTTAATATATACTAATATATACACCAGAATATTTACATATATCTTTTGAAATACAAATGAAAAAGTATAGTTTCATTCGCTGGATTTTCATCTATTCAACATAGAAGAATGGAATATAATTATCAAATATCATTTTAACTACGTATTGTATATAAATTACTCTATACAGTAGCTAAGCTTAATTAAAATCTATAAATAGGTATAAGACAATAAAAGATAAAGTTATTAAGAACATCATGTTTGGAATTCTGTACAATGTTTTTATTGATAATTCTTCTACATATTCCAAATGTAGTTGCCACAGTTACAATTTCTTTGATGCGAACATAATAATAGTACATTTTCAACGGACTATTGCGACATTGCATATATACATTTTTGATTCTTTTGTTTTAACCGCGAACCTTTTAAACTTTTATAGAAAAATATTAAAGAATTATTAACTAAATAGAGAAATTCTTTATAAATATTGCTAAAACTTTTAGTGACAGTTATATTTTATTTTTTTTATATATATATATTTTTGGATTGGAATTTGAAACCATGCTTTTTTTGTCTATCAAAACTCCTTTAAACTACTTCCTTCCACCCCAATCTGTGTATGCGAACCTCTTACGTTAAGACGAAACACTAATATCGTTTTATATTTTTTGAATGTTTGTAGAGTAAACTAGTAATAATTGTTTTTCTATATATATTTATATACATTTGGAGGAGATGATATGGAGAATGAATATTATCTAGATGGAAAAAGGGACTTTAAGGACGATTCGTACCCTTACGTTGAAAAAGTTAACAATTTCTTTAGTGATGTCTGCCAAGCCGATATTGAAGTTAATGGTCTATTAGATTCCATTAACAACTTATCGTTATCATCCGATCGTAGGGAAAAGTTAACCTTACCTCATAATTTATGCAATATTACAACCGAGTCAAGGGCTCCAATACCTACAGAGTTTGCTCATAAGCATGTATCGACTGAAGTAATTAATGAAGTATATGAAAAATTTTACAAGATGGATATAATGTATAAAAGGCTCCATAGGAAAGTCGAAGAGTTTATCCGTTTAACCCTACCACAGTATCTACAGCATCAAATTGAAAATTCGTTAAAACCTTTAGAACAAGAAAATTTACGTTTAAAAACTGAATTGTTAAGACATTTAAAACCAGAAGTTAAATCACAGTTTACTCAAACTAACACTGAAAGTACCCAAATTTTATCAAAGACTAATATAAAGAATCAATTAAATGAAGATGAAGAGTATTTTAGAGAATTTCCAACTTTTCTACTACAAGAACCAACACGAACCCGTTTCTTTGGAAATTTTAAGAAAGTTAAATCTACTTTTAAGTTAACAAACGAAAGCTAAATGAAACTATAACATGTGCTGTTTGTTTTGAATAGTAAAGGATAATTCTACATATAATATTAGTTTTTCTTCTCCAACTATGGATTATTTGATTAAGATGTAACTTATTTGTTTATTATATATAAAATACATTTAGTAAAATTGTATGCAATGTATAGTTAAAATAGGAAAAGATATTTTTAAATTTAAAAGTAACCAATCATCTGTGCAGTAAATTTAGAAAGGCTGAAAGCTACAATAAAGTAAACTCTCGTTTTATAGGCGAGTAAATCTCGCGAGATTTCATGCGAGGTAAAAGAATTTAGAAGTTTTGTTTATAGTCTCAAATTTTTTAGGTAGTCAGATTCGGTTTTCAACAACTTGCATGACGTCAGCAAATAACCAACATTTGAATGATATTCTTCGAAAAGAGGAGGAATATAGGCGTCTAAATGAAGAATTAGAGGCTAAAACAGCCCAATTAGTTCAAGAAGCAGATTTGGTTTTGCGAAGCCCGTCAAGTTCATTTTCTAAGCCGTCTCTTCTGTCAAAAATAGACTCAGATGACTTTTTTGAATGGAATGATGAAGAAGATTACGAAATTCGAAAAGCCAGACCAACAACACAGTCACGGAATCAGCTGAACAAATCCGTATCTAAAGCTAAAACTAAACCGGCTATTGCAAAAAAAGCAGCCAAGCCCCTAAAGTCACAACTATCTGAAGAATATCCATCAACAGAAAGGAATAACGATGCTGAAATCCGATTTTTCAAAGCCAAAATTCGTGTTTTGCAAGAAGAAATCAATCGATCAGGTCAAGAACTGGCGAAAAAGAGAGATAAAACTTTCGAATTAACGTCAAAGCAAAAGTCTCTGGAGGATGAATTAAATAAAACTCAAAAGACTGTAAATTCTCAAGCAGCAACATTGCAAAAATTACATAAATTGGCTGATGAAGCAAAATCAAAAGTTGTAAGAGTTCAAACGGAAGTGGAAACTTTGAAAAATAAGACACAAAATCTAAGAAAAGTTGAGAAGAAGATCAACAATAATCAAGGAAGTTTAGACGTTCAACTACAAAAAGCTCTAGACGACGCTAAGAAATATAGAGACGAATTACACGTCGTGAAATCAAATGAGAGGGAGGGATCCGTCCATGATAAAAGGCAGTTAAAAGGTCTTTTATCCGAAAACCAAAGTTTAGAGAAATCCAAAAAGGAAATGATTTCAATATTTAATAAAAATATGAAATTAATTGAACTGTTAAGAAAACAAAAAAGTCTTCTTGAAACTGTTAAAACTATTCCTTTTACAGAATCAGAATTTGCACGAATAATTGGTTGGTGATGCTAAAATGATGGATAATGTTTTTAATGAATTTTGTCTTGGTAATTTTATTGGTAATGAAAAAAAAACTGTTCAATTTTTTTGATTTTGCAAAAACAGTTTTAAGTTAGTACTGCGCGAAATAGTCTATTCAACCAGTTAACATGGCCTCTCGTGGAAAGGTCTTGACTCTGTACAAAACGATGCTCAGAGAAAGCAAAAGTTTCACTGGCTATAATTTTAGGTGTGTTGACATAAAACAGAATGTATATTTTTAAAAATGCTTTTATAGTAAAAGAACCATAAAATCTCTGCTAACTTTAATATCGTTGTTTTATCGCTCAGAGAATTTTTTATACGCCGAACTCGAGACGCTTTCAAACAACATAAGTCGGAAACAAGTCCAGAAGTTGTGGCAGATCTAATTAAAAATGCTGAAGAGAATTTGGTTGTGATCAGGCGGCAGGTTAAAAAATAAAATTATAACGCAATTGTTAGATTTGAAACTATATTAGATTTATACTATTAGGCAGCTATCAGTCATCTATATAAAGAGCCGGACACTGTATTGTCCAAATAGAAGATGAAATATCAAATCTACAATGTGATTTATTATTCTTGTAAAATTAACATAACTGTTTTATCTTTCAAATGTTACAAAATAAAAACACACTATTCAAAAACTATTTAACAACTTTTATTGACAATTTGAAAGTATCGAACATAAACTAATTGCTTCTTTTGACAAGTCTGCTATCTGTTAACAATAAAGATGTTTTAATTGAAAAAACATTTGTACATGTATAAATAGAGAAATACATACCATTTGATTTGGATCTAATAATCCTTGTCTAAATGCAACTGCAGAGTAGTTGATTGGAGGATCTAAATCAAAACTACAATTCAATATACATATTTTTAAGAGATTGTAGAGAGAATATCTAAAAAAAAGTATATTAATTAATTGGAGTTTAAGATAGGATTTTTAAGTTGGTCCCACCTATAATTGACTGAATATGAAAAGCTGGAATTGTTGAAATTGTTTTTCTTTAAATCCATTTGAACTTGAAAGATTTTCTCGAATAGAAAAGAAAGTAAACTCTAATGTTTTATAAATAATAAATTAAAGCTAAAAAACATAACGAATAAATAACTATTTACCTGGAAGTTTTCTCCAGAGATGTGCTTTCCATAATTCAGGACATAAGTTATCAAAACTCGTAAACAGGCAACTTTTGAGCACTCATTTCGTTCAAAGTTAAATACTGGTGGCTTTGAGGCATCTCCTTGTCTACAATCTTCTTTACAGTCGATAATTGCAAATTTCAATATTTTAACAATAGTTTTATTATCAGCATGAGGCTGAATGGCAGAACAATTCTTTAGCAAAGCCTCTAGACCTGCATAAGCCGTTTTCCGAATGATTCTAATCATTATTAGGAAATTAATGAGGACTGTTAATAAACATATATTTAATAATACCCATTATTTTGTTTGCTTCTATAGTTCGTTGTTTCTTCTAATAGATAGATATAAATATCCAGAAAGTTTTTGTACCTAGAGACAGTAGTCTCTTTGCAACTGAGGAAGACAATTTACGAATGAAAGTTTAATGCTTGCTTACACAAATGCTTACGATTTTGTTAGAGATTCTAGCACTAATGTTGCGTAGTAAACGATATGATTCCAAGTTAAATTACCGTCGATATGAGGTAGCAGCTCCTCCTGGAAAGACAAGATATTTTTATAATTATTTTCAGCATATGATAGTTTAACTACCAACTTTTGAAAAGGCACAAAAGTTCACTATCCTATTTAATAGTTCAATTATAGGTGTTACGGGAATTTCAACCTGATTTTTGGTTGGAGTTCTGAAAAAGTAATATTTCATATACATATTTATGCTGTAAATAAATTAACAACGTATATTACGTCAACAGTTGCCGTAAGGTAAAAATCATTATTTCAAAGTATACAGCTGCTTTAGTAGGCGTTAATTCATCGTCATCTTCATATCTCCTTGGTTTTTTAGCAGAAGAACCATTCATATCTGGTATTCCTTCTAAAATGGGTTGGGCATCTAACTCCTTTTCTATAAAAAATTTTCTTGATTATAGTAAAAATTCAGACGTATTTGGATAGGCACAAACCTATTTCCTTTCCTTTATATTCATCCATGATTAGAAAATCAAGTAGTTTGTGACAAGTAACAAGTAGTCTGTGTGAAAAGCGTATTTACTAATACCAATAATAAAACTAATAGAAATTGAGTGAAAAATAAGAAAAACCTGCAGCACATTCGAAAGTAAAGTTTTGCAAAAGTATTTTCAGGATTGCCAGAGCTTCCACTAACACTTCCCATAGCTAAAACATAAGGTAACGTTTTAGCAGCTTCATAGACTACTTCTGGTTGAGGTTTTTCATTTTTCAAAAAATTTAAGGTAAATTTCTCCATTTTCATCTATTTAATAAGCAACTTTAACTTTGTCCTTTCAAAGGTTTAAAGTACTTACTTTTAGATTACCAATGGAATGAGGAAACACGGATAGCACTGTTCTAAGGAATATTAATTGAGCAATTGAACATCTCGTAGACTTTAGGTTTAGTACAGTTTCAAAGATACTGTTTGTATAATCTTTCTTTATTTGTGCTTTTACTGTAGGAATAGCGTTTAATTGATAGAAAAGTAAAGCAGCAACATTTAAGGATTTAGCTTTCAATTTGAAAGGTGATCCATTATTCTAAAAACGAAAAGAAAAAAAAATATAATTACTATTATTGAAATTACATTAATAAGAAAATAATTTACGTTAATAAAGTTATGAAGTAATGCTCTTAACCAATCAACAATATTTAATTCCAAGTACTTTAAATCGCAGTTTTTAAGAGCATAAGCTAAAATATCTAAGCCGTTCTCTTGTTCGTCAATATCTGATGAGTTCAGCGAATCTTTAATATTCCTAATTTGTTGGGAGTCCTGTTATTTGATGCAATAGAGGGAAAAACTTTTAGAAATTGATTCTAGTTTAGCTTTTAGGAATTTAGGAAACTAACAGCATTAACTTGAGACTTGATAATGCAACTATTTACATCTAGATCATCTTTTACGAGCCATAGATGTTCTTTTATAAAGCATTTTTCGGCCATAATTGGAGAATATACGCTGATCTCTTTATGTTTATGTCTGTAAACAACAAGATATTAATGTTTTTAGATGAATTGCTTGCAGGAATTTGTGTAACAGTATAAATATACAGAATAAGATATATTTTTATGAAAAAAAACATGATTTTTTTTTAACATATTAGAAATTTCTGATAATTAATAAAAGTTATTTAAGTTTAGTAAGTGATTTAATGATTAGCAAAGCGATTGATTCAAAATATAAAATGTTTATTTTATAAATACCCGGAGAATCAGAACAAGAATTTCTAAGATCGTCTGTTTGGTAATCTTCAAGCAGACACCATAAGCACGTGTTTTGTGTCCGCCATTTTTTTCTTTGGTAAAGTAAAAACTGCCATCTATTGGCAAGCGAGAAAGAATAACTATATTCTGTTCTATTGAAAGAAAAAGTGAAGAATACCGCCAATTAAGCAGATGAAGATAGTTTGGGAACAATTATTTGCACACGTAAATAGTAAATTTAATATTATGAAAGGTGGTGTATTATTTCATAGATTAAATCATTGTTTTATGAAAATTTTCACTTTATTCTCTTTATCCTTCTTAATGAAAATGTTCGATTTTTATCCAAGTTAAGAGCATTGTGGTATAACAACGAAGTAACGTGACTATGTTCTACATGATAAATACGATCAGACAAAAGTTTACCTAGGTTTCTATGGATATAAAGAGATTTTTGCTTACGTATATATTCCATTTTTTTTTCGAATTACAATTAATTCTCTTCCAGCAGAGACGTTGAAATAATATTTTTTATTCTTTCAATCACTGTGACTCAATGAAAAACAACTTTATTATATCATTAAATTAGACTAAAATGGAAGAGGGTAAGGGAAGAACAAACATTTGGTGCCAATTTGTGGCTAACCATCCAAAGAAGGCTTTTTGTAAGTTTTAATTGTAATATTAGCTGAGTTGCGAGCATCTTTTGTATTTGAATATATATATAATATGTTGTGTGTACACTTTTAATAGGTTTAACTGGTACATTTCATCTGTCATTTTGCCTTTTAACTGGAATTTTAATGCTTACCGGATACGACTTATATCCAACTGTATTCGACGACGTTCCTTTGGACTTAACGAGCGATACTAATTATCTTAGAGGTATAGCTTGGAAAAACCGCAATATGGATGGTAATATTCTTAGTAGAGATTTGTCAGCGTCTCTTGGTACGCGAGAAGCAAAATATGAAGCTATTTATCTCTATTATGATTCATTGACAAGTGGAAATAATGTTTTCACAAAAGATAATTTATTAAAAATAAAACAAGCTGAAGAATCTTTAAAAAATGTTAAAAACTATAAAAAATATTGTAAGCTAACTGCATCAACTTGTGATGATTTTATATCAATTATAAGGTTTTTTGATGGTACATTTAGTCAATTGAATCCAATATTTTATGATCCAGACTTCAATAATATTCCAAAAGTTCTTTTAGCAGCTATGAAATACCCTAATACAAAAGGTTTCTTACAATTTTTCCTTGGTAAAAATAGTAATATTACATCAAAACGTGCTTATTCTGACATAACAAGAACACTCTTTTATGTTGGATATCCTTTGGAGGATTTTTCAAGTATAAATGATAGAATGAGCTCTCAAGAAAGTATTATAAAAAATTATTTAACAAACAATCTTAGAACTAGATTGGGTGAAATAGCCTCTACGGGCGTAGGAAATTCTGATTTTCTCTTTGAGAGTGTTACAATGTACACGGAAGATTTGAATAAACAGGTTATTTATGATTTACTGTTAGCTGCAGGTTCGTTCTTGTTCATTTATTGCTTTATGGCTTTTCAAACAAAATCCCTGTTTATAACGTCTTTCGCAATCCTATCAATAATAACATCATTCGCTGGGACAAACCTTATTTATCGTATTGTGTTTGACTATAAATACTTTGGTATTTTTCACGTATTATCAGTTTTTATTATTCTCGGAATAGGAGCTGATGATATATTTGTCTTTTACGATACATGGCGAGCAACAGCGTTTCAAGAGTATCCTTCCCTTGCTCACCGTTTAACAGATTGTTTTCGAAAAGCCGCTGCAGCAATGCTTATAACCTCCATAACTACCATGATGGCATTTATTGTTAATGCTGGAAGTCCACTTTTAGCGGTTCAATCATTCGGTCTTTTCTCTGGTATACTTGTACTTATTAATTACTTGTCAGTGATAACATTTTTTCCCTGTATTGTAATAATATACCATAAAAAATGGGAATCAAAGTCTGGTATTGGTTGTTTCTCCTATTGTTACAAAAACGCAAAAGTTGATGATACAACTTCTGAGAAACATACTAAGAAAAATATTGTCATTCGATTTTTTTCCACATACTATTTTCACTTTATTACTCATAAAATATTCAAATGGATAATCTTATTTATTTACGCAACAGTAATTGGATTTTTTATATACTTTGCAACAAAGATCCAACCTGATGAAGAAGCCGTAAAGATTTTTAAAGAAAATACTAATTATGGTAAAGCTAAAATTAGACGCTTGAATGCTTTTTATCCAAGCGAAAATGACGGTATAATCAGGGTGTATATGATTTGGGGTTTGAAAGAGCAAGATCGTACTAATTGTCATAAAACTGACTTTAAAAATTGTAAAGGTAAAACAGTATGGGATTCTGGATTTGATTTAAATCCGCCACCAGCTCAATTATCAATATTAGTGAGTCAGAATATACAATTATATAATAGTATCTCTTTTATCATTTATGTCGAATTATCTAGAAATTTTGTCAACACCTCAAGAATCTACCAGATAGTGAATCTGATAAATTGAAAATCCGTAAAAGTAGTAGGGACAACAAGATGGAAGTTAGTTGTTTCATGAGTGCTATGGATAGAGAGTTTCAGAATCTGTACAATTCAACAACTACCCAACTTCCGTTGACAGAAAGCAAAATGAAAATATTTATGAGGAGTCATAATAACTTGTATAATACCAACGCCCTTCCTCAAACATTCTACAGATATTTTGAGGTCAGTGTCAATATTGCTTTTTGACTTTTTAGTTTATCGGATTAGGTTTTATTGGTTTGTACTGAATATATAATTTTTCTATTAGACTGGTCTAGAATTTTGGTTACAAAATGGTTACAATAAACTCAATTACGATTACGAAATTTTCGCAGAATTACTGGGTCATAGTAAAGATGGCGATAATTCATTAAAAATTAGCAAAGGCGGTAAGACATTTCTACAGTAGTATAATTGAACAGGTTATTAAGTCAAGAATAATTTGTTCAAGATCTTTATTATGGAACAAGATTACGATACGTGGCTATAGTCGCTAATACTAGTTTACCCTATGGGGCCCTTGGGTATCAAACAGGAATTCCCATATCCGAAGAATGGGAGAAATTCTTCAATGCCCAGGTCTAACAAACTATTACTTGTGTTACTTTTTATGTTTTATATAACATTGTAATAATAAGCGATAGTTTTTATCAGAAAGAAGAAATGCATCCATCGCTTATTAACGGCTTTCAAACGACCCCAGAAAAAGATAACAATATGTGGCATTGGTTTAGAGTTCAAAAGGTTGGTAAATAATGAAATATTAAATTGTACTAGGACATGTAGAACAACACAGAAATTGATTCGTTAGAAGCTCTCGAATGATAATCATTTGTAACTGAAAGCCTTGTTCTTAAGAATTTAAGTGTCATTGATTATTTAGTATCCTGTGTTACATTGTTATAGAATCCATTAATATTAGATAATAATCTTTCATCTCCTTCTACATAGAGCTTCCGGAAAATATGATTTGAAAGCATTTTTGTTTACTTAAAACAGGAGCTGGCCAATTCAGCTGTGCAAGGTATACTGGTTGGAATATCGGTATCTTTTATTATCCTTGTATTGGCTACAAAAAATATCCTTATGGGTTTCATAGCAACTTTTATTATATGTTGCATTACTGTTACAGTTGTTGGTCTTATACCCTTGTCTGGTTGGAAGTTAGGCGTTTTGGAATCATTAAATTTAACTTTAGTTGTTGGCTTAGCTGTTGATTATGTTGTTCATTTGGCTGAAGCATTTCACGCCTCCGAGAAAAAGGATAGAATTGGAAAAGTTCAAGACATGTTAGAAGGAGTAGGAATTTCCGTTCTGTCTGGGGCTTTAACCACTTTAGGAGCAAGTTTATTTATGCTATTCGCAAAGATACTTTTCTTTATGCAATTTGGTATATTTATGTTTGGCACCATCAGTTTTTCCCTCTTCTACGCCCTTGGGCTATTTTCAACAATATTAGGTATAGTCGGACCAGTCAATGACTTTGGTTCAATAGTACCAATCTTCAAATTTCTTAAAAGATTAATCACTGGAAGGAAGGAATCTGATATTGATTGTACTAAATGCAAAGGAAAAGGCTTTATAGGACATGAAAACAAAGTTATTGTTGAGAATTCCTAACGTTAAAAATAAATATCGAAAACTGTTACAAATGAATATTATATTATATTCAATGCATTCCATTTTTATTTTGTTCATTAACAAATACAGCACTTGATTAATTGAAAAGAAGGATCTTTATGCCCTGTGCTACCTGATTATGATATTAAAAATAGTAACAGTAGCAAGAAAACACGTTAGGCCTATAGTAATTTTGGCGTTAATCTTTTGAGCTCTCACTATAAAAAGAGAAATTCCAAATTCGAAGTAAATACGAATGAAAGGCAGAAATTTATTAATTTCAATAACTTCTTTTATAAGTTAAAGCTGTTGTGTAAATACTCCTTCATTAATTATTATAATCTTATCTATTTATTGAGCATTTGAACATAGTTGGCCGGTTGTCGTCCTTCTCACTCTTAATAGAAATATGAACAAAACGAACGGAACCTAATGATTTTCGGGAAATTACTCTTTTTTTTAACATATATCATTTCATTTATTGTTTATTCTCATCAACAAGTAACAACAGGTAAGAATAATAACGGATATAGTAAAAAACTTTACTCCATTATTTATTCAGAAAGTTATTAAATAAGCTTTGTTACGTTTCTTCGTGTAATTTCAGATATAAGCATATCAAATGTATTAGAAACAAGCTCCCTTCCACTTAAACAATCAATTGCTACCTCTTTGGATCTACAATTTTCAATTGATAATACTGGCTTGAATGTTCCCGCTGCTACTACTCCAGATATTATTTACACATTTTACGTCAGAGTAAATATAATATCCATAAACTAGTTAAATCTTTTCAAAGTAAAATCTGCGCATTTATCTGCAGTATGAAAATGTTGGCGAAAACTTAGGACTCTCTGAAATATTATTGACTGGGGTAACTCCTAGTCAATCTGATGCTCATAATACTGGTCTTACAAAATTATTTTCCGTATCCTCTATATCACTAACCATTCCGGTAATTTCATTTACATATTTAACATAAAACGAATATAACAAACAATATTTTCTACATTAAAAGGCGGCAAGCTGTTTAGTTATAACGAAACTTTGCGTCAGGGTTTCACCAAACGTTGCTCATATCACAGACGCCAATGCTGCTAATGACTTATCTTGTTTAGATATTGAAAGCAGAAAATCATGCGCTCCGGGTAAATTTGTGTGAACCTATAATTTCTATTATTATTTATAAAATGTGCTATAAATTTTTAACTATCAGATCCATCTTTGACAACTTTTACATCATTAACTTCATCATCAATATCTACAAACTACTTGAAAAGAGATACTGCAGGCACAATTACTTTATCGGTCACCGTTCAAAATTCGGCGGCATCTGGATCAGGCAATGATATAACTGCCGTTACTGGGGCCAGTCAGAACTTTGAGTTTCAATGCACTCTCGCTGAAGTTGATCTAAAAAGTAATGCAGGAACTTCTTCATATTCATCTCCTTCTGGGATAACAATGGATGTCCAACAAGCACTAAATGCTGGAGCTTCAGTATCAAGTGATATGACAATTTCCTACACTCTAACATCGGCCAATTGTGCTTCAACCCATTTTATTTGTGTTAAATTATCCATTCCTTCCACAGCCAGCTACAATGATATTAATACTGCTGACAGCAGTAATGTTATTTGTACTAGCATTGATACATTGAAAGTTTGTACTCCTCTTCTTGGACTTTCAATTACGTCTTTGGTATCACAAGCTACTCCACCAATTTATAAAGCGAATGTAGCAACCACAACAAACGTTCTTGTATCAATAGGCAACACAGCAGCAAACACACCATCTGGTCATGGAAATGATATTCCTCTTGCAGATAGCGGAGGAATCAATTACTTACTAACCGCTAGATTCAGGAACTCTGCAGACAACTTAGGATTAGCATCGCAAACCGTAACACTCAATACACCATCTCATGCAGAAAGAGCACTTTCCGCATCGGGAAGTTCAGAAAATTTTGATGGAACTGTTGTTGTGACACTTCCAACAGCAAATTGTGGTGATATAACATACCTCTGTATTAAGGTTGAAACTGGTACAGGTGCGACATACGTTGCTACAGCCGTTGAACAATGTTCAGATATAACAGCTATCAAGTCCTGTCCCACTAATGTCGAAGTAACTGTTTTAGCTATTTCAGGAGGTGGGACTTATCTTAAAAAGGATACTACAACTTCATATTCCACAACATCAACAATCTCTAACACTGGATCAAACATTCTTGTTAATCCTTCTCAAGATAACTTTATTATAGAATACCAACTGTCGAATGTCGATGTTAGAAGTACAGGTTTGGCTTCGAATACTTTAGGCCATACAGCAGTTACAGCCACAGTGACACCGGTCTCCGACTTACGAACTGGTTTATTAAATGCTGGAACGTTTGCATTTACGTGTCAAGGCTCAGTACAAAATCCAGTGGGTAAATGTATTGAAACTAGATGGCTTTGCATACATATCTATCCTGCCGGAACAGCCACTTATGAAGATACAGATAACACAGATGATTGGAGGTGCATATCGCTTTCCCGTACATGTGATACTGATCCTACAATAAATTTACCTCTTACAATATCGCCAACAAATACTTATGCTATACAAGATTCGGCTAATTTGATTGGAATATCGACTGTTGTGGCTAACTCTGCAACATTCACTGTAGGTAACAATATTATAGCAGTCACGGGTTCAGATGCTAACTTCGCTTTCGAAGTGTCTCTATCAAATGTTGATCTAAGAACAACTGCAGGAACAGAGAGTTGGCAAACTGTTAGTGGAATATCTTCCGGCACTCTTCAACAAGGTCTAAATGGTCAAGCAACATTTTCCTTAACGGCCTCCTATAGTTTAACACTAACATCTGCCACGTGTAGCTCGAGTAAATTCTTTTGTTTGAAATTAATTGTACCAGCCACATCTAGCTATTTGGACATTGATTCAGCAGCATCTAGTAACATTGCTTGTTCTGACCTAAACGCACATAAAGTATGTGATCCACAGTTAAGTTTAGCCATAACTTCAATTGACCCACAATCTACACCGAAAACCTATAAAGCTGGTATATCTCAAACTATTGATTATGATGTTGTTCTCTCAAATACTGGGAGCACAACACCGGCCGATCATGGAAACGATATTCCAGCTGCTGTTGGAGCTTCGGACGTCAATTGGCTTTTAAAAACTAGATATACTGACAGTGATACTGCAGACACTCTCGCTTTAAGTGAACAAACTGTTACATTAACTACTTCCAGTGTTGGACGAAGTGGATTAGCCGCTGGAGGAACGTTAAACCTTGTTGGATCTGCAACTATCACTTTACCTTCAGCTCAATGTTCGAGTATTAAATTCTTGTGCATTAGTATTTCACCCGGAAGCATGGCGACCCATACTGAACCTACAGTTTCTAAATGTAAAGATATTGAAGCGGACAAAATTTGTTCACCAGATCCGTCTTTAACTGCTTTGGCTTCATTGACCAGTGCTTCGATTAATTCGAAACGTTTGATGAGGAATACGGCTGGTGTTGTTACTTTATCTGTCACCGTTCAAAATTCGGCGGCATCTGGATCAGGCAATGATATAACTGCCGTTACTGGGGCCAGTCAGAACTTTGAGTTTCAATGCAGTCTCGCTGAAGTTGATCTAAAAAGTAATGCAGGAACTTCTTCATATTCATCTCCTTCTGGGATAACAATGGATGTCCAACAAGCACTAAATGCTGGAGCTTCAGTATCAAGTGATATGACAATTTCCTACACTCTAACATCGGCCAATTGTGCTTCAACCCATTTTATTTGTGTTAAATTATCCATTCCTTCCACAGCCAGCTACAATGATATTAATACTGCTGACAGCAGTAATGTTATTTGTACTAGCATTGATACATTGAAAGTTTGCACTCCTCTTCTTGGACTTTCAATTTCATCTTTGGTATCACAAGCTACTCCACCAATTTATAAAGCGAATGTAGCTACCACAACAAACGTTCTTGTATCAATAGGCAACACAGCAGCAAACACACCATCTGGTCATGGAAATGATATTCCTCTTGCAGATAGCGGAGGAATCAATTACTTACTAACCACCAGATTCAGGAACTCTGCAGACAACTTAGGATTAGCATCGCAAACCGTAACACTCAATACACCATCTCATGCAGAAAGAGCACTTTCCGCATCGGGAAGTTCAGAAAATTTTGATGGAACTGTTGTTGTGACACTTCCAACAGCAAATTGTGGTGATATAACATTCCTCTGTATTAAGGTTGAAACTGGTTCAGGTGCGACATACGTTGCTACAGCCGTTGAACAATGTTCAGATATAACAGCTATCAAGTCCTGTCCAACTAATGTTGAAGTAACTGTTTTCACTGATTCTTCAAGTCCAACTTATCTTAAAAAGGACACTTCGACCTCATATTCCACAACCGCAACAATCTCTAACACTGGATCAAACATTCTTGTTAATCCTTCTCAAGATAACTTTATTATAGAATACCAACTGTCGAATGTCGATGTTAGAAGTACAGGTTTGGCTTCGAATACTTTAGGCCATACAGCAGTTACAGCCACAGTGACACCGGTCTCCGACTTACGAACTGGTTTATTAAATGCTGGAACGTTTGTATTTACGTGTCAAGCTTCAGTACAAAATCCTGTGGGTAAATGTATTGAAACTAGATGGCTTTGCGTTCATATCTATCCTGCCGGGACTGCCACGTATGAAGATACGGATAACACAGATGATTGGAGGTGCATATCGCTTTCCCGTACATGTGATACTGATCCTACAATAAATTTACCTCTTACAATATCGCCAACAAATACTTATGCTATACAAGATTCGGCTAATTTGATTGGAATATCGACTGTTGTGGCTAACTCTGCAACATTCACTGTAGGTAACAATATTATAGCAGTCACGGGTTCAGATGCTAACTTCGCTTTCGAAGTGTCTCTATCAAATGTTGATCTAAGAACAACTGCAGGAACAGAGAGTTGGCAAACTGTTAGTGGAATATCTTCCGGCACTCTTCAACAAGGTCTAAATGGTCAAGCAACATTTTCCTTAACGGCCTCCTATAGTTTAACACTAACATCTGCCACGTGTAGCTCGAGTAAATTCTTTTGTTTGAAATTAATTGTACCAGCCACATCTAGCTATTTGGACATTGATTCAGCAGCATCTAGTAACATTGCTTGTTCTGACCTAAACGCACATAAAGTATGTGATCCACAGTTAAGTTTAGCCATAACTTCAATTGACCCACAATCTACACCGAAAACCTATAAAGCTGGTATATCTCAAACTATTGATTATGATGTTGTTCTCTCAAATACTGGGAGCACAACACCGGCCGATCATGGAAACGATATTCCAGCTGCTGTTGGAGCTTCGGACGTCAATTGGCTTTTAAAAACTAGATATACTGACAGTGATACTGCAGACACTCTCGCTTTAAGTGAACAAACTGTTACATTAACTACTTCCAGTGTTGGACGAAGTGGATTAGCCGCTGGAGGAACGTTAAACCTTGTTGGATCTGCAACTATCACTTTACCTTCAGCTCAATGTTCGAGTATTAAATTCTTGTGCATTAGTATTTCACCCGGAAGCATGGCGACCCATACTGAACCTACAGTTTCTAAATGTAAAGATATTGAAGCGGACAAAATTTGTTCACCAGATCCGTCTTTAACTGTTTTGGCTTCATTGACCAGTACTTCGATTAATACGAAACGTTTGATGAGGAATACGGCTGGTGTTGTTACTTTATCTGTCACCGTTCAAAATTCGGCGGCATCTGGATCAGGCAACGATATAACTGCCGTTACTGGGGCCAGTCAGAACTTTGATTTTCAATGCACTCTCGCTGAAGTTGATCTAAAAAGTAATACAGGAACTTCTTCATATTCATCTCCTTCTGGGATAACAATGGATGTCCAACAAGCACTTAATGCTGGAGCTTCAGTATCAAGTGATATGACAATTTCCTACACTCTAACATCGGCCAATTGTGCTTCAACCCATTTTATTTGTGTTAAATTATCCATTCCTTCCACAGCCAGCTACAATGATATTAATACTGCTGACAGCAGTAATGTTATTTGTACTAGCATTGATACTTTGAAAGTTTGCACCCCTCTTCTTGGACTTTCAATTACGTCTTTGGTATCACAAGCTACTCCACCAATTTATAAAGCGAATGTAGCAACCACAACAAACGTTCTTGTATCAATAGGCAACACAGCAGCAAACACACCATCTGGTCATGGAAATGATATCCCTCTTGCAGATAGCGGAGGAATCAATTACTTACTAACCACCAGATTCAGGAACTCTGCAGACAACTTAGGATTAGCATCGCAAACCGTAACACTCAATACACCATCTCATGCAGAAAGAGCACTTTCCGCATCGGGAAGTTCAGAAAATTTTGATGGAACTGTTGTTGTGACACTTCCAACAGCAAATTGTGGTGATATAACATTCCTCTGTATTAAGGTTGAAACTGGTTCAGGTGCGACATACGTTGCTACAGCCGTTGAACAATGTTCAGATATATCAGCTATCAAGTCCTGTCCAACTAATGTTGAAGTAACTGTTTTCACTGATTCTTCAAGTCCAACTTATCTTAAAAAGGACACTTCGACCTCATATTCCACAACCGCAACAATCTCTAACACTGGATCAAACATTCTTGTTAATCCTTCTCAAGATAACTTTGTTATAGAATATCAACTGTCCAATGTCGATATAAGAAGTACTGGAGTGGCTTCAAATACTTTAGGCCATACAGCAGTTACAGCCACAGTGACACCGGTCTCCGACTTACGAACTGGTTTATTAAATGCTGGAACGTTTGTATTTACGTGTCAAGCTTCAGTACAAAATCCTGTGGGTAAATGTCTTGATAGTAGATGGCTTTGCATACATATCTATTCCGCCGGGACTGCCACATATGAAGATACAGATAACACGGATGATTGGAGGTGCATATTGCTTTCCCGTACATGTGATACTGACCCTACAATAAATTTACCTCTTACAATATCGCCAACAAATACTTATGCTATACAAGATTCGGCTAATTTGATTGGAATATCGACTGTTGTGGCTAACTCTGCAACATTCACTGTAGGTAACAATATTATAGCAGTCACGGGTTCAGATGCTAACTTCGCTTTCGAAGTGTCTCTATCAAATGTTGATCTAAGAACAACTGCAGGTACAGAGAGTTGGCAAACTGTTAGTGGAATATCTTCCGGCACTCTTCAACAAGGTCTAAATGGTCAAGCAACATTTTCCTTAACGGCCTCCTATAGTTTAACACTAACGTCTGCCACTTGTAGCTCGAGTAAATTCTTTTGTTTGAAATTAATTGTACCAGCCACATCTAGCTATTTGGACATTGATTCAGCAGCATCTAGTAACATTGCTTGTTCTGACCTAAACGCACATAAAGTATGTGATCCACAGTTAAGTTTAGCCATAACTTCAATTGACCCACAATCTACACCGAAAACCTATAAAGCTGGTATATCTCAAACTATTGATTATGATGTTATTCTCTCGAATACCGGGAGCACAACACCGGCAGATCATGGAAACGATATTCCAGCTGCTGTTGGAGCTTCGGACGTCAATTGGCTTTTAAAAACTAGATATACTGACAGTGATACTGCAGACACTCTCGCTTTAAGTGAACAAACTGTTACATTAACTACTTCCAGTGTTGGACGAAGTGGATTAGCCGCTGGAGGAACGTTAAACCTTGTTGGAACTGCCACTATCACTTTACCTTCAGCTCAATGTTCGAGTATTAAATTCTTGTGCATTAGTATTTCACCCGGAAGCATGGCGACCCATTCTGAACCTACAGTTTCTAAATGTAAAGATATTGAATCGGACAAATCATGTTCTCCTGATCCAAAAGTTTCTTCTCTTTCCATAAGTCCAGGAGGGTTGAAGTTTAACTCTGACACTGACCTTGCGATAACAATTCAATCAGACATTGAAAATGTTGGGACTGCTGGTAATGATTTACCACCTAATCCTGGTTCGACTAATTTCGATGCCGAAATGTTTTTTTCTAGTGCTGATGTTCGGGCAGGGGGTACAGATACTTTGACTGCCACAAAGTATGCTGTTACAGTTACAAGTAATAAAGACGCTGGTATAGCAGCTGGAGCCACTGTCACTTTAGATGGATCTGTAACTGTGCGTCTGGGAAATGAATGTGAGAATGCAAAATTTCTCTGTTTTACTTTAAAAGCAGCTTCAACAGCGACATATGCAGATGAAGATGTAAGTGCATCAAGTAATACATTCTGTAACGATATTAGTTCTTCCAAGTTTTGTAGATCAGGTATAGAATTTTTTTAAAATATGCCTTTTTGTTGTTTTTGATAATTTGATAATTATTTTTTAGATTTGAAAATTTCATCCCTAACGCTTACAAGTAATAATTTCATACAAGACCAAGCGAACTCTTTAAATATTGAATTCGATTTGGGTAATGACGGAGCAGCCGGTATTCAATCTACAACGCGTAAGCACATGTGTAATGATATTTTTTCTTTTTTTAATCACATTTTTTTTATCTAAAGTTCCGACTGTTAATAAAGAGATCAAAGTTAAAGCTTCGGATCAAGACTTAGGCTCTGTAGGTGCAAGCTCAGATACTTTGGGAGCAGTTGCAACTGATTTATCAGTCAGTCCCGCAAGTCAAAAGTCTGCAGGGCTACTTTCCGGTAGTTCAGTTCATATAACTGGGACTGTTTCGATTACCATTTCTGCTGCTCAATGCCAGAATGCCTTATGGCTTTGCGTGTCTGTCCTTCCTCCTACTGGTGCCACTTATATTGATTTAGATGAATCGAATAATTGGGAATGCATTGATATCTCAACAAAACGAACTTGTTTACCAGGTTTCTATTTAGGTTTTTTTTTTAATTTCAGAACTAAAAGTAAAAAATTTCTTGTTTTTTTAAAGATCCAAAGTTCGCAGCAAGTTCTTTAACTGAAACTTCCAGTCAAGCTTTTATTATTGGTACAACTAAAACACTTTCTTTTAGCTTCGATATAACAAATGGAGCGTCAGCAGTATCGGGAAATACTGTTTTGGCTGTGACAGGAGTAAACGTAAACTTTGGATTTTCGGCACTCTTAACAAATGCTGACATAGGAGGTGGAGGTACGGATACCCTGAGTCAAACGCCTGTTGCTGTCACAGTTAGCCTTGCTTCTCTACAGCAAAGTTTAGCTCCAAGTGCTACCGCAACAGTAACTGGAACTGCAACAATAACCTTTCCTAGTGGTCTTCAGTGCACGCAATTAACTCATGTCTGCATAACTTTAATAGTAGGAACGGGAGCTAGTTACACTGATGCTGATACAACTAATAATGTGATTTGTCTAGACATTACAAATAGGAAAACATGCGGTCCAGATCCTGCTTTGGTATCTGTAACGGAAGCGGCAAATGCCAATTTAGATACAGGTGTTGCAAAAACACTTTCAATATCCGTATCAATAGAGAACAAAGCTGCAGCGTCAAGTGGAAATGACCTTTTGAGTGTTATAGCCCCAAATGCAAACTTTATTCTCGAGTCACAATTCTCAGATGTAGATATTGGTAATGGTGGAACGGATACACTTGCTTTGGCCAAATCAGCTGTAACTATTACACCTGCATCAGATGCTCTTAAAGCCATAAGCCAAGGTGCAACTGAAACAATCGGTGCTACAGCTTCAGTCACTGTACCCTCTGGTTCCTCATGTCAAAGTGTGACATACTTGTGCTTCCATCTATCGGTAGGAACAGGAGCTAGTTATATTGATGCCGATTTGAATAATAATGTTGTTTGCAAGGATATCAGTGCACAAAAAGCTTGTCAGCCTGACTTAACTATCACGAGTATTGGCATAACACCTGGTACCTTCTTAAAGATGAACACAGCGGTTACTGTTGTTTCAAATGTCACAATACAAAATGCGGCATCTGGCAGCCGGTCAAATATTGCTACCGCAACTGCTCCAGTAACAAACTATGCTCTTCAATATAAACTTTCTAGAGATAATTTAGAAACAAACGTAGACACACTAGGTCTCTCCCCTGTAACCGCAACGGGATTACCAGTATCTGATCTCAGACTGAGCTTGGCTTCTCAAGAATCAATAACAGTACAAATAACGGGAGATTTAACAGTTCCAATATTGGATTGTAAATTAGTATTATATCTATGCGTAAGAGTAGATCCAGGTACTGCAGGGTATACGGAAATGCTGTCAACTAATAATTACAAGTGCGAAAGTATTACAGCAAAAAGAACATGTGGCCCTAGTATGTTTATTATAAATTTCTTTTAACTAGTAGCTAATTTATACCCTCTTATAGACGTAGACATTCAAACACTCACTCAACCATCATCCGCAATGATAAATGAGGGCTCAACTACTGAATTAAATTTTCAACTGCAAATTGTTAACATTGCAACAGCCGCAACAGAGAATGATGTCTTGGCTGTGATATCCCCCGCGTCCAACTATAAAGTTACTGTCCAGCTATCTAATGCTAATTTAGAAACAGGTGGAACCGACACCTTGGGATTAACAACTGTTGATTTAACAATACCGGATAATACTCAAACAGTGCATATCATTTATATATCCTCTAGACATATTTATCATTCTGTTTTCAACAGGTTCAAGATTTGATTGCTGCAGGACCTGCAAAAACATTAGATTCCATTGCAAATTTTACAGTTCCCGACGGTAAATGCATAGGATTGCTATTCGCTTGCGCAACAATAGCGCCCGAAGCTTCTTCCAGTTACGTTGACGTTGATACCTCAAATAATGTGCAATGTATTGATATTTCGGGTCAAAGACAATGTAGACCTGGTAAGTTTGCGTAAAAATTTCAAAACAAAGGTCTAAGATGTGAACGTTTTTAATTATTTATAGTATGGAGTAATTTACCGGCCAGTATTATAATTAACGAAGATGAGTCGATTGAAAGGATATTAATAACGGCTGCTGCCACTGACCCAATTGGTGAAAGTTTAACATATGAAATGTCACCAAGACAACCAAGCGTTCCTTTTAAAATAACAAGCGGTAAAGTATTCCAAAGTTGCATTTTAGAGTCATAAAGTATGCTATTTTTACATTAGACGGGAAGATTAGTATAATAAATGCGCCTAATTTGGATTTTGAACCTGGTCCTCGTCAATATATATTAAATGTTTATGTATCTGATGGAGTATTTAATGAAACAACAACATACACGGTTAATGTAGCGGATGTAAATGAAGCTCCTAATATAACTAATTTACCAATGACAATTACACCATCAGAAAATTTAAAAGGAAATCTATTTACAATCACAGGAGTAGATGTAGATTCTGGTGATAGTATTACTTATAGTTTCACTACAGTTCCTGCAACAACTGCCGGTCAACCTTTTAATATTAATACTGGAACTGGGGCAATAGAGGTGGCGTGGCCACCTGGATTGGATTATGAAAAAGTTACATCATATGTTATGACAGTTACAGCTACTGATAGTTCTGGCCTTACTAGTATTAAAGATTTAACAATTGACGTTGTTAATGCTCCCGATCCACCGGAAATTAATAATTTACCTGCATCAATAGCGATTCTAGAAAATGTTACCACTTCCGCAGTGTTTTTCTCTATCAACGCTACAGATTTACAAAATGATGATATTCTCTTTAATTTATCTGTAACACCAGCTTCAGCACAAAATAAGTTTTTTATACAAAATGGACACGAAATTGCATTTATTGACAACCCTGACTTTAATGGAGCAACAGAACCCTTAATTACCATCACAGTTGTGCCATACGATACAACATCCTTAGTTGGAATAAGTCAAATTTTAACTTTAAACGTTATTAATGCTAATGACGAACCAAAGATTCATAATTTACCATCAAGTATCAGTATTCCAGAGGATTTCGCTATGGGAACTCCAGTATTTACGGTAAAATTTTCCTTGTGTTTTTTGAATTATCAATAAATTTTCCGTTATTTTATAGATAAATTGGGAGGATAGAGATGGTGATCAAGTTAATTGGGTATATACTGTTTCTCCATCTAATATGTCTACAGCCTTCAATATATCTAATAGTAATTATATTATAAAGTTATTTATTTTGTTGTTTATGTTGCAATTGAATTATTATTCTTGACAGATGGACTTATTCACATAACTAATAATCCTAGGTTGGATTATGAAACGCTTCAAAAGATAACGATTACTATATCTGCATGCGATATAGCTATTTGTACAAACAACAAAGTTTTAGCAGTGAATATTAAAAATGTAGATGAAGCACCACGATTTACGCCTTCTTCCTTGAAAGCTAACCTTCCAGAATCAAGTCCTGTTGGGGGCTATGTAACTTTAAAATTTAACGCATCAGATGACGATATTGGAGATTCTTTTGCGTTTAAATTGAGTAGCGGAATTCACAATGATTATTTTACTATTAATCCAACAAATGGACAGTTAAAGCTTATTAAAGAATTAGACTATGAGAATTCTTCGCTACCAAAATCGTTTATATTTGGAATAATTGCTACGGATTCAACGAGCTTATCGTCTAGCTTAAGTGTTATTATAAATGTTACAAATGTCAACGAGCATCCGCCTGTATTTTTGCCCTCACTTTATAGGGCAACTGTAAAGGAAAATTCACCACCCGGTGTTACCGTTGTGCAAGTTTCTGCCACAGATGGTGATTCAGACATATTTGGCCGATTAGAGTTTTCAATTTCGGTTTTAAATAATGGTTCTACCTATTTGAAAGCCATACAAATAAGTAATACAAAAGCCGTTATTGTTACAAGTACGACACCGTACGACAGAGAGAAAACTCCAGTTCATAGCGCTTATGTCTATGCTGGAGATGGGGGAAGGACGTATCAGAGGGCCCATCTGTTGATAACAATTTTAGACGACAACGATAATCCTCCAGTGTAATTCTACCTTAAATAATAGTCTAAAATCTTTTGTTAATAAAACTTTTATCTATTATAGATTTAATCCGTCGTGGTACAATATGGAGGTTAGCTGGGATGCACCTGTAGCGACAAGCGTAAAAAAAATAGAAGTTACCGATCCTGATTCAAGTGATACTCGATTTACCTACACAGCTTTACAACCAGATACTTATTTTTATATTGGCGCATTAGATGGACAAGTTACAGTCAATGGAAAACTTGAAAATGATAGAGTATACATCCTTTTTGCAACAGCAACCGATATGGTAGGCCATAAAAGTACAAACAAAGCAACAATACGAGTTGATACATATGATAGAAATTTAATCTTAACTAATTGGACTGTAACAACAACTAGTGGTACATTTACAGAAGAGGATATCAAGGAATTTGAAAGAAATATTAGCACTTCCTGTACTCCTTGCTCAGCTAAGGTCACTAAAGTTGTTTTGACTGCAGATCCGTAAGTTCAAACTTAAATTTGCGTGGTATATAATAAAATAAGTGATAAATTTTTACCGTTATCTTATTTGTTTTCTTATCAACTTTCACCAGTAAAAAATTTGTTCTACTAACTTACTTCCTTGCTGATAATGGAACTTCACCTGGAGATACTAAAACCCCGAAGAACTATTTATCACAGGATAAGGTTGTTGATCAATTTCAAAAAAATTCTGTTAATCAAAGAATAGGAGAAATGACAATTGAATCAATGGGACCATATAAAGAAACTAAAAAGGAAAATTGGTGGACAGATACAGCTGGCGGACAAGCAGTCATCGCTGTAATATGCTTTTCTTCTCTAGTTATTGTTACTCATGCAATTGCCTATGCTGCTGATGTATTTTACTTCAAAGGAAGAGCACGGTAAATATAACAAAGAATAACTAGGAAGCTCAAAGGAATGAATTTATTATTTAAAACTTAAACATTCAGATATCGATTCTTCAAGTTCCAAACGAATGGAAGATCTCCTAAATCTCTATCGAGTGCATCTGTCGCTCCTTCGGAACAGCCTCAATCATCTGGATCAGGAGCTACAGTTAAAGACGTTGAATTACGTTTAAATAGTTCTGAAACGGCGACTGGGGGTGGTCCATCAATTCCTGCAGCAGATTCTTAATGAAAAATTAAGAAATTATTGTTGAAAATGCTCAATAAGAAGAAAATGTGTCTCACTTACTTCTCTTCGCAATTAACTCTTTTGAGCGAAGATCTCTCATGATATATCTTATATATATATATATTTATATTTATTTATAGCTTGATATATTCACAGTTTTATAATATTCTTTTGGTTATATTGAATACATAAATAAGAATGTAAGGGATAGTAAAAAGTATATACAAATTTGCGTATCGATGTAAGTGTTAAGATTTAAAAAATGTGCAATTTCAACCTAACGTGTCCTTAGTTGTTTATCAAAAAAGCACGCTTGTATACGACGCCGCCTATTTTTCTGTATTTTCTATTGTCATTCTCTCTCGAGATGCTCTTCCTATTTTTCTGCTTAATAATTTCTGTACAGAGCCAACCTGTAGACGATGATAAAGGTAATTCGTAAATATAGCTGTCTTTCAGCCTTCTACTCCTTCTTACATTTTATTGCATCGTTTAGATTGCAAAATTGGTGAAATTATAAAAAAACACGGTACTACTTGGTTAGAAAATGAATCTGATCCCTGTGGTGAATGTGCCTGTATTGAAGGAGAAATAACTTGCTATAAAATAGCTTGTCCTTCTCTTTCATGTAGTTTAACGTACGTTCCAAAGGGACAATGCTGTCCAAAGTGTGTTGAAGAGGCTGAGGAAAATGTAAGAATGTCTAAAACTTTTTTGACATGATAAAATCAATCAAATTTGTAGGATTTAAGAGGTCCACCAGGATCTCCAGGTCGACAGGGGCTGAGAGGAGATCCAGGCATCAATGGAAGAAGTGGTATTCCTGGTACTCCGGGTTCTCCTGGTCCAACCAGTCCTGTAAGTTATCAAAAGATGACATAACTTCGTTTCTAAAGTAATAAAATTGCGAAATTGTAGACGGTTAGCACATATATGGACTCTATAAGACGAAGAGCTGCAGAAAAATCGGGAGGTCTTGCTAATTTAGACTTTGTTCAAGGACAAGTTGGTCCTATGGGCCCAAGAGGAGCTCCAGGCTTACCAGGTCCTCCAGGACCCCAGGGTTATCAGGGTGTTCGAGGAGAGGCTGGAGAAACAGGCCCACCAGGATTACCAGGCCCTCATGGTCCAAGAGGATTGCAAGGACCTCCAGGAAAGGATGGAGAAGATGGCAAGGACGGAGAACAGGGTAAATCAGGAATAAGGGGACAGCCAGTTAGTAAACAAAGCTTGACAATTAAAAAATCACTAAATTTCTTACAATTTAAAGGGACCAAGAGGTATGCAGGGAATACCCGGTCAACAAGGATCAAAAGGTGATAGGGTAAGTTGGATTAGGACTAGTCGTACTTTTGATATAAGACGAGGAAATCATACTAGGGATACACTGGATTGAGAGGAGCGAAGGGCGAACAAGGGCCTTCTGGAGAAAAAGGTCCCCCAGGTCCATCTGGTCCAACTGGTCAACAAGGATTGCAGGGCCAAAGAGGTCTTCGAGGTGAAAGAGGAATGGATGGAAAACCAGGGCCTAGGGTACATCAGAACGAAATTTTCATTTAAGACTTATAACAACAAATGAATTATAACATGTTAGGGTCTTAGAGGAGTCGATGGCGTACCGGGTGAAAGAGGTTCTCCTGGTGAACCTGGTATTAGAGGCCCTCCAGGTTTTCCTGGCTCGGCTGGAAGTAAAGGTGACATTGGTCCAATTGGGTTAAAGGGAGCAAGGGGTCTTCAAGGACCAAGAGGACTGAATGGAAAACCAGGTGAACCTGGAAAAACAGGACAAAGAGGAGAACCTGGAAAAGATGGTATAGCAGGGGAGAAGGGTCAGAGGGTATGAAATGAACTTTATAAATACTGCGCTACAAACAATTGTTTTTTTAGGGTGAAACGGGCATGGTTGGAGCACCAGGTTTTCCAGGAGCTAGAGGTGTTCCAGGGGCTATAGGTGAACCAGGTAAACGAGGCTTGAAAGGAGAAACGGGAATGCAAGGACAGGTCGGTACAAAAGGATCCAAAGGAGACAGAGGATTAGTGGGCGCCCAAGGAATCGTAGGTTCTAAAGGTAACCAAGGACAGCCAGGGAAAAGAGGGCTTTCGGGCGAAAGAGGTCCAATTGGTCCACAGGGTGCTCCTGGAGCTAAAGGCCCACCTGGAGAAAGAGGGCAACAGGGACTTGTTGGTCCCCATGGAACGCCTGGTAATCCTGGAGATAGGGGACTTCCTGGAAAAGACGGAGAACCGGGTCCACAAGTATTTCATTAGCTAATATTCAACAAGATAATATGCTTCTTACTTCATATTTCAGGGAGATCAAGGAAAGCCTGGTCCAGTTGGTCTTCCCGGATTGAGGGTATGTTTTGCAGTCAGTGTTAACAATTCTTTTTTAAATGAAGAATATATTTTAGGGTTTGCCCGGTCGCGTCGGACCTGTAGGTAAACAGGGTGAAGAAGGACCACAAGGTCTTCCAGGAGCTGACGGAAAGCAGGGAGAGGCAGGACCTCCAGGTCCTCAAGGATTAAATGGTTTGCAAGGCATTAGAGGTCCTAAAGGTCCTCAAGGTCCATCTGGAGCAGATGGAAAAAATGGAAGACCTGGTATTAGAGGTCCTCCTGGAAGCAGAGGTAAAGCTGGTGAACATGGATTACAAGGTCAACCAGGCCCTCCAGGGGAAAGTGGAGAAAAAGGATCAAGAGGACCAAAAGGACCTGCAGGATTTCCAGGTTTAACTGGAAAGCCAGGGGTGAAAGGTCAGAGAGGATCTGTGGGAGAGTCTGGACCGCCTGGTCCAGCTGGTAAAGAAGGTCCCACAGGACCAAGAGTGAGTATCTGGATGCAATTGAAAGTTATAATGTAATGTTTACAAAGTTCTAAAAGTTCTAACGATATTTGTATAGGGTGAAAGAGGGCCTCAAGGAGAAAGAGGCCCAAGAGGAACTAGAGGAATACCAGGAGAAGTTGGACCAGTTGGTGAGAGAGGACAAGATGGTATACCAGGTATGGCGGGAAAAACAGGTGCAAAAGGATCTCCAGGACAGCCTGGTTTAATAGTATGCCTCAAATATAAAAACTTACAACAAATATTGACATTAATTTTACGATAGGGTATGCCTGGCGAGAGGGGAGCCAAAGGTGAAGGGGGCAGTAAAGGGAGCCGGGTATGTAAACAAAAATTCTGCAAAGAATAATATTTTATGACTACGATTATATTACAGGGAGATCCAGGAGAAAAAGGCCAAAAGGGATCGTTAGGTAGAACGGGTCCAGCTGTTAGTAATTAATAAAAAAATTCCATTGCCCTAATTAAAGAGATCAAATATTTTTCTTTAGGGAAGGAGTGGTTTGAGAGGTTTACCAGGGTTGCCAGGGTCAGCTGCTGCCAAAGGTGATAGGGGTGATACAGGCAAACAAGGAGAAACAGGTGCAACTGGAGAGCCCGGTAGAAGAGGTCTTACTGGGCCCCCAGGACCTACTGGACTCCCCGGTCTTCAGGGACCGGTCGGTCCAAATGGGCCAAAAGGCGATCAAGGGTCACTAGGTTCGGAAAAAAATTTATAAACAACAATAATTTAAAAATTTCCTTCACCTAGGTGAACCTGGAAAACCTGGTCCAATGGGAGAACAAGGAAATCCAGGACGAAGAGGAATACCTGGAATGAAGGGTGTTAAAGGAGGAAAAGGATCTCAAGGAGATACAGGAAAATCTGGTGAGCCTGGTATTAGAGGATTACGAGGGCCTGTCGGAAAAGAAGGGGAAAGGGGTCCTACTGGCCCGATAGGGCCGGTTGGCCGTCCCGGACCAAAAGGATCAAAGGGAGAAAGGGGTAGCATTGGACAGCCTGGTCTTCAAGGAAGTTCTGGCGTGCCTGGACCCGCTGGAAGGCCAGGAGACAAAGGTTCTAGAGGAACTGATGGTAAAATAGGACCAACTGGTGAGCGTGGACTACCTGGACCTACTGGTCATAAAGGTCCAAGTGGGTTACCTGGTCAAAGAGGTGATATGGGCCCTATTGGTCGACCAGGTCCGAAGGGTGAAGCTGGTGTGAGAGGTTATCCAGGTGTTCCGGGTGAGAAAGGTATGCAAGGCCCTCCAGGGCAGATAGGATTGCAGGGTGTCAGAGGCCCATCAGGAAAAGAAGTAAAATTTTTAAATATCCCAAAACCCTACAATAAATATTTATTTTTACAAGGGCTTATCTGGACCTCAAGGCCTACCAGGAGTTCCTGGAAAAACTGGAGATAGAGGTTCACCGGGTGAAATTGGACCTCCCGGCCACCCAGGACAGGCAGGACTTCCTGGTCAAAGTGGTCCACCAGGTCTTACTGGTCAAGCTGGACAAAAGGGAGAAAAAGGCGTATCAGGACCTAAAGGTGTTCAAGGACCAGTTGGAGTTCAAGGTATTGCTGGGCCAAGAGGACATCAAGGAGTGAAAGGAGATAAAGGAATGAGAGGAGTTAAGGGCGATAAAGGCCATATTGGGCTTCCGGGTTTACAGGGTCCACCAGGAACAACAGTTAGTTAGATTAAACTATACTTTTATACTTGAATAACAATCTCAACGCATTATTCAGGGTATTCCGGGTGAGCTAGGGCCTAAAGGTGAAAAAGGAGAATCAGGAATTCAGGTTTCATCGCTATTGTTTAAGTGTAGATCCTTGATTAATATAATTTTATCTCCAGGGTGAAAGAGGTGTAAGGGGTGAAACAGGTCTGCCTGGTGCTGATGGTCGGCCAGGACCGCCTGGAGAGGTAGGGCCAAAAGGATCATCTGGCGACGATGGATTGAGAGTAAATATATACACATTATTCTAGAGATAGATAAAGTGAAAGTATATGTATTGTTTTAGGGCTATTCAGGACCACCTGGACCACCTGGACCACCAGTAAGGCTATAATTACTGCATTCGAGGCGAACAATAACGTTTACCTTTTTATTAGGGACCACCTGGACCAGCTATGTGGGCTGACGTTCTAAGACGTCCAAAGGGACCAGATCCCTTACAGGCGTCAGCGACAAATGGAGAATCGGCATTAGAGGCACTAGAAAGAATAAAGAGATCGATAGCAACAATAGCCGATCCTGATGGATCGAAAGGGGCTCCTGCAAAAAGCTGCAAAGATATCGCCTTGTCCTATCCGGATTCTAAAGATGGGACTTACTGGGTCGATCCCAATTCTGGAAGTTCAGAGGATGCAATCCAAGTCTACTGCCATATGCAATTAAATCAGACTTGTTTCCATTCAATCAATAAAGAAGTATAAATATCGTTTAAAAAAAAAAGCCTATTAATAACGTTTACATTTAATTCTGTTTTTAGATCTTTACTGACAAATTTTCACCTAGAGATAAGAAAGGAAGCGAAGATAAACTTTGGCTGAGCGAAGAAATAGGAGAAGAGATTGCGTACGATTTGAATAAGATGCAAATGGTGTTTTTGCAATTATCTAGTACAAAAGCATCCCAGAATATAACAATTCATTGTAAAAATACTATAGCTTTTTACGATAAAAAGAAGAAGCATCACGATTTAGCAACAACTTTCTTATCTTCAAATGATCAAGAATATTCACCTAGGAATATTTTATATAATTACGCGGTAAATTTGGACGATTGTCGTGAAAAGGACGATAAATGGAGGAAGACGTTGTTTGAATTTAATACCAAGAAGACGAGACGACTTCCAATCGTTGATATATCTGTATCGGATTTCGGAGAAGACGATCAAAGTTTCTATGTAGAAATTGGTCCTGTATGTTTCTCATGATCTTTTTAATTTTATAAATAGTTTCATAGTCCTATTCGATTTGTAGTATAAACATTAAATATAGACGTCTTGTATTTGTCTATATACAATGCCTGTATACTGTATTTATAAGTAACCTATAAACAAAGTACGTATAATAAAATATCATGAATATTCATATACAATAGTGATGTATACATTCGAATGAACAGTGGCCAAATAAACAAAAAGGGCAACCTAAAATGATAAGAATGAAAAAAATGTCGGTCATGCGTATTATGTATTTGGGTCTGTTTTATTTAGGTCTAAGAATCTATTTACGTATAGGGTTTCCTGTTAAAGAATAGAAAATACAATTCCGCCTATATAGGTGGCGCCAAAAAGTTAACTAGTTTTTAAACGCAACTTGAAGCTTTTGCCCCTTAAATGACATTTGCCCGCTTTTGAGCGGAAGTATCAGTATAATAGAACTATTATTATCATTATACATTCGATTTTAGAAACTGTATATACTTTTTATTTATCTTAAATCATTATGCAGCATGCATGAAAAAAAGAAACATGTGTTCAAACTCACATGCATATCACGTAATTTAGTTACTTTTACTTAAAAATATAAAGATAGATTGCAAGTCACTTTTTCTTTTCTATTCAAGCAAAATTGAACGTTCATTCCATAGTCAATTCTATTCTCATTTCGTCTTTATGCAATAAATGGATTCTCGTGATAAAAATATCTATAATGAGTACTTCATAAGTGAACCTTCAGTAACCGACAACCAGGAATTGAATGATATAGATTTTGACATTAACTGGTATTGGACCGATTACCAGCAAACCGAGTATTACGAAGATGAAAATGGGAAAAAGTCAACTAGGAAAGTCTCTCAGAGACAGGCGGCAAATATGAGGGAGAGGAAGAGAATGAGGACGATTAATGATGCGTTTGAAGGCCTTAGGGCCAAGGTTCCATTTGCGAACGATAGCGAAAAGAAATTATCAAAAGTAGACACGCTAAGATTAGCCGTCCAATATATTCAGCATTTAGCAAACGTCTTAGAGTCTTGCGGCGTCTCTACGGCGAGTAAAAGAAAAAGAATGGGAGAATCGAATGGAAAAGTTATACTAAAATGTTCAACAAATAATATGTCACCATTGCCGGATTCTCTACTGAGTCAGCCTGTTTACGGACATTCCTTATCTTGGAATATCGAAAATCAACAGTTCAAGAAGAGGAAAAAATTTTCAGCTCAAATATGGATTCCTTATCAGATTAACGCCCAAGAACAAGCAGAATTATCAAGTGATTTTTAAACCAAAAAAATACAAACTAAAACTTTATTCAGTTTTTGAACTCTAGGCTAATAGTTTAGCCTAAAATAAATTACTGCGAACTAGATAAAAGCCACAGCCTTCGAGATAAACGCTTCAATTATTCATTTTAATAGGCTACATTACAATATAACATATTTAAATCAGTTTTTATTCTATTCGATCGACCAATCATTAAGCGCCTAACATCAAATAGAATCTAAAGACTTGACAAGTTGAAAAAAAAATGCAAAAGAAGGGGAAGAAAAATAATAATAACATATTTATATATATATATATATATATTATATTTATATATAAAACATCTAGAATTAATATAATCCTTCTACAGTCTAAATTGAATATTTGTTTTCATTATTTGGAAAAGAACATACAGTGTACATGTATCGAGATATTTGTTATTATTCTGTCTATTATAAGCTTAATTCATCTAGCGACTAAACCCTGCTAATTATTTTATAGCTAAATTATTGAAAACAATTTACTATAATTGATTAGATAAAAGTAAACAAGTGACTAGAAGTCCAATATACTAAATAATAATAGAAATCACCGGTTTTTTTTTGTGTGCAAAATAATAAGAGAGAGAAAGAAAGAGAAGAAAGAGAGAGAGAGAGAGAGAGGGAGATATATATAGAAAAGGCAAAAAATCTAATGAATTTATCTTCTTCATTTTTTTTTGTGTGTTGCAAATATATAAGTATACTTCTTGTTGTAGTTTTCTCTTCTTCGTTACCAACAACAAATTTCCCATTGTCATCGCCAACGTTATTTTAAACTGTTACTTTTTTTTGAATATCTCTGCCAAAAATAAAATCAATAAGATAATAAATTGATTTTTTTTTTAAAAAAAAATACTTTACTCTTTTTTTTATTTTTTTTTCAGCCAAACATCTCTTGAGCAGCATAGGTTACATATAAAAAACCGTCGGCGTCCTTATTTGTTAAGTATACTTCGTGTATTGTTGCAGTTAGTGACGCCATATTATTGTTGTTCACCAAAAGGAAGAAAGCTTGAGACGACCGCAACTTCATCCGATTTCTGTCCAAGGTCGTGAACTTTGAATGAACCTAAGCGTGTCTAGACAACTACGATTTGTCCTACGTTAGTGACGCGCACGTAAAATTTTTCCCGTTTCGATTAACCTTATTTAAAAGTAACCTTTGGATAATCCCTATTATACGTTAATTCTATTTACCTTATTACGCCCAAAAACTGTGACATTGTAACTTCTTGTGGAACTAGGAATTTGGTCTTGGTTAACGACGGTAGGTTCTTTTCTCTCGAATATCTTTCGACAATCACCTGCAAATATTGCGCAATATGTAGGCGAAAATGAGGTAACTTCTTAACCCGCTAATCATTGTCTTTTAAAGATAAGTCCGATTTTATCTATATATAGATTTGGTCATTGTTTACAAACAAGTCTATGCAATTAGCATTCAATTTGAGCAATAGTTGACAAAGGTCAAAGTTTAAACAAACAGTCCTAACGTCTTTTTTGTCTCCAAAAGAAACAAATTATTGATAGAAACATTCTAAAGATTTTACATACCGGCACTTTGCTTGGGAATTTTTCACGAATTTTTAAAACTTCGTCCCTTCGTTCCTCTGTAATGATATTAAACAAAATATCGTCCGTCCAGAATGCAGATCAACGTAATTGCAACCGCTTCGGCTGTTCGCATGGTAAATATAGAACCTACCGAAGGACTTTTTACATTTGTATTTGCTCTTCTCTATTAAAACGGGTGGTGCCGACTTTTTCTGGAACATATTTTTTTCACCACGATCCATTCAACGGCATTAGCTTGAGTGGCACAAGTCTTGTCAATATTGCTCTACGCTTATTGGTCAGTTGCTATTTTCCTCCAATCTACTCACAGCTCTCTTACGTAATCGATTTAAAATTAACGTTCGCTAACTTCAAACAAAGCAGGAGTGCACGATTGCATAAATTTGTCCTTATAATTCCTTACATTTCATATATTGTCTTTATGACTTTTGAGTGCTATTAAATTAACCGCCCATAGAAAAATGTCTCTTTCGTTTCGCAAGTAATTAGAAACTGGTGAAAGTATTTAACACACGTTTTTCTTTAAACAATCTTCTATTTTCGTCCTTTGCCTATCTGCTTCATTCAAATAGACTTTCTAAAGGTATAAATAAAGCCAGCAGGACTTGGACGTAAACTTTGTATCAAATATCTTCTTGGATTAATAATAAACAGCATAGATAATACAACTACTCTAATATCACTCAGCAATATGAGCGAGAAAGTTCGACAAAAGAATTCTGATAAACAATTTCAGAAAGGTAATTTATATATAAACAAATAAATATCTTTTTAGTACAATGTTTTCTCAAAGCTAATGTCTTGTAATATTACAGGAAAGAATAAAATTCATAAAAAAGCTTATAAAAATCCTAAAGCATTCACTGGAAGTAGAGCGGAAGGTACTAAGAATTTAAGAATTTTTCATTAAATTCCCATTTTGTTGCAATCTATACATGTTTTATAGGTCAAGGGTTTGCTGATGTAAGAAAAAAGAAGGTTATGCGAGAATATTATAAAATGTTACGCAAGGAGAAAATAAATAAAGGGAGCAGCGAGACTGGTCGTGAAAAGAAGAAGAATCAGAAAAAGGAGATTAGATTAAATAGTCCTGACACTATTTCCGACAAATCGGAAAAGATAAAGAATAAAAAATCAAAGAAGTCTTTATATAAACAAGTTCAAGAAGAGTATAAGAAGAAACAAGCTGATAAAAAAATAGAAGTGGAACGCGTGAGTAAAGAGAAAGTTGAACGTGAGAAAGCCATTCAAGACTATAAAGAAGTAAAGAGTAAAAAGTTTTCAAAATTGGCTAAAGTTAATTGGAAAGGTCAGCCTAATATGACAAGTCAAATGCACGTACTCTTAGATGAAATTGAACGAATGAAGAAGAAGTAATAAGTCTAATCTATTGTTAAAAGGATTATTGAAAGAACGAAAAGATTATTAGCTATTTGCAGGAATATTTCTTTGAAATATGATAATACAATTAATAGGGAAATTTTTGTACAAAAAAAGAGAACAAAACGAGAAAAACAACAGTTCGGAACGATGGACTTCTTATGGTGTAAATCATATTCAATCCTTAATATTTTATGTCACCTCGGCTTTTTTTGGCTTTTTCGGCGAGATTTTCAAAAAGCGCTCTCATTTGCTTAACATTGCCCCTTCCAGCAGTATCTAATTGTTCATCAGATGTAGGAGGCTTGATTCTGCCGATTGTCAAGTTGATATCCTCTTCTTTTCTCAATTTAGATTCATCGTCTAAAAGCTCATTTGAGTCAAAAAGAGGATTGTAATGATCGACAGACACACTCTCGTCTCGGTCACTGTGATAATCGGTGGTTGGTGTTTGAGATTCTTCAATTTTACTTTCTGTGCCAATTGAGTCGGTTTCGTTACTTCCGTAGTCACTTGACGATATTGTCAATTCTAATGACGGTTTCAATTTTATAATTGGATCATCTATGTTCTCTCCGAATTCTTTTGGACACTCTTCAATTTCAATTTCGAATGCTTCATTGTCGAGAGGCTGTTCTTCAGGTTTCTCAATTTTACTAATAGACTCCTCTGAGGATTTTCCGACAGATATACTATCCTCTTTTTCTGGCCCCTCAATATTGTTATTATCATCGCCTTCCACCATCCTCTCTAATTTGTCGCTTTTGGTAGAAATAATTTTCTCACTATCCAGGTTATATAAGTAATTATTATCCAAATCCTCTTCGGCCTCCGGAAGGTGAGCAACAACAGGAACTAGAATATCCCCCTCAAAGAGAAGTTTTGATGATCTACTTAGAGTTTTTCTCCGAATAGTATCAGTTGTCGAATCTCCAAATCCATCATATCCATTGGTATCTACACTAGAAACTATTTGAACAGGTGGAATATCTTCATTGATAGTTCGGATGCTGCTGGAAGAAATGAGTAGTGACTCCCTGTTCTTTCTTCTCAACGTATGCTTCCTGTTTAAGTAAATAATTTTCAATGTACGAATATAATATGACTAATAAACAACAATACATAAGGAAGTTCCTAACATGAAAAGGCAGGTTAACAAAAAAGGGACAATAAATAACTGAATAAAATGGGTAAGGGGAAGGAAGGAGTAATGATAAATCTTCATGCAGGAAGGAATCAAAAGCAATTTATATAATAATAAAATATATCTAAAATATGCACGACAAATATATAACTCATGCTGCTACATTTATAGCAATCTTGTCTATATTTATACCTTTTTGTATAATTTTAATTTGGCTAAATGAACTAAAAGTTGTTGCCTGTATTTAATGGAATTTTGCTTAATTTTCACTAGAAATTCCTTACTATGTAATTTGTTTAATAATTCACTATTTAATATTATTAGTACGAACCTGTAGCATAGACAAATTACAAGCAATAGGATGAATAGACCAACAGCAGCTCCAACTATTGCATAGATTACAGTATTCATTGATTTAGGTTCGCTTATAGCGAAGGGTGGTTGAATTGTTGGTGGAGATCCAAAAGTTGTTGTATCTTCGAATTCAATTGATGAATCACCAGAAAACACAGATGACTTGGTTGTTGAAAATTTGCTCATAGTTCCACTTGTTTCTTTTTCGTTTGAAGTTTTCGATGTTTCTTTATCATATTTTGTAGTTTGAAAAGATGCAGTCTCCAACGAAGTGAGAACTTGAGTTGAATGAATATTTGCCCTTGTAGTCTTTTCTTCAATGGTAGTTGTTCGAGTTGTTGTTGTTGGTTCAACAGTTGTTGTAAACGGGCAGGTTCTGTCGATTTCATTGTCATAAATTACCGCTAAGCTAATATACGATGGATTTTCCATATGCCATATTGAACAGTTACAGCCTCCCTCTTCGACAGACGTTGTTTTGAGACTTTCATGAAAATCTCGAAGCTTTTCATTTACCTAGAATAAATTAGAAAAGAGAACTTAAAGGAGAGTTGGCAGTAATTATTTTAATTAACAATACCCTTAAAGTTCCAGAGAATATTTTCTCGAAATCAGGAAAAGGTGGAGGTCTTAAAAAATCGAATGTGCTCTCACCCTTTAAATTAAAAATTCAATTTCAAATTATATACATGATTGCTGAGTTATAATTAAAAACAATCAGAAATACTTACAGAAACCAATACTAGAAGATAAATTGTGCATATTCCAATGTACGTTCGTGACATATTTAATATTTTTGCGCTACAGATCGTTGCTTCAGATATGTGAAAAGAGAACTTAAAAAGAGTAGAATATGCAAAGAGATGTCTACAAAGCTTTTGATACGCTCAAATTGTCATGAAAAGCCTTGTAGGTGCACTGAGTCAACAACGAGTTACTCTAAAGTAATACATTATCTTCTGATAAATTATTATTAGCTGATGCTTCTTAGTTCGCAGAGAAATATCCAATTCCTATCGATTGATTAAATTTAGTTTGTTTCAGTCGAGAGAGACGTAAGGAATTAATTACAAGTAGAGAGGTTGCTGGGAAACAGAAAGAGTTCGAACAAGAACCACTCTATCGCTTAAAAAAGAGTAAAATTACCAGTTTTCCTACAATCGTAAATCTATAGTAACACATGTTCTTAATCCAATCATTTGGCAGCATGTTGCAAAATGAAATGTTTTCATGATCATAGTAAATGCTGAGTAAAATTATAGTTTATCAATAATTTCGTTTATTCTGAACTCCTTAAGTTTTGTCAAAAGAGTAAGTAATGGGATCTACTTTCGTGCAGATCATTTAAATCGAATATTTATAAACAAGCATTCTTTTAGAAGCAGTAACATGCAAGAAGCAGCTCAGAAACTCAGCGTCGTAGGACGTTTTTACATATATGCTTTACATGGATATTTTGTTGAAGTTATGTTTACTGCTGGCTGGGAATTTGTTGTAAATTATAATTGGAAATTTCCGGGAAATACATCCATTTGGTCATTATTAATTTATGGAACATCCCTCCTTGTTATAGAAAATATGTATAGGAAAATGAGAAACAAAGTACCCTTACCTATAAGGGCACTAATTTATTTATTGTGGACGTATATATGGGAATATATTTGCGGTTATGTTTTACAAACATTTAATGCATGCCCCTGGAATTATTCACAATTTGACTACAATTTTCACGGATTAATTACTTTTGAATACGCACCAGCTTGGTATTTGGGAGCGATATTTGCGGAGAAAGTTATTATTCCGTTAACGTTGCAACTCGCTTGGCATAAGCCAAAAACGAAATAAAATTAAATCTATCTGATCATAAGTCAGCTCACGTTTATTTCGAATAATTCAGAGTCAAATATTTTGCTATAAAGAAACAATTTTTTTTCAGTAAAGAAAAAAAAGCTTTAATGATTTGGGCGTAAGATAAATTGCTATCGAATGTGATATTCAAATTTTTCGCACGACTACAGCAGCTGTTGTTTGTCTGTATGCGGGAAATTATGCGCTAATCGTTCCATTTGTTAATCGAAGCTTTCCTTTATTACCGTCTTGAAAACACATGAGGGTAATACAACCTTCGGTTCCTTCGTAACGATATCTATTTGCGAAGTTGTTTGTAAAGTGAAAACGATTAGTAGCTTATCAAGTTTACTACTTAATACACTTACTGTTCATTTATAGGTACCAAAAGAGAATCATCTTGTTTCAGACTGTGAGTTACACCAGAGGTTGTTATTTCGCAACTTCCCTCCTTAAATTAAATATATATGCATATTTATTTATTCACGTATAATTATCACATTTAATTAATTTGTAATAAACAACTCACAATAACCCAAAACCAAGTTTCCGCAATATCACACCGGTCGGTTATCTTTAAGGCAGAATAGGCAAAAACTTGAAATTGAAAATCTTCATCAAACATCCGCTTGTATTGATGTGACTCGATATCTTTTCTATTATCTTCTATCCATTGTCGTAAATCAAATGGTTCAATAACAGTTGAATCTTCATCCAACTCGAACACTGATTTACCAAGAGAACCGGGAATTGGGCGACCTGTTTTATGCTGTTCAGAAGCGAAATACCTTGAAAATGGAAAATAATATGTTTTCTAATATTGAGAGAATATCGTCCCGGAAAAATTCAATAAAGTTATTACTCTGCAATAATGGGGCCTAATTTTTCCAAATCATCACAATAGAACCATTTCTCGTAGAGAATATCGTTCGTAGGTTTACCATCATTTTCAACAAAGTATCTACAACAAATTCGAAATAGAATGAATAAACGCTTATCGAGAGCATAACATATTTAATTCGTATCGCATTACCTCAACGCGTCTAGTTCACTTTTCGTTTTATCCCTCTCTCGTTCCAATACTATTCCTATAGTATTTTCGAATCGTTGAGGCGAATGCGGTATGCAGGCAGGCAGCAAGAAGATCTGTGCGTAAGTATAGCATAGCATTAAAAAAACAGAAAACATAACTCGGCCTATTATAACTATCGAATCAAACCTGGCCTTGTTTGATAATAATATCTCGATGCCGACCTTTTTCCAAGATTTTTAGGCACATATCGCCCTTAATCTGATAAAACAGCTCTTCTCCAGCCTCAATATGAAAATCCTTTCGAACGTTCGGTCCTCCAACGCAAAATATCTTTAGTTGGCCATCCTTGTGTCTAAATAAATACGAAAAGTGATAAGAAGCAACGGCATTTTTAATCAATTGTCAAGAATTGTTTTTCACGTAGGAATTGTACGAGTTGAAGGACTAGTTTATACAGATGCATAAAAAACTATAGGCTTAAGATTGAAAACTTTTAGCACGTATCTTATGTAAGAAAAAATATATACTGTAGAAATAAGAGATAATTCGAAAAGAGTGGAAGAGAGATGTTTTCGAGAAGGGAGTGGAAGAAAAAGAAAAAAAATCTCTCTTTTTTTTTTCTTTTCCATTATTTTTTACTTTAAATGAAACAGATCAATTTTATTGTAGGTTGGAGTATTTACCTAAAATATATAGACTATTATTTAAAGAATATAAAGAGAATGAATAGCGTATGAGCACGAAAGATCGAAAAAATGGTCAATTTTGTTTTATTTATTTGGAAATTCAAGGCACAAAAAAAAAATTGAACGAGGTCATCAGAAGAAGAAAATAAATATAAAAATCTAAATGCTCAACTTACATGCTTTTATTGCAGACTGGTGGTTTAAAATACTTCTTATTCTCTTCAATCCAATTTCCGACGTTTACTGGTTTATTCGACATTTTCAAAGAAAGAGTTTAAACGAAACTTGCTTAAAATCTTCTATATTCAAATTAAAGTTGAACGGTTGATGAGGTGAAGAAATTCGTAAACCAAGGAGGGAAATAGTGATAAACAGATAGATAGATAGAGATAGAGAGATAGGAGGAGAGAGAGAGGAGAGAGTGAGAACGCAAGAGAGACTTGAAGGCTAAGTGTAGAAACGTAGGTTACGTCGGAATGACCTAGTGAACTGCGCTGGCTGCCTTCTATAGGAACAATGAAAAAGTGCTGCTTGCTTCTACTGCCCTCTATAATTTCTAAAAGTGTGCAATTTTTAAACGGATGATATGATAACAATATAGACCAAGTCTTATTTGATTGCAATGCTTTTATTAGCATACTCTTAAAGTTCAATAAATTTTTTTTTTTTGATAAGAAACTCATTCTCCAAGTGATTTTACGGCTTTCTCATTGTTTTCCAGGAAATTTTTCCATCCTATTAACCTTTTCTCTTGCGTTTACTTCTATTCCTCTTTTTCTTATTTCGTTTCTTTTTACCATTAATTTTACGGTTAGCCTTTTTAGGTTTCTTTATCATTTTCGGTTTTCCCGAACGATTCTTAAGCTCTCGTAGAAGTTTCCTGATTCTTTGTTGTAAACCGGATTTTCTCTTTTTGCATTTTGCTTTGGAACTAATTACCTTTATTTTCCGATTACCCTTTTTCAGACGATGGATACAGGAGACCCTCTAAACATACGAAAAAAGAAAGGGAAGAAAATGTTTTCTTAGCTGCAAATTTTTTATTGGCGATAATATTTTGTACACTCTTATACTTGGAGTAAACAGCGTTTCCTATACGTTTTACAATCAGAACCAATCACTCTTCCAAAAGGTTTATTTTTGCAGTAGAACCTACTTGGACATTGGCAAATTGGAAAACCTTGAATATTTATCGTACAAACTTGCTCCTTCTTACAAACGATGTTTCTACACGACGAATCTGTATATGTTTAAAACATTTAGAGATGAAAGACAGCTGTAAAAAACAGGAGAAGAAGAAGAAGAAGGAAAGAGTAAAAAAAAATCAAGAAGATATAATATGAGAATTCTCTCTTTTATGCCTTTATAACATCAAAAAAGAAACTACAAACACAAAAATTCCCTTACTCGATACTGTAAATGTAGTTAATGGTTTGACGTCACCAGTACGATGGCAAATCCAACAACAGTCGCATTTGTCTTTTTCCAAGCGTCCATCGTAACAATCTGATTCTGTTAAATTCTTACATAATTTTTCATTGCAAATCGTACATAAATGATCGTTGTAGAATTTCTCGCTGCAACTTAAATGCAAGAGAAGAAATACCAGATAAATCCTCATCGTCTTCCCATCCACCCCCTTTCTTTTCTTAACTATATCGATTGCTTTTACTTCCTTCCAGTCAGAATAATTGAGTAGTTGCACCCACGAAGGGTTGCACTCCTTCGAACTTTCTAATACATAATAGTAAAAAAAAGCTTAATACAATATTTTCTCTAAAGTATAGGCTTTCGATTATTGAAAAGGTTATATTGTTTATATTCAAGGTGTACGCGTGTGTTTCTTCATCTTATTTGCATGACATAAAATTTGACGAATCCCAGATGTCAGCGTAACCTTTGTAGGCCTATTTTAAAGGCAATATTGACGGATGAGTATTGTTGTTTAATCACGTATAAACTTTCAGGCATGTTTAACAATACTTTATTGTAAAAAAAAGGGGTAAACTAAACCTTCCTATTCTACTTAATTTCATTATTAGGATATTAAACGGCTCTCTCCATTTTAGTCTCATGTTTTCTTAAAAGAAAAAGAGTGGACTATTTAAGTTTAACTGAGAGTTTACTTACAATACATAAATTTATACTATATACATAAACAGTGGATGAACTTTAGGCCTTTACTATAATTGTTCTTTTTCTATTTAAAAATAAATAGATTGTATTCAAAGTGCATCGTAATAATTCAACAAAAAAAAAAAAAAGAAATTAAATAACTAGAACTATGATCTCCATTTGTCAATTTAATAGTCTTTTTTTTTGTATACTATTAATCTTTTGTAAATTTTTGATAAAGATTCCCATATCATATTATTCATATTCATATAGATGAACAGTATAAGCGCCATCTCTCTCATATTTTTCAATATTTTAAATAAGAATGAAACGCCATAAAGTACGTACGTTGTAACATATATAACCTAGAATTAATTATTAATAAGGAAAGATCTAAATTAAGGTGTAATTTTCAATTAGTTAATGGATATTGAATAAATAAAATTGATTAACAGAACTCTTTTGATACAGGGCCAAAATTTTCTTTCTCTATTTTTTTTATTAGGTCAAACAAACTGGCTGTAACATAAACATAATAGCAACAATATATAACAAACAAGAAATAAAATGCAAACCGTTTAATTGCTTTAAGAAATGGATAAAAAAATTACAAACTATGTATTAGGGTATTAGATGGATAAGTTAAACAATAAAAAACAACAAAAATTAAGTAAACAATTAGCTTATTAGTTTATAATTAATAATAAAAAGTTTGTAAACGATATAAAAATGATTTGCTAATGTTTGCTATCCTTATAAATTATTGAATGTCTTTTTCGTTTGGTTTCTTTTTTGATACAAGTTTCATAACGTTTAAAAACATCTCTTTATCGCTGATAAATTTATCTTCTTTAACTTTTTCCACTATAGGTAGCTTTTTAACTCTTCTTCTTTTCGCCGGAGGAAGAGGGAGCGGTGGAGTTGCTCCGCGAGCTGATCTCTTTATCTGTTTTGGTCTTGGTGGGCTCAATTCGACGGGATATTTTTTTCTCTGACTTCCCTTACTCTTGTCTTTCGATGTGGAAAAATTAGAATGTGAAGGGCGTAGACTGCCACACTTTGGAGAATCAAATGTAACTTGATTTCTCCAACTGCCCTCGTAACAAAACCCAGTAAGCGTTTTAATTTCATCCATGGATGGCCAAAATAAACTAGTGTGTTCGTGAGTTCTCTTAGAATTTCTATATTCCCAACAGCAAATTGTTTGTTGCATTAGATGTCTGCAGCAGTCCTCAAAAAATTTTGTATATATTTCGCATGTCATCACGAAACGAATATCAAAATAGACAGTTATCATTTCCATCCACATATCCTGAATACGATAAGGACATGATTCTTTCGGAAAATCAAATAGAACTACGTAGCGAACCTAGAATATGAAAAAAAGAACGGATTTAATAAATCAATTATACGTCTGTATGCGACAAGTTAACCTGTTCCCGTATAACGCCTTTAAATTGGATTTGTTGAATGTAGTAGAGACGCTGTAGGACGTAATAACAAGCATTAACTATAATCATTACCAAATCCTTGCAAGCTTTACTGCTATTTAAAGCTTCTAAGCAATCATTAATAAGACGTTCCATGGTCATCTTGTATGACAATAGTTTAAGAGAATGAATTGCTCTGTTATAGCCGTAGTATTCAATATCGTCAGGAATGGGAAGAACTATAAGCGTCTCCTCTTCACTTAAATTAATGCCAACTTTTAAGGGTAATTCATCATAGAGGTTGTAAACGAATTTCTCTGTCTTATTTAAATTCTTATAATGATTCCCCTTTTCTATAGTTTTATGAAATAATAAGCGATCTTCCGGTTTCCAATCATTGGAAGTTTTCATCGAAATTCCATTTCTTGGGGAGAAAACAATATCAAAATCTTTTGACTTGTCGTTAATGATAGTATTCGAGGTTTTCGTTTGTCCTTTTGTATAATCGAATAGAGAAATCTGTTTTACGTTATCATTTTCAAACTCGTAATCAATAGTTGCAACAAGTTCGGTCGATGGTTTAAAAGATAAATAGGGATTTGTTGGCAATTTAAAGAGATATTTAGCGGATTTTTTACACTCCGGCGGACCTTCATCCCTTAAATTGCGTTCGTGTTGTTTTTGAACTCTTGCCAATAGTTTATTGATTATTTGTTTGGTTTCGATTTTCTAAAAAATTCGTTTAAATAAGCAAAAATGATAAGATAATTTAAGATTATAAAAGGCTAGACAGCAGCCAATCATGCTACCTTATTACTGTAGACATTGGATTTATTAAATAAATTCTTTGAGTTTGGTGAATTCTTCCTCTTCGTTAGAATTTGCTAGAAAAATCGTTTAGGTAATAAACCAATTAGATATATCATTAATTTTTTTTATATAATAATCGATAATTTTAATTAGTTAGAGAAATCGTTTACAAACTTTTCCTGAATCGTTAGTGTCCTGTAAGATAACAACTTTGATTTGTCCCTGTTCTTGACTAAGACGGGCACTCACTTTCGGAGAGGACAGGGAACTGTCGTTGTTCGGTAATATCTATCAACCAATTTAAGCGAATTACTTGTTAATCAAATGTTAGTATTATTCGAGATAGTTTGAAGATTTAAAAATAAAATACCTTCAATGGTATTGAAATTGGTAATACTGTCTTAGGAGATTTTGAAATAGGCCTAGGCTTTTTCTCGGGTCTTTCAACAACCTTAACGATTGTAGGACGATGGAAATATCGAATATTATTTGCCAAAAATGGCATAAATTTTGAATAACAATGATCTTTTCGATATGTGGGTATTTTCGTCTTGTTTTTGAGTTGTAGGAGTTTATAATTAATAGAGAATTAAATGGAAATTAACATACTTTTTCACTATCAAATTCGTTAGCACTTTGTCGATTAGTAACATTCTGAAAATTCGATCCATCCTCATTATCGGTCTCGATAATAACACCTTCGGATACACTTTCTATTTCAGAGTAGGCTAAAAATTTCTCACTTAGTTCTTTTTGTAAAATTGTTACTGATGAATTAGATTCCATATTCTAAAAATATCAAATAATATTAAAATTCACCCCTTCATTGTCGATCGTTTGTCAAATTATCGATATGAATCTAAACTTCAAATATTCTATAGATACAATATAGTTTTACTTTAACGTAAAAGTTGATGAAATAATAATTATGTCTCTTATTTTATCGATGTAACGCTTAGCTTAAATAATAATAAAAAAATAAGTAAACTATTTAATGGATTAACTTTAAATTGATGGAAAATTTTTAAATTTTAGCCAAATACTTCTAAGTCGACTTAATTAATTCTTTAGTGCAAAAGCTTAATTATTATTTTATAATTACAAGTAAACTATATATAATTAATCAAAAGAACAATTTTTACCCCCAAATAGAATCGTATAAAAATGAATTGAAATAACGTTCTGCAAAAAAAAGGCACACAGGAAGTGACGTCACTAAAAGAAATTAGTTCGCGTTTGTCAATGTTAATTAAATTAAAAATTTTTTGTAAATTAATAATTATTTTAAATTGCAAACGTTAGAACTATTTATGCTTTTATATATTAATTTAATTTAAAATAATTTTCAACTCGTTAAGAATTTGGGGGAAAGAAATTGGAACTAAGCGCGCATCTTAGAAGTTTGTCCCTTTTAATATACTATTGAAAGTAGAGAGATGTAATTGAAGATTTTTCTTTATGTATGTACAATTAACGTTCTTCAAAAGATGTTTTATGAAGCATACATATATAGTATTTTATCTTCTAATTCTTGAAAGAAAGACCAAATATAGATTTATAAATATGTTTATTTTTATTATTTCGTATTCTCTTGCTGCTCAAAAGAAGGATACGACTCGATAACGTCTTTCCATGTTCTCTTATTTAAAGATAAATCCCTAATAATTTCTGGCAATTCAAGCATCTTAAAAAAGAAATTGAAAAAAATATATTAATACAATTTTGTTGAAGTAATTGAAAATTGAAAACCTACAGATGCTCGAATTTGCTTCCTAGTGTCTCTTTCTCGTAATGTTGCTGTATGAGGTTCCTTTAGAGAATCGAAATCTACTGTTATGCCAAAGGGAATAGCTATCTGATCAGTTCTTGCATAACGACGGCCAATTGCAGTAGAGCTTGTATCCACTTTGTGAGAAACGCCGACTCTTGTTAGGTTTTTGGCTAGATAAGATGAGAGAGATAAATCAAGTATTATCAAATAAGGACTACTTACATAACTCCTTAATGAAAGGTTGAAATTCTGCGTTATTACTTAAAGGTAACACAGAGCATTTATATGGTGCAATTGCTGGAGGCAGTGTCAAGTACTGAAAGATCAAAAATTATTAATAATTTTATCAGAAACAATTTAAATTAAAATTTACAGTTCGCTGCTCATCTCCTTCTCTAATCTTAAAATTATGCTCGAACAATGCATACATTAGCCTACCAATACCAAATGAAGGCTCAACAACACTCGGGGTAAATTCTTCAACTGGAATATAAGTATAAAAGATATAGAAAAAATAATAATAAAAATATAAACAAACCATGAATAGTTTTCTTATATCTTTTAACCTCTACAGTGGTTGTGTCGATTTCAAATGTTACACCATTGGCTGCTAAAGAGTGACTTCCTTTTGACGATAGATTATTAGCCACTTCCTCTACTTCTGAAGCCGATAAGGATGCCAATGTTTGTTGAACAAGTTTAGAATCTTTTTTGAAGCGTTTACCAATAGTAGCTTTAATGGGATTAACCTGTTCGACGCAAAAATGTGTTTAAATGATTAATCCACTAATGAGCATTGATTTCACAAAGACATTACCTCGACAATAGACCTCTCAGTAGGTTTAGCTAGACTTCTCTCAGCAACTAATTTTATGCCCGTTGCCTTCGAATGCTGGAGAAGATCAAAACAGCTTCTATCGGCGCATCCAACACATTCAACCCACCCGTAAGTAGTTTTTACTTCAGCATCCCAACAATCCTTAGCATAGTGAGCCATTTCGTTTGATAGATGTTGCCTGAATCGGATCTTTTTAGGATCTAGGCCAATATGAACCATAAACAAGTAAATTCTTCCAAGAAAGTATGCCAGGGTTTCGTTTGATATTAATTCATCCTTTAAAGCTTGTTGTAATGTCATTTCTGCTGGTAATTTCCCGTCCATTTGAGCACAGGCACTATACAAGGGTACTTTAACATCGCTCACTGAATCAAATTTGGGATGGGTTTTGTTACTAGGGTCAACGAAATGCTCAATTTCCGCCATTGTAAATTCTCTTACTCTTATAAGACCAGATCTTGGCGATATTTCGTTACGAAAAGCGTTACCGATTTGAGCGGCAGCAAAAGGTAGTTTACCAGCGTTAAAGTCCAAAAGTCTTTTGAAATTAACGAAAATACCCTGTGCAGTTTCGGGACGAAGGAAACCTTTGATTTTAGCAGCTGGTCCAATCGATGTCTCAAACATTAAATTAAAATCTAATGGCTCAGAAAGTGCACTACCAGTGCTTGGAGACTTGATTGAATATTTTTCTATAACATTTTTCATCTCCTCTTTAGACATGGACTCAACGAGAGGAATAAGCTTTTGTAGCTCTTGCTTCTTTTCAACAGAAATTTTTTTATCAGTTAACATTTTTTCTATTGCAGCATTAATTAGATGATCTGCTCTAAAACATTCTCCACTCACTAAATCTTTAATCATTGTATCAGCAAATCTTTCGGCGTGGCCTGAAGCTCTAAAAAAATATAAAATTTATAATAAATTTTGGTCACGAAATTGAAAAAAATCTTACTTTAAAACAGACTCAGGAGTTAGCATGCTACAATCAACTTCTAACATTTGTTCCTCAAGGACAAACATATCCCTCCAAGCCTGAATTAAGTTTGTTTTCACCATACAGCCCATCGGTCCAAAGTCATATAAACCAGTAATACCACCATAAATAGAAAAGCTCATGTCATAGAAAAATCTTTGTTTTAATAAATCTTCCAACTTGGCTCTATCAATTTGATCCCCCTCTTCCACTTTGGATATTTCTAACAACTGTAATATTATTTTATTTATATGTTGTAGACCAATGTACAAGAAGAAAAACATGAACCTTATCCTCAAGTTTTTTCTTTCTAGCCTTTAATTCAGTTACCGCGAGTTTGATGTCATTTTCTGCGGCTTTATCAGCTTTTAGCTGACGAACAAGATCACCCTTGGAGAGTATGTTTTATTAATAAAAAATTTAGAGATAGCTGCAAAATATTTTACTTGTTCCTTAACAGAAGCCTGTAAGGGAGCCAACATTTCTTGATGTGCCGGGTCATTCATGTTATGTATTCTAATCAAAGCGGATTCAAGTAATTTCTTGCTAAATTTTTTTTGACACAGAGAGCTATTCAGAGATGAAAAAGATTGAAATCTAAATATTGCAAGCTTAGATTTATAAATTGATAAATGCGGTACTTTTCTAAGTAAACTGATCGATTTTAGAAAAACTCTTTGCATGCCACGCTTAGCGGAAGTTGGGTACTTTGTTGACAGAATTTTTCGTAATTTTCTCGAAATTTTAATAATAATATTGTGGAATATGCTTTAAAAAAGATTTCTTACCAATACAAGAGCGTAAAAGATTAAATTCGTAAATGTATTAAAAATTCGTGCGGCGCTCTTGTGTGCGGTCCTGTGAATCACTGAAAATATTACTTTGGGGCGTTAAAATGGTAAATTTCATTTATTTCACTGTCAATCGCTGGATTATGTTGAATTATACACTATTCATATTCTTGTTAACTAAATTGAATGACTTAATAATGAATTTTTTATATTTAAAGTTATTAAATGAATGTTTCTCTCATTTGGTAGATCCGATTCATACTCATTCAGAACCGTGCCGGCAAAACTCGATTGGCAAAATGGTACATGCACTTTGACGATGATGAAAAGCAAAAACTGATTGAGGAGGTTCATGCTGTCGTAACTGTTAGAGATGCTAAACATACGAATTTCGTCGAGGTATCTCATTTCATCACTAACTTATCAAGTCATCTTTTTAAATTGTTTCTATTGTACAGTTCAGAAATTTCAAAATCGTGTATAGACGCTATGCTGGATTATACTTCTGTATTTGTGTCGATGTTAGCGACAATAACTTAGCATATCTCGAAGCAATTCATAACTTCGTCGAAGTACTAAACGAATACTTCCATAACGTTTGCGAGTTAGACCTGGTGTTCAACTTTTACAAGGTTTGACACATGTTTTCACGAAAACAACTATCCATACTGTTATATTTCACTCCAGGTTTACAGTGTCGTTGATGAAATGTTCCTGGCCGGAGAAATCCGCGAAACTAGTCAAACGAAGGTTTTGAAACAGTTAATGACTCTTTCATCTCTAGAATAATTTAGTAGTTCTTAGATACTCATTTGAATTTATTAATAGAACTTAAAACAATATAATCGAATATTTCCATAGCAACGCAATAGGAAAAATGGCGAAAGGAGAAAAACATAATAAATACGTAACAGCGATCATGACACAATTTTCTAATATTTAACCAAACGCGTTACAATTGTACTCCTAAATTATCGGCACTCTGAAGGAGCGATTTAATAGCAGGCAAAAATGATCCAACTTCGGTGAAATTAGTTGTCGTAGCCAAATGAGAATGATAAGCCACAGCCGTTTTATAATCGCCTACTTTGGCGCAATTTATTATTTCATGCAGACCATGAGTGACATTTTCTGACAAACTGTTAGCTCTCAATTTATCATAAAGAACTTCCAATTTGCGTCCCACTTCGTCCATTTTCCTACGCATCTGATTACTATATGCTTTCTCACTACACACCTTTCTTAGAGCATCAAAAGTCGTCTGTAAAGGTTCGTGCTGTTCTGGTATTGGTCCCTTTTGCTCTGGTTCGGGTGTTGGTTGTTGTACTGGAGCTGGAGGAGGCGCAACATCTTGACTACTAGTAGGCTGAAAAACTCCTGTTGGGTTGAAGGAAGTTGGTGCTCCAGGTGCAGGCATTTCTTGTTGTGGATGACCCATCGAGGGCATCGGTGTCATAATAGGTGCTGGAATAGTTGATGCCGGTTTCATTTGTCTAACTGGAGGTGGATCATTCCAAGCTTGTTCGGGTCTATTGTCTTGATAACTGTGCGACATTCCCATTGGTGGATTAGCCATAGGGGGAGGCATTGTCTCTGTTTGCGGCGCTGGTTGAAATATATTTGGTGGAATCGACTGTTGATTATCCGATATAGAATTCTCTCTAGAACGAATTTTTCGCTTCGCATACGAAGCTATGCCCATATCAGTGTTTTGAATAGGATTTGACCCTTGATGGTAATTGTTTGTTTGAGCACCAAGCGTTGTTGAAAAATTCGGAGTATAATTATGACTCGAAACAACAGTAGTTTGTGCTACATTATATGCTGGTTGAGAGGTCATCACTCCGGGATTGTAGTTAGATAAAGTTGTAGGAGTGTACATAGATGATGGCTGTCCATAACTAGAAGGTTGAGAATAGCTGGGCACAGGTGTATAGTTTGACACTGGTGGCGCATAATTTGACACCGGCTGAGCAAAAGCGGGTGTTTGTTGTCTATAGTTTGATACGTTCGGATCATAAACTGATGTTTGAATGTAGCCTTGGCCATAGGAAGGAGCTGGACTGCTTGTATAATTGTTTTGCCTATAATTTTTTGGTTGTCCAACAGCAGTCTGACCTGGGCCCTGTGCAACTGCGCCTTGCTTTCTCTCCGCTTTGACATCGTAACTTTTGAAAGGTGTCTGAGGTTTAGACAAACCCCGAAGCGTTTGAGGATCAGATGCACTTAAGAACCTATAAATCCTCTCCTTCAGCAGGCTGATAGCTTCATCATTAGACATGTCTAGAAAATTATATGCTGTTTTTAATTTTCCCTCGCTGACTAATAGATGGCAATACTGTGATAAAGTGTTCGATAAAGCTTTTCCGAGAAGGACAGATGAATCCGATCGTTGTGTGTTCAACATCGCTTTGTGAAGAACAGATACCACTTCAACAATTTCATTCAGTGCTAATCTGCTTTGTAAGCATGCTACTGTACTGTTTACGTTGCCAGCACAAACATAACATAACGCAGCGTCAGAGATTTGTCCACTTTCTTGCAATCGTTTACCCAAATTATCACACATTATTGAAAATTCATTCGGTTTTGCATAGGTTATTACTAAAGCCAAAGCTTCTTTCCATTGGCTGAGATCACACGTTTCAATAACTGATCCTAAGTCGTGAGTTATAACGGAGTATAAAAGGCGAGTGAACGGTGTAGCAACTTTTTGCAAAACAGTCTTTTGTGTTCTTCGCAATAAATCACTTCCTCCAGCAACAGCCAGCAGAAGGGCCTCTGCAAACTTCTCGGTGTGTAAACAAACATCTACTGCAGATTCTACATTTGCGGTTAATAAGCACCTTGTTGCTAAACCCTCGGCTTTTGCTTCTTCTGTGCAAAATGTCAAAGGAGAGTTTGCTCGACTTGATTGAGTGGAAGATCCAACGCTGGACGCTGCTCCAGAAGCGGCAATTTGATCAAAGGCGTCAGTTCCGGGGGCCTCGTTAACTTGTAATTGGTTGACCTTATTTGTCACTTGTTCAACCATTGATTCGGGTTTATTTGAGGGTCCTACAAACTTATTAACTTGATTTTGAATAGTTGTTGAGTCAAATCCAAGAAGGCGTAGGAAATTAACTCGAGGTTCGGCACCAAAATGAACTCCAATAAAACGCCAAAGTTCTTCATCATTTTTATTTGAGCTATTTTCCGAGTTCGCAACACATAGTTCGGGTAGTCCTCCTTGGTATAAAGTTGATTCTAATATTTCAGCTTTTTGAACGAAATCTGTTTCAGTAGTTATTTGATAAGTTGTTACTAATCTTTGAGGGGCTTGTTGGGGAGATGGAGCGGGCTGCTGTAATGAAATCAATTGGAATCGAATTTTTATCAGAAAAATTGTTTACTTACTTTTTTGAAGACAACTAATTTTCCACCAAAGCCAAAAGATGCCCCACATGGTCTTTTTAACCATTTGGGAGCTTTTTTCAACATAACTGATGAGGATTTCGTTTGCTGCGGTTGAGTGGGCATAACAAATGGATCATTGGCCTGATTGGGGAACGATTGATCTATAACAGATGGGGCAGATGTTGGTGCAGAGGGTTTCCCTAGAAGAGAATATATAGAAATATTTCCGTCGAAAGAACAAGATGAAAACACTGCTGGATTTCTTGGACACCAGGCCAAATCAAATGCCCATTGAGTAGTATTTGGTAACTCATAAACGATCTCTCCATTCTGAACTTGAGAGTGAGGATTCCAGCATAGAATTCTATTATCCTTTCCGCAACTAAGCAATAACTCTGAATCTTGAGAACACCATGCAAGGGATAATAAACCACGATTGTGACCCTCCAAAGTTCTGATTGGAGATGTCAAAAAGCGAAGATCCCACATTTGAATGATGGGAGAATGATCATCATCTGACGCTAGGCACAGTTGCGTTGATACATCGGGATGCCATTCGAGAATTTTACTCTTAATTCTAGACATACTATCTGTTATTTTTATAATCGGTTCACTTTTTCGCAAATCCCATACAACTGATCGACCAGCATATGTAGAACCAAGAATGTGTTGCACTTGCCTGTTCCATTGTAAACAAGTTACATCATCTAATGGTTGAGACTTTGTACCAGGCGTCATCGGTTCGGATTTACTCCCTATGCTATTAAGATCCCAAATAAATATGTCTGAATTACCGGCACCGCTGGCAACCAAATTTGGTTGAAAAGAATTAACATCTAAAGCTGACACGGCTCCTTGGTGTTCCTCAAAGCAATGTAGAAGACTCTCTTTACCACTAAAAAGATCAGCCGCTGACCACAAAAGAACTTTTCCATTATCCGTTCCGCCAACTAAAGTTCCTCCTCCACTTGACCCATGTCGACCCCATACTAGCTTATGCAGACGTTGATCAATCTCTATACTCTTTGATAGCTGAGCTTGATCATCTTGATCACCTAGGTCAATCGAGAATAGTTCCAAAGTGCTTGATGTGCTAAATGAGGCATCGAGTTGCTGAGCAGCAGTACCGGCTGCAAGGTATATTGGATGCTGTTCAGCTGGTGACCACGCAATGTTCGCAGTTCTTGAAATACTTTTCACTTTCATCCCGTGTGTATAGTTCTGTTTTACTGTTACTTTTCAAATGATTACGTGTTTAAGTCCCGTTTGAGCGTCGATGAAGATTTCGCGTCAAAGTTTACGTGGCACACATTGCAATCCCATAATGCACCAATTGTACGAATAGGCCCAACTTCAATTGAGTATTGCTCATTTTCGTACACTTTGTAGATGAAGCGTTTGTGGATTTTTTGAAAAAACCGCAATTTTTTTTAATTTATTGTAAAAGAATTGCAAATTTTTTCTCACATTTCGAAATTACTATTATTGTTGTTTCCTTCATTTTAAAAGGGGAAAATGGGTTCCTGTCTCACGTGTTACACCAGCATGTTCCATATTCCGTACAAAGTCGAAGAATAACTATATCTCTGGAATATTTTTAAAGCTATTAAATGATTAGACCCATTTTATTAGTAATATTAGCACTAAATTTTTAGAGACATTTCAACAATCAACAAAATTTAGATTGTTTCCATAACAAACAATTGTGAATTATCATTAACCAATTAAAACCTGTATGCATGAGATGAATTGATCGAGAGACTAGAGAAGTTTATAAGATATTCTAAAAACTAGATATGAATTTTGATAACAGGTAAGATGGATTATTTTGATGCCAACAAGATAATAATTCTGATTTACAGACCTATAGAGTCAGCAGCAATAGCTGCAAAAATAAGAAGGAAAGTTGAATGCAAAGAACTTGAGGCGGTACGCGATGTCCTTCCCTTTGATGATATTACTAAATATAAACTAGATAAGGGAGCTGTTTTAAGAATGGCAGTGGCCTATTTAAAAATGAAACAGTATTTAACAAGCTCAGGTAATATTTCCCTTCACTAACCCACTTAATCGGCAATGCCCCCATTCTTGAACTATGATTAATATAAGTTAAGTAGCCCTCCAAATTATTTTATGTCTAGCCGAAAACAAATTGAAAGTTTCAACAAAGCTATACTATTGTTAAATGTCATTAATAAATTATATTATTCTTACAGACGCCAATGCCCTTTATTTGGAACTAGACGAACGAAATGGTAGGTTAATAATACATAACATGTAAAGTTTGCAATTATCTTCAGAGAGATTTTTTGCTACAGATAATACAGATTTTAGTTATGAGGAGGAGAGTCTAAGCGAAACTTCACTAATACTACAGGCCCTAAATGGCTTCCTTCTTGTTATTAGTCCTATTGGTGAGGTACTCTACGCATCGCAAGAAGTACAAGAGCACATCGGTGTTAGACCTATAGATTTAATTGGAAAAAAGCTTCAAGATCATTTGCATTCAGACGACGTTAAGGAATTGAATAAAAATCTCATTTTTACGCCATCTGCCGTATCATGTTCGTATCAGTCAAAAGAAGGTCAGTTTACTTGTATTGTTTAATGAAAATATTTTCGTAACTTATCATAATTGTGTTTGGAAAAATTTTGTTGAGCTGTTGTAATTATTTGTTAACCGTGACTTGTAAGTAAATGATCCCTTTTTGTAGACGTCTCAAAATGTCGTCGGAGATTATTTTACGTTCGCATGAAATGCCATTTGGCAAAATGGGGAAAGAAAACGAAACAGACGAGCTTCATCTTAATGCAGTTGAGTGGCCGTGTGAAAACTCGAAGGGGTTCAATGATTGGTATGACCTGCATTTGTAGGCCTATGCAGTCTACTCCTCTCTTGGAAATTCGGTTGGGAGGAAATATGTTCATTTCGAGACATAGTTTGGATATGACATTTACTTTCTGCGACCCAGGGTGAGAAAGAGATTAACCCAAATATTAATAATAATTGGTTTTTGCATAAGTACTTAATAATTTTCACGCCTGAGCTCTTTAATAAGCCTAACAAAAACAAAGCAAAGACTCGATTCGGATTCAGTAGAAATTATTTTGTAATGACACAATTGATATATTAAAGTAGGTGGCGCAGTAAGTTGGCCGAATTTATTTATTGATCGAATATCGTATCGATTATGAAAAGATTATATTTGTTTTGAAAACCTCGTGGACAAAAAAACAACGTGAATCAGCATCAACATATTGCGGTTGGTTTAGTTTGACTATTGTGCCATGACTCTTTTTTATTAGTCCTTTGACTCTTTCTATCATATATTTATCTAGTCAACAACTGGAAAAATCGTATAGATATTTATGTATATACTAGAGGATCTCAGAATGATTTGCTAACTTATCGATTTACTTTTCAGTATTCTCACGTTGATCGGCTACGAACCGGATGAACTAATTGGTAAAACTGCGTATCACTTCCACAATCCGATAGACGCTTCCAAGTGTTCCGAGTGCCATTCGACCCGTTAGTAATACTTAATTTTATTTTATTGATCGCGGTTAGTAGGACAAAGCGTTTTAGGTTAACGTCCGCGTAAAAGAAAATCAATGCCTACCCACTGATGTACGGCCTTTCACACCCACCGCGTACGATCAAAAAGCTAGAAATTCACTTATACCTTCTGCTAATGCGAATTTTCATTCTATTGTGTTTTATTGAGGACGGTGAAGGATAAATTTTCAAATAAGAGAACGGAAACAATTTTAGCATTTGATCTCTAAAGAATGGTTGGTTAAGCTGTATTACTATCGCTATCACCGCTTAAGATTGCGATTCTGAGTTTACGCTTAAAATATTTGACGACTTTCGTATATTTTTAAAAATAGGCTTATACTTAAACTCACATCCTGTATTCTTTATTTCCATGGCTACAGAAAGCTAGGGTAATCCTGTTGTACACGGTGGCAATAGTATGTTTTTCATTATGCTATAAATAGATCAATATAAAGTAACAAAAAAAGGCGATCTTTGAAATCTTATAGTCGAGAGTTTAGAACGAATAGAATGTGGAACATGCTGCGCAAACATTTAAGACTTGCCAACTGCTATTTGCAGTTTTAGTGTATGCTTGTGCTTAAAACGTCGTTGCAGTTGTTAGTTTATCAGAACGTCTCAGTGCGTGTCTAGGCGCACGTAAGTACCAGGGATTTATTAGTTTTATTATGTTTTGGTACCTAGTATGTAAGCCAAAAGAAAAATCTTTTAGCGGCACAGGCAAGTATAGACAACCTGGCTACCTTCGAGATCTGTATGAGGCTGCTCAATTGCGCTTTACTCGAATGTGATTGGAATTTTGCTTTCCAGTTGCAACTTGTAATTTTACCCCCAGCATTGCCGTGAGTTTTTGCTCAAGAGTAGACTAGATTGGCACGTTAGGATAGCTGTAAATTCTTAGTATAGCAAAAAGTTATATAGACCACCAATCAATAATTATATTTCAATTTGTTCTCGCATAGAAATTATAACCTCCATATATGACTTGTTTTTTGGCAATAAAGGAAAATTACGATTGGTATTTCAACAGGATTTTTGATATTTCAATAGACGATAGCATTTTAATCGATCGATTTTTCTCTCGGGTCGCAAATAACTTCAATCGATTATATTTCAAGCGATTTAATCGGTTTCGATATATACATAAACCATATACGTTTTCTGATGCTGTTAGGGGGTCAAGGTTCTACTTCTCAATTGTTGTATAGTTAAAAGCTACTATTTTCACGAATCACCAGATTTCGCTTTTTTTTCAACAGTTATCGCGAAAGGCACTGGTGTATCGAAGTATTACCGATTCATTAGCAGGCAAAACGAATGGGTATGGATGCAAACTCGGGCAACCATCATTTTTAATTCAGCGAATCAAGCTCAATACGTCGTCTGTATGAATTACGTTATCGGGTAAGATACATTAGAGTTAAAATAATATCCGTCTGTACCTTTAGCTAGAACAAAGGATTTAGGAAGAATAATGCATGAGCGTTAACGACGTCACTTATTATGCACTCGTTGACGTTTACTGCGCTAATTACGACGAATTTTCAATCGAAATCGCTTTATATCCTGTTTACCTGGCTAGTTTTAGTCTGACTTTTATCTAAACTCATTACACGTTGAACATCGATAACAGAACTCTTTCATCTTCTATATTTAAGCATATGTATATCTACGCGTGTATGAATAACATCTAAAAATACGTATTCGTCTTATTCAAACATTAAGGAGAAAAAATAGACTAAAAATGGCGTAGACGAGGCCAAGTTTAGTACTGTGTCAAGTCTAACTTTCTCTTCAAGTACAAGCGTTCTTTAAATTAGTTATTTCGAGCGTTTAATTCGTTTAACAGCGTCGGTTGAAGCCGTCAAAGTTTAGCTTTGCTTTTGTATAGTGCATAATAAAGTTGCAGAGTGTAGAACGAATCTGCTTAGCAGACGCCAAGCAGATGTATTGATCTTGAATATTCCAATAAAGCGCTCACATCGATTTCGCCGTAAAGAATAATTATGGCTATGACCTATATAGATTAGCTTATACGTACAATTCACTAATAAGATAGACCGAATATACACATGAAAATTACTATTCTTAAAGTTTTCATACAAAAATATCTTGTAAACAAACTGCACTACTCTGTCTGCGTCTAGGTGGCGCTTATATAATGCCTAGTCAGTTGCTTTTAGCACTGTACGAGAAGAACGCACATAATAAGCCAGCCGACGTTCTTGCCAGTGTTTTTTAAAGCAGTTATTAAAGGATTATGACAAACAAGAGGCTTGCTAAACTGAACAGCAACTCTGCGAAGATTACGAAGCCTAATATAATACGCGTTTTTGTGCTACAGCAAAGGTGTTTGTTTCGTCTTGCTTTTTAACTATTTATACTTATCATTATTGTATCATTGAATGATTATCTATATTTAAAGGCCTAAGCCATACTGCAAAGTGAAGTAATTAGTGAGACTACAACCGAGCTATATATCATATGATGGAAAAAAATATCAGAATATTTTAGTGGCTGTAATAGCTGTTTTGTATATTTCGTTCTACTCAATTTCCATGAAAAATTTTCATCAATTTGTATTCTATTCTTTTATTGGTTTGCTAACGCATTTTTGCCGCTGGCGTCCAGCTGTATTAGGCATCTAAAATGTCAGCAAAACTCTTTGACGGGGCTACAGCGTTTCGTTACCGTGATGCGCAATAATTAACCTAGAATTTAAAATTTCGCTGGGTTTACTGACGGCTGCCCAATAGACGAAATTATATTACAGTAAGATATTATAGAGTGATAATATATGGGCAGTCAATAGCGTGACAATTTTGCAGTCAACATTTGATAACCGATTTTGCTTTTAATTTATTTTTGTTGTACGCCTGCAGTGAAGAAGAGGGCAGACGCTATTTAATGTTGGAGCAAGAAGAAAACGGTCAGGAAGTCGAAAAAACTATAGTATATTCCCCGACTAGCAGTGAGTCCGTTATAAATTGCAATCCAGACACCCCGCCCACGAGCCCAGAGATGGCGCCTCAAGATAGCTCTCCCCATTTCGACCTGAAAGTGCATAATTTAGGATTAAACGATTTAGAAGAGCAATTTGCCGATCAGTACTTGAATGAAGCTGGCTTTGAAACTTCTGAAAGTAATTCGCCCATTCTTTTGAGAGATGCCCAGGTTGGAAGTGAACTACCTCCTATAGAAACTCCTATTCTGGCACTATCAGCCAGGAAAGAAAGAGGCTCCGTTTTAAAGACACTCCTAACGACAAATCAAAAGTTTTCCCCCAATCAAGGCTCTGATTGCGTTCCAGAGAGTGGTCCACCCACATGTAGTGAACCATTACCAAACCTTATCCAAACTCCAACTACTACATCGTCATCCTTGTTAAAAGACCTCTTAACTGGAGCTTCAACCTCTTCTGATTACACAGCCTCTACGACTAAAATCAACGAACTTGATATGGATTTTCTGACAGATATACCACCGCTCTCTGGCGATATTGATGTAAGAGATTGACTTTACAATTTTAAACTTGTTAAATATTTACTTTCGTTCATAAATCTTCCAGGAAATTCTTTCTGACGATTTCTCGGATCTTTTAAGTGGTAACATTCAACTTGAGCAGGCCTATATGCAAAAATATTTATGACTGGCATCATCCTATTTGGTTGTTTGTTAGCCGTTTGGCCACATTATACAAACTGCAGTTTTGTTACCTTGATTAAAGTTGATGTATAGGAATGCTAACTAATATATATACATATATACATATATATATTCATACGTATTTAAAAAGACAGCCTCATTGGACACTTAAATATATACATTCAAATATATAAATGTACACAGTATATATATACAGACGTACACCTATGTATATTGTCGACAAAGAGTAAAAGGTGTGTATTGTGTACGTGTAATATCAGCGTGTAGTAATTTTATGTATAAAACATGCATTCGTAACACATCAAATCTACTACGTAGTTTTGCACCCTTTGTATTAAAGGGAATAAAAGTTATCTTTCGTCTGTAGAAGTTTACACTTGAAAATATTCAAAATATGTTACGTTTCTGCTACATTTTTCAGTATCTAGATAAAACTAGGAAAAGTAGGAAAAGCATACATTTCTTCGTTAATTTTAACCTTCACTGCGTAAATATTTTCTCAGCCGTTCGTCTCAATCAAAATATCTTGATTACCTTTATAAATAATCTAAGAACAATTCATATCAAATAAGTGGATAAAAAATTATCAGAAGAATTATGAATATAAATTGACCAGAGCGACCTATTGTTCGAATTCACGGAAGGAATACCTCAATGCGTTAACAGAAATAGATCAAGTTGTTTTTTATTAAATATACACATACAGTATATATATCTAATTTCGAACTTAAAATCTAGGTGAAAAAGAAAATTGTGTTTAATTCTTTTGTACTCTTTTTGAAGAATTTTAATTGTCGAATAGCATGATGCAGTTCAGAGAAACTCTTTGCTTGCCCTAACCCATATGTTCTATATTTCTCATTTTCATAATTGCCGCCATTTCACTGCTTCCTGGAAATCAAGCGATAAATTATTGTCAATTTCAAAATGTCCGTATAGGCTATTATTTTTTCAAACATCTGTTTTTAGCACAATTTAGTTTATACAAAATTACAATTTAAAATTTTTTCTGCGAGACTGCTTCGACTAACTTCCGGTATAATTAGCAAATCTTGCACAGAATTAAAGTTTTCATTTTTACTTTAAGTAACATATTGTAAGTATGCAACACATATTATCGTTTAAATAAATTTTTCAGGTATGTAACTGTAAATGTTAAATTAACTGTTTCTTAATTGTTAATTAATTTTTTTAAAATGAATTATGGCTACTGTAGCTCATTAACAAGCCTGTCTGTGCGAAATTGCACTAAAAATTGATTATGCTTTCCATGCGCACTACTAGAAAATTTTTATGACAATGCTATTTTGTGAATATGTTGTAAATAACTCTAAAGCATATTGAATAATATATGCATGTACTGCCATTTAATAGCTGATGAGCTAAGTCAGAGGAAATATTTAAGAATATCTAAGCCGATATGGAGAGTGAACCTTTCCTCAAGAGGGTTTGTTTATTTTTTCCATCAAGATTATTTCACTTAAAATGAAGTTATCTTGCTTTTATTTAAAGTATTTTATAAGTATTCGCTACCAAAGACTTAAAAGGTATTAGAGGTCGATAATTGTATTATTTCTATAGAGTAATACTAGATGGCAAACCTGAAATACAAAGATATAAAACGGACTGTTTAATTAACTTCTCAATTTCTTTTAAGTTAATACTAATGTAGAACAAAAAAAACTGAATTCTTTTATTAAGCATTGATCTAGAGTGTATACTGACTCTAAAAATAGTTTGCAGAATATAGACAATTTATGTAACATTTTTAAGCTCTTTTACGTTAGATTATGTTATATAAATCACTAAGTTCAATAACCTTTTGTTTAATATCTTTATTATCTTCAATATATAACAGCAGGAACATTATTATAACGCAAAGAATGATTTTTAGAATTAAAAAATATTTTTTTCTATTGTTATCTTAAATACACTCTCTAAACGTTATTTTTACAGAGAAATAACATGGAAGAGGACCGCGAACAAGACCCGGACGAACCCGTTGGTCCACCAGATGTGCATATGCAACTAAATGCTAAAACAGATGAGGTTAGTAAACATAGCGTTAAAAATTATCGAATCATTGATTTGCAATTTCTCCGTTATATAATAGTGTTTATTTACAATAAATAAGTAAACTGAAGTTTCTTTTCAGACTCTAGAAAGTACAAGACGTATGGTAGCTTTATGTGAAGAGGTCTGTTCAAATTATATATTAAATAATTCATTCATTTATTTTTATGATTTTTTGATTGATATTTTGACAATCACTTTTTTTGAAAAAAAGCACAAAAATAGAAATAATTTAAAGGCTAATAATTATAAAACAAACAAAACTGCTGGTTTCCATTGTTTGCTTATTGCCTAACGATTTTGATAGAGATCACTCTTCAATTGTGAATAGATTTGTCATATACAATATACAGAGCAAGGATGCCGGAATCCGAACTCTTGTTATGTTGGATGAGCAAGGAGGTACAACGGCGTTGTATTTTAAATATAAACATTTTTCGAGATTGATTGGAAATAATAGCACAATAAAAAAGCATATATAAAAATATATCAAGAGTATCTTTGATGTCTGTAAGAGTGTTTTGAAGCAGTAAAACCGTTTGATTCCAAAATTCTAATCTATTATTCTGAGAAAGACAAAGCAAAATAGTATATTACTGTATATAAATTACTGACTATTTCTTATCTCCAATCATCTCTTATTAAAAATTATAAATTCTTTTTATTAAAATCTCCAGGCATTTTCATTCACTTTGTATTTCGTTTTCTAGAGCAATTGGAACGCATTGAAGAAGGAATGGATCAAATCAACCAAGACATGCGTGATGCTGAAAAGAATCTAGAAGGTATGGAGAAGTGCTGCGGTTTGTGTGTGCTGCCATGGAAACGAGCTAAAAATTTTGAAAAAGATTCCAATTATAAAGATACCTGGAAAGGAAACGAGGATGGAAAGGTTATTTCAACTACTTAATTAATTAAATATACATTCACAGGGGACAACTAATGGAGACTAAACTGTTGTACAGATTAATACAAATGGCCCACGCGTTATTGTTGGGGACAATGCAGCTGGAATGTCAGGTAATTTGGTAACTAGAATAACAAATGATGCCCGAGAAGATGAAATGGAACAAAATTTAGGCGAAGTTAGCGGAATGATTTCTAACTTAAGAAATATGGCAGTAGATATGGGAAATGAGTTAGAGTCCCAAAATAGACAGATTGATCGCATTAATCAAAAGGTTTGTGTACAAATGTATATCGTTATTAAAATTGTTGTCCCCGTTCTTTGACGATTGCTGTTTAAACAAAACAATTTAATTACTTTAGCAATTGTTGAATGGTGTAAACAATAATCCACCTCACAGTTGGTAGTTAATGTTACAACTAATTGTTCGTTTTTTCCGCACCACTTTTTCAGGGTTTGTCAAATGAAACTCGTATACAAGAGGCGAACAAGAGAGCTAATAAGCTTCTCCGGGATTAACCCGTTTCTTTTGCTTATTTTTTTCTGTTTTGTCTAGGGCGAATCGCTAGATAATCGTATAAGAGAAGCGGATAAAAGAACTAAGACCATGCTCTCCAAAAAATGAATATCGCTTATTCTTTCGAAGTTAGAAACTGCATAAATATCAATTTCTTCTAGTCAGTAAAAAAAACTGCACACTTCCAAGTCTGTACTTGTTGTGTTCTCAAAGCAAATGATTGTGTGTCAACATTCCCTGGTTATACTACTTTTTTAGCATTTTCCTTCGTTTAACTTCCAATTGTTCTAGGTCACAACGACCAAAAAAAAATTTTTGTGTATTTCGTGTATTTAGTAAAAGAAAAAGCAAAAGAAAGTTCCCTGTGAGATATCTTTTCTGCAAAATGTTCTAGTCTCTCTTTTCATATCAGATTGTCTATTTTATGAAACAGAAACGATATATAGTTTACACAAGCGCATTTTTCTAGCAATGTGGTTAAATATACTTTTTAGAATATAGCAACGTTATGGTACAAATTTTCAGTAAGCGTTTAACGTGCTTGATGTTTACTTTATTGCTTACGATTTTAATGCATATTTAATAAATAAAAACCACCTAAATAGGTCTATAATTCTTGGATTTTTTCTATTATTGAGAATATTATTTTTTTTATTTCTTTTTTCTCTTTATATTTACTTTCCCCCCTCTTTCTCCTTCTTTCGTTCTTGGCCAGTTCAAGGTTAGCCTAGGTCATTACCATATTGCTCGAACATGAACAAGCTTGGTATCTCCACTAATCTCCACTGAATTGATACGATCCATTGGTAATCGGTGGGGAAAATCGATTAAGTGTTCTCCATTTATGCATGTCTGTATGTTTACATTAAAACAGAGGGCATATAAAACTTTTCTGGGAAAGAAATATAAGAAGTTATTTACCCTAAACTGCCTAGACTCGCAAAAAATGAGAATATCTAAATGAACAGCAGGAATAACTCTGAAGTCTGCTCGCAATTCAGTTTGCCACTTGGAATTTTCCCAGCTATAGTTGTCGTTAGAAATTATTAATGAAATAGAAAACTAGTAACAACATCCCTTAGAATGTGATAAGCGTAGAGATATTAGGTCAAGAAGCGAAAGAGTAAATTTATAATTAACCTATTTAGGACAATACAACGTTCTTTAACTCGAAAGCTCGCGTGATACGCAATTTCCTTCGAGTTCGTCTCTGATGTATCTTCGCTATCTTCCGTAGAATTGCAATGAAAATTTATCTCAAAGCGGACGGCCTCAGTTTTAGGTATCAAAGAAACGTATAAAGAAGAACCATCAGATGGTGGTCTAGGCAAAAGTTTTCGAAAGGGCACTGCCTGTGTGGAAAAAAAAAAGAACACTATTTATTTTCCAGTCTTTGTTTTCATTTTCGGTTAAAAGAAAATACAACCGGGTAAAAAGCAGATATTGGCGGATTGGTAGATATTTCAGGCGGAAGTCCCTCAAGGTTATCAGGTAAAAACGGTACACCGTTGTATAATTGATTGTTGCAATCAGCTTGTACGGCTATAGATGAAATATTTATTTCACCTACGAATTCTATTTGATTAATTTTCTCAAACGGTAATTTATGGAAGAAGCATCCTATACTACGTCGATTAAAGGCGATCTGTTTATATTAATGTGAATAATGAACCCAATCAAGTAATGTAATATGTTGTTACCCGATATTCTCCTTCTACAATTCCAATTGCGCAACTAAATTCCGAATCAGTTCTGATAATACCACCGGGCTTTATTTCAACTTCATCTCCCCAAAAACCATTTAATTGGGTATTCAAGATAAAGCATTTTTGATCGAACCGACAATTGATATGCAAATAAGTTTCAATCATGTCTTCACTCTTATGTTTCACTTGTAAATTGATCGCAAATCTGTGTTTTGCATTAAAATGAGTTTCCTATAGCTTTTTACTTCGAAAAAAAAATTGAATTTTATTATTAATTATCGAAAGCTATTCAATCTCTATAGATAGTGTCCAGTGGCCATTTATCATTTAAAAAAAAATATAGCTCTATTCAAAAAAAAAGTGTACCTTTCTCCTATTCTATAAGGTATAATGTCTCCAGCTGTCAGAGATGTGAAATTGAAACTAACCTTTTACAATTATCACGTACAAAACCCTTGATAAGGATCATGTCTCCAAAAGTTAGGCGTTTCACAGGTACTACACATGGCGCCTTCTATTTTAACAAAAAAAAAAACAATTTTTATTTAGGGACTTTTTCTGTTTATACAAACGCTATTTAGGTTCGTTATTACTTTTTTCTCTCTTTCTACTTACGCCTAAGTTAACTTGAACGTCGTTTGAGTAAATAATGGGCGGAGGAAATTTTGATGTATCTCTAGTCATTCTTTTATCAAACATTTTTTACAATTTTGTACTTGTTCTTCTTTTATTTACATATACAATAGTTACGTCACATGATTCAACAGGTTTTTAGAGATTCATTTAAATCCGATAGATGGTAGCACTATATTATAAATTTAAAGAAGAAACATATAGAATAGAGTATGATTAAAACGTTCTTTAGAAGTGAATATGAAAGAGGCATAGAAAGTCTGAAAATAAGATATTTTTGTTAAAGTACAAAGATATCAACAGTCATTCAATAGAATTGTGTTTATCGGTCAATTCATTACTCTTCCGCCTCTTCTGTCTCCTGCCCCTCCTTCTTTCCCCCTCCTCCTCCTCCTCCTCCTCCTTCTCCTTTCCTGTCTTCCCTTCCCTCCTCCCTCAAGTTTTTTCTTTGATAGAGTAATACAAAACCGTTTTTTCCGGCAACAATAAGTGAAATAGACTCAGCTGGTACGTTTAGCAAGAGACGCCTCGGGCGCAGATTATTCGAAATATAAACCAATTGCTATCAGAAGATGAGAAAAGACGCAAAAATAAATTAATAGAAAAAGAGATGATAGTCATTGAAACATGCATTTAAAACAAAACTAGGCGTATGCAAAATGTATACATTCGTTTATGAACTAACAATGCATTTACTGAAAATTAAAGAATAGAAGAAATGTAAAGAAGACACGCGAGCATTGCAAAACATGCAAAATTTAGTTTACGTAAATATTTTCGTATAAACGAGTTTAACAATTAAATATTCAAGATTATTTACATATTTGTTTGTAGTTTTGTCTTTTTGTTTGCGTAGTTAAATGAGAAAAAAAAATATTTTTTTTTAATAACGATATGAGTAAGAATTGCAAGTAACGTTCCCTCCAGTGGCCTCGGGTAACGCTCGTCAAAACGTCGTTTTCCATATTAACGGGCCAAGCTGGGGCTAATTGATGAAATAAAAAGGCGAATAGGGAGCAGGTGTTCTATATGCCGTCTCTATTGTCAAACAACGTCTATTCCATTAACGCCCTGATCACTGTCACGTGATTTAGCTTGTCGGACGAAATATATTGTTAAAGTAAATGTACTTCATTAATAAGAGATAGTAATAGAATATTCAATTTAAATAAAATGAGCGTAAAAATTAAATAAGAAATTAATAATGAAAAAAAAAAATCTTAACGACTTAATAATAAAAATTGTATTATTATATGTTTGTATTCCTCTTTTGATTCTTAAAACCCTTGAAAAGTGGGTTATATTCAATAAAATACATATATTAGTATATATATATATATATATATATATATGAATAGTTATATACAGATATACAGTTGATATGTTTATTCCTTGTAACTAAGTAGAGCAATGGTAAGTAAGTAAGTAAGTAAGTATGTAAGTAAACAAGTAAATTTTCAAATAATTTGTTTATATATAAATATAAATAGAAATAAAACAATACGTTCTTTATAATTTACTTCCAATTTCTTTTTTTTTTTTTCTCTCTCTCTTTTTTTTTCTTCTTTTCCTTTCTTCTTTTTTTTTCTCTTTTTTTTTTTACATAACATATATTGCTTTTGAAAGAAAAAAACATACATGTGAAAAAAAAATAATGATTATGTATAAATGACGTCACGATTACAAACTACGTAAACAGAATGAAAGAGGTAAAGAGCGTGTCCGGCAGCGATAAGAGACGCCGTTCGAGATTGCAGGATGTTTGATGTTGGGCGCTGACCACCTGAGCCAGCACGTGTTCGGCGTCACTCGATCGCGGCGTCACGGAAACGTATAAGCGTCCGTATAATTGCAGGATGCCGTAGAGACGCCGATAGCGTGCGCACCGTCTCCTTTGAAGCGGCGGGATCGTTAAAACGGCTTAAACGGTGGTAAAATCGGTGGTGTCCTATTCCAAGACGGCGTTTCTCCTCCTACTCTTTCTCTCTGGTCCCTGTCACGTCGTTCTCGCGCCCTTCGATTTTGAAACCAGATTTTGACCTGTTGACACGTGAACAGTTGTTATCCAACGTTGAATCGGGCGTCCCATCACCTGCGCGCTAGAGACGCCTACCACGCGCACGATTAGCTCGATTTACTACACTTGCAACAATAGCATTTAATGACGCTTCAACGACGCATATTTCTACAACTGTTCGACCGTGTAACGTCTGGCAGAGCCATGACGTCATTATTTGTCTTGAAACGCGCGCCTCGTTGATAATCAACAATTAATTATAGTCAGCGTCTTCCTAGTTGTACTTATCTTATAGGAAAAACTCTGTATATGTAATAGTTTTATTAGCACGTTTTCGTGACTCTTCCGTGCATGCACCACAGGTGGGTGTGTTAATTTAAGTGTACAGTATTATGTACATGCATATACAAGATTATTATAAATGAGCCGCTATTCTATATGAATACAAATATGAATAAATTCGTGCATACTTCTATTCTTAATATATATATATATATATTAGTTTAGTTAAGCGTTTCCTCTACATGCAACTGTTATTTTTTGTCGTTTCATATTTTTGGTTTTTCCACAACTTCATGTTAATAATTGTTAAATAAATAAACAAACAAACAATAGACAACTTACTCTTGTTTCTGTGAGATTTAAAGCGGCACTTAATTCAGCAACGTCTACTGAACTCAGATAATGAGTTCGTTGAAATTTATGCTCCAAAGCGCATACTTGATGCTGCGTGAACGGAACGCGCGGATTTCTTCCTAATTTTCGTTTCCTTCCTGTTCCTCCCTCAATTTCATCAGATGATTTTCGTTTTTGACCTAAAACGATTCGAGTAACAAATGAAAAATCAACAATGTTTCAAAAGTAAACATAAATAAAGAAAAAAAAAGTCGTTCGTCTAAGAAAGCCTGCTCGCTGTCGGAGATCTTGTCAAAAATGGCAGCAGTCGGAACAAATTAGACACGCCGTTTAACTCGCAATAAACGACTTTATTGTATATTGGCCGATTATTCCCTTCTACTTTACTTTATTTGAGTAAACAGCTTATTTAGACGATTTAATACGAATATTATCTCTTTCTAAATGATATGTACGTGTATATATATTGGATTTTATACGCTTGACTCTTTTTACAATTAACATTTAATGATTTAGCCTAGTTCAAATGAGTTTGTTGATTTCGTTTTAGATCCATTTAAACGATAAACACTCCCTTGTCTACTTTAAATACTAGTTTTTAAATGCAGCTATTGTCACACTAGTAATTATTATCACAATTGATTCGTTCAACTCGCTTATAAACTTTTAAAGGTGTATATAAGATTATTTGTTGTTAGATGTGTGCTATACGATATTATAGTAGTACACAAATAAATAGAAATATTATCATACTTGTAACAATTAGACAGAATAGAATATTTAATACGCTTTTTAGATTAGTACATTGCTTGTTAATTAATCAATATTTTTTTCTCCCTGTATTATATTTAATTGCGAAATAGAGCTTTGCACTGTTAAATGGAAATTAAACTTGACTTTTCTTTATTTCTTTCTTTTTCTCTAAATCTCTCTCTCTCTCTCTCTCTCTCTCACCTCCCTGTGTCTCTTTAAATAAAAGCACTTTTCTAGATAATTCATGACTAGATGACAGATCAAATTATTCATAATTGATGTTAAATACCAAGATAATTTTCAGCGCTTGGATAAAGAAAGCGCACATGCGCAAGTATTAAGATCTGCTTTAATTAAATTCAACTTAATTAATTTCAGTTTTCCAGGTTTCTTATATTCTTTTTATCATCCTATTATTAATTTTAAAATGTCAATTTCTTCTATAATTTAATTCTACTTACGAGGTAGCTTAGGTGGCTTATAACGGGTACAGGACAGCCACGAGAAATCGCCAGATGATTTTTCTTGTCCATTTTTATCATCTTTCTCTTCTACTCCGCAGACATCAATCTCAATATCTTCTTCCTCTTCACAGTCGGAATTTCTTCCTAAAATACTTTCAATGGAGAAACTCAACTTTTTTGGCTTTTGAACATCGGGCATAGGAATTCGAGGAGGATTTTGAGCTGTTATTAAAGCTGCATATAGAGCTGTATAAGAATTATGTTGACTAGCGAGCGCCATCGGAAGAAATTGGAATTTACTTATTCTTCAATTTTCATATGTGCTATATATATAATGAAATTGTCATGAAGGGTAGAGAGTTATAGTATTGGCTCCGCCTACCTATTCGCTCATTGGCTGTTACTTCTTCATCGTCCAATCAGTAAATAGTACTGTAGAATAAATTAGTTAAGTGCTTCTGGGGGACATGACAAACTCGAAATGAAATCAGGAAATTGCCATGAATTCTGATGCTGTTGACAGTCTTTTGTGTCGTCAAGTATCGAATAGACTATACACAACGGTTTTTGTCTTTAGACTTCATCAATCAGTTACCTACTAAATTAGGTCACGATAGGCAGCTCGAATAGCCTTACGCGTGTGCAGGTGGAACGTCTCGTGTGTCCTTGTTCTGACGTAACCCGTCACTCTTCCAAATCTTTTTCTTTCTGCGGGCGTAGCGCATGGGGAATGAATACCAAATCACGCGACGTCTCTTTGTTTAGGGAACGCTCATTTTCACACTTTACCTTTTATCTTTCTTGGTTTTGGGCGCTCTGCTAATAAAGCGAACGAGTAAAATGATTATCACGAAATACTGTTCTTTGAACACTTGTACCCTGTCAAGAAACGTCTACGCGTGTCGGATTGCAGAAAATATTTTCGCAAACTTTCACAATTCATAAAACTCGTATAATCCTTTTCTAATAGCGTATATAAATCGCAACGTAACTTTAACAGGGTCGTATCTGATTACATACTCTAAATATAAGGTGCATATGGTTTAACTCTCAATAGACATGCTATGAAGTAAAGAATACTTTTATTTAAGGATTTGTATATTAACACTAAGAAAGTTGATTTAAAACTATTTTTTTTTCATTTTGTCAAGTGATACGTGATACATGTATATCATATCTCGTCGAACAAATACCACACTAATTTTATTATTGAAGCTATTAACATATATGCCTTTGATGCAGTCATTGTAAGGCTTCTAAGCGCCATCTATTGCGAGGAGTCACTTTCGTTACTCGTATCAGTTGCATCAACACCTGAATTGTAAACAGGAAATAGTCTCTTATCATTCAAAATGATAGGATCTGTTCCATGCTGAAATTTTATTGTTAAACATCTAGCCGGTTCTTGAACAACCCCGTTAAGTTCTATTGCAGGCAAATGATATGTCTTTATAAATGATCTCTTTCTCATTTTATAATTTGAAGATTTTTTCTCGTCAGATGAAAATGAACAGTATCTTGAGTTAGAATTTTTATGACTATTATGAATACAATTATTACAACTAATATCTAATAAATCTGAGAGTCCGTGATCTTTTAATAGCTTTCTTTGTTTCTTTGAATTTTTTTCCAATCTAGCGCATTTTTCCTCCAACTCTTCAATGCGTAGCCGACAAGAGACGCTATCGAATGACCTTAATTCCCTTAGAACATGTTGAAGTTCAGACATCTCTTTCGCAGTTCTCTCGTTAATTAATGAATCTTCAGGGACAGCTAATCCAATTTCTTGGCTATCTTTTCGCCTATTATAATATTGATATTTAAAAATAGAAACTAACAACATGTAATATGTTTCGTTTTTACTGACTTTTTCACTTCCCTTGTCTGCACGATTCTGCAACGTGACGAAATCTTGTTTCAGTTTCAAGTGAATATCATGATAAAGTTTAAAAATTATTGCTCAATATGTACCTCTCTCTCGCATAGTTTTCTATAACAACCCTCGCCTCCGGATACTCGTATAGGACTTGAGTTAAATCTTTTTTTGATAGGACAAGTAATTCAGAAAATCCCACTGATCGAACATCAGCGTTCCGTCTATTTATACCTGAATCCAGCCGAAGAACGCTAATTTCCCCAAAATAATTCCCTTCGGATAAAGTGGCGACAACCGTTTGATCTTCGGTAGTATGATCCCGTATCAAAACCTTGTCGAACAAATACATATAGTGTACATATATATACGACAGATGGCGCTTAATACGAGCACAGTAACTTATTTCAGTATTACCTCTACTTTTCCATTATTAATTATATACATTTCGCGACCAATTTCACCTGCTCTACACACGTAATCGGCTGGCGAGTAGACATGCGATTTTAATTTCGTAACTAATTCGCATAGAAAGCCCGATTCGCATTCTTCAAAAACCCTTATCTTCCTTAGCGTTTCCAAATGAACATGCTGAGCTATATCTGATCGTAATCTATCCCCAAATCAATTTCATTAGATTTCCTTTACTATTTCATTTTATAATACCTATAGGGAAGCATATCTAATAACTCTTGATCTTCTAACACGTGCGTATTTTGCCATGCGTAATCCGCCCACTTTTTAACTCTTTTTTGTAGGTCGCTAGGTACCCTTCGAGCAGCCATATAAAATTTAAGAGCATCCATCTTAAGTTGAAACTAAAATATAATTTATAATACTAGGTATGAGATCTAAAGAATAGACAATCGAAAATTACAGTACTTGCACTCGAGCTGCGTGCATGTTGCTTATAACATCGCCGACATTACCAACAACGGCGGCAAAGAGGAAGACCCCAATTAAAAAAGTTAAGCCAGTAAAAACGTATTCCTTAGTAATAAGAATACCATTAATAAATAAACAGTTTAACGATAAAATTCTTTCTTTTCTTTTCGTTTTTTATAGAAAAAATTTACTCTTACTAAATCAGTTTTTGGATTGGACGTGTTACCAATGGTTGTCAGTGTCATTGTCGACCAATACAGTGATCTTAAATAGCTTCTAAAAAAGTTACTTTCACTTAAGTAATCCTCTAATACCCAGTCATTTATTCCCAGACCTTCATACTGAAAACAAAAAATATTGTATATAAAATTAATCATGGACATTCTCTTAATGGAAAAGAGAGACGTTCCTAATCGAGTGCTTGATAAACTTACGATAAAGTTGCACAAAAGCTTTAGTAAATAATCGAGTTATTATGCGGAATAATTGCAGGCAGAAAACAGAAAAAGGGAAAAAGGAATCGTTTAATAGAAATAAATGATTTAACCTTTGATATAAGAAAATAGAAACATGCAATCCAATGAATTATTGTTGCTAGTACCAATAGTAGTTTACACGCTCGCACGATATTTGGACTATTTGTTCGCCTGTTTAATTAGCAATATTATATATAGTAGTAATACATGCATGCCAATATATAATGTATAAAAATTTATATATATATTCGTTATACTGTATCTTACATGTCGGAATTGTTAAAAAAGTCCACGGCCGATCTCCATTTAAAAAGTTTCGGTAACCTTAATGCAACGCTGATTCTATCTTCTGTCATGGTTAAAAAACGTGTAGGAATGAGAAAACTCTACAGAGTTATATCATTTTGTACATATATTCTATATGCAGAGTTTATGCATCGCATAAAGATTACCATCTTTATAAGGAGGGTTTTTTTTTTATATCAGTGCACAAATTACACATATACTCTATTATTTTTCTATTATAAATAGCTCGTACCAAGAAACAGAACTGGCATAAAAGGGAATATCCGGTTCAATAGACTTGTAAGACCTAAGGGAAAGCGTCATCATAAAAGAAAATATTAGATTACTGTCGTACGGATAAATAAAACCCACTAGATAAAATTATCACTATCTTATCGGTTGGTAAGGCAGCAATGACATCTGAAAGGAATTCTTTCCGCTTACCCTTGTAATTTTCTCTAAGTTTTCTAATATCTCGCACCTTGATTAATATAAAGAAAATAAAAAAGGTAAATGTTAATCAATAGATTAAGGAATCAATAACAAAATGATTAATAAATTTTAATAAATGAACTTGTTTAAATAGCTAATGGCGATATCTATTTACAGAACATTGTATATAGATATCAAAGAACTATGGAGACTGAAAGACTTTTAATCGATGAAAATTGCTTTAAAAGTAAAACAGTAATAGATATAAAAAGGAAAGCAAATTCATTTAAAAAAGCATCAAATTTTTAACGATCAATGATTAAACAGCTGTATCTTGTGTACATACTTCACATGAATATACATTTATTGACTAAACTTATATATTCATATTTAGAGCGTTACTTTTTTCGTTGATGATTAAAATTTTTAAGCAAGATAAATCTGCTTATATATAATATATTAGTGTTTAAAAAAATAATCATCCAAATGGATATTAATGTTAACGCTTTAAAAGAGAGAGAGAGAGAGAGAGAGAGAGAAAATGAGTTTTACCAAAATTCCTTCATCTAAATATCCTAATCGAAATTTACAGAATACATCCAACATCAGTAGAAAGTCTGTAATAAAATCTAGACAACAAAATCCAAATCTTTGATAGAACGTATATGAAAGTTCGTCGAAAAATGCTATTCTTAATATAATACTCCATATATTATATAGAACCGTAAAGGCTATGATACCCTGGAAAAAAAATTATACTTGTATATTGCTTTAATCTAACAGCCTTTTTGATTTTTATTATATTTTATAATAGAAATAAGAATTGTAATTTTATTTAACGGCTACGCAAGAAGAAAGGGTTATTATAATAAATAATATTGAAAGGTTTGGCACTTCTATCACCTGCCAAGCATAAACTCCATCACTATCGGGATCGAAGTAACCATCGTTTATAAACTTTTGCACCTGTTGACAAATATTAAACGTTTCGATTATAGCAAACTAAATAAATTATAACATACCTTATCGATATAATCTGGAAGCATTACTATTTACTTTTGGTATTCAACTGACATTTTTCTGTTCATAATACGTTTCTCAGTGGGTTCGCTTTCCTCAATAGATTCAATACTCTTTATTCTCATTAGAGACTTGAATTTCACAATATCTTTTTATCTTTTGTTATGAAAACAAAGTTCTAGCTTGTTTCCTCTAAAGAACTATAGTCTGACTCCTTATTGTCCTTTCTTAATAGTCAAAAAAAACGATATACTCGTAAAGGTTCACTAGAGGGCGAAAATTTTGAACTTTTTTTTTTCATGGGAAAACGCCATCTATTGGAAATCGATTGCCAGTACAAATTACTCCCTAGTTAAATAAGTTATTAAATATATATTTCTTTTGCATAAACCCGACTAATTGTAACAACTACATGTATAAAATTATTTTAAAAATTTTATAACATTTAATTACGAGATAGGAAGATCAATATTAACCATTTTATAAAAAGAGTAACAACACCAATTAAAAGGACCGATTCCGCCATTAAATCGCAAAGAAAATGGACGCTTAGAGAATGGGCTTGCCAAAGTAAATAAATCTTTTCTTTTTATTCAATATTTATGTTATACATTTCTTCTCAGCTTAAAAAAGTATAATTTAATGACAAATTCAATCAAGTAAAGTATGAAAATAGTTGTTAGGTTAAAACATGTGATATATATTATTTATTAGTTCCCAGGGTTAATTATTAAATCAAAATGTGCCTATAATTCTACTTTTGCTAGTTGTTGATGATTGCAGTGAGCCGTATTATAGCAAATATTGTAAGTATTTTATAGTTTAATAACTTAGGTTATCAAAAAATGACGGAAGCTATATAAATAAAGATAATAGCTTTTAGTAAAGGAGACTTCATGTGATTATTATAGTAATTCTTGCAATTTAGTACTTTATTAACAGTGTTTACATGCAATAATTACTTAAAAAGTAATAAAAAATGCCAAATTGAACAAAGAATATACTGATTTTAATATAATCCTTGAACGAGTACCTAAAGTACTGAAACTTTTTTAAGCTGACTCTCTAGGAGAAAAACTCATTGCTTTTAGCTTCATCACGTGACAAGTGCTGTTGATGATGATGGCGCGTGAATCGCAATTTTTCGATTAATTGAAGTTTAGAAGGGGTTTAAAGTAAGTTTTCAAAACTATTTTACTTAGATATGACATTAAACAGTGGATTGGAGCTTGTGGAATGGACGTCGCGCGAATTTTGGACCTAAGTCATCAATAGGCCTCGATAACTAAGTCGTGGAAGATTCGTTATTGTGAAATATTGTTAAAAACGAAATCAAAATGGCTGGTATTCATCTAGTAGGCCAACAAAACTTCATCCGAACCTTTTATCTCGCGATAAATTGCTGGAATTAGTCGAGTGTATACCATGCATGCGGTTTTCTACGCGGCGCCAGTTGTTTTAACAACGCGGCGATAAAACTTAAACGGACAAATGCGTCCAAGAGATATCTTTCAGACGGGTTGTATTGTCGAAAAGCGAGACGATAATCGAAAGTCTTTGGCGTTGTTTTTCATCTAACTATTCTCTGACGCGATCGTCGGTGTATACGCCGGTTATAAAACATCTGTGTCGAACTGCGTTTTGCCAATAAAAAGTGGAAACGCGTATTATTATGTAAAAGTCTGTCGCTTGCCCTGAGTACTTTGTATTAATATATAGGCAATAGCCGCCCAGTAGCACAACACGAAAATTTTGGCAATTGAAGAATGACGCTTGTTTCTATAGTTACTCCCCCATCACGTGGTGGCGCAATCGATAGTTTTCTTCTGTTGCCGTAGAAACCAACCGCGCCCTGGTGCCGTTTGGCGCCGTTGCCTAGGCAATGAGGAGGTCGTCTTTGTTAACGTTTGCTTAAAAATGCTGCTTTTGCAGAGCGATGACGAAACCAACTGGCCCGGACTGTAAACAAGAAGATGCGGCCGAAGGCCATGAAACGCCCGATAAACCGGAGGCAGAAAGTGATGCAGCAATGAGACGTCGACTAGTTGCATCTCTCTCAAACTCCTTTCCTGGTTCAGCCTTGACAAGAGCAATGAAAGGTGATGTTACGGACTTACTCGACGACACAACATCAGAAAGTTCTTCTTTGGCTGATGGACCATTATCAAAATCATGTTTCGCGCAGCTCAAAATGGTTGAGGATGTCGACGAGGAAGACGAGGAAGAAGAAGAAGAGGAAGAAGACGAAGGCGTTGACGAGGAATTAACCTCACTCTCCTGGCTACAGGATTCTGATTTACTGCAAAAGACTCCTGCCGGTCAAACACTACTTATGAGTCCCCAAGTAGCTGCTGATACGAACCGCAAAGAACCCAGTGGTCGTCCCTTGGCGCAAGGCATTCCTTACAATCCTAAGAAGCACATCAATACGAAACCGCCGTATTCTTTCAGCTGCCTCATTTTCATGGCAATAGAGGATCATCCGCAAAAGAGATTACCTGTCAAGGACATCTACAATTGGATAGTAACGAACTTCCCTTATTTTGCTCACGCCCCGATCGGTTGGAAGAATTCCGTTCGACACAATTTGTCCTTGAACAAGTGCTTTCGAAAAGTAGATAGGGTTAGAGGAGGTTCAGTCGGTAAGGGCTCCTTGTGGTGCATTGATCCCGAATATCGAGCGAATCTTTTGCAAGCGCTGCGAAAAACGCCCTACCATCCCTATCATCAGCTGCAGATGGTCTCTCCATCGTCCTTCAACCTGCATAATCAGTTGAAGAACGAACCGATTGACATAGACGTCGCAAATACGTTATTATCGCTCAAATCGAACTTTCGCTCCCGTTCACCCTCGCCACCAGAATTTGGTTCAGAACGTGAACGAAAACAAACAAGAAGACGCCGTCTGAAAGACGTTGTTATAACTGAAATCCCGAGCGAAGATCACTCTTATGCGACTCAGCATACTATGTCACCGGCTACGTCAATCGACGATCAGTACGATTTCGGACGTCGTACGAGTACTTCTTCTTCATGTACAATGGAAACTGATGATGAAGAACGCGTTAAAGAAGGTGCTGACGCCTTACTCCATCTGGCTGGACTAAAGCCGATATCTCCCTGAATCAAGTAGTGCTTGCAGAAATGTTTTCTTCCTTGTCTTCCACTGTGTTCATAGTGCTTGTAAGTGTATATAAGAAGGCGTTCAAGCTGTTCATTTGCTCCTCAACCATTGCTGTGTTCATCTTGTTAGCCTCCTCAGCATTTAGCCAAACAAATATTTCAGGCTTGAGCATTTATATATAGACATAAGTTTAACTTTTAGATTACCCTATGTGTTTACATCTACATATGCCTTGTACGAAAAAAAACGTGCTAACTTTACAGTGACGTTCAATATTCTTTTTTTTGTTTTCTTTTTTTTTATATCTAGAAGATAATATCCTGAACCTTTTTTTCTAACTTCTAGATGTATTGTATAGCTCTTACTGGGTGAATGGTAATAAATATACGCTTTAGTTTAGTATGAATTGTTTTTTTTTTTTTGGAAAAATTCGTTCAATTGTTAACCAACGTTCATCTGCATTATTTCGTATTTCTCGAAAGAAAAAATAAACCTTTAGCTTATTATTTTGCACTCGCTTTCGCTTTGCTCTGCTTAGCTTTTTTTTAATACAGTATTTTCTAATGTTTAATCTGATTACTATTGGCGGTCTGCGCTGTGTTGCAAATTAGAAGAAGCGATCTTTTTCCTATTGAAAATTTTTACGTCTAGTTTGATTCAGTCTGGCATTGCCATGTAACAGGTGGGGAGAGAAATAGATTCATAATATAGGCTTAAATGCTGAAACGGTAAAGCATAAATATTTTCCTAACACCCTTCCTCCACATACGATTTTTTCAGCGATTATACAAATAGCCAACGAATAATCGTCGCTAGAAATAGTCACTTCCCGTTGTTATGAACGTCAGATCGACTTTCGTTTAACATAGATTTATAGCATAAACCATTATTAAATCTCTGAGGAAAGTGAGTTTGCATTCGTTGTGCCCATGAAAATTTGACCAAACACGACTGACTGCATCAATAAACATAGACCCCGATATTTTCGAAAAAATAACACCCAGCGACACCTACCACCTCAATAATATCAATGGGTACATTCTGAAAGAAGAATGAATTTGAAAAGGAACTACACTAGGTAAATGCAATTGAAAATTCATCTCAATATCCCACTTACAAAAGACATTCTTAGGCCGAAATAATTGCAACAATACCACAGTCTACGTGTACTTTAAAAAAAAACAACATATTATTGAGTCTTTTAAGATTTAACGAACTAGTGCTAAATTAAGGACAATGGTAAGTATTAAAACTTGGTGAAAAATAGCACTGTCTTCCAGTTCACTGATTTATTGGTGTTTCCAATCAGCGGTAATTGTATATTTTCTTTATTGACTAAACTTTCCTAAGACATAACATAATCAAACAGGAATCAATTTGCATATTAGCAGTTTAGAACCTTACTTAGCGAAACAATTAGATTAAGTGATGTAAGAAAAAACTATTCATACTATATAATGATTACGAATACCTGCTTCCTAACTAAATTTATTATATCTCAACTGCTTGTATGTTTTCGACGAAATTACGCCTTTCATATTTGATAACAGAAATATATTATTACATCGTAATAGAAATTTCGACAGGCTATTGTTATTTCAATTATAGGCTGATACTTCCTGGCCTGTACATAATAAGTGCATGTTTGTCATATACCATGTCGTGTAGATGCACGATCTTGTGTACTTTTTTTTACATATGAATTAGATTCGTCCATTCAATTGGTGATATCAGTTGAGAGAGAGAGAGAGAGAGAGAGAGAACTGTAAGGACCTATATGTTGTAAAAGGATTTTATAAGCTTCTGAACAGCAATCACGCTACTTTTTGCAGATAAAGCAGGAAAATGTTTAAAAATGAAAGTTGCCAAGCTCACATTTCAACTGAGGATACGCAACGAAACGGTTAGTTCATTTAGATAGACAATAATATGTAAACTATATATATTGTTATACATTTGTATCAATTTCCATATCTTAATTATATTTATATCTAACACATTACTCTAATTATGAATAGTGCACTAGTATTATCCTACTTATTAAATGTTAAATTCGTTTCTCAATGCTCTTTATATATTAATGTAGATTTAATACAATCGGAATTATATCGTTTGGATTATGATACGTTGAAAATTGATCTATGCGAGTCAAAAGCCTGGTTAAAAGAGTATTTAGCGTGTGCCGAGTGTTTATGGCAAACTTTGAACGTTTGTGATAAAGATCAGAGATATATTCATCTAAAGGAAGTGCATGTAAGTATTTTAGTTTCGTTATGTCAACAATCTGTCAGTGTAGTTCCTTCGCTTTTATTTGAGTCTTTTTTTTTTGATTATCTAAAACGTCAAACTCAAACGGTGCACAATATGGAAAAGCGCCATCTATCGATTTGTTATACAAATGATGGTGATTGGCTGATGCAACTGGGGATTACCTAATCTATTTTGGGGTTGCCATTCGCCATTCGTTCGACGTTCTTAGTCATAGCTGGCGGGATCGTTAAACTTTTTCGTTTTTTACTACTTTCGACCCCTATTTGTAGGGATTTTTAAACCAGGTTAATTCTTAAATATATTTTATGTTATTTAAATCAAATTTTAAACGTGAATGATGTGTTTTGCAAAATATCGAACCGTTTTTTGTGGGCAGCACGTTGAGCGCCTTCATTTTGTTAAACGTTCTGTTCTCAAGTCTCCCTAGACTTATTAAGAACTAAAACGACCCCCGCACAGTATACTAAATATTGTTGCCTTGCTTGTTCGTAACCTGAGAAAGTTCTGCTGCATTCAATTGATTGTGAGAGTGGGAGCAAGAAGTAATAGATGACTAATGGATCCAAATAGAAAGACGTCTATGAGTCTCTATAGAAACCCTTGGAAAAATCACATTAAGTCGCAAAAATGATGGGATTCATAAATGGAAATCTAGACAATTTAATCGTCTTTGTTGACCATCTTCATTGCCCATCTAGACAACATAAACTAAAACTTCGTTGAATGTGATGCCCTTGCCGATTAACACCACTACATACGAATCAGCGGAAAAACAGATGCCCCAAATAAACAACAGATACATGTTCTTTCTTCGCCTTTAAGCTGAAGAGTATTCGCGATCACGCAAATATACGTGCTAAAGTTTGGTTATTGTAGGCGAAGTCATTGTGATGTCAGTCAAAATAAGTGATTGATATATGCAATCGATCAGTAAATTACATTATATATTGATTTTGGTTTGAAAAAATCTTATTCCAAAAGTCGGTTGAATTTTGTTATTACTTGCTCTTATCAGTATGACTGACATACATCTGTATATATACATATATATATATGTATTGAGTATGATATGAGTACGATAGTTAATAGCTTTTGAATGTAATTCTTTGTGTGACGCCTTTCCCTTAGGCGTGTCGTATATTCGAGCGCTTCTAATGATTAATGAATACGTTGTTTTCAACGTCATTATATGTATAAATTCAATACTCCCGCTGAGTGTCATGCTTAGTTTGTTTTTTTCCAGGATCTTAAAGCACATGTAGAAAGACGACGCCCTGCGCTTGAAGAAACTTTGCAAGTGTGTAAAGAATTTGTCTCACAGTATTCATCCGGAGTCGTCTTTCTAGACATTGATTTAGATTTGAGCGACGTTCAATATGTTTGGGACGTACTTCAGCACCGACTGACCGAACTAAATTGGTACTTTTCGATCGAAACCGACCTTGATCTTGCCCCTCCTGCCTTTAAAGATCTTCCTTTTCGCCAGCAACTGTCTGAAAGTCAGTGCACTTCTTGCCCAAGGTGAGAATCTATAGAAAAGAAAAGTTTGCTTAGGGCTTATATTGTATTCATTCTTTTAGCTGTGATTTAGAGGAAACCGTTACTATGGACACAATGGATTCTAACGTTATCAAACCTAAAGCATTCGATTTAGTAGTGGATTCTTTCGGTCTTTCCCCACCGAAGAAAAGACGTATTGGGAAAGAAAACACGGATGTTGACTCATCTCCTGCTACGAGTTTAGCGTCAATACCATCTATAGCAGATGAAGAGGCTGACTTTGTGACAAACTTAAATTCCACACTAATAACTCCCGTGAATGGGGTTATCTCACCCCAGAAAGTAGATGAATTATGGAATGCAATAAAGTCCGATTACGAATATTTAATGGACGATGATGCTATTGAAGCTTCTTGCAAGGTAGGCATTGACATACTATATTTATTCAATCGAACCTAAATGATTTATTCAAGCATTTAAAAACATTTGCTTGAGGCCACTGGTAGAAAATGAATTCATGTATTATCGGCATGTTTGCACTGAACCGCATCGATTCTATATGAACTGTGTGCACTATGCATCTGGTAATACGTCAACTCCTCCTCAACACCATTCCCCCATAACAGCTGTTACAAACAAACTATTGTTTTACTTATACGATAATCGATTATGTTATTGTTAAATACTCACGATGAAACAAGTTTTTATTTAGTTTATGTACACATAGTAGTAATCTTTAAATCTTTACGATTTGTCCCATGATTGTATGCTCAGAATGACTCATTGCGTTTATTGCGGTTTGTCTTAACCCGACACCAGAACGTGGCCGGTCAGGACAAAAGAATGCTGAATATTTGAGCGTTACTATTAACAGTGGCTCAGTATTGATGAATTAATGTGGCGTGTACAGAGGAGTAATTATAGGTATTTTCCCAGGCATAATTTTTTCCTAGTTAAATGTTAGAAGGGTTCTCCTAAGTAGATTATAAGTGGAAAATGGCGTCAATCAATAATTGTAAACTGTGCATGCACATGTAATTATTTATACATTCAAAATGATTTACTTTTTTAAAGTTAATTATTATACAAGTTTCATTCATAATCGAAGCCTTATTGATTATAGTGGCACCTGCTTAAAGCTTTGAATAAGCAAATTTTGTTTATTTATTCTACCAGACAAACTTCGTTGAAATTGACAATGAATAGTTCACTGTAATGCATTTGTAAACAACGAGTCTGTTTGTATGGCGCATATAAACGGTATTTATGCGGTAGGAGGGTGTCATGGGCAGGTCAAACTACCTGTGGGAAACGTGAAAACGTGATATGTTCATTATCAACTTGTGTCTACTTTACTAAATTTTATACGCTACCTTTTAGTAGTAACTTAAAACTTCCTTAACAAATATGTTCAAAATAATTGATAATTCAGACAATCTCATCGTTTACTTTCCCTTTTTATCTTATTTCCGTAAAAGTTTTGAATTACTCTACATTAAACTGCAAAGTAAAAAACGTAACAAAAGGAATTTCTTTTTCAGTCTACAGAAAGTGAAGTCTCTGAAAGTGAATCTGATTCTTTCGCAGAAGTTTCATTGACAGAATTTCTGAAACAATACAAGGAGCTAACTGACTGGTTAACAAATGTCCGAATGCAAACTGATAAGAAATGCCAACGTCGATCGTCTTGCTGTGAAAAATTTGTTTTCGAAGTAAGTTTTTTAGTTCTTTTAAGAGTGTTTGCAATTAACCAGTTGTAGTACATAAATAATTTTGCGGAACTTCGTAAATAATTTCTCTTTGAAACACCGTAGTCAATTGTATTAAATTGATTAGCTCAACCGAAGCGTTACAAAGGCTACGATGACGATTACGCATAATCGATCGTATATGATATTTAATTTAGGATCATAACTATTTGTTTATTCTAAGCTTACCCTTGTATTTTTTCTGTCTGATCTTGGGCTAGGTCGATATCAGAACAAATTCCACTTGAGGGCGCAAGTGATAAAAATTTGTACTATCAAGCGTTACAATATTGAACTAAGTTTTGATTAAATATTACGTAAGAATGGCCAAGCCTTAGATCTTTTATGATTTCTAATTGCAGTTAGATGTAGGGTTTCGTTTATTATATATTGATTGTCCAGCCCATAGATTTTATAATAGATATAAGTTGAAATGAGGGTTATACATTTATCTGTTAAATATTTTTAATGAATCAAAATAAAATCTGTTAATGAAATAATATTAAAATCTAGGGTTATTATGATGAAATGGTGAAACATTCTCCTCGTCACAAATTACTGAAAGATTACGCTAGACAATTAATAAAGAGATATCCCGCCATAAAGGAGCAAGTAAATGGTAAATTAGCTCATTTGAACTCATTATGGGCTCAGCTAGAGGGAACTATAGGGCCACCGGATGTGCAGCAAGCCTCTCTGGATGCTATGATTGATGGTAAGTCTAGTGCTGTAACTATTAAGGATATTAATATTTATATTATTAACTTCTCTAGCTCTAAAACAAGACGTAATTTTACTAAAAAAATGGTTGCATAAAGTGGAAAATAGTTTATACGAATGTCGATTAGATCCAAAATGGGATAAAACTGAAATTCAACGCCAGATGGCGCTTCATCAAGTAAGTAAAAAGTTTGTCTTTCGTAGTAGTGCTACCATCTACTGGGGTGATGACTAGTTTCTACCTACAAATTAGTGGCCGTTGTGTACAGGATATATTACTCAGAAATAAGTAATTTTATCGATATCTCTTCGAAGTGATGTAATATTACTCTCTTATTTTCTGCACTCAAGGATTTTATAGATTCGAAATTGACACAAGGTATTGACTATTTGAGAAGCTTTACTATCTAAACATAGTCTGTACTATTTTTCATTGTCGTGGACAAGAATATCCAATTTTTATCTACGTGTATTGAATATTTAGCTAATATTCCAAAGAAAAGTAAATCAACTTATCAAATAATTTCTAAGGAAAAACAATTGTATTGTTAATTATATACAGAAGCTTTTAATTTACGAGGGTAGAATAATAATTAGCTTTAAGCGGTTATCATTTTCTCACTAAATGAGGAATATATCTGAGCACGTAGTGTTAGCTAATTAATTTGTCAGTATTTGCCGTCATTATTCAGCCAAAATAGTGTATTTATTGATTTTTCCCGTCAGTCACACTCTCGTAGATTTACCAAATTGACAGCTATAACATAAATAATTCACATATAAGTTAAATCAATTTTTGGAAAAAAATATTTACAATATACTGAACGCTGTCTTGAAGCTTTTAATAGTCGTTCATTTAACGTTTCATCATAACCGTAAAAAGCGATCAATGAATGATATGACTAGGTGGCGCTCAAGCAGTCGTCTCGTGGTAGTCACTGGCGCACAGCTAGACAATCAAACAGTGGCCGCTGTCAAATACGAGCTCTGTCTAACATAACTTGCAATTTAATTTATAATAGGTAGGTTGGATCCTTTTCTTACTCTGTTACCTACTCGTATTTTGAATATGGATTATAAAAAACGCTGTATAGGATTGATATCTATTATGCGAGCGCATCATGTCAGGTTGTATGCACCTATAATTGTTTAAATATGCTTACATTATAGACCTACGTGCTGAACGATAATTCTAATTTTGCATGTCAAAAGAATAAACTTATCAATAGTAAAGCTTATGTAGTCACGTACCGTTTCCTTATCGACATAATAGGCGTTTCTTTAGTTACATCCTCAAGAAATATATAGATATATATATCTAGTTCAGAATTGTCTTATATTTTTGTAAGGTTTCATAGTCGAGCTAAATATGGTAGCGAACTTCTATCTTTTGCTGCAGGCTGTTAGCCACCCAATTTTCTCGCCGTATTGATAATGTGTACACTAAATGCTGTATCATAAGATACGAATTGTTAGCGTATTCCGAGGGTGGAATAAGAATACTAAAACCGATAAAAGCACGTAAAACGATCGTCTACAAGCTTTCTAAAGTTAGTGGACACTGTCCTGTGAAATATTTATTACGCGAGATTTTTCAGCGTTTTCTTTTAGCTTTTTTATTTATTTATGATAATTTAATTGTATTAGTTTATGATAACAATTTTGTCCTACTTATTGACTGAATAAAGCACCAGAGTAAAGAAAACATTATGAGCATATATACAACTCTCTCAAATTGTTAATTTTGTAAAGAAGGCGATGACTGGTCATTTGCACTTCTGAATATACGCTCAATAACTTTTGTTTTCGAAAGGTCAGGGTGCTTGAGGTTAAGACGAAGTAGGTGAAGAGTAAATCCCAAATGATAATTATTTGCAAGCATGTTCATGCATTTATAGCAGTTGCAAACCGTATTATGTATCTGATACGGTTCATACATCATATATAATATAATTTGTTCAGACAAACAAACAATGGAACTTGTCTTGTCCTTTAGAGTGATAATTAGAAAATGATAAATAACGTTTAGGAAACTTAATTAAGCGAAGTGATCTGGCAAGTTTTCTTTGATGTAACTAAATTTAATTCATAAATATATATAATTCACCATTTCACGCCAAACAAGTGTTTCGTAAAGAGATTTAATGACTGATGCATCACTTTATATCGTGCTGTTTCTACGGCCATAATTTTCGGTAATATGACCCCGCATCGTTTATAGATGAAGCACATTATTATACTTTTCTCTTAATAGAGTATGTAGACTTGACATATTTTTTATACTTTTGGCTTTTTTCAGACACTTCAAAAAGAAATAGAATCACAATCCAGTGTTATAAGAGCGGTAGATAAATTGTGTAATCGACTGCAACCTCTTTTACCACCAGACGAACAAGGAAATTTTCAAGACGTGGTGGGTAGTTTAGAAAAACGTTGGCACGAAGTTTGGCTAGCTTCATTAGAGTGGCAATTCCGGTTAGAAGACGCCCTTTCTCCAACAACACGTCATCCTGTTTTTCCGATCGAGGTATATTTAACTTTATTACTCTATAATAGTTGCTTTTACGAATTTGAGCAAACATGACTTTGAGTTAAGACGTAGTTGATATAAACGATAACCATTTGCGAACGTGGTAAATTGTTGTATTAAGCGCTAAGCTAGCGTCCCTGATGCTCGTCTTTGTCAGGCTCTCGTGCATCCCTAATTATGAAATAAATAAGTAGCGCCCCTGCAGAGACGTTCTCGAATTATTAGTGATTTGTCTTGTATTTCTGATTCGTGCACGCTCGAGATTAATCGATAGGCCTAAACTCAAATAAAAAAGTTTGAAGTTTGACACGTTCTAGCTAACGCAGATGTTTCCATATCAACTTCAAGTGAACGGTCTAAATGTGTGCCTGAATGCTATACTAACGATTTCTTTGTTTAAAGCTTAAAATTTAGCTAGTATTTTTCCAATCGATGTAGTTTTTAAGCGTTGAAAGAGTAACTTTTTTACGTGAATTCATATGCTTTGTTCAATTCTGGCAAGTATTGTCTTAGTCGTAAATCGTTCAAGGAAACTCATTCAGCGTTTACTTTTGTTTGAACAAAAAGACGTCCATCACCTTTTGCTTGCAGTTGTGTTTGAACAAACATTGTTTAGCTGTGTTAGTCTTACGCTGTGTCAACGAACTATAAGCGTTTGTTCTTCAGAAAAATACGTACATTATTCTTATTCCTCTAAGTCTTATTTCAATAACTTTCTTGTAAGAACTTGTTTTTAGAGCTTTATTACATAAGTTGTGAAATTTCACGCAGTTCACGTCATATAAACTATAATTAGTGGAGAAAAAAGCTAATTATCCAAATTTGCTAAGAAAATTTTCCTTGTACTAAATTGGCTAGCACCACTCATACAAACATGCCATACAATTGTATGACAGAAGCTTCAATATTCTATTAACAGTACAGAAATACGGCGACATTTGTAAAAAGCGGCATCAAAGAATTTTTCTTTGTTTGACTCTCGTACCAGACGTGCTTTCGTTTTTGTTTGTCAAGGTTAGTAAAAATGAAAAGAATGAAACCGGAAGAAATATGACGAATTTGAGCCCTCCTGGGAATTTACAATCCGGATTACTCTAAGGACTCGTTATTGAAATGCGCACCGCTTATCACTTCTTCCATCTGCTGGTCGATAATTGTTTTGTTTTTTCGAGTTCTTTGTGTGTATTGTAATTGCGCCCTCGTTTCTTGCTTGATGCTGATCTGAAAACCTTTGAAGTATTGATTCATTTCTTCCATACTCATCCTACTAATACCACCTCGAGTAGAATTTACACTGACTAACCTTAGGGTATAATTTTTTAATATTTCAACTTTATTGCTGTTATTGCCAGATTTATGTCTGATATTGACTTACCAAAGCGTGCCTCTCGTATGTGTGATATATGAGTTGCGCTCGGGCGCATGTGTTTTGAGCGGTACACGCTTCACGCTATAGAAAAATTTCATTCACCATTGTAAGTAATTAAACTAAATATTCGTTGTCGGATCAGCTGGATTTGCTAAAATCTAGAGATGTGTTAATGACAACTAATGCATTCAATCCTTTTTACAGAGTCTGTCACGGTCCGCTTCCTCTGGTTTTTCTCGGGATTTAACAAATAGTAGCGACATAATACCGTTCTCTGAAGACGAATACGAAAAAATTGAAGGTGCAGATTCTGCTCTTGGAAGAAGTGTTTCTGACCACTCTTTGCTAACTCCCGGAAAATTTATTCAATTTAAGAGGGAGAATATGAGAGCATCCTCAGCTCCTCCAGGATCGGAAGCACCTGACATAGGATATGCAAGTGATGCAAATAACGACGAACCTCCAGGTGCTCCTCAGACCTTTCGAATGAAAAAAAATCCCCCAGGAGGAATCTGGCGCCACTCAGTCACTTCAGCTTATGGAAGTGACGCTCAGGCAGAGAGTAGCGATGTGGAAGTTACGAAAAAAGTTGAACAATTAGTCAAATCCTCATCACATTCTTATTACACTTTAACGTCTCTAACAAATGAAATAGCTAATAATACTGGTCAAGAAGATGCTTCTAATGTGACTGAAAGTGAAGAACCACACGAAATTGTTCAAAGATTAGTTTCTACAGCAGATCGTTTAATATCCCCCGTATCTACAGAATCAGAGGACGAATTTGCATCAAATATCACGCGTAAAACTATATCTGAACCGGCTATTGATTTCTTAGCGAGTAATTCGGGACTGTTCCCACGAACCGTATCATTTGATTCATCACCTTCTAAAAAAACTAGAAAACGTAAAATTAAACGACCTTCAGCTAGAGAAGAGCCCGCGAGTGAGGCTGCATGGGACAGCTATCAAGATCCCCCATATCCTACTGTAACGGATGACGATGACGAGGAAAAATTGGATGATTGCACATTGACCTGGGATTTTCCAAATAATGCAACAGAAATAGGCCCAGTATCACCTCGTCGTAGAAGCAGATCAGTAGCCATTCATCAGGATACAGATTCTGATAGGGAGGATTTAAAAGACGTTATCACGGAATCACGAAAACAGTTGGAAGTTCTTGAGAGGACACTTTCAGCCGACTGTATCATAGGCTTAAACGAGGTTAAAGCCACGTGTAAGACTAATATAGAATGCTTAGATAATGTACTGGTTCATATGGATACCTCTGACGATCTTTCAGAGGCAAGTGATGATGTTAGACTATTAGTGTCTCGATGGAAACAATTACACAATGAAGCGAAACAAAAATTAAATATTTCTTTCTTAATGAAAGACGTACAACAAGTTCATCAGGTAATACAATCTACTAATGACATTCTTGCCGTAACAAGTTTCGATACTCCTGAGGAGCTAGAAGATAATTTGAAGAGAATAGATACGGGTATAGTTGAAATTAACTCCAATTTGCATCAACTTGATCAATTGGAACAAAGTTATAAGGAAAGCAACTCTATATGTGGCCAAATCGAACGAGAACTGAACTCTGCTAGAACTCAATTAAATGTGGCAGCCAAACAATCTTGGAATGCTCTTTGTAGTTTACAACAGCAATTGCACGCCTGGAAACGTCTGCAGGACGGTACGCAGCTCTTAACTTCTCAACTTGAAGAGCAACAACAAATATTGACCAATTTTGGGAATTCACTAAAATTACGGGCTGATTGTTACTCACCCTCCGACATGCAGAGTTTGCACAATGAAATTCAAGTGAGTATGTAACGTAAAATGTCGTAAATCAGGCGTAAGGAAACGCCTTCATATCGTGTGTGAGTGGAATTAGCCGTAACTAATACATTTCTCGTAAGAGAATAAGAGCGTTACAGCTGCTACTATTTAAGACATAGCTTATCAATTTTAGCCGTAGTAACAGCCAGCTGTCACCTTAAATAAAAAATACATGATTTTTTTTAACAGCAACTTAAGCAACAAATCGACCGCCATGATAACTACCTACAGCAGTTACGTCTTCTTGTAGAAGAAACGTCAACAACACGCAAAAGTAATTTTATCGTCATTGATGAATTAGACAAACAAGTTTCGGCAATGAAGCATAGTGTCGCTGTTGTTGACGTGGTTGTACAACAGAAGTCGACTCAAGCAGAATTGCCTTACAAACGTTCTCCATTAGCACGATTTCTTAGATCATCTATGCCGATTCCATGCATCTTTATACTCTTCCTGGGAGTGGCTTATTTCATAGATCCATCATTAACGAATTCACTAACGTCATGGACAATGACTTACGAGCATATTGACGGTGCTGCCCAATAACTAATCTAACTTTAATGCTGAAAAACCTTTATCAAAGGACGCTATGCATTTTGTTTTGTATATTTTCTTTATTTTTTCTATACTGTAACGTTGCTTTAAACGTACAGATCTCTTCTCTTTGTGTCTCAGTAAAACGAGAAAAGGGTGCTGAGCTCGTATTGACTTTATGTCAACATGGTTAAACATGTGCAAAACGTCCGTTTTAAATTTTATATTTCTTTTGCTGAGTGCGTTTTTTTTTATACTTAGGTTCCGCATTGGCCTAGTAGAAAAATTTTTTGGGATAGTTTGAAGAAATAAATATGAAAAATCAATAATTTAAACTTTATTACTCTCGTACAATGAATTGCAGAGAGAAGCGTGCAAATCAATTTCTCTATATTATATTTAGTGTTTGCCTGTGAAAACAACATGGGTAGTTTTAATAATTCCAAGCAGACGTAAATTACTTTTCTCTTTTTTTCACAGTACTGATCGATTTCGATTTGCAATAATCCATTAAGTTTCACCATTCAATATAATTGATATAATTTCCTTTGCCGACGCCTACATCACTTTTGCTTCTTGTAAAATGAAGAAGGGTGTCAAAGGTTAATAACGTTTCCGATATTTATAAAAGAAATATATCTTAGATTTTTCTAATGCCAATAATACTATATTATATACAATCTAAATTATCCTTTTAAGTATTATATTTCATTTTATTTCCATTAATCAAATTTTTTTTCGTGACTGACAATTATTATTATCGAAAATTCCTCACGCTGATTTTTTACGTTATGAAAATTGAAAGAGAACAATAGGTAATGTTTAACAAAAAGAGGAGACTCCTACGATTTTCTCTTTTTTCTCTTTCACCCCCTCCCGCCCTTCCCCATCATCTATATGTTTGCTATAAAAGCTATAAAAGTTTATTACCAGCATAAAAACGAATATTCGACATTGATTATCATAGTTTTATACGTGCTAATCTATTTTAATGTTCGTGCGGACAGCTATACTTATTTATAATGTAGTAGATTTAAATTTATTATGAATATTCATAGACTTGATATAAAGTGATGTGAACAATAAACTGTCTTCAAAAGGTCAATCATTGTTTGCAAGAAAACTAATAGACAAGTCTTTGTTATTGATAAGAAAAAAGTTTGTTTGCAAAAGAATAATAAACATAAGTTTTGAAAATAAAATTGTAGCTTGTTATAACAGATAGATAGAATATCACATAAATGTAGGAAAGAGATTTTTTAACTTTAATAATAAAACGCTTTAATCTCATTCATTAGAAATTCTCTTAATCCCTCCAAATTTATCGTCTTCGATATTACTCAACTTTAACACCCAAGCCCATTTACAGGGGATTTCTGTGGGGGAGAGAGCCGGCATGTTCACGGCGACTCCACCTGTTGGATTCCTCGTCCAGCTAAACGTTTTTGAGCCTTTATAACCCAACATACTTATCGACATCCTTGAGGTATATGAAAGACTACCCAAAATCAATTTTCCATTTGCTGGCCATTTCAAAATAAAAACATAAACGTTAGTTTGTTGATCCATTTTCCTGGCAACGTACCAAGCATCTTTATTAAGAGAATCATTCTGATGCTTCCATGGGAATGTTTCATAAACTGCCTCTCCGTTCACTTTCATCCAACTTCCAAACTGTCTTAATCTCTCTTCAAAAATTGGTATAATTTTTCCAGATTTGGTTGGCCCCACATTTACGAGAAAATTCCCACCGCAACTTATTGTTCTTGCCAACAAAGTTAGTACTGATTCAATGGAATGAATTGAGTCTAGATTCATAGTTCTCCTATATCCCCAAGCTGACTTATCTAGTGGAAAATTATTTTCCCATTTGTGCCCTTGAAGTTTACCCGGATCGTATGCATCACTGCAATCCCAGAAACCTCCATGTTTGCATCTTGTTTCATTTCCCCATCTATCGTTTACTACAACTGTATCTCTAACTGGAGAATCGTTATAAAGCCAAGCAATAAACTCTGGACTCTTCCAATATTCAGAGGAAGCCTGCCATTCTCCATCAGACCAAATGACATCCGGCTTATATTTATTAACTAACTCATATAGCTCTGGAAGCGTTTTCGTGGTCACGAAATCTCTCGTTCTAAATCCGTTTGCCTTATCCTGTTCATAAAGTGGATTATACCATTCAAACATCGAATGATAGACTCCAAAATGCATTTTAGTATGTTTCCTAACAGCATCAGCTAATTCTCCAACTAAATCTCGCTTGGGTCCAACTGCCATTGAATTCCAGTTAAAAGAGTACTTGGATGGCCAATTGCAAAATCCTTCATGATGTTTAGAGACAAAGACAATATAATGAGCTCCAGCGTCTTCAAAAAGTTTGGCCCATTCCGTTGCATTATAGAATTCGGCTGTAAAATCTCTTGCAAAATCAGCATAAGTCCAGTCTGGCCTGTAGTTATTTTTTATAAAATCAACACAACTTTTGCGACCTGAATTCCAACAGTTCCAAAACCATTCAGACGAGAAAGAAGGAACGGAAAATACGCCCCAGTGTATGAAAATTCCAATCTTTTGTTTATCATACCAATCGGGTAAAGGGCGTTTGTCTAAGGACTCCCAGTTTGGTTCATATCGTTTTCTGGCTGCAGAAACGGCCAAAAGCCCAAGAACTAGAACAAGGAATCTATTCATTGAACTTTCTTTGAAGCACTATTAGAATGTAAGTTGAATTCTCTGCAAAAGAGTAATTAAAATATACTATAAATTGCCGATCTTACGGAAATGTTCTGAATTATACCTTTCTCCGGTTGATCCTCAATTATTTATCTGAATACTTGAAGCAAAACATCAAGGGAGGAGGTCACGTGTTGTTATGAACGAAGTGGTTTAACAATTGTCCCTTTCTCATATAAATAAGACTGGTTCCAGATAATTCAAATGAAATTTAAAAACAAAATTAATAAGGCGCTATATTTTCTATATCAAGAAGCCCTAAGTCACACCTATAATCTATGGATTATATTTTAAAGCAAGATAAATTTGTCTATTGGAATCCTTGAAAAGCAATTTTTTATTATATTTTGTTACAATACATTTTTATAGTCGTTGCATTTATAAAGAACCTATTATTAAACTTTGTTTAACTTTGTCTTTAAAATAAAATTCTAAAAGTAACAATAATGAACAATTCACTGTTTGAATACGTTTTAAAGCGCAGAATACGATACCTAGTTCTTTATGAAAACTGGTAAAAAATACTAAGATTTAAACCGGTTTCTAATAGATAGGTTCCGTAGCTTTCGCTTGGAATAAAATATAACTTTGTGGGGGGAAGTCGAGCCTCAACTGCCAGCCGTTTGCTTCTTTTCTGATTCTAAGTAATTTTAAAAATTAATTAATCTTTGCGTTAAAAGAAAATGATTAGCCTCGAAACAGAAGAAGGTTTGTTCAACAGATACATAAATAATCATTTTGACTGTTATTGATAAACATTATTTGAAATTGTGACCATAATAGATATTTCCGAGGAGAATTTCAATCGGCAAATATTTGAAATTAAAGATGAAATAACTGACGAACTGGAACGATATTATCTTCAGTTCCGATCAACAAGCCATCTAAAGATTTTGGATATGAAACAACGAGCCGAAAAAATGATAACTGAAATGCAAAATATGACAAATAGCTTAGAAACTGAGGTAAGAAATGAGGCTGTACATTGGAGAAATATTTATATTTCTGTTTTAACAGATGAAGGCTTCTGAAACTTCAAAAATCAAATCAGAACTAATATACAAGCAAAGAGAGCTGAAAGAATTGGATTTGATTTTGAAATATTGTGATAAATTTGTTACAATTCATCACCTCCTTCAAAAATTCAGAGACCTCAATAAAAAAACAGACTACTTGGCAAGAGCTAAAACGTTAGATGAAATAAGAACTCTTTTAGAAAGTCCTGTATCAACAATTGATAACTCTCTTAATGTTATAAAAGCTATTGAAGAAACTTTAAATGATGAAAGCGATTCTTTAGAATCAGCTCTTCAAAAAGAAGTAGCAAAAAAGATCACATATGTGAAAGAGAAAGTTGGATCAATGGATCATCTAAAATTAAACGTTGAAAAAAATTGGGATGACTTTCAACCAATCGTAGAAAGCTTATATCATATTAACTGTATCCATTATTTAATTCTACCATTAGTAAATCTTTTTAAATACTTAATTATTCCTCACTTGGAGGGAAATTTCCTACACATCGATGATGGTACTCAAAACTTAAGATTATCTATGACTGTCAATGAAAATAAAGGCAATGTTTGTTTAGAGAAACGCGTAAAGAAAATTTCGAATCTTATTCAAAGACTTTCCTCACTATGGAAGATGACAACGGGTGATAACGAAACAATAGGATATCAATTAAGTGAACACGTTAGCTCGAAGATTCGCCAGAGTTTGAAAAGGGCGTTTCATGATGAAGTACCAAGTGATAAGAGAGATTTGGGAAAATTCCAGTCAACTGTAGATTATGCCTTCCGCTTAATAGCATTATTGGGGGATTTTGAACTGTGTACAGAAGAAGATTCAGTAGTTTTGAAAGCCTATATAGACTCGATAACTGAAATATGTGAAAGTAAGGAGAGAGACATGTGCCTCTCCAAAATTCGATCATTTATCATGTCTTCTATTGAGTTAACTACTACAATTGAAGAAGGTGATAATTTTGATATGCCTCGTTGTGTAGTCAGTAAAGGTGTTCAACAAGCTGTTGAATTTATGAGGACCATCCAAGATGATCGAAAAATAAAAGGAATGCTTGAAATATGTTGTAATGTCGCTGAAAGTTGGAATAACAAGGAGGCTTTTAACTCAGCTGTTGCTCATAATAACTGCATGTATTTGGCTCATAATGTTTACATTTTGGAAATGGAATATTCTCAGGATTTAATCTTAGATTATGTTCCCAGGTTTCGAGCCATTGCTTCCAAATGCTTATGCACTTCCATTAATAATCTGAGAAACATTATAACGAGTGCAATTAGAAATTCTAAGCTCCATGATCTAGGTGAGGAGAGCGGGGGGAAAACTAGTCGACAAGAAGCTCGAAAAAAAATTGATGAAGCCGTGGATGTCTTAATAAAAGTTAGTGGAGAATGTTGGCGTGACGTATTACCCGAAAATGTTCGATTGAGTCTTCTCGGAAATCTAGCCAATAATTTTGTCGCCAAATTATTGGACGAGATTCTCGCTCTTGATGATATTTCAGCAACTCATGGAACAGCTCTTCACGAAATTTGCAGTGGAGTTTTGTCTACCTTACCGTATGTTTTAGATGGGTCCGGTAATAACATTGCAATTATGTACCAGAGGATTGATGCTTGGCCGAAATTAGAAAAGATAACATTTTTATTAGATGCATCACTCTTCGACATCACTCATCAATGGGCGGATGGAAAAGGACCTTTAGCTGAATTTTTAAATGCGACAGAAGTGAAGAAAATGATTAAAGCATTATTTCAAAACACTGATAAGAGAGCAGCTGTCTTAGCTCAAATACAATAAACTAAGATTAAGTATGAAATTGTGTGTATAGTTCTACACCATGTTTTCGCTTCACGACATACCACCAAGCAAATAATAAACAAACGCAAAAGGTCTAAAAAGACTACAAATACAAATAAAAGGTCGATAACGTTTCCAACTTCATTAACACTTCAGTAACGTCGTTCTCTGTTGTATAAACAGAATGAGAATAGAGGTGGTTGATAAGGCGTCCTTCAGCTTACCTATCTCTGCTGTTCCTATCACGTCGCGGAGAAATCGAGCGTCTAGGCGAGATTGACCTGTATCAGAGAGAATATTTCATAGACCGTGATGCTTCATAAATTCGCTTAAATACGCAGTGCCGCCTGCAGCTTGCCTACTCGGTTAATTTTTCTACTCGAATCTTATAATCTCAGTGTAGGAGAAAGCGCGCCAAATGAGAGCGAGAGCAGGCTGCGTTGAGTCTGTTGTGCGAGCGCGAGAAATGTGACTGCGTTAATTGAGTCTTCGAGAAGGGCGGCGGTTGAGATTTTTTAAAATCGACACAAACACTATGATGTGTTTCAAGGATACCTGCGAAGAGGAGACCGAGGAGCAAAGTCCGGAGACGGTGGAGGTCTATCAGGATATCGAGCTCGTCGCGGACTGTTTCGAGGAGGCAGAGACGGTGAACGAGGACGATATAATGGTGATCTACTTCTACTGCGGCGAATTGGAGTTCTTTCACGTGGAGGAGGTGGAGGAGTATAACGATTTGGCCGACTATGGTAAGGAGAACGAGATCTCCGACGAGGTGATTCCCTCCTTCGTGGAGAACGAGGTCTGTAGGGAGAACGCCGAGATCCGTTTCTGTAGGGAACAGGTGAAAAACGACGGCTAAAATTCCTGACGGGCGAGAATCTTCGAGATCGAGGAGGTGAGTAACGTCTCGGTGGTAATTGTCGAGGCAAAGATAAACTGTCTTGGTTTTTTGCCATTTCTACTATCAGTTTATTGCCAAACACTCGACGACCGTCTAACGCTCTTATAGCGTGTTCAGCGTCCCTGGAGTTTTTAAATATAACAAATCCGAAGCCTGGAGGATTCTGTGCTACCCAAACGGCATCCAGATCTCCAAATCGACTAAATTCTTTTTCTACATCCTGTTTAAGAGTACTGGGATTCAAGTTGCCAATGTAGATCTTACGACCGCCTGTAGGCATTGTTTCTCGTGGTGGTTACGAAGAGTTTACTCTTTAAGACAACCAATTTTCTCTCATATAAAATACTTTTATAGACTGAAATATACATGTACTTGTTAAAAAATTAATTATGTTTATTAATTAACACTTACCTGTGAACTTCACGATCCACTTAAACGTTATCGGCGAATTTTTTACCTTATGAAGCGCCCAAAATGGCGTAACAACGGCGCCGAGACTTTTCGATACTTTGCGAGATATCACGGCATATCGCGATATTTTTAGAAATCGATTTATTCGATTTTACGACAAGTGTTTGATCGAATTTTTGAAAAGCGAAATGTTAGCGCTATTTCTCTTTAATTTAAAATATTGAAAATTTTTCGAATTTATAAAAAAAAACGGCTTAATCACGTAATGGTTAATTATATCCTAGCTAAAAAAGCAAACTATCACTCTTTCCTATTCAAATTTTCTGAAATAAAATAAAACAGTTTTTGAGCTTGGTAATTTGTTCGCGTTAAACATATATATCAATAAGTAGCTATTTCTTCCATAACATACATATTTATTCAATAAAATCGAAGGAAAAACTGTTTGGAAACTGAATAGTTCGGGAGTGAGTTTTATTGAGTAAAATAATCTATATTTTATAAGTTTCCCTTTGGGTATTTACTTTAGTTTCTAATTTAGTTCGACTAGTGAGGGCAGAATCTAATTGAACGGTTGTTAATGTATAATACCTTAGCAATCATAGGCTTCAAAGAATATAATCATTGATAGTTTAGATTTTAAGAAATTATCCACACATGAATAAACAAAACGGTAACTATGTATTTTAATATTCCGATATGGAAAAAGCTATTTAAATGTAGATATTTACAAACATTATGAGTTTGTAAACTGGTCAGTGATTAGGTCACGCAAATACTTGTTTGATTTAAAAGAAACTTAAGCACTGCCCTAAATAATATTATAACTAAATTTGAAAATTTTCAACGTATGCACATTTTTTTTTTTGGAGAGCAAACGGTAAGCATTGATTCTTTCTTAGAGTTTTTGTTTAATAAAGAACATGTTCAAATTTACATAAGAGAAGTGAAAAATATACTCGGAAAAATTTCAGAAGACGTACAAATTATAAATTAACATGAACAATATTTATCCCTCGTAGAAAAAAAAACAATATGATAATCCCATTCTTATGAACGATATTTCGCTTCCTGTAAACAATCAACCTTTGTAAAATTCTTATAGACTCGATAGAGATCAATTAGTTTGAACTATCAACAGAGAAATATTTTCCATTCATTTTCTAGATTGTTTAACATAACAACTGTGTTTCCTGAAAATCCATCAGAGACTAGCATTATTTAGTCAAGGCCTCCATCGTCTCTTGTCTGAAAAGCATTTCGTGCTCTAGAGAAGGACACTCTGAGATGAGCTGTCTCCGCAAGTTGGTAATCATGGAGATTCTATGTGTACGAAGTTGTTTTTATACTTTTTTTCACATTTTTTATTAAAAAACTCACTATAAGGGCAATAACTGCTTCTTCAATTGTATCCATTTGAACCAAGGCCATCTTGCGGTCTTTTCTGTCCCGATCCTTGCCACTGGAAGGGAAAAATAATTTACCTCAACTTCAAATAATTTAAATGGAAAAAAAATGTCAACTAACGGTAAAAATTTAAAATCCCTTATTGATCCATATTGAGAGAGTAGTTCTCTCATTCCTCTTTCATCCGTATCGCCAGCAATGTTTGATAAGTGAAGAGTTGTAGATGGTGGATAGATATTATGATGATTTTTAGAATGCGTTTTTCTAAATCTATGCAAATGAGACCCACTGTAGTCCCTAGTTAAATGTGCTTCGGGTAGGCCATCTTTCGGCATCTGAATGGTTCTGTGCTTTGATTGATTGATACGAATTTGTCGTCCCCATATTTTTAAGTTATTTAAATGTTGAATAGCTAAGTCGGCTCCATTTGAATCCGTAAATTGAATAAGGGCAGTATCTTTCTTTTGGTAGAGCACTTTCACGCGAAGGACATCACCATAAACACCTACATAAAATAATATGCATATTTTATTATATCCTATTCTTATTGTTCAAAATTAAACCTACCAAACAGAGTAAATAAATAATCCGGCGTAACAATCTAAAATAAAACAAATAAAAAAGTTTTAGAGAGCCAATTAATTATTAAAACATCCACTTACTTCGTCATTCAAATTCGAAACAATTACAACAGAGTTCTCACTACCAGAACCGTCTCTATCTCTGTACCTAGAATCAATATCAGGTCGCATGCCTCTTGGTGCATCGTATCTGTCTCTATCTCTATCATAATCTTCTTCACCAGACGGTAGGCGCTTTGTAAAATCCCTGGTTTTATCATTATTATATTTAATACTAAGACCAGTCATTTTTGAAAATTCTATTCTGAGCGTACAGCAGCCGTTATAAATGTTTTCACCGTCTAACTTTAGTAAAGCAACTTGAGCTGATAGGGGATCAGCCATTTCTATGAGAGCTTGAAATTGGTTTGGAAATTCTGTAATAAAGAAAATTATTAATACTTATATTAATTCCCAAATAAGAAAATTTACTATTTTTGTTGAAAGCAACCATTTTGTGTACTTCACCATGTTTCGAAAAAACTTCATACAGAGTGTCGATATTCACAGGGAAATTAGTATGATCAACAATTACACGGAGAATTTTCTTTTCATGAACATCAGGTGATAATTCTAATGTACACTTCTTTTCATATTCGATAACTTTCAAGTGTCGGGCTGCTTGCAGGGCTGCCTCAGCTCCAAAATTACCACCCGAATCCGTTTTCATTTCTTTACGGTTACTAAATTGAACATAAATCTGTCTACCTTTCCGTATTTCGGGCTTTCGGTTGTAATAATCTACAAGTCTCTTAGCACTTTCTAAATCGGATAGTTCTAAAATAGCTTGATTTTTCTTCTTTACTAAAACCAAATTAGTAAGATCTCCAAATGGCTTTCCGAGATTGATAACATCCAATTCGGTAGCTTCAGAAGGTAATGAGCGAAAATGCACAACCCTGGAAGGCTCATTTGATTCACCTTCCTCTAATTTAGTCTTTTTCAATCCAGAATCATCAGCCGGTTCGACTTTCTCTTGCGGTGAAACATCGGCAGTTCGCTAAATGCATCAGAAATACATACAATTTTAGAGTAATTAATAAAAATACTACACCTTCATTTTAACTGCCTATTTCGTAAACCTTGAAGCATGAGATAAATCCGGAAACCGATTCTGCAAGCTGAATGAGATTTCGTGGTACAGAACGAGACCGGCGTAAGGTGGTCACATGGTCCGGTATTTTCAAAATGGCGCAGATTGGAAATGATGGTAAATAATTTTATCTCACTACGACTTGTATTCACTTGGAAATCTATCTTTTATAAATAAAAGTTACTTTACTAAATTACATTCTCAGCTTTCAAAGTATCGTAATCATTAATTTACTTTTTTCGGCCTTTCTATTTTATTTGTATTACGAAAGGAAATTTTCAAATAAAGTGTGTTCTTCAGATGATGCGATAAAGAGAAGATTATTTAACGAAGGTGACAGTGGTGCGGATGAACGACGAATCAATACTTTAATCAGAACTTATGGAAGATGGCTTGATTTAAAACCAGGAGAAGAGAGGTTATATCCAAAGAAATTTTGCTACAAATAGATTTATTAAAACTAACCCTATTCTTAGGGATTTATTGTTTGAAAGAATTCTTTGCCAATTAAGTCAATGTCGGAACGCTATGGAAAAAACTCAGCTAGTTCACGAAATGAATTTATTGGAGCAGGAAAATTATGAAAACTTAAACTCAGAAATAGGTGTGTATATGTGTATTAATCAAAAAAATTGATACAATTTTCACCGAGAAATATCACCATTAAACTTTAAAATATCTCTAGAGCAAGCAATTATGTTATCAAAGAAGAATATTGCTGATGCTAAAAAAGATTTACAGTATGCTAGGACAATAAGAAGAAATAGACAAGGTTGCAGAAATTAAATTTTTTCAGCTTTTAAAAGTATTAAATGTGATTCTTCATTTAGAATATGATGCCCTAGCTAAAATTATAAAAGAGCACCCTGAAAGAAAGACGACTGAAAGGTAAAAAACAGTTGTATATTTATCATGTCAAACATTTCTATTATAATTTTTTTAGCAAAATCTCCGAATTAAAAGAAGAATTAGGTCAACTAAATGAATCTAGACGGTGTCTAAGAGATAAGGTATATTGACTTTATAATTTTCATTCAACATTTTGAACACTACAATATATTTTTCAGTTGGAATTGAGGAAAAAGCAATTGACTGCCATTGTTACAACAATTCACGAAATGCAAAGAACTTTAAGGGGTAAGTTTTTTACTTATATTGATATCAAATGATGCTATTTATCAAATTTAATCAGAGGAGGAGAATATAGAAGCAAATTCAAAACTAGCTGTAGAGGATGGCGAGATGGACACATCTTGAATGGGAAAAAAATATATTTCTTTTCGTTATACTTTTATATACTAAACTACGTTTTATTTTTAATGAGAAAAAAAGGAATACAATTAAAATTACAAGGCAAGAAACTCTAAGGTAATTTCAGACTATTAGCCAATGCCTAAATTTAGCATTTACCACGCCCAGAGCTTATTTTTTTTTGTTTTTTTTTTTGTAGAACACTTAAACAACAAGTATCGTAAAAATATGTTGTTAGATGTTGATTTTAATTTATAAGGCATCATTTTTAAGGATATTGAAATATATTTGTTTCGGATGTAGAAGCATTAGGTTTAATGTAGATGAGACTATATACGGCATGCAACATTAATACTAACTTTCCATTAGTTTTCGAATTAATTCTACGTATTACTTGTGACGACAAACAATAATGGGAACAGGAGAATGGTTAACGACATAGTCGGAGACAGATCCCATTAAAGTACGTCTCAATTTTCCTTGCCCACGGGTTCCCATCACTATAAAGTCTGCCTCAAATTTATGAGCACTTGAGACTATACTTTCGCCAGGATTTTCGAATTCTTGAATAAATTCAGCATTTGTTACCTAGAAAAGTCATTGCGTGTGTTCAGTTAATCATCATTTCCGATAGCTATATAATTCTTTACAAATTTAGATAAATGTATTTAATATAATTGGAGAGAGGTAGTAATGCTATTTACATTGTGCTTCTCTAATTTTTCCTGATACTTTTTCGCAAGATCTTCTGCTTTTTGTCGTCCTGCACGAGTTTGAGCTTCCCATGTGTCCCTACTTGGCATCGAAGGATATTCGATGCAATGAATTAAAAATAACTTCGTAGTCGGTCTGTGCAAATGGCTTAAATACCCTGTTTTGAATTGTATATAACTTATGAGCATAATGCTAATAATTATACAAACACTCAGTGGCTTCCTCTGCATTAGAGCTTCCATCCACAGCAATAATACCAACATCTCCTTTTTGAGCAGCCATTTAGAACAATAAGGACAAAATCTGTCAATTTAATTAATTGGATTTAAATTTTTATCAATAAAACGACAAGAATTTGAAGAGGGGTACTGAATAATGAACATTAAAAAATATCCGTTTGACTGAAAGCTCACCAAAAATAATTGAAAAGATAAAAAAACATATATTACATTCGTTATATCACCCACAAAAAGATAATATTACAGCTTTATTCACTCTGAATATGTTTGTAGACAGCAACGAACTTGAAGTGTGTCAGAGAAATGGCGAATGTTTCGTGATATTACTTGCTCCCCCTTTTTATTTTCTCCACCAGTCTTAATACAGAACAGGGTTCCAGGTGACGGAGTTGGGAGCAATATCAACCTTGTTTGTCTAATTTCGAAGCTAATAGTAATATTTTTAGATTTTATTTCAAGAGAAAATTTGCAGTAAAATTATACATTGAAAGTGCATGAATTAAAATATGAACGTTTCTCAAACTTTAGCAGTCTTCCCGTAAATAAATTCAAATTTGCTCGTAACGTAGGAAAAAGATAGACCTAATTGTCGTCAGCAGGCATATCATTAAAAGTCTTGAAAATTTCCTCTTCGTCGATATCATCTTCGTCCATTTCATTATCATTTTTAGAGCTTACATTACTACTTCCTTTTCCATCATTTAAATTATCACGTTTACTGTTTTCGTTTTGTTCGTTCGATATCTGACTGTCGTTTGGTATTATTGATTCCGTTTTAAGACGATCCGTGTTGTGGCATTTTTCTTCTTCATTTATAGTGTCACTTGTCTCAAACTTTAGGCCAACCACATATTTACTATTGTTAGTTAATGGCTTGGAATCATCAGTTGTACTTATTTCTGCTTCGGATGGGCTACTACCTAATATAAAAACAACTCCTTTCTCAGCTGAATTGCTCTGGCTAAAAGTCGAAGCACTTGGAAATGAAGTATTAACGATTTCGCAATATTCGTTTTCTTGTACACTCTCACTATCGTATTCATTTTCACTTTTATTCTCTTCTGTCTCGTTATCCCCAAATTGTATTTTAGTAACAACTTTAGATTCCCCATAATCCAGAGAATGTTTAGCTGCTTCAGAACTTTCCATAAGTACTTCATTATTTCCGTTTTCTTCAGTTCCGTATTCACTTTTGTTTGTCTCTGCTTCAATAATATTTTGTGAGCTATTACCATCAGCTTTCATGTCAGAGAATTCATGATTATTTTCTGTAATTACAGCAATATCTTCGTCTATTGAAGTGTAGTCTAATTTCTTTTTCTTCGAGCAAACGTCTTCTAACGTTCTAATTCTCTTACGATTGTTTTTAGCCTTCATTTTTTCCTCAAATTCTAGAATAAACGTCTGTATATCGAATGAGAATGCAGACCAGTTTTTGTATTTTTCCATTGTTTTAATATCCTCCTAGAATATAAATATGCTTTATCGAAAAACACGTAAATAAAGAATACTACTATATACCGATATTTTATTAAGAGTTTCTTTATTTTCTGGTGAACCATTTATTAATATGTTGAGAAGAGAATCTTTCGCATCATGTAATATCTTCTTGCAGAGTGTAGCTAAAATAGTTAGCCTTTCTTCTTCACCATCTACGTGTTTAACAAAAATATATTGAAGATACAATAGTATTTGATAAAATACAATAATGAATATGCCTTATAGAATTTCTAATAAGGAAGAGCTAACCTTCTGTAACATACTGAAATATTATATTTAAAAATGTCCAATAGTCTATTGCATTTGAGGAAAATGAATCGCATAATATTTTTTCGATACATTCAAACATATTGACAGCTTTTTCAGTTTCTGCCATCTCATCCAATCCCAATGTTACGTAGAACTTAACTAAGACTGATATCCATTGGTAAAGTATAGTTTGATCTAATGGTTTTGCTTGACTAGTGGAAATAAGACTTGAGAGTGCTTGGAATATTGATAGAACGGAGTTGATGGGTAGAACATTAAACTTTTCCTTTAAAATAGAAGAAATAATACATAAATATCTAGTAGATATGCCTATCATATTATATTTAGGCTTTAATCTATCTAATATTCTTTATAATTATGAAATTAGAAATAAAATTTACCAAAATTAAATGGAGTTTCTTTCGCAAGATGAAATGAAGTTGAGGAAAGATAAAAAAGTGACGCATTGTGTGGAATAGTTCCTGAATTTATATTTTAAAAAAATTAATAAATTAAATTTAAAATATTCAACCTATTTAGAAATTTTATACACGTCGTATTTAAACTAAAAGACAAACCTGAAAGTCAGTCAATTGTGAATCTCCGTTGAAATCTTCTGGTGTTATTCTAATGCTTTTTTCCTTTGATACTGGTAAAATTTTTGAAGGTTGTAATTTCTGAATATACGAAGGAGAGTAACCTAAATTTTGAATAATAAGCTTCAAAAGGAGCATACATTTATACATTAATTGCCTTACCAATAACTAATCTATCAAATGTTGTAAAAACATCCGACAGAGCTGATAAATTTCTTTTCATTCTTGATAGGCTAGTGGGAGAGAATTGAGAATAAATATTCATTCGAAAAAGTTTGCCTTTTAACACTCTCACCGAAGGCAAATATTGTCCATTGCCCTGATAGTTGTCTCCATATCTAAATTACATTCATTCCGAGCGATAGAAATAGGTTGTAAAATTTTCAGTTCAATAGATGGAACAATTAAATAGAGGTCGGTCAGCTTGTTTTTCTCCGGAAACTCTTTCTCACATAATAAAGAAAAAGTTTCTATAATATTTATTTCAAGAGAGCTAAGGGCTGATTCTCTTCCTCTAATGCCCGCTTCATATAGGCATTCGATTAGAAGACGAATTTCATCAGAAGAAAATTTTTTATAACTTATCATCTTGGGTGGAATAGACGAAATCCACGAGTTAGCGGGAGGCAAACTATAAATTGAGTCAAATTAGTTGTTGCAAAGAAATTTATCAAATCTATTTGATTGTCATTTTGTATAATATCTTACTCAAGTAGATGACGGTATTCAAATGAGAAAAGTAGTATCCTTAAAAATTTTATAATGTATGTGCTTTCTGCAGTTTGACATTTCGTATTATTGGAAAAAATTATAGCCAAATCTAATAGCTCAGCTTGGTTTTCTTTAAAAAAAAAAGGAAATATTGTATTTCTAAAGCATACATTGTTAAATAATTTACCGCGATCACTAGTTCCGCTCATTAATCGCCAAACGACAATTATAAACCGTCGAACGTGCTTTAAAATTAAGTTACCCCGTTTGGCAAGTTTATTAAAGAAAGGTGAAAATTTCTCCATCCATCTTTCATCCTAAAAAATATTTTTTTCTAGTTATTAATTTATATCAAGATCCATTTTTTTCTATCTTACCATTTCTTTTTGTGAGGAAACAAAATGAGAATATATTTCGCAAATTCTTAAATTCATTGACAGAATATGTAGTGGCTGTGTAAAGCAAAAGGAGATATTTTAAAAAGTTCTGATGTTATTAGACGTAAACTCAACTGTAATGGTAGATTTTTCATCTTTGTTTTTTTTTTGAGAAATTCTTTGTAGTGAATATGGGAATCCAACGAAGCACTTAGTAAACAAGGTCTCCATAAACTTTTGTTTCAGATTTACTATCTGTTGGTATAAAAATTAATTATGTTTAAATTCAGAGCCGTTACATAAATATTAGATAAGTGGAATATCTATTGTAATAGGTAACTTACTGTTGATTTCGACTTTTCTTCGTTGAAAGTCTCATTTTTTTCTGTACTATTACAAATATTTAGAATACTACATAGAATTCGAGAGATATTATTCAAAGGTTCAGCAATATCCGGTGAAAGGTTTGAACCCCCTTCTTCAAGTGGCAAGTATTCCATCCACAAATCAATTAAGAGCGAGAATAGAGTTGTTGCAAATTTATTGAACTCATTCTTTTTCTTCTCAAGACTAATACCCTGTTTTCTCATGGAAAATTTTAATTTGGCCTTTTGTGCTTCATTTCCAAACAAAAATTTATCCATCTCTGTGTCATAGCTTGCGTGAAAATCTTGATCGAGCGTGGATAAGAAAACTTGAAGTCTTGATATGATTTCTGATCGGTATTTATGTTTAGATAGTCTGCTAGTAGGATTTGTTAGTAAAGTTCGATTGCTGCCTGACTGCTTTGAAATAAGCTCAAGAAAGTTTTTTAATATTTCGTGAGAATCGTCGGTTGTTAGAGTTGGATAATATTTTAATAAAATATCTAAAATGTAAAGGGATGAAATCTGTATGTCTTCATCAAGTTTTGTCATTGCAGAACACAAGTGAGCTGATATTTGAGGGAAGAAGGGTTCAATTCTCTCTTTTCCAATGTTTTCACAAATAAAGGAAAAAAATTTACGGACAGATTTTCTAACGTTGACATCACGATTATAGAATAAGGGAGAGGTATATTCAATGATACTGGGCAGTTCCTGAGTTATTAACGATGGATTGGTTGAAAAAAATTCATTCAAACCGATGACTGCATCCTTACAGAGGCTTGAATTTACATTCCTTGTCCGAGTAAATAGTTCCTATAAGATAAAGTATTGTCAGTTGCAAAATTTAAAATCAATATGATTGCTCTTTTCGCTAACTTCGCAATATATATTGAAGACTTTTTAACGGTTTATACGAAAATAGTTTTGAATTTACGGTTTTAAATTCAAAATAAATATATATATTGATAAAATCAATCTTAACCAATAAGACAAAAAACAATGTATATGCTGTTTGTAAAGCTATACATAATATACATGATATACAAGTACCTGCAACGATTGGTTTTTTCTTGTTACAAGTTCCCCTTCCTTGTGAGTGTTTAATGATCGTATTTCAATACTCTTCGTTTTAAAAGTTGCTACAGTTTCATTTTGTCCTTTAGAAACTTTTCTGCCAACTTTTATCTTTACTTTTTGAAAGTCTTTATGCTTATTTTTCGACTTTTTACTCTTCGGCATTGCGATAGCATGCGAACTTAATATCGCTCAAAAGTCCTAGACCTTGTATATCGTATCGTTTAGTTCTTTGTATCGTGAGCGAAAGAGATCGATTATATTCGATATAAATGTAAACTTTTTTCACTAAAATAATAAGCAAAAAACAATCTTATATCTTATCCAATTTTTTAGATTTCTTTAGAACCAATTAACCTTATTTTTTATGTTTAACTTTGACCACAATTTAAACTCTTATAATTCGAAATTAGAACTAGATGAACTTTTTAAATAAGAGTGTATGATTCAATAGAATAGCGGTAAACAATTTAATTGATTCAATTTTATTTATATTTTTGCAGCATTTCATAGAATTAAAAAAATTGCTTGGATCATTGAATATGTATATATGATTTATTTAAACACATCTCGCTATTCATGCCAACTTATATACGAATCGTTTAATATATTGATCAAGAATCCAGTGATTTTCAATACCTAAAGAATAGAAAGAAAGATTTAGTGTTATTTTCCCATGTCTTTTTGTATGGTACTATCAAAATAATAATAATAATATACTACCTTAAGCTTGGAGTTGTAAGAGGCTTCAACCCTTTTATCGTTTACTACTGCATAACTGACTTTCTGAGTCACTCCATAAACGGTCACTTGATTGAGCTGAACGCCAATTGATGGCTGGAAACCCTTTATGTCAGCACTAACGAGCAATTTATTCTGTTGCGGTAACATTTATTATAATAAAACAAAAATTACGAGAAAGTGCTTCCTTACGGACCTGTTTAACGGTGAAAGAGAAGTGGGAATACTGTTTATAATCAAAAGCATCTGGAAAACAAAACTCTTTCTTATACAATATAAAATGTAAAGCCACGATATTTTACTTAAACTATCTCCGTCGTCCCACATCAGTTCACCCCTCGCAACTCCACTTAGAGACGAAGTTACTAGAAGCTTGAAAGGCTTGGTTTGTTGCTCGGTGGTATGTTTAACATTACCAGGAAGCATTGGGATTACATGGCCACCTGCTACATGCAATTTTATGTCATCTATATTTGTTTCATTCCGCCAGCCTGCTTTTATGCTTTCTCCAGTGTAGAAATCATACCAATTTACCTCTTGAGGAAGGTACATTTTTAGTGAAGTTGCGCCTTTTTCCAAAACTGGGCTTATTAGTAAAGATTCACCCCACATGAATTGTTCATCGATATTGTAAGTTATTGAGTCATTAGGGAAACTGCAAACGAATTTATTTTTAAATTTGGCACTGGCAAAGATCAGTAAAATTCCGAAAGGTACCAGCAATACTGGCTTTCATTATAATAAAAACTTACTTAACTACTAGGGGTGTAGCGACTGTGCGACCTTCTGCCCGGCTCCTAAAGAATAGAGAATAAAGATAGGGGAGGAGAGAATAACGGGTTTGTAAAGCAAATTTAATTTTTTGTTTAGCAGTCGGTGAAAAAGCGGCTGGATCCTGATCTTTATTGTAATAACTGTTGTGGTTTCTTGAAAAAGGGTAAAATGCGCCTAATTGACTCCATCTTACGCACAATTCCTCAGTTGTATTACCATTGAAACCGCAGATGTCAGACCCAATCATTGGAACTCCAAACAATTGAAAATTTAGAACAGTTGGTATTGTGTATTTCATATCAAACCAGGTAGAACTCACATCTCCAGTCCAATGGCCTCCGTATTGACCAGCGCCAGCAAAAGTTGATCGAGAGATAATAAAAGGCCGTTTCTGTCTGATTTCCTTTAAAACTTCATTCGTGACCTTCATTTCACTTATGCCATAGAGATTATGCACGTCGTAGTGTCTATAGCCGTAGTGTCTGGCTGAAGGGCAAATTGTTTTTGATAATAGGCTAGAACCAAGAATGTTAGGTGTGTAAGGAGGGTTATTCCATTTATTCTTAGAGCATGGGGGAACGGATCCATCTACAAAGTTGGATGGTTCATTCATGTCAATCCATAGTCCATCAAAAGATAATGTTTGATGGAAACTTTTTGCAGATTCCATCCAATATTGTGTAGCATTTGGGTGGAAAAAATCTGGAAAAGCAGTTAAACCTGGCCATACCTTTCCAATAAGGGGTTTGTCATCGTCATTTTTCACGAAGACATTCATCTTCAATCCATTATCATATGGAGGATAAGAGCCTGAAGGTTGAGTACTACTTATTCCAGGATCAACAATAATCATATATTTTTGATTATTGTCATGCAAATCTTTAACAATTGAAGGCAGTTCCTTAAAGTTTTTTGCGTCATACGTCCAGTCTAAATTGTTTTGCGCATATTCAATATCGTTCCATTGAACATCATAAGGAATACCAAGAGCACGGTTTCGACTGATAATTTCTTTCATTTTAGAATCCGACTTATAGCCCCATCGGCAAAGATGATAGCCGAGAGACCAGTATGGAGGCAGAAAAGTTCTACCAATCAAATTATGATAATCACTAATAACTTGATCAGGCCGAGGTCCTGTGAAAACATAGAAATCTAAGATACCACCAATGGTTCGAAATGTAAGGGCAGGTGTTGGTTGCAAATCTACATCCATAGCATTGCTATTCAGCAAGAAAACGCCAAAAAAGTTTGATTTCTTTCCTTTTCCCAAATAGAAAGGGTGAACTCCGTATAAGTTTGTACCAACCGTAGGAGGTTCGTCTCTTGTCCAAAAGCCAAATCGTTGACGGCCCTCATTAGCATTTTTTAAGAATTTTGATTCGTGTTCTCCTAGTCCATATATAACTTCAGATGGTAAACGGGTGGAAATTTGAACAAACTGGTCGGAATAGATAAGAGGAGCTTGACCTATTGTAGTATCGAATAGCACCTCGGAGTCACTCTTACGAATAACCCGTATACCAAACGGGGATTTGGAGATGGAAACATTATAATGAGTATTTGAACTTTCGCTTTTAGTATGATATAAATCGACTGGAACTTCGAACCTACTTGTGAAATCAGCTATTTTTATGCGCAGACGAGTAGCACTCTCCATGAAAATATCGACATGTATTCGAAGAGAATCATTGGGCCAACCTGACGAAGTTTGACGTACAGCTGTACAGGACATTGTTGTTTCCGAAGTCCAACATTTCTCCAAAACGTACCCAACATAATTAGATGGAAAGAAACAGATAGGAGTATCTACGACTCTTGATTTCTCAACAGGCTGGAAAGAGCAGCGTCTTAGCATGCAGTTATATTGTATTTGACTAAAGCTTCCAGGATCAGGATGACAGTCAAATTTGTCTTTATTTTCCAATTTGATGTCAAATTCCGCAGATGGAACAATAGTGTTTATAAACCAAACTGCAAATATACTGAGTTCTAGATATGTTCGCACAATTTTCATTTTGCGAAAAAAATTAAGATCTCTTATATTTTAATTATTGATATCTTCACGCTCCCTAATTCTCGAACTAAATGCCACATAGAATTTAATAAAAAGCAACAAATCTTAAAAAGCCTATATTACAAGACACTGCGTCTTTTAGAACTAAATTCGATTGTTAGAACACTAAAAAGTTTTTTATACATAATTAAATCATTCTTTTGTCATTTAATTTTTCTTTTATATTATCTCAAAGTTTTAAAATGAACATTTTAGATAGCTCTTAGCAGATGCTTTGTCATTGTACAAAAGCAAGCCTGTAAACTTCAAAGTTAAAAATGAGGACTTAATCTTTCTATAATATTCCAACTGCCTACCAAAATGCACAGAATAATAACTATGTAAGTAGGAAATAATACTAGAAACTAAATATAATATTTTTGAGATCTAATTGCGTTTAAGAATAACCAGTTTTAAATATTAGAACCAGATTATTACATCACATGACTATTAAAAGTTTTCACGTGACCAAATGGTCATATTTTCAGTCTTTGAAAATTTCGCAAAAATTTCTTTTTGTTTAGGACTTCTTCTCCAATAAGGTATAGTTTATAACATTTAATGTGTTTTTTAGATGCGACAATTTTAAATTAGGTTGCTAAATTAATAATTATATATTTAAGATGTATATCCTAATTTAGAAATTGCCAAAGTTTTAAATTTCATTAATACTATTAGGTAATCAATAGATATAAGATCCCTAATTCTCTCATGTTTTTGAAAGAGATTCTATTTTTACTACTAGAGGAATGATAGTAACTGCAGACTGCAGCCAGAAATAGTGTACAGTTTGTGTAAACCGCTGTTATTGAGCCTAGATTCTTTAGTAGTCATCAGATGCCGTGATTAGTAAAAAAAAAAGAATAATAAATGTGTTTTAAGCAGATGAATCTCATCTTATGGACGTTTGCCCTTTCGCAAGTCTTTTATCCTACATTCTCGAATCTTATCAAATGTCCTGCCGGAAAAACGGCATGTCCTGAGCAAGCTTCATGTTGCAAAGATTCTAATGGTCAATATACTAGATGTTGTCCATTTCTCCAGGTATGTATCAAATCATTATCTTGAAAATTTAATAACGATGCATTTAGATATATTTGTTTGTATAAGAACATTCTCCAAGTTCCTGGAAATAGATAACATTTTCCATGTCTAATATAATTTTTACGAAATACAATAACTAGGATTTTACGAAGAAAAAAAATTCTCAAACATTAATCTCAAGCATTCTATGACCTCAATCGTTTTTTTTTAGGGTGTTTGCTGTCAGAATGCATTTTGTTGCCCTAGTGGAGCGGAATGTAGAAAGGATTTCTGTTACCTAACCTCTTTTCAACAAAAGATTCCCCTAAGAGAAACCATAGAATCTATAGTTGTCCTTCAGAATGAAAAAGATAAAGATAATGAAGTAACGAATATTTCCGACGAAATTTGTCCGGACAATTCGACTTATTGTCCCGGTTCTGATACATGCTGCATCAGCTTTTTCGGATACGGTTGTTGCCCTCTGCCGAAGGTTGTTATTTTTTATTATTTTTATGCAATGTAAAAATGATCATCTAATGCATAATTCTTACGGAGCCTTAATTATAATGTAGGGTGTTTGCTGTTCTGATAGAAAAACTTGTTGCCCCCATGGAATGAAATGTTCGAAGGATGGATGTATATCGCCAGGTTTAGGTTTCGTATTTAATTCGCTTGCTTCGTCAGCTTATTTTATTATACTAACTGATATTTTAGACAAGGAAGCTTTTACTTTAAATAAAATTCCGATAAGAAAGGGTAGGATCTCAAGTGTGATTTGCCCTGATGAAGAAACTAAGTGTCCCTCAGGTATCCTTGTCACATAGTGTTTTCAAAAAGTTTATACAGTCTTTCTTAATAGGACAAACATGCTGTCCTCTAAGAGGGGGAGGTTTTGGTTGTTGTCACTTTGCTCAAGCACAGTGCTGTAGTGACGGAGCTCATTGCTGTCCACACAATTTCAAATGCGATTTAAAGGTAGCAATACAATAAACAGAATGATTGCTATAAAAATGCTAAAATCCTAAACTGTTTACAGAGGGGTGCCTGTATACCATCATCTGATCAGCAACCTTCTTCGCCCTTATTACAAATAGACGGGAAATCAGAATGCTCTAAAGGTCAAACAATGTGCCGAACTTCTCAAGGAGAGAAGTGCTGCCCTCTATCGAATGCTGTTTGCTGTACGAACGGTAAAAACTGCTGTCCCAGTGGGTTTTCCTGTGATGAGTCGGGTTCTTGTTTGGATGACGGTTTAAGCCTTGGAAAAAAACACTACCTGTTAGGAATATCGGAGAAACCTCCTCATTACTGCCCAGAAATATGGAAAAAAATGAAAATATGCTCTCCCACTCAAACCTGCTGCTTACATAAAGATGGTTCTTATGCGTGTTGTGGTTTTAAGAATGCTATTTGTTGTCCAGACTATTTACATTGTTGCCCTCAAGGGCAAGTTTGCGACGCTAAGCAATTTAAATGTAAAAGTAAAGATGGAGCAACTGCTTTATTGAGTTTACTTAAGAGCCCTTCATTGAAAGAAGAACCAAAGGAGGAGCCAAAAGAGGAGTCAAAAGAGGAGCCTGAAGCAGGTATGCTGATAACTTTTTTAATTATCATTCCTAATTAGTAAAAAAAAATTACAATATTATTAATTAAAGCACATAAAGAAATTTTTTTTGTCCCCTGCAGAGACTGCTCTTAAGTTTCAAAGTCAGATGAATAGGATGGTAATATGCCCAAATCCACAATATAAATGCCCACCAGACACGACCTGTTGTAGAACAATATCTGGAGACTATGGATGCTGTCCTTATAAATTTGCAGTTTGTTGCTCAGATAAAGAACATTGTTGTCCTCAGAATTACAGATGTGATTTAAGCAAGATGCAATGCATTCATCATAAATCAAATCATCAGTTGAAGATGAGAAGAATCGACGGTAAGGAGGATGAGGAGGTGAAATGCCAAAAAGGAGAAACATGTTGTAGAAAGGCAAACGGAAAAATCTCTAAATGTCCAATACCTAACGTAAGAATATTACGAGCTATTTGAAATATTTCCTTATATTTAAATTTATTAATCTACTCTTTCTTCAGGCTGTATGCTGTCCGGACATCGGCTGTTGTCCCTCGTCCTTTAAGTGCGATAAGCAACTTTGTACAAAATTGATGCAATTTCCAGTGGCTATAGGCAAAAATATTCCTAGTAAACCAATACCTTTCGAAAGAGATCAAAGAACTGCTGTTCTATGCCCTGGCTGGAAACAATTTTGTTCTGAGGGGTCGACTTGCTGTCGCACCGAAAAGGATCAGTTCAGTTGTTGCCCATTGAAAAAGGTAAGTTTCAAGGATGATGGATATAAATAAAAAAAACTTATTAAATAGCTTTTTCCTTTTCTACATATTTTCAAATTATACTATGACCTACATAGGGGGTATGTTGCAAATGGGGACACTGTTGTCCTACCAACTCCACTTGTGTTGAAAAGGGATGCTCAAAAGAAAAACATGTTAAAGTTAAACGACCTTATAACTGGACTCCTTCACCACTCACTGACCCTCCTATTATCAAATGTCCAGATAACAAGTCCGAATGTCCTCAGGGAGATACCTGTTGTCTCATTAGACCAAATGTTTACGGTTGTTGTAATGGAGTGGATGTGAGTATTATAGATAATAATACATTACTGAATATCCATTTAAACGGACCACAAGGAATAAATTTAGAGATAGATGTAGTAATACTGACGCATTACAAGCGATATATTACTGCACCAAAATGCTTGTTTTTTTTATCTAAAAACGCTTAACACTAATATTTTTACAGGCGGTTTGCTGCAAGGACAAGCTACGCTGCTGTCCGAAGGGAAATGTATGCACAAACACATCTTGCGCAAAGCAAAAAGATAATATAGTTGATAAAATTGCCCACTTTCCATTGTATGAACCAAAGGAGTTAACTAATACGGCCTACTTTGATGGTGCCATCAGACTCGCCTGCCCTAATAGCTATACTGTCTGCCGGGAACGCTACTGCTGTCCTTATGAGCAGGTTAGGTTCCATCAATTATTTTTTTTACAGATCTCTTAATGAGTTAAAAGAAAATTTAATAATGCCATATCATTTTACACTTTTTTCTTAGGGAGTTTGCTGCGAAAATTCAACCTATTGTTGCCCGAACCAAACAAGCTGTGATGTAGCGAATAAAACGTGTTTAACTACACCTAAAGAGATTACGTTACCCATTAAAAAATATCTAAACCCGTAACACTAGTAAAGAAATTGTTTCTTTTTTTTAATTACCTATTTAAGCTCAAAGCTAATATAATAAACCATTTCCTAACAAAGAAAGAGTTTAGTTTGTTCCTCTACTTAATATTGATTGTTGAAACGAGACAGAAAAACTTTATTATTGTGGTATATTTCTAGTTTTTCTCCAGCTTCGAGAGTTCCTACTCATACTTCAAAAGAGGCTTTTTATAAATGATCTTATTTCAAAGATGCTGAAACTCATCTTCTAAAGATGCAGTTTACCCTAACTCATATTATACTACAGACTCTTGCTTTCAGATATTCGACGTCTATTCTTAGTTAATAATTTAAAGTACAAATAGACTCTTCAAAAGAAGAATATACGTATAAATGTTTGTTTCTTTTTTTTTATTCCAATATAATATTACAGAGCAGATCAATTATGAATATTAACTAACAGAATATATTTATAATTTATTCAATAAGTACACTTTTTTTGTTCTCCAAGTTTGTCTCTCTTTTTTATTCTTTCTTTAAACTAATCAACAACTAGTTTCCTTTCTCTATAGCTTTCTAATGTTCTTTATCTATTGATATATATATACAGTATATATATTTATAGAAATATTTTTACTTATAAAGAATAAAGTACTTTCTCCTGTCTGTGTTTTTACTGATAAAAAGAGATCTTACCATCAATAATTGGAACCAAAAAACAAAAAATTATCGATTGCGTCTATTTTTAGATCAATTTTTATTTAATTAAACCTTTTTGTATAGAACTTTTATAAAGTAGTATTTTATTGTTATATATACTTATTTTTATACTCGAATTTCTAGGAATTCCATATTCCCCCCCCCCCGCCTTTCTATTCAGGACATTTAGATTTCCGGTTCAATTCGTAGCTAATTCTTACATGAAATATCATGCTTTATATGAAAATCTTTGGCAATTTTTACTGGTGGTGGAATAGGTTTTATAGTATATTGTAGATATTTTGGCTATAAATGACAAAATCATTCGGACAAACAAAACGAACGATAGTTATTTATAGTTCCAATTTTTTTTTATATAATATGGTCTCCAAGTAGAGATCATAATATTTCATAAGAATATTACATTTATCTCATAGAGTACAGTTTTCATTAAGTGCAACTAAGAGATTGGAGAACTTGTTAAAAAAATTTTTTTTTGTGCTATTCCAGAGTAAAAAGTAAAAAAAACGCTTTGACAAACCCGTCACAAGTAGGTTTTTATAGTCGTGATATATGCGTGGTTTGTGTTTGTGTATTTGTTTGTTTACTTGTCTACCAGTGTGTTTGTGATAGTTTTACAACGTTTTTTCTCCTCCTTCATTGTCTACCTTAGGGAATGCTGAGTCATTTCACAGCTATTTTTATAATGAAATTCAACTCGGTGAAATTTATTAGCTGGAGGACAGATTGAAGAAGCAGTGAAGCATTTATAGCAGCGTTTTAGCTATCTATACAAATCCACAAGAATTGTTGCTAAATTTGCTTCAAATTATTACTGTATCTACAATACTGAAGTGAATAATGTGATAAGCTTAATTTGATTAAAAAGCTACTTTTAATATTTGTTATCTTGGGCTATACAAAGAATATAAGGCAGTATGATGTCTTGTTCTACATCTAGTACTGTAGGTTTTGAATGATGTAGGGTAATTAAGTTGAAGAACCTGATTATTATTTTTATCAATATATTAATATCTCGCCAATTTGAACTTTGTCATCCTTATTGGATTGAAGTCTTCTACAAGTTACTTTGGTCTTTTGACATTTTAATTAATTTATCCGATAACTTAAAATCACGTGATTAAAATCTGATAAAATAATGTGACTCTATAACATTTATTCGATAAGGACACTTCAGGATTAAACACCGTTCAAAATGAATGTAATAATTCCGGTTGACGGAAGCGAACGATCGGAATCAGCACTTGACTGTAAGTTTAATGAAATATTATATACAAAAAATGAGTAAAAATGGGTTGGGTCAATAAACAATTATCTAAAAAGCAAAAAATCTATCATCATCATAGGGTACAAAACCCACGCACATATGGAAGCGAATACTGTATGGCTTATTCACTGTGCTAAAATGCCTTCGCTAGACGCTGGTGGCGGTAAGACGGCTTACCCGTGCTTGAAATAGCTTAATTACGTTAAAATATAACTTGTTGATAGGCGAAGTATTCTTAACGGCCGACATGTATAGTAATGCGCTTCTAAAGCTTAAAGCAGAAGTAAAGAAGTACGAGGAGAAGTGTACTGAATTGTTGAAATCCAAAGGGGTAAAGTTGAAAGTGGATCTTATTGGAATTCTTTTCAAAGTCTAAATACTATAAAAACAAAGCGATTAACTGGTTTTGTTTCAGATTAACGGTCGGGTAAAAACATTCTTTAATTCACGAGTGGGCGAAGTGATTGTGGAAGCCGCCAAGGAATTGAATGCTGGTTTAATAATCGTATCTAGCAGGGGTCACGGGAGCGTTCGTAGAGCTGTTTTAGGATCTGTTTGCGATTATCTTATTCACGAAGCTCCTTGCAATGTTGCTGTCCATATGGTAAAGAGCAGGGCACAATAATTCGTCACTGAGTTTAATGACTATTAAATATATATATACTAATATATATGTAATTTGTTATAAATACTATAGATTTAAATAGATACATTGATATTTTATGAAATTTCCTTTTCAATAATCAACTCTATTCTAGACGCTATTGGTTTCTATAACAAATCGTAAGGAAATTAATAGTATCCTCTTATTTCAAGGTCGAGGTTACAGATGGCGTCGTAAAAATTCCTAATTGGGTAGGTGTCGCTAAGGGAGAAGGATGAAAAGTGACAAAATTAGCCTCGTTTTTGCGGCGTTCGCTTTGCATATATTTTTTTTACGAGTATAAGCATGAGTCGAATGCTTTTTTTCTTTACTTCCACGTTAATTGCAGTGGAAAATTTCTTCGCATCCCTTAATTGATTCGATTACGGACCGTCTCTAACCGTATTTGCAAGAAAAAATTTTGGATCTAAACGGATCTAACTGATAATTGATAGCGTGCTGCCGCATCGTATATATATACTAATAAAAAAAACGTCGACATAAAAAATTTTCAGCCAATTAAAAAAAAAACCTGCGTTATTGAACGTGTGCGCTTCATCGATCCTCCTGCAAGATTGTTCGGGATTGTTCTGTTTGAAATAGTAAAAGGAACTAGGCCTATTCCATCATATCCTTTACTCTCTTTTTTACCCTTTCTCTCAATATATCTCTCTATCTCTATCTCTCTTCGTCTCTTTTTATACACAAACATACAGTATATACAGTGTACATATAGTGTTCAGTATATATATTAGTATATATATATATATATATATATATACTGTGTGTACATTATACAGTGTATATATTGGTATATATATATATATATATATATATATCTCGCTGTGTCCCTCTGCTTCTCTCGCTATCTGTCTTTATCTCCACTCTCATCTCTTGATACTATCTTCATACTTTACAGCAATCATAGACATAAAAACTGCGATTCTGATAATCTCTTCTTATCATTATCATGGAAAAGAGGGAAAATTGCAAGTAGTTAGGGTGGTGATAGCCGTAAGTACTCATAACAATCACATTTAGACGAGTGACGCTAAGCGTCATGTGACGCTCAGTTCAAACGCAGAGACGCCCTTTTGCAGAAGCCGTCTAACGTCGTTCGACGTCGTTCTGTCCGTACTCAATTACGTCTATAAACTATACTTGAGAGGATATACAAACGAATCCGAATTGAGGATTATCGGCGTATTGGTTGCTTGTATAATATTTACAGGTATATTATTCATGACGCGATCCGATTAATTCTATATAAATAAGCGATTAGCGAGTTACTCGCTGAGAATTAAATCTTCAAAATAAGAGAAAACGAGTATATCTTCTGATTATAGAATATGCTAAATCTATAACCAAAGCTTTTAAGCAACGAAATAAGTGACAAACAGTTAAAAACGATTTTATCGACGGCTTGAAAGAAGAAGAGAAAGGCCGGTCAACACGACATTCCGGCGCAATTCGAACGTGACCGCGAATATTTTACAGTTTTTTTTTTATCAATTCTCAGCGTCTACCACGAAATAAAACGTGCTATTAACGAGATGGAAGTTTTCTGTTAATAGACCACACCTTGAAATTGGAAGCCGATCACGTGACTAGAGCCGAGAGCGCGCATTTTCTCCAATCCAATCAATCGTTGCCGCCGGCCAATTCGAACGCCTTGAGAAGCGCGCAGCTGCGAAAGTTCTACTGTAAATCGATTTAGAAAAGTTTACGTTAGTCTCGCGTTCGGACAGATTCGACGAGAATGAAAAAGAAATGTGGATTATCACGATCGCCGTCATGATACTCTCCGTCTTCCACCTGACGTTGGGTTTGGGCAGTGTTTGCGTAGGAATTATTGCAAGTATTCAAGGTGTTTATACCTTTTCAATTTTTCAATAATATTCTTTCTTTCTACTATAAATAAATAAGTGACTTCTAGTTATGAGTTCCTTTTATTGTAAAATAACAGCGGAAGTATGGTTGGCCCATACCGTTTCACCGATTTGGAGCGGTTCTTTCGTAAGTAACGACTTTTTCTTTCTACAAGCCTATTTCACCCTAAATAGACTTCTAAAATAAGCCTAGATTTCTGTTATATACCCATTATACAAGCAGAGAAAATGCTTTAGAATGTTACAAACGACGCTCACCGAATTAATTACAGACGAAAAAAGCAGGCGCGTTCGATAAAAGCGAACGAGATTATTGCCAAGATGATAAAGCGCACGCAAAAAAAAAACTCTAATCGAATCTAGTTGAATAATCGAATCATATTTGATAACTGCTTAAAACTTACGTTAAATGTCAGAGAGAGAATGAAATGAGAAGTCAAAAAAAAAACGAAAGAAAGAAATTCGATTTCCGACGGAGTGAAAAATGACGAGCGCCTACCAGCGTTCTGGGAGACGCCTGAACCCTGATGATCTCAGGCATCTCGCGGCGTCTCGTTAGCGTCTATGCTTCTGAAGACGTCAAGCAGGCATGATGCGTTTCGCATATTTGCGGTAAACGAAAGATAAGCAACTGCAACACTGAGCCTAAAGCGCGGTACGGATAATCAGCCTTTGCAGTAGCTTCGGGACAGCAATGCGATAATGAAAAGGAAGCGTAAAAAAGAATAAATCGATATGCATATTTTTCTTAGGTCGATGACAAAAAAGAAAGGAAAAAAAAAAAAAAAAGACAGAAAGAGACGAACGTCGTAAAGATTTGTAGTTTTACTGCTTTCGACCTATATATCAATTACATTAGCGCTGCGAGAAAGTAGTGCAAAGAGACGCGAGTGATGAGAGCTAAATACTGCAATTAACCCTAACGACGTTGTTGCTTTGAACAGTTTTCAATTTCGATTTCCTGTTTTTTAGTGGTGCTTTACCGGAATTCTAGGCTTCGCCTGCTGTAAAAGGAAGACTGCGTATGTGGTAAGTGCCTTAGTAATTTTTCCACTATCGATCAGATGGTTTCCGAAGCGTCCGCCGAATTCTTGCAAAGGACGTTGACGTATGTTCTCGATAAATTTGCTCGAATCTCGGGGGCGTTTCGGCCGGAACAGTGTAATCTGGCGCCCACCGATAAATGAGCACTGTTGGGAGAGACGCCACTTCCCACCGGACGTGATGCGGCCAGTTAGGCGAGTGTTTAAACTGAAACGACTGAGTAATCGAATTAAATATCTCTGATTCTTACAACGTTTTCTTCCAGTAGAGACGCTCGACAACGCTGCAATCAAAGTCGGATTACGCGCTTACTAAACTAATAAACGCTTGCGTATGTAATTCGATAGAGCTTTTTCGCCCAAACGACAAGCGTAGACAAACTATAAGTAAACAGGACGGTAGTCTGAACAGTGAATGATTTATCGATGTCCAGAATCGATTTGTACTCTTTTTTCTTGTTTTTATTTTAAACAGATCATGTGCTTTACGGCATTTTCGGTCGTCTCTCTTGTTGTTGCCATTGTATCCATCCAACTACTACGATTAGGCCTAGTCAATCAGACTACGGACGGTAACGTCTATGCGAAACCAACTAAGGACGCCCTCATCATAGTGGCCTTAGGCCTAGCTGGCTCCGAAAGTCTGATTTGTTTAATAACTGCATTCGTCAGTTGCCGATTGGCTAGGGCAGCGAAGAAAGAAATTTATAGAAGACGAGAAGGAACATTCCATGTTCAGGTAGTAGGCGATAAGGATATAGTTGTTGTTAATAAGAAGGAGAAGAAAAAGATTGCCCTGCTAGGCACAAGTAGTGGGGGTCAAAACGGTGTTGAAAACCTCGTCGGGGGCCGAGTCCAGAAAACAACTGTTTTATGAGAGTTTATAGGCTTTTAACTTCGACCGCCGTCTCCTTTCAAGACGCCTAATTAGCTAGAAATCCTTTTATAAGTGCGTCATTGAAAAACTCTATAACAAACTATTCAAGCACGTTTCTATAATAAGTACGTTCCACTCTCTGCTATTATCATGATTTATACGACAAACAACGTCGTAGCTTTCTATATTGCTCTCTTTGCATGATCACGATCGTCGTTTATCTACTTTATACTGTACATGTGAATTTATCCATAAAATGTAAACTATATCTTTTATGTGTACATGTAATTTTAGTATTTTGCATGTTTTGTTACCATCTTTTGCGAAGAAAAACAAAAAACAGGGAAAAAAAACAAAGACCGTAGATATATCGACAAAGTGCAAATACCTAGAAAATACAACGCCCTGTAATAATAGGCCTACATCGAGCAGACGCATGTTTTCTCCAACGATTCTCTATACATCTTCTCGGTTTGTATCAAATTTCTTTCGCGTGCAATCGAAGAGCGTCTATAAAATATCGAGGTAATATATTGAAACTTTTAACACACCGTTTTCAGGAAAACGGAATCAAATTGTTCAAAGATCTATTCAAGCGGAAAAAATCGAAACGAAACGGAAAGGTTGCTGATAGAGCCGATATCGAAATCCGGGTATTAGACGAAGAGGGTCACGCAATCAAGACTGAAGGTCCCGAAGGAAGTGAGAATTATCAATTTCCTTTATTGGTTATACCTAAGGAAGATGTTCAGCGCCCTCACTATTTGGATTATGATGAAGATCTGACGTTAGAAGAGGAAATCACGTCGAACCTATTTCGCGTCAAATCTACTCGCGGATGTTCACTATCGCTAGAAAATAACAACGCTTCAAAACCGATCGAAACGTCTTCGTTACAGGATTACAATCATATAGTTGAGACGATGAAGGCGGTTATTCAGGGCGAAATGGAAAAACAAGAAAATAGAGTCGATCGGATTAAACAAGAGGAATTATCGCCTACTAACGTAACTACTATAGCCGAAATTCATCGAACGTATGATACGGCTAAATCATCCGCTCCGCCATCGCCTACTCTATCTTTAGACGCCACCCTGAAAAAAGCCAGCTGTTGCGAAAGAAAATTATGCAACAGGGTAAAATACAAAATCCGTATAAGCAAGATTAAAGGGTGGGATAATGAAAGAAAAAAATCGAAGCAGACGAGACCATCTTCCTGCAGAAGACGGTACTCAAAAAGAATTATCCAACAAACGTCAGATGATGACAAACAGACCGTTCACTTTTCTAATTCTTTAAAAGTCAGTCAAGTATGAAAAGAGAAAGGCAGAGAAATCTTATCGTCAATATACAATAACGACGCCATTATTTTTTCTTGGCCTTTTGTAACTTGAGAACGTTCGCGGCAGTAATGCGCACTTTACCAGGTAGATTTCTAGATAGGTCCACATCCTGAGAAAAAATAGCATAAAATTAGAGATGAAAATATTAATGTCTTTATTGTTATTTTTTCTCTTGTATATATAGCTGTAGAAGCGCTAACGACGCTCGAAAAATCACACGAGTCTCTCTAGCAACAAAGTCCTTATAATTAGCTTAACACATGCTAATAACATATTCACTGACTAATTAAATAACGACGCTTTGCACTCGGAAACGTATCTAAGCGCGTGCTTCGATTAGAAATATTGCTCTTTTAACTTTCTAACTAGCCAGAGCTCTAGGACTCGCCCAGATGAATGCCCAAATGCGAATCTAATCCTTTCAGTTCTTCGACATTAAATGATGCTCTCTGGTCAAGGAAACGCCCTTGACAATTTCTTTGTTACGATAGTCACGTTTCATCACTCTTGCGTATTACCGTGAATAGAGACTTTACTTTTTTTTTACCATTTCAAACAAAACAAAAAAAATACCTTTAAACTTTTAAATAAATCTTTTTCTCGTGACGTTGTCGATTTGTCAGCCAGAAAGGCGTTGACTACCATTTTCGATGCTGTAATCAATACAAAGCGCATATAATACAAGCTATTGAGTACAGTTTTTTTTCTTCTCTTTTTTTTTTACCTTTCCCTTTCTTATTGTTCCCAGGTGTTACTTTTACTTTGAATCTGTAATCATTTTGATATAGCATTAACATTGTTCATATAGTATGATTTCTTTTATATACTATTAAGACCCAAAATAGCCTACTTGTAATTCGATAATGATGAATAGGGAGCGCACACTGGTATGGCAAACAATAAAGTATCCTCTACCGTTGGCTGTCCTGTAAGCGTATCTAGAATTTTCATGTTCTAAAAAACAAAAACAAAAACTACACGACGCGTAATTGAAACTGACAACCAACTTCCTGTTGGGCATTATCCCCCTCGTCTTCTCCTGAATCATGCTCTTCTTCAGCCTCAATTTTCATGTTTCGGGTACTACCTATAAAAGAAATTATGATTGATAAAAGTCCTATAAAGAAGAAAATTTCTTAATGAGGAAAAATTACCCTTTTCAGATGTTAAACGTTGCTGGTGTCGTATTTTTGCTTGCTCTTGCCTTTCCCTCTTCTCTTCGAGCAGTTGTTGACGTTTTGCATCTTTAGCTTTTTTCCCCTTTAATTTTTTCTCCTCATTCGCCATAGACTACAAAATTATTTAAATAAGGGAAAATTAGTGCGATTTAACAGGAAAACTATGTTGGTCTATTACCCCTAGAATTTTCATGCGCATTTCCCTATCTTCCTCATCCTGATCGCCGTATTTTTGTTTGATCTTTTTTAATTTCGACTGACGACAACAAGATAAATTCAATGTAAAATTACAGAGGCATTTTGCCTACAAACGACAAACCTTTTGACCCCTTTTCACGGGCTGCTGGCTCTCATGGCGTTCAGAGGGTTTTGTTTCGGTGGTGTCCTGTAATTTTTTATTGATGAAAATAAGCTAGCAATGAAAATTATTTGACTATGATTACTCTTTGCTTGATCAATTCTTCATTAATCTTATCATTATCATTTGTATCATCGTAGCTCTTACTGTGATGCAAACTAGGGTCATCAGCTTTCTTTTGTTTTTTTTTCATCTCTCTTCTCTGTTTTGCTGATAGTTTGGCTCCGGCCTTCAAGCTTGAATGGGAGTCCTGTCGACTGATGTCAAGTGGGACACCATCGCCTAAATGGATTATGTCAGCATTGTCATATTCTTCCGATTTACTATCCGTTCTTTCAACCGCAGCAGTCGCTCTTCCATGTCAACGAATAGCATGAAATTATTCGCTCTAACTAACTATACATAATATATATATTTTATATAAAATAAATACCCTTTTTCGGCTTTTAGCTCCACTTTAATGGATGTGTTGGGAAAACACTGATCTTCATTTTCGGACGAGGTGTCATAAGACCCATTATTATCACCATCATTATCACCCTCGCTATCATCATTATCACCATTATCATCATCATCCATATTTAGCTCCTCCTCATTTTTATTTTCTGAATCAGTCTTATTCTTTTCACTGATTCCCAATTCTTCGTCTTCTTCCTCTAGAACTCTTACTTTACGTTCTCCTCTATGCCTTTCAATACAATCGTCATCCAATTTAAATAAGAACCCGAAACCATAAATAAGATAAGACGGGGGTAAGTAATTTTTTTTCCCTAATGAAATAAGCATAAATAATGAACGTATAGAAAGCTAACTAAGGACCATACCTCTAATCATGAAAGCCCCAGTTGACAAATATTCCCCTGTAGGAGCTGTTTTAGAAACTTGACTAGGATTCACCCACCAAGCGCTAGTTACTACTTTAGAATCCCAGGCGGCACTCTACAAACAAATAACTTGCTTTAAAATAAATAACAATCGAAAAGGAACAACGTTAAAAAAGAGAAAAATCTCATTGTACATTGCATATGGCCATTGTACCGGCCTCATTTAAGGTCTTCGGTGGAACCGGCATCTCATTTCCCATATGATTTTTTATAATGACACTACAAGCCCCGTGTAGATCGGCATGCACATAGACATCTTTCGACCGCATATATCTTTTAACTATCATTTCATTTTGCTGAGAGTCTCTGCCGCCTATTACAAGATAATTCTCGGAACTAATAAACCAGAGGAACTTCTCAAACCTAATTTACGAGCAAAAGCCAGAAATTATTAATGTCTTAAGAAAAGATATAATAAAATATCGGCAAAATGTGCATACCAATAAACTTTTCGGGCTTTATTAATAGAGGCTATTTTTGAGGCTTCCTTTAAAGTTTCTTTCGTTTTCTTTTCGGCATTTTTTAAAGCCTTGGATGAAGCCTCTATAGTCTTTTTTTCTTTTAACGAAGCTTGCCGTTTTTCGTCGTAGTATTTCCTGGCATTGGCAAAAGTAGTTAAACCTAAATCGATTTCAACTTTTTGAGGTTTCAAGCTGGGATTTTTTTCATAGTCATCCTCATTAAGAGAAGGTTCCCTATTATTAATAATAATAAGAAACCAATATACTTCAAAATTTAATTAACAATAATGGTCATTTCATCTACTTACGAAAGTAAAAGAGTTATATGATTTCTATCAAGGTTCAGTTGCTTTATTGCTAGTGCGATTGTATCTCCTTGTTTTTGCGCTTCTTTCACAAGGCGTTCTATTTCATCCCAAGCAATTTGATTAGCTAATGCGCTTTGAACAATCATAATAGCCTTTTCAACTAATTCTAAATTTATCTGAATCAATTCTGCTTTTCTTTGATCAATTTCTTGTGTTTTTTGCAAATTATCTATCCGTTTTTCATGATCTTTTTTAACATTGCTCAATTTCTTTAAAGCAGCTTTCTCTTGTTGCAGTGCCTTAATATCTAATTTTTGACTTTCACTTTTTGAGAAGAATTCATCACATGCCTAAATTTTTAATTAATAAGTATTATGTATTGTATATATAAGATATATATGTCTGAATAATTTATAGAAATAACAACCTTGTCGAAGGAATCAAATTCAATTTGGGAATTTTTTTCGTGTTGTTTAAACTTGAATGGATGAAATTCATTATATCTATTCAAAAAGATTACAAAAAAATATATAAAACGCTTTTGATTTGATATATATATTAGCAAATATTTAATGAAAAAAAATAGAATTATAAAGGCAAAAGAATTTACGTTATTAATTGATCGTCTCCACCTGTCACTCTTTTTTCAAATTTTTGAGTAATGTAACCCTATAGGGAGATAGAAATGAAATTATCAAGTTTGCTAAAGATGCAATTGAATATGTCATTTCGATACCTTACACGGTTGACAAGTCTCTCTAAACAGTTTGTCACATATTCGCAGTGCATCTTGCAATAAAGATGTGTCTGTGTGTGGCAAACAATAAGAATAGTCTTAAAAATATGCCTAGAGCAGGGATATTACCATTGAAGGTTTTGCCTATTTTCTGATATGGATCCAATCCGCATTCCAGTAGAGAATGTTCTATTAAAGCCGGCCCATAAACTGATAGATTAGCATGAAGATAGATCACTTTGAAAAAGAGAAAAGAATGATAAAAGAAGGAATACCTAATTGAGGTATTAGAACTTTCTTCAGTGGATCTCCTTCTTTACTGTTAGCTAGAATTTCTGCAATACTGTAAAAAGTTGACATATGAAATTGAAAGCAGAAATCAGTGCATATTTATTGAATACTTTGGGTCAGCACCAGAGCTTTTAGCAAGATCTATTGGATATTTTTCTCGAACAGCATATTTAACATCTTGACATTCGTCCGTCCTCGGTCTCAGAATATTCATGATTACGTATTCAAAATCCGTTAGAATAATATTTCCCTAATTGACATACTTAATTGATCAGGCATTTAACTTATTATTAAATTAGTTTACCCTGTCGTATAATTCTAATATAATGTGATAGGCGGCTTCACCGGAACCGAACTGCAAATCTATTATTCTATCCAAACCAATTTGTTCTATTACTTCAAGACGCCTGCCTTTCAAGTGTTTACGCAGCTAGAGATATTACAAAATATGAGCAAAAAAAGAAGGACAAAGACAGATGTAACAAATTTAAATGCAATATATTATTTCTCCTAACTTTTACAGAGAATCCTGACGGCATTGGGTTTTTCGGCCATTCAAATTCTGTACTATGTATCCGAATACCCGATTCAATTAAAATCACTGCTTTAGTGTCCGGCCTGCCATTTAGGAGTTGAATAACGAATAAGAATAAATATTTTCAAGAAAATTTAAAAAACGCACTTGGCCAATTTAATCAAGTAGATCTTGTGGTCGACATCGTATATGTTGTTGACTCGTAAACCTATGAATCTATGGATTTATGGGAAATTAATTAAGCTATCTATGGACCGACGAAATAAAAGTAACACGCGGAATATAACAAATTTTACTTAAATTACAACTTTGTACCTTTGTAATTCTGCTAAAACCGCTCTAATGTCGAGTGTACTGAATCTACTCTTCATCTTGAATTTAAAATATCAGTTAAAATTGCTTTTTGTTTTTTCAATTTTTAATAATAACTGATTACTTCAAATATACGCCACTACAACATGTTATGAAATAGTATATGCCATCTACCGTACAAATTATTATTACAATATCGTTGATAACTTTATGACTCTCTTGTGATCTAATAGTAAAGTAGCTTGAGATAATTTATTGTCATATTTTTATTTATGATTAAAAATAGGTTAAAACAAACTAGACATTTCTATATTAAACATCTACGACAAATATTCATAAGAAAAAATATATAATGGGAATATAGCTTGTTATACCTCAATGATGATACCAAATTTTAATAATTGCTTTTGAGTTACAACTTCAAAAAACACCCACGATCTACTAGATACCTAGTTTCCTTACAAGTGGCAAATTATAGGTAAGATTTGTAATGTTACATGTCTGATTAATCACAGCAAATAAGAAATAGAAAAATACTAACCAAAGACGTAGATTTGTGGTAGGAGGAGGTTACAGTTGAGGTTGGGGGTAAGAGAGTGTGGAAAATCTATATATCTCTTTAATTTTAAAAAGTTAGCTAATTCGATTATTTACTTATTTAATTTTATATTAGGTATTTCAATCAGTTTAGCTTTTAAGAGGAGAATTTAAGTCATCTAACAATGATTTATCTTCTCTTTGATTTATAATTGGTCTTTACGATATTTAGTAACATTTGAAGGCTTCTTTCTCTCTTTTTATTCTTTTCTCCTCTCTTATTCATTCACTCTCTCTCCTCTCCATCTCTCTCTCTCTCTCCCCATACGTTCTCACTCTCTTTCATTCCCCCCCCCTCTCTCTCTCTCTCTCTCTCTCCACTTAAAAGTGCTTTTGTTAAAATATTAAACTACTAAAAAACATTTCTATGAAATGATAAAGGTAGAATGAAATTAAAAGCGTTTTCCTAATAACGAAAAGAGTTGGTTGGCGATTAATGCTAACAAGAATATGATCTATGGAAAATAGGACTACACATGCAAAGATTGAAGATTTTACAGTATGAATCTATCGAGATGAGAGGATAGCGGAGCGTGTTACGGAGAGAACAAAGAGCAAGGATAAAGATGAAATAGCATAGACAAAAGAGCACAAAATGGTCATGAATTGCAACTACTTGCGGATTTATTTTTATGATAAACCTTAAATACGTTTTTGGTACCTTTCAGCTAATTAGAAATATATCCCTAGGTGTTGTAAAACTTTTGATCCGATTCATGTTAGCCCTATATTTGTTGACACTTGACGATTGACATCTTCCGGCAATTACAAATGATATTTAGGAAAGAAACTTTTTAAAGTACGGAAAATACGCGAATTAATGACAGAGACCGAATAAGAATGGTAAATAGGAAAGCTAAACAAGAACCTAAAAATCAAATTTCATCTCTTAAGACAACCTTGGCCAAATTTGGTTAAAAGGGAAATAAAATACTAAAGAAGCTATCACTGATTAGCATTGAGAGTTTAATGGTAGATCAACGATGGATACGTCCAAGGTAGTGACGCTACATAGCGCAACTGCTGACGTCGCTACGACTACAATTCTTTACATTTGCTTCCCTCCCTCGCTAGCTGTCACTTGGCAAAGGTAAGATGCTTTCTTGATTAATAATCCTTCTTTTTTTATTATGAAAACTATAAAACTCTTTTTAAAAAATATTTGAATGGTACTTTTCATATATTAAGGTAATTTCAATAAGAAATATTAAAGTATATCTATATATACTCTATTAGATTTATATATAATATACCTATCTAGAAATTCTTTCAATATTTGCTTTTTATACGAATTTAATTAAGCTTTTTCTATTTAAACTAATTAAACGATGAATAAACTTATTATAGAACCTTATATTGTTATTTATATTCGTTTGATTGTACCTCATCAATTAATAATTCGAATAAAACGTATTGATTTCAATTATCTTTATTTCTTTATATATAAAAAAAAGACAGAGAACAAATTAATTTAAAAAAATGAAGAATATACAGATACTTTTTATATATTAACGAAATATTTCATAGATGAATATACAACTTATTTAACTAATCTTCCCTTATTTTTGAGGTAAATAGACATTACATATTAATGTATAATTTTGTAGATATTGTTTTTACATTGAACATACTACTATTCTAAATAAGAAGGGCGTATTTATCGAATATACATTCTCAATTTCTATTGAATAACACAAGCTAAAAATGGATATAGTAGAAATTAAAATTTATATAATTTATGGAAAGAGGTGTACATCTTCTATGATATAATGTAGGCGTCTAAAAAGCTGCACTCAAACCGAGTCATTTAGCCACATCAAGTATTACTCCAAATTGTGCTAAGAATTCCGTGTTTATTTTACAAAGTCACGTAAACACATTTTTGAAGATATATATCTTTCTTCCTTATCTTCTCCTTAGTAAGAATCTAATGGGCATAGCAACAATTGATAATGAAGTCATAATGTTACATTTACAGCTACATCAACATGAATCGTGTACTGATATTCTTCGCTCTGGCCGTGGCTTGTATTGTTGTTGTGGATAGCATGCCACGTTATAGAGCCGCTGAATTATTTGAACTCTATCCGGAGTTATATGAAGCTGTATATGGGCCAGCTTTAAATAATGTTAAGAGGCGTTTACACGGAGGTCCTTTACCAGTGGCAACTCGTTTAGCTGGAGGTTTTGGGAACAAAATCGAAGGTGACCGCAATCAAGCACCAGATTTCAAGGGCATGAGATTTGGCCGAAAATAGAGCTATATGTCATTGTTTTAAATAATTATAACGAATTATTAATGAATAAACTGATTCTATTAAATTCGTAGAAAAAAAAACTCATTTTTCCATTTAAGTTTTGGCGCCTATCGAATATTGTTCTATTCAGGGAGACTGTAGATTTAGTAATACGTGGAAAATTATATAATTAGCCGATACCCGATATAAACTGTGATATATCAATAATTTCACAAATAAAAATGACTACCATTGTTGGTCAGGTTAGTACAGTTGTTTTTATAAATATGCCAATTAATTTAACTGGATTACTAAAATATGTAGTGAACGATAATAGAGGGAAAAGTGTAAAGATTTTTTTATTAATAAATTTCACAGATAGAGACAGTCAATGCCACAATCGCAGAATATGAAAATCGACTTGAAAATATAGAAAATAAGTTAAGGTCCAGAAGAGGTTTGGATGAAAAAAAATGGTACTTTTATAAATATTTACAATAAACCAAAATATTTATTTCAAAAACTGTTGCTAAAATGATGATCTCGTTGATTTTTTTTAGTCTTCAGTTAGAAGAGGAAGAAAGCGAGTTGATAAAATTAATTAAATTGAAAAGTGAGTCTTTATAAACACTAAACTCCTCTCCTATGAAATTTTACGCTATTAACATAAACAATTTTTCCTGCAGATGATGAACTACGTTGTTTAAGAAAAGAAAACTTTAAATCCTCAATTTTATCTATTAGTGTATTGATTGTTTTTGGAACCATATACTGGCTTTATACTACTAGTTAATTATTTGGGAGGAGGGAAATAGTATTATAAAATTAATAAATAAAATGTTTATACAGACGGTAGATGGCATTCCGTATCCAATTTTAGTAAAAGAATATTTTTTTACTATCGTAGTAAGATTTAAAGACGGATCTTGTATAAACGTGAGAAAATGACGATGACTTGTCGAAAATAAAAGTATTTAGCGTGATGATTACAAGCAATGTCGAAAAGATTCCGGAGGGAGAGAATGAAAATGGAAAAATAGATATTCCTGCACGAAACGCTTCTATTATGCGGTGACGCTTATAAAGAGTAGCCAGTTGATTATGTGACTATGCATAACTGTGGTTGCCCAATAATTGCTACTGTCAATTTCGAATCGGTTTCGGTGAATGAGGCTCAACGATGCGACGCCGTAGGTTATAGACCGTATAGGCCTATATTTATATAAGACTATATTTTACGTATTGACTCTGACTTGACAAAAGCAAACAGACTTATGACTCTATATATATATAGGCACGCCCCTGTAAATATTTCATAAACTGGGATAAAAGACGATTCGCGCCATAAGTAATTTTTACGAGCAAAACAGTCAAATCTGCTGGATGAAATAATTAGACTAATAATTCACGGTAAGAACGCTATATTAGCCAACTGCACTCATTTGGAGAACATTTATTAATGTTACTACATACGATAAGTGTAAATACATATGGTATATAGGATTAAAAAACAACTGTATACAAACTGCATGTATAAATACATTGAAGGAGAATTTGGGCGCGAACAGAATACAAAAAGTAGAGCAAACTACTGAGAAAACTGGAGGCGAAAGAGTTTTTACACTGATTATGTTTATACAGAGCAGTACAGCAAAGTTTTGCGGGGCTTGCCGATTTTATAAAACTAGCGCCTATATATACGAGTCTTGTTTTTCTTCAATTTAGACGCCGCCGCAACGAGCGCATATATAAACGTGGCAGGGCGTCGTTGTCAAAATCGAATTATCTCGCGCTTGACTATAACGAGCTTCGCAGACGCTTCAAGCGTTTCTTTCTTCGCTTGACCTTTTGACTGATGGCTGAGTCTTATCGAATATTTTCGGCTATTAGAGAAAAGTAGGGATAGGCTTTTCGTACATTTATTGATAAGTTCAGGTATAAAACATGAAAAATATTAGAAAATAGAGCTTTTTAACTGATGAATAAATCGTTTAACTTTCGTTTTTAATACGCCTATATGCACTCATTAAATTCGGCGCGTCTTTTCCAATAAAGGGCTGCTGTAGCGCCCCCTGTACCCGTGCCAATAGCTGCACTTTTTGCTATTGCAGACCCGATTGCTGTATAGCGGCGGCCGTATAGCAGATGAACGAGATAGCAAGAGCAGGAGTACAACATTTTCTAGCCAGTCTTGCGGCGCATTGATTCGTCATTTATCTTTTTCCATATCTTCCGCTCTGGAGCACTGAACCGTCTCGAATTAATCTTCTTCGACGGCGTTTAATTTCGAGGGAGACGCCATCTAACGGACGTTTCTAATATCGGAATCGATCTATAACCAAAGTGGCCCGGACAGAGCGGCGATGCGACAACGATCAGCATGTATAACAATTCGAAGCCGGAAGTTGTTCCGAAAAAAGTCGTGTCTTTTCCAGTGCCCGATTTATTACCGGAACGCTCATATGCAACCTACGGCAAGGACTCAGATTTTCCAGCACCACCACCTACCCAACTGGTCATGAATAAAGAAACAGACAGGGATAGCGGAATTTACGTACAGTTTAGTCCGCCAACAGCGGCAGCGCCAGCCCAAAATACCTCCCAAGTAGATCCTGCCGCCCTGGTGGAGGAGAAAATCCGAAGTGGCCTTCACCCTTGCCATCCAGAATTGTTGACCATATTCCTGCAAAATCTACATATGTCAAACTATGTGTCTTTATTCGTTCAGGCAGGCTATGATTTGGCCACCGTCTCGAAAATGACGCCGGCCGATCTAAGCGCTATCGGAATTCGAAATCCGAGTCACCGGAAGAGGCTTAAGACGGAGATCTCCCGACTTAAGATTCCCGAATTACTACCCAATTTTTATCCACCGTCTCTAAGCGTTCTACTGCAACTTCTCTGCCTACCGCATCTGGAACCAGTTCTCAATTCTCACGGCTATAAAACAATTTCTAGCTTACTCGAGTTAACTTGGGAAGACCTCGAGGAGGTCGGAGTTACAAAGTTAGGCGAACAGAAGAAGTTAGTAGTGGCCGTCGACAAACTGCGCAAACTCGATTCCTCGCCTCATTCGACACACAATCAAGCGAATTATCCACCCTCTCCGGACGTCGTTGCTATTCAAGTATCGGAAGCGCCATCTGGTGTCGAATCAAGCCACAATCGAATTGGTTATTCCGGTTCGTTAACTAGGCGTTCAGTATCGACATTTACGAGCTCGGACGCTTTGATAACTCGCCAAAAAACACCTCCTCCTCCGCCCCCCAAAAGGGTAAACAGCGTTAAGGCGTCGGCTTCCCCGTCACTAAAACCAAAGCCAATTTATCCACCAAAGCCGCCATCTCCTGCTCCAAAGCCGAAAATGACACCTCGAGTCGTTAGCTCATCAACCGATGTTCCTCGGCTAGAGGCGCATAACGCTGCCGTAACAAGGAGGCAGGCATCAGACGACAGTACAAGTTCGTCTAATGAGGGATTACATTTCGCCAATGAAGACGTGGGTACAATTAGACAGAAATCGTCTAATCCAAATGTTTTGAATGAACTAGATACAATGCTTCAAGGTCTTACAGATGAACTGGATGCAATTTTGAAAAAACAATTCAAGTAGTTTTCTTTATAGATGGTGCTTAATTATCTATACAAAGTGTTTTACTCGCTAATCCTTATATAAATAAAAAAAACCTATGCAAGCTCTGTTTTCGTTATAAAAGAAACAAATTCAACTGTTGTGATTTTTAAACTACACCTTTCTTCCTGGGGTTCTTCTTAGGTCTATGCACCTCTGCTGAGGTTATTAGAACACGTTTTTCAGAATCTGATTTTTTTACCATGACTGTTCTTCCACCAGAGCTAGTAAACTCAATAGAAGGTTTAAAATCTTCTTTTAATAAAGAAGCTAATTTGGAATGTTTCTTTTCCTGTTCAATTTTCAAAGAGATTTGTTTTTTTATAGGTTCTGGCGATGGAATAATAATTTCTTCAGTATCCGAATCACTATCAATTAATACTTCTACTTTCTCTTCAATTTTATTATTCGTATCATCAGTCTTAGCTTCATTTGATGTAATTTGTCTGTTTTCATCCTCAATCGTGCAAACACTATTAACAACACCCCTACTTTTAGTTGATTGATTGATTTCTTTACTTGTTTTTGTCGCAAAAATAGGTGGGTTCATTTCGTGTGGTTCAACTTTTTGTTCAGGTAGAAATCTTTCCATATACGTTTTAGCCAACTCGAAATCAAAGTCAAAACTTTCAGCAAGAAAACCAAATGTAAAATATCTAAATCTTGTTGAAAAGATTAGAAATAAGTAGAACTTTATGTTTGAATTGATACATTGGAACATTATGTAGCAAATTTCCAAGTTTTGAAAGTAGTTTGAGTAATTTAGTATGTTATCTTCAAAAAAGCAATTGATATGAAATTTTATTGGAATATTCTCAGTCCAGACAGCAATTCTGTAACAAAGGAATGGAATCTCTGTAATTAATCTTAAAATTGAGACAATTGCTTGTAGTTTAACACTTCTTCCGTCTTTAAATTCCTCGGAATTTACTGAAATTAACGAACGGATTGACATAATTTTCACTTGTATAAATAGAGCCGAATTAACGGCTAGAATTAGCAACCATGGTATTAAAACAAAGATTATAACATAAGCGTATTTGTCGTAATATTGATAGCTCTGCTGATTATGTAGGTCAGTCGTGCATATAACTTCTCTTGATGAACCATCCTTAAAATCCATAACAACCACCCGAAATTGAAAATAATTTACAAAATGGAATACAACAACTACACCACTCACGGCGAATGCTAATTTAACGGCTTTCTTTACAGTGCTGTATCTGACGGACTTTTCAGCGTGTAATCCGAACATGTAACCGTCAACAGTTAGGGTGATTATTAAAGCAGACATAACAACTTGCAGACTTTGAGTTATAGGGAAGGCGTGGGCATAAAAGGTTGGAGATAGTGGAGATCGAGAACTAACTTGAGAATACTCCGAGGAGAGTAGCATTAACATTAGGATTGTATAGACAATATCGGCTAAACTCAAGAAAGTCATATAAACCGATGGAGGACTCTTCATCCGTTTTTGATTAAAGATGATTATCAACATCGAATTGCCTAATAGCCCAAACGCAGCCAAACTTGGCATTAAAATACCAAATGCGATATGTTTAGAAGATCCAATTTCTTCTATCTCTCGAGTTTTTTCCGCTAAAGACATTTTTATCTTCAAATGTAATTTCTTTTCTATTATATCTTTCTTCAATCGTATTCTTTGCTCTGTTTATCCTCTCTCCTAACTTAAAAATACTGAATAAACTGATTCACATTTTACACTGAATACAACATATGGATATCTGCATAAGTTGAGTCATAAACCCGCATTTTTAATGTTTCATATTGTTTAGACTTTATAAATACTATAAACAATTGGCTAAAATAGTACGTAAATAATTAATACGATATATTCGTTTTAAGTTGTACAAAATAACATAAAAGTACCAAAACGCAATTAATAAAGGGATTTTTTGTTTTCTTTTTTTTCTAGAGCTTAAATTGGTATTTTTTCAATAATAACGTGCCTGGCTATAAAATGTGTTCAGATAAGCCTAAATATGATGCATAAATACATACTGTGCACACATATATACAAACGTATATACATATATAAATACAGTGTATATAAATTTACATATACATACAGTATATACAAATAGTATAGGTATAACTATAAAATTCACAGAGAAAAAGACTTTATACATGTGTTACATTCCGTCAATAAATAATGAAAGGAAAACCATTTTTATTTTTTTGGTGACTTTTTCTTAAATAAAAATTGATTTAAAGATTTTTTCTCTCTTTATTTTCTTTCTTTTTTTTTTTGTCGATATAGATCAGCAATGACTGGAAACGATGGTAGAACTGTATTAGAATGCAGTCCAAGCACTTTTCCCAAGAGAAGCGTCACTTTCGAATTGATGATGAATCGTAAATAGAATAGAGGAAAATGTATTTTCTTTTTAATGTAGTTTATTATTGTTTTAGACGTGTGTATAAAAAGTTACAATCATTACAATCTATTCAAGTCATGTAGCATGATAATTATAATAAATGAAGTATAAAAATAACTTAGTGAACCGAGAATATTTTGACAGTTGTAAAGAAAAAGAAAACAGTATAATTCTAAAAAACAAATTCTTGTTTAGTTTGTAAAGAGTCTACAGAGTCGATGAAAACAGACACTTCTTCTATCTGTTTTAATGCCTACTTGGTCTACTCGACGCAACTAAGAGAGAGGAAGAGAAAGATAGATAGATAGATAGATAGATAGATAGATTGATAGATAGATAGAGGAAGAGAAGATCTATATATGTATATAGTCTCTGAATAATCACATAAATGTAATAACGTGGAATAGTAATTGTTTTATATAAAAGGTATTTTTTTAAGTTTGGTAATTTATTTAATAAATTTTTTTCAAGTATTAAAAATAAATTTAATCAGTTATTTCGATAATAAATTACAAATACTTCAAATTGAATTAATTTCTTCTTTAAGTAGTATTTTAATAAATATTTATTATATCATTATTTGAAATCTTTTATAATTTGATGCCATTAGGAACAATCAATAATTTTCGCTTCTTTATCAATTTATCTGGGGAATATGAATTTATGATAATAAATTTCCTTGAATATTGGTATACACTGGGGATATTTTAGAGATATTTTAAATAATTTCAAGGCAACTTAAGTTTTATATAGCGACCTCTAGATTGTAAATTTTAAGTTAATCGAATAAAAATTCATCTTAAAATTTATTATTTTATATATAAAATGATTTTTTTGTGCTAGCACATTTTTCTAATGCATTTATGGTGTTTTGATATTATTCTATAAATTGAACGATATAAGACTATTTCTTCAGGATGTAGGTGGCGATACTGTACATGATTTTCCCAGTTAACAGAAAACATTGAAACCTTTTAGCCGTTAAAAATTTGAAGATAACTCATTTAAAACTGTAAGTTTTTTGATTTATTAATTATTTTCTAAAGACTTAACATTGTCAACGATTTATTAGTTTTTCACTATTCAAATTAGCAAACAATTCTACATTGAAAATACAGTTGTTGGTGGCATAAAAAAAATTAAAGAGCGATAATAGCATTCTAAGTAAAAGTTTATTTTTATTTTTCACAGGTGACTCGTAAAATGTCGTCGACATCACAAAAACATAGAAACTTTGTCGCCGAGCCCATGGGAGAGAAAGAAGTAACTGAATTGGCGGGAATCGGTGAGAAATTTGGTGAAAGACTCAGAGAAAAAGGATATGATACAGTAATACCATGAAATAATTTAAATTGTCTATACTAATCGATTCTTATTTTCAATAGGCCTATACTGTGCTCGGCCAGTTTCTAATAATGAAAAAGGACGAAGATTGTTTTAAGGAATGGCTGAAAGATACTTGTGGAGCAAACGCAAAATATCAGAATGATTGCTACCAATGCTTGAAAGACTGGTGTGACTCATTTTTGTAATTGAATAACATACTTATTATATAAAAACCGAAGCACTGGAATTATTCTTTTTTTTTCCTTTTTTTTTAACTAGAATATTATATATTCCAAATATGTGAATTTTTTGTTAATAACCGATAGATGGAATTGCTACCAGTAAACGTTTGACCTTGACATTTTTACAATCTGTAGTTAGTAGAAGATATGGATTCGTTCAAATTAACGAATTATTTGCGCGGTTGGATGGGAGTTGTAGCTCTCATGTCCTTCGGTAGCACGGTAGCCTGTTTTAAGGACTTGAAAACGTTGCAAGAAAGATTTTATACAACAAAAACTAGCGACGGTATATAAAAAAAAATCTATAGTACACATTATAACATCTCTTATTACAAATACTAGTCTTATGAAAATTTTGATAGGATAAAAGATGTATATGAATATGATCGCTATTCTTTAAAATATTTCTAGTTACTCCTCTAACCGCTCGTTTATTCGGTTCATGGACGTTATTAGCCGGCTTTGTTCGTCTCGCTTCCATGTTTTCCATAGAAAACAAAGCGTTTGTATGAATTTGTTATGATAGGCCTACTCCTAATGGAATATATATTTATTTTTGTAAAAAATCAGAATATATGGTCTCTCGTACGTAACGTTTTGTTTGGAAGTGAGTCATTTTCTATTGGAGATCTTAATATATAAAACGGCGAACTTTACAGTAGGAATTGCTGCTCCTTTAGCGGTTTCAGGTTGGTTTATAAATAATAAATTTAAGGCTTATTTTTTTATAGTATAAATTTACATCATTTTGCAATTGAAAAAGGTGTCTCATTAATATTCATGACATGTGGATATTTTTTTGTATGGAAGAGGAAAGTAATCGAAGATGTACGACCAAATTCTGTGAATTTTATGACTGCTATAAGAAATCCAAGAAGGAAAAAAATAAATTAAGAAATAAGAAGATAGATATTGAATAGAAAGTGAAATTTGTTTGTTTCCTTAAATATTTATTCTTCTCATCTTCCTCATCTTTCATAGATAAAATAAAAAAATCCTTGTTAAAGTTTTTACACGATACAATCTATTCACATTATATTTGTGTCACAGTATCAATTGTCATTCATAAATACTCTTCTAAAACACTTTTAGAGTATTTTTTCCCTATTCTCTCTTCTTTTTGTGTTTTTTTACATTAGCATCAAACATTTACAATATTAACCTGTCAAATATAAAGTTATAAAAAGCTTTATTTATCATTTAAATTGTTTAATTGTTTAATTTCGTTTTTTATTTTTTCTCCCTTGTTTGAAAATGAAATGTAGATTAGAGAGAGTCGGAAGTATGAATCACGTAAGGTCCACTTCTAATTCGTCTGAGTTTAGTAATGTCTTTAAGTAGTATGATAATTTATTAGGAAAACTCTTTTTTCTCATATCTCTTTCCTTTTCAACTTGTTCCCTTGTTTCTTGATCCATAGCCATTTTTTCAGGGTCTGCTAACGCTCCTCTCCGCACTCTCATACGATTGCATTGAAGGGCTGAGCTAAAATATTTATTATCTGTTCGATTTACAAGAGTACAGTCTGAAAAACTCTTCTTCAAGGTATTCCTAGCATTAATATTGTCTTCTTCCGTTCTCTCTTCTCTTTTCCAACACCATTTCTCGTCAGCTTCATCATTGCTCACAGAATTTTGTAATTTATTCGGAGCTATCTTTGACGTTTTCATGCGTCTCGATGTCAGGAAAATATTAGAATGAGTTGCGTTAGTTCAGGTACCGCCCTCTTTATCAATTACCAACCAATCAGCAGTTAGTTCTGTTATTTTTATCTTGAAGAGAATAAACGTTTACCGTGAACTGATACGATCGAATTCAACTCGTATCTGGTACTTGGTACCGAGTTGTATTTATAGGCAAAAATTCTGTTTATAGAGGTAATAAATCCAAAAATTACTGTCTGGAATTCAGAACTCAGGTAAGTATGTCAGAACGACGGAAAAATTCTCGAAAAATATAGTCATTAGTAATGAAAAGAAACAAATCAGGAAAAGTGAAATAGGGATTTAAGTTTATAACTATGACTATACCTGTGCGATGAATCGGGTTTCTCTTTAAATTGATTAGATTCCCTTCAGGTTTGCGTTTTTTCGTGATAAACTTAAAGACTTTAATGACTTTTGAAAGACGCAAATTACATGACATATAATATCTGAGTAATTTGCAAAAAACGTGCTGATAGTTAATCAATAGAAGTCATCTAAAGACGAACAATTTATGGTAGAGAATAATATTTCAGAGGTGGGTAATCTAAATTATGCGAAAGAATCACGTGCTTCACTTTCACCCGTACCTAATTTGAAAATATTACTAGGTATTATACTCTGCACTTTCCTTATTAATGCTTGTTCGTTTCATCTTCGTCCTTTCCTAGTAACCTATTGCTCGTTAAAGATCTGCCTGAAAATTTGCCTTTTCAGATATATTTTATTGATTATCGTGATATATTTATTTATCGTTTTCCTCTTGACCAATTATAAATAAATTATGACTGTTTATGTTATCAAAATATATGACTATTAGTACTATTACTATTAATTGATTCAACTCTAACTATTTGATTTAATAAATGTGGGTACTGTTTTGTTTAAACGCTGTCCTCAAAAGCCTCTATGAACAATATTCTTGTCCGTAAAACAGAGAAGAATGAACAGGGTTTTCCCGAAGCAGGTACAACGACTTGCACTTATTCTCTTTTGACTATTAGATAAAGATTATTTTTCTTTAATCGAACAAATCCAAGCACCAATAGATGGATGAGCGATAAATCAAGGTGTAATTCAACATTTTATTCTAATATCTTCTCTCTTCTACAGTGAAATTAACAAGAAATTTATTCATAAACATTTGAGCACAATACGGCGACAATCCGACTTTTTTCATCACATCAGGAATTAAGACGTACTTTGATCCTCTGCAGGTCTTTCAAGTATTTCTTTGGTTTTATTCATGACTGAAAAAAAAATATGTAAAGGGGTGAACTTTCCAAAGTCATTGACATTAGAAAAGCTGAGTGTTAGACTACGCGAAATCCGCACTAAAATAAGTACGCTACCGAGTTTTCCGTAAGGATAAATGAATTATACAACAGCGTTTCAAAAGAAAATGGTTAAAAATGCTAAAGGGCGTAATTAGTTTACGATATCATGCTTTAAATGTAATTAATTTCTTCTCTTTTTAATTCATTAACATTGCCATGACCTAAAACACATAAAACGAAAGAAGACTTGGATAAAAAACAGATGAAAAGATTTAGCGATCCGTCCTATAATTACTCAAAATAGTGTAAATTTCCACTTACCGGCTTCAGGTGAGTCAATACATAACTTTTTATCAACCTGAGCTAACATTTCATTTAATTCGTCTTCGAAGTCATCTATTAAGTATCCATAAAGGATTTTATTAGCTCATTAGAATAATCTAGTTTTTTACCTAATGGCCTAATTTTTGAACTCAGACTAGTTAAAAATAACATTACCTTTATTGTCGCCGGAATTTGAAATAACTGCTTCTGATGTTCCGTTGAGCAAAGTATGTTGAGTTACGATTTCTTCCATTAAGTTTTCTATTTTTGAATCTCTTTCAACGGATTGTGACGTATCTGACGTATCAATTGGTTTATCATCTTCTTCAGACATTTCAATCACTTTATCCGTATACGATGAGCCTTCAGATATATTATTTGCAGGTGTTTGCTTAACGTCTTCTGAGTCCGATAATTCATTTTTATCTTTTGATGAATCAACATCTTTTGGAATGTTTACTGAATTATCAATACTGTCCGAACAGCCTTTGTTCGTTGTATTATCCTCGTCCGGACGAGGTTCAACTAATAAATGGCTATTGCTTTCATCTTTAACCCTATGTACAACAAATTTTTTTGCTGAAGAAGGACTTAAAGTTGGAGAGAGAGTTGTGTTTTCTGTAACAGGTTTTAAGCAGGCGTGTCCATCGCTAGAGACCATGGGAGACTGAGGAAAATTTTCGGACACTTTTTCCGGTTCTACTTGAGAAGACTGAGGAGGCTCTTCTGCTACAGTTTGCAAACGGCTTTTTTCTGAATTCCATGTAATCATGTGCTCCTCGGTTACAAAAGCAGGTGATTCTAATTCAGCTGCATTAGGAAGATGAGGTCTAGAAAAATTTAAATGTAACTGAGATCTATTTAGCCCTTTTATCTCTGGAATAACTTGTTCCTCTACTACAGTTTGTTCAATTTCTTCTTCTTGTATTTTTTCGGCAGCAAGCTCTTTCTCTATTCGCTCTTGTTCTTCTTGCTCTTCTCTTTTCTGCTGTAATTCCCTATTGCGTGCCATATAATTACTAATATCATTTAAAAGTCGGCGTTGCTGGACAGCATAATCTTTCATTGTTTCACGTTTTGGTTCTCTATCCAAATCAAGTCTAGTAACAGATTGGCTAACTTTTAACGACAATGATAGAGCCATAAGTCCAGCAGTCTTTATATCGTTTTCTCTCATGTCAATTCGTAATAATTTCTTAGCTTCTGTTACGTACTCGGCTAATGCAATGGCACCTTCACACGAAATTTTAGCCGCCTGCAATCCAATTCGCAACAAACTACGATTTCTTAGCAAACCATCTTTTAATTGATGAATACCTTCATTTGCAATATTATTGTGCCCAAGATTTAATGTTTCCAAACAATTACTTAAAATCTGTAAAGGGGTTATAGAAAGGTCACAATGAATAAGTCAAATTACATTTCGATAAAATCTAGTTACCAATGCTCTAGCAAGAGACGGCATCGATTGGTAAGTAATCTGATTATTCCAAAGAACTAGAGTTAACAAACCCTTTTCAACTGTTTGTTCACATAAACCAGAACAAATATGAATGGTACCAGTATCCTTAAAAGTAATTTTGACATATTACTGTGAAAAAACCCTTTATTTTATGTAATATTTTAACCTACTTGTAAATGATTATTGCGGAGATCTAACAATTGTAAATGATTGTTATATTTAAGCATATTCCCCAGATGAATCCCATCACTTGGCATTAAACGATTATCAGCCAGAAAAAATTCTTTTAAAGTCTCGTTCATTTTTATAGCAGCAACTATAAAATAACGTATTGTTTAATATGTCCAACAAGCTTTATTATTAAAACAAGAATAAATTGATGTATTCTACCTAAAATCATTAATGGCCTTCCTGATAAAGATGAATTTTCCAAGTGTAATGTTGCCAAATGGCAACCCATTCTAATAGTCCTAGCCAAGAATGGTATGGATTGTTCATTTAATTGACAATTTCGAGCTTCTAAAGTTTCTAGGCAAGGTGTCTGTATATGCAAATATCAGTATCATTTAATTTTACAACCGTTAGTTAAATCTAAACAAACCTTTTTTATCATGCGAGAGCACGCTTGCCATCCCCGTGGACCAAGACGGTTGTAAGATATGTTCAAACGCATTGCGGATTCATAGTATTCAATCATATCAAAAATTGCAATACCACACTGAGAAAAATTTTATTTTTTTATTATCTGTAGTTTCACTATAAAATAATATCTAACCTCATCCTCAAGATGAGATGCTTCCAAATCAAGGGTTCTAAACTGTACTCTTCTCAGAATTTCTTCCAAGGTTTCGCAATGTTTAACATCAATCTTTTCACCCCTTAAACTTAAAGTTTCATTTCTATCATAAAAATCAGATACGGCCTGTGATGAAAAAAAAAGATAATTTTTTGATATTACTTTGGTAAAAACATGAATTGATACGACCATTAGTTGACTCAACAACTTGATTATTGGCTTCACGCCTTGTTTTTCGCAAGCTCTTTTATAAGCTTCAACCAATTCTTCGGTCGAACATCTTTCAGCTAGTGATAAGATAGAGTTGAAATTCGTCAAAAAAGTTTGATCAGTGTATAAAACCTGCTGTCCATGGGTTTGGGGCTTCCATATAACCAGAAACGACCCGTTCATCTACGGGAAAAGACACTCTCCTTGACTTTTTTTCCGATTTTCCTTCGTTTCTCATAGCGCCTAAGGAATCCTCATCCGTGCTAGAACTATTGTCAGCTGATGAAAGTGTTTCGGGGTTATTTGAATTATTCTCAACATCTCCAGTGTGTTGCGTAATCGTTATCACGTCATCTGTTGCTTCTAATGCTATCTCAATATTTTCATGAGATACAGGGTGGTTCATGGTGTGATAATTCTGTTAAGGCTATTTATCGGCTATAAACATCTGCTACTCTCGCCATCTTTGTTATTTGGTTTTCAATACGCATGCGCGAATAAACCTTTCTAAAAATATGGTATGTATTCCTCTATAAAAATTTCTTTTAAAATATAGACGAACACCTTTGACATGTCTTGACAAAAATCAGGTTCCGCTTCCTATTTAACAGTAGGCACAATATAAATGTTAGTAAATTCCTTGAATCAAATAAAACAAACTGCAAAACCATTTAAGCAATCAGCTATTTCAAAATTTTAATATAGATTATAGAAAATATAAAAGGTTTGAGTGATTGTTTGGTCTAAATATTCCCTTAAACAAATGACTTAATCTACTTTTTCATTTAGTTTCTGCGGACTATTTAAACGATGCCTCCGAAAAAGAAAAACGCGGGTGGTTCTAAAGGGGCCCATGCTCTCCCTCCTCCTATTCCTGAAGGTGAAATCCTTACAGATAACCAGAAAAAACAGTGGAAAGTGGGGAACGCCATTGGATCGGGAGGCTTTGGTTTAATTTATCTAGGTAAGTCTACTTACAATTTGACAAGTCTTCAATTAATTTGTTGATAACATTTCAGCAAGTTCCGATATTGAAAAGAAAGTAACTACATCAACAGCTGAATATGTTCTGAAAATTGTAATTATGTCAATTGGAATAGTACTATAAATCACTAAAAAATTTATTCATATTTTAGGAGCCTGTTGGAAATGGACCTCTCTTCTGCGAGATTAATTTTTATATTAAAGCAGCAAAGAAAGATATGGGTAAATATCTATATATGATCCTATAGCATAATTTTTAATGTTAATATAATTTAGTCGAATCGTGGAAGAAAAAGAGAAAGCAATATCATTTGGGCATTCCCATCTATATAGCTTCTGGTCAACACGAAAGGAGCGGTCATAAATACCGGTTTATGATTATGCAAAGATTCTCGACAGACTTACAGAAGCTGTTTGAAAAGAATAATAAATCTTTTAAGGAATCAGACTGTTTTTTGATATTTTTACAAGTTGTAAGTTATAGAAAAGCAATTATGATGACACTTTATTCACTTTTTGGTATGTCTAAAATATAGTTAGATACTTTGGAATATATACACGAAAAAGGTTATGTTCATGCTGATATAAAAGCCTCAAATCTGCTAATTGATATAGATGATGATTCAAAGGTTTGAATATTCTTCAAAAATTTCACGTGTAATTATATCGCATATTGCTTCAGGTTTATTTGGTTGATTATGGTTTGGCAACAAGATATCTTTCTAGCAGTAATCATAAACCTTACAAAGAAGATAAACGTAAATGTCATGATGGAACAATCGAATTTACAAGTCTCGATGCTCATAGAGGAGCAGGTTTTAAATGAAATTTCATATTTATTTAATTTTTATATCTGTTCCTAACTTGAGTACAGATCCTTCTAGAAGAGGAGACTTGGAAATACTTATGTATTGTCTTATTCAATGGTTAATTGGAAAGTTACCGTGGGAAGACAAGCTAACGGATAAAGAATATGTAATGAGAAAGAAAAACGAGTAAGTTTTATATTGACCTCCGTTAAATCTTTTGAATTTGTGTCTTTCAGTTTTATGAAAAATATAGGAAGTTCATTAAAACGAATGTTTGCGGGAAATTCTTACTTAGGTAAGTAAATTTTTTATTTTTTTTTTAATTACAAGAATATGAAAAGAAGGTTCTTTATTGAACAGACTCATTAGTTGGATTAGTTAACTATATCAAAGAACTTGAATACGACGAAAGCCCCGACTATAGCCGATGTAGAAATTATATAGTATCTGCATTAGAAGAAATAGGAGAGGATTCAAACAGTCAATTAACTATAACAATGGTAAAACTTATATATATAAATATATATATATATATATATATATATTAGATCATTTCTTTACTAAACTTTCATCAATTAGATGCCCCGAAAGCGTGGGTCTGTTGGTCATTTGTCTGACATTAGTAAAAGACAGAGACAGAAAAGTCCTGATCAAACAACATCCGGTAAAACTAATTACATACTATTTTCTATATGGTTACAATTCGTTACTTAAGCAGGAACACAAAGAGGACGAAGGGTTTTAAAAAAGGTGGCAGTGGCAGCTAAAGATTCTTCGTCAGAAAGGGAAATTGAATCTGATATGCCTCAAAAGAAGCCACAGCCTAAAAGACTAAATGAAATTAAGAAATCTGCTATTCAAACGAAAAGGACAAATCATAAACACTTGCACAAAAGCCTCCTTACAGACGATGATGAAGAAGAAAATGATAATTATGATTCTGAGTCAAGTAGTGAGGAAGAATGGGAAGAGCCTGCCCATAAAAAAGCAACTAAAAAGCAAATTCTGACAAGAACAAGGTAATTTAAATTCTGTTTAATAAAAATTTATACATATTGTATTATAATATACTTATATTTTGTTTCAGTAAACAAAAAAAAGGGGATACGGATAAAATTAGTACTTCCTCTAAAAAACAGACTGTGCCGAAAAAAACTGTAAAACGCGTTCAACGACGTAGTACGGCCACTCAAACATCCCCTGGTTTAAAGGGCCTCAAAAAAAAGATGAAAAAGTAGCGTAGAATAGTTGTGTGTAGTTCTATAATATCCTATTGGATATTCACAGTTATCGGCTGTAAGAGAACTCTTTAATTGTGTTATGAAAACAGAATGTAAAAATCGATACCTTTTTACAGAGGCAGCATTTGCCAAATACAAGTTTCATACTTTTTCTTGTATCAGGTCTTGTGTAGAGCCACTAATGAAAAAAATTTATACAATAATTTAAACAGAAGCACTGGAAATACGATTTTAATGTAATATATACCTTTACAAGACAAGCGCTATGATACGTTTGTTGACACGACTGACAGACCGTATCTGGAATTTTTTCGCTTTCTGGATGATTAAATAATAAACAAATGCCGCATTCGGGTTGAGAAGAGTCTGGATTTTCGTCACGTTTCTTAAACTTCATCTCGAATATACTTTCCAAGTTAGAAACAAGACTTTCTTCACAGTTCCTTTTAGAATATTTTTAAGCGTTACATGTGTTTATAGCAGTCTTTTTATATTAATTTGATACCATAAATGAGCGTTTTCGTGTAAAAATTTCTCATATTTCATTGCATCTGTAGTAAAAAACATTCGAAACAATTTATATGGTTTTCTAAAACGGATTTTTTCTTAATCAGATTCTTTCTATTACCTTTCGTTGGTCCTAAAAATTTTAAAGTTGGTAAAGATTGAGGGCATCTAACATCAACAGTAATTGTCATTGAAACACTTTGTTCTAAAAGAAAATACATATAATCCGTTGGTTGAACGATAAAGATGCTAATAATATATAATCCTACCTATATATATTTGCCTAAAAGTCTCTTTATATTTAAGAGAAGAATCAGGTTGTATAACCCAAGTTTCCTCTTCCAGTTCGTCAAATATTTTCCAAAGATATTGATATTTTTTAAGAGATTCCTCAAATTCGTTAAAAATGTCAAGAATTTTGCTTTTCTTAAAAAAAAGAATTGATAGTTAAAAACTATAATGTACATATATATATATATTTTTATTGTCTTTACTTCCGGTATCCATTTAAAATCGAATTTCTCCGGAAGCGAACAAATAACTATAGGAGCCACTCTTGGATACTATGAACATTTAGCCATTTAGATAATCAAGATAAGATATTCATTTCTAGTTGCGGTTTAATTACCTCGTTGTCTAGGTTTATTTTAAATAAATGGTTTCTATCAGCTTCGTCAATACCTCTTAAATGTATCTCTTTTAAATCGGCATCGACATATTGAATCCTAGATGGAAAATAAATCGAATACAAATCAATAAAAATACTTTTATCTGGCCATTTATCGTGGGGAACGTTGATAGCTTTGATTAATATTCTTCCCGCACAATTTACCGATATTAATGCTGTTCTTTTAACCTTTTATGTTTTAGACGCTCGATAAAAATTAGTATAATTTTCAGACGTCTAACATACTAAATCACTTCTCTTTTTTTACTACTATTGGACGTACCTATTCCATCCTATTTCTGCCATTTCATCAACTAAACGTTTATAGTTTTTGAAGTGTAGACCGTCTTTAAATGAATTTTGATTTATTACGGATTTCTATAAAATTGAATAAATGTTTAAAAACAATTTATTTATAGTTAGATGTAAAATTGTACCGATTCATTGTAAAAATGATGGATAATATTGTCCAAAATGGATTCTTCGTTCAATGACTATAAATATATTAACGGAATATATTTCACTATACTATGAATGATTCGTTATTGAGCTTACTTCTCTGATATTTGACGTTAATTTCCTTAATTTTATATTATCGCACTTAAACCAGCTTGTTTTATCTAAGTCTGTAGGTTTTTTAAGGTCAATAAATATTTCGTGATCCTAAAGTAAAAACAACAAAGTATAATCTTTAAAGTTTAGATATCAATAATGACATACATCATATCTAAGATAACCAGCGTATCTTGAAGAATCTTTTTTTAAGCATACTATTAAGGGATATTGGTCGGTAAAATTAAGTTCTCCACTTTTAGTATCCATGTGGGCAATAACCTTTCTAAGAGTTACTTCAAGTCACCAATCCCACCAAAAATCCGCCCACGGTTTAATTTACCAGCTCTGTAGCCTATTCGAGATGATGCTGGTAATTATATTTTTTAATTTAAACTCTATCAGAAAAGAGTCGTCTGCTGTGTAATTTGGTTGGTATCTAAGGTCAAATATGACTAAAAGCTCTCAAACTTGAACAAGGTTATTACAGGGTAAACTTGTTTGATAATGTTGGGTTTTTTATCAGATTAGTATAAAATAAAGTATAAAAAATGTCTATAATATTACATTTGATCAAGAATTGCATACAAAACTAATTGAGCAAAAAGATCCAATGTTAAAAATCAACCAATAAGATTTGAGTTTTGGCCGGAAGGCGCCAAGTTGAGTGCATAAATATTCGATCTACAAAGCCATCAGGCCACTAACGTTTTCGTGAAAAACAAAGAAATGTCGAAGCCGCTCTTTTTGAACACCAATGGTGAATTGGAGAATAAAATTAAAGAGCTCAGCTTATTAAAGAGCCCCGAAAGATCAGCTAGAAAAGAAGTAAAATACCTTGGTGACGATGATGACCACTCTTCGAGAGCTCCTAGGTCAGCTTTTTCACCCTCACCTCGTATGGATGAACTACAACGTTTCGAGCACAAGCATCAAGTTGTAGCGGAGATGTCTGCAGCCTACAAAAATCTATTGGTTTCCATTGGTGAAGACCCAGGCCGTCAAGGTTTGCTTAAGACACCGGACAGAGCAGCCAAAGCTTTCCTCTACTTTACTAGAGGTTACGACGAGAAGATATCAGGTGATTTCTTATATTAAATTCGATTTTGGACTTTTGCCCTTGTAAGATAAGACAACAGTAACTTCGTAAATACATACTATTGTGTTTTTACTGAACGAAACATGAAAAGTCAGATGCCAATAAGCTGATCAATGTCGTTCGCATATTTGTCCCGTCTTTTCATTTCCGTCTTTTAGCTAGTAACGCCCACGCTGTGCATAATTGCCACGAAATTGGTAGGTTATATTTAGAAACACGCCGATAGGCGGTCAGTGATCGCCCTAATTTTTATTCGACAAATTGTATAAGAATTGAGGCTGACATGGTAACCCGTTGATCACATTTCTTTCACTTTTTATTCCCCATAAGAGGAAAAGTTGGGAAAAAGTCATGAAATAGTTACAAGTTATAAATAATAACATTTAAAGGGAATTTACAAGAGGAGAAATAAAAAGATAATAGGAGTATTACTTCTTTTTTTTTCTAATATAAAAAGAATAAAAGATTTCTCAGATTTCTAGTTCATGTATAATAATATTTAATAATTTATCAATGCTCTAATTACATTGAAATCCCTGTAATCTTTTATTGAATAATTATGAATGAAGAGTAAAAAACAAGAATATGTTGTTAAAACCGTAGGACTAATTAGACATATGAAAACTGTGTTTATAGTTTCGTTGGGAGACGAAATGATAGAACCTTACAGTTAATTAAAAGTTGAAAATTTATATTTATTGTTAAAAAGGAAAATTAAAAAGGTATATATAATGTTAATAAAGTAGCAGGTGCCCTTATGTACTCTTCTTTATGAGTTTCTTCTTTAATATTTCACTTTTTATTCTCTCACTCTCTCTCTATCTCTCTCTTTCTATCTTATTATTCTCTAATCGAGTGTTTCTTATTTCATTAAAACTGAATATATATATGTCTTATAGATGTTCTAAACGATGCGATTTTCGACGAGGATACAGACGAAATGGTTATTGTTAAGAATATTGAAATGTTCTCAATGTGCGAGCATCATCTTGTTCCTTTTATTGGAAAGGTATTTGATCTTTCGATACATATTTTTCTTTTATTATTACGTACAGCGCCAATATTTATTTAATACTTTTTCTGTATTTAGGTATCAATTGGTTACTTGCCCAATAAAAGAGTAATAGGCTTAAGTAAATTAGCCAGGTATTTATAATTTCCTATCTTGATTTTCTTTCTTATTTTTGAGAATGAATAAAATTGTTTAATTAATTTAATTATACATTGCAGAATTGTGGAGGTGTACAGTAGAAGATTGCAAGGTAAAAATGGAACTTACTTTTATTTGTTTATAATTAATAGATTAAAAAAAAAATTGAGAAAAGCAAAAAGAATAGAAAAGAGAAAATAACTCATTTTTTTTTAAGTTAAAGGGAAAACTAGTAGGAAACTAATTTCGATATAATCTAAAGAAAAATCTAGACTTAAATAATAATAAGGGAAAATACAAATTCCGTTTTAAAATAACTGGAGTTTTTGTACGAGAACGCCGCATATATATCGACGCAAGCCCCAATCGAATATTGCAATAGCATGTTAATGAGGCAGCAATATTCAGCAATACAGTTTCTGTTTGCATGTTTGGACATTTTGGTCGCTATTTCAGTAATACAACATTTTGCCCGTATGTCGAAATATAAATATAACAATATAGTTGGTATTCTATCAGTTCAAGAACGGCTTTCAAAACAAATTGCTGAAGCGGTTGTTACTGCTGTTCAACCATTCGGTGTTGCTGTCAACATTGAGGCAACGTAAGTTCCCAATGCACGTGTAAATTCTCAGAAAAGAGATGATGTTTGCATAGTGTGCATAACAGTATATTAGTTACTTTTTTATATTTTTCTGTAATTATTTATGAACGAATTAGGCCTGTAGCTTTTCAATGTTTTTTTTTATTATTATTGTTATTTTACTGCATTTTTATCCTTTCTCAATCAAGCTATTCCTTATTTTATTGTTTACCCTTCAATTTTTTTCGCAGTACAAGAACGTCTCACTAAACAAATAGCACTAGCGATTTTCGAAGCAATAAGTCCTGCAGGTGTCGCTGTTGTTTGCGAAGCTTCGTGAGTGTACTAAAAAAAAGCATATTTCTTTTTTTACATATATTCCTTTTGTTTCCTTATATATGTATATGTAGATATAGAATTAGCATGCACAGACTATCTTTCATATTAATTTTATAGAGTATGCAGTATGTTTATCCATATACTGCACTTATAGATTAGCAATTGAAGAGTTTAACAGGACATTAAAAAGCTTAAATGCATCATGCATTGATAATTTGTACAGCTTTATATTCAATATTCAATTGCCTATTTTCCTCTCCAATTAGGCATATGTGCATGGTGATGAGAGGCGTGCAGAAAATTAATAGTAGGACCATAACGAGCACAATGTTAGGCGTCTTCAGGGAAGATCCCAAGACTAGAGAGGAATTTTTAACCTTGATTAAAGAATAAAACTCTTTGTTTGGTGATGGAATTCTTAAATACTCATATTCACGGAAAAGGGTATTTTATCCACATTTAAGGAAACAATTAAGTCCTGTTCAAATGGATATTAATGGAACAATTAAGGAACATTCATTTAATCTTATATTTTGTTTGAAAAAAAAAGTTTTTGCAGGCAAATCATGTAAATGTTGTTTACTAATTTTTCTGTAAATTTTAAGAAAAACCTGGGTAAAATTCAAATGAAAAATAGAATGAAGATGAAAAATGGCGAAAATGGGAATAATTTATTAAGTATAAATTAAATTTTCAACCACGACTAACCACTTGAAGAGAATAACAAGAAGCAATAATGAAATCAAGTTTATCCTAATTTTCCTCTAATGATCATTTAATGTTGCCCTGCAAAAAATATATGTAGTAAGGTATTGTTTGTTTTGTTCTTGTCTTCCAAAAAATTATATATGACAATTATGCTGATATTGTAATTTTACTTTGTATGAATAATCAATACACAATTGGTGCAGATTAATGAAAAATTATACCTATATATGCAACTGAGGAACGAGAGAGTGGGAGAGACCTTCCGTTATTAATTCTATGAATAATTAATTTCCTTAAAGTTACGAGTAAAACATGACGTCAATTGTACTTTTTGAAAAGGTATAGAAATAGTTATTAGCCCTAATATATTACTTATTAACGACTGTTTAAATTTATGAAAACAATATAAATAAATTCTGTTTATTATTGTGAATGGGAGAAGATAAAACAACCTTATTCTGTCACTTTTCTTCCTTCTTCTCCTTCACCTTGTCCTTCTTCTTTTCCTTTTCCATCTTCTTTCCATCTTCTTTCCCTCCTTCAACTTGTTTCTCATTCTTTCTGTTCTCTTTATAATTCAGTATCGCTCTTGAAAATAGAAGCTAGCCTTTTGGGAGAGGCAAGTAGGAAGAGCAAATTAAAGGAAATTTCCAACTGTAAATCACTTTAATGAAATAATTGGAAACTTATAATCAATCTTCGTTTAATGATAAATGAACAAATGAGTGATAATTCAGAACTTTCGGATATTATAAATATTGAAACTGTAAGATATTTCAAAATAAAACAATTAAAATCATACTATTGACCTTTTATATAAAAATAAAAAGCCAAGACAAGATCCTCCTTATGCACTAGTAAGTTTTATAAGGATTCTTTTCTAAGACTTTATAAGACTTTATGTCAAATTTAATAATCTATTTTAATTATAAAATATAACCATTTACAGAGGACAAGAACATCAATTGGAATTCCATTGAAAAATTCAGTAAGTTACAAGACAAGAATAAAACTAGTATTATAAATAATACGTAAATGTTAATTAACTTTTAAACTTAATTATTAATTGACACATTCTAATAGATAAGCCTTTTTTAATTACATTTGCTAAATGTCTTAATTCTTAAAAGAAAAGTAGAGAATTTGTTGTTTGCCGCTTCTCATTCGTGGGTAGAGGTTACTTTCTGTATATATATATATATATATATATATGCAGTATATTGTTTAATTAATTCTGAAAATACGTATAATATATTAATGTTCACTTTCTATCTTCTTAAGGGAAAAACTTCAACAAAAGACACTCAGGTCAGGGAACTTTTATAGTTTGTTTCCTTCTATATTTTATGTATAGTGTGAATGCAGTTGTTCTCTAAACTAAGCTACTATTTTATCTTTCTCTTTCTTATCTATATTGTTAGCGACGACGTTCTGTGATGATTAGGAAAAGAGTTGAAGGTGAAGGAGCGAAATCACCCACTTTTGTATACATTAAAATAGCTTATTACCTATAATGATCATTTAGTAATGAGAAAATTTTTTTCTTCCTCCCTATAAAAGGTTGAACCAGCTAAGAGACGAGTAATCAATACTTTATTAATTATTTCATTTTATTTACATTTTTCTTTTTAAGTTGTTTTGATCGACTTTTGGCTCAATATTTTTTTACTATTAAAAAAATTATATACTCTTATAGTTTTGTTCTAAATTTAATTCTTTTTCTATTCTTCTCTCTATCTATATCTGTTTTAAACTTATTTCCCTTCTACTACAGCGTCGAACCTCTCTTAACCAATTTTCGGATGATGAAAATGTAATTTCTTAATTTTAATCATATTTTTATAAATTCTTGTTCTCTTTGATTTTGATAATCTATAATTTTTTTCTTCTTTGCAGAGCCTCTCGCAGTCACTTCAAGTAAAGAGACTAACTTCTGTTAGTGTAAGGGAAAATAATTGAGGTTCTTAGAAAATTATACTAAACGTAATTCTGCTTTCTCTCCCTTTATCGTCAATAACAGGCACATGATCAAGTTGATAATAGGGCGGCCTTTGAATCGTCAACTGATCAAATGATAGACAATGTAAAGTATATATATGTGTATATGTATATATATATATATATATTTATGACGCGCATACAAATAAATTTTAGTTCTTTTGTTCTAATATTATTGCTAACTTATTCCCTTAGGTAACAAATAAAAAGAAATCGCCTCTTCATAGGGTGAACTTTTATTATTAAAAAACTAAAGAAAGACGTTTTTTACTAACTAATTTTTGTTCTTCGATAGCTGAAGGAAGTCTTGAATTTTTCACCTAGTGAACCGATTAAATCGCTCGTAAGTAATTAGTAATCGATTTCGAGATATAGCTCACCCAGTTGAATTTAATAGGCTGACAATAATTCAGGAACGAGTAACAATAAAAAAACAATAGGTGGGAAACAAGACTACGCAACGCCACCATCAAATAGAAGCGTTAAATGGTTAGACTTGAATAAATATTAATAAAAATTTCTCTATAAACACTTGATTAAAAGACTACTGCAAAGTGTTGATCAGAGATAGAAAGAATGAATTCAGTGATTATCTCTGGAGAGAGAAGTGGAGGAATATTTTATGTTTTTTTTTTCATCCTTTGAAATTAAAAGTTAATAAAAAAGAGTGTTTTACAGGATCAAGCGGGTTGACAGTGAATTATATAAAATAAATTTAGTTCGTTTCACATATTAGTTTATTGTGTTTTTTTTCACTTTTTATGATTAAATTATATTTAATGTAAACAGGGACTTTGGGATAGATATAAAGTAGCAAATAGACAATATAATGCCTTACTAGCCCAGAGAGTAAATATTTTAACACGCCATTTTTTTCTATTTTATATATATATATATATATATATATACTAGTAGATGTGCTATGAAAATGATTTAATAATAAAATTTTTCATTAGCCATGTGATAGATGTAGACTGAAGAAAAAATACGAGGTTAGTATAACAAATATTATATTTCATGACATATTATGACTGTATAAGGGTAAACAATATTATTTTTATACTATAGGAGGAAGGGATGATGGTTGATGTAAGAATTAGAAAAAAAAATAACAAATAAGCCTCGTTTATGTAAAAAAAAAAACTACTCCTTTATTGTCTATCATTATTTTTCCTTCCAACCTCACGCCTCTTTCTTTGCTTTACCCCATCTCTCTTTGCTTGTTTTGTCTCTTTCTCTCGCTCTGTATATGTTCCTTTGTAACATTATATAAATATATATATCTATATATATATATGATATATATGTACATTTAATTTTATCTCTTTCTCATACATACCGTCAATCCTGTTTTCTTACTACAAATCGCAGAATTTAGAATTGGAAATTGACGTTAGTATACTCCGTTTGTTTCGTTTTAAATTGATGTAGATGTTTTGAATAAATAGCTTCTTTTTTTCTTTTCTCCAACCCTACAATATATACATATATATATTATAATTAAATAATACAGAAACTAAAGGAAGCGGAAGAAGTACGTTTACAAATTATATTTCTTTTTTTTTGTGTTTATTAAGCTATTACAATAAAAAAAAGATTCTACAAAGCTGCTTTTTAATGGGAATGATGCTAATTTGTTTTTATTATATTAAAGTAGAAAAAACATAGAAAATTGAATTAATTTCGTTCATATAGTCTAAGATAAATTAGTATAAGTAATTTATATATACTTGGCTAGTATTCTTTCGTCTTATATATTTTATTTTATTTATTTTAAAGGCTGAAGAAACTAGGAAAGAAAGTCTTCATGTTGAAATATACGTGAGCTAGTTGAATTTTGATAAATCGTTAAAATAGACTGTGAAACCAATAGCAATTGTCACGAAGAAAAAGTGTTTTAAAAAGGAGGGTAATTAATAAGAAAAAGGTTAAATATTTCAAATAAGTCTCTTTTTTATTTCTTGTTTGTAAATGAAAGAACAGTATAGTTAAGATAAAGGTTTAGTAAATTGCTCTATTTCCGTAATTTACTCTTAAAACTAAGTAATTGTAATAGAATTTTAGAAGGTAATGAATTAGGAGATGATCCTCTCAAACTAAACTAACTATAAGTACGTTTTGTTTATTACATAGGAGATGGATAATCAGGAAAATGAGATATGCGGAATGAATAAATCTTGTATGGAATGTGAAGAAGTTATAAGTCGATACGAAAAGGTAAGTTTCCTTAATCTTAAAGATGACAAAAAGTGACATTTTATGAAGAGATGTTTCTTTTTAAAGGATATAAAAGAAGCTCAAAAGGTAATCATTGTCTAAGTATTTCTTATGACTTATACTTTTATTATGGATAAAGATTAAGGGGATTTTTTTATCTCTTTATTTTGCCTTTTTCACATTTCTTTCTTATACTTAGAGAATGAATGATGAGCTTATTTATGCAAATGAGGTGAGTTAGGGTAAACGAAGGGTGAATTTTTATAATAAAAAAGATGTTTATAAAAATAGAAACATTTGTACTAATATTTTCCTTTAATATCTCTTTTTTTATACTAAATGAAAATAAGGAAAAGAGTCGAATAAAGAAAGAGTTATTAGCAGTCCTACATGACAGTTTGAATCAACTTGGCCGAAGATAATGACCTCTTTCCTTAACCTTTTAATTCTAAATCTCTTTCCTGGAAATGCGCAAATTTTAGAAAAGATAGACCGAACAAAATAGGGATAAAAGAGATTTAAATCGTTTTAAAGTATTAATATATTTCTTTTTAACACAAATGTATAATACTTAGTATTTACATACAAATATATATTATATACATATAAAAACGGATTAAAATTGTGTGAATAATTCTGTCTCGCCATTTCTTCTTTCTTTCTACCTATCTATTTATAAGTATTCGTGCAATGATGTATTTATACCTTTCATGTTCGTTTTTATTGCCTCTGATATCTTACTTTAAGTACTATGCTTCTTCTCTAATCTATTCATATTTCAAAATTTGATTAGATTTATTTAAAACCTATAATGGCTCAGTGTTTTTTCTTGTTTTTTTTTGTCAATTATTCTATTTGAAATAACGTGATATATATTTATATACAATGGGAAAAAACAAAAAAAAGCTCTTACTAATATTTAGATTTATTTAGGCTTAATTTTCTTGTTTTTTAATATTTGTATAAACTCTTGATTTATTTTGGATAATTTGTTAATATCATGTTGAGTTTATTATATGTTCTTTATGAGTGAAATTTTTAAAAAGGATGAATTAATTAAACTTTTGTTAATGATGTATTTGTAAGTTGTAATCGAACACTGTTCGAAAAACGTAGTGTCCATATGAGCATACTCTCACGTGAATATTGATAAATATTGGTCAAGACATATATTGGAATCTTTGAAGTATAGAGTGTAAATATTACAATTAACAGCATCGATAAAACAACATTGATTTATGTTGTAAGTGCATTTTTAACAACTTACGATTCTTACACTTGAAGTAGTGTTTATTTTAAAACAAAAATGAGCGATAATGAAAGACATAAAAAATGTGAAGTGTGCAATGAGAAACAATCTAAATATACTTGTCCAAAGTGTTCTGTTCGTACATGCTCATTAGAATGCGTAAAACAGCATAAAAAAGCTGTAGACTGTGATGGAAAAAGAGATAAAACTGCATACTTATCCCTGGATAAATTTAACGATAACGTTCTTTACAGCGGTAGGTTTTCTTTTTATCATGATACATAATTTTATAAGGGTAAGACATTAGCCTTCATATTTTCACATAATATTTTCAGATTATTACTTTCTGGAAGACGTTAATAGAGCTGTAGAAAATTCTGAAAGGGGCCCAAGGCACTCGAATCGCCTAAAGCTTCCGGAAAAAGTATTTATCTATCGCGCTGTCAAGCCACTGTTTTAATAATTTCATTTCTACATTAACAGCGTGAAAGACTGTGCAAAAATGCGAAAAAGATAGGAGTCACTTTAGAATTTTTACCAAAGGGTATGGCAAAAAATAGAAGAAACAAGTCTTTTTATAACAACGAGTAATATCATTTTTGTTCTCTATTTCTCTTTATATTCCATCATCTAGTGATTTATTATAATTATTTATCCAAGATGAAAAAAAATTCCATTACTTGTAGATACTAAAATATTTTATACCAGAGGAATGGGATAACTTAATTTCATCGTACTTTTCTTAATTATACACCATTTTTGAATCATTATTTAATTATGGTAATTAGGAGATAACTTTATAGTTTATCATAGTATCCCGTATCCCCGGGAAAAAGAAATGTTTTATCTTTCACCATTCCTTTTTCTATCTAAAGCTTCCTTCAATAGTGTAATTCATTTCTTATAACAGACAAAAGCAAATAATATGGACGATTGAGTGGCGTCTGCCTGAGATATCCGTGAAATCAATTTGTGATGGGTAATTATATTTAGAGAATAATGTAGTGAATAAAATTATTAAAAAAAAAAAGAATTTTCTCTTTTTTTCTCTCTTCTTTCTTTTTCCATTCCTTATAATCCGTACTGTATATTTTTAGATTTATGGGAGATACTAAACTCAAAGAAGCTTTTACTAATTTTACATCCGAAAGAAATCCCGTTATCAAACACAAAATAGAGGAATTAACAAACAAATCAGATTATAAGGGAATTTTTTTCGTCTTATTTAGAGCTGAAAAATCCAACGGAAACAGGTAAGGATCCAGTTAATAACCCTTTATATTTATTGTGTACTTTCTATAAACGTTGATGACAAATGCTCGTCACTCTTGTTTCTAATCTCGAATGCTGGTATAACGAGACCAGCTGTGAATTACCCTGCGAGTGTTGTACAAGCTGAAGAAAATCTAATGCTACTAACCTTTTACTTGTTGTTACATACGTCTAAATAATTGTCAGTGTAACATGAATATAAAGGAAAACTGATGAAAAATTACTAAACCTTTTCGTTCCTTATTTTTCGTTTCCAGAAAATAATTGCAATTAATTTTTTATCTTTAAAATGCTATTCTATTACCCGCTTGACTAAAACACTTTCTATTTATTATAACAGATATTATTCGTTAGATCTGAATAAGAGTATATGTGAGAATTTGCGAGGAAAAACAGTAATCGAATATCCCTGTTTTATCTTGGTTACCAGCAAATCACTCGACGAATATAAATTATTAAATAGAATATCCGTTGCAGGTAAACGAAAAAATAACCTTATATTTATTGTAAAAACACCGAAAGACTGCTTTCTTTTTGTATCTTATTTTAGACGTTCTGAAAGACGAAAAAGAAGAAGGTGAAGTAACGGAAAGCGAAGAAGAATTGGGCTTTGTTATTTCCGACGAAGATTTATAATTAAGCAATGAGAGACTAGTGAATACAAAAAATAACTTTTCTCTTTGTTTTTCCCATGATTTTTTATAATTTGTATTTTTCTCCTTTTCTTTTCTTAAAAGAACAAAAGAGAAAATTAAAACAGTTTCATCTTTTTGTATATCTTAATAGAATGTATAAAATAAAAACCACACATACAATCACAGTACCAGTTTATTTTCATTTTTACGTGCTTTCTTCATGATTCTTATTTGGGTTGAGCACCATAATGTCAACGGAGAGTTAGGTCTTTTGACTGCAGATTTTGAGTCTAAATGAGATCTAGAAGATTTCTCATTTTTTATTTACTTAACAATAAGATTCCAGGTACACTTCTGCTTGTAAAGTTTCCGATTTACCATTTGCAGTGGGAGTAATAGCCTTCATTTGAGCTATCTGCTCTTGCCGCATTTCAAGTTTGCTATTTAATTCCGTCAAGCGGGCTTCCCTCTGAAATGAAAAAGGATAGTCAATACCGTAGGCCTATGATAAGAGCAAAAGCCGATACCTCAGCAATTTCCGTCTTGAGCAATTCGTTCTCTTCGATTAAACGTTTGTTCTTTTCTTCGTCTTCCCTGCTCGTACTAGCAGGGGTTAACGCGGCGCTTTCAAGACCATCTCGGGGATGCCTAATTACGTCGAGAACTTTTGGTAGAAATACAAGCGCCATCGACAACAGGCAAGAGAGTAGAATAGCCGCTGCAACGAACGCGAAGCTGGCATCATGCTGGGATCCAATTATCAATGTCACCGGAGCCGTTATTATACACAAAACCTGTTCAAGGAATTTAATATTAGAGATAAGAATATACAAAACAACCGAGTTGGTGAAAATTAACACTTACCACAACGTTGTAAATACTCATGGCTACAAATCTGGAATCGTTAACGTACTTGGCTTTAACACTCCTCGTTTCGTAGGCTAACAGCAGACCAAAAAGGAGGAGTATTCCTTTATAACCAAAAATTACACCTAACCATGTATTGCGCATTTTGCAATCGCAGTGTTCTAATTGTGGAAGAATTTGAATATCGAGATGAGTATTAGCAGGAGTTTCATGAGGGAAGAGCTCCAGTTTTCTAGCAAGAGGGTCGACCGCTTGCCAAATGGTTAATATAGCAACGTCAATGGCCACAAATATCCCAAGAACTGCATAAAATTCGCATTCTCTTACTTGCCTAATATTCTTTTTTCGCCTTGTCGTAACTCGATAAATGGTCCATACTTTAGAAAACATGGAACCATAGGCAAGGGTAAAGCCAATTGTAAGTAACCAAGATCTTACATGGCATATTTTAACGAAAACCTTTGCATCAACAAATCTTCCATCTAATCCATGCAGGATAATCGTTAATAAACAAACTATACAACCGACTAGCATAGTGCTGTTAATTTGAGGTTGAGACATTCGGATACTTTTCCTTCTTTTATAAGCCCAGTTAAATATTAGCAGTCCAACCGCTGTTATTACACCAATGACAGATAGTAAGCACATAGTTATAAATAAGACTTTATTGACGACCCGTAATTCTTCAACTATTATAGTCTTATCCTGTGGTACTTTTCCACCAAGCCACTTTTCTATGCCGTACCACGTCAGGTTATCGGAAGCAATATCGTAAAGGCCTATCCTCGTATAATTTCCCTCTATAAATTGTTCGATTTGCGTCCAAGCTATTCTATCACCTTCCGAATTAAATGCCACTCGACCCTACATTGAATACGAGGAAAACCTTTAAATTTATTTATGTTTATAAAATAAACCTCTATTATTAACTATAATTGCGTGTTTATACATAATACATATAACACTTTTATAGCATTAAAACTGATACAATTTTAAAACTTACAGATAGACCAATAAAGTTAGTTGAATTCATAGCGGCGTATATTTCGTCCATAATCTTCTTATTCGAATAGGTAAAGTCTTCCAGAGAACGATTTTTTAATGATAGTCTGTAAAAAGAGAGAAACAATTACTGAATTATTAATAAAAGGCTGTGTTGATAGCGAAGTAAAAGTAACTGTATATTTGCTATTATACTTTCAAGTTTGTTTAATTATAAGCTGTCTGCCTTGTGGTAGAGGATGTAGGAAGACAGCTGCCTAGGATTTGACGATTAATGCTTAATCTAGCCACCTAATGTTTTTTATATAAATGATGAAAATATTATTAATACACTTGTGAATATTTATATATATATATATACTATATATACTCTGCATATAGATTAAAATATACAGTGTAAACATACAACAAATAGATCCTAGGAATGTACAATATACTATTCTTATGTAGTGTATATTCTTGTAAATATAATGTTTATATACAACTATTTACTAAATATACATAAATTCATGTGTTGTATATAGGATATTTACATATATATATAATCTGTATATGATATATCTTTATATATCGCATAAAATGCCTTTATAGATTAATATATATTTATATATACATATATAAATGAGGAAGGGGTGAAGGGCGCTGAAGAAATATTCCCCTATTTTGTTTAACAGGTCACGCAATGGAAAATAATCGGTTCATTGTTCGCGCTATTACGTGACTGAAACGTAATTATCTAACCGATTTTGAGTTTGGTTTAGGGCCAGAGCAAGAGCCCAAACTGCATCGTAGGCTAGCGGAGCTTCTACATAGCCAGTAACAGAGAATGGATTACTGCTGATATTAACGATTTTCTCTGCCATCATATCCATAAATTTATTCGACGTTAATCCTGATATAGTGGCAACGTCATCTTGACTCCTCATTAATCCTTCTGTTGTAAAATGCCCTTCTAAAGCTTCCCTCATCTGATCGACAGTACAATTAATATTCTCATCTTTTTCAGCGTACCAATTATCTGGATACCATCCTATAATAAACCACACGTATTTGGGTCCGTAAACTTTTTGCTTGTAAACCTATACGGGAGAAGAAGGATTAATCATATCGTATAATTTTCTCTAGTAGTCTGGTGAGACATCTCAGAGTTTATAGATGTGGCTTACCTCGCAAAAAACTCTTCGAGCAATAGTCTCATAAAATAATCCTACAATAATTCTGGCATCTTGCCTCTTCAAATTTCTAACTGCGTTTGCTGGATCTGTGAGGAAGCTTGTTCGTACTGCAATTTCTATTCCTGCATGCTTGACCCTTTCTTCTAAATCCTCGATAGTCTTTTTTATGATAAAAACAATGATAATAATAATAGCAATGACGCTAATAAAAACAATAATTGTTGTTTCTACTAAAAGAGGCTTAAGAGTGAAAAAACATACTAACCGATGTAAAAACTCCTTGAGTCTCTTGGATCGTAGCGATACGAGTCCATTTAAACTTCTTAAACAATCTTAGCCTTGTAGGATTATGTAGTGTAGCGGACGGATGCGTTCGAAAGAAAGTCGGAAATCGATTTCTGTTCGACAAGGCAGGTGAACTCGAGCCGTACGAGAGCTGTGAAGGGAAATTGAAAAAGATTGCGGCCGACTTAATTATTTAATTTTCTAATCACGGCGAACATTTTTTCAAACGTCGATACGCCGGCGACGCACGACGGCGCTATTTGCCATCGAATCGATCCTTATCGACCAGCTCTACGGTTTTTCGCTTTCGCTCAGAGGCAAACAGGCGAAAGTGAAGAAAAAATATTGGTTTGTGTATTGTTGCATATACTGACCACTATCAGATTCCACATTTTAGCCGCTTGACCGACAAATGACGATACAACGCTACATCCAGGTCCTAATAGCATTATCTTTGTGGGTTTCTGATATAATAGCTCGTAGAGTACGTTCATTCCTAATCCAGGCTTACACTGTCAAAAGAATTTAATAATTCAATTAAACGATAATCGGTGAAACATATTGCAGTAGAATCCTTCGAATACGTTATATATATAAACGCATGTGAACTAATCAAATTAATTAGAAGGGAATCAAGCGCTCGACTTACAGTCAATATGCGAATTTATAAAGCTTGCCATGTCAACGCCTGATATATGGTTTCTTTTCGCAGGAAAAAACATTATAATCCGAAAACCGATTCAATAACGCAGTCCTAAACCCCCAACGGCAATTTTTGGTCATTTTTTACCAAAAAGAATCTTACAGTCGTCAAAGAAAAGAGAAATTTTAGATAAAAAAAAGTCTCTATATATAAAAGGAGACTCCTCTAATGTCATTATTCTTATAAAATACATACATTCACGCAATATAGAGCTTTATATATATGCATACAATATATAAAGAGTATATATATATATATTATAGATTGCTACTGCACATGTGCAATTTATTGTGTAATATACACAAGACAACTCCTCTTTATGATTTCGTCTATACTTGAATACACGAATAGGATTACGCTATAAAAACTACATGTATCTCGTATTATATATGCGCCTTATATCCTAAATGCAGAGATATATATATAAACGACGCCCATGACGTTTCATATGATTGATAAAGGCGGCCGTTTATGGCTTCAATGACTTTTAGCTTTTTCAGTATAAGAATTCTTCTCTAAGCATATCAGACTGCAATAAAGTAAAGCAAAAAAGAGCGTGTAGAACGCCCGCTATAGACCGACAAACTGCAGTACTGCACATTGCAGATTGGCTCGTTTCGTTTCATGTATACCGATTCAGTAGTACAAAGACCTTGCAATTATCGAGGTTTTGCGGTAGCCGCGTTGGAACGTACATAATCTGCAATGACGCCTTGTCAGTTGCAACGAAAGATATTCGTATGAAGAGACCGATTTGGTCTGACATGTTTTTCTCTCCCATCACTCATCCATCTCTGATAAATTGTCAAAACTCCCAAAATATATATATACCATTTACTATGCATATAGAGTAATATATGAATAAACATGTACAGTTAAAAACGAAAAAGCAATATTTGATTGCTATCAAGATTAAGAAATGCAGTTTACGTCTAAATGTATATACAGTACACTTGATACGCTTTGATTTAACAAGTCTCTTTAATGTCTATACTTGATAAAACTATTTATTTTCCCCTTTCTTTTATTCAACTGTCGTAGGAATAACATAGACGTGTTTAAGATATATACCTCAATCGGTGTCTTTATATAGGCTGTATTATATGAATATATTGTAAATAAATGTATTACGTATAGACAATGTACACGTTGTGTATCTGGTATAAAGTACAGTCTTATTCAACGTTAATATATTGTATATAAAGAAAAATTTTTCGAATATTTATATGATTTGTTTAGGGACTCCGGGCGGCAGAGAAAGGCTCAAATGTTCATCTGTCATGGGAATCGCATACCAACTTCGGCTTATCTCACCGTATTCCATCAGCACGCGAGCGTTTTTACATTCTCTTTCATCCGCTTTATTCCAACAGTTTTTTTTTTGAAGATGCGCCCCTCATCTTCCTATGAATCGACATTCTAAATTTCTATCTAAAGAGGCATCATTAATTATCTTAGATAAAGAGCTGGAAAGAATTTCCCTGCTTGTTTCAAGTATTTTTGGCATAAAAGTAGCAAAGCAGTCGACAGAAAGAAAAATAAGGTCTTGTCTTTTACTCAGAATCATCCAAGTTAAAACATTTTCAGGTATATTTAATTATGACGAAGTTAAGCGATGCGATTTTACAGTCGACCGGAATCACGAAGGGTTCCACACAACAAACATAATTCATCATATATAAAACCAAATAATGCGTTTATACGTGTCGGGCATGCGTGATATGGAAGTAACTACGTGACAGCGCATCGCTTGATAGGATCAAGTCCTAGTCGCAAAAAAGCGTTCAGAAGACGATGAACGGTCGGTAATTAAATGGAATTCTATTTTATCTAACGATTGGTATTCTTTTTCGGGCCGTTATTTTCTGTCTGCTGTTGGTTTGGGAAGGAGTGAATTTTCTCATTTACAACAGCACCAGGTGTGTAATAATCCTTGAAAAAATTAAGCCGACAGCGTTTTCGATTAGAAAAAGTGTGTGGATATAATACGTGCGTCGTTTCCATAGCAACGAAATCTTTTCGCGCCGAAACGAGATTGACAGGCGGACTATTGCCTAAGCGACCCCAGTAGTCGATATATAGTTTCCTTCTCTTCGAAATCCTATGCAAATTTTATGCGTCACGACCGCTCGCTAGCGATTAACTCAGACAATGTTACAGCTAATAAATGGACGGTGTAAAACCAGAAAATTGACCTACATAAGACGATCAGCGTTTAAAAGGTCAAGTTGGTATGGGCGTTGTTAATTTTTCAAGTAATCGATTGCTTTTGTTGGAATTGTTTCAAAGGATATGAATAGACAATAATTATGTGAGCGTTTAGCAACGCCCCATCTTTTCATCAGTCATACTTTTTCTTAAGCAATCGATTGCCATAGAGCCTTACCTGACTATCGTTGGCTACCATCTCCAATCTATAACCCGGTAGAATGTCCTCTCTTTTATTTACGTGTTCCAAAGCCATTTCAACAGCCGGTTTACAGCCTTTACCACCACCCCAACCGCCAGTCATCGGAAATATACCGCCTGAATCGAATAAAATGATAAAAGTGCGTATTTCAGTTTCGATCAATCGCAATATTTGCCAACCTATAAACAACGGGACGTCCTCTTCCGTCGTTACAATACTGTTGAAATTACGTAAAAGGAACGTCAGCAATAGGAATCGACCAAACTTCTTTCCGTTCAATTCGATGCCGAGCATAGTGCTAGTATCTTACAACTGTTATCCTTTCGTTGTTTTTCTTTTCATGTTTGTTAATCTCTAACTCCTCTCTCTTTCAGACACTTGGCTAACACGCGCTTCGCGAACGCTCGCCGTTTTCTAAACTCTGACTAGAGAGCGCCGCTTGCTCCTCTTTCAGTGACGTCATTGAGAAAATACCCTCTAGAGCTTTCGTTAAAAGTGGAAAGAACAGTAGGCCTATTGCAATTGCTTGGGAACTCCCTCTTACTTTCGCCTTTTTTCCCCTCTTTTCCCCCCTCTTTTCCACTTACTCTTTCCCCTACTCTTTCATTATTTACGAGCGCCATCTATCGACAAAATTGGAAGCGTTTAACCGTATTTGTTAAAAAAAAAATAATGGCCTATACATTCATATTAGGTACTCTTAATGTGACGCGTGCCTTTAATACAAAACACTGATATAATATACTGAAGAGGTGAATCTATTACATTTCGTAACCTATTCTTTATAATCTGGCCAACACGGTCTTAAATCAACAAATTCTATTTTGTTTTGCGCCGTGTGCATGAGAGAGTGAGTGAGAAAGAGGGAATAAGAGTGAAAGAGAGGAGATGTAGTGAGAAGGAGAGTTGTATATTTGTGTATAATATAGTTATAGTGAAGGCTTAACCTGTTCATCTATTAACCTGTATAAACTTTACAATATGATTTTGGGAGGCCGTCTTTATCACTATATTGGTCGTTTCCTCTGACCTATTAAGAAGATTGTTTTTCATTGTGATTATAGCTATACCAATTTAGATACATGTTCAGTTTATATTTAGATTATACTTGCTCGGTTCCGGATAAGAATATAGTTCTAGAGATATCGGTCGCACCTGAATAAAGAGTTACTACTATGAGCGCAAACAATGAACGAGATGCAACTGAGCTGAAGAAAATTCTCCACGAGCAAAATGGTGAAAATGAAAATGAAAAAATAATAATTGATGGAACTACTACAACTGAAAATCAACTACCAAAGAACAGATCGAATAGACGGAAGGAAAGAAATAAATTCAGAAAATATTGTATCTGGTTCTGGATATTAGTAATCATTTGTCTGATCTTAGCTCTCCTTTTATACTTTTTCGTGTTTAGGAGGAAAATATCAGATTATAAAGGTAAACCATTTGTAATAGTAATACAAGAGAAGATTTAATGTTTTATACTTCCTCTTTTAATTGAATGTTTTTTTTTCAGACCCTGTAGTATTAATCCCTCCGATAGGATGGATAAAAGGAAGAACGTGTCTGCCACAAAATTTAAATATCTATTTTAGAAAACAAAATAACTTAATTAAACCTCTAACAAAGGATGCTATTGATGAATCCAATACGAACTATTTTTTATTTCGACACGATGATGATTATCATTGCTGGCCTAATCTTAATAATTCCTTTGTAAATCAATCTTGGTCATTAGGTAACGATTATAGGTTGGGAATTCGCTTATCGGACGGATGTGATTTTTATGATTTTAGTGAGTCGAGAGCGTACAGTATAGGCCGAAAACTCTCCACTCATCTAAACTATGTACAATTAATGCAAAGTGGGAAAGTATGTAAGAGCAAGCTAAAGCGAGGAATAGCTAAAAGCTTATACAAAGGAATAGAAGAGTCTAAGAGGGAAACAATCTTCCATTCGCCCTTTTCTTTTGGTCTGAAAGAGGCAAAGCGATCATCGGATATTTTTACTATAGCATCCGAAAGCCTAATGAATAATTTAGAAGATGAAAAAAAATTATACGCCCTGCTGGATAATTTCTATTTTAATTTTAAAGGAGATTTTAAACCGGGATTTTTCCCCTATGCCGGAAGTTTATCGACAGATGAATTCCAGTTTGTTAATTGGTGTTATATGAAAGCACCGTTGTTTTTTAATCAACCTTCGGGTAAATATGCCGAAAAAGATATTGAAACTATATTTAAGTTATTTTCAAAGCATAAAAAACTAGTTGTTAACTATCATCAGAATAATGAAACAAAGCCATTTACATTAAGTAAGAAAATTCAAATTAAAGATCATCGAAGCTTCCGCTCAAGATATTATAGTGTTGTATCCGTATCTGATGAAGATAAATCAAAGGAAGGATACTGGTCTACCTTTAAAACAGTTGATCATGAGAAATATATATTTTTTTGGCTTGGAGATAATAGCATGTGCTTATCAGACTCCAATTCTTTTCTAGCTATAAGAGAATGTGGCGTAAAAGAAGCAGTTCTCCAGCACTTTGCCTATAGAAATCGACGCCTATATTTAAAAAACTCTATGGTTTGTATACCAAACTATCCCTTTATGCGAGCGACAATTGTCAATAAGGAGGAAAGAGGCTGTAGTACAGAAGTATTTATTAAAAAAAATGGGAATAATGTTGCTATTGTTAATAAATACGGATTTAAACTGAGAGCTAGTATGCCAGATGTGTATATTCTTCATGCTTCATTATCAGATTCGCAATTTATTTTGGCGTTCAATAATTTGCATTCTGAAAAGCCTCATTGGCAAAAGTTGGATTATAAGAATATCCATGAAATGCAACAAGGTCGGAATTATGAAGTGGTTTGCTCTGATGGTAATCCGAGGCGTACCTACGAAAATGGAAGAATTTCAGAGGAAATCAGAATAAATGTTCCAGAGAAAGGTACCGAATATTGCTTTGTGACTGACAAAGGAGCAGTTGCCGTAAATTCCGATTATGGAGAATTTCTCGAATATGACAATTCTTATGAACAAATTTAAAATAAAAACAAATATAAAGAACAGATATTTTTACTATGTACCAGTTTCTTCTTATATTTACATACACTACACATAGGCCTATTAGTTGCCCTTCAACTTGCTCCATTTAATCAAAATTGATTTTATTAGAAGAGCAGAGAGAGCTTAAAATACTGAAATGCTTAAGCAGAAAAACTAACTGTTTGTTGAGAGTACAATTAATTTGTATACTAATTAGAAATTTGTGTATAAGTTGATGGTGCAACGATGGCGTGAGAGCGGGAGAACCAATCAGCTGAGCGAATGTAGCGCATGCGCGAAATTTGCGAATTCAGCCTACGATGGATTGATAACTCAGCCTATCTTTCTAAAGAATTCAGAAACTACCAGTCTGTTTCTACGTTTCAGACTAAATAGAACGCTAATTGTCAAGGTAAAGACCCTGTTTTCGTCGAATTCGACTGTTGGGTTTACCTGCCTTCTGATAGATTTAGCGTTTTATCGAAAATTTCAAGATAATCAATCCAGATAAGACTGACTGATAGCTTGGAATTTTTTCTGGTTCTCAGCACACTAGCAGGTCGCAGATTGAACAGAATCTTCACAATTTTTTAAGGTAAATTTAATAATGATGATTTTATGTTTTGGTTAATTTCTCTATGGTTATTTTGTGCTCAATTCTCTTAATTTGGTACTCAATACTATAATATATGCAAGAAAAACACAGGTTGATGGATCTTCAATGGCGCTCCTAATTTCAGTATTAAAAGTAGGATAATACTTTTGTACTTGAAGCTAATACTTGAACGTTAATTTTAACAAAACGTTTATAAACTATTTAAAAAAATCATCAAATTCTACATAAACAACGCCTAGGATGACTGTTTTCAAAGAATCCAGCGTTTGACGGCCAAACAACAGGCCATAAACATGCTATATATGCCATAGGTTTTTTATAAGACCGATCCCCTCTCTCTCTGTTTTGCTCTAAAATAATCTATATTTATGTATATTTACCTATTATTAATTTCTATTGGGGTACTTATTATTTAATAAATATTACTGTATATAGACCATACCTTTTCATATACATGTAAAGTATATATATATATACAAAATAAACAAATATCTATATATTAATATGTATATAAACAGTTTTTTCTAATAACCCTATGTATATATAGCATATTATGAAAATGTATTGTTGATAGTCAAAGATATAGAATTTATATTGGCAACGATTGTTGCTTCGAAATGGCGCATGACTTTGTAGCTATTTTAATACTGTTAACAATATTTCAGGGTATCGATTTAGGTCAAAAAGATCAGATTATCGATTAAATGAATACTAATAGTTTCAAAGTTACTTTATTCTTTGTTCAAAAGAGATATTTATTATATAGGGAAAATACAAACTTTTATGAGCTTTCTATTTTTTTATCCCATTTTTTATTTGCAGTTGGAAGTTGTATAAGGATTAAAAGAGTAAAATGCCTACTGCCTTTATTGAACGTAATTTAGACTTGAATGAAAATAAACATGGGAATATGATAATTGAAAATGAAAAATCTTCTATTAGATCCTGCCCTCAGAGAAATGACTCAGAGCATGATTCACACACAGAATATTTATTAGAAGATGAAAAAATTGGTGGTAATTGCTTGGGTTATAAATTAACAGGGTGCAACGCACCAGTAGCTGACTTGAAGATAAAGACTAAAATCGAAACAACACTGATCGTCATTCTATTTGGCTTCATAACCGCCCTAGTTCTTAGTATCATCATTATTTACCTTTACTCAACATACAGCTTAATGATGGCTTTAGCAAAAACATTCTACACAATGTGGAAAGATTCATTAAATTTAAATTTACAAGTCGTTCTTGATCAACTTGATTTGCCGTTCAAAATACCTGAAGTCCATTGATATACGTAGAGAAAACTAAACAACAACAAAGACAAAGTCCATTTAATTTTTGTCATCAATGCAAATGTAAAATTTTTATTTATTTATTAAAAAAAAATCGGAAAACTGCAGTATTTTTGCTATGGATATATTTTTTTCTTCATTTTATAATATTAATACAAGAATTTTAGCTGACGTTGGTTTTACGGTCTCTTTAATATGATTAGTATAACTACCTAAATTTTGACGTCTATAGGCATCTCTTACCTTTAAACTAGTATCTTCTGTAACATCTGGTAACATGCCCCAGTCTAGTTGAATATTGGCGGAAGTATTACCCCTGTTTAGCAGCAAGGCCACACGCCTCTTGTCTGATAATGGACCGGTATAGATTTCTTGCATTCCATTCTCGGAACGCCAAACTAGTCTTGCCGCCTCCGATCGGTCCTGATTGATTGCTATCAATTCATCATGGGTGATGAGATTTTTGACTTCTGACGTCATATATCGAATGTCATTGCCGAGAATTAAAGGAGCTTTAAAGACACACCATAGCCCGAAATGCCCTACGTATTGATCCATCGTCATACCACCGTTTCCGACTTCTAACATATCTAAATCGTTCCAAAACCCTGGCCTAGAATAACGCCACAATTCATCTCTGTTATAAATGTCAATCAAACCCAAAACAGATTCCCAGTTATCTCTTATATCCTGCCCCACTCTTCTCATATTCGACACGGCACTTGCCATTTCCGGTCCACAGGAAGCTTTAACACTATGAACAATTGGTCGACTTGTCGACGAAATGGCCTCAAACATTGCCTTATAAGTTTCGCAAGTCGTTTCGTTCGAAAGATTACAGTCGTCGTTTTTTAAGTAATCGATATTCCATTTAGCGTAAGTCTCCGCGTCCTTTCTTTCATATCCAAAGGAGCCTGGCCGACCTTGACACGTACGATAACCAGTGTCGGTGTATAAACCAAATTTTAAAGCTTTTCCATGAGCGTATAATGACAAGTAATCAAGGGATTGGCTTCTTCGCGAGCCGGGAAACTTATGTGGATCAGGTATAATGATACCCTCAGCAGTACGATTTATTTGCCAACAATCTGTAATTGGAAAATGAACTAGTTTCGAAGACACACGTGGAATCTACTTAGCAAAACTATTTCTAAAATAGAAAAAGGGAAAGAACCATCTAGATTTACGTAAGAGTATCCAGCCTCCCTTAAGCCTTTATGAACGAAAGCTTCAATCACTTCCTTTACTACCTGTTCATTAAGTCCTTCGCAACTAAAGTAATTCCAAGAATTCCAGCCCATTGGCGGAGTTGGAGCAACTTGTACTCCTTTATATAAAAAAAATAAATAGATAATTAAGAACAATAAATAGAGGAAGAAACGAAACGATCGAATTTTCAGTTTCGTTAAACATTCCAACTCATTAAAAAATTACCATACGCCAACTGCAAAAAAGAAATCGATAGGAATAAGGCAAAAAACAGCATTTGTTTCGATCGTAGAAATTGCCGAGAGGATAAAAGGCAAATTATTTCGAATTGAATTAAATAGAGTAGTCAACACCTGACCGTTTTCACGGTATAGAGAATAATTGCTCAAACAATTGTCTGGCGCTATTAATTAATTTATATATTCCGTAAAACGACTCTTAACCAATTACCTTTTACTTAAAAAAACAAAGCATTCAGGTAACAATATGTACAATGTGCTATATATAAACAATATTTTTGTGTATAGGTTTTTTTGAGTATTTTTGGAGAAAACATCTGTTTTTCAACATTGCCTAGTTAAAAATTTCCATTTTTAGAAAGGAAAAGATCGCTTTGTTTTGTTGAGTTTTATGCTCATTTTCCAGTACAGGAATTGCTACTATATGCCTGGTTGCTACGTGAATATCATATGCTTCTTTTGTCTATATTTCTCTTTTAGATAAGTGAAAAACCCTTTCGTACTTTTTCTTTGTAATATATAGTTTCTTTCATAAGATGGTTCTTCAGAATCTTTCCCTGTTCTTTAAATAAACCTAAATTCTTTACCTTGATCTTAATCACTTTCGTCATATTTCCCACCTAGTTTTCTTACTTTCATATCTCCGTTTATATATGCAGTGACATTTGCACAGTGGCATCGTTCTTTCCTTCTTCCAGCTGAGTAAAATGCCATATTTGGAGAGGCCTTATTAAAATTATTTAGACTAGAGAGTGCCTTAATTACCCTTATTTCTACAAAGTTGGATAAATTTATTCCATTTTAGTTAATTAGCCGAAATTCCCATGATAATATCTTCTAAAATATCCTAATATCAAAAGAGATTCACCTTTTTCCAATTTATTCCTTGATGGGAAGAAAATAATCATCTATACGAGCAATATCGTTCATCGGCGGGTCAAAGGTTAATTCTGGTAAAATCAGGAGAAAAAACAGGCACTTGTTGATTTCCAAGCAAAATTTTCTATTTTTGGGTTAGGAATGCTAAAAAATTTTTAGATAAGATAACATTTAAGGAACGATAAACTAACCTCTAACCAGGCAAAGAAACATACATTAGGGGGAATACTTCAATCCAATATAAACCTTAGTTAGAAAATATAGCCAGGTATATATATATGCTAAAAACCAAAACATAGTATACTAAATATTTATAAATCATAGGTTAGAAAAATAGCTTCAAAGATCTACAGACGCTTTAGCTTTATTTAAATTAATCGCTAATCATTAATCTCCTTATGGTCAAGTATAAACTATTTCTTGTTTTTTTCAATATTCAATTAACAAACTTCTTCTTTTATACTTTTGCAATTAAGAGAATTTTAATTATTTCTTTCACTCTGTTCATTTCTTTCTATCTTCTTCTTTATCGTTTACATCTTTTTATCTCTCATTGTAGATGGAAAAATACAAAAGTATTTTCTTTTTTTATATATTTAAGAAAAGGGAAAAAAAAACAAGTTTGTACTCTTTCAATCTTCTTCTTTTTCTACTTCCATTTCTAAGTAACGTCGAAATTCAACAGAAAAACTATCTTATGAAAGGAGATAATGGTATAGAAAGAAAGAAAAGGTTTCCGTAGTCTATAGTTTCATCTTCTTGTTTAATATTTATAGCAAAACAATTTAATGACCTTTTTGGAAGCATTAAATAGTTTAAATGAAGGTTTAATGAACCGTAGATAAATAAGTACTGCTTTCCAGAAAAGTCCTTAATTCTTTTATCAATATTTATTGATTAGAATCCTTTTTTGTATTTATAAACGAAAGTTTTATTCCTTAAAATATATGTATATGTAAAATATATATAAAGTACATAATCTATGTATAGAAAGGTAAAAACTATATGAAAAAAAATAGAACATAACTCTAAAAAACATGTAAAAATAGTTTTTCTTTTTGTTTCTTACGGTATAGCACAAAAGATGGGTAGATGCGTTCCTTTATTGCAGAACATGATAAAATTAGTTTGACCTCTATTTGTCATTTATATCGCTTTGTATTGGTTCCAGACACTAATTGAAGAAAAAAATAGATTTTTAATTCACTCTAAAAATATAATTTCCGACATTTAAGGGTCCTTACGAATTAATATAGCGTTCATCTTTTGAATGAGTCTCTATTAGAGTTTTCACAATTGGTGGTGGGTCTAAATTATGTTTTTCTGCTCTTTGCCACCTTTCTAATCGGGTTGTACCTGCGTTATTTTGATATTAGACTTAATTTTTTTTTCAACATAGAAAATGTTTCAAGTTTTTGTTAGCTAGTTGTTTAACCTATGCATGGACCGTAATTACAGTCTAAGTCAAAATCCCTTAAAATTTTCTCATCTTTTTCCCAGGTACCTCTAGCTGTTGAGTATACAATGCAAGTTATTTCAAATTATACAAAATGTGTATGCTAGTAAACAACCTGCTGAAATGACTCTTGGTCTGTTATCATCTGATTTCACTTTCTCAGCTTTAACATTCTGACTTCTATTATTCTTTTTTTTTTTAGAGAAATGAGAACTTATCGTAGAATTAGACATTTCGCTATGTGTTTTTAACTCCGATTGGAATAAATGGGAAAAATTTTCTGATGAGATAGCAGAGTTGTTTTTCTTTTCGCAATACCTTCTATTTATCCAATGATTGACCTTTTTACATAGCAAAATTGCCCAATCAGGTGCAATAACAAGCTTATACCAGTTTTCTGGGCCACGTCAACGAAGTAATCATGGCGGGTAAACCAACTACGATTATTCCACAAATCGCTATTGCACTCTTTTTTGGAGCCATACTTTTCTTTGCATTTCTGATTTATCATGCATGTACAAGGGAAAATCCAAGAAGAAAAACAAACAAGAGTAAAAATTAATTTTCAATTTATATCCTGAAAAGTAAATTGAGCGATATTTTATCAATTAATACTTTTCAGAAGAAAACGATAAAGAAGTCAAAGAAGAGAAGAAAGGCAAAGACAAACGCCAAAAACAAAAACCTATTACATCTAAAGTCACAAAGAGTTCATTCACTCACAAATATTTAGCATGCCACCTGAAAATGCACACAGGAAGGGTTACCGGCTTCGATTGGAGTTTCAATGAAAAGTTAGTGGCAACAACCGGTGATGATCGAAGCATTGGCTTATGGATTCTTCAAGGCGTTCGAGATGAGGATAATAAACAACCTCTCAAATCCATAAAGGTCAATGTTGAATTAGATGACGCTGTAAAAATCCGATTCTATCCGGACGATAAGTCAGTGTCCTTTCGAATCAGCGAATCTAATTTTTTCGTAAATGAACATTTTATTTCCAGGGCATTTTTCGTGAATTTGTACAATGACAATTCCATTCGAGGCTTTAAAATTACTAAAAAGGATAAAGGATCCTATACAGCTACTGCTGCCCTGGATTTCAAAACAGTAAGTCACTTCCTGTGAATTGAATAATTTTTTATTGTTAGCGCTTGTATTTGAAAAAAGGGCCATGAAGGTGAAATAACAGATATGGGTATTTCATCTAATGGAAAGTTCCTCTTTACCTCGGACAACGGTACAAATATCAGAGTTTGGGCTCCAAAAGGTTAAAGAAACTTCTAAAATATGAATTTTTACACTTTCTATCGTTATTGAAATTCGAATTTAGGAGAATTACTTGAATCTATTGATTCAAAACAAATTAAGAATAATCACACGGCTGTATCAACATGTGGAAGATTTATTGCTACATGCGGATTTACACCGGATGTAAAGGTTTGGGAAGTTGTCTTTACAAAAAATGGCGAATTTCAACAGGTTGTAAGAGCCTTTGAGTTAAAGGGACATAGAGCTGCTGTTTACAATTTCAGCTTTTCTGCTGGAACGGAAAGGTTAGTTCTATTAGAAATATTGCGTCTATTGCCAAAATATTTGCTTTTCTTTTCCTTTTATTAAAGGATGGCCACAGTGTCAAAGGATGGTACGTGGAGATTATGGGATACGAATGGTAAAATGATTGATTATCATTTCATATCTAATGTAATATAACTTCTTAATTGTTTTTTTTAGTTGATTATAAGCAACAACAGGATCCCTACTTGCTACAAACTAGAGAACTTGATGGAATTACTTTTTCCTCTCGAATAGCCTTAACACCCGATGGTCTAACTGTAGCCATTACAAGAGGTGGTTCTATATCAATTTTCTCCGCCAAAAACGGAGAATTACTCGAAGAGATACGAGATATCTTTGCCGGTGATATTACAGAGATCTCATTTTCTCGAGATGGTATGTTTCTGGGAGCATGCGGAGATCGCGTCCTCTCTCTATTTCATAATATTCCTGGTGTTCGAGCTAAAATAAAAGACTTTGAAGAACTAAACAAAAAAGCAACCGGTGCCTTGGCTGAGAGGCTAAGAAAACAAATTAAAGAATGCTCGTAAGTTGTTAATAAATAGAAGCCTTATTCTCTAAAAAACGTTTTCATTAATTGTTTCAGGAAAAAGTTAGAAAAATATGAGTAACTTTGGACAGTCAGGAAATTGATAGTTGTTAACTGATTATTAAAATGTTTGTTTATTATATGATAATAGTTCAGCCAGTTGAATGCACCTTAATTTTGATATAACTTAGTAAATAATTAATACAAATGAACGCCAGGTGACTGTTGAGATATCTCTTATAAATGCTACATTAACGAACAATGAATATTTTATAAAAAAGACCGAAAACCCGAATAAATTATTAATTTAACATTATAGTATATGTACAATATAGTTTTTATAGTCTAGATTGATTTCAAATTTTGCAGTAGTCAATTAGGGAATGAGAACTAATCTTATAACAGAGTCGGCAATTTCAAGGCAGGGAGAACGGTATCAACACAGTTTACCCATATATTAGCGCAAGATGAGTGATAGGCGCGCGAACCGTATACAAGTTTAGGCTCATCACCCGCTTGAACATCCAACAGGCAGACTCCGCACGATCGTTGGGCTACTTCAGAATCGCAATCCACAGAGGATGGTGATAAAACGTGTTCTGACATATCCAATTTATCAGCTTGTGGCTGAAAAAAAGAAACATCTTTTTATGTAGAACGAAGGAAAGTAGTTTTTTTTTATACCATCACGTCTGTATGAGCAATCATCGAGGTCAATTTCGCCCACGACATTTCCGTGTCATTTACGCACTCGTTCAATCTATTATCTTGCAAAGCTGTGGTATTATAAATTTCTTTAATGTAATTTAAATGTCATTAATTTACATATTATGAAATTCCTGTAAAACTTACTCATTGATCTTATGGCCACAATTATACGACGAACAACTCGATAGGCCTCAATAACATCTAAATTATAAGACATCAAGGATATTACTTTATATGTAACTTGAATTTTCTTACCAAGGATATAGTTGTAGCCAGAACTTGAGGAGAGCACTTCTGTAAGCACGGTTTCATCGCAAGAAGATAGAATATTACATGCTGTAATTAGAACTTCATTGGCAGCTTTGATACAGTCCATCCATTTTTCTGAATGAGAATTCTCTTTCTAGACGATTGAAGAGTTTTCCATTAACTAAATCTTTTTTATAATCTATAGCAACTAACCTCTTCAATTGGAGATTTTCTAAGGTCACGATATCTATCAGCAACAGGGGAGACGTCTTCTTGTAAAACATCTTGTGCACTTCTTGACTTTGGTATAGAGTCCATTTGCACTTAAGAATAAGACGACACTAATAAATCGTTCAAAAGAAACAATTTTTTTATTACATACCAGTCGATGATTGATGGAGAGCTTCAGATGTAGCCGAATGCTTTATTTCCAAACTTGAGACGCTTTTTGTATCACTAGGTTTGGACGTTGGTAAATCTAAACTTGAAACGCTTTGAGCATCTTGTATTCGATCAGACGATTTTAGAGCATTTCCTGTTGTTTTTTTCTTACTTTTTTCATTATACATGCTTGATCCGGCATTATGAGCATCATCTAAACCGCAGTCTTCATCTAAGTCGTAGAAAGTGGTGGGATTTGAATAAAATTCTTCATCGTTATCTCCATCAACATAGTCATTCATCTCGGGCGGAGTTGTATCATAAGGGTTTAATCCGGTGCCTATGACAACGGGCTTTTCATTATTTTTGCTAAAGAACAAGTTAGACTTTTTAATGTCTATTTCCTCTCTGGGCTTAGACTTCGCAGAAGGTAAACCAATACCATCACTCCAGTCTTCACTATTTGCTGATGAAACTGCTCCACTATCGCTGTGACTTGACATAGAAAACATATCACTAGAACCACTGAAACTTCGACTTGTATCATTTGTAACAGTATCTGATGCACTGCTTGTTGATTTCATATTGTTATCGGGACAAACATAGGTGGACTCACTAATTAGAGACTTTATTTTATCCAAAGATTGCACTTTAGAGTTAGAATCAATAGGTGGCACGGAACAAAAGTCATTGAACTCTTCAGTGTCATCCATTATTTCTTTATTGTTTAAATTATCAGTTTTTTTCCCAGAGGTGGAACTTTTAAAGGTTGGTAACTCACGGCTGTCGTTTGATATATCTTGAGGTAAAGAAGGAAAATTAGCAAAGTTAGTATTGATGTTAGCAGGTGCTGCTTGAAAATCAGCGAAATCATCGCTTATAGGTTGACTTTGAAGATTTTCAGAAACATCAGTCACACTTGTCTGAACCAAATCTGTATCAATTACTCCGTTATTGTCTTTTTGAACCTGATTTACCGTTGATTGACCCAAGTTGGGTAAGGGTGGGTCATTATATCTTAATAAATCGTTTAGGGAAGTAACCGAAATGTTATTTTGAACAATAGCTATAAGAGCCAAGATAGCGAATAATTCTGCTTTGTTTAACTGACCAGCAGTTTCCCTATTACATAAATCCCATAAATATCCTAAAATTTCTCGGGGCAACCCCGATCGCAAAAGAATGCCATATACTAAATCAGTAGATATAAAACCATTCCTGTTGAAACAAGAACTATGTTATGAATTTATATTCAGAATGTATTGTGTATAACTTACAAGGTGGAAGCTTCTAATACTTGATAATAAACTTCTGGTACTTGAACTTTTCCGTTCAGCCAGGGAATCACCTCATACACATCAACTTCTAAATTGGCTTTTTCTTGAGAAACTACTGATGACGTTGCTGTGGATAATGAATTATCAGAAGTTTGCTCTTGATTTATTTGTTGAGCGGCTTGTTGTTGTAGTTGATGGCGTGACTGTGGCTGTTGCTGAGGCAATTGCTGCTGTGGTAGTTGTTGGCGGGATGTTTGATGTTGTAGCTGTTGCTGTGAAAGTTGATGGTGCGGTAATTGCTGCTGTAATTGTCGTTGTTGCAAGTATTGTTGAGGCAATTGCTGCTGCGGATTTTGTTGCAATTGTGGTTGGATTTGGGGTTGTGGCTGGTATGTTGATATTTGTTGTGGATTTCCTGTAATGTCAGTCATTGATGGCATAATAATTATAATTAATAATTTTTCTATAATACTTACCGGGAGCAGTAAAAATACCACTTAAGTCTTGCTCAAGCCCTGTCCATGCTCTAGATTTAGTGCTTTGTTGATAAGTTTTTACATTCTGAACTTTCGGTTGAACTTGTTTAAGAGATTGAGACTTGTTAAAAGTTTTTGCTTTTCCTTGATCGCTTAGATTTGAACAAGATATCATCATCGACATGAGATCTTGCTCTGAATCGTACGAAAAGATTTGTTTTTGCATTTTTCAAAATTGGTTGTTGTATAGCTAACCTTTATTTGCAGGAGGTATGTTTGCGTTCAAACCAGTAGTATTGTTCGTTACTGCGGGAGTGGGAGTTGGGAGAGCAGTGCTTTGTGTTGGTACTTGAATAAATTCCCCAAAACCATCATCCTCAATTGCTGGATAGATAAAAGGTGGATTATTAATATTAACGCTAAAATTTTATTATATCTCACTAGGAGTCTTCAATTGACTAGCAGGAATGTTCTTGGAATTATCAGAGGGAGTCTTTTTTGTAGTTTCTGGTCCCAATATATTCTTAATAAGATGATCAGCAGATACATTGCTTTTAAAACCCACAGAAGAAAATTGCATTAGTCTTTTCTTTTGGTCCTCGAATTTTTTTAGTTTCATTTGCTTTTCGAATTCCTCTTTATTTAATTTCTGCTCATGTTGACTTGGATTTGCTTTCGGCCTTGTTTGAATGCTGTAAAGAGATAAATTTATAAAAAGTTAGTGATATTTGTGATAAAGTTGTAATGCCTGTAAAAATTATTACTTATACGGAGGAGGTGGAACGTTCCTTGAGTGATATGGCCTTTGAATAACTTGAGGTGTATACATGACTTGATACATAGGCATACTCTGAACTCCGGGTGCAAATTGCCTATAGGGTTGGTGTTGCTGAACCATATTCACTGAAATTTTACGAGTTTATGAATTGATATAAAAATTAATAAGCATATACCATTAGGTTGTCTTGTATTAGGAGCTTGGTAATTCATGTTCAATCACCTTTCTTTAGTATCTACAACTAATAGCAAATGATAAATAATATTGCATAATTTGATTTTTGATACGCGATTTATATTTGTTCTTTTTAGTCACAAGATGGGAAGGAAATGAAATTGATAATAGCAATTCTCACTTTTAATCACTTTTCATGGAATGACAAAAGAATAAATCAGGAATTTTCAAATGGAAAGTTCTAACAGCTCTCTCTATACACGCTGATTGCTTGTTGCTATCTTATATAAAAAGAAGAACAGTTAGAAATACTATTACAGACTTTCTTTTGGGGTCGCCATTTTGAATACAATCACGTGACCCGCAGGTTAGCATGGATGGTATTCCGATTTTATTCTGATTAAGGAACATGTGGCTATAAACTAGGAAAGCGGATCAAGTAACCGAAAAAATTCAATCGATTTCATTCTATAGAAGGAGTAAAATAAAAAGTTGTCTCGTTAATCTCTAAAACTGAATGAAATTCGTAGAAATGTAGAAATTCCAATATTAATATTTCTTAAATGTAAAATCTTTATAAATATAGAAAAAATAAGTTTCATAAAGGAATATTTTGATTTTGTCCCCTCCAGTAGCCGATTAAAGCGATTATTAAATTTATGCATACTTCCGATTAATCGGTTAAAATCGTATTAATTCGATATACGTTTCCGTCAAAATCCTGAAACAAGCAGCCGGTGCTTTTTCCGGATCTTTGTAATAATATGTTTGGCGCGACAACAAATTTCGGCTCAGCAGGATTTGGAGGTTCCCAAGTGAATTATAATCCAATGAAGGACATTGAATGCGTTAATCCGCCAAATGATTCCATATCATCGATTGCTTTCAGCCCTGCTACAATTCCTAAGATTTACCTAATCTCGGGTTCTTGGGATAACAAGGTATTTTTACATTTTTGTCCGAAGATTGAAAGATGTAAAGGCTTTATTACTTCGCCCAAAAAAAATTAACAGTATTTTTTTCCATTTTGTAATTGAGAGAAAATATTATTGAATGACAAAATGTAACGTGAATATAATACTAAAGCATATATGAAAAATGCACGTAATTTCCAATTTTGGCAACAACAGATAAGATGCTGGGAAGTTCAACAATCTGGTCAAACAACAGGCATGGCTGAAGAATCCCATCAAAAGCCTGTTTTGGACGTATGCTGGAGTGATGTAAGATAAATAAGCTTGTTAACACAATACAAGATTATAAAAATTTTATTTATAGGATGGAACAAAAGTGTTTTCTGGAAGCTGTGATAAAACAGCCAAAATGTGGGACTTGAATAGCAATCAAACGATACAAGTAGCTCAGCACGATGCTCCTGTTAAGCACGTTCGATGGGTAAAAGCTCCTAATTATTCGTGCCTGATGACCGCGTCTTGGGATAAAACACTCAAAGTAAATTTCATTTACTAAGCTGACTAAAATGAAATAACTATGCATAGGATTTTTTTCTTTTCTCATCTTTGTAAAACTTGTTTTTCAGTTTTGGGACACAAGGTCACCTAATCCTATGTTAAGTATTCAATTACCTGAGAGAAGTTATTGCGCTGACGTTGTAAGTAAATTAGTAGAATTAAACTTTAGATCAAGTGTATATAGCTACGTAAAATTTGTAGATGTATCCCATGGCTGTGGTTGGAACAGCGGCTCGACAAGTAATTATCTATCAATTGGAAAACCAACCATCAGAATTTAAGAGAATTGAATCACCGTTAAAATATCAAGTAAGTATATTATACTGAATTGTGAATAGTGCCAGTCATAATCATTAATTCTCATTCACGTCTTGTTTTACAGAGCCGTTGTGTTAGAATATTTAAGGATAAGAAAACAAACCAACCAACTGGATTTGCATTAGGAAGCATTGAAGGACGTGTTGCAATTCAGTACATCAACCCTACGAATCCAAAGGATAATTTTACTTTTAAATGTCATCGTAGTAACGGGGCAACAAACCAAGGTTCTCAAGATATTTTTGCAGTAAGAAACAAATTATTATAAACCAATAATTACAAATACTATTGATTACCTTTAATATTTTTGTTTGTCAGGTAAATAACATTGATTTTCATCCGGAACATAATACACTAGCTACTGTAGGATCAGATGGTAAATTTAGCTTTTGGGACAAAGATGCTCGAACAAAATTAAAAACTTCGGAAGCTATGGACCAGCCAATATCATGCTGCGCTTTTAATGGACAAGGGAATATTTTTGCTTATGCAAGTAGCTATGACTGGTCAAAGGTTTGTTTAGGGGTTTCTAGCATAATTTGTATTGACTGCCAACTTTTTTAACAGGGTCACGAAGGTTATGATCCAAACAAGATGAAACCTCATATATTCCTCAGGGCATGCTACGATGAATTAAAACCCAGCCAACCTAAAAAATAACTTGATCGTAACGTCTGCAACACTATCAAACTTGTATAAAAAAAAGATATTTTTATTGATAAGAAACAAACTATATTCGATATAATATATATTGCATATGAACTCATTTTTATAACTGTTTGCACATATTTTGTTTTTGTCAAAATGAGTTTTTAAAACAAAACACTCTTTCAAGTGATATATATACTTAAAGATACTACTTCAGTTCTCTTTTTTGTCCTAAATTTAAAAAGCACAACTAACTTCAACCTTGCAATCTGATTTATTCATTATCTCATCGTATTGTAAAGAAACTAAGTCTGGATCAGTTTAATTAATATAAATATCACGTTCAACAAATATAGATGTTATATTAAATTTAATAATAAAGATTGAATTGAAGTTCCTTACGCACAAATTTCCAATAATTTTACTGTGGAAAATGGTAGAAATAGAGAATTTTGCCAGCCGCATGTTCTTTACATTTTTTGGTTACTGTATTTAATTGTCAAAATCAAAAACATACAGATTGTTGCTTAGTTTGAAGTTTACAATTATAATTTCAAATTCTTCTTTGTAATTGAATATGTTACGATCTATTTGGTAACAAAGATTTGCTTTAGAAATTTTATGGACGATAATATAGTAAAATGTCAAGGGCTTTGATAATTCTTAAAAATTCAAACCTTTTACAACAACTTAGCTATACAACTTGTTTAAAACACCTAAGAAATGAAAAGATTATACTGCAAAGAACTCAACCATGTCTTAATTTTCACTCAACGTCTCAAGTTCAAGTAGCAAGTAAAAAGCATAGCAAGAAGAAAATTGTTTGTATTTCATTGTCAACATTTAGCTAATCTATAATAAAAACGTTCTAGGTAAAGCCTGTAATCTTTAAACCGAAAAAGACAGTAATTGAAATTCGACATGATATGACTGTTGAGAATATTGCAAGTTCATGTAATAGAACTACCGGTAGTGTATAACCCAAAAGTGATATGTATCTTAAATAATGGATTTATTTTTATTTTTAAGATCAAGTATTTGAAGCGCTCGAAATGATTCCTGACTCGCAGGAATATGAAGATGAGCATTCTGGTATGATTTCATAGCAAAAATTCTAAAACTTTTCATTTTAGTTTCAATTTAAATCTTTGTTAGTTGTTTCATATGGTGATATTCAAAAAATTATTGGAAAATTTGGCTTTAGATGGAAATTGGAAGAGAAAAAAGTTCAAAAGGAGAAAGAGAATAAAGATGTAGTAAAACAGCCACTACCAGATCTTTCGGCAATGAAATCAAGACCACCTGTTGTTACAATAATGGGTCATGTTGACCATGGGAAGACAACACTCCTGGATTCTCTTAGGCATAGTCATGTAGTCGACCAAGAATTTGGTGGAATCACTCAACATATTGGAGCTTTTTCTGGTTAGTTTTATTTTTATTATTGCATACAACACTGTAGTTTATTCAACTTTTATATAAGATGTTTCAAACTATAGTTAAGACGCCGACTGGTCAAAACATAACTTTTCTCGATACGCCGGGCCATGCTGCTTTCTCTGCCATGAGAGCACGAGGAGCAAATGTTACAGATATTGTTATTCTTGTTGTCGCTGCTGATGATGGAGTTATGAAGCAAACAGAACAATCAATAGAATTTACAAATCAAGCAAACGGTATAAAAAATTTATCAGACGAAATCAAATAGTAAAAAGTAAAACTTTTCTTTTATAATAGTTCCAGTTATTGTTGCCATAAATAAAATGGATAAACCAGAAGCAAATGCGGTAATTTAAAAATAAATTATTATTCATTCTTATTTAAGAAATTTTCATATTTCTTTATATAAACTAGGAAGTAGTTAAAAACGGTTTATTGAAGTGTGGTATACAAGTTGAGGACCTTGGAGGTGATGTACAGTCTATTCCAGTCTCTGCCTTGAAAGGCACTGGGCTGAATGAACTCCTAGATGCGGTTTTAGTATTATCAGAAATTTTAGAATTGAAGGCTGACTATAATGGATTAGTTGAAGCTAGCGTTATTGAATCTAAGACCCATCCGGGAAGAGGGTAAATAGAATTCTTGATAGTATTACAAGTTGGTTAAGTCGATTACATTCTTTAGGAAATTATCTACGGCTCTAATTGATAGAGGAACTCTAAAAAAAGGAGATGTCCTTGTAGCGGGTACGGCTTGGTGCAAGGTTCGTGGAATGTTTAATGATCAAGGACGCCCCATTTCCAAAGCAGAACCAGGATCTGCTGTTGAAATAATAGGTTGGAGAGAACTTCCACACGCGGGCGATACTATACTTCAGGTGAAAAATGAGGTTAGTTGATGAGAAACTATAGATTTATTCAAACGATTGGAAAATTAACCAAAAAATTTATTCAGAAAAGGGCTCACGAGGTAATACAGTTCCGAAAATCTCTAAAAGAGGATGAAAAAGCTTTAGAAGATGCGAGAATTATTCATGAAAAAATGGAGCAACATCGAAAAGATTATCATGATAAATTAGAGGCCAAAAGGTCTGCAGGTAGAAGAGTAGGAGCTATTTATAAGAAAGAAAGGCGAAAGGAAACAGAGACTGAATCTAGTGGACCCGAGCTTGCAGTCGTCATAAAGGGGGATGTTGACGGATCTGTTGAGGCACTACTAGATGCTCTGGACACCTACCAATCTGATCAATGTCGACTACATATTATTCATTATGGGGTTGGACCAATAACAGAACATGACGTTGAATTAGCAAAGTCGTTCAACGGTAATTAATGATAAAATAAAAAGAAAGGACAAGCACTAAGACTTTAATTTCTTTTTTGTTTCAGGAGTTATTTACGGCTTTAATGTCGATTGTGTTGGTTCTGCTCAATCTTTAGCGAATTCTTCCAAAGTCGATGTTGAACGTCATAATATAATTTACAAGTTACTGGATAATATTCGAGATCGACTTTCGAAAAAGCTCCCTCTAATCGATCGGGAAGAAATAGTTGGCCAAGCCACGGTGCTAGAATTATTTCGTATAAACGAAGGGAAAAAGAAAATTCCGGTTGCCGGAAGTCGATGTACAAAAGGAACTTTACAAAGGAAGCTCAATTTTCGCCTAATAAGGAATGAAGACCTTTTATTAGAAGGACCTGTTCATTCGTTAAGGCACTTTAAAAACGAAGTTGAAAGTATAAAAACGGATGTTGAATGTGGAATCAGGTTTGAAGACTTTTTTATTGAACCTCAGCCTGGCGATGACATTATATGCTATAAAGTTGTACAAGGAGAGCAAAAATTAGATTGGTATTTAGATTTTTAAATGGAAATATATTTCAATAATTCAGTTTGATAAGTTAGCAATTATTTTTTAACGACTGATGACCCATTTGTTGTAATACCTCGCGCTTTCTGAGCAAACATTAAGCTGGCCTTCGTTTCGCTGATATTCTCAATATTTGGTGCAACGTTAACAATCAAGGCCGTTTTTGAGTTACCGCCTAAACACTCCTTAAGAACAAATGTTAATCTAGAGTTTCTATAGGGAACATGAGAATTTTTCCCTCTTAGTGCATAAATTACATCACCAAGGCAAGTTAAAGAGTAGTTAATGGCAATGGCTTCTCTGATTCGGTCGTTCTCTTTACCCTCCGATTGGGAAGTGAGACGCTCTGAACCAGCAAGATCAACAAGATATAATACACCTTTCGATGTTAAATTTGAAAATTTGTTCTTTCCTTCAACTGTAATCGTAAGTATTTGATGCGACCTTGACGAAGCTTCGTTCATAAGAGTAGAAGCCACAGCTCGTTTACTTTTTCCTTTAGTAAATATCTAAAAAAAGATTTCCAGCTAGAATTTCTTTTTAAGTAAGTAGAACTGCAAGAAAGTTATTAACCTCATTAATATCATCTACCGTGGTCACTTTTATGATTGTCATGTCAGGTAAATAGACGCCATCTTCCGGATCATACTTTGCGGTCAGTAACACAGTCTTGTCTGACAGTAAATCTCTTACTCTATCATTATAGATTTCAAATGCAGATACCGTTAATTGGTATGTCCAATCTGATTGTCTCTCTTTAATTTCTTTTAATAATTTACTTAGGGATCTCGTACTTAGACCAGGATCTTCCGTAGGTCCGTCCATCGTAAAAGTCTTTCCAGCTGATGTTTGTCCATAAGCCATAATACAGACATTTTGACCATCAACGCAGGATATTATTAGCGGTTGTATTTCGTTAAAGATTTCCTCCTGGGATGAATTTGGATTAAATACTCTATCTAAATCAAACTTTGACAACGAATCTCCCTTTTTAACCTTGTTTTTTTAAAAAAGAAACATGTTATCTTATATTGATCGTAAGGGAATTATAGATTACTATAATTTGAGTATCATCATGAGGATTTGACTGTACACAAATTGTACCCGATTCTCTCTTTTCCTTTGCTAATTGCGGTCGAATTCTGCAATAAACTCGTATTCTGCCCTTAAGATCAATTATTTCGTTGTAATATCTCTTTCGTCGAGCTATCTCAGCCTGATAATCCTTTAAAAGTGTGTTATAGTTTCTGTTATTTCTAATCTCATTTAGTTCCTATAAAAACCAATATATCTTGAGTAATTACATGCCGACGCATATTTTTAATAAACTTACTATTTTTAATCTATTCGCCTCCTCCTTTAATTGCATAGTTTCATTAGTGTTTTTCAATGAATTTTCTCTAGTTCTATGAATATTCTCTAATTCTACTTTACAATTGTCAATCTCATTTTCATATTTCCTACAATTTTTTATTAATATATCATTTTCTTCTTTTAGTTTAGCTATTGTTGCTAAAAGTTCAATATTTTCCTCTCGATTTGCTCCTATTGCATTGATTAAATTTTTATCCTTTTCACCGAAATAATTCAATTGACCTTGGACGAATTTCTTATTGTCGTTCATAAATTTCATGGACAATTGTAACTGATTGATCAAAGAATCTTTTTCATCAAGTAACTGAGAGAATATGACAGTCTCTTTCTTTAATAAATTATATTGTTCTATTTGATTTTTATGAAATTCTTCACCAGATTTCTTAACAATCTCCATGTTTAAGAAGGATTTTTTCTTTAGATCGTAAATATCTATAAATAGATGGATGAGAGGGAAAAAAAGAGAATAAATTGATTTTTTAAAAATCATTTTTACATATTCAGAAGAGCATACAAAGTCTATTTATATATTTTATACCGTTTTTCAAATCCTTAACGATTTCCACAATGTCTGTTTACGTTTGTTAGAAATAATACCGATTAGCAATGATTATAAATATATAGCATATATACAGTCAGTATATACTGTATATATATAACTATTTAAATATAAAACCTGTTTTTCCTTTATCCAAGCTATTGGATTCTAATTTATAAGTTTTCTCATTTTTCCGCTCAACCGATTGATCCATTAAAAAATCTGATGGTTCTGGATCAACTCTACTAGATCCATCATCTGAAATATCTTCTGATTCATAATTATTAAATGGAACGACAGCCCGATCGATTATATTATTCATTAAACTCTTGTGTAACATTTCTATACTTGATTCCCTATTCCAAACTTTACTTATCCAGTTACCTTATTTAATTCTTATTATTATTTTTATTGTTTTTAATTTTTTGTATTCAATTATTTTCAAACTTAAAAATATTTTTATACAACGCAATAAATTCAATCTTTACTTTACCCATTTTTAATTGAGGAAGAAGAGTAAAAAGACAGATAAAGAGAGATTGCTTAGAAAGATAAGAAGAGATTTTTTTTATATATTCTTTTTTTAAACTGTTATATTTTTTTAATTTATTTTAATGATGCAATTCTTATTCCTAGTTTAATTGAATTGGTTTACAACTATGTAAAAGAAGAGTCCATTGATATTATGGGGAATGGGGAGATTAAAGGAGAGAAGAAAGTCAAGAATAAATAATCGTTAGGTTCATTGAAAGGAGAGATGGTATAGAGTTTGTTTGTTTGTTAGTACATGGGTTTTTATAGACTACATATAGTTGTAGATCTTATAGAAACAGGAAACATTTTCTTTTTTGAAAAGGATATCTTATTTCATAACAACTAAGAAATAATCCCAAATAGAAAGGTATTAGGTAACAACTTTAAACTAATTTCAAGACGCGCATGAAATAATAATGATGAAACCGTAGAAATAAAGTGAATGGAGTATAAGTAAATAAAATTAAATAAATAAATAAATAAATCAATATATATATATATACAGTATATATATAAATTAGTAATATAAATAATTCTGAAATTTTTGAGTGTGTATTCTGTTTTACTTGCAGGTATCTAAATTTTTCGACTAGCTAAGCATTCGCTGACATGTAGCACTTTTTTACTTTAAGAACGAAATTATTGAAAAAAAAAACGTATATATATATATATATATATATAAACCTTTAAAACATTACACCAGTATAAATTAGTTGCTTTATTCCTTTTTTATGTTTTCCTCCGATTTTTTTTTTTTAAGAGTTTGTTTTTTTCCTTCGTAATCTTTTTTTTTTTAAAAACTGTAAAAAAAAATGAAAAAAAAAAATAAAGACAGTCTGAGCAAAGGACCGTTTAAACCGCGTTTTGCAGTTTTTGCAGTAGAAAAAAATTATGTTTTTTATTTTTTTGTTTGTTTTAAACTTTTCAAAAAGAGTTTATATTAAATTTTTATTATTTTTTTTTTCTTTGGTTATTTGTGTTTTTAATTTGCTAAATTGTGGAAAAGCCAATCCAATTTTGTTGTCCATGAAGCACCGTAAGCTTCTTTTAAATGTTTACAGAAGTAGGCTATGGCATCTTTTTCTTCACGGGTTACGGCTAAAGTTTTTTTCAAATATTCCAGATCGTCAATAGACTGTAATTCCGGTAATCCACAAGGAATCATGAGCATAAACAATGTGAGAAAAAGATGCGCTTCACGACGGATAATCCTATATAATTCTGTACATAACTTAAAAAATTTTTGATTGTTTTCATTCTTCAAACTCTTATCTCCTTTGCCGATAACAGCCATAAAGTCTGATGTTAACACAAATGGAACACGTTCTCTTTGAATACCGAATTTTTTCTTTCGGTGATCTAAGAAATGGCCAAAGTCTATATGAAAAACCATACCCTTTTCGGTAACCATAATATTATCCGGATGTCTATCACCTATTCCCAAAATGAATGTAGCTACGCAATAAGCGGCGCACGAATGCTGGAAATTTGCAACGGCTATTTCATAGTCTTCGTCTTTTGTATTCTTTTTACGAATCCAGTTGTGAAGGGCGTTATGCTTAACTTGAGCAGCGTCTAATATACCTTTATTTTTTTGAATTTGAGTGACAGTTTTAGCATTTTGAACAACTTCAATCCAACCATTATCGCGACCGGTTGAAAGGCAACCATAGGCATTCATTCGACAATCGTAATTATTCTGTTGCCAAATCTTATTCATAATTTGAAGAGCTTGTAAAGTGAGCATATCTTGCCGGAGATCATCGCCATTTTTAAATATTAAACCGTATTCGAAAGGTGGTGCTTTTTCTCTTATTTTCCAACATAGTCTAACTGGTCGTTTCTTAGAACCCATCACTTTCGAATCGGTAACTTGTAAATCTTGCAAAAGAACTTCCGGTTTAACCGAGCATCGTATATTTTGCAAAGCTTCAATACAATCGTGTTTACTAATTAAATCTTGAGCTATTTTTTGTTGTTCTACTAAATTGCTTGTCTCATCTTTATAACAATTTGTTAAAAATGACAATTTTTCAACACCCTGCATTTGTTTTCTTAATATTGGAAAAAGTGGACCACAAGTCCGGCAAAATACTTCCAAAATTAAGGTAAAACGTCTTCTACAATCAATATTTTGATTAATTTCTGATTTTAAATGCCAAAAGAAGGATTGTCCTATAAAAGCGTTTGACAGTGATTTCTCTAAAAGGAATCTTGTTAATGAGTTATCTAAATAAGTTTCAGATTTTAACAATTGTACTAATTGAAGTAGATACATTTCCACGTCGTCGTCGCTTAATTGTCTATATAAACACTTAACGGCGAAGTCTCTAACTTTTGGGTCTGTGCAAGCTGGCGAAAGAAGTTGTAAGGCAGTGTAAGTATCTAGTGGAGGCCATTGTTCTAATAATTTATAAAATGAAAAAGGTGAATCATCTTCATTGTCGCGAGGTTCCCATGGTATAACTCTAACTAGAAGTGGCAGAGATTGTGGGTAGTCTTTTCTTAATTTATTTTTGACACCCCATAAACAAGTCAATTCTTCGCAGTTCAACTCTGAAGCACTAACGGGGTCTTGGCGTAATATATTATTAATAATGTGATCACTTATTATTGATTCTTTATAAGAAATCGTTTCGCTTTCGCATTGTTTTTGAAACTCATCATCATTCATATATCTTAGAACACAATCGACTTTGTCGAAGCAAACGATCAATGTAGTCTTCTCTTGTTCAACATAATTTTGCTCAACTCCTCTTAACGGATTTAAAGCATCTGAACACCTTGGAGATGTTGGCCACATATGAATTGTAACATCACCTCTTGGAGTTTTTCCCTCAAAGTCAAATAAATTCATATTTGCCCACGCCACGGCACCATGTCCCTTATTTTTCTTCTGCTGCGTCGTACAAATAGCAAATGCAACCCTGGTTGTTCTTGGTAAATGACAAACTCCTATATTTGGTATTGTTAGTACTTGCTCCCAATTTGGATCGTTTTTGGCAGTTGTTTGAACAGTTTTTCCTAATTGATCTTGGCCATTAAAAAGAGCGACTTTAACATAAACTTTACCATCTTGAAGATTAACGTAAGAGCCGCTTCGAATCTGAAAATAAAATAAATAACGAGAAGAGATATGTTGAATAAGCTGCCAATTTTATATAACTTACGAGAATAGTTTGAGGTTCTCTATATGACGTCGATAACGTACCGGAAATACGTTCTCTTTGTGTAATTTTTCTAAATCTCTCTGTATTAAACTCTTGAGGTTTTTGAATGCGTGAATCTCTTAAAAATAATTCGATTGTTTCCCGAAACTTTATGTAAATAAGAATAGAAGTAAAGATAATTGACAAATTCAGTTTCTCTTTAATACTTACAACTTTCTGCTTTACCAAAACAAATTCAGGTTGAATATTCCTTAATAAGCACATTCTTATATATCTATAATGAGAAATTGTCTTCTCGTGAATTAAATATTCGTCAGATCCAAAAACTTTTAAGACATAATCTTCGTCATTTAATTCCTTTAAAAAAAATAGATAAAATAGATTATCCCATGGATAATACAGTATATTTATATATATATATACTTTTTTAACTCTTTCTACTTTTTCGCAGCATACTTTAACTATTTTAGAAGGAGTATAACGGTCATCAATTTGCTTTGTAAAACTTGAATCTTCAATCCGAAATTTTATGAAAAACTTCATAAATAAATAAAGAAAATAAAAGTATTATTCTTTCTATTTCAATATATTAAAGAAATATAATTCACCGGTTTAGGAGCGAATATATCTTTAGAAGTTTTATCCAATCTAGCTGGATAGAGAAACCTTGTTGTGTTTTCGATATCGAGAAAATTATTATAACGTTTTTTAACAATATCGGAACAAAATTTGAACATATTTAACCGGAAGCAAGATTCTTCTCTCTATATTGTTAATAATAATATAATTGATAAGATAAGATTTTATTTTGTTTTAAACTAACAACAATAAAAGAAAGAAAAACACTTACCTTTGGCTGAGCTGTAAATTCATTAAGAGTTGGACCAACTAAAGTTGATAATTCGGATTGAAAAATTTCTTCACTGTGATCACCTTTACGGTCAACTAATTTAAGAAATGATCGAAATAATCTGAGATCGCATAAACGACGAGTTTCATCACAAAATTCTTCAACTTTAGCATCTTTCGTAACTGATTGAAAATTATAGCAACTTTTATCGGATAGATTTTCAAAATTGGGTAATTGTCTAGCTTTTTTCCAAACAGTCGCCTTAATTTTCTCTAAATCATCATCTGTTTTAACGGTAATTGGCATAATGAAAAAATTTGGTAATAAAATATCAATGTCGACCTGTTGGGAACAAGACAAATAATATAAAAAAACTTATAGGTATATAGGTATCTATACATACATCCTCCGGCGGTAAAGCTTGGTCCCAAATCTCGCCTGAAGTCGGCGGCATTTTGGTGGAATTTGTCTGTAAATAATAAAAAAAAAAAAACCGCAATATTTATTCCCGTTAGATAGGCCTAGTAAAAATATATAAAAAGAATTGCTTGTACGTTGTAAACAAGTTTGAAGAGAGGAATAAAGTAGTAATTTTTGATGAAATATGAGTACAATATACAAGTATATTCAAAATGAATAACTGATAAATTAGGTATTTACAATTGTTCTATATAATGAAATGTTTGGAATCTGGGCGGGCTCAATATCAGACAATATTTACAATCATTATAAGGAAATCAATTGTCTACTTTTAGATCAATAAAAATGCAATTCGATCTAATTAAAGCATAAGAAAAATTATTGTTATTTTTTTTTTTTTAAGAAAAAAAAAACAAACATGAAAATCAAAAAAACAATATTTTTTTTTATTTTTTAGTACCAGTTTTAGCCCATACAGTTAGAAAACATTTACTAATTCAAACGTTTTTTTTTCCTGCTCTCTTTCTCTCATAGAATATCTGGAAAACTTGGAAGAATTTTTGTTTTTTACTATATTGTTAATAATAGTATCTTATTATTATTATAGTTTTCTCCCTGTCTATTGCAGTCTTTATTTTCTCTTTTATTCTATTTATTTATTCATTCTTTCTTTATTTCTTTCCTTCCTTCCTCCCTCCCTTCCTTCCTTTAGTATTTATTTAAAAAAAAAATAAAAAAGACACACCTTTCCTAATATATATTACAATACATACATCTATAATAAATATAGAATAGATTTACCACTTCCTACCTCTGTAATATTTAAAATGTTAACACTTATAGAAAGGACAGCGGAAACGGTTAAAGAGTAGATTATTTACAATTATAGAATAGCATTAGTTTAGAATGATAGTTATCAAAATGAGAAATACGACACTATTAATGATTCACTTACACTAGAATAAAAAATTTTTTTTAAAAAATAGAAAATAGAGATCGTTGACTTTCAATAGGCTTAAAATTTTATTGGTATTCCCAGAAAATCTTATAGTCTTCTCCATGTAAATTGTACAAGTATGGAAAATAGGTGATCAAAGCTTCAACAACCACCGAGGAAGTAGAATATACATTTCTTTAGGGTATTTTGATAAATTTTAGATATTATTTCTATACATAGAAGAATTTTGATCATAAATATCGAATAGTTTATGATCGCTTTAAACTCGTAGACGAGGCGATTAGCCAATAATAAATTAGCTTAAAATTGAAAAATTCGTAAACAATCGTCCTTCGACTTTATCAAATCTACTCATCAAAAATAATCGCAGACAGCACATTGAGACAGCAATTATATTTATATGAAGCTCTCCCTGAGCAATCATTCACAAGAAAACAGTAAACAGATCAATACTTACGTGTTTAACGTTCAGCACACTGAAATTTCTCTGCTTCAATCTTAGCTAACATTCACGCACATGCGCAAAGGATCCCAGTTCGCCCGGACGTTGTAAATAGAGAATAGGAATCTAATTCGCCAATCATGATTGTAAGGTCGTGCCGTTTAAATTTAACAGGATTTAAGCCAGTATTTCGTCGTTTTAGTTCATCTTTTGTAAGTGTTTCCAGTAGATTTTCTACTAATATTCAATAAGCACCCTTGATTTGTTTTCAACCTGTTCAAAGAAAATAATAATATTAAGAAAGGCCGAGCGATAATTAGTGTATTCATTTAATAAAAATTCCATTGTAGTTTCCCGAAGAAGAGAAGGCAGGAGATGGATACATTAAATATAAAGAAAAGAGTGTTTCTGCTCCAGACAGAAGATGGGTGGTAGAGAGTGACCATTGGAAAGAACAAACTAGAAAAGGATTTCCATTAGAGAAACAAGAAACTCTTCACGAAAATTTTGAAACTTCAAGAAACGAAGCGGAATGGAAAGCTGTACAATCGTTGTTACCTTTAAAAGAAATACCCTTACCTCCTAAGCACAAGTCGTACCCAACACCTTCAGGATGGGTTCCTCCTTCGTCTACTCTGCCAGATGAAAAATATCACATTAGAAGAACACGTTTTCATCAGTTACCGGTTTATCTTGAAAGCCGATTAGGAGGTTGGCATCACCTAACCGTAATACGTTACTGCGATGGCGACCTTTGGGCATTGGAAGCTGACCTAAGAGCTGAAATAAATAAAGTTAAAGGAGAAGAACCACTAACCCAAGTTGACGAAGTTTGCGGTAAAGTTCGATTAAAAGGAGCATTTTTAAAAGAAGTATCTGACTTCTTAATATCCAAAGGATTTTAGAATAGAATTTAAATTTAATACAGATAATTCTTTATTTAAACTTTATCGTTAAATTGCATATTCTTGTCTTGTAAAAGAAAAAAATAACTACACTCCTTTGCAATTAGATTTAACCAATGAATATACTATTGACACATCAAAGAGCAAATGAAAAACTGTCACAAAACTAGAATCTAACCTCATTCTAAACTAAACATGTGTTTTGACAAATTACAACAAAAACGAACTTCAGATGGCGACACCTGCAAGAAAGACAGACATAAAGGAATTCCAATTACGCAAATAAAAATATAGAGGTCGGGATATACCTGAATCAAACTTTACCTGTAGTTAACCTGATAATGAATGTTTTTCTCCTGGAAGAGGGTAGCATCATAAAAACTTTTATAACTCTATTATTTTTATTAGGTAAGTTATTTAAAAAGCGAAAAATTAATGATATTTCAGTGGATTTTAGCAAATAAATAATTTTTTTTGCATTATTTTTATTTATTTATTTTTTTTAAAAAATAGCAGATTTGGCTTTATGCGATTATGATTGTCATGAAAACTTTAGTCACTATAAAGGATACTTTTACGAACCTTACATTCCTTCAAACAATCCATTATCAACTAAACGTTGCACATATAGATTTCAAATAGAGAATATTAAAAAAAATGCTATACTATGTATAGATTTTTCTTCAACGGGAATTTACCTACACAGTAACAATAAATGCAATTCTGACTATGTGGAAATTAATGCATCTCCTGTGAATTTTAATAAAATAAATATAACAAAAAGTTCTAGTTTATTTTGTGCTGATGGATCTGCAACATCGAAAGATTCTCCTCTCAAGTCAATCAATCAATTTCCCTTTTGTTGTACGGATTTGTTATATTTTTAATTAATATTACTTCTTTAAACCATAGAGATATTATGATTAAGCATGTTTTTAATCTAAATGCTACTTAATTAATAATTCTAGGGCACAAACATTGGAGAGGATTAAGCGTTTTCCATGGAAAACAAGAAGAAACATACGATATAACAATGGATGTGTTTGTTACAAATAATTCACACAAAATGTTTAATGGTCGTTATAGGATCTTTTATTCCGATTTTAACGTTAAACTTCAGGATATAAAGGAAGAAGTTTTCTATTATTTCTCAGGTATGTAGTAATTAATAATAAAAAACAACAACACAAGAATAAGATGCTAAATACACAGCAAAAATAATTAATTTCTCTTCTTCTTTTTTTCAGCAAATAGCTCGATTGCTTTCAACTGCAATTTTGAAAAGAATACTTGTCTTAATTATATGACATCGCTTAATGCTCATATTAATAATTCACGTGCATGTTTAAACACTGTAGAAAGTTTGTTTTAATTAATTCTTTAATTAATTCAATTACAATTACTAAAATAGTTTTTTACTTTATAATTAGATAATCAATTGATGTGTTTTCGAAAATTTCCTAGTATTATCAAGTTTACGAAAGCTATTGAAATGCGTAAAAATGTTGAACATTGTTTGTCTTTTAGGTAAATTATAAGATTACTTTAAAATATATAGATAGTGTAAATAATCAAATTAAAATGTTACCTTTAGATATTGGCCAGGAACCAGCTATCTTAAAGTTACGGCTGAACTAAAAACGAAACTTTTAACTCGAGCCAGTAGCGACGAATTAACTTTGGTGTCGACAAACGATTCTCGTAGAACTGGTTATTGGAGAAGAATAGAAATTCCAATATCGAAATATTACTATGAAGTTGATAAGGTTACTTTCTAAGGGTTTTAAGAGAGAAAGAAAAGAATTAATATATATATTTTTTACAGTTGAAATTTCATATACAAATGAAAAATTTAGAATATTCTCCAGCAGCAATCGATGATATTGAAATATGGAATACAAACTGCAAAGGTCAAAATTTTCATTGTACATTTGATATTGGATTTTGCAATTGGAAAGCACTGTATTTTGTAAGAAGAGCTTTTCACAGCAAAGACTTTGCTATCTCCTCTGGAAAATATTTTATTATAGCCAATCATAATGCTTCCTTAGCCCTTCCTTATTTCCTTCTACCGTCCCATCACACGTTCTGTATAAGATTTTTTTATAAGATTAGTGGAAGAGCTCGCTTACTGGTTTATCCAAATTTTTTAAATCAAAAGCTTAAGAGTACAGCATTATTTGAGGTAGATAGTATAAGAAATACCATACAGACTGATAAATGGTTTAGATTCGAAAGAACCGTGTTCCTAAGTATAGGAGATATAAGAAATAAACTACAACTTGTCTTTAAAGTTATAGCAGAAGGCAAAGAGGCTTCAGTGTCGTTGGACGACGTTACTTTTATCACAAACGTCTGCATGAATAGTAAATATATTTGTGTATTATTCAAGGAGAAGAATGTCGGTTAATTATTGAATTTTCTTTTCCATGCTAGGAAAAAGCCCGACGGTTTTACCTTCGTTTAAACCTTGTAAATCAGACGAATTTCAATGTTCAGAAGAATGGTCTAGGTATAATTGTATCAAATCAGATTATCGATGCGATGGAAGATTCGATTGCCAAAATTCGAGAGACGAACAAAACTGTCCCACAACTCATGGTTAGATTTCGCTTATATCTCATTAATTGAGCAAATTTAAAATGGTATCCCGTTTCCTTATGATTATTTCAGCACCTAGAATTGGTATTTTCATTGGAATATCATTGGGTCTGGTATTATTGGTCATGTTAAGTGTTATAATACTCTTACTACTAATCCGAAGGCGTAAGATAAGAAGATCGAACGAAACTAATATAGATCACGCAATAGAACCAACTCATCTAGATATACATGCGAAACTTCCAGCCTACGAAGATGTAGTATCGCAGGCACCACCACCTTACTCAGACGTTGTTCAGCCACCACCCTATTCAGAAGAGGTAAGGGAAACTAACGTTTAGTAGATATACCAAAAAATGCTAAATATTGATAAAGACTGAAAAGATAAAGAAGAGAAGATAAACTAAAATTAAAAACAAATTAGCCTAACCTTTTCTTCTTTTTTGTTTATTTAATTATATTTTAGTGAGTTTTTATTTATAAAATTTCGTTTAAACACCAGTTTTTTTTACAATTTTCCAATTATATTTATACGTTTGTTTACATATAAAAGCATGTCTATTTTTGTTAAAATTCCTTTTTTATTAATACATTTGACGCATGGCAAATAAAACTGAAATTATTTGGAGTATTCCCCTTCCAGTTGATAGATATGATGCTTTATTTATTCTATCATCATCGCTAAATAGACTCATAACATATGGAGGATTTTCAACGCATTTGTATTCGATTCCTTTCTGTTTCAATAGATCTTTTATCTGATAAAGGGATTTGTCTCCTTTACAAGTCTCCCTTAAAGAAAATATATCGATTGATTTCGTTTACTTAAACAATTTTAAGGGTTTGCTTACGTCACTGCCTGCCCCGGTTTAGCTACGAGTACGACTTCGAGGGTTTTTATTTTATCTTTTGTCAACGATGGTAGTTCAACTCTTCCAAATGTCCTATAAGGTTAATGGGTTATGATAATATTTGCGAACAAATTTTATATATTAAGTAGGTTAAAACTGACGTTTTATTAAAATAAGGATAGAATGGTATCTTTTTACCATTTTTCATACCCCAGCTGGTACTGTTTAGCATAACAGTTAACTGTTCTTCTGCTGTACTTGCAAACTTAAAAAACAGAGAGAAATTAAACATAATTTCAATATTTATTCTCTATTTAGAGTTAAGCTTACCAAATAGGACGCTTGTTCCCAAAATGAACTAGTTGCTGGATTATTATGCTTACAATTTTCGTATGTACGTTCTTCATAACTTTGTTTAATGCATTCACCACAAGGGCAAGGCTGACCGCTACTATTCTTAGAACACCAGTAGGTATTATCAAGAGGATAGCCTAATGTTAGGGAATGAAGGATAATATATAAAGATGAAGACTATATACAGTATATATATATATTGTTTACCTATCAAACTATCTGAAATCGTAAAGAAATAACCAGCTTCTGAAACCTTTGCAACGAAACTATAAAGTTGACTCCATAAAAGTCTTTTTTTCGTCGGTATAGCATCTTTAACAAAATCCGTGACTTCTTTATAGTCTGACATTGTAAATGAACAGGAACCATTTCCGTTTCTAGCATTATCGAATTTAGTCCAAAATGTATCGCAATCTATAACTTTATCCCTTTAAACAGCGTATAAAAACAAGAGAAAAACTTTAGAATATGGCTCTCCTCTTAATAATAGAAAAAAAGATATGATATACTTAGGATAGATATCTCTTTTGCGAACTCGTTGAAAGTATTCACATCTTCCTAAAAAAATTTTCTCCAATCCTTCTGTTGATTGACAATTTCCAAGGTTAAGTGAATACAATATCAAAATGATAGTTGTCGTTATTTTTCTCATCATTTCCAATTGTTAATGGAATCTTTGAAAAAGAATAAATGCAGCTGTTAATTTCTTTATTATAAACCAGATTTTTAACCTATTAAAACACAACTAATCTTATTAAATTAAAGATTACAATTGTCTTATTCGAATTATAAATAAATGTTAAATATATACAATATTATAGATAAAATAACAATTTACGTATTATATAGTTTTCTTATTGCAAAGTAATTATATACTGTTACTATATAAAACTATATATATATTTATAAATAGAAAGGAAGTTGTGGATATTTGATGTTGCGATCTAGACTGATATTAAAAGAATAAAGTATAGGTTAACGTTAGGGAATTTCCGCCTATTTACATTTGTTTTCTATCGAGTTTAGTTAAATAATACTCGAATGGTTAATCTTTAACATAAAAGCATAGCCTTTTATATTACTAATAAATAAGTAATGTTTATTTACATATAAAGAATTTTCTAGTTTAAAATTGCTAATTATGTGCGTAATCTTCCAGTTTTTTTCTTTTCTTATTTCTTTTTGCGATTATACATAACTTTAACAACAAAATACTAAAATCGATTTATTACTATTGCTTAATAGCATATGCAAATATATAATGAGGAATATGTACTATTGCTTGTCACCTACCTCTTGTGTTCTTCTTGATATTTTCAAAAAATTGTTGAAATATGTCCTCACTTTCGAGAAGTGGTAAGTTTTTATTCGAAAGTAGTAAATTTCTTTAACCAAGACAATTATATTTCCGCTCTTTTGAATAGCAAAAACACAATATATACTAGGTATAATTTTACTACAGTTCTCTTCTATACTCATGAATGGAAAGTGAGCTTTCAACTCTAAATTAAATAAACTACAATACGCTTTTAAAATTTGTATAAGCCTACATTTATGATAGGAATAGATACCACACTAGTATGCTTTCGTAAACTGGTATTAGCTTTGGTAAAAGATGGCGGCAAAACTGAGCACTCCAGATGATTATAGTCAAGAAAAACCTTTACGTAAGTCTTACGTGTCTTTTATAATTAACGTGCGTATTAAACCCTCAAGTAGCAAATACTATACGAGTAATTATTTTATCTCTAAGTGCAACGGGCACTTCCTATGATATGATTGCTTAAAATTTTCCTGCCTGGTCATGTTTTCGGTCCATCCATGAGTAGTTTATTATTAATTGTAATTTAATTCTTTGGTCTGCTAAAAGAAATTGCTTTTGAAATGCATAATTGATAAAATTTTGATAATTTTCCTCAGTCTTGCCCCCAACTCATTTTGTTGTACGACAAGAGGAAAAACTAGAAAATAATGAATCTACGGAGAGGGAGAAAGAAGTTCAAGAATTACAGATTAACCTTCAGAAACGTTATGACGATGCTCTACTAGAAATGAAAGAGCTTAAAGAACAAATTCATAAGTTTACGGAAAAAAAACGAGATATAGTGAATATATATGAGATGTTTTTTTAAAGCTATCCTAAAACAAAACTATACACATGCAGGTTGAAAGTATAAGCCCTATGCAGCAGTTAATGAGTCCACTATTTCACACAAATGCTGTTCAGAATCTACACGAAATTATAGATACTCAAAAGAAAGAAATAAATATTTTATCAAAAGAGCTCGAAACTTCAAAAGTATGTCATTTAGATAGAGATTATTGACATTATTCTCTTTAGATATTAATCTTATTATAAATATAATTATCGTATAGATTACCTACGAGAAAGAGCTAATGAAAAAAGAAACGGAATTCTCTATTAGAGAAAGAAATTTTCAAGAAGAAATAAGAATCTTGAAGTCACATTTAGTCGAATTAAAAGAGGATAAAAAAGTTTCTATTACAAATTTAGAAGAGAAATTAAAAGATGAAGAAAATAAATATATTTCGACAATTAATCATTTAAAAGAGAAATTAAACGACAAAGTAAATACTTTAGAAGATAGTCTTTCAAAGATAAATAATGAAAAAGATAGTTTAGAAAATGATTTACAACGTTTAAAAAAGGAAACGGAAATTAGAGAAAAGTTTGTTTTATATATTATACCTGTTTAATCATTTAGAAAATGATTTATATTTATTCTATCTATATATGAAAAGGGAATTGGAATTGGTAGTATCAAGTCAAAAATCCGAATTAAATAAACTTAAATCTTACTTGTCCGAAGCCGAACTGGAATCTTCTGATAGAACTAATCAAAGAATAATAAAAACTTTACAAGCTAAAATTGAGGTATGAATATTTTATTGAGGATAAGAACATTAATATTTTGTATTTATATTCTTTTATAGAGTTTAGAAAAGGAAGGTGAACTTTTACAAACAACAGCCGCTAATACAAAAACCAGATTCGATTGTCAAAATCAAATTTTATGCACTCAAGAAAATGAACTAATGAAATCTATACAAAAAAGTGAACAAAGAGAGAATCTATTAACAAAGTTTGAAATAATTTACTATTATTTCTATATAAACTAATTATTATATTATAAACTTTTTATTAAAGATGGCGTCAAGAGGTATGGAAATTATTAGTAAAAACAAAGCAAAAAGAAGCAATTTATAATAAAGAGAAATTTGAATTAAAAAATAAGGTATATAGTAATATTCGATTTATACATATACTGTATATCTATATTTCTTTATATATTTAGATAACTATTTTAAATGAAAAATGCGAAAGTAATGAAAATCAAATAAATATTTTAAAGCATACTATAGACGATAAAAATGCAGAAATTAGCATTTGTAAAAGTGAATACGAAGTTAGTTTATTAATATTTCAAATATATAAATAATTAGTTTAAATAATTATTTGTGTTTTTTTTCTATTTTTAGAATGTGAAAAGGGAATTAATTTCTGTTCAAAGAATTACTGTTGATATTGATGATCAGTATCAAAACGCTTGTAAATGTCTTGGTAATGTTTTCAATATGGTTAAGAGGTTTGTTTATTTTATAATAAAATATAGTTTTGTTAATAATAGGTAATTTCTTATTTGTTAAAAGTCTATCTGGCGAAATAAAGCGACACGAGGATTTCTGTTCTGATTTATCCTTGAAAATACTATCTTTTGATAGAAGGATATCCTTTGCCGGAAACAGAATACAATTTATTCAAGGTAAACTTTATATCTATGTTGAAAAAGTAAGAGAACGGTTAATAACTACTATGATACGAAAGGATATTCTCTTATATAAAATCCTTTAGCTTGTACTTTTAACCCAGTTTAGAATTGATTCTCGATTTTCGTACATTAATTGATGAGCATTTATCGTTTGGTTCGCAAAGTGTTCACTTCCCGTATTATAACTATGATTAGTAGGAACGTTACTTCTACTAATGGATAAGCTAGTTTCATCGAGAATTTGTCCGCCGTTATTGAATTCAATATCTCCCAAAACGTATAAATGATAAATATCATTATCTGGTGTTTCTCGTCTCCTATTGCCGTGATTCTCAATATTTAATTCTTCGTAGTTTTCAGAAACGTCATTTTCGTAGTGCGTAGAGCGTTCTCTATTATTTTCACAATTGCTAACGCAAAATGTCTTTTGAGGTATATTCATATTCTTATATTTGTATATTACAAATATAATTAACATAATTAATAAGGAAAAGCCAATAAAAAAGCAAGGTAGAATAATTTTTAAATGAGAATCATTAGAATTTGTTGTTTTTTGTTTTTTAAAGCCATCTAACGTTTTATTCCAACTATTAATCATTACATAGGGATTTTGTCCTCCGCTCATACCTGTAATAGAATAAATTCATTAGCATATTATACTATTCTATAAACTTTATAGTTCATAATTAGAATTCTCGTACTTTCAGATTTAAGATAAAATTTAAAATCATTTAAATTACAATTAGATTTCATTATAAGAGTAAATCTCATTCTTAAGTTTTTCTTTTCGTATAAACAGAAAGACTCCTTATGAACGTTCGTCATACTTATATTGTCAGTAGATAACGTGTAATCTATTATACAAGGATGTTCCATTGTTGTAATAATATCCGACTTCATATAATTAGTAATAATAACAATTGTACAATTAGTTCTCTCTTCAAATAGCTTCATTTTTAAACCGCAAACTGAACCAGAATTCCTGTCAAATAACGAGAACGATTGACATATTTGATAGCTTTTAGAATGGCATTCTTTTTCCATTCTACATTCTTGTTCTAGAAGAATAATATCTTCAATTAAATAATACCAAATCAATAAAACATACAAATATTTTAAAATCATTATTTTGGGATTAAAATAAAAACAATAGGTTATTTATAAGTATTAAAATATTTATAAGCCTATATTAGTGATTATTTCTACATTGCCCCGTATTTCTTACTTAGTTATTTAGTTAGTACTCAAAAAGAAACTACTCAATTGTAAAGTATAAATTTTTTATTTTAATTCTTTTTTTAGACCAATTAACGAACAGACAGTATCAACAGCAACAACAGTATAAAGATATTGAAAAAGAGGAATTAAGATGCGAGTTAAACGATATAAAAGTCGAATTGGAACGAGTTAAATCCGAAAGAGCAAACTTAATTAAACAAGTTAGAAATGATAGCGAACATATTGATGATAAGATAAGAAAAAATGAAAAAATATGTAATTAATATCTAAATTAAAATTACAAAAAAAAAGCAATAATTTTATAATATTTATTTATTTAATTAAAAAGATACGGACGAAATTAATCAATTAAAGAATCGAATTGGCGAATTGCATGCTGAAAATTTGGCTATTGAAGAGAAAAAAAACTATTTAGAGAAGAATTTGGAGAAAATACAAGAAAATGTTACTGAACTTGAGAATTGTTTGGATGCTGAGAGAAAGAATTTAGTAGAAAGTAAGTTATTAATTATATTATCCCTATCTGACTCTCTGACACATACGCATACACATTCTCTCTATCTATCTGTCTAAGTATGTTTAATTCTGTTTAATAGTATTTACACTTTCCTTCTTTTCCCATCAAACTAGATACTGAAAAAGCTAAACAAGAACTAAGAATTGAATATTCGGATCAAATTAATGATTTACAATGGAAATTAACAGAAAGTAGGAAAGAACAAACTAGAGCAGGTTCTATTTTTTTATTCTACTCCATCCTTAGTTTATTCGTTAGTTTATAATTTTATTATTTTAGTTTTGAATATACGCCAATTGGAAAGATCTTTAGAGAGATGTAAACAGGATCTAGAGATGGAGAAACATAATGTAATTGAAGAAAATGATAAAATTCGAAAGCATTTACAAAGCTCCGAAAGAGAAAAGAATATTCTTATTGGAAATATAAATGATTCTTTATTTAAAGATTATTCTTCTTTACGAAAAAAGCCAGCTAGTTTTTATGAGAATGGTAATTTTAAATTCTTTAATGTCTTCTTCCGTTAATTAAATTCACTATTTTAAACATGATAATCAATTTAGAAGAGAATAAGAATATGGATAATCTTTTGGAAGAATTGGAAGAACTGTCGTCAGAAACTCTCAGGGATTCGAATGATGTTGAATAGGTTTATTTTTCAACAAGCATTTTAAATATGGGCACAGAGATTTTTATACGAAAATTCTCACTCTCTTTCCTCTCCTCTCCTTCGCTTTCCTTCTTACTCTCTCTCTCTCTCTCTCTTCTACGCTCGTTCTCGCTCATTCCTTATCTTACTATAACGTTTATGAAAAACTTGAAAAAAATAAAGGAGAGGAAAATAATCGTTCTAGTAACGCCATCTCGTAGCCATATCTGCCAAATAATATTAATGTTAATATTTTTTAGTCTATCTATTTAAAGCCTAAAGTAACTGAATTTTTTTCAATTTGTAAAAAGTTCTTATTCTGTTTTTTATTAATATTTGAATTTATAAATAAAAAAAAACCATTTTTTAGGTTTTTTTGTATAATTTTATCAAAACAAAACTGTTTATTTAATCTGGGATGTTTTTTTTATCTTTTATTTAAGATTAGCTTTATACAGAATTCCCTTCTCTTTACATAGCGAAATTGCATAATTTTTTATGATATGAATAACGTGATCCTCCTTGCAAACTTGACTATTGAATTATATCTAGAAATTCATCAACGACGTAATATATATAATCAAGTAGTAAACTAATATATTATATAGATAAAACGATTTTCTTTCACTAGAATATAGTAGATAACAATCACTAGAAATTAAAGAACAACTCCTCTTGAATTTATGATTTCTCGTGAATAAATCGCATATTTGTAGTTAATTCAATTCTATCGTGAATATATTCTTGAATAATTCCAGCTTTTGGACCTTTTTCACTGTCGTCCGATTCTATTACATTATTCATTAATTCACGAATACCCCTAAGTCGGATAATAATGGCACTATGGTCATTTGCATGAGCTCCTATTAATATACTGTCGGGGGTATCTATCGTTAGGCCTACCGGAAATATAAAATCCTCTTCTATGTATAATGGCCTTTCCAGAGGTGAACTTTCGTAAATTTCAGAATTGAGTTTTATCGGATCACTTATATACACTATCCGCCATATAGGCTCAACGCTTAGGACGACCAAATGCGCTGTATAAAATCGTTTCGACGTTCTCTCTTTGAATAACGTATTGTGAACGATGCTGATATAATAGGGTTGTTTGTAACTTAAAAAGGGGGTTCCCCCACGCAAATGAATTGCGTAATCTCTAAAACCGTCTTGAAGTTTTTCCTGATGAATAAATTTACAATCCGCCTTTAAAGGTAGTCCATCGCATTGAAGAACTCTTAACGGATCAAGACTATGAATAAAGTATAAGTTATCCTTATAAGTTAGAGACATCCAATGCTTATCTCTCTTCATTCCAGAGTTTTTCAGATCTCTTAGTATTGGGCTTCCTCCTACAGAGTTTGAAAAGACTAATGATGCATTCAAATACAATTTGTGTTTTAAGTACCTGTAATCTTTGGAAAGATGGGAATATCTCTATTATAATTCCAAAGAACGGTGCTATCTACGCTCACTTTCCTTGATAAAGCCATTGCAACGTTAAACGACACGTACGCTTCTCCTTTAAACTCGAATAATCTTGGTTCAATTGGACCATCTCCTACCCAAAACTGTTTAGGTGATGGTATGCCTAAAAATTTACCCGAAGTGATGGGCGACATATTACTATCAAATGTTTGAGTGTATAATATATTATCGTAAAAATCGTTGGATGGCCAATTCTTCTTTGCCTCATATTTCTCTCTTACAAGCCAAATTCTTGATACTAATAATAGATTATCTTTGTACCAAATTATGGCTGGGCTATTTGCGACAATTGTCTGTTGCTTTATTGGGTCGATAAGCCTCCTTTCAACTTCGTGTTCGATATAAGGCGTGAAAGAATGAGCTAAAGATGAAATAGTATTTACGGTTAATTTCTTGGATGCTCCCTTTTCATTAAACATTGATCCAGAAAGATCAAACGTATAATCATACGTATCGGGAGTTTTCAGTTTTCTCTCCCACAACGCATGCATATGATAATAATTATTTATTAGAAATAATGTAAAAGTAACAACTGATAATACTCCAATACCAAGCACCAATTTCCTTATAAATCCTTTGTTGATGTTGAGAATGCGCATGATTTCTTCACAGAAGATGAATACGGAGAATTCGAAATTTAATTGATTACCGAATAAGTAATGAAGAATTAGATTTTTCCAAAAAGCAACTTTAAGGCTGGTCACGTTTCTCAGGCTGTCACGATTTCAATGCAGGTTGATAGGCATAAAAGGGTAAGCAAAAGATATTCAATATTACAAATTGTGCTGCCATCTCTTGTATAATTTTACAATGTAGTTTCTTTTAATAAATGAACAGTGACAATAAGAGTAATTAGGTTTTTGTATTTTATTAAAAACAAAGGTAAAATATAAAATCAAAAAATTTTATATCTCAAATATAGAACTAAGGAAACTTTCCAAATGTCCTAAGATGCTTTCAGAATCAGTAACGCTATGAGCCACATAGGATCCTCCAACAATTTCTAATCTAAGAAACAAATGCTTGCAGTCGGGAAGAACAAAGGCAAAGTATTTTTCAGTTTTAGACTCTAACGAAAGAGATAACTATTTAGTATTTATTATTTAAATAATTATTAATTAATTAAAGACCTTTTATTAAAAAATAATAGGCTCTGCAATTGTTAACGACATTCTTTAATCCTTGAATAGATTTATAACTTTTCTTACTGTTTAATAAATGAAATTTTTCTTTAAAATTACGAAATACATAACTATTTTCTCAACTCACTCTTCTAGATAATGACTCATTAACGTGTCGAAATATCGTTCATAATTTTGCTGACTACTGATTTCTTCAGTTGGGAGTCGAAGACACTCGACTAGGTCAAACACCGAAATCGTCATCGGTTCCAAGTTTGTATAAAAAGTTTGAAATGAATCATTAAACCATGTAAGTCTGTGGATATCCCCGTTTATCATATATAAAAGATATTTATAGATTACGAAATACTTTGTAATAATTGTAAAAGGCATAGACAGACGAGTCTGAAATTTGATTTGAAAGTTACCTTCGTTACTCATTGTCAAATGTGAAATTTTAACATCTGAAAGCATAGCTTTAAGTGATATGAGTAATAATTATATTTCTAATACCTTCGATAATAGAACAGAATGTTGGCGTAGAAAATTGTAGTTGAACACAATAAGCTGAGCCAACGTCGCTTGTCTATTTTTAGCAAACTATTAAATTATCTCGTAAACACCAAAAAATGGGAAAATAACCATTTTTAAGCAGCAATGAAGATTAAAAAATTTATCTTTTTGACTGTTCTTTACAAATTGTTGGTATTCATTGATATCAAAAGAACATTCTTTATCCTCTTGAACGTCAGTGTATATAGTTCGTTGAGGCATTAACCTTTCATGTCTAGAGCATAAGTTTCACATTTTTAAGTTCATATTGCATCATTTTTTTTGTCTTCTAATAGATAAAAAAATAAAAACCGTAAAAGTTCAAAACTTGATTCGGCAAAAGTATAGGCCGATAAAGGTTCAGATTTTTTTAAGACAATTTCCGCTAATTGGTCAGTTTTTTCCTCACCAGACATATCGAACAATTTTCTTAACTATTAAATAATACAGAATATACGGAATAGATGACCTAGATAAAATAGAATTTATCAATAAATAAAATACCTTAGCAATAGTAAGTGACGTTAATAGTTCATAGTAAAATTTTGCTCTATCTCTTATATCAGTATCGTCATAATTCTCACAAATAAATAGAAGAATCTTTAATATATCTATAAACAATTGCTATATAGATATTACATACATATACTGTATAAACGTTAATCTTACCTTCGTTGTAATCTCCATTAACCCTATTAATTATCATTTCCTTACATACAGATAACAGAGTACAGCCATCGCTCCAAGAGCACGATTTACTCGATTGTAATATTTTCCCAATAAAGAATAAAGGTAGCTACAATTAAAAAGCAAGATTATTATACATATTAATTACCTAATTAATTAATTAATTATTAACCTTTATAGAAGATTCTTGACAAACGTAATTTAATATATAAGCGTAATGTTGTAATTTTCCATTCTGATATAAACGTTCAGTATCAATATTATTAATATTCTCTTGTAAGCAGTTAATAACGTCTCTTCTTAAAGCGCTTTAGAGAATTTATAATTTCTATATAATGATTAATTGAATTAATATTTGCCAAACTACTTTTCAGCTGATATCGCTTTCAATCCATTCAAAAAATCTACTAGATGTTTCGAGTAATGTACATGAACGGTTACAATGCTTATTATCATTCTATTAATAGTAATAAGAATTTTATAGTAATATCATATCATCTTTATCAAATAAGGTTCACCTGCAAATTTCACTTTCAAGAACAGGAAAATTTTTATATAGTATATGTAATGAACGAAAGAATGCCGATGCAGATGCCCCTCTAACACCATTTTGAACCATCTTATTTAAACCCACTGTACTACCAAGTAGAATCATATCTTGAATTGCAGCTTTTTATGACAAATACATTATATTTCTATAGATTAAGATTTATAAAATAAGTCATTAATCTTACAAGGTAAATTCGATGATTTTAAGTATAAGCAACAGCAATATATTTTTCTTAATTGGCTGTCGGGTCCGTCAAAAATATTGGGTAATAATTTCTTAAAAAACGAACCACTATCAATACTTTGTAATATTGAAAAATCATAATCGTTCGACTATAGTAAAAAATACCATAAATATATTTCTAGAATGTAGAGTATAAGTGATTTTAGAGGTTAAATAAGTTACTTTTATCATCCATAAGAATAGCATCAATCTCTCCCCTACTGTTGTATATGGCGAAGATGCCAATGAAACAATTGTTTTTACAAGACACGAATGTTCTTCTTTCGATAATAAATCAGTTTTGAACGTATTTTTTAAGAATATTAAGAGATCGACTATTTGCATGTTTGAAGTTAACAAATGCCTGCTAACACGGCTTTTTAACAGCTATGGTAAGAAAAAAAGAATTATAAATAGCTCGGCATTATTAAATTATAGCTGGGTATTATTAAGTACACTTGAACTCTCATTCAGCATATATGTTATTTGTCCAACGTCTCGAACAGCCCGAACATATGCGGGATGTCTGATTGAATTAACGTGCTTCATAACTAAAATTATTGCCAAATTCATTTCTTTTGTTTGAAAACGATGTTCAACTTGTCCCAATCTCAAACTGTCGTTCATTAGATTCTATATATTGAATATGCGTGTGGTATTATTAAAAATTGAAAGTATAACATAATCAGAATAAGTGACAAACCACAGACGACCTTTGCTTCTTAGATAAAAGCGAGCTCATGGCGTCACTACTTAAATTTCTAATAAAAGAATATAGGTTTAAATATTAATTGAATATTTCAGAATAAACTTAACATTACTCTACCTTTCGCTACAAACATAGAAGCAAACATGTTTTAGCAGTAATGTAAACAATAGTAAATAGTTTTGAAATGCGAAAGTATTCTCCAATTTTAATTGTTCGTAAAGTAAACTTATATGGCTGAACAAGATTCCCTAATTAATTTAAAGATATCATTTTAATGAATGAATACAAGGAATTCTATAAACAGATTGTATTACGGGGTAAAAATTCTCTATTTCTCGTAGGCAGTCACATGCGCATGACCTCAAATGGGTATTTGTTGTATTATTCACTTTTTCCGTTATCTTTAGCAACACATCGATCCAAGCTGACAATTGTAGTGAATTTTCTGTCTTAATGTTTTTTGTATGAGTTTCAGAATATGGACCCAATCAGGATATGACTCACTTTTTTTAAACAGCAGACTGTCAAAGATGTTATTGACCTCAACAATTTGCCCTTGAAGATTTTTAAATTGTCATGTATTGCTTCATAGAGTTTAATTAAGGATTTTATGCTGTTAATTTCTCTGTAGGTGTCAACTTACAAATGGCAAGTCACATGAGTACAATATGGATGCTATCAAACCTATTTCCCTTCACAAACAAACATATGTAATTTTCCTGTAGGACTGATAATAATGTCAATTTAACGATTTCCTTGACGTCATCACTATAGAGTGCCTTAAAAAAGTTAACAGTATTATATAAATATATAATTTGTCAGTGGTTTGATAAAATATTAGTATGGTTATTACTAATAAGCAGTTTGCAAAAAATTCCTCTTCATCGCACTTTTCTTGAGATAAAAAATCAACAAAATTTTGCCTAATTCTCCAAATATTCCAAACCCATTTATCTTCTTTCGTGAAAATATCCATAATATGAAAAATCCAAAACCACTCATGTAAAAAATTATTCTCTCTCTACCAGTTATATCTAAAACTTAAATTTAAAATATGAAACTCAACAAAATGATATATTAATATTAGTTTTAATTAATATTATTTAGATAAAATATATATTTTTTTAAATATATATATATATATATAAAAACTATATTCAACTATATTCAACCACTGCTATAACCTTATTTCCGGTAATAGCTGGGTGTAGAGCTTATGAATATCACTAGTTGTTCATTCCTTTCTCCTCAACCATCCGAAAATGATGAATAACCTTCGCCTACTCTCGTTATTTTGTACATGTATATGTATATGTATCCAGCACGTGTCATGTCTCACGGATGAGGACGCGCCATATATGTCGCAATTAAATAACCTAATGATGAAAGTAAACTGTAATTTAAAACTAAAGACATATAGTGATGATGAAGAAGTACATTCGTTCTGCCAAAAGCAACATCCCTATTGTATGATGTCTCTTGTCGAAGGCGGTCAATGTGATAGTTGTTCTCAAGTCTGCAACAGTGAAGAAGTGTCGATACAGCAATGTAAAAATTATTGCCCTGAAGCTTATAAATGGATGCAAGAGCAGAAATCTAAGAAACCCGATAATTCAAAACTTTCTCGGCCGATAATTTATGCAATAATAGGAACCTGCTTAATTCTAATTGCAGTGTTGTGCCTGGTTATAAGATCACTTAAAAAAAAAAAGATAGAAATTTGTTATCAAGCTAGAAAAATGGAGGAGGAAACTGGATGTGTCGCTAATGCGCAATTGGTTAATGGAGTTCATAACTAGATGTAAATTAAAAAAAATTAATTTCTTGTTGAATGATAGTGATAACCATGCAATAACCATGTGAGTCACTGGTATGAATATTCAATGGACTTGCAGACAACTGACTGGCATTTGAGACCCAAAGTTCGAAAGATGAACACGATTGAATTTCTTCTCATACTCTTAAATCTAACCTGGTCTATAGCAGCAGACTGCGATTTGGCAAGTGACGAACAACCTGAGGATTGTAGATCTGACGTCATGATGTCACTATGTAAAAAAAGAGGCCCTTGCTATCCCTCACCAATTTCTTCGTGCACATGTCTCTCCTGCTTGGATATCTGTCGACATGATTCTAACGATGCTGATTCATGCAAGAATTACTGCCCACACTATCTAGAGACCATTACCTATAAAACGAAAAATAAAACCGATAGCGTCGAAAAACTGGGTGATGAGGAAAACCAATGTCATATCAGGTTATTTATATACCCAGTCGTGATTTCAATTATCATTTTAGCGTTATTAATTGGGCTCTTTTTCTTTGGATGTTATTTGATTCGGTCTCACAAAAAACAGAACAAAGATATTCAATATCTCATTGACTTAAACAAAATAGCAAACCAATTATAGTTGCTCAAAAATATTCTTTATTGTAAAATTTAACAAAGATGAATTAAATATGCTTGTCCTTCAGACTTTTAGGTTGAATCTGCAATACGAAAAAATCAGTTGCTATAATTGCTATAAATTTATATATATATATATATATATGTGTGTATAATATAATAGGAAATATTTACTGTATTGTGAAGTTGATGGAAGAAATTAGAAGAGCTTAATCTTTTATCACTATTCTCTTTGATAACATTTATATTTTTATTGCCAGCAGCTTGTTTTGTGAGTTCTGCTAAGGCACTCTTTTTCGTGACTTTTTTATTCTTTTCTAGTTTTTCTTTTCGTACTTTTTTAAGATGTTGAACTTTCTTCTTTAAACGTCTATCTCGTTTCCTGTCTGTTGTTGTTTTTTCCAATGATGATTTTATGTCTCCTTTTCTTTTCATCTATAAACAAATAGGATATTTTAAAAAAATTATTACTTGATGTAATAGTAATACATACTGATATTTCTTCTGGTGCCATCTGACTAACATCGGTCTTGGTTACTGGAGCAACTTCTTCAGCATGAATGGTTGATTGATTGGTTATAATTTTTATATCAGGAGCCGCCTAAGAAACATATATGCTCATCAGTATAGAAAAGGACAAACTAGATTTATGAGTTACTGGTTTTGGTATAAATCTTGAATCTGAAAGAGCATCTAACTTGCCAAACAACGATTGCATATCATCTTTGATTTCCTTGCGGACAGGGTCTTCTCTTTCATCCTCCTCAATGCTCTGTCCCGTCTACATATCAGGGCGAACAGTTAAAACAGATTAAAACATAATAATGAACACACCTGTTTCAAGTATTCTTCTGCATATATTTCAGCAAGACTTTTGGTGCTCTTCCCTTGGTCCAAAACAATCTTATTTTTATAGTCATCTATATTTTCAATTTTCTTTACCTGTAATTTTTTAAATATTTGTTAATACAAGATTCAATCAAATCATTACGGTTTACTTTTCTTTCGACATCATCGAAAAATTTATCTTTAATTCTTTGTTTAATTAGAGTTTCAATTGATAGGTTGTCTTCTTCTGTCATCTCTCCAGAAGGTTTAGCAGAAACATCAAAGTCTAAATGCTCTTGTAGCAATGAATTTTCAGGTCGAGCTTTCGCTGCTACTTCACCCTTTAATTGCCAAGGTTTTTCTGCTAAATTAGTTTCTTCGAGATTTTGTATCATTCCTTTCATCTATTTTAGAATTAAATATGGAATTCTTTATTCTTTTTTAATAGTTTTGATTGATTAAAATACTTTTTCATTTCTTTTTTCGAAAGAAGATTTTTTAACTTGCTTTCCTAAAATATCAGAAGCATCTTCGCCGTCACTATCGGATGCTAAAAGATCTTTTCCTCTGAAATGACAAAGTTTTAATTTTAAATTCATTTTCAAGAGTTTGAATATAGATACCACCTCTTTTCTTCATTTATATCATCACTATCTAAGTCCTCCATCTCTTCATCTTCATTGCCTTCATTGTCTAATTCTCGTAATTCAGCGTCATCGTCGTCCTCGTCACTTGCAGAGACTAGAATATCTTTTAACCTAAAGGCATAAAAAGGAATTGTTCATTTTCGTTACAAATATCCTAATCGAAATAAGCAACAGTTTCATTCAATGCTATTATTTGTTCAAGAACTTAAATGAACATATTATAAAAGTAAATAATTACTTTTCTTCTTCATCGCTTTCTTCTAAATCTGAATCGCCCTCTAAATCCTCTTCGTTTTCAGGAAGTTTTAGTTCGTCTTCATTTTCACGCATATCGTCATCTTTTTCCTCTTCTACTTCTGAGGAAAGTTCATCTTCCCCTCTAAATAAAAAATAGTTTTTTTTCTAAATTGGGAAGATATATTCAACTTTTGAAACGTACTCATCTTGTTTTTTCGAAATAGGAGAGGTCTCAGTTTCCATTTCCTCATCCCCTTCTTTATCTTCATCTTCACTCTCTTCTAGTTCACCGTTAACACTACAGTCTTCTATGCTTTCTTCTAATGATAAATTTTCATGTTTCTTAAGATATAATTCATTATACAGCTCAATTTGTTGCCAAATTTGTTCATCAGTAAAATCGTCTATATAAAGTTTATCAACACACTGCCCACTGGGCAGAGCAATTTTGTAATTCCAATCATATAGAATCTTTGTATTTTTAATGAAAGTTAAGGCAGCCGAATTCTGAGGTCTGTAGAAATGAATTTAAAACTCTAAGCAACTTAGAATCAAGTCTCAATTTTAAAACCTTCACTAGAAAATTCGGGTTTTTTTCTATCACAATTATGATTATTTACCTTAAAAAATTTTCCGATTTGCCGGTTAAATTCGTAACAGAGTCTATTAATTTCGAAAAGCTAAGCACATGTTTAGCTGAAGCCATTTTACCTACAATACGAATCGTTTCGGAAATATCAAAATGTATGTTTTTCGAACCAGACTTCCGGAACTCATCATATCTTCGTGACTAGTTATAGTAACCGAAACAAAATAACAATGGGGGACGACGGTAAATTGCAAAAAATGGAAGTGGATTACTCTTCCACTGTAGACGAAAAGATTCCTGAGTGCGAAAAACTGGCTAAGGTATTTATTAAAGCAAAGTAGAGATTAAAATGGCCTCTTTTAAATTGATATCTTTATTTCGTGCTTTGTCATGCTAGTTTTTATCTTTCAGAATGGAAAACTTAATGAGGCTATTGAGATTTTACTATCATTGGAGAAACAAACTCGCACCGTAAGTAATTTTTCCAATTAAAAATATAGATCGGTTTAATTTCAACAAATTCTCAATGATCACAAATCTTTCTTACAAATATATATTTTTAACTAAATTGTATTCTATCAATCAATTTCTTAGCGTAAACAAATAATTTTTATCAATTATTCCTTGTTAACGTTGAATTTTTTAAAACGAAATAGTTTTGTTTGAAAATATAATATTTTCATATTAAATATATACTTTCAGGGTGCTGATATGCATTCAACGGCTAAAATTTTAATTGCAATTGTTCGAATGTGTTTTGAGCAAAAAAAGTGGGATTTATTAAATGAGAATATACTAACTTTGACAAAACGACGAGGACAATTGAAACAAGTTTGTTTCTGGAATATCTTATTTGATTGCAAACTATAAACTATAATAAAATTAATAAACAGGCAGTAACGAAAATGGTACAAGAAGCAATGACTTATCTTGACAAAACCCCATCTTTAAACATAAAGCTGAAACTAATTGATACTTTAAGGACAGTAACTGCCGGAAAAGTCTGTACTAATTAAGATGTTTCGTAAATTATACAAATAATATATAATTGTTATTAATGCTATAGATTTATGTTGAGATTGAGAGAGCTCGTCTTACCAGAATCTTGGCAAAAATTAGAGAAGATCAAGGCGATATTAATGAAGCTGCTACGATTCTTCAAGAACTCCAAGTAGAAACATACGGTTCTATGGAAAAGCGCGAAAAAGTTGAGTTCATATTGGAACAAATGCGCCTCTGTTTGGCCAAGAAAGATTATATTAGAACCCAGATTATATCCAAGAAAGTTAGTTCTAAATTCTTTGATGAGAAAACCGAAGATTTAAAAATAAAATTCTACGAATTAATGATTGAATTGGACGAGCATCACCAGTCATATTTGGCAATTTGTAAGCACTATAGACAACTCTTGCAAACAAAAGCAATTCAAGAAATGACAGCTAAGAGAAATGATGTAATTTTTTTCTCTATGTTTGTGCTTTTAGAATCTTTAAATTCTTTTTGAAATTCAGATGATCAAGGCCTCAGTTCTTTACTTGATATTGGCTCCTTTCGATAACGAACAGTCGGATTTAATACATCGCGTTAAAGGAGAAAAAGAATTAACTACTGTACCTGAATACAAGTATAATTTTACAAAGAGTTTTCCTATCATTTACTAAAAAACAATGCATGTAAAATTTCAGGAAATTGATAGAATTTTTCACCACCGATGAATTGATGAGGTGGACTGAAATCAAGCGTGATTTCGAATCAGAATTGACCAGCGGAACAGCAGGAAGTTCAGCAGCAGCCATTTTCAATACTAAAACCGATCAGGGTACTTCTAGATGGAAAGATTTCAAAGTTCGAATTGTCGAACATGTAAGTAAAAGTGCTAAATATGAAAATTTTGTATAATTTAGTTTACCAATTGTTTGTTTCTTTTTACTTGTAAAGAATATAAGAGTAATGGCTCAATACTATGTCAGAGTTACACTTAAGCGAATGGCTGAATTGTTAGAATTGACGGAAGCCGTAAGTTTTGAAAAATTAATTTCCATAAATTCTTTACGGAAGAGTTTGACTTTTAGGAAGCGGAAGAATTTCTCTCAAACCTTGTAGTGAATAAGACAGTCTCGGCGAAAATTGATAGACTGGATGGAATAGTCCAGTTTAGGTAGGATTTTCTCTGAGTAAGAATTTAATAAGCTAATATATTATTCTAATATTTTTAGTTCGGCTAAGGATCCAAATAGTATATTGAATGATTGGAATCATAGCGTCGTACAGTTAATGAATCACATAAACAAAGCAACTCATCTTATAACTAAAGAACAAATGGTACACAAAGTAAAATGATAAGTTTCAGAGTTGTAAAACCTTTTTGTAAAGTTACGATTGATATCGAATAAACGATTAATATCGAAGTTTTAATTTGGAGCATTTTTAAAGAGCATTTTATAAGCTAAGAGCGTTTACGATTCTGTTAAAGAATTGAAAGGCTTTGGAATTGACAAATAAAAAAACATAAATTTAACAGTAAAAAAATAATTCGGGTATTTGACCACCATGGACACCAGTTCCATTCGTTGATTCAGGGGAAGTTCTGAACGTAAAAGTAACACCAGCAGATGTCCTTACTTCACTAGCACCCTCCTGTCCAAAGTAAGACAAATCCGTGCCGTCCAAAAGAACGCTGATTGTATAAACAGCACCAGGCAAAAGTGTTAATGGATGATGAAGATTTATAGAGAGGGGAGTGACTGTTCCACTTGTCCTTAAAGATGTGTCTACTCTGGACAATAAGACGCTTGATGCATTTCCACTTACTTGCTTAACTTCCAATCGAACGTCGTAACTTGATGGGTCAGAATTACTACTTCCATATAACCCAACACCAGTCAGCCAAATCTTTTTATCGACTGAGACAGTAATTGCATCAATACGACCTCTGTACCGCCATTGATTAGACCTAAATGCTGCTGCAGCAAATCTAGTAACTCTATGTCTTGGTAAGCCGCATCTTGATTTTGAACTGAATTTGGAGACTAGTACATCGTCCTCATTTATTTGCTGTTGTTGCTGACTGCCGGTTAGAATGATAAATATGTCGACCGTTTCTTGTAGACTTAATATTCCAGATTTAGCGACAATGTCAGCGAATAATTGAACAGGCATAGCTGCCAAACGAACGTTATAGATGCTTTCGCCTAAAAGTTGTCTAATATTTTGACCAGTTTCCTCTAAAGATTGCCTAATACATTCGGCTTCAGCCCAAGCGACAGTCGCCTTCCAGACAGTAATCTCGTTAACGACAAGCGTATCCCTACAAAGTATTGCATCTAGAGTTCCCTTGTCCACTTCACATATACCATTACTGCTGAGGGCTTCCTCGGCTTGAATATCAATAACCTGCCAACATCTGGAGGCTAATTCATTTTCATCTAAAAGACGTGCTCTACTTAATAATAAAGCAGCGTTTTCTGCCGTTAATTGCGTCTGTTGAAATGTAGATTTTTCTTTATAAATTGATAAAATATTCAAATGTTTAGAATGATTTACCTCTAAATAAGAGACGCATCTTCGAGCTAGTATAGAGACCATGTACTTTTTGGCTGCATAAAGAGTATCTAATACTAAATTGGCTTCAACCTCCATTTCATCACAATATAAATATCTATAAAAGCCATTAATTAATTAAATTGACGTGAATAAATTATTTAAAACATAAGAAAATAAAGTTATTTAACTGTTTTAAATTACCTGAGTAAATTCAGGAAAGCATGCGGTTCAACGTCTGACACTTCTATAACATTCTGTGACGTTGATTCGGATACTTGAGCAAGTGTTCCATAAAACATTGCGTGGAATACAGAGCTCCCAGTGGCTAAAACATATTTATGAGCTGGTATGGATTTGACGTTTGGAGGAGTGCCCACTTCAAAATGAACATCAGCCATTAATTCAGTATTGAAGACTGCCGCATTGCGTTCTCGTACTGTCGATTTACTTGCCAATTGCCATGAACTATTTGATTCGTAGTCTGTTGAAGAGTACGAGTTACTTTGAAGGGGTTCAGAATCAACTTCTCCCCCCCAGATTTTTACATGAGTCGAAAACGTTTCACTAAGTATTTCTTGATTCACTTCTCCTTCGCTTTCTTGATCCTCCAACTCGTCATCACCATCTTCTGCGCTATCCGCTGGCAAATTAGTAGTTTTATCCATCGGCATCCCGTAGTGAACACAACCAGCTGACATCTCGAATGTAATCTACATGAAAAATTAATGAAATTTTGCAGGTCGTTCCTTCGCTTGCATATTAACTATTCATTGATTTTATGAGTGAATAATTTATCTCTAGAGAATAAATGCGATCAATTCTGATTCGTATCGAAATTAATATACTGTTTACAACGCCATGTTCGTAAGGTCTGTTTCCCGCCCTTCGCTTGCTAAGGGTATTTCTGGGTTGGAGGGCGTAACCAGTCTCTAATCTTTAAGACAATAAACCAATAATAAACGTGTCGTTAAAAGAATAAAAGTACTATCGAACTATATAAATCACTAAAATTACTGGAACAAAAATAAAATAGAACATAAAAAAAAACCAATTGTTTTCAAATCAAAGAAATAGAAACTTTTCCAACATTCCATACATTTCTGTTTACAATCTTAAATAACAAAATGTCAATTTGAATATTATACAATTGATTTGTTGGAGAAGGGAATGTCTGTTAAAAAAATAAAAAAGAATAGAATAAAATGAATATTGTTCTATAAATAGAATTAAATATTTTTTTATTATTTTAAGTAAAAGAAAATTCATGGCCTAAGAAATCAAGGACTTAAAAGATAAGAAAAAAAATAAGCTGTTTAATCATTAATAAATATACCATACATATATATTTACGTATATATAGATATATTGTATATGAAAGTATAGAATATAAAAGTGTATAAATAGTTCATCTACACACCAAAAATATGGAATATTAAACATTAATTACATAAAATATAAAAAAGAATATTTATATCATTATCTTTGTTTACATATCTTTTTTTTTTCTTTCAGGAAAATTTGTTCTTTAATTCTTCTTGGAATTTTATTACGTAAAGAAAAAAACAATATTATCACCTAGAACAATAACAAGCTCGTGGGAATGTATATATACAAATATATATATATATATATATTTAAAGAAACTGTCCTACTTTTAAGACATATTTAAGTTGACCTCTCAAATGATATAGAAAGTATTTTTGTAAATTTTTATACTTGCTTTTTAAAGAGTACAAAATGTTTTGAAAGGTAAAAAGAGAGAGAGAGAGAGTGCGGTTGAGGGAAAAATAACAAAGAGAAAAAGACATATAAAGCCTAATTTTAATAAATACAACTCAATTAAAAAATATAATAATCTATAAATTGATACGAATGTATAATTTCTTCTAGCAATCTCTCCCTAATATAACAATTTTATGAATATTTTTGTCGCATTCTTACACTTTTTTTTTAATAAAAAAAAATTCCATAATTTTTTAAATTCTACCATAAAAGTTTCCTTATCTTTATAATAAGTATTTTATTTTTTAATTAAAATACTTAAAAAAAAAAGAAAGAAGCTTAGTATTTAAAAAAAGTGGACTGCAATATCTAATAACATCTTATCTTATGGTCTGTCAAACAGGAAAGTACTGTTTGATACTTTTAAAAATTGGTTCTTAAAATTTTCTTTTCCAAAGTTCTATTTGTTTCTTGGACATTAATTACTATTTTATCTATATTTCTCTCCATTTTCCATGTTTTCTCTATTGTATATTGATACTAAATTATCATTGATTTGAACAATAAAAATCTTATATTCAGTAAAATTCAAAAGTTCACCCTATCTTGATTCTTTTTCTTTTTTTATATTGTAGTATCTTATCTATAGACTAACGGTCAAAAGAAATATTAATTAGTAGTTTAATGATTATTTTACTCATGCGTATGAAAAACAAGTGACACTTGAATTTTTTTCAATTGAAACATGTTCACTATATCTAGTTGTTAACATGCTCCTACATCGTATAATGATACATAATAATCTTAGGGCTATATTTTATAATATTTAAAATTAAAGTGTTATCTAAATCTAGATAATTGAAGTATTTACCAAGATTGCAGTTTGAATAGAAACAGTATTCAGTCTTAATTGTAACATTGAACAGCTGACGATGAAAGTTAGAAACAAATATATTCAAATAAATAATTCCTTTTATTGTTTTTATTCTATTTTCCAGTTTTTTATAACATTTGCTGTTTTCATTTGCTTTTCCCAAATTGCAAGTGGAAATAGAGCTTTACCCGTGAGAACCCAAAGTGAAATAGTTAAGGTTTTGGATGATATCTTCCGAAGCAGAGACCTAGTATGAACATATTTTATATTTTGATATTCATTAGTCTATTTACTTTTTGTATTATTTAGAAATGGGACCAAACAAACTATTTGGTGAATAGAGCTGGATTTCTCGCCAACTGCGGTCATTTTGAAGGAACCGAAAAATTAGAATCAGTGAATCTTCCAGCTAAAGATTCTTACGTAAACACTCAATCGGGTATGAAACTGCAAGTAGAAATTGACACTGAAGCTGTTGATTCTGAATCAGTTCATTCCGAAATAATGAGAGATACAAGAAGATGGGATAGACTTTGGGACTGGTCTAACCGTCAATACGATCAGATTTTGGCCCAGGTAGTTTGAAAGTTCAAATAACTCAAAAAAACAAAATTCTTTTATTATCATGTTTCGAATTTAGGCTAGAGGTATGCGACATGTTGGCTGTGCTATTCAACCTTATTGCCAAAGATCTCGGGCGGGTAGTCGTTGGCTTCACCTCGTCTGTTTATTTGCTGAGGATCAAGTGTAAATGACGATATCATAGTTTATACAACTCTTGTTGAAGTATTATATTTTTTTTATTTATCTTTTTAATAGAATAAGCATAGAATCGATTAGAAGACGTAGCAGAAGAGAAGTAGGTGACGAGTTCCCCAGTGGTCGTCGTGTACCTTCCGCACCATTCAATTCTTTGAATGACGCAGCCAGAGCATTCACCGAAGAAAATCGAAAGAGTGCCGAAATAAACTTTAGACCATTGAATGTGAGAGGTTATCTCCGATGGGAAGCCTATTTAGAAAATCTTAGTGGAACTATTTTCTCCTGTAGTTCAAGAGAGAGAGAGAGTAACAAATTAAGACTTGAGAGACAAGATTCAAGATACAATGTATTTTTCGGAAATTCTCCAAACGATCGATCAGATACAGATAGAAGTATTGACGATTCTATTCGGGATGTACTTGTCGAAGCTGAAAGAGGAAGAGGAAATACATTCAGAACAGTTGGATGTTGCATGGGTCATTGCGAATTAAGAGGAGATAGAAGAGCAGTAACAGATCCAACAGAAGTTTGGGTTGCTTGCATATTCGAGTAAGTATATTTTTTATTTTTCAGTTAAACTATTTATAGAAACAGAAAGAAGCGATTATTCTTATCTTGTTCTTAGTTTCTTGTACGAAAGATTTCATGATTGATAATGTTTTTTTTTTTGTTTTTCTTATTTAGAAACTAAAGAACTATAAAAAGTAAAATATTAAGAATATATAAGAAAATTAGCTATCTTATTAAAAAGAAAAGAAGTTTAATAGACTTTTATCTTAAAATTATCATTGTAATTTTGAATAAATTGTATTTTTTGAACCTTCAAACTTTAACTAATTGCTTTCCGACATTTTTTCCCGACATCATATCGCAAAATGCTTTACCAATATTTTCGAAACCAATTGTTATTGATTCTTTAGTTTTTATCTTATTCTCCTTATACATCTCTATTAGTTTATCTCTTGCATCTGCAAATTGTTCAGGATAGTCCAGCACCAAGTACCTCTCTCTAGTAATATTTCTTTCTTTCATTATTCTTTCAATTGCCGGAGACAAGGGTGATGGATAGGGAACGTCTTTGTTATAATTTGCTATTTCTCCGCATAGTACTGCATGAGAGTTGTCATTCATATGGCTAATAACATTTTCTGTAATTGATCCTCCAACATTATCAAAATAAACATCAATCTTGTTCGGGCACAGCTCCTTCAATCTTTCCATTACATTCTCCATTCTATAATTTATTGCTGCCGTAAAACCAAGCTCTTCCGTTAATATTCTACACTTTTCATCGGATCCACAAATGCCAATGACCGTCGTTGAACCCCAATTCTTAGCAACCTGTATCATCAAAATATTAATCGGTTATTCTAGATAATAAGATATTGTTAAAATAAGAACTATTTTCTTGAAACTACCTGTCCTGCTATCGAACCGCACGAACCGGCTGCTCCACTTATGACACAAGTACTATTTGGCTTCACGAAACCCTTCTCTTTTAGGCCTATATAAGCTGTCATTCCAGCTATTCCTAAAAGGCTGATATATGAGGTTAAATTATCGGCTTCGACATCTTTCTTATCAATTGTGCGGAGAAAAATGGAATGGGGGGCTTCAGCGTCAAGGACAAAGATTTTTTTCCATTGCCAATGTAAAAGATTATGGATGACGTCACCTTTCTTATAATTGGGATGGGCGCTCTCTTCGACAATACCAATTCCTTCAAATCCGTCGAGAGTTTCATTTAATTGCCATGGTTCTGTATAGTCAACACCCGTATCGAGGTTCATACGACATCTCTGAGTAGTATATAATTAATCTTATATGAAATATCAATAAATTTAGACAGATCTTAAAAAGAAAAACAAATTAAGGGATATAAGTGATATTAACCAAAGCAGGGTCGGTCGATATATAGAGTGATTTAACGAGTAGTTTCCCTTCCGTTAATTCGTCCTTAGATGGGAGCAAAGTCCTCTCACATCGAAAATTTTCAGCCGTCGGTGTCCCATCGGTTCCTGGACGGTTATTTAACACAATATGATAATTATCCACCTCGCTAGAGGTAGATGAGAAGTACCTATTAAAAAAATTCCAATTCGTTCCTCTATTACGTGCTAATCTAAGGGTCAATTTAGCTCCATACATTTTACACAAGATCTTTATATGTCTAATATCAGATGAATGTCGGGAGGCGCTGCGTGTAGTAAAGAGACACATGATAGATGGCGCCACTATATAATATTTTAAAATAAATTTTTCAAGAGCTTAGTACTCCTTTTAGAAATAATTTCTCGAAAAGTAATAAACTTTTTTTTTATTAACAGTTAAACATTTTATCAAATCCTTAACGAAATATTTAAACTATATAAATAAATAAAAAATATTTAAGATACTTTCATTCCAGTTTGCGTTTAAAAACACAATTAATAATAAACTAAAATGAAATAGTTAATATCTCTTAGAAATGTAAACTTTCCTTCAAACCAAAATTGTTTAATAAATTCCTAGATACAACAGCTAATTCGTCATCCCACATAATTTCGGCTACATTTTGAATAAGCCCTTCCCTCGTTAATTCATGATCTGTAAAAATTAATTCATCCTCCTCAATTGTAACTTTTTCTTGAATATAAACATCCGTTGTTCCATTAGGATAATCGAATTCTTTTTTTAATGCACGACACTGTTTGTCAACGTGGGAAAAACGATTAATTATTGCAGCTGCTTCTTCAACATTCCCAGTTAAACGTAGTTCGTGTATTTGAAAAAACATTTCCGATACTATTTTAATAATATCTTCAATGGGTGTGTCTCTATCATGTGTATAACAAACTTTTCCAGTTCTAAGATTTATATTGAATTCTAATCCCATAACCCCTTTAATCAAGAGGAATTTGAAGAAGAGAAACTTTCCAAGTTGCTCTTTACTTTCCCAAGATCCGTTTGGAGGTATTTCGGCACAGAAATATTCTAAAGCTGTTATACCGCTAACTAAAGAATTAATTAACATAATCCATTGTACTTCTTTCATATTAAGATTACTATTTAGTTCAAATATTTCATGTATTTCCGGTATTGTACTTAAATATAAACATAAACATTCCCTCCTAAGAACTTCAAGTGGCCTTGAAAGATTACCAAACCTCGATTCATAACTCTCGAAGGTGCGATAATAATTTCTAACTTTGACTCTATCAGGTATCTTCATTCTTATTCGACCTTTGGCAAAGAAGAGTTTATTCTTATCCTTTTACATAGAATAAAAATAAACAAAAAAAGAAATTCAATAAATCCCTTTGATATATGATTACTTAACTTACTAATCGTATCTCCCCTGCCGTTAATCCTCCTATAATTGTTTTTAAGATAATTTGAACTTTATATATTCTTAATCCTTCGTTATCAAGTAATTCAATCTCGTCGTCAGTTAGGTCTATAAAACATTTAGGAGATTGTCTATTATTATATTGTACTTCAATAACATTTTCAAAAAATACTTTTCTTTTTCTCTCTATCTTTGAATCTTAAAGAGAACAATCAAAATGGTTATTGAAAGAAAGAGAAAATATCATTAATTCTTACAAACACTTTCTTCACTAAACCAAATTACACCTGGCGAACTTCTTAACAGCCTAACCATCAACACATCCTTGACCTTTTCACGACTTACTAAATACTGTAAACCATATACTGGAATAGTACTTGCGAACTTAGTAGAGTTTTTTTGGAAAATTTTAAGCTTTTTATCCCAGTAATCAACTCTTAAGGCAATGTAAGTCCTGAACGAAAAACGATTTTGTATATTTCTTGGTAATTGGTCTATAAAACCAGTAATAAACACAATTTTAGAACGATAGGCTAATCGGCGAGCTCTAAGATGTTCGGTCTGATAGCCATTTTTAAAATATCTTAGATAACTTTTTACGCACTCTTTATGAGGGCCGCCCAGTTTTATTAACTGTTCCAAATGCCTTCTTATATAATGTAATGAGCCAAAATAGTAGTCGGAAATAGTTTTTACTCTAATAACCTTATTTGGTGGAATTGTGTACTCTAATGGAACATTTGAAGTATTTTCCGTTTGGGCAATAAAAACGTCAAAAATATTTCTTCTAATGTCGACTTTCCTTATTCTTGTACTGTGCGATAAGTATCCATTTGCTTCAAGATACTCTTGAATATCTTGAAGGTCTTTTTTTGAACACGCCGACAACATTGTTCCCGTCGTGTCCATTCTACTGTCATAGAGAAATCGAAAGTTCTTTTTTAAACTTCTCCATTCTTTATCGATTGATTCAAATCTTGGCGTTTGAATATCTAGCATTGTTAGATAGACTTTTGCAAACATCGAAAAACTCACTGTGCCTATTGTAAGACTATCAGTTTTATCAACATAATTCACAACTCCAAAATTCCCCATAATTACTGCAACGAAATCCAGGAGATCGTCTATTTCTCTGCTATTAAGGCCGGCTGTTTTCGATGCAGTTTTTAAGTCTTCAACAGTATGTTTTTCTAAAAGTTGAATTAAGCGACTAAAGAAGCGGAAAGCGGTTCTTGAAACCTGAAAAACGTTGATAATTATTTTTCCTTTATCGGTTTCTTATGAATAAATAAAGTCTATTAAATCGACTAAGGGTAAGGGATAGAGGGATTTGCTTGCCTGAAAGAGATTGATAATAGCCCCTAGGTCACATATTCTAATTAGGTGATATATTATCCTCTTCTCCGATTTTCCCAAGGTTCTTATTTCCTCTTCTATATCTAACTTAAAAATTCTCTTTGGACAAACTTCCGGAAAATTTGTACACATTTTTTATTATTCATATAGATTTTCAAAATAAACTATGATGTAATAAGCTAAAAGCTATTGGTATTAAAAAACACAGAACAATAGAGGTTTGCCTATACAGTATACTACAAACTTTGTAAAGATGATTTAGGAGGATTATCCTCATTTTTCATATGTATTAAAAAAAGTAAAATATCTGCATATAAAAAAAAGTGATGAGGATATTTTTATAGATTTTTCAATGTTTCTTGTCTAATTGATGGTAGTTTTGTATAATATTCGATTCCGTGTAAAGTTTCTTTAGACGGTGCTTTATAATATATAAGATCTTTCCATAAATCCTAAAATTTAATGAACCTTCCTTTTAGAGATAATATTAAACTTTTTTCCTCTTACCTCGTTGGTTTGTTTAAGTTTTTCAAGTAATTTTACAATTGTACTTCTTAAACCAAATTGACAATCTCTTCTATAGATAATTGTATTACAGCTATGTAATGAAATAAGATACAATAGCGGAGAATATTTCTTATTCACTGCCTTAGCAGTTAAAGCTTTCCATTGCATTTGTAAAACTTCTTCGTTTGTTTCTTCTTCAGTAAGTAAATTTAAGGGTAGAGCACACTCTACTATTGGTAAAGCAAAGAATCTGAAAATATTTGAATAATCTGCCCAAAACATCTTTCGCAAGCTAACAGGGAATCTTGGCATTATTGGTAAAAGTATATATTGGGAGAAAACGTAGTCTCCGAAAGATGATGCTAGATACTCGTCCAGCAACTTCTTATAGAGATCATGAAAAGATGCTATTCCAGCAATTGTTTTCTCAAAACTCATTTTACTGATGATTGAAGGAGTGTAGTAATGAATAAGAAGACCGCTTAAATAGCAATTGACCGATTTATCCATAAAGACGTCCTGGCCTATTTCGAGAAAATATTCGATTTGGTGAAATGATTTCAACATAAATTGATAAAATATTTACCAGCTAGAAAGATGCATAAAAATCTAGCAAAAGTAAGGCTAGGCGAAATGTGTTGTAGGTTTACATCGGGTCTCAAAGTCAGCAATAGATATATCCAAGATAGGCACCAGCTTGACTCTCTCATCAATGTTTCAGTGTTTTGTTTCGGATTATCCCCCAAACTGAAAAGTAAGATTCTTAAATTACAGTAAATAATTTGATAATACTACTTACTCGCAAGATAGACTATATAGTTTAACTAAAGGTATAAAATGCCAATCGACTGGTAGACAATTTTCATTTACAAATCCAGTAACAAGTGATGATATATCAAAAATATTCTTGTTAAATCGATTTTTACTGCAAATATATATAAATGTATATATAGACGATTTAGTTTTTGCATGAAGGTAAAATATGTAGATAGGAACCTATTTGTAAAAGCTTTCTTATCGTCCAGATTGCAATTACAGTATAATTCCATAATTTTATGTAAGGAATTATATGAATGTTTGAGTAATCCTTCCTTTGTAGGTTTAAATGCTGATGGTATATCTAGAGAAATTGTAGAAACGTCAGGCAAATCTAGCGTTATCTCTGACCTTAAAATAGAATAATAATAATAGAAAAATCATAAAAATCCTATTAGATAATTTTACTTGAAGAAGTATTGACAAAATAAAATATTTTTAAATATCCAATCAATTATATATTCATCCCCTTTTTGGAGTCTTGTAACTAATTTTAAAGACATTAAATGAAAAGGTTTCATCCAATCGTTGTATTCGTGTAGGGGCTAAAGATTTAAAATAAATAGACCATTAGGGGGGAAAGATTCAAGTATTAAATTACTTACTGTATAATAGGAAATTAATTTAATTAATTGGAATTGTATAAGAAAATCGAATTTTGCGAAATAAGAAGAAACAATAATATCGCTTTGGCAACATCTTCTAATATATTGCAAAACTTCAGCATTTCTTAAAATAGGTTGCGTAATCTAAAAATAGATAATAACAATAATAACAATCAGCGATGTTTAGCTCACTAAAAATTTTTCTATACTTACTGACAAAATTAAGTTTTTATCAATATCAATTAAAGTGTTACAAAGTTGAATGAGAGACAAATTGAAAGGGATAAAAGAATATTGAGAGCCACTTAAAGATATTCCATGATCTGAAATACTTCCAAAGGACGGTAACGATGATAGTGATTCAATTTTTATTCTATTGTGTTGTAAGAAAGGTGATACGGATCGAAATTTTCTCCAGTAAATAGAAAAACTTTGTCTGGTAATAAATGGTTCGATAAATTCTTTACTTAGTGATTTTGTTTTTTCTTGTAATTTAATAGCTTCGTAATGTAACTAAATAATAAAAAACACATATCTATATTGTTAATATTCTATAAGCAAAAAAATAAAGCATTTTTTTCGTTTTTTCATAATTATTTACCTGTTGCGTTTCAAATTGAAAAAAGGTATTGAAATACTGAAAACAGCTTGAACAAAGAGTGATCTCCTCTTGAGACAGCTAATTAAAAGAGTTCAGATTTGAATGATATATGTATTCAAAGGTGCGAAAATACAACTCACTTCTATTAAATGATCATTTATTATCCTGTTTAGGGGATCTTTTAGAATACTTCTTATAATTTCGTATAGGCCGGAAACATGAGACCAATTTAGCTCAGGAAAATAGCGGGAAACTTCCTCCTCATCAATTACGCATAGTTTATCTTTATTCGCCCATTTTTTACCTTGTACAGCGTGCAAACGACCTATAGCCGCTGTTAGAGATGTAAATAATGTTATCAACTGCGATTTTAAACGGCAATCGTTGGTTTTTTGTAAAGTCTGGACCAAAGTTGCATAATATTCTCTGTTAAACAAAAATATTATAAAATAAATAATAGCTTATAATAATTTCAGTATCTGTTTTCGTAGAACTTGATACGTACTCGAAATTATCTAACCCATATCCAAGTAAGACAGATGTAGACCATAATTTCAAAATCTCTGATAGTAAATTCTCTGGAAGAGGTCTGTGAGAAAACAAGAGTATATAATAAATGTCAATTTATTAGATATATTTAGTTTACCTATTCAAATTTTGAACCGTATAGGCCACTAATTTAGGTAATATTTTATAATTTTTCATCTAAAAAAAATACAGATTATATACATTCTAGAAATTTGTTAAACATTTGTAAAGTTATATATTTTACCAATGAAGAGCATATGTTCTCTCCTGTTGTACTTAACACTCGAATTAATTTTAGGAAAAGCGTCAAAGTAGAACTTTCTGTTTCATAATTGTAGAAATTGGGAAGAAATTTTTTCTGAAGTGTATCCAATAAGCTTGCGGTGTGTACAATCTATTGAGAATGAAGATATACTAAACTAACAATCAATAAAATTTCAATAAAACTACCTTATAACTTGTACCGAGTGAGTGTCTAGCAATTCTTATTAGTATTCTTAAAATATTTTCATTAATTTTTGTGTCGAGAGTACAATTGATGAGAACATATTTTAATCTTTGTAGAATGTCCATTCTTATTAGGCCCTGTATAATTAATTACACTTGGAAAAGAAATCTAATTGATAGTTTTAAAAACAACTTTAATTATATCCTCTTTTAGAATGACTGAATCAGGAATTTCGCTTTCCCTCTCTGACCTAGGCTCAATTGCAGGTACTAAACTTGAAACCTCATATCCAGTAGGCCAATCGAATACTATGTCTAACATCTCCTGTAAATATATTCAAGAGGTTATAATGAATAAAAAAAATAATTACTTCTGATAAAATACCTCATCAGCTGGAGAACAAATTAAAGCATTTAAGCAAAATAGCGATGCAGCTATGCTCAATTCAACATGATCATCCAAAGCCCAGCGGATAATGTTTAGAATTCCTCCATCAACGCAACTATTTACTATAGACTTTTGAATGTTATCAAGAAATTCTCCCTGTTGAGCCTATGTTACAAAATATGATAATAAATAGGCAAAAATTATTGATTGAAATTGACCTTTGCAAGAATTTTTGCTAACGTTCTCAAGGCTAAACACCTCTGTTGGATAGTAGCACTTCTAGAAAGGTGGAATAGTTCTGTTAGAGTATAGCCAGCCCTCTGTGGTATAATATTAAAAGATATAAAGATAGAGCTGAGGAACAACAAGGGACAAAGTTTACCTCTGGTTCTTCACCGTGATGATGAAGTCCCAAATGAGTAGGTAAGTTGGCGTCTGGTGCCAACAAGTTTCCTTCCAAATCAAATCTCGCAGGAGTTGCTGTCTAAAAGTAAACAGAGCATAAAATTCTCTACTTTTTTATTATTTATAATAAACCTCTTTATTTAAATTTGCCGGATCTGGCAAATCTTTGAGCCACCCTAATTTTTCACTCTCAACAACGTTCATGTTTAACCAATTATTACCGACTTTTATTGGTAAATCTAAAACATAATTTAGTTTTAAAGATTATTTATAAAAAAAATGTTATTAAACTCTTAAGAGTTTAGTTTAGAATATAACCTTCGATGTTTAAAAGTTCACTGTTAACTTCCATATTATCGGTATCTTGTTCAGTTTCTTTACTTTTTACAGGTTCTTCCTTAAATGTTACTTTACGCTCTGTTTGTCCCTGGTTTCGTTTAGCTTGTAAAAAGCTGATAAGATTAGGATCTGAAATTAAGGAATAAGATCAAACGAAATTCAAAATTCCTAATGTACACGATAACTAACCCAAAGATTTCATTAGTTTTTCTTTTTCCGATAAGATTTCCGTTTCTGACATAGATGATAGCAAGCCAAGATTTTCTTCGTGAATTTCTTCTACAATCTAAAGTGTAATAAAGAGTATTTTAATAAGTTTTATTATAACGAGAAGAAAGATTATTTACTTTTTGTGGATTTTCTTTGCTTAAGCCCGAGCCTGTTATTAGTGAATCGAAAGGTTTCATAGGAAATACTGTTGTAGTGGAAAACTTCTTTGCCTCCTTTTCGTAATGGGATACTCCAAAGTCCTTGGGATTTGTGTCGAAATGATGAGCAAATAATGATTTTGTATCACTCTTCTTGTCAAACTACAAAGAAAAGTTTTTAGTATAATTCTATGTCAATATAAGAGGAGAGAGTTGCTAACGTCTGTTAACAAAGGAACAACTGGAAATGCTTCTTTGGTAAATTTGAGTGGTAAATCCCAGGAAATAGCAACAAAATCTCTTTCAACGACTGATGACATAACCGAAGTTACACTATTTTCTTCCTTCATTGCGTCATCGGCTCTTAAGTAGTCTAATCGTTCTTCTTCTTTCTGCTTTGACTGTTTCTTTTCCCGGTCTTGTTTGAATCTAGATTTTTTGGACGGAGATGTAGAACTTTTAAGTTGTTCATTAGTTCGGCTTGAGTCGCCTCCAATCTCCGATTTACGTTTTGACCCTGGAGGTTTTATAACCGTTACACATTCTTTTTCTTTAGATTTTAAGAATTCTTCTTGAAAACGCAGTATATCATCCTCACTGTCCTTATTTGTTGGCCGTTTAATATCCATGATTAGAGCGAAAAAAAAGAATCTTGGCAAAATAGGCCTCCGTTACACCGGTTTACGTAATTGAAGTAAAATATTCGCGAGTGATAATAGACTTGCTAGAATTATTCATATAAAGCATTATAAAAATCGAAATAACTATTATAATCTATCCATAAAAGTTTCATATAAAATATCTATAAAAAATCTATTAGTATGAAACAAAAGAATAAATAATTTAATGCTAGCTTCTTAGAATGAAAGTTCGATAATACAATAAACTTTTTGTTGTTTTTTCAACGCTTTCAAACAGTGCTTGAAGTTACACGTTTCAATTAACAATGACTCTTTTTTATTAAATCAAAGTTGAACAATCTAAATATGGAATTTCGATGTCTCTTTATAAGTCTATATTCTGAAAAAGCTAAGATTTTTATCTACTCCTTTAGTGAGAGCTTGTCTTGATGAAAAGCAAATAGTTTTAACCGTTTAGGGAATAGTATTTTCGTTTAGTTTAGAATATCATATTTCCAGGGACGAATAGTTGTGTATAAACTGTCAGTACTTCTCTATTTTCTATTTACACTGAAATTGATAGAGAGTATATTTCAAAAAGACCTATTAGCTCTATTTTTATTGGTAAATTAAGCTTGAATTCCTTAGTGATTTTAACACGATTAAAAGAATAAATTAATTAAACCTTACTACTGCCAAAAATAAAGAAGAAAAAAAACACGCAGTAATTAAGTGCAAAGTAGTTAATCCCCTTTGTATGTCTAGACGAATTAGGTTCAATATAGACGATATACCATAATAATAATAATAATAATAATAATAATATATTATATTCTCAAACAGTTATATAATTTTATTAATAAAATGGAGCAATTGTTAATTTCAACGAGTTTTGTCAATGTGTTTCGTATGTACAAAAGTTATTAACGTCTATATGAGTCACGTGATTAAATCTCTTTCGTATTTACATGTGCTTTTGGTTAACCGCACTGGTCAATTTATTTCAGTTTGTTCACATTTCAGCAGGATCGAAGAAGGTGTAGAATTTATGCCCCAAGTAAAAAATAAAGGATAACATAGATTATATTACATAAAAAAAAGAAAGATTTTGCTTAGCCTTGGATTTAGTTCAACTAGGCGAAGTGAAAAAAGAAAGAGAGACAAAATACAATATTCAAGCTATTTTAACGATTCATTGATTTGAAATTAAGTATGTAAAAGTCAATTATAGAAGAGAATACTCATGGAATTAATTACTAATTTTGGTAAGTTAATAAATCGATTTCTTACTTAAATACTTTGTTATACATTTTCACACTTGTTGTAGAAGTTATCTTATAAAACTAGTTTTATGATATTTACAAAGGCTTGAGAGTAAAGTATTCCTTTTTGGAAATATTACGAGTTAAAGTGTGAAAGATTCATAAAAAAGTGTTAAGAACTAGAAATTCTCTTCTTTTTTTTGTACAAATTATAAGAGAATTTATTGAATAAACGATGAAACTTGACTGACTCTAATATTCATTAATTTAAATTTGACGTTTACTTGATATGTTGTGAATTTGACTATGACAATCTTTATTGTTAAACTAATGTAATATTGAAATTTGTTCGTATTTAGTATAGTAAGAAAAAGTGAATGCTTTACAGCCGCGGTCAAAAATGTTTATACATGAAAAAAAAGAAAATATTTTTTTTAAAAACTCATTTTTCTCTAATTTTGAGAAATAAAATTATTTTTCTTAAATAGAATGATGTTGTTTAAAGGGTATTTTATGTAATTTCATACAACATTTGTTTTTTTCAGCTTTTAAAAGTACTTTTTTTTTTTAATTTTAGACAACAAGTGCTTTTTGCAATTAAATTATATAATTTAAAAATGGCCATAAATATCTATAAAAACATGTTTTTTGTCTAAATAGTTTTTAGAACATTTGAATTTAGAACAAATCTGACTCCGCAGATAATTACTTACATTTCTTTGTCAAAATGAAATATCATTCTCAAATTAGAGAGCTAGCAAGGGCGAAAAAAGCTGAAATGACCTATAAAGAACTTGAGGCGGACTTAAATATCCCAAATTCTTCACTCCAGTATATCTGTGAGAACAAAAGAGCAGGAAAACCTGACAAAAGGGGAAGACCATCCAAAGCCAGTGAAAGACTGAAGTCACTAATTAAAAGAGAATGCATAAGATTACAGGAAAAAAGAGAGTTGGCAACTGCTAAAAAAATTAAGGATAACTTAAGCCTGGATCTTTCTGAAAGAACCATTAGAAGGATTCTAAATAAAAATGGAGCAAAGTATCTGCCCATTTTGAAGGTATGCCCTTTGTCAGCAAGAGCAAAAACCACACGATTAAATATACTGGGTGGATGGATTCAGAGCCAAGTTGAATATAAAAATGTGGTCTTCACAGATGAGTCCAGGTTTTCGCTGGATGGTCCCGATCATCTGTTAACCTGGCAGCTCAATGACAGGCCAAGGCTCTTTAGAGATAAGCTTCCAGTTGGTGGAGGAGGAGTGATGGTGTGGGGGTGTATATCCTCAGATGGTGAAGTTTTTATCCAAAGACTTCCCTCCAACATCTCTGGAGAGATTTATGCCGAATTTCTTCAGGGAACAGTTTTCCCAATTTTGAGGGAAAAATTTGGAGAAAACTTCACCTTTCAGCAGGATAATGCACCCCCACACACTGCCAGAGTAACAATGGATATCCTGGAGGAGAATGGAATTCAAGTCCTTGATTGGCCTCCATACTCTCCAGACCTCAACCCCATAGAGAATTTGTGGGGTTATTTAAAAATTAAAGTGTATGAAATTCAAACAACAAAAACCCTTGACCATTTATGGGACAGGATACAGGAAGAGGTGGACAAAATCAATACAAGCAATAGAGATTTTGTGAAAAATTTATATAGAGGAATCGGGGAGAGAGTTTGGCAAGTTATTATCAATAAAGGAAACAGAATTAAAAAGTAGTTTTTAGACTGAGACAAAACGCAAAAATTTAGAAAAAAAACCTTGACAAACTATGTAATTAAATTTATATAAATATTTTTGGCCATTTTTTTTGGGACTATTTTTAATGATAAATAAACATAGAATTAAAAAACATTCTTTTTTTTATATAAGAATATTTTTTTCAGTAAACTAAATCCATTTTCTGGTTTATAACATATTCTTCAACAAATATTTAAAAAAAGAACAAACAATTTTGTTGAAGAAATCCAAAAAAAAATTATTTTATAGAAAAAAAATATTTTTTTTTTCATGTATAGATATTTATGACCGCGGCTGTATATATAATTGCATTATCTATAAATAGTATTGTGGAAAGAGGAGCGCGAGAGAGTGGGGAGGGGGGTTAGGGAAGGGGAAAACGTATCGCAATATAATAGGATTAAGACCGAAGGTATTTTCAGTAATGATCAAGAGAAATCTACTAAAGAAACAGTCGAAGGAAGCTTTTTTTTTTATAAAAAAAAAACTGTATATAATTATATTAGCTCGTGTTAGGACAAAGGTAAAATAAACATAAAAAAGTAGGAAGGATAAACATCAAGGTTTTTTAGGAGAGAGAATCTTTTGTAATAGAAATAAGTTTATACGCACTCGAGCGAAAGAACACAAATAATTCTTTAATTTACTCTGCGCATCAATAATAAAGTAGCTTTGAAAAAGAAAACATATATAGTGATTATATACGGTATATATATATATATATATCGTTCATATACCATTTATATAATTACTATTTATATATAATATTCCTTCTTCTCTTTTTAGCTTATGTTTATTCTTCTCTTCTACTAGTTTTTAGTATACGAGAATTCGTATCGAAAGAAAATTGCGCAATAATTGGAAGTATTGTTTAACTAAAAGAATTGTTTAAGTAGCTTCTTAAAAGTTTAAAAAGTTATCCTAGCAGTCATTAGAGATGGCGATAGTATAGATATTAGCGAGAGATAAACGCCTAGAAATTGGACGGCTGCCAACCGAACTAAGATTCTTCGGACGGTGTGGCAGCACTTTTTTCAAAATGGCGGATAAAGTCGGCTGGCGCCTTTCGTATGAGAGCTTCTTTCGACGCCCGATCTACAATTAGAACTAGTTACGAAGGTTAGTGATTTCGGAGTAAAAGAATCTGTAATAGCTGTGCAATAAAGGGATTTTTTGTAAAGATTATTCAAATCAATATTCTCCCAGTTGCGACGGAATCTATGAGATTGATTTGCCCTTGATAGCCAAGTTTGTTTTGATTGTCAAACTATTTGGTTAGGTTGGTTTTATAGAGATTCTATTTATATTCTTTTAGAGGACAATAAAGAGTAGTTTTGTCATTTAATAAACTTGCAATTTAAACTTATATTTCCAAGTAGTGTTTGATTTTTTGGAGTGATTAACCGCATCTAACTTCAGATATCTCTATATGTATTTGTATGTGTGTGTGTGTATGTGTGTGTGAGTATGTCTGTGTATGTACGTGTGTATGTGTATGTATGTTTATATAAGATCGTCTACGTACAACGTAGATATACTATGGGACAACAGAAGGCATCACGACAGCACAGTGAGATGAGCCGTTGTTAAGTGCGTTGACAAAAATCGATTTATATGATTTTCTCTCCTCTTTAAAGGAGTATTTAAAGAATATTTCGAATATTTAAAATTCTTAGAATTCCCCCATCTTCTAAAAATAGATATCCGTGAATTTTACTGTACGAAATCTCTCTATCTGCCCTGCCTTACACAGGCTAAATAAAAGCCGCATATAGGATAGAGAGATAGGCGGCTATGATGAAACAAATATATATATATATATATATATATATTCTGTATATATAAAAGTTGTCTAAGAAATTGAAAAGGCTGAAGAGATATATAAACCGTTTTTATAGCTATTGATTGGCAGGGTATTCGAAAGTGTGTAAATTATTTAGACAGAAGTATACGTTCCATTCTTTGTATAAAAGGAAAGATCAGGGCAATAAAAGATAGGTTTCACTCAGACTCAAGTAGTTTCCTTTTTTATATTTAATTCTAAGTCTGTATTGCAAGTAGTTAAGTCGGATTATATATCTCTTTCTTTGCTGTAGTAATTTGTCGAGAAGACCCGTCAAGTATTTATTCAGTAGTATATAATCGATATGAATAAGGAAGGTATATGCTAAAATATCTATCTATACTGTATATACAGTATATATATACATATGTATATATATATATTCTCATCCTACTTATATAATTCGAAACGGAAGAGTTTGTCGGCCGTCTGTATCTAATTGAAAGATATATTTCTAACTCGTTTTTCTTCGCCTTTCTATTACCTGTAGAACGTTTTTCTTTTCCTATCTTTTTTACTGTTCTTTTTTTTTTTAAATTCTAAATTCCATTCTCAACGTGTTTTTTACATTACTAGTATTCACATTTTTCTACAAAGTATTGTTCCTTTTCTATTAACTCTGCTCCTATAGATTGAATAGCTTTTTCTTTGTATAACCTGACCGAATTAGGCTATCGTCGACTTTATTACCTTTATCTCAACTCTAATCCACATTTATTTACAGTGTAGGCTAGCACTTAACCCATCATATCATCGGCCTATCGTTCAGATAAGGTGGAATCTTTAATTCCGTATAGGCGATAATAGGAGGTGTTTTGTAAATATTCCAACGTTCTTTTTAAAGGCGGGAAAAAAAACATTTATACCTAAATTGACTAAGTTTTTTAGGCCAAGTAGGGTAAGCAACGTGGGGGCTTTGCAACTAATTTCACATTTGGTTTTTGTTTACTATGCTCGTCTTATAGCTTATTTGATGTTTTGTGTTTGTGCTTGAATGTTTTGATTGAAAGAGAATTGATTCCTAGCAACATTTTATATTTAGCTTATCATTAAGTATATTTATTGGTAATTTATTAACATATATACTTGTAATAAACCACTCTAAAACGCTGTATTAGCATCTGAAAAAGTTATAAGTATAAGACAGATGGTCACGCCACCTGTTCGTTATTTTTGAAATCATAATGAACGGATCATTTATCACCACTTGTCGTTAAATCGGTGAGACGAACTGGTTGAGAAAAGAACTTTTTAAAATATGTCGAAGCAAAAATAGAAAAAAAAAAGATTAAGGAGAGTTTATGAAAGCTCAAAAAGAAAGAGCCATAGGGGGATAAAAATGAGGAAATTCGGCTATCGAAGCCTTCGGCCCGCCTGTAAAAATACTTTGCATCGTACTTTCAGTGGCGCTATCTATAAGCAAACCTTATCGGAAAAAGTATGTGTGAATGTTAATGAAAGACAAACACTGACTATAAATCATCTTTCTTTTCTGCCTTTCACACTCTACTTTTTACTTTTACTTTATCCTTTCGAAGGCGTGTACTTTCCGTGTAAGACGTTAAAATGTTTCCCTCTGATCTGTTTTGTTTAACCACGCCTTCCTGTGAATGCTTATTGTGCCAAGTGGCTTACAGTCAGGAAGCTGCAACGTTGCCGAATTCTTTTTTTGAATAAACTAGTGCCTAGAAAGGCGGCGTTGTTGGCTATACTCTGTAATCTTATCCTGATTTATTTTAAAGACTTTACCTATTTTCTTCAAAGAATGTATGTATCGCTTTCTTTATGGTGCATCGATTTATATATAAATCTTTGTGTAGATAAATATGTATATACTATATCTTAAATAATGGTCAATCAATCATCTATAAAAAGAAACATAGACAATATATATATATATATATATATTATTTTTATATCTCGTATTTGTTTGTATAAAAATAGACGTTATGAAAAATAATCATATCACCTATTTATCTTTCTTTTTCTTTTTCAAAATTTAGCTTGAAAAATAATTCTCCAAAGAAGAAGAACTTGCGGATGAGTGCATTCATTTAAGAAAAAAACTTTTTCTTCAAAAGAAAACTTACATTCGTTCGAGAATCAAACTTTTTTTTTTTTATTCGAAAATAAAAGAAAACAGGAAACATTTATTAAAAGATTTTATTATTTAAGAAGAAGAAGTTATAAAACTAACAAGTCAAAACGGAGAGCTTTAATCAAAGGTAAGGAAAAACAGAAACGCATACTTTTTTTTCTTAGTATTAGGTAAATTGACCTTAGACGTATACGCTGGAATTTTTAGTTAAAACAATCGTATTTATCAAAACGTGTTATAGCCTACCTTAGTAACTGAGTAGTATTGAAAAGGCTTTAGGTATATAGTGTACTTGGTGGATAAATTTTAAGTAGATATATATATATATATATATACATGTATTTATATATGTATATATACATGTATATATATAAACTGTACCCTATATAATAATCCCATAAATAAGCTCCTAATTGATATAATATGTACGTGTATATCCATATAAGTATCTACGTATGAACGTTTTAATATTAGTCAAATTTTACTCATAATCATTTTTTTTTAATTATTCATTTTTCATTCGTCATTGGAATAAACAGACAACACTGGTTCGCCGGTCCGCGAAAGGGCGACCATAACAGGTTCGATTCACCCGCTGATTTTCGAGGTAACTTTTTATTAATTTTATAAGAATATAACGGTTTTTTTGTAATATAAAGTTTAACAAATTGATATTTTCATCCTTTATTTAATTTTTATATTTTTGGTTGTTTTGCTTTTCTTATTATCGGAAATTTCAGTATGCCCTGCTTTAGTCAGTTCGAACGCATTAGGAAGAGAGGCTGAACGAGTTCTATTAGCCGATGATAATATGTCCTATAGTTCGGATACTGACTCTCAGCCAGGAAGTTACACTAGTAGGAGTCAATCTGATATACGACAAGCCAACGTATGGTCGCCCACCGGTAGGATAAGATTTAAGCAGATAGAAAATATATTTATTTCAGTCACTTAAAATTCGGCTTAACATAAATAACACTACTACTTTTTTCCGAGTGCACATTTTTTTTTTCTTAGTGTTTTTTTTTTAAAAAAAAAACATTGTCTTTTTTTTTAATTCATTGTATCAAATTCTTTTACTTTTTATTGAGATTAATCATTTTTTTTTATAACAAGACTTTTTTATTTTTGCAATATCAACCTTTTAAGCTTAGCAACATATGTGTACTTAGGATTATGATATTTTGAATAACCCTAAAAAAAAATAACCTATTTTTTTCAATATTATGATGAAGATTATCTAGCCTTTTTTTTTGTCTTTGATTAACTTTAGTACATAAAAGTTGTCTTGTAAATATTTCTCTTCTTAAACTTTTGAAGAAAAGAGGGTATTATAATTTTTTTTTTAAGCAGAAGATAACACTCACATTACGTCATTCACATTACATTACTAGTATAAATCTGTCTGAAACGGATATGTTTTAGCCAAAGCCATTCCGCAATAATTTTTTACATCGGCCTGTATAAATAGCTAAATATTTATCATTCTTGGAGATCTTGTTTGTTATAGGCCTATAATAAATATTTGTCATTTTTTAAAAGTGTTGTATTAAACGGTTTGGGTCTCGTATGAGGGGGAATATATATATATATATATAAACATATAGTCAGATAGATAAATATCTTTAGCTATAGTATTAAATTTATTAATTCCTTCTTTATCTTTATATCTTGGGTCTAATTATTTGATGAGTATTTAAGTTTAGTGTAAATTTCATCATGATATTATTGAGGTCAAGAAAAAGAATTAATTGATTAGATTGGTTATGCAATTTCTTTTTTTTTATCGGCCTTGAAGGCAACTGAATAAATAAATTGAATTTTTTTAAACACATGGTACAAACGAATTAAAAGAGTAAAAGATTAAGAGAATGCAGCGACTTATAAGTTATTCAATATTTACAGATAGTTTACTTAATCTAGCTAAATTTTAAAATTAATACGGATCAATATGGATGGATGAACTACAAATTAAGCTCGTCTGCATCAGATATAGATTGATTGAATGTAGTCAAATTCGACCCTTAAATTATACCAGATTTCGTTGAAATTGCAGACTTAAAATTATCATAATCTCTTTACAGATAGATGTAGAGTATTTGTGGTCTGTTTCGTTCTTATACAACTTGATTAGGTCTTGCAAGCTGGTACTTAAAATAAATATTGTTAGTGGTCTTCATAAGCAATATTTATTCTCTAGATACAATTTCTCTATTAATATTAGTAGAACAAATATTGAAATTCTTGTAATTGTTGACTAATTAATGTTTTGATTGTTTTCAGGACAACAAACACATATTAAGGGTTATAAACCAGTTAACTTCAATCCAGATTCTTACAACGATATGGAAGGAAGTAAGTCAATAGTTTATTGTAACTTGTTAAATCAGTGTTATAGTAGTAAAAAAAAGAAAAAATCGATTAGATATAGATATATTGTAAAATCAAATCTTTAGTAATAGACCTTTAATAATCGTGAGAAAAACAAAAAGTGGCGATGCTTTCCTTTAAAAAAAAAAGAAAAAAAAATGAGTCCGTTATTTTGTGGCTAGTATTTTTAAGGGTTGTATCGAAATTAAAACAGACCAGTTTTCGTCACCAATCATGTCACCATCGCCATCGTCAATGGCATCACCGGTGGCTTTTCCTACAACGGCTTTGCATATTGATACATCCACTCCTCCGCGAGTTACTTCTCCGGTTCTTTCACCAGCTCAAAGAAAATCCTTACTAGCTGGAGCATCACCTGGTGAAAGAATACCATTCTCAGTGCTTCAGCCTAATACAAAATTTAAGAATCCAGTCTCTCCTTTGGTCGATTCATCTTGGAGCGGACCTAAATCACCTAGACTTCAACGTGATGGACCCGGTTTTATTGAAACACTCCAAAAATCGGGAAAACCCGAAACGCCATACTTTCATAGACCAAGATCTGAAGAACAAAATCAACAATTAAATACGAATATATCACAACCATACAGAGAAATAGACAATCGGGCTCCCAACCCATTTAGCTCTCCTCTGACTTCCCAACAATCTCCCTCCTACAATTATAAAATGGGTAATTCAGTGACTGATCGGCCTTTAAAACAAAATCATGAAAAATTCATAAGAAAACCCGAACCCCAACCTCAGACATCGGTAAGATCGAATTCTTCGCACGAAAGACCAAAAGTGTTTGAAGCGAAACCTTTTAGTAAAGAATTTTTTAATAGAATTGGCTCTAATTGTGTAAACGAAAGACCTTTAACACCAACAATGCCTTCTAATAAGCCTAGTTATGTTGTTCAACAAAAGCGACCGTTAACGCCAACTCTTAATTCGGACGGCGAATTGAAAATTAAGTACAATCATAGAGCTGGTGGTATAGAAGTTCAAGAAAGAGGCAAAGCACCAAAGAATTACGGAAATTACGTGAAATCTATGACTAGGTCTCAAGAAGAAGAAGAAGCAGAAGAAGAAGAAAAGCGTCATGTAAGGTTTTCTGATGAAGATAGGAAAAAGATAAGTGATAAAGCTAGAAATGCTGCTTTTGAAAAAACGGGTTGGGTGAAACAATTAAGTCCAAGCGGTAAACCGTGTTGGAAGTTGGAACGAGATCTGGAAAACCAATCATCCTATTTACAAGACGATACAATAAGTCAAACGTTGGGTACGATCAGAAAGAAAACAGCTCAAGTAAAGGAGGATTCGCACAAGAACGATTATATATTTAGAACTATAGAGAAAAATACGAGAAAGCACGAAGAACGTTTGGGGCAGAGATACAACGAGGAAGAGTTTATACCTAACATGGATAGACCTGGAAAAATAAGTTCACCCTTCCTGGAAAGTGGCTACTCTCCAACGTCTTACAGAAATTTTAATGCAGGAAAGAAGTTACGAGTACCTTCTCCATTAAGTTTCCAGAGTATTGCTAATAGGCCAACGTCACCGGCAGACAGTGTTACGTCCGAACCAGCACTCGATAGCGTAAACAATCCTACACGGATAAGTTTTCCTCGTAAAGGTCAAAACAAAGCGATTTCGAATCATAAATCATCTGTTCCTTGGGGTGAATTTTACTCAAAATATCAGCAAAAGGAATCAAATAGGGAGGAGGCTGGTTTAAGCAGGTTAATATCACCATCATTCAGGAAAGGCAATCATTTTGCTGATAGACAAGACAGAGACAGCCGCTCTCAAACACCAGTCATTGATATAAAACCCTTAACAATCGGATCAAGATCTAGAACGGCGACACCGTCGCCCACCGCCACTCCGATCGCCAGCTCTGATATACCAAAACCATCAGATCTTATCGATGCTATAAATAGCTTAACCTCCGAATGGAATCGTTGTTCAAGATATGCTGAGCACGATTCGAAAGTAACTAGTAAATACATGCTAGATTCGCCGTTATCGAGGTCGGGTAGGAAGGAAAAAAGTAGAAAGTTAACTATCCCAGGCCAGAGCTCGTTTGATAAGGTCATAAAAGGTGAGGCAAGGGTTTACCCCCTTACCTTCTTCCCTACCGACTTTGCTGTATATCTTACTTGCTTGATACTTGAGACTTTTCAGATGAAAATTTTTACTATTTAGATGAGCATGAGCGCATGATAAAAAAAACTTGAACTGCATACAATATCACAATACTACCTCGAATAACAGACGCGTATGTTTAAGTGTGTTCTTGCTGTGAATTTACAATAGTTTTTGCTATCACTAAAATCTGCTGTTATTCAACAGGTACTGAAAACCAATTCACTAAAAGGGATACGCTTGATAAAAGTAAGACTGTTATTTTTTTTTTATCTCTTTGTTAATACTAAACGGGATTTCAACTGTCATATATGATTTATTTTTGGGCGGGAAAGATTTCTTTTAAAAAGAGTATAGACCTCAAAAAGAAAAATTTTAACGAATTAATGTTATTGTATGTTAATATATCTATCTATCTAGTTATCTATATAACTTTATATATATATATATATCTACATATAGTATAGTTTATATAACGAGTGAAATATGCGATATATACAAGAAGGAATAGTATAAGAATGACTAACGTTTTAAGGGTAGCAACTAGTTCATCCAGTAGGTGACGTTGTAAATAGTTCTTGAAAATTAATGCTCCCTTCATTAGCTGCTTCTGTATTGAAGACTACAGTTATAAAACTACGCAAATTTTTAATTGCCCTGGGCCCTTTGAATAAGCTCAATAGAAATCATGTGATGTTTCCATACCCAGTATGATGAAGAAACTCAATATTAAATTTCCCGCAGGCAATATGAATATTCATTCAGCTCCATCATCACCCGCCAAGTACAAGGATGTTAACTCATCATTTAAACAATTCCGTAAAACGGAGGAGCCGTCGAAACAACGTCTCAAACTAACTCACTTGCAATCAACAACTCCAGAAATAGAACGACCGTCCAGTCCTGCAGTTTCCGCATCTGTTAGTAACTTATTTATATTTTTGACTTTTTTATTAGATATTTCCATCAGTATACAAGCGTAATTTTTAACTTTCTTTCTAACGCACTTAAAAATATAGGTATCAAAGAAAGAAACTCCGGTAGTAGAACGGGAAAAGAATGATAAAGTACGGTTTAATTTTGGAAACGATTTCACCCGCTCTAACACATTACCGAAAACACAAAATCCAACAATAACACTTTTGCAAAAACGTAGAGGTAAGTTCGAATTAACATCTCATTATATTATTAATCAAATCTACGTATATATCCATCCAACCTAGTAAAACGCTATAAGATATAAGATATCAATAAAATTCTTATTGTAGAGTATTTTTAAAGTATATACATTCCTGTATAATACAGTATAAAATAAAAGTTTTAATTTAAGAAATCATTATATTATTTAACTCTTTATAATAAAAATAATAAATAAATAAAAGACGAAAACGACCTGGATATTCCCTTCGGCGTGAAATTATTACAAGTATCCGGTGAGATTATTAAAAGTTGTACAGTGTTTTTTAATTTTTACTTTTTTAATTTTCTACTTTCTTTATAAATTTATTAGAATATAGAAAATATTTTAATTTTTCTTATATTCTTCATTAAATAAACTATATAATAAGAAAGAAAGAGAAAAATTTAACTAATATCTTTATTGCTGTTGTTATTATTGCTGTATATTTAAAATATTTTTCAATTATTTTTGCTTTTCTTGTGTTTAAAATTCATTTTATTTTCATTTTTATTAGAATATAATATATGAACAAGTATTAATTGTAGACTGTGTATACGCTATACAATTTATAGTCTCTGTAAATGAGGCTATAAGAGAGTATGTTTTTTTTCTTTTTTTTTTTTGTGTGTTGTCTATTTCTATGTCATTTTCTTTCTACTATTAATAATACATAAATATATATATATTAGTATATATATATTTATTATATATATCTTTTCATTAATTATATTTGATTCTTTCAAACAGAGAGTCAAATTCCTCAAGGAGCTCAATATCTTGGTGAAAGGGAAACTTTAGACGGTGACAAAAAGGTTATTGACTCGTTTCACGTAGTACCTGGTTCAGATTTATCAAAGACTGATGAATTCAAGGTGAAAAATGACCTTAAGAGTCTTAGATCTCCTAAATCCGAATCGTTTGACGAAGAGTTTTTTGAGAAACGATCCAAGAACTTATCGAACGGTCATAGTTCTAGTCCAAAACGACCGCCTTGGGAAAATGACGATTTACCTCGTACAACTTGGGCTGTAGACACCCGGGAAATTAAGTATATTGGACAAAAACCGCTTGATGAAAGTGGCTTACCGTTCACCCTAAGATCTGTAAGTATAGAAAGATTATACTACGATTGTGCAAGGTTGTTATAAATGTTTATATTCTTATAGTCGGTCGATGAAAAGGAGCACAAAAATTGGTATAAAGAAGTATATAAATCACTGCATAAAAAGGAGCCAAAGGAAGGTTAGTAATAACAATTTTATTCTTCTCAGACTCTCTGGTTAAATAGACGATTAACGCCATCTGTTCGAACTAAGCATTAAATTGTATTCTTCTATCAGTATACTTGTTCAAGCATAAACCTGACAGGTTTATGTATTCTATTTATTTTATTATTATATTTTTTTACTTTTTTTACTGTTTTTTATTTGTTGACGTTAGTTCTTATAAATGAAACAGAACTAGGCAACACTGAAGAGACTGATGAAAAAGATGATTTTTTCAATAATGAAAGGGATAATAATAGTTTAAGCAACTCCTTTCCAAAAGATAATCATAGCGTTGACGACGATTCTGAAAGTGCTAAAGGTTCCTATAACATTTGTAATTTTACTGCCGAAAACGCACAAATATCAAGCACCAAAAAAAAAAAAAAGCAAACAAAACGATTTAATAGCGAAATCAATTTAAAAATAAACAAACTTGAAAAATGAGGCTTTTCTAATTATCAAATTGTGTTGATTAATTCGATTTTTGGTTTATGTATTTTGTTACAAAAAAAAAAAAAAGATCATTCCTCTTTCTACTCTAATTATCGCTTTTTTTTCTTTTTTTTGTCTTTATTTATTTTACTTCTCTTTTCTTTTTGCTTTTTAATTAGATAGAGAATATTTTTGTTGTTTTTCTTTTATTAAATATAGGTTATGGGATAAGGGAATTGGAGAATCTTTTTAAATTACTAGTTTGACTTTAGTTTTTTGTATTTTAGATAAGCTTTTATGTTTTTTTGATTAATAATGGTTTTTTTTTTAGTTTGTAAGGTGAAGGGAAACAGAAAAGATGTAGAGAGATAGATAGTTTTGATTAATATTATTGTTTTTATTGTTTATTTTATACATAACTTAATATCTTTCCTTATCCTTTTGTCATTTATGACTATTTTCTTTTTATTTGTTTTTTTTTGCATGGGAATTTGTTTTTTCTTTTCAGAATTGAACACCTATAAACCTACTTATAAATTCTCAGATTTTGACGAGTCAATTTCAGGTATAAGACAATCAATTCTCTCTCCCTCTCTCTCTCCTATCTTCATTATCGTTTTCACGACTTTTTAATGTAACAATGTAATTTATTGCACGTTTAAAATAGTTGTAATGGAAACTATCGTTTACACTCGATTTTTATATATAAAAATCGTAAAATCAATAATAAAGAGGAGGAAATAAGTTAAAAATGACCAGAATATTAAAGTTTAATATTGTAAATAGGACAAATAAAGTATGGCTGTCGTCAATTCTATGTTTTCAACGTTATATTAATGAAAGAAAAGTAAAGAATAACGTCTCTTAACGTCGCTATTCAATATTAATAATATTATTAATAATAATAATTAAAACAGAATCAAAGAACGACGATGTCTTCTCTTCATTTTCTACAGATAAAATGCTAAGGAAGAGTAAAACTCCTAAGTCAAAGTAAGTAGACTATTTATACTTTATATAAATATGTATAGTCTATTTTTATAAATTAAAAAATGTAAATGTAATCAGATATTGTTGATACTGTTTTTAAACTGCTATTATTGAACGTATTTTTAAGAATTCTTTCGAAAAACTTTAACACGTGCACACATGTGCAATAAACAAATAGATCAACCCTACCTACTTTTTTTTTTCATTCTAGAAATAAGCCATGTTATGTTTTATAACTTGCATTTTTGTAAATACTTTTTCAAGTGTTGAGTGAGGCTTATAATGTCTATTTTTAATAATAATTCAACAAATTTCTAATACTAATCCTTTATTTAATCCTTAAGACCACGTCCCTAACGGTAATTTCTTTTCTACCCTATATATAATTAGTGGAATTGGGGCGAATCATTTTCTTCTTTAAGTATAGTTAAGCTATTTTTTTTCCTTCCCTTCTGATTCTTTACGATCGTTTTGGTCAGCTGGAATAATTTTTTTTTTTTTTTGCATTTTGTACCACCTAGCTTTTTTCCATGCGTCTATATCAATCACTGTTTTAGAATCTGGTAGTTTTATAGGTCGGAATTTGCGGTTGTTTTCATGAAAGAAACTTTACATAGGCCTAATCGTCGAATATACAGTAGATACTTCCGCCGTATAGAATAGAATTCGTCAATTAAACATGACTTTTATCTAGTAAAGAGAGCTGTCAACAAACTTTTTTATGTTATTTATTAAGCTTAAATTCTTTTCTTTTCGTTTCAATATTTTTTTCTATCGTTTTATTCTTTTTTTTATCTTTTTCTATTGTGTTACCTAAAAGAAGATACGTGATAGCAAAACAAGTTAAGGTTATTGTATTGTATATCGCTCAAGTATTGTAATTATTCGGGAAAGACGATGCTAGCTGTTTAAATTACATCAAACGTTCATATCTAGGCAATTGACTGGCTAAGCAAGTGTTTACTATATAAACATGCCGCAATACTTTTTTGTTGAAACGTATTATTATTACTGCAGTATTCTAGTTTGCTAGGTCGTGATGTTTTTAGGGGCTAGTCCGCACTAAAGTCTGAGAAATTACTGTTCATTTTGACTTGCGGCTTTGCATCGCGCAGTTGCTGCAAATTTCGGCCTAATTTTGTTTTTTTCTGATCTTGATTTCACTTACTTTTGGATAAATTTATGTATAAAGGCAGACTTTTAGTGAGCAATATTATCTCTAGCTTATTATAAACCGACCACCCAGCTATCAGCATACGCGGATTATGGCGCACAAAACTACGAAAACTTTCTCATTCTATGCTTAACAGAAGCCTCATATATACGACGGATTAACTCTTTTTCTCTCAGGGATATTTAATGAATAGTTGTAGTTGTAATAATAAATAAAAGGCGACTTAACAAAAAAGAAAAAAAAAAAATCATGTTATTGATAAACAAGAAAGATCTAGTCGAGCAGTTTATTCCAGTTGTAAAATCGCTCAAGGATTTTCAATTTAGAAGACGTTCGCATTCTCATGAACACGAACGCAAGCAGACTTATAAAGGATATACGAAAAATTTTGATTCATCCTGTTCTCTCTTGAACGACGTCGATGATTTCTATACTTCACGAGCCAATTTAACACTTCGTCAAACACAAGAAAATAGGTATAAAAAAAACCAATTAACATATTAATCCGGAACTGCTATGTTAATTGATCAATTTATTCCGATTACCTATTATAAATATATTTGTATATTCTTCTAAATAATCCCATTGATACCAGCTTAACTATTGAGCGTTAGATGGCGCTAACAGGATAGTCAAACAAGTGAAAATATATTTCAATTATCTTATTAACTAGCTGAAAATATTTCATTTTCTTTTATTTATTTATTTGTTCATTTCCGGTTTAGAAGGCCTACAAAAACATATATATATAAAATATATCATCAACATTTATATTTATGGTTGTTAGAGTCAAACGAAAACAATAAGAAACAAACAAATAAACAAACATACTGTAAACTAATTTTGAAAGAATTCTTGTTACGTTTGTCTTCTATTTTAGTGTATTTATCTATCATTCCCTACTCTAAACTAGAGAGGGTATGTATTTCGTTTGTAAATGATTATATTTTTAATAGTTCATGGAAACCTGCTGACGTAACTGCTAAGAAAGAAGTTTATACAAATTCACCAAGGAGTATTTATGAATACGAACCTGGTAAATCGTCTATAGCTGACAAAGAACCTTCAATAACCGTAAGTTAAACATTTAAAAAATTATTTATTACAATTATAGTAATGAAAAAGATAGATAGTTTTTAATCTATAGTTTATAGAAAAGCTACGAAAAATTGATTGCTAGCCTTAATAAGTGGCTATATTATATTTATTATAATTAACAAATGATATTTATGAATAATGATCTGCATTATTTATGATTTATTAGCGGAGCAAACTATCTACTGCCCCTGCTCCTCTCATTATTAAGAAAAAGGTGAAATAAAAAAGAAAAGCATTTACCTATATTAACACGAAATCTTTCTTTTTTTTTTTCTTTTGACTTATTTTTGTTTTTTTTTTAAAAAAAAAAAGAAAACAAATCTTTCCTTATCGCAAAGAACAATGAAACACACTAATATATAATATGTTTCCTATTTATATGTGCGTAAGCGTCTCTTCTTTTTTACTAACATAGACATATTTGTTATTTTCCTTTTTAAAAAAATGCTACCTAAATTAGACGAGCGACGATGAGGTAATGATAAATTAAATTGTCATTATTGTTAGCCTATGGTATTTTAATTTTCAATTATTAAGGTGTTATTCTCGTTTATCGTTCTGAATTCAATTTTCTCTCTCTTTTTTCTCCTTAAATTTTCCTTTTAAATGCCTGATCTTTGTTGTTGTTGTTGTTTTCTAAATCTTTGATGTATAGTCAATAAGAAATTCTTTTCTTCTCTTCCTATAGAGTAAATTATATAATCCTCCTTTGGAGAAGATATCCGATAAAGTGCAATAGTAAGTTATCTATTTATTTATCGTTAATAGATAGATCTTATTTAATAAATACAATAAAAAACAATAGTAAAGACAACAAGAGTGAAACTCGAATACGAAAATCGAACCGTAGTCCGTCCCCGGTTGATCTGATGGAAGCTAAGCAACTATATAGACAAATACAACAAGGAGGAGATATACCAATGAATGGTCTACGTTTCCCCGCTCCTGATAGAAAAAAAGCAACTGGTAAGTTGAAATTATAAGACGAATAATTATTTAAGAACTAGATTAATTTAGTAACAAACTTAGACTATACAGTATGTATATCAATCTATAATATATACATATTTATTGTATAGTACTGTATCATTTACTAATGCTATATAAACATATATATTGTATATATATACAGTAAATATATATGTATCTATATATATATATATATATATCTACTGCATATATGTATGTTATATAATCAAGTTTATACAAGTACTTAAGTCATTTTTGTACGTTTAGCAATTAGTTTTAGAAGTACACAAAGTGTACGACGTAGTTGATATTTTAGTCAATGTTGTCTGCATGACGCACGTTCGTCTAGAAAAGCCACCGTCTAGACCTCCGCCGCCAACTGTCAGCTATGAGTCTGTTAAACATGTCGACCTTCGACGCTCTCGATCTTTGCCGTCTCGAAGATCGGCGGCTGAACGTCTTGGCGTTAAGCCGAAAATGCCTGCGTCTCATCGTGTTTTGCGTACAAAGAGCTCCGACTCCTATGATTCAACAGACGAGCATGAATTTTCGTCAGGTAGAATTCTTAGTGAAATATTGATTTCCTGATAAATGAGTGCTACTTTTGGTTTTCTTTCTCTTTATTTTTTTTCCTAGTTTGTTTTCCTCTTGACGTATTTGAAGTTTACATAGATCTCGCTTTGAATTAGTTTAGAAACAGCACAACAATAAAAGTAATAATAAAGAAAAACAATTCGACAAACTAACAGCGTTTGTGTTTTGCGTGTCGCGCATCTTCTACTAATTGAACAATAGAGTTTTGTTTACTGCTTATGAACGATAATTTTGTTACAATAATATCTATTTATATAGTTGAGACAAGGCAGCACTTACGATCTGAGTTACGCGTTGACGCCGGTTATAATAGAAATGGAGTACCATCCTTATCGAGGCAAGAGAGGGATGAAGAGAATGCAAGGAGAAAAGAACGAGTTGTAAGGATTAAAATTGAAAGTTATTTACATAAAAGAATAAGATTAAATGAATTATATTCATTGAATAGGAAAAAATTATGGTGGAAGAAAGACGGAAGCGAATGATTAAAGAGCAGTTGGAAAGAGAGGATAGGAGACATTCGGATAATTACACGTAAGTCTAAACTACTAGATCAGTTAAGAATTAGATAATTTGGTTTCATTTTTTGGGTCTATTATAATTGTCTTCCTTAGTAGGATAAAGATAATTTTAATCATTTAATTCTAAAAAAGAAAGAAAGAAAAGAAAAAAATTTATCTATTTTAATCTCTTCTTCTTTATCTTTTACGTTTGTTATACTTTTTGTGTCAATAATATTTTTTTAGCAAACCCAACTACTGGTTAAATTTGGGTGGATTAGCTGACGACGATTTGGAGGATGAGAATAATAATTTCTTCTCAAAACCTTTATACGTAGCAAGAGATTTAAACGATGTAAAAAAGAAAGAGTGTTCAAATAGGTAGAAAATATACAGATATAATAATAATAATAATAAAAAACATTAAAATAATGTAGCCTATTTTCTATTGATTTTTCTCTATCTATCTATTTCTTTTCTATTGTCTTTAATCATTTTATTCTTTCGATCATTCTGATCTAATATACCTTTATAAAAGACCCTACGAAAGTGGGATATATCCTGCCTAAGATTCAATGCTTAATTAATATAAATGCTTTTAATCGTTGTTTCTTTGCTTAATTTATATTTATTCTAATTTTTTTCATCTTATTTATATTCTAAAATAGGTCAAAAGAGAAATCTCCAATTCATTTGGATAGATATAACGATCAAAGGCGTCTATCGGATGGTCTCGAAAGACCGAGCAAATGTTCACAATACAAAATAAGGGGAAAAGCAAAGGCTAAATATAATTTTACTGCTCAAAATCAGAAGGAATTATCATTTAGGAAGGGTGATACCATTTATATATTAAGGGAGATTGATCACAATTGGACTGAAGGAGAAAGACATGGTCGCGTTGGAATTTTTCCAACAAATTATATTGAAATTCTTACCAGTTTAAATGATGCTACGACAAGAGTTTTGAACGCCGAAGGAGAAGCGGAAGTTATCTATAATTTTAGACCTCAAACGTTTGTAGAATTGCCTTTACGCAAAGGCGATATAGTCAAGTTAATTAGGAGAGTCGACGAAAATTGGTGGGAAGGTCGTCTGGGAAAGAGTCAGGGAATCTTTCCCTGCAGCTACGTAAAAGTTATTTTTGAACCTTCCACCCCCCTTGCGACTCCCACAGCTAGCCAGGCGCCAACCCCTGTTCCAGGGTCGAGGCCCTTTTCGCCAACTAGTTCGGTTCCTACTATTCCAACTGCTCCTCAGAGTCCTAATCCATTGGATCACATAGATTTCGATTATTGCTACGAAAAGAACCTATCCTACGCCGATTTCATGACCGAAGCAACGGCTAAGAAAGCCTTTTCGGAAGCGCCATCTAGTAGTAACCGCTACAACTCTTTAGACTATGATAAGCGAACTTGCGATGCCAAGAGTGATGTGTACGTAAATCTAATTAGAGCTGTAATTAATTTAATTATTACCTATATTTTTTTCATGCAATTTTCAACAGATATCGAGCAATGTATACTTATATTCCTAGAAATGATGACGAATTGGAATTACGAGAAGGTGACATAATTAAGATGACTGAAATATGCAACGACGGTTGGATGGTTGGTTACTGCCAACGAACAAATCAATTCGGAACATTTCCCGGAAACTATGTTCATCCAGTTCATATTTAAATGCAAACAAAAAAAAAATAATTGTCGAGTGCAAGACTATTTTGCTTTAGTGTTGATTACGATTTTAGGTGCTATGCAAACATGAAAAAAATTTGTTTTCTTTTCTTTTTCTTGTAAATTCTATTCCTCCGACTCTGGTACCCTCCAGCATCTCCCTCCCACGCGCGCCTTATATAGGCCACAATTATGACTCTACAATCATATATGGTCCTGAGACTATATATATATTGTTTTTGTTTTTATCCTACCGTTCATTTTTCTATTCGTTTTTAATTCTATTTGTATTGTTTCTGTTTGACCCTTCAAACAAATTTGACCTTTTATCCTCTTTTTCCTGTCATTTTTTTCCCTCCCACCTCAAAAAACGAGCAGAAGGCTTTAGTTGAAAGAAAAAAGTAAGAAGGGGAATAGAATTTTAACTATTATTTTATGATCTGTTGTTTTATTTATTCTCTTTTTCTATTTCTATATTTATCTATCTATCTATCTAACTTAACTATCTTTCTCTCTTTTTCTCTCTTTCTCTTTTTGTTTTGTTGTTTTCTTTTTTGTTAAAAAGAAAAACAAACAAAAAATAGGATTTTATCGATATTTGGTATGCATGTTGAAAAGAGAAAAGGAAAAAAAAAGTAAAATTATTATGATAATGACAACGATGACAAACAATGACTATGACGATGACGATAATGATAATGATGATGATGAAAAAAAAAATCTAACTTCTTTTTTTAAAGTGACTTTGAAACAAATTGAAAAAAAAGAACACTTTTTTTTATTATCTCATACAAAAAATCGTATTTGTGTTATTTTTTTTATTCATATCGTCTATATATTATCTTTTGTCTTTTTTCTTTTTAAAAAAAATGCCTTATTTTGCTTATAAAATTTCTTTTGACTTTTTTTTTTTGTTTTTCGACGAAAAAAATTTTAATATTATCAGAAATAATTTAGAAACGAAAAATAAAGAAAAAAAGCGTCTAAATAATAAAATTTAACGCTTTTTTTTTCGATAAACAATTTAAGCAAAATATAATGCAAAAAAAAATTAATAAAAAGAAAAAAGAAAAGAGATATGTTAATAGAAAATTGAAATAAAAGATAAAAGTGACAAAGTAGTAATAATAGATAAATATTTATATATATATATATATATATATATATATATATATATATATAGTAGGCCTATTGTCCTATTAAAATGAGAATGAGAGAAAGAGAAAAGTTTATAGGAGAAATTGATATAACCTAGTCACGATTAGTTTTACTCTTTTTCTCGTTATATTTCCTTCTATTTCTTTCCAACTCCCTCTCTCTCTCTCTCTCTCTCTCTCTCTTTGTCTCTCTATCTACCTGTCTTTTCATAATTGTTAACTCAATGAATAAAGAATATTCATTTATTTTTTTTGTACCTTATTCCTTAATGTCATTTATTCAAGCAAACGAAAATCAAGGGTCTGAAAAAATACAGGCTGCAGGATGCTAAACTGAAACCATTCAACGAAGACAAAGACAACGTACAATTTAAATAAAATGTTTATATACTTTAAAATATGTATATATATATAAACCTATTTACGCTTGTATATTGTATATAACAACTATATATGCGCATTAATATAACGTATGTATATCTTCACAAATCGCAAACACCACCATCTTCCATACGAGTCTCAGATGTTTGTTCTCCATCATTAAACGCAAATTTCACGGGTTTAAATCCTTTTGGTGCACTGTTGTTTACAACAGGATAGCTGAATGGCCTCGAATCTGGAATTTTAGATTTGTAAATTTTTGTGAATAGGCCTACAGTTGATATTTTATCCGTACGTACTAGATGGTGTAGGTTGGCTGTTGGTTTGCCGTAATTTAGGTTGAGGAGAGTCGGAAGTAGGTGGTGGTTGTGTTACATCGACTTTGGCTGGAGTAAAGCTTTTTTCATTGGGTGAGGGAACTTTCCACCCATATAAATGTTCAAATGCAGGTTCTATATTATAAGGATCGGAGGCGGCTGCTTCCCATGGAGTCATTTTTGGCTTACGGCTAATCATCGTATCCAATCTAATAGTAATAGTCAGATAATAAAGAAAACGGTAACATGTGAATAAGTAATGATTATAGAAAAGTAACAAACTTATTAGGTGGAGGTCCTGAATCGACCCTCTTAGTTTCTTCAACTTCTTGATTGAAGTTCGTTGACGCTAAAATTTTAGCCATATAATTCTTATTTGGACTAGTTGCAGGTAGGGCAACGTTCGACTCATCTACGATATATTTATCGGCTCTAGCTTTTCGTTTAGCGAATATCTGCCCTCCTTTTCCTTTACTACTCTTCAGAGCCGCAGCCAAACTATAATTTAGTAGGTTATAGAAATAAACTGCATTCTATTACATACTCAAAGTGTTAAGCTTACTTAAAACACATTTGCGGATTAATGCTGTCGTGGGTATTTTTTTGTTCTAGCAATCTCATTCTTTCGAATTCTTCAGCACTTAGAGCGCTTTCCTTCTCCTTCCCTTTACCAACAGGTAGAACAGGTGCTCGCCAGGCATTTGCAGGTAGGGGCGGAGCAACTGGAATTTCACCGAAGTTCAATGGTGTTTCATCAGAACTTCTCTCAATGTTCGACCAGGTTTTTTCCCAAGGCTGTTGCATAAAATGATGGGAATCGCTATCAAACTCTTTCTTCTCGTGGAGTTCTCCTCCAGAATAAGTCCACTTTTCTGATCTTTGTTGTCGTTTAACAAACATTCGATGACCTCTAGCCTTGTTATTAATCGGAGCGGTTAGTGACATCGCGACCCTTCTAGCCATTTTGATTTGCTCTTCTATAGTAGGGTATTTATGCTGATCGTCATCGTAAAAAGCAGAATCAGCAAATATCTCTGTTAAAAGGGTATCAAGTTTATAGACGAAAATAACGAGCGTATCTCTCTATCACATTTCACGAAAGCGCTGTTTACTTACTCTTCCTTCTCATAGCCGATTCGGGAGAAGATCGACCATCATCTGAAGTACTTTCTCGGTTCGTCAGCTTGCCTATAAGGTTGTCGGAAGGATCGGCCTCGTAAGAGAAATCAAAATTATCCGAACTATAGAAAGAATCACAATGATCAGAAGTTGGCTCTTCCTGGTAGGAAAATTGAGAAGTCTGAGAAAATGAATTAGAGGGATGAGGAACAGTTTGCGACAGATGTTGCTGCTGCGGCTGCTGTTGTTGTTGTTGTTGCTGTGTTATTTGGAAGGTAGCCGGTTTCCAAACTGCCTCATCGACTTTTCCTATTTGTTTCACTCGAAATATCGGTTGCGGTGGTGTGTTCTCCTTCTCGTATTGCATTCCCACTGACATTGTAATTGATTCGTCCGCATTTCGAGTTATCGATACGTTCTCCTGCGCAGTAACTTTGAACGATGTCTGTTGTTCTCTAGGCTTCCAAATATCACTTTCATGGTGAACATTTTCAGTAGATGAGAGTGGTATTTTCTCTAACGACTATAGAATTTCAAAAAATAAATACATTATAAAATACTATAAACGTAAAAAATAAACGTGAAAAAATTTATCAATTAGGATTTTATATAGTCTATTTATAGTGTTTTTTTTTGTATTCTAACTAGAATATAAATGTTTAAATAATAAAAAAAAGAGAGAAACAGTGAGGGGGAGAAAAAAAGAGAGACAAAGTAAAAAAACGGGAGGGATAACCTCATTATTAACATTTTGCTGATTAGATAAGGCTCTAAAAGCGTTCGAAATGTCTTGTTTATTCGTCGTACCTCTGCAGATAGAAATAATAAACATATCTTAACTGTAAAGGAAACCAGTTTCCTTGTTGTTTTTTTTTATTGTATATGTATACAGTCCTACTAACCTTAAAACTTGAAGACAAAGGCCACCTTGAGCTTCATCTAAAATTTCCATTGCTCTCTTATGATCGAGATGTTCACAGGAATGAGAATTTATTGAAATAAGTACGTCGTTCTCTTTTAAACCAGCTTCAGCTGCGGGACTTCTATTTCTAACCTAGAAATAAATAATTAATTAAAGTAAAGTAAGAGGAATCCAGGCATTTCTTTCTAAATAAAGAAATAAGTAGATGAAGGACGACGAATCGTTGAAGAGTTGATAATAAAGTTGAAACAATTTCATACGTTTAATTAAGTATAAAATGTTAACATCAATCTCTTTCCAGTTGAAAAATGATACTATCTCATTCTCATTAACTAGTGTTCGTTATTATATTCCTCTTCTATGTCAGGATGATCATTTTCTTTGTTACTAACTCAAGTTTTTTTATAAAAAAAAAGAATGCAAAGCAACTACAAAGCTTTTGAGTAAGTTTTGTAGAGCAAACTGTTAAAGAAAATAGAAGTTCTATATATTCTATAGGCCTGTATGATTTTGGGTGGAAAAAAGTCACATATATTTTTTATTACCTTAGCCACAATTAAAGGTTGTCCGTCTCCTCCAAAGATGCGAAATCCCCACGGACCTGGAGCTTGAACGTGTATTTCGTGCGTATCCATCGAATTTTTGCAGGGAGCTAAACAGCATTTGCTCAAAGCAAAACTGCATGCACTATAAATATAACTGCGAGCGGTCGGCATACCGCATAGGCCTACCTACGTGTTCTGCTCGCTCCCAGGCAAGCACTGCAAAATGGTGTTTTTAAAAATAAATTGTTTTCAATATTTTCTATTACAATCTTTCAAAGTTTATCAAAATTTATAATTATATATTATATTTATTTATTTATACATAAATAATACAATTCATTAATTAGTTGATTTAATAATATATTTTTTATAATACTTTTTATTACCAGTTTTTAATCTATTTTATATATAAATAAATGTATATAAAACTTACTTAAATATTTTTTTTATATTATACATATGTATAGCTTGGTACATACCTTATTAACTATTTATTAACTTACTTAAGATTCCTTGAAATAGTATTTAATAGTAATTTATCCTCAATACTTCTTGTCGTCATAGTAGAAAATCCAACTTCCATTTTTTCTCGATTAAATCATTCTTTTAGATAAAAACTGTTTAATAGGCCTTACCGACTAGTTGTTACCTCCCTACCTAGCCCCCCTCTCTCTATTTTTCTCTACACCCAATTTATATACAACTATTTCCAACTACGCATTTTAGAAAAATGTAGTATAAATATATAAATTCTCTTATAATGGTTTATTTTCGCAAAAAACTTATCTTTAAACTATGATAAAAAATAGTGTTTGTTATGATAAATATATACAACTATTCAACAAAGGGTAATTTGTTTAGAATTATTATATAATTTATTAATAAACATCAAAAGAATATTCGCAGAAAAGAACAAAAATATTCGCCTAGTGCTGCCATCTTGAAGAAGCTAAAGTGTTCTTATCTATCCTATAACATTCGTTTTGTTATATAACTTGATAAATATATATTTATATCCTTTTTTAACGAAAAACAACAAGAAGAAAAAGTATTATATTGCGCAATTAACGTTAATTTATTTGTAAAAGTAATATTATATGGTACTTGCAAACAAAATTGTAATTTTTACCGCGAAATGTTACTTCATTTGTTTTTGTTCTTTTTTATTTATTATCGCCCTTCTTCTTTACAACTTTTCTTATCAGCTGTTTAATTCTCTCCAATAAGTTTTTTTCAATTTTCTACTCGTATAATAAAATAACTAACTGACATAATTTTTATTTAAAAAATTTCCAATATTCATTACTCAACTTTCTGTTTTATTCACCAAAGAGGATAAAAACTGCAAAATGATGATATGCAGATCAAAAATATTCTATTTTTATTAATATTTCATTTCAATTTATTTATTATTCAACTTTGTAATATTACAAATATTGATTTAAAATTTGGTTCGACTGTTATTATTTCGTGTAATTCAAAATGGACTATTAATACACGTAATACAAGATGGAAAAGTCCGAATGGATTGATTCATTCGTACCTATCCAAAATATTTGTTGATAAACATCAATTGTTCGTCAATAAAAATGGTAAATTAGTTATAAAAAATATAAATTACAAAAATATAGGAATATACAAATGTGGGAAGATTTTAGATGAGAGAAGTAGACGCATTAAATTAATGATATACGATTTACCAAAATACAAAATACATCGCATTTTTACACTGAAAAATCAAAGCGTATGCAATGATTTACATCGAAAATCTTTAAACTTTTATCGCAAGATTTGTAGCTTTAAGTGTAATCATAAATTAGAATTCTTTAAGTGTCTAAAAAATAAAGTAGAAATCTCTCTAGTATGGCAGTCTGGAAGAACTACTGCAAAATTGGAAAAGGTATTAAAGTTAGAAAAACATTACTTGACTAAGTATTTGATGAATTTTCGTCTAAAAATTGCTAAAATTTGTCGGAAAGGATATGAATATAAACATTATCCGAATAAATGTTATCCGTGTTTAAAAGGCTTCTATATGAAGAGAAGATCGTATAAATGTGTTAAATGTCCGAAGAACTTCTACTCCAACAGCTACGCAGCATCCAAATGTAAACAATGTCCGAAGAATACCATTACTTTCTCTACAGGTTCAAAGAAATGCCTATACACTAGTATATTTCCCCAATTCGTAAAACTGGGTGAAAAGGTCAAACTAGAATGTCCATTAACATCTATATCTCTTTCTTTTCCCTCTGCTTCTCCATCTTCTTGGAAACGATTGAACGGAAGTAAATTTTCAATTAAACGCCATTCAATTGACGAAAGTGGCAATTTATTAATTAATAATATTCAAGCAAGCGACGATGGAGTGTATGTTTGTAATTCGAAACAGATTCGATTAATTACCTATTCTCTCCCTATTCAACTCACTTTATCATCATCATCATCAAAAGTTAATTGGAATTCAATAACTAATAAATTCTTTTATAAAACTTGTCACAAACAAATGGCTAATTGCCAAAATAGTTATTTAAACTTAAATATAAACTGTCACAGAACTCTTCAAACAGAAATAGAAGAAATAAAAGGATTACCTATAATTGAAAATATCTTCAAGACAAATTGTTCAAAATCTAGAAAACCGTTATTGACACTATCAATTAAGCCTAAGATAAGACAAGAAAATTTTAAGCCATTTTGCGTGGGGAAAACACTAAATATTAAATGGAAAAAGTTTGTTAAGGTATTTTTAATTATTTATTTTTTATATTATGACCTAGTTTAATAGAAATTTTCTGATTTAATAAGGAATACTTTTTATTTGAAAATTCACTTAAAAAGCCCTTAAGTGATTACGACGAAATGATGAGTTTGTGCATTGTTAAAAGGATTATGAATAGAGTAAAGAGTTTAAAACATACTTTATTAAACTTTTATCCAACTACTTTATGGAATTATAGATTACTGACAACCTGTCCACCAGGAATGCAACCTGATAGATATCTCCTACTATGTTCGTCTTGCCTTCCGGGAACTTACAAATCCTTTAATGGTCTTTATACTTGTATACCTTGCCCTAAAGGTTTTCAGCAACACCAATCAGGCTCTAAGACGTGTCGCCTCTGCCCTAAAAATTCTTCCTGCTATCAGAAAGAATCTGTTCTATCAAGTCGTGCCCTCTTGGATGCTTTTGAATTGGGTCATATTAGAGGAATCAATACGATAACAATAAAAAAGAGGCAATCTATAACGTACGATACCGAAGAGGACGGGACTCGATATATTCCTAGTGATAGATCTTCGAAATTGGGAGAAGAATCAACTGCAAATGTATTTAAGTCTTTAATCTGGATCTATAGAACAACGAAATCTTGTCCAAAAGATTATCTTAAATATAGTCAAAAGATAATTAATTTATTCATAGAAAAATGCAAAGATTTTTACGGACTAAGGGAAATTAATGAGAAGAAAATTCATGTAGATTCGAGCTGTCTGCAATCGAACAGCACTTATGTGCTAATAAATGTAAGATTAGCACGACTCTCAAAAAGGGTCGAAAGGTCATGTAACGTCACTAACGAAGATGAATGCGTGATAAAGCTAGAATTAAACCATTTAGATGACGTATACAGACGTTGTTTGCGGCCAGTTTTCGAAACTTTTTTCGCTAATTTAACGTCGTTGAAATTCTTTAAAGGAATTGATAGAACTCAAGTTGAATGCCAACCAGGACGTCAATACAATTCTTCGAAGTTCAAATGCGAAGAATGTCCGAAAGGAACTTATAAAGGAGAAGAGGATGAAGTATGTCTTCATTGCCCGTTTGGAAAATACCAGAATAAAGTTGGACAAACGGAATGTTTGGAATGTAATTCAAAAAGGACGAAAAACTCAAAAAGAGGTTCAAAGAGTAAAATTGATTGTGAAGATATTGCAATAAATCAAAGTAACAAAACTCAAATTGATAATGATAAATCTGATCTAGAAACCGATACTGATCACATACAAGACAATTGGAAGATTACTGATAGATCTAGAACCGGTGAAAAAGTTGATAATAAATTTTTATGGAATATCATAGCAGGATGTGTAATGTCGGCGATATTTTTCTTGTACTTTTTATGTAGTAGCTATTTACAAAGAACCAAGGTAGAAGATATTAATTTGGAAAGAGAAGCTATTCTTCAAAAAATTACAACTGATAGAAATATACGAATAAGGGAGAATAATGCTGGTTTACGACCGAATACTACAATGGGTCTGATAGAAGGAGCTCCTTGAATTTATTAATAATTTCTTTATAAAAACTTGTTAAACTTAAGTGATAATTAATTAATTTTATACCAAAAGACTTAACAACAGCTTATTATCGTTCTAAACTTATTTTCCATATAATCTTATTATAAATACTAGACACGTTTGATTATATTGTTTGAATCATTAATATAGATGTCGCTACAAGCTCTACTAATCCCAATGTAAATTTTTACAAGATTACTCTTCTTATTATCTGACAAGTTGATTTAAACTCTTTAATCTTTAATATCCTGTTTGGAAACGTCATAAAAAGAATTTGTACTTTATAAATATATAAAAGTTTTTCTATTTTTTTTAAAAGAAAACCTGTTTGAAAATAACGTTCTATAATCCTTCGGTCGTTTGTCAGTTTATTTATTTTATTTTCTTAGGTTTTATATCTCAGCTGTTTTCATCAATTTTAGAGATTTGAAAATGTTTTAGGAGAATAAACTATGAAAGAATTTATGTGATAGTGTCGAATTTGTTTTGCCATTGCTTGTCAAATATTGTATTGAAATTTGATATCATATTTTGGGATAAGAGCCGATTTGCTTTTAACTGAATAAACTACCCCATAAGCTTAAACTGTGAATTATTACGAATTTTATTATTATTGCAAAGGTGTAAAAAAACTTTTTTTTGCTCCTCGGAGACAAAAAACATGGCGTCTTGAAGGTGTAGAAGTAAAGATTTTTCGATTGATACTACTCTACTTTTCACTATTATTATAACTTTTTCTTAAACAAATTTAATTCTTTCCCTTATTTCTTCTAGATCATAGAGTAAAGTTTAGAATATTATTTACTTTGATAGCTCTAGATTCAAGATAGAAAAAGAATACCGTTAAAGAAACAAAAATAGCTTTTAAAAGTAGCAGCTTTACACCAACTTCCGGTCTGTCTAGTGCATTTCCGTTCCTTGCTAAGTTCAAACTAAACAAAGGTTTTAATCGGAAAAATATGGAATCAAAGGAGCAGATATCTTTTATTTATAAAGAAGGGTTCTTCGAATGTGGATTTCCGAACTGTAATCATAAAGGACGTTTTTCCAAAAGCGAAATTTTGGCACACGTTTATAGGACTTTTCATGAGCCTGGATTCCATTATTCAATCTTGGTTTGTCAAATGCCGGAACATAATAGTGTAACATCAGCATTACAGCATAAGTGTATATATATATGTGAAATTTTCGATCTTATTGAAGAGGAGATGATAAGAGAATCTGAAAGAGATGATATAGATCTACCGCCAACAATTGAAATTTACAACAATTCCAATCAAGTTGAAAGGCCGACTGCTTTCAACTACTATATTAGTCCTGTTACTTCTGCTGGTCCACAGAATCCTCCTCAACCGGTTGTCCGCTATCCACCCCTTCCAACTACTCCCGCACCGCTACCTCCTCCCCTTCCTCCTCCAATATGTTCTACCGCTCCGAGTCGCATGGCTCATAGAATGCCCAACTATCCTCAACCTCCGCCTGCCCATACTAATTCTCAGAACTTATTGAGAAATCTACAATACCCGGGTACACCGATGTATAGTCACAATCTCCATCCGAAAAAGCATGTATGTTATCATTGTGGAATATCTTGCTCAACAAAACTCGAAGCTATGGAACATATTGAAAGGCTTCATTTTAAAAGTGCTATACGTTGCAACTATACATCTTGTGCATATATAAATTCAATGGACAAGGTTATATCTCACATTATGTCGAAGCATAAGTTGTCGTGTGATCTTTCAACTTTAAAACTGCAACTATTGGGAGCAATCATTCGAATAGTTGAGTTTTGCAATACTAATGACAATGTTTATTGCTTGAAGGCTTGAATAAAAGGCGAAAGAGAATAAACTGATGTGTTGTCTTCTAGTAAAAACTAGTGACCAATGTTTCGATTCCGAAATACAATTAATATTATATCATTTTAAATATTTACGGTATGGAAAAAAGAACAGATTAAAATGCGCAATCAGTAGGAGGCGCGCTCTCCAGCGACCAATAAAAGCTAAGAGCGTTGCCGAGACGGCGGCATTATTCGACCGACGGTCGGTGAAAATGTTTATTCTACTTCTTCTTTTTCCACTCCTTTCTGTGGATTCTTGCAGTATAGATGGGGAGGCGAAATATTGTACTCCAAAAATTATGGACATGTCTCGAGGAGAATCTATATCTACACGGGTCTCTTCTATTTGTAAAAATAAAGAAATTTGCTACGATATAAATGACAAGAATGGAATAGAATGCTTTCAATGTAATTCAACTGTCGAACACTTAACAGATTTAGAACCTCGGCTAAGAACTTGTTGGATTTCGGATATCTTACCAAAATTGGGCCCGAAACGAGTCCAATTAATCTTTTCTTTTGGAAAAACAATTGAAGTTACTTATATAAAGATAAACTTCTGTCAAAATGCCCAACCCGATAGTATGGTCATAAAGAAATCGGTTGACGGTAAAAGATGGGTGCCTTTTCAATATTATTCCTCTGATTGCCGACGAAACTATAAAGTGGAAGAGGGTGGAAAAGTAACCCGAGATAACGAAGTTCAAGCACTCTGCCACCGAATCCTACCTAATGAGGATTCCATAAGTTTTTCCCCGCTAAAGTTTAGGCCTTCTAGCCAACAATCCGATGAATCTCCGAGCTTAAATGATTGGATAACAGTCTCAAATCTACAAATAGATTTGGATAATCCTAAAGTAGGCTTCAACCACTATTCGATATCGGACATAAAGATTGTCGGAAGGTGTAAATGCAACGGCCACGCTTCTCGTTGTATTCAAGATAAGAATGGACGGCTAAGATGCGACTGCAAGCATTTTACGGCGGGAAGAGATTGCGAGAAATGCAAGACTGGCTATCATGATCGTCCCTGGGCTCGAGGAACTAGGGATAACCCTAACGCATGCGTAGGTGAGAAACCAGGTGTTTGTAGATCGGCTATAATTTGTCTAAAAAAAAGCATACAACGTTTAAGCAGCTGCAGCTGGTATAATCCTACTGTTTCCTTCCTAGTTTTCATTCCCCACCGCAAATAAACTTTCTAATACTCTTTTTCCTTGAATGTGCAGCCTGCAACTGCAATCAACACTCAAACCAATGCCGTTTCAACCCGAAATTGTATGCCTTATCTAATCAGGAATCGGGTGGATATTGTACAAATTGCCAACACAATACAATTGGAAATAGATGCGAAGTATGTAAGGAAGGATTCTATAGAAATCCAAGGAGGAAGATTATTCATCGAGACGCTTGTATAGGTTTGTAAACTAAATATTTATGGTAACTTTTTTCTTTTTATTATAAATAAGAGTTTGTTCGGTATCACTTTTCTTGGGTCTTAAAAATGCCTACTATTCCCTCTCGTGTTATTGAATAGGAACGAAAGATAAAGAAAGGGGGGTGGAAGGTGTCAATAATAGTGGTGGTAGTAATGGTGGTTGTGGGGGTGCTGGAGGCGATGTTGATCAAAACACGACGGCAGATAATCATTTGTTTCTTGTTTGTCATAAATAAGCAAACATGACATAGTTATGTAATATATAAACAAGGTTACGCCGGGAATAGGCACCTGGCTTTAACACTGATTGATTATCACCCCCTCTTCTGTCTTATCCCGTATATTTTTACAGCTTGCAAATCAGTTCCGCTGCTGGCCATAGGCTATTGTTCTATTCCGTATATCATCAAAACATCTGCGCCCCCTCCTACCTTACCCCTCTTTCTCTATTCGTTACCAAGGGAGATGGGAAGAGTGACGGAAAAGAATGCAATGGGAAAACGATTGTAATTCCCCCCACCCACTAGTCCCTGTCGTCCTTTTTTTCTTTCCTTCCCCTTGTGCCCCTATCGAAAAGTGATTAATTTCGATTACGTAATACAGCGTGTGACTGCCACCCGACTGGTTCTCTTAGTAAAAGGTGTGACGAATCGACTGGACAATGCGACTGTAAGAAGAATACAGTGGGAAGGAACTGTAACATGTGTGCCCAGGGCTACGAACAGTCGAATTCATTAAAGCAGCCCTGCGTAAGGAAGCGTAAGTAGGAGCGATGATTCACAGCCCCTCTCGCGTTATTCATAATTGATTAAGATTTGTTTGTATTCAGGAAACGTCGAAAAGTGCAAGAAATGTCGAAGGGACAGCAGAAAATTAACAAGGGAAAAGTATTGTAAGAATGACTATGGTAAGTCTTTACTCATTATACAATACGATTTACAACCTAAACTCTTACGCAATTCTTTTATAATCTAGCTTTATTCGTTGAAGTTCAAGACAGTTATAAGCTAAGACAAGGAAACCAAATATGGATGTGTCATAAAATCTATGTTCATATGCGTTATAAAACACCGTCACTATTCAGTACTGTTGAAAAGGACGATACGACAAATGTTTGCATACGCTTGAAGAAGAATTCTTGCATTTGTCCTAAGTTAAAAAAAGGCAAACCGTACTTTATCTTGGCAAAGCAAATGAGAAGTAAGAGAAGAAGAAGAAATGAACGTTGGAAGGCAAGCGTTAGAAGTAGTTTAAGATTGGATCGTAGCAGTGTCGTAATGAAATGGAGGGGAACTTACAAAATGGAAAGAAAAATAGAAAAATATCAACATCTAAATAGAATTGGGATGTGTTAACACCCTTATCATTTGATATTAATAATATTAATGTACATTTATACAAACTTAAACTACCAAGAAACTGTGCCAAATGTATGGAAAAACGTTAAAGTAACTAGTGGCCTAATAAATAAGTGTTGTGTATACTTTTTCCTTTCTCTTTTTACTCCTTTTCATCTATCTATTTATCTTTTTTCTATCTCCTTCGCTCGGTAGATTGAGAAAACTAGTCGGTCATGTCAGCTGTAAAATTATAATTAAACTACTCCTATTACTCATCCGTTACTGTCAACGCCTTATAAATTAAACGATTTAGTTAACAAGCTCTCTGTTAAAGATTTAAAGTTTGCAGTTTTTGACAGTACAGTACAGTAATCACCTACAAACTACCTCAATTCGATAAACAGTCGTTTATATCATTATATATAAAAACCATCAGTTTAATCTGAAAAAAGCCATCTGGCGGCAAAATATATATTTATCTTATTGAATAAAGTTTCTTTTTTTTTCATTTAACACTCAATTCCGTATTTACTAAAGCGTCTTAAGATAACACCAATTTCTAAGTGGACTTTACCCATAGTTTCAGTTTTTAAGTGAATTCTTTCAGCTACGTTGGATACAGTGTCGTCTCTAAGTAATTGATGACCACCCCCAAGAAACATCTGAGTAATATCGTCACGCCAAGTTCCGGCTGGTCGCCAAGTAGGACATTCTATCTTGTGCATTCCTGGAGTTGTGGGTATATGGCAGAAACCATAACTAAACAAATCAACTCTGCCGTAATTATCTTGGTGCCAAACTTCAAATCGAAACTTTGGCCAGCCTTGTAAGCCCTTTGTTGCAAAATGAACGTCAATTGGATGAAGCCAATAGGCCATTTCTTCGTTTTGAGGCAGGTCAACTTGAGTCTGGCCTTCTCTTAAACCGGCTAATTTTTTCCAGGCTGCACCTGAATTATTCATTAAGTAATAAACAAGAGAATAATAATAATTCAATAGAACAAATTACCAGAGTGTATAGACCATTTACAGAACAAATTGTGATTTGGAAAACCACTAGCACCCACGACTTGCCCAATAATATGTACTTCTGGTACCTCTGCCATGGTCTGGGAGAACGATAATCGGTTTTGTTCAAGAATTTAATAAAAATCACAATTTAATACGCTTCTCAATAAAATGTATTTATAGTTAAATTAACTTCAGATCTAGTTTATATCCATTTAAACTGGAATTTATTAATTAAGGTAGAAAGTTCATTCATAAAAAAGAAGAGATTGTGAGAAAAAACTCAGCTGCAATGGAATGTTTACCGTTGCTATCGAAATTTCGTAAATTCCGAGAATTATTACTTGGCACTAAATTTTTATTATATTTTATACTAAAACGTTGTTTTAATCATTTTTTCGAAATATTTTATTTCTTACGAAAAGAATATTCAATATAAATAAGAGGGCGAAAGCTTATTTTTAAAACTAAAATTAATGTTTCAACGAGAAATTTAAAGCAGAATTTTCCTAATTAATCATATTAAAGTAATTTCCAATTTTTTAAATACTTAATTAGTACACATGTCAACAGACGAAGAGATTGCTCGTAAACTCCAAGAAGAGGTAATATTTTTTGGGCGATAATATGGGAGTTACTATTAAATATATTATCGTTAGTTTGATAGAGAAAACGAAATAGCGTTACGGCAGGTTGAGGAAGATAGTAGATTTGCCGCTAGTTTAATGGATAAGAAAGCATCTAGTAAAAGGAAATGGCCGTCAGAGGCTGATCTTTTTGGCGATTCAGAGGAAGAGGACAGTCCTAATAAGAAACCGAGCCTGACTCGTCAGGAGACTAATCATTCAATATCAAGCAGTAACGAAGAGTCAGAGAAAGATGATGGATATGCTAAAAAAGAATGCCCCTATGGTAGTAACTGTTATCGTAAAAATCCAAAGCATTTCCTTGAATTTACCCATTCTAAAGGAAGTTTCTCGGAAAGTCTAAACGATAAGTGGAATAGGTCATCCCCCTTTAACTTCTTTCTAACAAAAGCCAAGGGAATAGACAATAAATATAACGCAAATCAATCTGTCCATATAAAAGGTACCAAAATAAGATTTTTATTCATTTATATCTTAGCGAAGTATGATTATTTAATCTTCTTCTTAGAAATCCTTTCCGAATCTTTTGGAGAACTTGTTCAATCGGCTCAAGTTTGTTAATATATTATTATAGTTTGCTAACATAAATTTTATTTTTTACTGTCTAGTTTAATTATAAGATCGATGTTGATTGGTTAGTTCAATGCTATCCTGAAAGTTTTAGGTAAAATACGAGGGAAAAATGTATTTTAATTGTGATAATCCAGTTCATATGTAAATACTTCTATTTTATCAATAGGTCGAAACCTTTATTGATTGTACATGGTTTTAAAGGAAGAGAGAAGCAGGATTTGGAATCTGAGGCAGCCAAATACGATCATATAGGATTCTGTCAAGCCAGATTGGATATTGCTTACGGTACTCATCATTCGTAAGTTATAAAATAAGAAAAACGGTTATTTCTAATGTACATATGGAAATGTGTTTAAAGGAAGATGATGCTTTTGAAATATACGGATGGAATTAGAGTGGTTATTCATACAGCCAATTTAGTTCACGGTGATTGGCATCAAAAGACCCAAGGGTTTGTATTTCCTAAAAGTTTATACAAGTGATAAATTTCATTGAAAATACTTGAACAGAGTTTGGATAAGTCCTCTTTTCCCCATATTACTTGGTCAAGGATCTGGGGAATCGGACACAAAGTTTAGGAAAGATTTAATTGATTATTTGACAGCGTACAACCATCCCAAGTTAAGATCATGGATAGAAATGATAAAAACTCACGATTTTTCAGATTGCAGGTAAGATCTATAAGGAGGAGAGTCTTATGATTTGACTTATTTTCTATTGCAGAGTACATTTAGTGGCGTCAGTTCCTGGTCGTCATACAGATATATCCAAAGATAAATGGGGTCATTTAAAATTACGTAAACTTTTAAAACAAGTTGAACCAAGTTGCAAACAGTGGCCAATTGTTGGTCAATTTTCAAGTATAGGATCACTGGGCGCAAAAAGTGAAGACTGGCTTTGCTCCGAGTGGTTGTCTAGTCTTTCTACAATGGGACAAACTCTTGTAGAAAAATCACAACTACGTTTGGTATATATATATTTAAATCTATTAGAACATCCTAAGCTGTAACTCTTTCTCATTTTGTAAGGTGTTTCCTTCTGTTGATAATGTCCGATTAAGTTTAGAGGGTTATCCGGCTGGCGGTTCGTTGCCATATAGCATTCATACTGCTAAGAAACAGACCTATCTACATTCTTTCCTTCAGTAAGTTTTTCTCTTATCGGTATGGAACGCAATTAAAATTTACTCTTCAGTGTCTGGAAGTCCGATAGAAATGGTAGAACCCAAGCCTCGCCGCATATAAAAACTTATATGAGAATGTCGCCTGATGGTGAAAATCTAGCTTGGTTTGCCTGCACTAGGTAGCTATAAAAATAAGTATATAAAGTATTGAATTTCTTCAAGAATCTAGTTTGCTTCAGCGCTAACTTATCAAAAGCTGCTTGGGGAGTTTTAGAGAAAAAAGGATACCAATTGATGATAAGGTCTTACGAAATCGGTGTTCTATTTTTGCCAAAATCCTTTGTAAGTTTTCCCTGCTTTAACAAATCTGTTAAAGTTTATCAATATATATTCATTGCAACATAGAGTAAGGAAGTTTTTAAGATTAAGGATGATAATTTTCTCGTCCCTTTTGATTTACCTCCCACACCATATGAAAAATCAGGTATAAATACAATAGCGTAACCTCTTTTTTTATAATTCAACAACAATTTTTTATAATCAACTTACAGATCACCCCTGGATATGGGATATTCCGCACGTTAACAAACCAGACACGCACGGTATGAAATGGTGTCCGAATTAAGATTAAAAAATATAAAAAAAAGAATTTTACAAATATATACAAAGTTCTTATTTACAAATTGAAATTCTCAGTCGTTCTTATCCTTTTTCTTGGAAGGTCTTTTAAAAACTTGTTTCATTCCTCCGCCTTTTGAGCTGTGGAATTTCTGATTTGTCGCCGAATCAGCTACCCACGGAGAATCGAATTGAGTAGTATCTTGATCGACTAAATGAGTATATTTTGTTCTTCCTGAACGACCAAAGTCCTTGACCTGCATAACTTTTGGTAAAACAGTTTTGTCAAAGTGATCTTCCAGTGTAGGTTCCGCAAAATTTCTTTTAAGAACGTCATTGTCTTCGTCGAGATAGAACACTCCTCTGTGGTAGTACTTTTGCATAAATTTGTACTTTCCTCTCTCTTGTTGATTCGTAATAAGTTTTGGATTTTCTTTCAATTCCTTCTGTCTTTGTTCTTCCGTCAAATTGCGTCGTCTCTCCACTTCGGCCATCTCTCTCTGAGCTTCTTCACGTTGATCTCTCTCACGCTTGATTCGTTTCAATTCTCTTACTTTCCATGATTCATATTCTTCTTCGTCGCCCTCTTCGTCGTCTGTAATAATAGCTTCCAATGGTTGAAGACCAGCTGATTTAGCCGCTTCCTCTTCAAGTTCTCTTTTACGTTCCGCCTCAATTTGGCGGAGTGTTTCTCGTCGTTGAGCTTCAGCTTGATTTCTTTGTTGACGTTCCAAAGTTTCAAGTCGTTTTTCTTCAGCTTCTCTTTCACTAACTGTAGCACGATCGTTTCTAAAATTGAAAAAAAGAAACTAAACATGATTGACCTTTCGCTTAAAATTAAAACTAACTTTTTTACGAAAACTGGACGAAGCCTAGGTAAATCGTCCTCTTCCTCTTCAGATGAATCAGTATATTCTTCATATTCACTTTCTTCGTCGTCACTGTATTTCTCTTTAGCTTCAGACTTTTCCATTAATTCATCTTGACGCTGTTGAGCTCTGATTGATTTTAAAAGAAATGCATATATTAGCCTCAATAACTTTATTAATCAACTATACAAAAATTTCATGAGAATAATAATTAACCTTGCTTTTGCCCTCATAGCAGCTCTTCGCCTCTCTATTTCATCTTCGTCTGGTTCTTCTTCATCTTCTTCTTCATCCTCACTTTGAATTACCCTTACAGCTGCTTTTGTGTCTAGAAAAATGAAAATACTCTATAATTATTGCTAATTCAATAATTGAAAGAGTTTAATTAACCTTTCAGTTCGCCTTCAGACTCTTCTTCTTCAGATGATCTATCCAATATTTCTGGTTCAGCAATAACTCGATGGCGAGCCCTATTTAATCGTCGTACTCTCTCTGTCTACAAATTGCAAAATTTTAAGCTAATATAATAATCTAAAATAAAATGTACCTCATCCTCCTCATCTTCATTTTCTTGATTTATTTCTTTTGTAAGGCTTTTGCTCTGTTGAACTGGTTCACGATTTGGTTCTTCATTCTTTTCCTCTTCTTCCTCCTCTTCTCCTTCGCTTGAAGATAGAGCAGCAAAATCGGGTCTGTTCAATTTAAAAACGTTAGACTGAAAAAATCATAATGATTGCAGTATATCGTACCGCTTTCCAGTGACATATCTTGTAACTTTAACTTTTTCCATAACAATTTCACCTTTTTTATTTCGAACTGGAACTGCTCCAGCCGTTGATTGGATTTGCAGTCCATTTAGGCTGTTTTGCTGTGCGTTAGACATGATAAACTTGAGTTAGGCTATACAGATATCCACTGTTATTCTTTTTTACGAACAGTACACGCCGAAATATTTTTCCGAAATGGGCCAGCGTACTACACGAGAAAAACAAAATGGCGACTGAAGGATTTCTAAGAATGTCATCCATTTTTTTTCTAGGCACTGTCAGTTACTAGATTTTAAAGTTGCTTTGAAGCTGAGAAGCGCTTAAAGCAGCTGTAAATAAGTTAGTCAATGTTTTGGTTGCATGACCATACATCTATTGTAAGCGAAGATACCGCATGTAGACTTATTGATTCAAAAGAGAAGTTTTAAATATCAATACATTTTATACTGTGTTCTGTATTGAACTAAACAATACATTCTACTTCGCAGGCATACATTTTTTTCTCTATATATTAAGAGTCAAACTGCAAACAAAATAAATGTGTCAAAATAAATAAAAACTGCATACGGGAAGAGAATAGATTGAACACAAATTACGCGGCCATTTTCACACTAGAGTTTGACTGATATCCCGTTGTAGAAGTAGCTGAAGTAGAAGTAGTTGGCCGCATTGGACGCTTTGACCTGTTGAAAGTTTTTCCATGAGTGTAAAAGAAATTTTCTAAACTTTTTCCGCCCAGTTTATACTAAATTACCTCGGACTGTGGAGTGGCGATTTCGCTGATCGAGGCGGATTTACATATTTTCTGCACGTAGTTAGCTTAGATTCCAAAGCCTGTTTGAGAAAAAGAAAAAATAAACTTTGTACAGAAAAAAAATTCAGCCTTTGTCACGTACCCCGACTTTATGCAATAAGTCTCCCACAATATTAAGAGCGGAAATCCTGGCGGATGGTGTCAGGGGTGTGTTGGGACCTAGAAAAAAATTAAATTTATGTTTAGTGAGTCATTTCTTTAACAAAGGAATTATGATCAATGATTTACCTATTGGGGTGGCTGGTGTTGTGGGTAAGCTCGTTTCAGGCTTAACTTTCTTCTCGTCTTGTTTATCCCTAATAACAATCTCTTGTCTTAAATCTCTTGCTTCGTCCTTCATTCGTTGAACTACTGCTGAGAGTTCCTGCTTTTCATCTAATTCACTTTCTAAAAACGCATTTCTTTCTATAGCTTTATTTAAACGAGACTCAAAGTCTTCCAGAGAGCAAACAGTGGCACGCTTTGCCCTTTCCAGGTCGTCATTTGTTTGTTCTAATTCCCTAATATATCGGTTAAGTTCTCTTTTTACGGCGTGTAACTGAGCCAATTCATCTTCCAGAGTTTCAATTTTTTTCTGAAAGGAGCTGGTTGTACCGGTACATCTTTCTCTAAGAGAGTCGACTTCGGATTGCAATCTGGCATTCTTGATTCCTAAGTCTTCGACCTTAGATTCGGCTTGTTTGAGCTGAGTTTCTAACTCGATTTCTAGTTCTTTTGATGATATTTGAAATTCATCTAGCTCCTCTTGAGCACTTTGATATCTAAAAAATTAATGGTTATACAAGTAATTGTTCGTAATTAATCCATACGCACAATTCTCTGTAGTCCTTAGCTTTCCTCTTAAAATATTCAGCTTCTTCTCGATCACTATTGAACTCTTTACAAAAATCACTATCATCCATTGTAGGTAGAAGTCTGATGGCTATATAAATGACGTAGTCCGTCTAGACGTTCACCCTTGGTTCAATTCGAATAATATCGAAGACTGACTGCAAGATTATGTATTTTAATCGACAACATTCAATTGAAGACTTTATAGCACTTCAAATTTCAATCGGCCAGTAATAAAATGGCGATAATCAATATAATGTGGTTTAAATTCCAGCAAGTATTGTTATTTAGTGTGGTTCCGAAAGTACTGTTTCCGTTTGGCAAGGCTAAATTTGGCTTGATGGTAATCAACTGACGTCATTGAAGTGATTGATAACTCATTAAGTTTTTATTAGATGACAGTTCTTATCGACACTTTTGTCTAATATGCAATGTTGAATGCATGAGAATGACGTATTTCAAATAAAAATTTTGAGAATATTTCTTTTCCCTCTCAAATTTATTGACTAAAGTTAATATTTGTTTATCGATTTTGGAATATTTTATGCTTTCTTCTTTATTTTAACCACATGCGATTTATTTTAGATAAAAACTTCTTATATAAATATATATTTTTGGCATATAATGACGTAACTAGAGTAAAGAATCTATGCGATTGATACAATATGGTGTGTACATCAATGCAAAATTTTATATATTATGTTACACTCGAAGAGATAGTAAAACTTATTTGAAGACATATTGATAAGAATTGTAAAAATTGTTATCACATTTGTAGTTGAATTTCGTAAAGGTAACAGCCTTATGGCAGTTAGCGGTACCTCAACCTAACCTAGAAATAACTAATAACGTACATTTGAAATATTTGAATTATCCGTTTTGTTGTCTAACGGCTTTCGACAGTATAAAAGATGCAACTTATTTAACCTGGATTAAGACTAATATATAGATATCATAAATATACATTTTAGTATGAGTCATTTTTATTCGGTAAACAGTTTAAAGATGCGGATTTTGAAAACAAACGGAATGAATACATAATATAAATCATTCAAACTTTTAGCATCTGTTATGTATAAAAAAAGATTAATTTTATATTTCTATAAAGAGAAAATATATAGAAATTATTGCGTAAAGTATTATTTTTTTTAAAAAGAACAGCTTATGTCCTCTTTTAGGTGTAATTGTTAATAGACAAGAATGAATCACTAAAGTTTGTAATATTTTAAAATTTATCGTCTGCTATTTCTCACATACCAATATTAAGTTTTGCCAAAGTTATTAAATATTTATAGAATGGATAAGAATAAATTCTTTACCTTCCTTTCCTTTCTCTCTTTCTCTCTCTGTCTTTTCGCGGGTAGTTTTCTCCAATTTTGTTCACTGTTGGAAGCTGTATGGAGGGAATATGAGAACGAATAGATAGGATCTAGCAATTAGTAATTCCCAATTTTCCCTTAATGCATTCTAAATTTCCCTAAAGCGGAGTAATATACGGCTTTTATCTGGGTAATTAACTTATAATCGTATAGTCCTATACCTCTTAAATAATGTCCATATTTAGTATCACTATATAATAGAACAGAATGTTATTAGTTTATTTATTTAAAATATAAATGTTTGAAATTAGATTAAATAACTTAAATTTCGTTACAATATACGCAATCTATAACGTTCAAGCGCATGTCATATCGTTTTAAGGTTACTCAACCTTAAAAATAAAAGATACCCTTTATCTAATTTACACGAGAAATTTATCCTTTAAAGATTTTGCTGTTTAGTTACACGGTCTTTATGTTATAGAACAGCCGTATAAACTATATATACACTGATTAATTCTATTCATACAATACACATTTGTTACTTAGCGCTAACTATATAGCACTCTTTATTTTTTTTTAATTAATTACATAAACACGTCTTGTAAAATTGTTTTAATTACTTTTGGCTTTTTGTTGTTGTTGTAAAAGAGGACTTTGTAATAATAGTAGTAAAATAAAGAAGCTAATTAGTTTATATAATGGGATAGTTTTTTGTTTTTTAAAAAAAAAAAAACAAAAAAGTATGATAAATAATATTCTTTCTCTCTCTCTCTCTTTGACGTAGAATAATTGAATATATATATAAAAATTTCTTTTCTTGAAATTAGTGAAAAAAGCCAGATGTTTTTATTTAGTAATTTTGTTAAAATGAATAAATTTTAATAAATTATGCAGATAGTTCATTCTTGTTGTAATTTTAAGTACAGTACCTACTTTCTACTAACTATAATGATAATTTTAATATCGAGTGATCCCTTTAATTATAGCTTGTGTATTTTTATACGTCATACCTAATTATATATATTTAACCTGACTGTAACCGTTAGTTATAAATATAAACAAGTAAACAAAAAGTCTATTAATCAAACTTATACTTATTCAAAAGATTCAAACTAATTAGTAGACGACAATATTACTAATTAACCTTTTATTTTAATAGGTTATACATATAAAAAGATAATCACTTTATTTACAATCTTGATTCTATGAAACTAGAAATTATAGTGAGAGAAAAAAGACAAATGAGAAAAGCATCTGTGATTTCCCAAGCTGAATTTTTTGTTAAATAGGTAACACTGAGACGTAGACACCAAGTTTTCCTTACTTGAATAGGATAATATGAGAATTGAAGCATATTTCGCGTTAGCTTTCTTAGTAACCGCATCTATTGCTCAACAATGGGGAACCAACCCAGAAAATAGTAGAGCCCTTAGGTTTAATTATACGGTTAATATATTAAAATGAAAGAATATATTAACATTTCTTACTAATTGAACATATTTTTATTACAAAATAGCTTACTCCCCTTGATGAGTATATTCTAAGATACGATCCAAACTACTCTTATGACTTGGTCAGAACCTACACTAAGGAAGATCATGTAGTTTACGTACTAAATATGACGTCACAAGTTTGTATTATTGATTTTAGTCGTCTATTTAACTTAAAAATTGGAATTATAAATTATTTATATTGGCAGATGTGGAGAAATGAAACCGATTCTGATCATCCTGTATGGTGGCATTGGCTGGCCGTTGCTGTCCCTAATGATTTGAAGCACGGTAGCGATGGTTTCATATATATTGGATCAGGAAACAATAGAAATCCAGATGCGTATGTTATTTGGCTGACATAACTAATGATTTATTATGTACATTGTTTATTTCTTTGGAAAATAGACCTCCAAATGCCGATAGTCGAAATATTAGAAGAGCAGGACAACTCTGCGTTCAAGTCGGTGCTGTTGCTGCCTACCTATGGCAAATTCCGAATCAACCTATCCGCCTAAGAGAAGATGATGATGATACTCAAGATGGTAGAGTTGAAGACTCTCTAATCGCTCTTACATGGAGGTTATACTTGGAAGATCCAACATCAAAAGATATTCTTTTAAGATTGCCAATGACAAAAGCAGTTGTGAAGGCTATGGACACAATTGAAGATTTTATAAGAGGTCAGAATGGAAATACTGTAAATAGATTTATGCTTTCGGGAGCTAGTAAGGTAAAACTGAATGAGATGACTTTTTTCAAAGTTTCATATAACAATTAATATATAACTTTTGTAGAGAGGCTGGACCACTTGGACTACTGCTGCTTTTGATGTAAGAGTCAAGGCTATGGCTCCTACTGTACTTACGATTCTAAACATGTACAAGAATCTTAAGAATCACTATAGATCTTTGGGAGGTTGGACCTTTGTATTTGGTGATTATTGGAGTGAAGAGTTAACTACTAAAATGGAAACTCAAGAATTTGTTATGCTTAGAGATATAGTTGATCCTTATTCGTATAGAGAACGTTTTACAATGCCTACATTAGTTGTTGCTGGATCCAGTGACGAATTCTTTTTACCTGACGAATCAAGACTCTTTTTTAACGATTTACCAGCAGATGCAAAATACATGTGGCTAGTTGAGAATGCAGGTCATTCTATTACTTCAAGTCCGTCTGGAGAATTATATTGGGTCAATTTGGGACATTTTTGGAAAGCAGAAATTGTTAATTACGTTTACCCAAAATTGACAAATGAGTTAACAAATGATAATAAAACTGCAACTATTACCATAACCACATCAAGACCCCCATTGAATGTTGCTGCATGGTATGCTTATTCATTAGACAATGGAGCTAGAGATTTCCGTCTGAGAACACTTTCCATCCCTATTGAAAGTGGTATAAAATGGCACAGCGAACCTGTTACCGCTATTTCTCCAGTTAAATATACAAAAGAATTTTCAGCACCAACTAATGGAACATGGCTAGCTTTCTTCCTTAGAGTTGAATTCCTTCAACCAGATAATCAAAAATTGGTTGTTACTTCTGAAGCAAACGTCGTACCAGATACCTACGTTCTACCAGAATGTTTCGGAGAAGATTGCCTAGGATTTTTGGTCTAAGATTTATACTTTAAAAAATATTTCTAAACGATAATAAGCATATTTATACAAATATATTAATATATTCATGAATTGATAGTGTATAGTTTGTAACTTTGCCGCTCCGCACCAAATTAAAATAGATTAGATTGTCTCTTAATTTTAGAGAAATATTTTTATTGGGCAGAAATTCTATAATCATTAAAATTAAATATTCTAGAGAGTAAAACAAACAAACAAACAAACAAACAGCAAACAAAACAGACAAAAAAAAACACCTTAGTTGATTGACAGGAAAGTATTTTTTTTTCTTAGTTTTGAAGCTTATTCTAAATCAAATAACTATAAATAATAATAATAAATTAAGAATTGAGAAGAGAAGAATTGTAGAGAAAGAAGATAAAAAAATCATAGAATTATGAATTATGATAAAGATATGATTAAAATTTTACCTAAGTGCTAAGACAGAGAAAAAGAATGATATGTTAAATCAATAAATCTTTCTTTTACAATATAACTCAATTATAAAATAAAAGATGGATTTGTAAAGCTTATTAATACTGCAAAATAAAATATGTAAATTAGCTAATGTAACTCAACGCGAAATAATATATATATATATATCTACATATTTATGATCTCTGCATCTTATATCTTATCAAGCAATAAATGTTTCATTATTTCTTCAATATTTTTTTTTCTTCTCTTTTGTTTTTTTAAAAAAAAATTTAAAGATGAAAAAAAAATTGTATGATTTGGAAGAAAAAACGAAAGTTCACTAGTAATTGTAAAACTAATATATATATATATATATATATATATATATGCGTGTATGTGTGCTGCAAAATGGCATTTCTTCTTACCTCTTATTTGTTTTAACAAAAATACTAATTAATATGCATAAATAAGAAACAAATGAACGCAAAATAAATATGTATACATATATAGTTATATATATATATATATATATAACTAATATGACTTTTGCAGGTTAAAAGTTGTAGAAAATTCTATATAAGTAATACTGTATACATTATATATATATAAACTATAGAAGTTGTTCACTAATAAATTAATAGAAACGTTGAATTTCTCTGTTTAGATTATAATGCAAAATTTGGATGGTTTACTCTCTTGCCGATGATTTATCTCTCTCAGGACTGGTTTCTCGTCATTCGTTTCTTGTACGGTATTTTTTGGTTTTTCATCTTCTGCGTAGCGTAAAAATATACAGTTATTTTTATTTTACAAATAAACAATAAAATAGTTAGTCAATTTCGAATTTTTGCGTAAGAAAACAACGATATCCTAAAGGCCCATATACAATCTATAAATTACCAGTTTTCGATTCCATTTCATTCCAGTTTCTTCGATTCGTCTTACAACCGTCATAGAGAGTTTCTAAGTTATTTTCCAGATCATACAGAGTCTGTATTAATTTTTATATCAATTTTTTTAGACCGTAAATGAAAAAATGAACAACATATCGTTTTTTTTGTCTTTTTTTATATTTTTCATATATGTTTTCCAGATTTTGCACTAATTTTCCAGTTGTTTTATCACCTTTACTTTGTTTTTTTTTTTGTTTATTCCATGGGTTGTTTTATTTTTTTATGCTTTGTTTGATTGAGAGAGACCGGGATATTCTGTTTTGTTTATTTTCAAACTTTTTAAGTTTAAACCTAGCGGGCCGATTTGTAATTAACTAAATATATCTCTTTAATTAATTAATTAATTCTATGTAAAATTCTAAGTAAATAAAACTTATCGATGAATAATTTATTCACCATTGAATCCTTCATCAATATTGTTAAATTTCGACCAGTGTTCTTTATTCCTCTCAACGCCCTCGAACATTGGTTTTAGACCAGGAAAGCAGATAGCCAAATTCTAAAATATTGTTTATATATATTTTTCTCTTTTAGTGTTTTTGTGGTTGTTTTTTATTTTTTTATTTTTGCCTTTTATTTTTTTTTTATAAAAAAAATAAATATAATATAAATTAATAGCAATAGATCGGTTACTAGTATATATTTTGTTGTTTATTATTAATAAGCAAGGGAAGGTAGGGTAGGGGGGTGGGGAGGTGGAGAGAATAAGTAAGCGGTAAAATATTGTGACGGGAGGAGGAAGCTAGCGTATTAAAGGTTAATCATTTTGTTAGGTTAAGTTATTAAAAAATCGTTTTTATGGATAAATAGGGTAATGGAAAGGGCGGAAGGCAAGGCAGCAAGGGATGATAATTTAGAAGAAAATAGGTGCAAGGCTTAAAGTTAAAAAAAAAGAGGATATTATGAGCGTTAATAATATACGCTGTAGTATATTAACATCAAGTAAAAGGCCTCTTTATTTACATAAAAAAGGGACATTTGAATGAAAAAGTATATTTAATTGTGGTTGTATAGATAGTAAAAAATATTAGAAGAAAACAGGAGCAAAATGGGAATAAGAGGTAACAATATCGGTAAAGGTAATTAATTGCCTTAGTGATTTTACGTAACAAAAGGCGTCAAATTATTTAGGGAATTTTTGAGCGTCAAAGACGATATTTACTATATTTTTGGTATAATATAGTATTGAACGCGTTAGATATTTTCCCCAATTTCAAATGTTTCTAGTGTAATTATTTATATATAATTAGTATATATATATACTGTATATACATATATATATATATATACATCTTTATATCTTAGGTAGTAAATTTTTGGTAGGGTAAGTGCAATTAGAAATGTAGCTTTTGGTATGATAGAATGGCGGTGGTTAAGCAAACAAATGATGGAAAATTAGCACAAAATATACGAAAGCAATATGTGAAAAAAGATTAATTAATACATATTTAAAATATAATATTTCTTATATATTTCCTTTGGTTTAAAGCAATTAACAAATAAATATTAAGACTATATACATACCTTATATAATGGTAAACATATTGAATCTATAAATCCAACTTGCATTTTTGGAAGATCATCTTTTTTAGTCCTATCCATCATTGCCTATGAGGAAATAAGATAGAAATTAAATTTCTATACTGATTAATTGTTATTACCATTGGTTCCAAATTTAATCTTGATCTTTCCAGATCGCCTTGTTCAAAGAATTCTCCGGCAACTAATAAAGCAACTTCCTTTTGAATTTCCCAGGGTTTCGTTATAGCAGCAACATCACAAGCCGTCATCATCATGCCTCTAATGAAATTTTAGTGCAATAATTAATTAGCAAGCATAATTAGGAAGATAAGTTTACCTCAACAAATCCCTTTTACTGGGTTCACCCCAATTTTGTTCACCTTTATTGACTAGTTCCATAAATTGATTCTTTTTCCTATTGTAAACATTATATAAGGGATTTTTCAGCTTATACTATTTATATTTACTTGAAATATAAAGCTAGGTCAGTGGATAGTATGGCACTTTCAATAATTTTAACGACTCTCCTATATTCCTGAGAAGACAATGAACTAAAGATGTTATTGCAATCGCTATTTAAAATCATAATGCACTGGTCAAAGTGATGATGTTCCATAGTAGAAGTTGAATACAATTGAGCCAAAGGGGATTCGACTCTGTAAAAAATCATATTCTTTATCAGTTTTTTCCTTCAAAATAGAGCAAGTTATTTAAAACTTACTTGCTTTGGAAAGCATTATTCGTTCCCCTATGATCTAGATCATGGCATAAGCAAGCCACTAACAAGGCAAACATTTCTATATCATTAACGTATTTTTCCATTTTCCCCGTCTATTGAAAAAAACAAGATCAGCTGTTATTCTATTTATCGAAGGAAAACACAAAGTGAACATTCTTAATGACACCTATAGGAAAACAATATCAAAAGATTTTGACAATCTGAACTATTCATAGGTAGATAGAAAGAAAGTGAGCAAGAAGAGAAGAATGGATGTAGAAACAAATAAGAAAGATGAAAAAGTTAAAAAGAAAAACTTACAAAAATCATTGTGAACATAGTTTGAGTAACGTTAAAAGCATGTCTCCAGTTATGATACGTTACTGGGCGATAATTCTTCTTGACGCTGAGTGTCCACCGACATAATTTCTTTGATATTTGAATAGAAAAATTCATTAATATAAGTTATACTGTAGATAAAAGAGGTTTTTATTCAATCTTTCTTTTACCTCATACGAAACGCTAAATCTTTTTGTTACCCCACAGTCTATAAACATCCTTACAGTCGCTTTAACAGTATCGTAATCGGTTAGATTGAAATCGCTAAAGCCAAACGAATATAGATCATAATCAACGGATGTAGGTATTTCGGACTGCTGTTAAAGACATTATAGTCATTTTATGATTGAATTGGGGAAAGGGATAAGAGAAATTGAAGCTATTCGCAGAGCTGTTTAAAATAGTTCATTTTCTAGTTTGACTGAGCACGATTAAACTATGAGAATGCCTAAGGGGAAGTGTAAAACGATTTTTTCATCTTACTAATAGTTTATCCGTTTCTTCTTGACTAGCTGCTGCGTGATAAGACAAACATTCTAAAGCGACAGACTGTTTCGCCATTAATGTACATGCATCCTCGTACATTCTGCAATTGTGAACTCCCAATCCAAAAAATATTGACAAAGCCTTTAGAAAAATATTGAAAACAAAAAGTTATAAGAAAGATTCTCTTCAGTTTGTCTCTCTTCTTTTACCTTAACAAGATTGACGTCACTATCCGAAAACATCTTTCTATCTATCTTATTTAACAATTGAACGATTCCAATAACACGATTCGAATTATTACGTATTGGTACAGCCATTATACCGCGAATTTCAAATCCATCGTGATCTTCCATCTTTAATAAGAAAGTTAAAGAGAAGAGTTTATCGACGTTATGTAAAGAAAGATGAAAGTAAAAATTCAACTAACTTTTTCTGTCTTTGACTGTGGAAGATCATTAATATCGTCGATATGCATATCCTGTTGATAAAGAATACAATGTATACGAAGAGCAGAAAAATTATGATTCAATCATCTTCTTTATTATTACCATGGTTACTTATTAGATAAAAAAAATATATATAAAATGAATATAGTATAGATTGAGTAAATGATTACCTCTCCCGTAACAGCAATGCTTCTAGCCCATTGAGCATTCTTTGAGCTTTCAACATCTGAATCGCTGAAACAAAAAAGTCACGTTGGCATTATATACATATTATAAGTACAATATAACTATATAATCCTATACATGTAATCTATTTATCCTTTCTCTCTCTCTCTCTCTCTCTCTCTCTCTCTCTCTCTCTGTCTTTCTTTCAATCTATCTACATGTTAATTTCATTTATTTGAAAAACCAATATGTTTGCCCTTCTCTTTCAGCTTCCTTTTCAGCTTCTCTACAAATCTTCATATATATAGAACTAGCTGTTACTTGGTGTAAACATACGCATTTGTGTTTTTCTTTGTGGTTATTATTTAAAGTACGTTAGAAAAGAAATAGTCAAAAACTCACGTCAACGTAACAATATCTCCTTGTTTTGTCGTATTTAATTCGAAGACATGAGAGAAGATAATCATCTATTAAAATCGCATAAAGAACGTTTCATGTTAGAGAGGTAATAAATGATTTTGCACCAAATAGATATATTTGGATATGAACCTGGGGTTGAATAGGTGTACGAACTCTTCTATGATCATTTTTCAAGGCTTTAAGAGCCGACTTATGTTTGTCAAGATTTTCTGTTTCCTGTTTTTATTTAAAAAGAGGAAGGAAGAAAGAAGAAAATGAATAATTAATATAATTTCAGTAAAATAATTAAAATATTATAATTTAATTTAAATAAATAAAATATGAAATAAAAAAAATAAAGCTGTATGAAGAATATTACAGTTTTTTTTTTAAAATAACTATACAGCAATATATTGCATATTGATACTGTTGGATTATAACATACAGTATAACGTGTAAAGTATTATACATTGTTGTTTTTTTATTATTATGTAACAGCATCCTTATACAATATAAGCTATGAAGACTATACGTGCGTGAAAAGTTTTAGTAAAGATTATTGAGTTTTGTACTACTTGTTTTTTAGCGGTAAAAATATATACTATATATATATATAAATACCGATTGTACATACATATACATACTATATTAGTTATGAATTATATTAGATAATATTTTTTATGTATGTACAGATTTAAAAGGAAGCTTGGTTTTTTTTTATTTTTTTTAAAAAAAAAAAATCAGAATAAATAAAGCAAAAGAATCTTCCTCTTTTTATAATTATTGTTATCGAAATGTTTTAGCAGGTGCTCTAATTAGCAAAGACAAGATCGCTCGCTTTCATCTCTTTTATATGTTTTTTCGTTTCGTTAGTTAATTTATAAGTAAAAATTTTTTTGAAAGAAATAGAATAAAAAATGATAATATTAGCTTGATATATAACTCTTTCTTTTAAAAATCTTTCCTCATTCCTTTCTTAACAGATTATATTCCAGTTTCGTAGTTAAGATAGTAATAAGTAAGGTAGAGTTAGTTTTCACTCTTCTTCTTTTTTAATTATGACAAAATCACAAATGAATGACAAAATTTTTCCTTCTCCCATCTACCCTTATCCTTCTCATCTCCCTCCTTGAAAAGCAGTTTAAATGTGAATAAAAAATTATTCTATTCTTTTCTAAAGAATAAAAAAGAGAAAGAGAATTGAGGTTGTAGAGGTGAAAAGAGAAAAAGATTAAATAAAAGGTGAAAAGACGGATTGAGGGAGATTGGTAGGAAAATGAATTGTCAAAAGGTTAGTGAGACAGTTAAACTTCTAGATACTATTTCACCTTTACAAAAAGAAAAGAGAGGAATGAAAGAAAAAGCAATTCGATTCTATTCCTTAGTACTAATACTTTAAACGCAGTACGAAGTAAATAGAAGAATTTCTTTCCTTCCATCTCAAACTTCTCTTAACAATATTGAATGTTCGAAGGCAAATGAAAAAAGTCGTTTCTTAGCAACGAATTGTTTACACGCACCAAAGCTATACGCCAAAGTGATCAATAGCAGCATAAATATACAGTATACTGGATAAGTATAATGTACGAATATATTAAAATGTACAGCATTTACTATGTAACCTACTTTATATCATACACTGTATCGTTAGTGTCGTAGCTATCAAGTATAACATTAAAGTAATAACTTTCAACGGCAACTTAAGAGCAATGTCTTTGTTACTAGAACAGAAAGTCTTCAGGCTTAATATTCTCTCTCTCTCTCTCTCTGTGTGTGTGTGTGTGTGTGTGTGTGTGTCTTGCTCGCTCCCGCTCTCTTCATTGTATAAGCTATGCTATTTTTTCTTCTTTGTGGTTTTGTGGCCATAAAAGAAACGTTATTCTTTTTCTATTAACAATAGTAATTTCTTTGAAACTTTTATAATAAATATAATAATCAGAAATAAATAGATAGAATAACGAAATAATCCAAAAAAAGATCAATTAACCAACAAAGAAATATGAAGAAAACAAAGTCTTAAAGAGAGAGAGAGAGAGAGAGAGAGAGAGAAGTAGATAGATAGACAGAATGAAAGAGAGAGAGAGATTGAAAGATATACTTTTGGAAATATTTATGAATTATAAAACATTAAGTTTTCTCCCATTACGCTTTTCAAAGAAAAGATATATATATAGAGAGAAATTTTTATCCTAATGAATTCGCAAAACAGTATTATTACATGAAGATATTTATATTCATATTTAATATATACATTATATAGATCTGCTATTGAAATTGTTAAAATGGCTCTTCCTAAATGAAAAACCTCTAATAGAAAAAAAGTCAATATCAAGCTGGTTTTAATGTTATAAATATTAATATTTTATCAAAAATATATTACTACACATTCTTTTTTAGATATGTATCATAAACTTTTGGGTTTTTTTTTAAAAAAAAAAAGAGAACAAAATTTATTGCTTCTTACTGAGCGTTTTTTTTTCAATGAAAACGAAAAATCTTATTTTTTTAAAAAAATAATTGAATAAAAATAAAGTTTCCGATTGAAGCTATATATATATATATATATACATATATATATATTGTGTGTACCTCTCCCATTATGATATGCCTTATTCTCACTTCTTTCTGATCGTATTCCTCGCACAAGGGCGACATTGGGCCGGTTATAAATCGACCCTAATTATTCAACACACCGTTGTTATTAGAGAAATAAAACAATTATATAAACAAACAAAAATATGTTTACATTTATAAAGGGAATTATCTCAAAACATAGAACTATAAAAGGAAAAGTTTGAAAATATTAACAGTAGACTAATATAAGAAAGTATATATAAATATATATATAAATTTATATATATATATAAGAGATTTATTATAAAATCTATTATCTATTATTGTCAATTATTGCATATGATACTCATGACTTTTTCACTGTTCAATCAAGTATCTATTTACACTTGTTTATATAAAAAAAAGAAATAACTATTATAGTTTTAGTATTTGTTTTTTCTTTCCTCTGACTATCTATCTATGTCTATCATTTTTAAAAGAAAATAAATATCTTTTTCTCTCTTTGTATCCATTGAAATAATTTTTTAAAGAGTGCTAATTGAAATAGAAGAAAATAATGGAAGTGTTAAGAGTTTGAAGGATAAGAAAAAGGTGAGAGAGAAAGAAAGAAAGAGAAAATAAAAGGAAAATTTCTCTTTGAAATAGGAAATATAGAAAAAAAGATCTAGTATTTTATCTTTTGTTTCACTGTATCCTTCTTTCAGCTTCCCTTCTCTTCTGTTTTTCTTACCTATGCATTTAACTCTTTATCTCTTTTATCTATCTATCTACCTATCTATCTATCTCTCTATCTCTCCTTTTATTTAATTATTGTTGGAAAAAACAAAACCTTTCTTGATAGTTGAAAGAAAAAAATGAATAATAAAAAAGTCAAGAAAACCAAAACAAACAGAGAAAAAAAATTATAAGAAAACAAAAATACTCTATCTTCTAAACTAATTAATTAATTAATTAATTAATTAATTAATTAATCTCAACTAATTATAAATAAAAAAAAAACCAGAAAAGGTGTTACACATATTAAAAATATATAGAGTATTATTATAATATTATGTATGTTATATATATATATATATATATATATATATATATATATACATATATATATATACTGTATATACTATATATATTTATATATATATGGGTATATGAAAAGGATTATTTATCTTTCTACGATGACTATGAGATTAAATAAAAAGTAATTGGAAAAACAAAATATATAATGAATAAACTGATTGTTTAAAAACTTACCGAATCAACAGAATCATCGACAAGGTAGACAACTAATCTTTCGCATTTAATTAATCTTTGAGCATTTCCCATTATCCTCTGTACTAAATTTGTTAAGTTTTGTTGTTCCTCAAATATATTTTTAGCCATTGTAAGCAGCATCTAATTGTAAAGAAAAAAAACAAACAAGAGAAAATACCTCGTTAATAAGTCTGCCATTTTTGTTTTTACTAAGGGGAGGTGTTTCTCTTTACCTCATTCTTTTTGTATTCTTGTACGGATGTTTCAAATAATTGTGCATTCGTCAGCCCTATACCACAAAACGTGAGATACTGAGAAAATACCTAGAAAGTGAAAGAAGGAGAAAAAAAAAGAAAATCATATTTTTATTTTATTACATTAATAAATTAAAAAGAAATAATGAAGAAGGAAGAGAAAGAGAGAAAAAAATCATATATGTTTTGTTTATATATATATATATATATATATATATATATATGTATACTTATATACAGTATATACTAATATATATAAATAAGAAGGGAAAAGAAAGGAAAAGATGAAAATAGTTTTGCACTTGCACTTTTTTTTATTATTTATTTATAGTTTTTAGAATAGAAATATAAATAAAATCAAGAAATATTGATGTAGACTGTATATTATATAGAGGTAGTCATATTTAGTAAGTAATAAATCAAAAGTAGTTTTTTTTATGATCTATAATTGAATGAATGACACTCGAACTAATCTGACCTACACGAAATTACAAGTGATTTAATACAGGTAATTCAGCTTGTTTAAATAGCCTTTTTTTTTGTTTTTTTTTTCTTTCCTTACCTTTCTTATGTGCATAAAAAAGAGTGCAAAATGAATATATATATATACATATATATATACTTTATATATATATATATATATAAAGAAAAAATAAATCACAAGCTATTAAAGTTTTAAAGAAAAAAAAAGACGATAGTATTTCATTTCTGTGTGTGACATTTGAATCTAATTATTATAATTTATTAAACATACATACATACATACATATTTATATGTATATATATATATATATATATATATATATATATATATATATATATAAGTATATTAGTATATAGTTGAATGAAATACTTGAATTTCCAAAGAAAAGATAGAATGCGTCACTTCTTTTCTTTCTTTTGTTAAAGAATACAATTAAATAGGTTAGAAAAAAAATAACAACGGTAAATTTCATGTTTTAAAATTGGTTATAATAATCTTCTAGTATAAATAGGAAAGAGAAGGGAAAATATTAATAATATGAATAGTAAATTAGTTAATTAAATAAGCATGTGTTATTTCTTAGGTAGAGTGATAGAGAGAATATTAAAAGAAGTAGAGCAATGAATAAGAAAATAATAGAATAAAAATAAATCTTCACACAAGAACGACACTCGAAACCTGTTCGTCGAATTTCGTAAAGCCATCAACCTAAATGTTTGCCAAAGGAAAAACAAACATTCACATACTGCTTAGCGCTTAATATATACATATATATATATATATATATATATACTGTATATTCATATATATGCATATATTGAATATTGATTTTAGAATAACTTAAACAAGAGGAAAAACAAGATAAAATGAAGAAAACATTAGACTGTTTAATACCCTCTCTTTCTTGATTAAACTTTTGCATATTCAGCTTGCTTTTATTAGACAAATATTATATAATATACTTGTGTGATTAGTGTTTTTGGTTTTTCAATACCTTTCCTTCTTTAATCTATTGATTATAAATCATAGTATATTATATAGTTATTAAATATTCGTATACTTTTCATCTATTAGATACTTTATAAAGAATCCTCTCCAAACAAAACATTATTATATTAATCAAATGAAAGAAGAGAGGAGAAATTATATTTTCATCTTCTTCATCATTTCTTTTCTAATTTCATTAAAAAGTAAGACCTTTATTTGTTTTTCTTTAACTTATTTACCTTTTCCAATAGAATGCCCTTATAAAGCATTATTTTATTTAAATAAAGAATAATAACTTATTTATAGAGAGTCTAACTCTAAGAACATATTGACCGAACAAGGTAGATTACACAAATTCCTTTCTTTGTCTCTTCCCACACCACCTCACCTCACCCCCTCCCCCCCACATTGTAGTCTTCTCCTATTCTTTTCTATGTATTCCTATTCTTACATTCTCTTTATTTTTCTTGTAACTATTTGTCCTAGTGTCTAAATCGAATAGTCAAACAAAATGGTGAGTATATATGTGTACTTACTATTTAAAAGAAAACAATAAAATCAAGGCCTACCTTTAAGTTTCAAGAATAAATATTTTATTAATAAAGTACTTTAGGCAAATAGTTTAAGTATAATATGCAACTAATTAGTATAATTGAAGAGGTGAAAGCATGTTTTTTAAAGAATCGATTATTTTTTATGTTATCGTAAAGCTAATAAATCAAATAATATATATATATATATATATCATAAGATTAAAGAAAAAGATATATATATAGTAGGAGAGCAAGGAACGAAAAATAAAAGATGAAATTCATACACATTACTTATTTATATTGCAAGAAAACACTCTGAATATGATTAATGCTAATCTATAATAAGAAAGTAAGAAATATGAATAAATTATTATCAATTATTTACTTTGGACATCAATTCTTAATCGTAATTATGAAAACACTTATGATAAAAAAGAATGCCTAAATAAATCAGAAAAAAAGATCTAATAGGCTTATGATTAGTAAATATTTCACACTTTTAATACATATATTCTTTCTAGCTTTGTTTATTTAATAGCGTATACACAATATTCTTACAAGTCTTTTTTTACAGTTTCCGCCCCCCCCCCCCTCTCTCTCTCTCTCTCTCTATCTTCCCGTTTCATTTCTCATTTCTCTAAATTCATTACTTGATATTCGTAAAGTAATGAATACAACTCTGTCTTATTATATTTTGTTTTGTTCTTTTATCAATCTTGTCCCTAAGATCAATAAGAAAATATAATAGAATCTATTTGTTTTATCCTATAATATATTACATATGAGAAAATGTACATATATATATATAAGAATTATATAAATTGCTTATATGTAGGATATATACAACACTATTTGAAGTTAGCCAAAAATTAATTCATTTTTTATCATTTTTTATAGTTCATTCGTTCTTTCACACACACACACACACACACACTCTCTCCTCTTCTCTCTGTGATTTTTACGCTTTCTAACTGTTTTTCTTCTTTTTTGTACTTTATTACTATAATAAAACAGTTTAACTCTTCATTTTTGTATTGTTTTTGCTCTTAGTTTTTTTTTGGTTTACTTTTTTATATGTTATTCTTTTTTTTTAAACAGATATTCTTACCCTCTCATCTTCGTTAGTGAATACTGTGCAATCCGAATCCTGTTGTTTGTTCATTATTTGAGCTACTCCGATAACCTGTCAGCAAAATAGAAAGTAAACAGTGATAAACTATTGAATTAGGCTTTTACTACTAGCCTCTCCTTCATAATTCAATATCGGCATACACAATAAACTCTTGGTACGAAATCCGGTCATCTTATCAATTTCTTGATTAAATCGTGGGTCCTAGAAAGGAAATATACGTTCGATTAGTTAAAAAAAAAAAAAAGAATATAATCATTATTTAATAGGCCTAGATAAAAAAAATCTCTTTTATTGCATAAGCCGTTCGAGAACATATCAATAATCTCTATGGAGATTACATCCGATTTTTCTATAGGTACCGAAGCGTCATTAATAAGTGTTTGAGTTTCGTGCGGAATAGGTAAAAAGAATAAGAGATATATATATATATATACTTATTATTTACGTGTTTTATTTTTTTTCTATTCTTATTGAAACGATATAAAGAAATGCTGATTATATAATATAAATTTCCTATTCAATTCTCATTCATCCCTTTCGTTTCCTGCATCGTAATAGTAAAATATATAAACATATGTACTTATACTGTTGATTTATTAAAAGATTGAATTTTAAATAACAGATAGCTAGAGCAAAAAAACAAAATATACTTATTGAAACATTGAAGGTCAATTGGGTGATAAAATATTAAACGATGAATTATAAGTTTAATTTGGAAAGTCTAGTCTCTACTTTTACAAGTAAAAAAAAAAGAACAAAATAAATAGATTAAGTAAATAAATTACTTTATAAAAATTAATAGTCAGGATTGTAAAATAATAAAAAAGAAAGAAAAAATCTATTTATAAACTTTTCATTTCATCCTTTCTCTTCTCCTTCTCCTTCTCCTCATCCTCCTCTTTCTACTCATCCTTCTTTCCTTTTCTTTTACATTAACTATTTAATATTTATATTACAAATAATAATCTTTTACCTAATGATTTTTTATATCCCCTATATTTCCTTTACTTCGTTTCTTGTCGTTTATGATATTTATCGGTTTTATCAAAAGGAAAAGAAAAGGGAAGAAGAAAAAGATTATCTGGTAAAAAGAAATTCAATCTTTTGCATACTTGTTTTTTTTCTGTGCCTATAATAGTCTCGGTAACCATTAGAACTCGGAAAAAGAGGTTACTACTGATATAAATATCTATAGATAAATATATATTTATATTTAGTACACCTTTAATCTACCATTTTTATGACATATTACGACGGTATCGCTGTATCTAGGTCCTTACTATGTCCATAACTCTAGGCCCAAAATATATAATTGCTTTTAACTGTTCTCCGATCTAAATGTTTTATATATTTATACAAAGTATGTATACGAACATTTTGTGCATACTTTGCAATAATACTCTAAATGTATTATACATAAGATAATGTAGTGTAAACAACAACTAGCTTATGTATAATGTCTTTTGGAGTAATATAATTTATATTCTACGTATATAAATACAATTATTATATATATGTATATATATAGTACATTGTATATAGAGTCTGGGGAACTATTAATAAATGATGAGCGTTGTTTGGTATCTATAGAAACCTTATTCGTAAACTAACTAGCTAACTTTACTGTTTCACCCTTCCACTACTTATATATCTCCCTTTAACAGAGATTTCTTTTTGTATTAATTCCTAAATCAAATAGTAAGAACAGCAAATAAGAAATCGTTTAAACATTCATACCTCGTATGCGTCTTTGATATTGATTGGATGTTTGGTTTCAGCAACAGTTCCAGCGATACCAACTCCAAATGGAACAGTTATTTCAGAGTTATCAGTATGTACTACATCTTCTAAACAGGAATCAGCTGTTACATCAAATAATTTACTGACCAAATAACGTTTCATTCTTGATCCTCTAACAAGAAATAAGCTGCCTCTATCACTTTTTGTTAATATTCCAACATTGATGAGGATTTTATGGCATAGAGCATTTACATCCAATTCGTTTGCAATTTCACGAATTAATTCCATAAATAGCTCTTTTTCACCCAAATTTTCTAAATTCTTTTTTTTACGTTGAGAAACAGGAGAAGAGTATCTTCTCCGACCCTCAACAATATCTCTAAACATATTTGTAGTAATGGAATTTCTAAAGGCAGGATAAATTTTCATATTTCCCTTTCTCTCTAATACAAATATCTTAACTAACCATTTCCCTCCCTGTGCCCATCTATTAACGAAAAGACAAGAGAACAATAATGCTTATCCCCTCTTCTTTCTCCTATCATATTATCCAATAAACGTTTGAACAATTAAATAAATATAAAAACAATTTTGTATGAGGAGAGAAGAGAAGAATATATTTTTACGATTGCTATCTATTCATTCTAAAACCAATAAATATAAAGTTCTTTATGAATTTGATTACTAGTAGCTAGAAAATATTTATATATATATTGTTCCTTTAAATTATTAACATTCTTTAAAAACTAATAAACTATGAATTAAAACTATTTAAATATTGGCATTTATCAAATATTCAGGTAGGAATATTTTGATTAGCAATAATACATTTTGCGTTATATTACCTTGGAAAAGGAATATAGGAATATTCATATAATTGTCATTGTAAGATACCGCTAACTAGACTGACATATGTAACATTAATAAATATCAGAATATATATTAACATTATCCTTTTTATGAACCATAGACTATCGTTAAACTTAAAATATAACTTGACCTTAATATACATTTTATGACAAACTGATAGATTGAAGTCAATAAAATATCAAATCCTTTTTCGCTTATGATACGTATTTAACCTATATAGCATTGTTGACGGATAGTTCATCTACTGATTTTCTTGGGTTAGAACCACTCATGTTATTAGTACAGAACGAAAAAATAGAAAAAGAACCCTGCCTTGAAGGTGTATTCGTATAATTAAGAGCTGCAAGTTCATCTTCTTCAGTAACCGTTTCCTCTGGTTCATTTTCAGTTTTTTCTAAATTATCCATATTAGCTTTGAACCATTTTGAGGCGAATGCCTTATTTTTTTTTAAAAATTCATCAACATCTTTCTCCCTTATTGTACTCTTTCGACTCATTTTTAAAAAATTTCCTCCAATAAAACAACGATAAGCGTAGAAAAAAAAAAAATAACTTTCTCCTTCTATCTCTATATATTACTTCTCTTATATTTTCTCCTTCTCCTTATCTTCTTGTCTTTCCTTTTGTTTTTGTTTTCACAAAATGTTTATAAAAGTTCATAAAAAAAACTTGAATTTTTATTATTGTTTCTCCTTAGAGTTTTATCTTATGTTTTAGTTCTTCTTTCGTTTTATTCCTTCCTTACAGCAAGAAGAATGTCGATATTAAAAATTTGTTGAATATTTGTTCTTTTATTAATTGTTATTTATTGTGTTTTCAAATTTCTTTCTTTTTCTGTCGGCCTATATTCTAAAATGCCGAATCATTTCATTTCTCAGATGTCCTTTTTTTCAACGTTATCCGCAGCCATAGATAAAAAAAAGAGAGAGAGATAACTGTGGTGATAGTAAGAGGTTTCAGTTCAACTAGGTAATCTTCGTTTTGCGCTTTAAGTGTGCTGACTGTCTATTTGAGGCGACCTCTAGTAGTAATTTATACTCTCTTGTCGTTGGACGATTGATCCGCAAGCCTTTCTTCAGCCAATTGTTGTTCGAGGAAAATTTTTCACTGACACATCCACTCTACAAATCTTCAATATTTCCTACTTTAAATGTTATTGTACTCGAATATTTGTTACACAATAGATAGAAAATGGCCTATTAGTAGATGTAAATTTTCATAATCTTTTTGCCCTAGAAAGTACTTTGTGCGAAAACACAGATAGAGAGAGAGAGAGAGAGAAACAGAGAGACAGAAAGCCAAAAACAAATCTGCGATCTATTTAACAGAAAGTATAGCTTTTGTCGGTTTTAGTTACGCTTTGTCGATTTTTAATGTTTGTGTCTATTATCAATGTTTCCTTTGATTTTTGTATTTGCCGTAGAAAGTTCAGTGGTGGTTGATAAAGTAAACAGTAAATGGACAAGTATTAATAGATATATCAGTTTTTATTATATCTATTATTAACAGTTCAAATCAGCAAATTTTTCATCTTTTATACGAAGATATCGAAAGCTATTTTTCATTATTGTAGTCGAGTGAGATACAAAAAAAACTACTTTTTTCTCGATAAAAGTCACATGATCTGTGAATATCACATGGCTTGAAGTCACATGATTTCAATAAGCGACAATATGAAACGTCTAACATTAATTTTTGGTATAATTAGCCTAATTAGGGCATATAATATCGATATTGATTCGGAAATGGGAAGATATTTTGATGGCATAGGAGGATTGAGTGGTGGCGGAGTAAGAGATATTTAATTTTTAATAAGTTTGCTTAATATAATGAACCATTAATTAAAGAACTGGGCGTTTACTGATCAAACGAGAAAAATAATATGATATATGATATTTAGTGAAGAAAAGCGACCGTTAATAACAAGGCTGTTTATAGTTAAGCAAAGCAGTAATTAAGTATTTCTTTTAGCCTTCTGATGGATGTTTTTTATTCCATTTTCACTATTTGAAATGGTTAAGAACCTTTTTGTATTACGTTATATATATATATATATATATATATATATATATATATATAATATGTTTAATTTATATAATAAGCAGCCCTGACAAAGTAACAACAAACAGCAGGAAGATGCTATTAAGATAGAAACGAGGACGGAAAAAAAGAAAGAGAATAAAATAATGAAAAAGTCTTTTCTCTCTCTCATTTTCTCACTCATTCATTTTCTGTATTCCTTTCCTATACCTTCATCTCCTCTCCTGTCTATCTCTCTATCTCTCTCTCTCTCTCTCTCTCTTTCTTTCTTTATAAAAGTAAAAATTAATGATTTTAACGACTCTGTATATTGTAAATATTAATCCATATAACTATATATATATAAGTATATATATACTTAACAAAAATTTCTTTTAAAAGCGTTATATTTCAAAGAAAATAAATGTTTTCCTACTTCAAACAATCCGCTATTTATCCTTAATAAATATTTCAAACGTACTTAAAACTGGGTACCTTTTTCATTGCATCCTTTAAAAGAGTCTAAATAGGAACATGTTCCGGAATTATAAGCCTAATAATGGACTTCTTATTAATTCCGTCACTGTCACGTAATTGAGGAAATATAGTATAATATAGAATTTTATAACTTTTACTCTAAATGGATTAATTTGAATATTTATAAATATTCATCAATAATTAGAAAAGGGAAATAAGATATGGTTAAAGCATTTTTTAGTTTAAATGTACTTTTCGTGTAATAATATTTTTTAATACTATTCTATTCTAAAGAATAATTATTTGTGTTTTTCTTCATTTATCATTTTTTAGGCAACATCAAAATTATTAATTAATTATCCTGAACCGCAAAGATCGCAAATTCTTGACTATCTTTTCAAACCCAACTTTGGTGCTTCACTTCAAATAATTAAAGTTGAAATTGGAGGTGATGGACAATCGACTGAAGGAACTGAAGCGTCTCATATGCACGAACCATGGGATGAAAACTATCAGCGAGGTTACGAATGGTGGATTCTAAAGGAGGCTAAGAGAAGAAATCCAGATATTCTTACGTATGGTTTACCGTGGGCATGGCCAGGTTGGATAGGAAACTATACTCAAAATCCTTTTGTCGCTATTGACCAGACAGTTAGATATATAATTAATTGGATAGAGGCTGCTAAAAGAATTCATGGAATCAATATTGATTTTATAGGAAAGTACTATCCTTACAGAATTACACTGACTATCTCATGTTCTACTTACGTAATAAGTTCTAAAAATAGATACATTATTGCTACAGCACCTTCCCGTCCTCTTTTCTAAATGATGAAGCTAATTTTTGAGTCTTATTTAAAGAAAACCGCTTTTTTATTAAAACTTTTATAATATAAAGACATTAAGGAGTGGTGATAAGGTTGCGTACTTGCTGAATAATACGTAATTTATTTTCTTAACAGGTGTTTGGAATGAGAAAACATATAACAATGATTATATTAAGCTTTTAAGACAAACTCTTGATATTCGAGGACTTCGAACTAGGATAGTAACTCCAGATGGTGGGTGGAGTCCAATGGCTAAAGATGTATTAAGTGATAACGAATTGGCAAAAGCTGTTTACGCTATAGGTGCTCATTATCCTGGTACAACTAGTGATGAAGATGCACAAAGAACTGGCAAACCATTATGGGCTTCCGAAGATTACAGTACATTTAATAACGAAGTTGGTGGCGGTTGTTGGGCAAGAATACTGAATCAGAATTACGTTAACGGTTTAATGACTAGGTAGGAAAGTCAACTTGAGCTTAAAAAAATAGGTGTGTCTGATTAAACTTTTCATATTCCTTTTCTTTCTCTCTCTCTCGCTCTCTCTCTCACTCACTCACTCACTCACACTCTCTCTCTGTCTCTCTTTCTCGCTCGCTGACTCCCTTTCTTCATATCTCATTCCTTCTAATCGTAGCAT